AAATACTCAATTAGAGCAAGTATGAGTGTAGGAGAGTATTCGATATCGGTGGCCGACACAATTTCGGCTGCAAGTCCTGCGGTAAATAGGGAGACAATATTTCGTGCAGCCGAAGAAGGAAAAAAAGGCCAAGTCTTTTCTCATAAAGCGGAAAGAAAAGCCCGTTCCGCGGTAGGAGAAATTCCTGTACGGATAGAAGAAAACAGGAATGGAGAGTCTGGACCAACAAGGGAGGCCCGTCTAGAGTTTTCACATGATTTGCAAGCCATGCGCCCCAATACAACCAAATAATGATGTGCACATACCTATGACTTAGTTGCAGCTTACAGAAGGCCCTGCCCTTCTCCATATCGGCCATGCCACCCCGATACCGACATGGTTGGTCCTGGGCTCTCGAATCCGTGCAATGAGAGAGGTGGAGCGTTTGGGATGACACTCCTTATCTTAGGATACTTGCTCGTACCCGTATCGATGGGACATACGAGAGTACGTACTCGTACTTTGCCGCGGGCTCTTCGGGCGGCCTGCCAGCCACATGTCATGTGTACATACTCTACTCTTACTCATCCCGCGGATGCTGGTGCGAGTTAGTGTATCTGGAAGAAGCCGATTGTGGAAACTGGAGCGAGACGAGCATCTTTAAGACCCCTGATCGTCGCCAGGCTACGAGTACTCGTACTGTGCATTGCGACTCCCCTATCTTCCATGTACTGAGTACTCCGTACGAGTTGCGAAAATTACGACGTATTCGGGCACTTTCCCAGCCGCCCTGCTTCTCTTGCCGGCCTGACTACCGCCGCGCCACCCAGAAACAAGCGAGGGCTGGGACTGAGAAGATGTCACGCGTCGGCTTAGCACTGCATCCACTTTGCATCCTCACCTACTACTCCGTGTACACCGGTGCTGAGCTCTGGGCGCTTGATCGGTGGAGTCTTCCACTTCTCTGCGTCTGCCGGTAACTGCTAGTCGCATCACATTATTAGACAATGTCTGTGTGCAGCTGTCCACGGCGCAAAAGGCGCCTTCGTAGACGAGCAAGGACGAGTCCATCTTGCCAATGCGCTGCCCCATGACATCCATGGCATCCTAACCCCCGGGGAAAGGGGGGGGAGACGCCACCCCCCGGCTGGAGCGTTTTTTGTGATCAATCATATATTATTTCCCAATCACACAATTGTCAGCCCCATCTGGCCTTTCAGCTGGTCTCGACAAATTCCCGGATCGCGCCTCCCAAGCAATCTTGCACTGACCCATCTTACCATGTGGCTAATGGGCTAGTGTGGCGCCGCGTGCCAACTTTCTCATCGGCACCAAGAAGAGCAACAGCTGGCAGCTGGGCAGTTGCAGTGCTAACCCGATCCGCCTCGCATACGGAGGCCGAGCGCATCTTGCAGCAGTGTGTTTGGATGTGTGCTTGTGTGTTGAGTATGTGATGTGCAGACTGGAGCAAAGAGCAAAAAGGCCCAATAGTACTCGTACCCGTACTCGTACGACACGTCTGCCCGACAAGAGACGAGCCTGTCGACCTGACTTCTACCTGTGCGGACCAGGCCGCGTCCTGGACAGCGGTGTCATTCGTGGACACCGTCGACGTTACCGACTGCACGAGCACAATCCGGGCTGCATCGCCGCCTCTCACCGATTCGTTTCCCTCCTTCTCGGGCTCGCTGCTTGCCGAGAGATGTATCTCACGACCGGAGGTGCTGAGCGAGAGAGGTGCAAGTGCGAGCACGAGAAACAAGAGCGGCTGGGATCACACAGCCGATTCGCCCGCCCTGTCTTGCCTGTCTTGTTCGGTGACGTCGATTGCAGCGAAGGTGGTCGCCTGCGGGTGCTCGTTGGGAGCGGTGAGCCCTTGGGTCCCACAGCGGTTGTTGGGCCCATGACGGCACCACATATGATGTAACTTGAGCCAGGAAGGAGCGTTGAGCCATGTCAGCGGGCTGTGGCTGGCCTTTTGGCTCTCACTCTCCCTTTCTCCTCTGCTTGCTTCTTTCTCTCACTGGTCGGCCGTCCGGGCCAGAAATATGGGGAAGCAGTGGTAACATTCGCGGACTGACCTCTTCAGCATGCTGAAATGAGCTCGTGACGGCAGTCGCGGTCGCAGTCGCAGTCGCGGTCGCAGTCGCAGTTGCAGTCGCAGTCGGAGCGGCCGTGAGCCCTACTCTCTACGGAGTACTCCGTATCTAACCTGGGCCTCAAACGAGTACGGAGTACCTGTCATATATCGTGCACTGTAGCCGTACGTATCTATAGTAGCAACTGTCAAGAGGGGCTTCTCCCTCTACCCAGCGGCTGTTTCGGCCTGCCAGGAATGGCACGGGATATATTTAGGCTGTGTGTGCTTTTGGCCTCGGGTGGAGCCTTCCAGGGCTGCGAGCGAAGCAGTTGTCTGACTGGTGCTGTGCGACCCTGCGGTACAGGCTACGTTGTACTTTGGCCATCCATCAGGACACGAGTACTCCCATTATACGAGTAAGCTGGGCGTCAACCCAAGGTCACCCCCTCCCGCGAGATCACACACCCCCCTTCCCAAAAGAAGCCACCCGAAACTCTCCCTCCCCTCCCCCCCAAAAAACAACGCCAGTCAGGCCTATAGGAAGTACCCTTTGCGTCTCCGGAAGGCACCACCATGCTTCCTTCCGTCGCTTTGGCCAATGACCAGGTCGTTCCTGCCTTGTCCCTCGCAACCCCTCCTCTCTGGCTCTGTTTTTTTTTTTGCTCATCGCACCTGCGGTCTGCAACTCCGTCCGGCCTCGCGACCTCTCTTTTCCACAGGTTGGGCTCGACAGACCGGATGCGGAAGCGGAGGCTTAGACCACTGACTCTCGCTTGGCGGCCTAGTTAACGTGTCTTTCCCGTTCTCGCCACAGCTTTGTCCATTATTTGTATTCACCGCCTCAAGCCGCCCTCTCCAGAACCATCGACACCGCGTAGGTGTGACGCAAAATCTGCTGCAGCGTGCGTGGAAGCTACAGTAGCAGCGTCAATCTACGGAAGTAGTCGCGGAGCTTTTGATGACCCCCCCCTCCCTCGTCTCTTTCTCCCCCCCCAGCAAAGAGTTGCTGCCTCATTACGGAGTAATACGCCTGCTACTCCGTAATTTACCCTAAACTTTGGCTGTGTACCCCGCCAACTCCCTGGATCTTGCCTTCGGACAACAGAGAAATGATTCTAAACTGCTTCCAAGCCTTGGCAGCCGAAACTCCGTTTTCCCAGGGGGCTTCCCAGCAAAATAGAAAGTCTGGGAAGACGAGACGGCATTCCCCGCTTGCCTCATACAGGTCGCTGTTTATCTTGCCCAAGAGCCACGAATATCGCATATCAGCCCAGATGTGCTCCGTACCCCGTACAGCCCTGCTGCGTGGAAGGCTGATCGTTTTTGTCCCAGCGAACCGCAAGCCCCGTAAGATAGGTCTCCCAACCTCATCGGCTGCCATGTAACATCATGGCCCTCCCCACACCCATGCATCTTACGAGAGGCCTGTTGAGCCCAATCAGGGCCGAATACGGCCAATGAGGCTCGGGCCTCAAGCGGTCAGCGCACGCGCACGGCGCGAATGTTCACTTTCGTCTCTGGCAGCTTCGATGCCCATCGACGTTTCGTCCAGGATATTCCTCGTACCGGGTACTTTTCCGTGCATGCGACCGTATGAAGGTTCCTCCTTCATGCAATTCTCTTTCCAATATAGGCTGTGTGCAGCTTGTCGAACAAGGGCTATCCTGGCTCTTATTTCAGCGTTCCAAACAAGCAGTTCCGCCTTTCTGGTCTCCACGAATTCGCGACCCAAGTTCGCCTCCCTTTTCCTATGCGAGTCTCGTGCTGTCGTTTCTTCCATTTTATCTTCTGCATGTCTGCCTCTCTGCCTTTCTGCCGCCCTCTACCAAGGACAACCGATCTCGAGCATGGGGTTGCACCACACAGATGGGGCATAGCACGGTCAGGAATAAGTTCTCAACACCCCCCCCCTCCTCCTCTCCCGGGGGGACCCTCCCCTCCCTTTCTCGCTTTCCCTTCTCCCTGAGCTTTAGGAAAACCACGTAGCCGTTTCGTACCGATTGAAGTACGCGCTAGCGCGTAGCGCACATTAGCGTACCGCAAGCCATAGCGCTACGAGTGGGTGAGCCATTCTGTTGGACCCAAACCCCATGCCTCAGCAGGCGTTCATAGGGAGGGAAAACGTCGACCGACACATTATGACGGTTTGTTCGCGTCGTAGGCACCGTCGTGCCTTAGTCTGAAAAAGGATCAGCCTGCCTTGTCTCTCAGTCCGTCCAAGGCCAGTTTTGCTTTTTGTCACCGCTTGTTTCTCCGGCTCTGTGCAACAGCTCACTAATATTTACAGGACTTACATGATGGTTTAAAAAAAGTAAAAAATAAGTTTCTTGCACCCCACGCCCACCCCCCTACTCCCTTTTTACGTCTCCTTGCTCTTGAGTGGTGCACTTTGCCCCTGTCCTTTCATTATTTGATGTGTTTTTTTTCCTTCTTCGGGTTTGCTCCCAGGGTCCGGTGATTATAACTCAGCCCTCTCCCACAGACCACAAGCCTGCGCAGACTCATATAATAGCCTCCATGTCTTAGTCTTCCATTACCGGTGCCCTCCCTTCTCATAGATCACCCTCTGCCTTTCCCCCTTCTTGGCTCACCGAGTAACTTAGTGCATACTAGAAATCCTTCTTATGATCGTTCCTTCCGGTTTCGCTCTTCTCCTTTTACAGCAGCCTTCCACATTTCTCCCTTGACTCGTTTCCTGCTACTTCTCCCTTGCACTCTACGCTTTGTCGGTCGTCTTCGCCCGAGCAAGCTCACAACCAGCCACACACACTCGTTGGCATACCATCTCTCTTCTCTTCTCTACCTCGTCTTCCTTCGTTTATGCCAGACTGCTCTCAATTCTAGCTCGACCTGGGCAGTCCCTACTTTGAGGACTACCTGTCCTGTTCTACAGACGGCCACCAAGTGAACCGCACATTCTGCACATTCTGCCACCGTCACCATGCGCGGCTCAAATCCAAGGCCATCCTCCCTGGGCGGGAAGGCTTCTCTTGACAGCAAAGGCAGCAAGCCCATCCCGCCCTTCCCGAAAAGACAGATGTTTGTTCTTGGTAAGTTTGATGGCAACCAGCATCTATATGGGCCTCTGAGGAACCCTTTCATTGACAGGCCTAGCACTCTGCCGACTGTGTGAACCGATCGCCTTTATGGGCATCTTTCCATACATCTATTTCATGATCCAGGACTTCCACATCACTGAGGACGACAAGCAAATTGCGTTTTACGCCGGCCTGGTTACGTCCGCCTTCACTTTTGCTGAATTCCTCACCGGCATGTTTTGGGGGCGGCTGAGTGATCGGATAGGACGCAAGCCCGTTCTTTTGGTTGGGCTGTCGGGCACCGCTCTGAGCGTTCTGCTCTTTGGCTTTGCCCCAAACCTGACTGTTGCCTTAATCGCTCGAGCCCTTGGCGGTCTCCTCAACGGGTACGTTACGCCCCCTCCCTTTCCGGAAAATCGGGTTTGTACTTTTGTCTGACCAAGAACGCAGTAACATAGGAGTCATGCAGACGACCGTCGGCGAGCTTGTTAAAGTAAAGGAACACCAAGGTACGTTTCGCATCAATAACCCTGTATCTTCCAATAATTGTCTAACTCCGCTCGTGCAGGTCGTGCGTTCGCTGTGATTCCTGCAGTATGGTGCATCGGGTATGTTGGATCCAACAGCTTGTGCGTGTATGGGGAGAATGGTCTAATTACTAACACGCCCAACTAGGTCGATGATCGGCCCTGCCATTGGTGGTGCTCTTGCCCGACCTTGCAAATTTTACCCCAGCATCTTCCCCGAAGGCAGTATTTGGGACAAGTTTCCGTACTTGCTTCCAAACCTGTTCAGCGCTGTCGCTGTTATTGTCGGCGTCGTTGTTGGCATTCTTTTCCTTGAGGAGACGCACCCGATCCAGAAATACCAGCGCGACCCCGGTCTGGAGCTTGGAAAACGACTTATCGCCAGCTTCAAGTTTCGAAAAGATGCTAGCGAGTCGCGCAAGGCATACCTGCTCGAGGAGGAGGAGCCCTTGATCGACTCCGACGACCAACTGCCTGGATACCGCACAACCGAAGCATCACCTTGCCTTACGTCTGTCACCGCACAACCGGACCTGCCGGATGCTCTGGAGACCCTGGACTCGCTAGCCGGAAACACCCGCCCAACACCGCGGACGGCCTTGAACCCTCACTCAGAGTCGAGCCGAGCAACTCTGAAGATCTTTACGAAGCCCATCATCCTGAACACGATTTCTTTTGGCATTCTCGCATTGTGAGTGCCCAAACGCAGAACATGTGGTCTGTTTCCAACTCTGCGGGAGTCCATACTAATATATCACAGCCACACAATGACGTTCGATCAGCTCCTTCCGATGTTTCTCAGTACGGTGCCGCCAGAGAACGGCGAGTTGTCGCTCCCGTTCAAGTTCACTGGCGGGTTCGGCTTCGACAACCAGACGATCGGTGTGATCATGGCCGCTCAAGGGTTCTACTCGCTTCTTTCCAACTCGTTCCTGTTCCCGTGGGTGATTGAGCGGATTGGCCCTCTGCGGCTGTTTAAACTGGTGGCCGTGCCCTACTTCCTGTTGTATCTGGTCACGCCTTACCTCGTGCTGCTGCCAGAAAACTATCGCATGGCCGGCGTCTACCTGACTATTATCTGGAAGTGCACATTCTCCACATTGGCCTACCCAAGCAACGCGTTGATTACGATGAACCTGGCGCCAAGCACGCTTACTCTGGGTACTGTCAATGGCGTGTCAGCATCTGCAGCGAGCCTGTGCCGTGCCTTTGGGCCTGCAATTTCTGGCATGCTGTATGCTGTTGGATTGGAGACTGGCTACTCTAGCCTGCCATGGTGGTGTGGCAGCGCAGTGGCTGTGATTGGCGCATTTGTCGCGCTACAGCTAACGATGCCGAGCAAGTTTCCTGAGGGAAGACAGGCAGATGATGCAGAGGCGGGTGTCCTGCACCCTCGAGCACATGCTGCCGGGGACATGGAAGCATAACTGAGGGGATATCTCATGCTGACGGGTTTTTTTTCTTTCCTATCGTGGGGGCTTTAACATTTTTAAGATTTGCGTCATGGGCAGGGAATCGGACCAAGCAGACGCTTGGAGTTGGAGGGAATAGAGAGGGTATCATTGCTGGCCATGATCAATTGGGTTTGTTATACACGTCATTTTTTATTGTCTTGTAATTTGTCTTGTAATCTCTGCTCTTCTTGTGCCTCGATCTCTAGTTTAGTGTTTTACGATTTTTCCTTGGTTGGAAGCCGTGGCTTATGGGGGAATTGGTGTCGGCGTTACAATAGGTAACAAATGGAAGTATATAGAGTACTGCTGGCCTGGGGTTGTTATTGTTCTCATTTCGCTTCCTGTTTCTATCGTTTGAAGAGAGCAGAAATGCTCGGAATACACCATTTGCGCACATTGGCAGTAGCCTTGTTGGCAAAGTCTAGAAGAAGAGAGAGGTTGCATAGCTTCCAAGTGGCTACGCTAGCGTGCATATATTCTATGCATATCGACAGAGGCTGGGGTGAGGCTCACTGCTATATATATCTATATATTGCTCCATATGTATGGAAGGAGTATTGGCATTCGATATGGCGGTTCCGTGTGACGTAATCTGACTGAGACGTGGAGAGCGTGGAGTAATATTGGTGATCTGGTGGGATAGGATTAATATGCCAAACCCCGGAAATAGCTCAGCAGAGTCGGATAGGAAAAGTGGGGGTACGACAGTATTAATAATCGATCTTCGATAGGAAATACGTCAAGCGAACGAATCATTATCAAACGCGGGCGCTGATTCGCCGAGGATCTCTTATCACGACCGAAGAAGCAGAAGAACCCCCAAGAGAGGTATAGCTGAGAGGGATGCGTTAGCGGTCTTGTGCACATCCGCCCGTCTTCTCTATCGGCTCAGGCCTCGCGATCCAATTCCAGACAACGGCCGCCTTTGGCGTTATTTTCACGGGGACAATTCCCAATTTTATTTCACGCACGCATTACCAACGGCCCTATCACTAGCCGTATCGCTATCACTTTACACCAGCTCTTCAACCGTTCCGCTCTCCATTTTTTTTTGTTCCTGGACGAACCTCATCGGCTTTCCTCTCACAGCATTTTAGAGGTCGGATTGTTGAAGCACGGCTGTCGTATCTTCGGTTGCCGACATTTTGATGCGCCCCTGCCGCCTTTCCATCTCGGCCGCCGGAGAAATCATCCAACGTCGCGGCTGCTGCTGGTTCGCACTGCCGTCAGCTGTCCTGTGCTAGGCGGCAATTGCTCTTTTTTCCGAGATTGTGAAACCGGGGGAAGAGAAGAGCGCTTTGCGCACGCAGCCAAGGAGCCCGGAGACGGCATACTATGGGGTCTGTGTGTCTGGCGGTGACAACGACGACAAGCTCGTGCTAGAGGCACTGCGGCGACTGTGCATTGGCCACCCGTTAGGGTTCAGCGTGTGTCGACGAGGAAAGAGCAACGGGCCGACGCGCCTTCCTGCACCCAACCGACGTCGCGTCCTTTTTCTTTCTATCCGAGGCCTCAAGACAACGACGGCCAACCAGACAAAGCCATCGTGGCGGCGGCAACAGCGTCGACGATGCCGGCCCACGCGCCGCCATCGCCGAGCCTGATTCCCGCCAAGCGGCCGCGCCAGACATCGCCTGATCACCATTCGCCGATATCGGCCACGGCCGCGACAGCGACAGCAGCAGCCGCCGCCGCCGAACGAGCGCCTCTGCCGGTGGTGGAATGTTTGGTGGGCGAGGCTGCCGGAGGCGGCGACGGCACGCCGGCCGCGGTGGTGGTGGCAGTCGGGACAGGGAGCAAATCGGGTCCGAGCAGCAGCTTCCGCAATGTCAGCGCGTGCAACCGGTGCCGTCTGCGCAAGAACCGGTGCGACCAGCGGCTGCCCAGCTGCGTGAGCTGCGAGAAAGCCGGCGTGGCCTGTGTGGGCTACGACCCGATAACGAAGCGGGAGATTCCGCGAAGGTGAGCAGAGACCGTGGTGCTGTGGTGTGATGCGACAAAAGCGGCTGACAGCGGTCCTAGCTATGTGTACTATCTCGAGGCCAGAGTGGAGCAGCTGGAAGGTCTGCTGCAGGGCAACAGCATTGCGTATCCGCCGGCCGACGAGCTGGAGCACTCGAGCACGGCGCGGTCACCGACTGAAGCGGCACGCAGCGTGCATTCGGAGCAGCTCGACGGCGGCAATGCTGGTTCGATGGCCGTGGCCACGGGTGGAGGCAGTGGAGGCAGCGGAGGCAGCGGAGGCAGCAGCGGGCTTTCCATCAGCATCAGCAACAACAACAACAATGGCACGGACGGTGGAACGATGGCCCAGGCGACGGGCAGCCGAGTGCACCGGATGCAGGTAAAGGCAGGCGGACGAGACAACAGCAACCAGCAGCATCAAGACCACCAGCACCAGCAGTATCAACACCAACACCAACATCACCACGGCTCGACGGCGGGCGTGTCGTTTGCACGGGTCGTGTTTGCAGCGGTGCAGTCGTCGGTGACGGACCAGAAGTCGGTCTCGGACAAAAACGGAGTGCGGCCGTACAAGCCGATTGCCGGCAACGGGGCCGTGGGAACGGGGACATCGATGCGCGACTCGTTCTTTGGGCTGCACACGAAGCCGACGATCCGACCGGCGACGTTTCCAGACCGGACGCTGGGCTTGCGGCTGGTGCGGCTCTACTTTGAGCACGCGAACCCACAGATTCCAGTGCTGCACCGCGAGGACTTTATGCACACGTTTGAGCTCGCGTATACGGACGAGGCACATGGCCGCGGACCTCGGGAGCTGTACATGCTCAACATGGTGTTTGCGATTGGCGGCGGGATCATCATGGGCGACACGGCCAAGCCGGAACCGGTCGGCAACAACAGCAGTGACAGCAGCAGCAGCAGTGGCCGAACACGACAGTGTCAGCCGGAAGAGTACCATGCCAGCGCGATCATCCACCTGGAGGCATGTCTCAGCAACAGCGGTGGTGGGCTGGAAGAGCTGCAGGCGGTGCTGCTGCTGGCCAACTTTGCGCTGCTGCGACCGGTGCCGCCGGGACTGTGGTACATTGTGGGAGTGGCGGTGCGACTGGCCGTCGATCTGGGGTTGTACTACGAGGACGGCAAGGACGTGGACGCGGGACTGCCGAGCAGCAGCGTGGTGCCGACAGAGGTGTTGGAGCGTGAACGCGGCCGCCGCGAATACGTGCGCGATCTCCGGCGGCGGCTCTGGTGGTGCACATACTCGTTTGACCGGCTGGTCAGCGTCTGTGTTGGGCGGCCACCCGGCGTTCCCGACCAGGTGATGACGACAGAGTTTCCGTCGCTGCTGGACGACCGCTACATCACGGCGACCGGGTTCCTGCGCAGGGAACACGATCCGACCGAGCCGTCGTACAAGCGGGCAGCTCATCATTACTTCCGGCTGCGGCTGCTGCAGTCGGAGATTCTGCAGGTGCTGCAATTCCAGCAGGCGCAGCTGGCACGCGCAACGTCTAGCGGAAACCGGCCGTTTGCCGAGGGCAAGCCGTTCATGAACTATGACCTTCCGTGTCCGTATCTAGCCGGCTTCGACTCGTTCCGGTCGTGGCGCATCGACATTGACCGGCGGCTGTACAAGTGGAAGTCGTCAGTGCCGCCCAAGTCAGACAACGGGGTGGCCTTTTCGACCGAGTTCCTCGTGCTCAACTACTGGCAGGCTATCATCATGCTGTACCGCCAGAGCCTCAGCGTGCCGGCCGTGTTCGAGAGCGAGTACCACACATCCAAGGAGGTCAACAGCCCGACGGCATACCACTCAGAGTTGCGCGAGGATGAGGACCGCGTCTATCTCAAGGTGGCCGAGGCCGGCCAGAAGATCCTGCGCATGTACCGCCAGCTGCATCTGGTCGGCCTGGTCAACTACACGTATCTGGCCACGCACCACCTCTTCATGGCCGGCATCTCGTATTTGTACGCGATCTGGCACTCGCCGATTGTGCGCAGCCGACTGGTGAGTTGTGTTTTGCTGTTTGCTGTTTGTTGTCTGTCTTGTACTGACCGACAGACCATGGACGAGGTGGACTTTACCATCCTGGCGGCAACATCGGTCTTCTCGGACCTGATGGACAAGTGCCCGCCTGCCGAGGCATGTCGTGATGCCTTTGACCGGACAGCCAGGGCGACGATCAAGATGGCCAATGCAAAGGGGGGCTTTGGACAACCAGCCCTAGGACACGGCCGCGGCCACCGCTCACGACAGCGGTCCTCGTCCCGAGGCAGCATGGATTTGCAGCGGGTAGACTGGGCTTATTCGCCGACTACGGACGAGCCGACACCGACGCCGAACCCAGGCCACCGACAGGCTTCACGGCCATACCGGATGGCAACGGGCAGTGGTGGCAACAGCGTGGCAGCAGCAGCAGTCAAGACCGAAGCCGACGGCTTTTCGCTGATGCAGAACACACCTATTGTGCCGCGAAGCAGCGCCAGTTCGGCCGACATGGCCAGGACACCCGACGGTTCCAACATGGACCAGGCTTCCATCCTAGCATCGCCGACGATAGGAACCCATGTGTCGCCGATGCAGACAGCAATGCAGGACACGTCTCCCGCATCGTTGATGACCTTGCAGCAGCAGCAGCAGCTCCTGGCGCAGCAAAACGTCGCCTCGGTATACACGCCCAGCAGCCAGGCCTACTCAGACCTGCAGGGTATGGACTTTCTCCAAAACTTTGGCGGCGTGGGCGGGGACCAGATGTTTGGCGGCAGCGCCTTCTCGACAGAGCCGCCGATGGACATGGGACTCGGCTTTGGCTGGGAGGGCATGCACCACGACTTCAATGACGGCCAGCAGCTGGACCTGTTTGACGGCTTCTTCTTTGGCGGCCAGCAGGGCGGTGGCGGCGGAGGGATGTGAGGCAAGGCGGATGAAACCCTTCTCCGGACTTGTCTTGCTTGTGGTGGCAAAGTGGAGAGCAGGGTGCGAAGCTTGTACGTTATGAATTTAGCCCTGATATGCTTTAAAAGGGGTGATTGACTGTAGTCTGTATTGAATGAAGAGGAAACCGCCTGTTGACCGATGATACATGTGAAGGAGCACTGCACTGCGCCTGCCGTTGCCGGGCTAATTACATCGCACCTGCCGGTTCTGTGCGCATGCGACGACGAAAGAACATGGAGGGGAAAATGGCAAATGGGAATTAAACGCTGCCATTCCATTCCATCACGATTACAATCCACATCCTCGCCGTCCTCTACCGCCGTCTGCTGCTGCTGTGCCGGCGATGTCGGCCGGACGGTGCGGGCGAGTGTTCCTCGATCACGACCACCTCGTCCTCGGCGTCGTCATGGCGCGACCGCGAGCGACGTCGGCGATGGATGCTGCTGCTTCTGCTGCTGCTGGTGGCGGCGACCTCCGTCTGCCGTCTCGACGAGCGGCGCTCATCGACGATCTCCCGGACGACCTCCTCCTCGACGACGATCTCGTCCTCGGCCAGCGGGGGTGGTGGTCGTCGCAGCGTCTGCTCGTCGACGACCCGACGGAGGCGGCGGGCCCGTGGTGCCGGTGCCGCGATGCGAATCTCATGCTCGACGAGATCGGGGCCGCGATGCGAACGTCGTCGATGATGGTGTCGTCGGCCATGATGGCGTCGGTGGGCGGCACCGACAGCACTTTGCCGGTCGTCATCGTCCACGGACACGGCGGTCCGACGACGACGACCGGTGCTGCTCTCGCGGATCACCACCTCCTCGCGGACAGAGGCGGCGTCATAGCGGTCGCTGCAGCGGTACAGCACGTACAGCAGGCCGACCAGCAGCAAGAAGCCGGCCACGGAGCCGAGCGTGATGCCGGCAATGGCGCCGGCGCTGAGACCCGCGCTCGACACCACGTACGTGGCCGCGATCGTGCTCGTCTCGGCACCCGAGGCCGCTGTCGTCGTCGTCGTCGTCGTCGTCATCGTCGTGACCGGCCATCGTGGACGGAAACGCGTGCCCGAAAGTCGTCGTGGCTGGGCTTCCGGGCCGCCGTCGTCGTCTCGGCCGGCTTCGACACCCATCGCGACCTCCTGCAGGAACGGCATCACCACCACGGGCGCCATGCTCAGACGAAACCCCGGGCGACGGGGAGGAACTGTCCCCTCCCGACGCGCCGGTTGGGCTCGTATGTCGGCCTCGCTGTGGTGTGGGACCGTCCGGCTTGCTTACCCGTTGTCCCCCGTATTCTTGGCAGTACAGGACTAGCAGCAGCAAATGAGCAAATGAGCAGATGAGCAGATGAACAAATGAGCAAAGAGCAGATGAACAAATGAACAAATGAGCAAATGAGAAAAGAGCAGACGAGCACTGGGATCTGCCCTCTCTGGCAAATGGTCAGAAGATAAAGACTTGCTTGCGCAGACGAAACAAGACTGTCCACCGATGGGCTGCTGCAATCGACGGAAATGGCTGCGAGCTCGTGACAGGTGGCTGGGCCGTGTTGCATGACGCGCAAGGCAGTTGCCGATTACACCCACCAGTGCTACGGTTCGTCGGTTGGGCTGCAGCCATGCTGTGCTGGCTATCGCCGGATGTGGAGGTGGCTGGGGCCAAACACTTGGTTGGGCAGAAAGCACTTTGGCACGGCCGATTACGGCTTATGACATCGCACTGATCAGCAGGACTGCTTGCTGTCACATTCATCGATCGATTTGTCCCTTTCTGATCTGACAACAGTTTGGTTTGTCCATCCGGCCCCGAATCCTCTGTCTCGTCGCCTCAGCTCCGTCGCATCACACAAATCCGCGAATGCCGCGAATATTCGGGCCTCCTGACCTCCTGTCTTTGTCATCCTTCTTCTTGTCTTTTCGTTCCTTGCGCACCGAGTTTTGCACGCCGCCTGTCTGCGATTAGCCCGGTGCTTCCCCACAACCAGCAATACTCTCAGCCAGATTTTGCTTACCTCGACCATAGTATCGCTCTGCTTGCGCATTCGCTGTCGCTCCTGTCTCGCCCAGTGGCCCTGCGCCTCCAGTGCTCGACCCCGACACAGACGGATTCCGGTACGGACCTGATTCGCTCGAACCTGCATCCGACGCCAGTCGTGGTCCGTACCGGAGAGGCCCTGCAATGCTGCCGCCGCTGTCGATGCTCACGCCCGCGATGCTGCTCCCACCGCTCATCGCTTGCTCTCCATACATCACCACTGACTCCGTGTCCTGGTCAGACTGTGTCGGCGGCATGTTGTCCCCTCGCAGCCCCTGGTCCTCGAACAAGGACGCCTGCTCAAACACCTTCGATTCCAGAATCTTGCACTTCCTCGTCAGCCGCGCCTGGCTCTTCTGCAACTCCAAATTCTTGGCCCGGCTGGCTGCCAAAGCGCTTTCTACCTGCGCCCTCGTCTCTGCCAGGCTCGCGTTGTAAGCTGTCTGCCCGCTCTTCTGTGCTTCCGCCAGCTTCGAGTTCACTGTCGCGATCTGCTTCTGGAAATAGTCGTGCGCTCGTCGAAACTCTGCCTCTCGGGCCTCCATCTTCATGTTCAACACTTCCAGCGTGCTGTTCGCCGCCGTCGCTTCCGCCTCCACCTCTGCCAACTTCTCCTTCAGCCGCTGTCCCTCCTGCTCTACTGCTGCCAGATGGCGCACTCTTTCATTCAACCTCTCTTTCTCCGCCTTGCCGGCCTCCAGCATCTGCAGGTCCTGCTCCAGCTTGAGCTCCCGAACTTCCTTTTCGCACACCAACACGAGAAGTCGAGCGCAATCGGCCTGCGAGTTCTTCAGGCTCGTCCGCAGCGTCGTCTCTTCTTCCTTCCATTTCTTCTGTTCCTCCCGGAGCTTCTTCAGCCTGTTCGCCAGCGACTCTTCCCAGTTCTTCGACCGGTTGCGGCTCATCTCCGCCTCCTTCTTGACCTGTGCCTCTGCCTTCTTCGCCTCCTCCATCCGGTTCTTGAGCGTACGGTTAATCAGGATCAGATTTTGCGTCTCTGCTTCCGTCACCACCTGCTTCATGTTGCTGCGTCGCAGTGCGCCAATATGTGCCAGATGCTGCTGCACCATGTACCGCTCAAACCCGAGATCGGTCTTCAACATGATTATCTGCCGCTGCATCTGCTTCGCCGTAAGATCGCTCTCTTCGTTCTCGTTGCCATTTCCCGTCGGGATAGTCGGCACCCTGTGCGGAGAAGGCGACCTTTCAGGCCCCGGACGCACCGCCGGTTTCAAGCCGGACGATAAGCCCTCAGGTGCCGAGTCCCGATTGCTTAGCGATAGAGACAGCACGCTGTCGTTCGTGAGTGATTGGTCCAGCCGTGATTGCACCACCTTGTTCGAATCCACCATCCCCTGCAGATCCGTGCGTGACAAGGACTGCGAGAGTAGAGGAGAGAGGGTCGGACTATCGCCTCCTGCATCTGGTGCATGACCATCTGACACAATGCTGGACTGTGAGCTTCTGCGAATGACTGACCCCGTCTGGCTGCTGGTCGGAGGCGGCAGAATTGCACTGAATGGTGTTGATAAACGCCTATCCTGAGCTAGCCCGCTGCTTTCCAGAACAGTCAAGTCTCGAAGAAGCGCCTCCTCCTGCTTGATTCCCCCTGCCTCTAGGCTCTGGAAGGGGGAAGACGCAGAAGTCGTCGCCACAGCAACTCCGGGATGCAGATGAGTGCTGACATCAGTGCCACTCTGATCGTAGACGTGAAGCCCAACGCATTCGGCAACGACGTCTGCCGTGGCACTTCTCCTCCACCGACCAAAATCGGTCTTCTCCGACTCAATGGTGAGACTGTAAAAGTTGGGGTGGAGTAAATGACACTGGCGGAACTGCTCTGATCGATCCCGGATCTCTGACGGCTGCACCTCGACGTCGTCGGCACCCGTCACGTTGGCATGACGTAGGTAACGCTGCGGCTTGCGAATGTAGTCCATAAAATTCAGGGGATAGAGACCGTACAGTATGTTGTAATAGCCCAGAAGCTGAAAGTAGGGGATCGAAACGTCGTCGCTGTCGAACGCATATGTGCACTTCTCCCACGCCGTCTTTGGCTGGTGTGGTTCTGCCCGATTGGCGTCAGACTGTGCTTCATCCAGAACCTGCGGTTCACGATCCCAAAACAATATCCGAGCATAAATGTTGAAGAGCGTCGGCAAGGCTGGAACGATGGAGCCCGGCATGTTTGGCAACAGCATGGTCAACGACGTGAGAGCCAGAGATACAACCGTTGTAGAAGTGTCGTACTGGAGACACCGAAGGAGATTGTCGAACAACGGCGATCTGATCACGAGATAGAGATTGGGCGGTTGGCTTTGGGCGAACGAGGACAGCAGCGTGATGGAGCGAGAGCGATACTCTTTCTGCACAAGCAAGTCGTTGAGGGCATAGAAGAAGTCCTGTTCCCTGTTAGGTGCTGGATCATTGACTCTCCAAATCAATCGCCGCCTATGTTTGCTTACCATTGGTCTCCTTCTGCCAAACACGGTGATGACATCCTGTATTGGCTTTTCCCTGACCCATACCACTTTCCAGTCTCCACCTTGCTGGATATCGTTGCAGACGTCCATCCATTTCTGCACTAGACATTTGACAATCGGACTTGGGGAGCCATTGGTGCCGTCTTTATCGTCGCCCTCTTCGCCCTCTTCGTCTTCGCCATCGGGAACCAGAAATTTGTTGATATCGTTCAGAGCTCTAACCATGAGCCCTCGCTCCTGGTTTAACTGGTCCAGAATGGGATCGATGACCTTTTCCCACCATAGCAGAATATGCGCAGGTGACCGGAGCGAAGGGCGAAGACGGCGGAGAATGGCCAGAAAAGAGGCATAGTACAGGGCCTGCTGGCTCTGAACAGACTTGGTAAAGGTAGAGAGGAGTTCCTCTTCCAGCCGATCGGAAGTGGACTGGTCATAGTCGCTGTGTTTATCAAGGTAGGCCTCAATGATGTCAGTAAGGTCGTCGGGGAGGGGAAGCTTTGGCGAGAGGATAAAGGTGTTGATGGCCCTAGTCAGGTCGCGGGTCGCGCTTGAAGGTCCTCATTAGCATGATGGGTCCAGAAGGGATCGGCGGGGTGATGCCTACCCCGAAGAAGCCATGATGGCGAGAGCCCGGCCTTCACGCCCTTCCGTTCTGGGGCGACAGGGACACGTATCAATTGACTTCGTCGGATGTTTTCGATACGTCTGCTCATGAGGATAGCGGTCAAAGGGTTAAAAGCTATCACCTCCTGGCAGTCTGGCTAGACGACAAAGATGGCATCGTTCCCCAGGCGTAGACCGCGATGGGCGGAAACTAGAGAGGCAAGGCTGGCGCGACCGAAACACAGGTAGGCAGTTTGATTCCGTAGTCTAAGCCGATGCGAGGGGTTTCGCTTGATGCCACACAACGGCTTGATGCAAAGCGCGAAGCTACTTGATGATGACGATGTTCCTATTTTTTTAGAGCCCCAACCTGGCACTACGGGTAGCCACTGAGGTGCAGGTGACCCAAGCCACGACCCCGCATCAAGTTCTTTGTGGGTCGCTGCTGCCGTTCCAGAATAACGCCAGGTCTCGTGTACCTGGCCGAACACGAGAGCTCCGTACAGGCCGAGGTAGAAGTACCCTTCTCTGGGTGGGGCGCCCCAGACACCAGCTCACCCCATAAACCAGCTCACTGCTGGTCTTCCGTTCCTTTCTTAGTGGCAACGGCACAGCAAACGAAGCTGGCCATGAGCCCACTAGAGAGTGAAGCTCGGAGAGGTATCGGCAGAGGCATGCAGCAAAGTCCCCTGGGAGAAAGAGTGAAGATGACGAAGTGGTCTTACGTGGGGTCCGGGTGATCGATTGAGCTCGTGATCTCCTCTGTCTCCCGGCTTATTGGGGGGTGCTGCTTGTGTCTGGCCACTTGGGTAGCTTTCCTACGTCAGTCGGCCGGACTCATTGGGTGCTTTGTCTACCTCTTTTGTCCTCCTGCCTCACGTCTTTAAAAGGAACCCCGCCTGCCCTCCTCATTTTCCCAAATCTGCACTACCTGTTTACCTGTCTACTCTTCTATCTTCTCAAAATCGAACACGATGGCTGTATCAACGTCCGCAGTTGCTGACTCGGAGACCATTTCGGTCCTGTTTGCACTGCATGAAAACTTTGACCTGCTGGACTTTGCCGGTCCCCTCGAGGCGTTCCACTGGGGCCTGTCGGACATCAAGGACAAATGTGAGTGGGCCAGACGGACACGGAACGAGCGTCAGGCCATGTAGCAGGCAAGGGACTAACAATCGTGCCTCTGTCCGGCGACACAGCATCCAGAGCCTTTGACATTACCATTGCCGGGGCCGACCCCAAGGTGCTCTCGAACCAGGGCGCCATCATCGGATCGCAGATCCCCTTCAAAGAGGCCCACGAGCGCCTTGAAGAATTCGACGTGCTCGTCGTTGTGGGCGGCAATGTAGATGCCATCCTCAAGGCCAAGGCGGAGCCGATGCCCATCATCCACGCCTTCTCCGAGCTTCAGCAGAAGGACTGTCATCGCGAGCGGACGCTGCTGTCCATCTGCAGCGGCTCCCTCTTTTTGGCTGAGCTGGGCATCCTCATCGGACTGTCGGCCACCACACACCCCGATCACATGACTGCCTTTGAGAATCTGTGCAGCCACTCGGCCGTCCGCGACCTGGACGAGCGCACAGACGTCGTTGAGGATGCTCGCTACGTCGTGAACAACTTGCGTTTCGACCTCGGCAACGAGGACGAGAACCCATACATCCGCCGCAAGTCGGACGGTCGCCGCCCTTCAACTGCTAGGTACGGACTCTGAAGACAAGTGATCATGCACACCTGCGAGTCTTGGCTGACCGTGTTTCTTCTTCAGAAAGGGCAGCATTTCCCTCAAGGGATCGAACTCGCGTCGCGAGTCTATCGCACGTCGTGCTGCCATGCGCCTTGGCGGCCTTCGTGTCATCACAACGGGTGGCATCAGTGCGGGCATAGACGCCACCCTGTATCTGGTTGGCGCACTGGTCTCTGAGGAGGCTGCCGTGGAGGCGGCCAGAATCATGCAATGGACCTGGAACAAGGGCGTCGTTGTCGACGGGCTGGACGTGTAAACCACGAGAGTCGACCAACTGTCCCGTATGGATTGGGGCGTTTAGCGTTGCTGCATGTCAAACGGAGGGAATAGGAATCCGTAAAATGTAAAAAATAGTATAAGCAAATTTCGTGTCGAATCAGTCGTCGGTCGATCAAGACATGTAGCAATGTATTCTTTAATTACCTATCACACGCAATGGCCATGCCTAACGGTCAAATATCATGCCTCTGACTTATTCAGATGCGGCATTCTGAGCCTCATTCTACTTGTTATCTCTCGAAATCCCCACTGAGCTGGTCAAAAAGGGCGTTTTTATATATCCCTGAGATAGAAACTATCAGAATAGATGTTCAAGTTAGAACCTAGACCGATATTTTTACCTACGAAGCTTCAGTAATCTACGTCTACTTTATCATACTTCCCCTTCAGACCCTCCCCCACTTTTCAAGCAGATCCCAAGCATCTGATCTCAACGATCACGTATCGAGCGCGTGCACAAGTGGTGATGTTGCTAGTTTTAGAAGGCGCTTTGTAGAGAGTTAGGCCTTGTCAATATCATCAATTTCGTATGAACGTTTTAAAGCTAATTCTGTCTTTTATAGAAACCCATATCACAATATAAGGATGTGTTTTGTGCTTTTTTGTTTAGCCAAAAAGGTTCCCTTGTTGCCGGCTTTCGACATGCAATTTTGTAATAGAAATTTGTCCATGTTCTAAGTATTGTACACGGGTGTCCTCTTGCATCTGTGGGCATGAAAGAACGAGCTCGTTACTGAGATATTAGAAGCTTAAAGGCAAATCGCAATTTTCTCTTTTTTTTTTTTTTTTAAAGGGGGGGTTTTTTTTGGGGGGGGGGGGGGGGGGGGGGGTTGTTTTAACCAACAACCGTCATGCTTCTGTTTTAACGTCCTTGATGTCATTATGCGGTGACCTACCACACGCGAGTCAACTGATGCATACGAATACAGCAGTGTCTGGAAGGCCAATTTTGGCGGGCGGTGATCTCGGACTCGTGTCAAAGCCGTCATACGACAGGCACATTGCTTTCGGGTTGTGGGCGTGCATTTTTGACTGGGGTACAGATATGCCAAACTTGTCAGACAGAAAAAGGCAGGGCGACCCTAGCATAACTTGCACCACATGTGCCTGTCACTCGAAATTCAAGTACTTGTACCTCATGCGGAGCAATCACTTGCATCCTATAGATCCCTATTATGTACTGTATACACATAATACTCTGCTTTAACACGTACTTGTAGTATCCTGAATAAAACCCAGAAGACGATCGAAAATCCGACTCAAATAGCCAGAGACAAACTCCGAGGAAGTCGACTGATATCTTCGTTGCTCCTTCAACCTATAACCTTTTCAGCCTACAGACTTCTGTTGATAATATTATGGCTTTGTCAAACAATCTTCTTCAATTTCCATTGCTACCTGTCGAGTTGAGAGTCATAATCTGGGAAGCAGCAGTCCGCCCATTCATGCCATGTGCGCACTTGTTGCAACTTTGAGCCCATCAGCGCTAATCCCAGATGGCTATTCTACCTCTATCAACAACCGTGCTAGACATTCTACTACCGTGCTTGCTGTCCCGCTTCGCGAAAACTGCTCAGCATACTTGTTCAATGCTTTGGACAGCCTGTAGAGAGTCATACACTGCTATCAAGCGTGTCTTTTCAGATCGATTTTCAGATCGAGAGCAACCCGGCGAATCTCAAAAAAGAGCTCTGTTCCTTTTCGCAGCGGGTCCTACAAATTTTATCTTACAACACTGTATATTGAATTACCAAATTAGTAGGAATGAAGGATATCGGCTATAGCTTCCTGAATATCAGAGCTCATGGTTTAGTCCGACAAGCCTATTGCGTGCAGTGGCTAAAATGCACTAATAAATGTAAGGCGCAGACGAGTGTGGAGCTGCTGACTCAGCAACCAAGCTACTACATTTTCTGGGCTAGGCCAATGGCAAACCAAGGCATCTACACGTACTATCCGAACAGCTCTCTGTTGAACCGTCTGCGACCTCACAGTTAAACCCCTCCCTTCATCGCCAACAGCATCGCCAGCTGGCCTTCCTTCGCCAATCCTGTCCGAGCCGAAGTCTCCGATCGACCTCCATTTCCCGACTCATTGCGAGCGGCTACATCGCCTTCCGATCGCACGCCGCGTCAATCATTTGAAGCGAAAGCCGTAATTGAGCAAAATGGCTAATGGGTTCGTCTTTTCCCACCCCCAGGACAGAACAGCATATTCGAGCAGGATGGTCTAAGAGACTAGACGGGGAGGAGATGGCAGAGATGACCGAGGCATCCATACGCGTGGAGGAAAACCCGCGGGTCTAGGACTTTTACTGACACGGGATGGGCTCACGCCGCTTTGCTGCGGTCGTGATTCCCCTTGTTTTCTCTTTGTCACAGGTGGAGCATCTTCATCGGCCTGTTCGTGGTTGTCTGCATGAGCGTGGGCGCCTGGGTCCTGTCGCCAAAGGGCGAGAATCAAGTGTAAGAGCCCACCCCAAGAGCGTCGGAAGCGAGAGTGAAGAAATGGGGAGCTAACACGGCCTTTTGAACGTACAGCCTCTGGCGGTCGTCGCTGCTTCTTACCTTTGCGTGCTGCTACCTGATGTGGGCCATTACGTTCCTGGCCCAGCTGCATCCCCTGATCGAGCCTCGGCGGAGTGACTTGAGGGCGGCCTTTATCCACGAATGATCGGCTCCTCCATGGCGACGGGAGATACATGGGAATAGGAGGGACAACCCTATAGACAGGGTGATATTGTTGCTACCATTACTGGAGTTCGGGAACAGGGCTCTGGTTGTTTTTCTACCTTTGCTATCTCTTGCCCTCTTGCTTTGGATCTAATTTTGGGGGACAGCGAGACGCAAGACAAGCCGCGGCCTGTGTCATTCTTGACGACGAGAGGGCAATGTCGGGGTGTATCACAGTAGCAGTGCATAGATGAGCATGGCAATCCAAATGTAGTATAGGCGCGGTAGACTGGTGCTGGTATTGTTTCATGATTGTTTGTTCGATTGTGCAATAACTACGTTGTCACGTGCAGCGAGATTCTCGATGTGGTCAGCCAACGGCGAGCCGTCCAGCCCAGTCCCTGACCATGAGCACGACAGCCCACAGAGCGCGGCCATCCTCGGCGACGCTGCTCTCGCCGGCGCCGTCGACGGCGCCGAGTCCAGCAGCCCAGAGCACGGCGCGGCCAATGGCCCAGCGGCTGAGGGCGCCGGCCATGGCGAGCACGGCGGCCATGCCGGTGCCGCAGTCGAGCAGGATCTTGAGGGCCTCGATGTTGTTGACGACGACGGCCCAGCCGAGCGAGCGGGCGGCGGCGGGCACGTCGTAGTCCCAGATGACCATGAGGATGGGGAACAGCTTGGTCGAGGAGCTGACCAGCAGCGCGGTCGAGACGGAGTTGGGGCGCGGAAAAGCGGGCAGCAGGCCGCAGAACACGAGCGGGGACAGCGGGGACGATGCCAGGAACCGGATGGCCAGGTGGAAGGCCAGCGTCGAGAGCGAGCAGAGCCCGAGGAAGAAGAGATACTGCAGCACGATGGGCTGCTGGGCGAGCCGGCCGAAGCTGCCCTCGGCCCGGAGCAGGGAGGCAGCAGCGGCAGCGGAAGATGGAGCGGACGAAGACGAACACGAAGACGACGATGTTGCGAGGGCGGCCGTGGTGTTGCTGCCGTCGTGGCCGCCTGTCGGGCTCGACTGCTTCTCGATGCGGGCCCAGGTGAGGTAGACGTCGAAGAGGAGGAGGAGGACGCCGAGCCGGATGATCGAGGGCTGTTCAAGACCCCCCCAAAAAGGACGTCAGCAAGAACGGGTTGGCCAGACCAAGGACAGGTGCCATCGCACACGCACATCAAACTTGTCCAGATCGCCCATCAGCGTGTTGTGCAGCAGGTGGCGGTACACCTGCGGCTTGATGAGGACGAGGTCGATGAAGATGACGACAAAGTCATGCTCGACATACTTGTCGCAGAACCGGCCGCAGTTGCGGCACACCGTCAGCCGGATGTTGTGTCCGCTGGATCCGTCGCCGGCACCCGAGTACTGCGTCCAGAGAGTCTGCACCGGGTGCTGGCACTCGATGCAGATGGGCATCGCGTGGAGTCGGAAAGCGAACGACAGCAAGACACGCACGATGCTGTGTTTCGCCAAAGGGCCACAGCCCGCAGAGGACTCGGGAGAGAGCGCGTTCAGGTCATGCCAAATGGCAATGTGGCGAGTCTCTTTCGCTGGCTTTCTTGGGACTGCCGTTGGGGGGCCGAGAAAGAGCTAAGCCCTCCGCCTTGGCGCTAAACCCGTCCTGTTTTAGGGAGCCGCACCGCCAATTTGTCCACGAGAAGATACTTGCTTTTAAACACTGGATATTTACAGCGGGTGCCTCCAAAAACTAGTCAATGGGGTATTGAATACGTGCCGTCTATGCCAAACAGAAAACAAGGAAAAAGAAAGAAAAGGTAAAGGGTGAATGGTAAAAAACGAAGGCGTGAAAGAAACTAAGCAAACATGCATGCACTACATCTCTTCTTTTGCTGCCGTCCGATCTAGTCTGCCTTCTTTCCCTTGGCCAGCGGCGACCGGCTAGCACTAGCAGCATTCCGACCGCGCATGCTGCCTTGACGATCCAGCCTCCAGCTAGACGACCCTGCGCCTGTTGGCGTCCTGTCGCTGCCGAATCCATGCACTCCATCCTCGCCAGGGCCGTCCTCCAGCTCGATCAGATCGCCAGTCGTATCTTCTGCCTGCCGGCTGATCCGACTGGCGAGAGATGATGGGGCCGGCGACCCGGTTCCGCTGGACGTGCCCTGGCCCTTGGCAAAGGCACCGCGTAGCCACATCTCGATTGAGGCCGCCGCCTTGTCCAGCCCCGAGTCCTGACCGCTGTCCAAGGACAGGTCTCGGCTCTCGTCCGTCGTGCTCTCCACCAGGCCTGGCATCTCTTCGCCATCGCGGAAGCCAAAGCGTGCCGTCTCTGAGCCCATGACAGACATGGAAGGCAGAGTCTCGATCGTCAGTCCGGGAAGATGTTTCGTCGTCCACTTATTGAAGTAGTCTCTCGCTGGTCCGGGAGCATGCACGCTGCTGCCCATAGAACCCACTCCGCCCGGACGCCGCATCCATGCCGGCCTGGTGTCTTCGGCGCCGACACCGTCAATTCCGGCCAGAGGGGACGACGAAACGGGCGACGCTCCGCGTGCTGCCCGGCCGCCTAGCATGCCCTGGCTCTGCCGGCGAGATCCGCGGCGTGGGCTTTCCGGCAGGGCTGTCCGGTCTGCCAACAAGCCGTTGTCGGCAGGAATATCGATGGACTGGCGTGGCGTCGACAGCGACGACACGGTGCTGTGGATGCTCTTCTTCCGGCGCGGCGGAAAGTAGCCCAAGGCAGTCCGCGAAACACGGGCGATCTCGACAGGATCGGGGCACGATTCCAGCCGCACCCATCGCACATGGGTCCATGCAGGACCTGCCGCATCTCCGGACGCCGCTTTGGCCCGGGTCTTGCTGCCTGTGCTGGCCGATGGAGACGTCAGATAGTCGCCCGAGGAACCGGCCGGGGGGCTTTTCGAAACCAGCGACGGATCGTCACAGGGTCGGCCCTTGATCTCGCAGGCGTCCACGGGCAGCGCCAGCCATTTTCGAATCTGAATGTTGTCTCGCGTCCACAGGCCGTTGGCTCGGCGGAAGACATCTTCGCGACACCTGTACTTGAGAATGATGCCAAAGTACGTGTCCGTCGGCCGGACATGATGGACGTAGACCATGCAGTCTTCGGCCTCATGCCCCGCATCTGTGGCCGTGATCCGCAGGTCGTCATCCGACGTCCTCCGCTTGAACTTGCCGCGCGTGTCCAGGCCACCGTTGACGCCCGGGTGACTCTCGAGGACACTGGCCTTTTTTCGCGCCCGCAGCTCCGCATCTCGAGCCGCAACCGGACCGGCTGCCACATCCTGCAGTCCAGGACGCGAGCCGGACGCCTCGGGAGGTGCAGGGCCCCAGCTGTCGGGCAGCCTGCGAGGCGCGCCAGACTTTCGACGTCTGGCTGCTTCGGCCGCAGGCGTACTGTCGGTGCTGGCCAAAAGGGTGGAGGCAAACTCCTGTATCGACGACCAGCTGGGGACCCAGGCCGACGAGCCGGGAGACAGCAGCCCCCCGCGCCGGCTGCTGCTGTTGCCGGCATTGCTGCCGTCGCCCATTCCGATGCCTCCCCACGTGGTGAAGGAAGAAAAGGCCGGGCCTGGACTGACTGCAGCATTGCCGTAACGTTCGCCCGAAGATGTCCTGGCCGTGCCCACGGTGGCAGCATTGGCGCGGCGATTTCGCGGACGGGCATTCGCCGACTCCGCGTCCGGAGGGTCAATGCCCGAGGATGAGAACATTGCCAATGCTAGCCGACGGTGATGCGGCGCACCGCAAACGCAACCTTTTGGCGTGTCCGTCGATGGGCATCAGACGGGGTAGCCGTCATCGGCGGCGGTCCCTGACTTTGTTCCGTTGCCAAAGATGTCCGGTTGGCGAGTCCAAAGGCGAGTGCCAGGAAGGTCCACGAGCTGCACGACTTGGGGACTTGAGGCTCCGATGTCAAGAGTTGTCGAGATCGATTGTGAGTTCAGTTTGTAATCAAGTGCTGCTGCTGCTGCTGATGCTGCTGCTTGTTTGGCTGGGAAGGACAATATGCGAACACGCTCCACTTCGAATGGCCAGCAACGAAAGCGATGACGCGGACGAGACGGTAGAGAAGGCGTAGAGATGATTGTCTTCTGTTCGAAAAAGCTTCGTCGGAGCAGAAGGAGACAAAGGCGGGGCGGAATGGCAGGGCGGAATGGCAGGGCGCTGGATAGAATAAGGAAGGCAGGCGCAGTACGGAGTAATCAGGAGGTGTCTTCTCCTATTGCCTGCCAATTACGCAGCGATGACCAGTATTGTGCTTATGTAACCCACCAACGCCTGCCCGTTATACTGGGTTCCAGTGCGCTTGCGCTTACTCATTCTCTGAAACCGCACGGAGCAGTACAAAAGTCCGGAATCCTATCTATGTATCTAGCCTATCCAATCTGTGTCTTATATCCAAGAGGGAATATGTGTATTATGTCTTAAGCGTTCGTCAACCGTTGAGCCATTGGCGCCTGGGCTCTTGGCCACCGCGTTGTCAGATCCAAACTCCAGCCTCGCGTGTATAACGCAGCACAAAAGCAGCCCGCATAAAACTCGACGAGTGCCATCCATGTCATCCAAATGCAAGACGTGATCTATGGAGGAGAGCAAATGAGGAAATAAAAAATCGCAAAAATAAAATAAAATGGCAAGTCCCGCAATTCTGCTCAGCCCGTTTTCTGGACGACCTCCAGCACGGCCTCGCGGAAGCCGGAAGCCACGCCGCTGGCAACATAGGCGGTACCGTCGTCAAAGGCCCGGCCAACCCGGCCGTCGGCCATGTTGCAGACGGCCACAAACAGCTCGACCGAGTTCTTGTATAGCACCAGGAACATGGCCATGCCCCAGGCAAACACGGCCTCGGGAATGTGGTACTTGCGGTCCAGCTCAATGGCAATGCGGACCAAACACGTGACCACAGGAATCAGCAGCAGAATCAGTCCATACATCCGCGTTACCAGCCAATGTGTCACCACATGGGGCAGGGATCGGTTCTGCAGCTGATCGTCAGCGTGTATCGATGGGCCGATGGTCAGGCATTGCAGTAACTCTGGCAGTCGTGGCTGCTGTTGCTGCTGCTGCTGCTGCTCGTCGGGAGACACAGCGCCGGATGTCGAGTCGAGCAGCGCGCTGGGTGCGGCATGGCGCAGCCCGTGCAGCTCGCCGCTGTCGAGATCGGCCGGCAGTCCACGCAGCAGGTAGGCCACGCTCTCGACGTAGAGCTGGCGCTCTAGTGCAGGCAGGCGGTCCGGGTCGCCGGCCTCGCGCAAGGCGCTCTCCAGAGTTCGGAGTCCTGGTCGCGACGAGCAGAGTCAGCCTCATGTTGGGCCAAGATGGAGACAAAGGGGGGGGAAGAGGCGCCTCACCGTTCTGCCCATACTTCCAGTTCACCTCTGCTGCCGGCGAGGCCGTCTTGGCGCCTTTGGGACCGGCCAGAACGAGGCCAAGTCCCGTCGAGTCGCCGCTTCCGTTCCGCCGACTGCCCCATCCTCGGAATGGCGTGCTCTGCCTCGACGCAGCGTCCTGGGTCGCCAGATCTGCGCCGGCCATGCCGACGACGGGGAGGAGCTCGGCTGGCGGTGTGGGCGGCCTTGACGAGCGAGAGGATGGGGGCGAAGGGGGCGCAGAGGCCGGGATAAGCTCGGCTGATGCGTCGTTTCGGAAAAAGGCGGCCTGTATGTTCACCGTCCGGCCGATTGTCGGGAACTTGGGAATTCGGGACTGGATGGCCGCTGGCAGTGCTGCGTTGAGCAGAGAAGCCATCGTGTGGGTGGCAGGAGAGGCTGTCGACAGGAGGGGGAGAAAGACTGTCTGGCGATAAGAACGGTTTCTAGCAATCTTTCTTTCACATGTCACCGTTGGTCACGAATTGCCCAATCGGGTTAGCGCTGGCAGATGACATGCATAAAACATGTGCTGCCGTCGAGTGACTGCTCGAGGTGGAGGCTTGATGGGGACGGAGTACGAGGGCTTCGTATGCTGCCCCTAGTTCTTTATATTGAATCTTGTTAATTTGAGGTACAGCGAATTCAGGGGGTCAATTCGAGCATCAATCAAACAGCCGGTCTAGCCGGTTGTCGCACTTCAACGGCGCGAACAATCCCAGGGGATTCCGTCCTCGACAAGGCTGATGTGGACGAGATTTGCAGATTGCAACATGACTCTCATTGGTGTCTTGGCTCGTCTTGCCGATAGGCCAATAAGCGCGGCCTGCCGTGCCGCTCTTTATCGGTTATGACGGGATAAAAGTGGTCTATGTACGGAGTATCGACTACTCGTACATGCGCATAGGAAGCAACAAGATCGTTCAGAGTACACCGATCACATTTACGATGTATTGTATCCTGAATTGTAGACACATTTATACCAGATGATCATATACATCATATACATCACCTCTATTTTCTGGCGTCTTTCTTGCTCGCCATCTCAGACAGTGATTAGAGCCATGGCAAGTTTGAACAAGTGTACTCACAATCAAAAACATCCGAACAATAAGTAAAGTCGAGATGACCATTCCAGAGCTATCAATCTGGCGAAGAAAACCAGACGCCATTCGCCTCCCTCCCTATGTTTTTTCTTTATACATACAAAAAGGCAACATGGCGAATAAATCGTCTAAGTCATATTCATACATTTCCTTTTGGCTGATCTTGCTGTCGTACAGCTCCTGTCGACGCCTATTTCCCTCTAGAAGCTGACCTGGCTTCGCGGACGGCCGCCATCACGGCCGCCATCACGGCTGAAGCCGTTGGAACGGCCCCGACCACCGCCACCGTTGGGAGCCCCACCTCCACCGCTCCTTGCTGAACCGTCCACCGCCGCGGCCGCCGCCACCGCCACGGCCGCATCCACGGCCGAACCTCCGCCTCCACGGCTGAAGCCACCACCACCACCACCACCGTTGCGGCTGTAGCCACCACCACCACCGCCTCCACGGCTGAAACCGTTGCCACCGTCGCGGCTGTAGCCACCACCACCACCACCACGGCTGAAGCCATTGCCGCCATCACGGCTAAAGCCGTTGTCGCCCAGATCGGCCTTGAAGGCTCTCTCAAAAGGATCCGCATCATCGTTGTGCTCCTCGCGGCGGCCATTGCGACCATCACGGACATCACGGCCATCGCGACCATCACGATCGCTGCGGCGGGGCTCGCTCCCATCAGCAAGGCGGAGGCCGCGCAGCTTCAAGAGACCGCGCTTCCGCGCCAGGTTTTGGTCGATCGCAGGCGGCTGCTCCCAGCCCCAGCCCAGACGCACCCACTCGTTCAGGTTGTCCAGCGTCGTCTGCACATTCCGACCTATGGACTGGCCGCCAAAGAAGGACATGTACGTGTCCTCCAACAGGCCGGCCGGCACCCGCTGCATGGCGCTCGACACGTGCGTGAACAGCTCCGGAGGCGGCACATCGGCTTCGGCCGTGCTCAAGTCGTGTGTCGCGCTCTCGAGGCCATCGGCGCGCTTGATCGGCAGGTCGACCAGGACGTTCCGCGCGCTCCGCATCTCGTCCCGCGGGACAATGATCCAGCCCTCGCCACCCTTGTCGGCACGGCCTGTGCGGCCGAGACGATGGATGTACTGCTCCCGGTCGGGCGGCACGCCGATCTGGATAACGTGCGTGACGTTGGGGAAGTCCATGCCGCGCGCAGTCACGTCGGACGAAAACAGGATGCCGGTATTGGCCCGCCGGAACATGTCGGCAGCATTTGTCCGTGCCGACTGCGTCAGCTTCGAATGGATGTGGTACAGGTACGGAAGCTCCGGGTTAGAGCGCGCGAGCATGCGGAAAGCCACCGCCGTCAGCTGCACAAAGTTGGTCGTCGGCAGGAACACGATGGCCTTGAACGGCTTGCCCTCGTCGCCGGCCTCCTTGGCCTCCCGGATCTCGCGCTTGAAGAGCTCCAGCACGGTCGGGTAGATGTTCTCGTAGCCCTTGACCTCGACAATGTGTTGCGGTACCTTCTCGTGCGTCGGGGAATCGTTGGCGTCAATCGTCTGCACGAACTGGAAGTTGGTCGGGTCGACGTATGTGCGCGCGAGCGAGATGACGTTCTTGGGCAGCGTCGCCGAGAAAAGCAGCGTCTGGCGCGGCTGCTCACTGCGGTTCGGCAGATGCCGCACGATCTCGCGCAGCTCCTGGTCAAAGCCAACGTCCAGCATGCGATCGGCCTCGTCCAGCACCAGCGCAGCTAGTCTGGGTGCGTCAATTCCGCTCATCTCGTCGCTGAGGATGTCGTTCAGGCGGCCAGGTGTCGCAATCATCAGATGGCAGCCTTGCTGCCGCGTGCGCATCAGCATCTCGCGTTTCCGCGTGCCACCTACGGCCGTCTGCACGATCACGCCAGTTCCATGGCAGAGCTTCCGGGCCTCCTCTCCAATCTGCTCAGCCAGCTCTCGGGTGGGCGAGAGGATGATCGCCAAGATGTCATTGGCCTTGGCACGGATCCGGCGTGGGTATGCAAGGTTCGGGTTCTCGGTAATCATTTTCTGGATGACGGGAACCAAGAACGCCAGCGTCTTGCCTGTACCGGTCTTCGCCTGAGCGACACTATTCATTCTCAGTCAGCTGCTGCCAATATGATGAAAAAAAGAGGGGGGAAACGGCCCCACGACTCTTCTCTTTCTTGAACCAGGCAGTACTCACATATCCTTTCCAGACAGTGCCGGCGTAATGGTCGCAGACTGAACCGGTGTCATTGTCTCGTATCCCAAAGTCTCTGTCAATGACCGCACCAAATTGGTGTGGACGCCAAGAGACTCCAGATCCGCAAATCTGGTGATAAGGCCCGATGCCTTCTCCGGCTCGCTTTCTTGCGCCGTCTCCGCTGACTCTTCAGTCTGGGTGGCTCCAGAAGCATAGCTAGAATAGAAACGGTCCTGTGCCGTCAGTTGAGACAGTACTGGGCTGGCCGTTCCCATCAATGAGGTCCGCGAAGCACCAGAAGCCCGGATCACTGGACGAAGACCAATGACACCGGCTTTAGACACCGTCGCCACACGCGATAAGCGCGCAGCGCGCAGAACTGCTGTCCTGAACATTGTGCGTGATATCGAACCCGTTTTTGGCTGCCGCTGGGTACTGGCGAAAGTCTTGGTGATGATCGGGAAAAGATGGGGGCTTTCTTTTTTTTCTTGAGCAGAAATTTTTATCTTATCAGTGAAGTGGTGGGCGTTGAGCACGTGCTATTGGTGACGCTGAGTAATCAGCGCCCACACACGCTCGAGTTGCCCCGGCTACTATTCGCGTGTTTGCAAACACGCGTTCCCCGCGCTTGCCAAGAAAGTGGGATTGTTTACCGCGACATATTCGCTGGCATCAACGCCCATCGCAAACTTTCTTCAGCGATAGCCGGCGCGATACCCATCGGTACTCTCACCAGCAGCGACACGAGGGCGGGCATCGCTCAACCCGAACGGCGAAAATGAGGGTGATTGAAATTATAATTGACGTACGTCTCGTACTGGCGAAATTGCCCCTCACTTGAAATTTTGCTAACCTGTCGCATCTCAACAGGGCTTCAAGTCGTATGCTGTTCGAACAGTAATTTCAGGATGGTGGGTGAACGCATCCTATGTCAAGTAGATTCATTTCTGCGACAGTCTTCACTGACATTGGTATAATGCAGGGACGAAAGCTTCAACTCGATCACCGGCCTCAACGGCAGTGGCAAGTCCAACATTCTGGACTCCATTTGCTTTGTTTTAGGTATCACGAACATGAGCACCGTTCGCGCACAAAATCTTCAGGTGCGTTGGAGCAGTTTCGGCGCTGTGTTCGGACCATATGCTAATGTGCTCCGCATCACAGGACCTCATCTATAAGCGTGGCCAGGCGGGCGTGACAAAGGCAAGCGTCACCATTGTCTTTGACAACCGGGATAAGAAGAAGTCACCAATCGGCTTCGAGGAGTATGCCACCATCAGTGTCACCCGGCAGATCGTGCTGGGTGGCACATCCAAGTATCTCATCAACGGGCATCGCGCGCAGCAGCAGACGGTACAGAACCTGTTCCAGTCGGTGCAGTTGAATATCAACAATCCCAACTTTCTGATTATGCAAGGTCGCATCACCAAGGTCCTGAACATGAAGCCGGCCGAGATCCTGGCTATGATTGAGGAAGCTGCGGGCACGAGGATGTTCGAAGACCGGAGGGACAAGGCCATTAAGACGATGGCTAAGAAGGAGATGAAGCTCCAAGAAATCACGGAACTCCTGCGCGATGAGATCGAACCCAAGCTGGAGAAGCTGCGCACAGAGAAGCGTGCTTTTCTCGACTTCCAGCAGACACAGACCGATCTGGAACGACTGACACGCCTGGTTGTTGCACACGACTACATCCGCAGCCAAGAAAAGCTCAAACGGTCAGTTGCCGACCTCGAGGCTCAGAAACAGCGACAGCGCGAGCTGGAAGAATCCGCTGTACGGCTCAAGAGCGAAATATCACATCTCGAAGAGGACGCCAATCGGATCCGGGCACAGCGAGAAAAGGAGATGAAAAAGGGCGCAAAAGCACAGGCTCTGGAGGAGGCAGTCAAAAAACATTCCAACGAGCTTGTCCGGCTCGCCACCGTAATGGATCTTAAGCGGTCAAGCATGGCGGAGGAGAAGGACCGGCGGAAAGCGGGCGAGAAAAGCGTTACGGAGCTGGAGGCCTCGCTGAAGGACAAAACCAAGGCCTACGACAAGATCAAGGCCAGGTTCGATTCTGCCAAGGAGGAGCTGGAGAAGCAGAGCCAAGACGCCGAATCCAAGGAGGAGCTTCTCCAGACCCTGCAGACCGGCGTGGCTTCGAAGGATGGTCAGGAGAACGGCTACCAGGGCCAGCTTCAAGATGCACGAAACCGTGCGTCTACAGCTGCTACAGAGCAAGAGCAGGCCAAGATCAAGATCGCCCATCTGGAAAAGCGGGTCAAAGAGGAGGAGCCACGGGCAAAGAAGGCCAAGGAGCAGAACGCCGGCCTTCTCCACGACCTAGACGGACTGAAGACCCAGGCACAGAGACTAGAGAAGGAGCTCGGGAAGCTGGGCTTCAGTGCCGGCGCCGAAGAGGAAACGTACAAGGAGCAGAGCAGCCTGCAGCAGACCATTCGTGACCTGCAGCAGCAGTCCGATGCTCTGAAGCGGCGCGTGGCCAACATCGACTTCAACTACTCGGATCCGGTGCCGCATTTCGACCGTTCAAAGGTGAAGGGCCTCGTGGCACAGCTGTTCAGCCTCGACGAAAAGCATACGGATGCCGGAACTGCGCTCGAGATCTGTGCTGGCGGGCGGCTGTACAACGTGGTGGTGGACACTGAGGTCACGGGCACACAGCTGCTGCAAGGCGGCAAGTTGCGCAAGAGAGTGACGATCATTCCGCTGAACAAGATCTCTGCGTTCAAGGCGCACGCCGGAGCGATTGCAACGGCACAGAAGATTGCTCCGGGCAAGGTGAACCTGGCGCTGTCCCTCGTTGGCTACGACGACCAAGTCTCGGCAGCGATGGAGTACGTGTTTGGCAACACGCTGATCTGCGCGGATGCCGACACGGCAAAGCGGGTGACGTTCGACCCAAACGTACGGATGCGGAGCATCACGCTCGAGGGAGATGCATACGACCCGTCGGGCACGCTGTCGGGCGGCAGCTCGCCGAATTCAAGCGGTGTGCTGGTAACTCTGCAAAAGCTCAACGAGATCAACCGGAAGCTGAAGACGGCGGAGGCGACGCTGGCCAGCCTGCAGGCGAAGATTGCCCGGGAAAAGTCCCGATTCGACCAAGCGCACGGAATCCAGCGCGAACTGGACCTCAAGGCGCACGAGATCAAGCTAGCAGAGGAGCAGATCAGCAGCAACTCGTCGTCGTCGATCATCCATGAGGTGGAGAACATGAAGGAGCAGATCGTGCAGCTCAAGGCAGGCTCAGCAGAAGCCAAAAAGCGGCAGGCAGAGGCTAACGCAGACATTAAGCGGGTGGAGAAGGACATGAAGGACTTTGACAACAACAAGGACGGCAAGCTGGTGGAGCTGCAGGCAGCTCTAGACAAGCTGCGGGCGTCGGTGGCCAAGAACGGCGGCTCGCTCAAGGCGCTGCAGAAGGAGCTGCAGGGGGCACAGCTGGACTCGGAGCAGGTGGCAGGCGATCTGGCAGCGGCACGGGAACAGCTGCAGGAGATGGACGTGGCGATGGAGGCACAGCAGGGCGAGATCGGCGAGCTGGAGAAGCAGCAGGCAGGGGTGCAGGATCTGCACGACTCGGCACAGGCGCAACTAGAAGACGAACGGGCGAAGCTGAGCATCTACGACGACGAGCTGCGAGCGGTAGACCAAGCAACACGGAGCAAAAACGCACGGCTGGCAGAAGAGAGCCTGGAGATGCAGAAGCTGGGCCACACGGTGGAGCGGTTCCACAAGGAGCAGCAGCACGCGAAGCACTCGACGGCGAAGCTGGAGGAGGATCATGAGTGGATCGCGGACGAGAAGGACAAGTTTGGGCGGGCAGGAACGCCGTACGACTTCCACGGGCAGAACATTGCGGAATGCCAGGCGACGCTACGCAACCTAACGGAGCGGTTCCAGGGGATGAAGAAGAAGATCAACCCCAAGGTGATGAACATGATTGACAGCGTGGAGAAGAAGGAGGTATCACTGAAGCACATGATGAAGACAGTGATCCGCGACAAGCGCAAGATTGAGGAGACGATTGTCAGCCTGGACGACTACAAGAAGAAGGCGCTGCACCAGACGTGGACCAAGGTGAACGCGGACTTTGGGCAGATCTTCTCGGAGCTACTGCCGGGCGGCAGCTTTGCGAAACTGGATCCGCCGGAGGGCAAGACGATCAGTGACGGGCTGGAGGTCAAGGTGTGCCTGGGCAAGGTGTGGAAGCAGAGCCTGACGGAGCTGAGCGGTGGCCAGCGGTCGCTGATTGCGCTGTCTCTGATCATGGCGCTGCTGCAGTTCAAGCCGGCGCCGATGTACATCTTGGACGAGGTGGATGCGGCGCTGGATCTGTCGCATACGCAGAACATTGGCCGGCTGATCAAGACGCGCTTCAAGGGTTCGCAGTTTATTGTCGTCAGTCTGAAGGACGGCATGTTCCAGAATGCGAACCGCATTTTCCGGACGCGTTTCAGCGATGGCACGAGCATAGTACAGGCGCTGACTCCAGCGGATCTGCGATGAGGTGTGAAGGAGAGGGAGAGAGGAGGGAGAGAGGGAAGAGGATAGGAGGGAGAGAGGGAAGAGGAGAGGAGAGGAGAAGCAGGGAGGAGAAGGGAGAAACTAGAGACGAGAGAAGAGAGGAAACAGGGAGAGAGAAGGGAACGATGAGGGAACGACGAGATGAGAAAACTACGATCGGGAAACACAGGGCAGACTGCTTTGGATACGGCAGCCGGGTTTATTCAGACGGAGTAATTGCGTGGTAACGGAGCACTGTATTTGTCCTGGTTGACGATCTCTAGAGGATTCTTTATGCAGTTCCAAATCTATACTATCGTACAATTCACGCTTTACAGATGTGGTGACCTCAGCATCTCACGTGACTTTGCTCATCGCGCTCGACCACATTGACGGCCATGCCGACGTCGATGGTGAGCTCCACGGGCTCCGAGCCATTTTTCTGGGGAAACAGGGGAGTCAACAGCAAGCGGTGGCCATCTGTATCGTGGTCGACTTGGAAACGGGCATCCAGAGGGTGGTCTGCACCAGGCAGAGACGGACTGAGCCGGACCGTCTTCCACGAGTCATTGTCGTGAGCAGGAACACCAGAAACTGGCCTAGGTTAGAACAGGACGAGAGAAAATAGGAGAGAACTAAAAGATGCCACTCACGGACGATATTGGGGCAGAGCCGCTGCTGGTCGAGGCTGATGCTACTGCTGCTGTTGTTGTTGAGCAGGCAGACAGGAGCAGCCGGTTTCTGGTCGACGATCCGGAAGAGGCCGAGTTGGCAGCTGACGCCGAGGTAGAGCTGCAGAGAAGGAGGAATCTCGGCCGAGAGGTCGATGGCGGGCACGACGCGGCCGTCTGAGCTCTTGCAGACAGTCGTAGTCGTGGATGCAGAGGCGAGATCTTCCGCTTCGACCAGAGGAAAGACGATCTCGACCTCGGGCACGGCGCGCCATCCGCGGGCCAGCTTGGCCGACAGGCGTTCCCACAGGCCGGCAGCACCGCGGCGCTCCGGGCCCCAGGGATAGCGCACCAGCACAAACGTCTGGGCCAGCGTGGAGGCGCGATCGGTGCTGTCGCTGGCGCGCATGCGATCCTGCCAGCGCTGGGCCTTGGCGCGGTCGGGGCGCCAGAGCTCGACCTGCAGGGCGGCGAGGCGGGCAAAGTGCGCGGCCCTGAGCTCGACCCAGGCGTCGGGTCCTTTGCGCTGGGCAAGCGAGAAGAGCCGATCCAGCTCGAGTCCGGACGGCCGAAGTCGACTGCGCGACAGCTGGATGCCGCGACAGGCCTCGATCGGGTAGATCCAGAGTTCGGAAACGTGGCCGTCTTTCTTGTCCGCTCTGTCTCGGTTCCGTTCGTCCTTCTGGACGCCCAGCCGGCTGTGCGTCTCGTTCAGAAAGTCGCTCGGCCGCGGCCTCACCGGCGGATAGACCAGCAGCATCGGCAGCACAAAGCCGAGAAGCGTCACCAGCAGCACAAACATGGCGCTGTAGTCGGACGTCGCCGCGGGCATAGTATCCGCCATCATCGGCAGCGCTGTCGTCTGCACGCCGCCTTCTGCCATGTCTGCTTCGCCAGGAAGCCGCCTGTCTGCTGGGATGCTGTTGGCAATTCGATCTCTTCGATCTCTTCGATCATCGATCTTCGATCTTCGCTCTTCGCTCTTCGCCCTTCTCCTTTTCGCTTCACCCCAAAATAGAGACAGCGTGCAGGCGGAGATGGAAATGGTAGAGAACCGGTTCTGCTCCTTGAGAAACAGCCCCCCGTTGGCCGCTTTGGCCCTGCAAAACAGCTTCTCCGCCCCCTTGACCCTGCGAACGGGTGGACGGTTTGAAACGCACAGTCGTCTCACCGTGGGCACGTGACCCACGCATGGTCCTCTGGGAGACGGAAGCGGAAGGAAGGCGCAGACCAGCGCCGCCATCGTTGCTCCAACAGCCGAATGACTGGTTGGGCTTTCTGCTTCCGTCTTTACTACAGGATAGGAATAGAATGTGCGCTGTATGCCAGCGCATGCTTGAACGGCTAGGCCTATTGCTGCCTGCTGGCAGTGCCGCGTACTGCTAAAAGTAACATCGTAATAACTGGCCGCCCGCCGACTTCGACCGACTTCGACCGACTTGGACCGACCGAGCAAGCGGTGCGGGATTTGTTTCGGCGACGGAGCCCAGTAAACAGCCCAGCAAGCAAAGCAGCCCAGCCGAGCAGCCCATCCACACTCTCGCAATGTCCTACCAAACTCGTAATAAGCCCAGGCGTGCTGTCGCGACTCCAACATCGAGGCTTTTCTCATATATGTGCCATCCACAGCACCCACATCGCCCACCTTGCCAATCTCGTCTTCGCCATGCTACGTCTTGCCCCTTTCCTCTGGCCTCACCGACAGAGCTGTTCCCCCTTTTCCTAAGTGGGGGGCACGGGCAAGATACGTCTTGTCCATGCGACGGCCTCTGTCTTTCGACGGAGTGCCATGTACAGTGTACGACGTAGCAATACACCGCTCCGCTCTTTTCGCCGACGCGTAGCATCCATGGCGGGCGGGTGATATAGCACGGGTGGAATAAGGCCACCCCCGGAAAAGAAGCGAGCAGACCGTGTGTGCGAGCGAGCAGAAGGACAGCAAATCCCGCGGGTCGTATTCCGAGCATTGCAAGAGTAGCATCCGGACAGCCGTTGAATCCTGCTTCTCTGCGGGGTTGGCACAATCTCCTCGGGAGCAGCAGGTCGCCCAGTACGATTTTCTCCTCTTATCAGGCGGCCTAAGAATAGGCTACAAGGCCAACCGAGAGGACCTCCTGGCCGATCCTTTTTATCCTTTCTGCCTTTCTCTCATGCCTTCTGTCGCATCTGATGACGTTCCGACAGGGCTTCGAGGGATGTTGCCATATTGGGGTTCCACCGGAAGCGACCCTACAAATTTACGGACCAAGATACTGAGTGCTCCCACGCCGCAATCTGCTCGTACTCTGCAGCAGCATTGTGTCGTAATTTGCCGTTTGATGAGGCTACGAGGCTGCGGTTGGCCGTCTGCACCCATGGTACTGGGATGGGTGGAGGCTGTCTAGGACGGAGCAGCAGGAACAGACCGTAAGAAAGGCGAGATTGGTCGAGATGTCTGCTGCGTGCGTCATGCCGGCATGGCGGCCAGACGAGGACGCGGCACGGGAAAGAAAGCGAAAAAAAAAAAAGACAAGAGAAAAAAGAAAAAAGAAGACAAAAGTCAGCAGAGTGCGCCGGAGGTGGTGTACAAGCGAAAGGATTAGCGGCAAGCCAGGCTCCCAACGAATGTTCTGTGCGAGCAAATGGAAGGACAGGATTCCGATACGACATCTGGCCGAGCTCCCCTTCACAGCTAGTCCGAAGCATGGCAGCGTCGCATCGAGGGCCAGAGTGGTGCTGAACGCGCGCATTGAGACCAAGACAAGATAGGGATCGGCCTCTTTTTCCTGTCAGTGCGGCAGTGTTGGGGGGAGCGAGGCCGTTCTGGGGACCCTTCCAGCAACGCTCTCGCGCGCTCCCCTGCAATTACGGAGCACGGAGCGTCCAGCGAGCCAGACGAACGAGCTGCCCGGCCACGAGTACTCGTACATACGCCCCAGTCGTATGGGCGATCTCTAGCACTGCGCACTAGAGCGTGGCACCTTTCTCGACTAGGCTTGAGAACACGGGGAAACGCTCCTCTAAGGGAATAGATGGAACAGATGGAGAGTTTGGCAGATCCGACGGAGCAGTTCGTCCTAAACACTCATGCCAACATGCAAGAAAAGTGCAGGAAGTGACAGCATGCGGCCAAGCGGGACGGCTTCCGTCTTAGGGTCCTGGGTCCTGGGCCCTGGTCGTCGCCAATCATGTATACGAGTAGGGCCTGTACTATGTATTACATAGTATCGTACTGCGTGCATGCTTCTAGGCGCGGCAGTCTTGCCTGTCATACGAGGGGCTGTTGTTCAGCAATCGACCGGCCAGCCGGTCGGGCCGGTCTTGCCCCGAGTCCTAGGACGGACTGGTCCTCGGCCTGATTGCTTGGTTCATTTTCCCTCCTTTTCTCCCCTTTTCCCGCGTTCGTCTCCGGCTCGCAAGATGCAGTCCTGAATTTCAGCACCAGCCTCGGGCACGGCATTCACGACCGACAACGTGTCAGACATGTCTGTGGCCCATGCAAAAGCAAGTGCCTCTCCGTCTGAGCTTGGACCTGGCCTGCAGATCCCTTCACGTGATGTTCATCTGATCTTTGCCATGTGTCCCTGCGATTCTGGGATAGCTCTATGGAGCTAATCGATGGTTCCTCCCGACTTCTATTCCCAACCAAATTTTCTCATGCGTTCCCGACCCTCAGACCCTCGGCTCGCCTGCGCGTTCGTCCCTTACAATGTAAGAGATCCGAACCGAACAGAGTACAACGTCGAGCACGACGTGGCCGCTCCTTCACAGACGTCCCTGCTCGTTAACAGCGTCCATATTGCATAATCTCTATCCTGGATGGACCCCCTGGTGGCCACTGCTCCGGGGTCCCTGTGCGCACACCCCTCTCTCCCCTACCCGCTTCGACCGTTGACGAAAACAAGGACCTCGAATCTGCTCCGTATCGTAGACACCGGAAACACACCGCCTGGCGGGCCAGCGCTTTCACGGAATAAATGACATGTAAGTCTGAAATCCGTACCCCGTTACCCGTCCCATGTAACGCGAATGGATACTTTCTACGGCTGCCGGCTGAGCAGACAAGGGGTTCTAGCCGTAAGCCCCCCCAAGAAGGGCTCTGTGCTTTTTTGACGGCACGTCTGCTCCGTAACTCTTTTCAATGATGATAAAAATAGGGAAATAAAAGGGAAAAAATAAAATAAAAAGGGGAGAGAGAAAAAACAGAAAGAGGTAAAACCCCCCAGTAAAAAGTCCAGTAAAAACTCGCTAGAAGCTCTGCGTACGCCCAGAGATTGCGGCAGCAAGGGCACCGGCGGCTTGGGTGACCTCTTGACGCTCCTCGTCTGTGAGGCCGGAGAGTGCAGCGCCAACGCAACACGACGCAACACGACGCATTACGACGCACGCGCCTCTCCACTGCCCTTGCTGGTGCCGGGTTGCTGTCTCGCCGCCAGACAGGCTTCGAGCACGGGCTCGGACGACGGCCCTGTCACGGGTTCCCGCTGTCGCCTGTCTCTGCTCGCAGTCTTCCGCCATGCCGTCAGAGACAGGCCACTCGTTGCAGGCCACAGGCCACATGCGCCCGGCTACAGGCCACCTGCGGCAGGCCACCGCTCACCCGCCATGGCCGGTGCATCTTGCGCGATCGACGAGATGAAGGGGCGCGCGACAGATGTGTCTGGCGCATACATAGTACGTGGATTGTTTGAGATAGGATAGCACACATCCCCATGCTGGCCTGCTCGTATCGTATCGTACGTAGTACTCTCTGGACGGAGCGGGTTTTCAGGCTAAGCATGGGAGCGTGCTGGTACGGAGTAGGTGGCATGCTAATCCTGCGTAGCCTCTTTTCCTTCTCTTTAGTTTCTTCTTCTTTTCTTCTTCGTTTTCCCGGTCTCTCCTGCTCTCGCGCGCGCGCTCCTTCCCCGTCTCCGCTGCGCCAGCTCTTGCTTCTTTCGGCTTGGCATCCGACGGGCACCGCCAGCCCTCTCTACATAGTACGCTCTCGGTCGGGCCGTCTTAATCTGCTTAGCCGCTGAAGCTCGGAAGGGCTGAAGGCTCTGAAGGAACGTCAAGCCACGCTTTGCATGACAGGGATCCCACACGGCATTGGCTGGCGTCCCTAGCTGCCTCTGCCCTCTTTTTTCCTTTTTCCTTCTGTTCCTTCCTCCATAGGCGCTTTGTGGAGCATGCCAGACATTCCAACGCCCCACCCGGCTCCTCATTTGCTTCGGAGAGTGAGGAGAGGGTGAGGAGGATTCTTGTCCGGCGTACGACATGCTAGGTAAAGCAAAATGAATAAGAAAAATACTATAATATAATATATGATATGATATGATAGAATGGAATAGAATATAAATTGAATTAAATTAAAAATATATACACAAAAAAGGAATAAAAATAAAAATAACAAGAGACACCGAAAAAAGACAGACTCCAAAAGTCAAACACGCAAGCACTCACATCCTAACTTGGCCGTCTCATCCGCGGCCCACGGCACCAAGTGAGCCAAGCGACCCGCATGTGATATGTGGCCCGGTATAATGCCTGGACCCTGCATGCCTCCTACATAGTAGCACGAGCGGCAGTACCGCAGTGCAGCATCTCTGGTCGGCGGCACCGCACATGCTGCCATGCGTCTCAATCCGGAACGCTGGGCCAGCGGACTGCTGAAGGGAGCCTAGCACGTCGGCAGGCACATTCTATGCAGGCAGCAGGCGATTAAATCCACAGAGCAGGCCGTATTCACGCACTTTGCAACGCTACTGGCCGGAGCCTAATTTAATCCCTCTCAAGCAGGCCCGGGGGCTAAGGATTGGGATGCGTGCCAATCTCTGGCTCTAACGATCGAGGCTCTTTCTCTCGTCCCCCTTCCCCCCACATGGCAGCTATTTGTCGTCCACGTCCAGGCCCGTCAATCTCGCTCTCCTTTTTGGCCCCAGGGGGAGACCGGCGGATGGCTGGAGTGGCAGGCCATGGCCAGACAGGCAGGCGCTCGTCGTCCCGTGAGAGGCATCATCTGCACGCATACGTATGCCACACACACACTCTCACGCATTCACACGCACACGCACACTCACACTCACTACCACCCCAGCGCATACAGGCAAGCCGCTCTGCTCGGCCTGCTGGCTTCCCCGACGCAAGCCGGCCTCATCTGCAGGATCGCATAGGCCCATCCCAGCAAATCGACCAGGGTGGGTGGGTTGGTGGTGGTCCCTCCTCCTGGGGAGGCCAGTCTCCAGAGAAGCTCATCCAGCGCCCACAAAACTAGCTCCCCTGTCGACACGGAATTTGCCATCACCCTTGCTGGCATGTTTCTGATCGTTCACGCTTGCTGCCTTCGTCTTCGCCAATCCCTCCTCCGCCCGGTGGGAACGTCCGGCTGCCCTGCTGCCCTGCTGCCCTGCTGCCCTGAAGCCCTGCTGCCCTGAAGCCCTGTTGCCCTGCTGTCCCGTCACCCCCTTTACCAGTACGAGTTACGAGTGCTCGTACCCGTATCCCCCCTCCTCCTCTCCTCCTACATACCCGTGCTTGCCAACGGCCTCATTTCTCCAGCGTCTGCAGACTTCTAAAACAGGTCCTCCCAGGGAATGGACCATGCTCGTATTTGCTCCGTACGCCACTCTGATATGATACCGGCCCGTGCATAACTGCCCTCCTTCATATAGACCACCAGCAACAGCCTGATCGACCCGCTCCCCCTTGACATATCAGTCGTCCTTAAGCGGGCGAGCGACGGCTTCTTTAAGCCGCAACGCTACCGCCCTGCTGCTGTGCTGATCACAAACTGCTGCCACCGGACGGACAACCAAGCAGCCTCTCAGTCTCCTCTCCGCCGGTCCCATCGCACTCGTCCCCTCTTTTCTCAATTCCCCCTTCTGCCATACCACTGTATGCGCCCTGCAATACTACCCACCACCACCGAACCGTACTTGTATCTTACATCCATCCCGTCTGCAGGTTGTCGGGACAGCCCTGACCGTCCAGCAGACACCACTCTTCTCCTCCGCCGGACCAGTTGCTAGACGTGTGAGTGACCCCCCCCCTCCCCCGTTCCCCGCGACCCCCCCAGGGTTACATACGGCCTCTCACGTCCTCCTCATCCAGTAGAACGCATCTCTGGCTCATCTTGGTTGCTGATATGCATTCTGATCCAGATAGCTGGCCCCATTGATATCCAGCACTCGTCAGTCGTTCCTTCCTCGTCCGTCGCTCTGTTCTCTCCGCTCTAGGTAGGTCCCCCTCGAGTAACAGGCCGGTTTCCCTTTCTGTACGTATGACAACCTGGCCCCCCACACCACCCCGTCACGCTATTCACCGACCCTTGTGACCTGCTTTCTTTTTTTGCTCTTTTCCTCGCTGTATATATTTTTTATCTGCTACATACGCTCCGTGCCCTCCCGTATGAGATAGGCGTCTCACTCATGCACAGGCCCTTCCTATCGTCACCCCCCCCCCCTTCCCCCCCTCATCCTACTCTCGTCTCTTTTTTTTCACCCCGTAATTCTCCTCCCCACTTCTCAACCTTGTGGGTAGATCAGGACCCCCTTACACTCTGAATCTCTCAAGAGGGTAATGGGAAATCTCGGCGCGTAAATACATCTACGTCTCACAAGTGACCACGGCCTCTTCTTTTGACCATCGTCCCCCTCCACTTCTTATGATTGCCGCTGTCTGGCATCTGCTCCATATCACCCTGCCCTACCCCGTCAACCTCGTCATGCCAGAGCCGTTCCGGTCCTGGCCAGGACTAAGCAGAAAGAGGGAAACATAAAACAGCCAGAGGAGAGGCAGACCAGAGCAAGACCTCGCAGACTGACGAATGCCACCATCACAGCAGCAGCAGCAGCACCGGCACAAGCACCGGCAGCTCCAGCTCCAGCACCAGTACCGGTAGTTCTCGCCGGCCTGACCCATGCCAGACATACCTTGTCACTAGGTACATTTTGGTGGAGGCGGCTCTCCTCCCTATTTCGTCCTCTCGTTCTTTTCATCGTCACCCTTCTTCTCCTTCTTGTCTCCCTTTTCTTCTTCTTCCTGGCAGCTGCGTTGCTTTTCGCCTACAGTTCGGCCTCGCATTGGATCTCAGACAGCTCGGCAAACGCCACAACCGGTTGCCAGCACCGTTAGCACGCATCGGCCAACGAACTCTTGTCAAGTCTGCAGCCTCTGCAACCTTTGCAGTTTTTACATACATTTCGGTGTCTCGCAGCTGCGCTATTTGCCGATGAGACATCTCCTCGCCCGTCCCCCTCTCTCTCGCCGGCCAGCTTCCAGACAACAGGGAGAAAAAGCATGCAGCTAAGGACGAGACCCCCTTGCCAGCCTACCTACCTTGCATCGCCACCGATACGGCCGCTACCACAGCTTTCCATTCCCGATATAGTGAACGCCTCCCCCGAGCTGTTGTCCCACTGGCGGCCCTCTCCCGCTTCTGCTTTCTTTTTCCCGCCCCTCCCTTCAATCTGTCTCAGCTTCGTCCACTGTTGATCAAGTTCAAGCAGGGCTCTTGTTATTTGGAGCAAAGCCCTAGCACTGTTCTTGATCACCACCCACTATCATTCACACACACGCGCGCACTCTCGCGCTTACCTATTTCCCTACCCGTACAGCCACAGGTTCTGCGCGTAATCGTCCGGCAAACACGGCAGCATAGCTTGGACATCGTCTTTCATCATGGGTGACTATTACCATCGCTTCCTGTCCTCTATACCGGGCATCGGGACGAACTCGTTGCACAACCAACAACCCCAGCAGCTTCAACATCAGCATCAGCATCAGCATCAACAGCCGCAGCAGCCGCAGTATCAGCAACCGCAACAACGTCAGCACCAGCAGTATCAGCAGCAGCAGCAGCAGCAGCTTCAACATGACCCGTACTCGCAGCTGCTGCCCCCCCATCTCCATTCTGCACCACCAATGGCCGTTGGCGCTGGTGCGGGCCAAAGCCAATTTCAGAGTCTTGGTTTCTTCACTGGCTTCCCTGAACCAGTCATGTTCAACGCACACAAGTCACAACGGCATCGACGGAAGTCGACCGCAGGGCTTGAGCACGTCAAGCACCGCCGGACGAGATCGGGCTGCTATACATGCAGGAGCCGACGAATCAAGGTGCGCTATGTGCTCTTTCTCGACTAGAGACAATGAGAAAACGAGAAACAAGAATGCACACTGACAAATCTACAAAGTGCGACGAGAGCCGGCCGATGTGTGAGCGTACGTAATTCCTTTCTCCCCTTCTTTCTTGTCTCTCTTTCGCTCCCTCTTTCTTTTCATCTCTCCCTCTCTCCCTCTCTCGCCATGTCATCTAACAAGACTACAGGATGCAAAAAGGGGAAAAGAGACTGTGTCTACCCCGAGCCGGCATCCAAGCAGGCAAGTGGAGGTCAGTCCAAGGAAACGCCCAGCACGAGCAGGCAGGCCAGTCCTGCCACATCCCACGGCGAGGATGAAGACGACGGCGAACAAGACAGCAAGCTCGACACGATTGTCGACGACGGTGAAGCAGAGGAGGCAGCAGGCGAAACAGCAGACTCGGACATGGAAGGCCAAGCACGGCAGCCCATGGCCAGTTCTGGAACCAGACAACGGCCGCTGCCAAGGCGGTCGAGCACGGCCTCATCACTGGCCATGCAACGGATGATGGCTACGTCAGCAACATCAGTCCCAGGAGACTGGGACCGCGACACGCGAAATAGGTCAGAGACACCGTCACAGGACGGGAAGAGCCCGTCTCCGGCATACTCGGTCTGCACCTCGGGCAGCTTCACGCCCATCACCCTCACGCCAGTCCTGCCCGACGGGCTTGGGCCGCTGGCGCTGGGAGCCTTTGGGCCGGGAACGGCGACTGGCACAGCGGCACCTTCTGGAGTACCGGTGGCCGACTGGAGTGGTCTGCCGCAAGACATACAGTTCTACCTGGGTTACTTCTGCGAGAACATCACCAACTTCCACTACTGCCTTGCCACCGACGCCGAGAACTTCTTCCACGCAGTGTTGCCCGTGTTGGCCATGAGGAACGAGTCCCTGCTCTATGCGGTTGTTGCCTTTGCCGCATACCACCATATGCAGCGCGACCCGACGGCAAACATGCAGAAGTTTCTCTTCTACTACGACCGCAGCGTGAAGCTGCTTCTCAGCTTCCTGAAGCGAAAGGAAAGGCATAACCTCGGCACGCTGTTGACAATTTTGCAGCTGGCAACGATAGAGGTGAGTGGATGCGGATGTGGCGGTCATACTGTCGCATGTGTCGTGTCGAAGCAGGAGAGCTGACGTGATTTCCAACTTGCAGGAATATTTGGGAGACTGGGTCAACCTGATGGGTCACCAGAGAGCAGCCCTGGAGGTGCTTACGCAGCTCTTCACGCCCGAGACGGCCATGAGCAGCCCGACCAGCCGAGCGATACTTCATTGGTATGCACGATTCGACGTCTTCGTTGGGCTTCGGGGCGGATTCGAGACGGCTCTACCGCGTGCCTGGTTTGCGGTACCGACCGACTTCTACAAGGCACAGGGGACCAGCGAGCCGGACAACTTGGGATGGAAGATGGAGGAGTGGTCGGCCAAGCTACGACTGATCTCGTGGGAGATGTCTGTCTTGGTGGCGCGACGCAATGGCCGAGAAAAGCAGGACCAGCTCCAGGAGGCCGAGGTGCAGCAGCAAAAGATGGCCTTCTTCCAGGAGCACATGCGCATTCTGGGGGCACTGCACGAATGGAAGGCCGGCCTGGACGTCATCCTCCGCGATGCGGCCGAGAACGGCGAGAAGACGGACCAGAAGGGACAGCCGGGACAACACACACTGCTGGTGACAGACTTCCAGCACGCACAGCCGCTGGGCGAAGACGACATTATCAACCCGTACCAGGTCGGCCTTCTGTTTTACCCGCCGCTCTTCGCAGGCACGCTCATGACGTGCGAGTGGCAATCGATTGTGCTCATGCACGAGATGCAAGCTGCCCAGATGGCTACGGCTGCAGGAGGAAATCCAGGCGGAGGCCTGAGCGGTTTAGCCGAAGAAGGGCTGGCAGACGGCGCAGAAGGGCTGGCAGAGGACAACAGCAGCCGGAGCAGCAGCAGCAGCAGGGTCGCAATAGATTCTGGCGAGCAGCCTGCAGCAGCTCTGGCCCGACTTGCCCAGCTGGCATTCGGGGCCTGCCAGATCTTTGAGACAGTGGAACGCTGGCCAGCAAGTCCGCCTGGGGTCGTGATCGCCCTGCAGGCTTCAGTGGCCATTGCGGCACTGTTCCTTCCGCGAGACAGCCGGCATCGGATGTGGATTCGACGAAAGTTTGCGCTGATTGAGTCCATGGGGTGAGCTCTTTTTTCTCCGCCTTGTTTTTTTTTCACCCGGTTTCCCTGCTTATCTCCTGCATTTTTTTTTTCCGCTTCCCCATCCCCCTGTCTTTTCTCTCCCCAGCTAGGTTGTTTGACAGCTCCGACATGCAGATCCTGCATACGGAGTACAGAACTATTCCCAGTCCCCATTGCATATGTCACCCAATCCCCACTCTCTCGGAAACAGATCCTGGTCCCTTGGCCCCCTCTCCCCCCTCAATACCCCCAACGGCTTACTCCACTCTCCCGGTATTTTTGTGTTCTGACGGCCTGCAGTTATATATTCCCGCCGACAATGCGCACGCGCATGGCCGAGCTGCTGCAAGACGCAGCATGCGCGCACTGGTGGCTGCCGGACGACGAAGGATTCAGCCCTCTGCTGCAGAGTATTCGTGCGTTTGCAGACGAGCGCAGTCTGACGGCGGTGGCGGCTCCGATCGAGAACCTACGCGAGATCCGGCATGTCTTTACCAAGATGCAGCTTGTGGGCAATGGCGGTGGGTCAGTACCAGAAGCCGGCACAGCCGGACAGCCGGACGACAGTTCTCCGACAGGGGACTCTGACAGCAGCTTCGGAAATATGCGACACGACAAGGGGAAGGGAGTCAGGTGGTGAGACGGCGACGAGGACGAGGACAAGAATGAGGACGAGGCGGAAAGGATCGCCCTGGACAGAAGAGGGAGGGCATTTTGACACTGATAATAATAATAGACAAGGGGGCAAAGGCAGGGGACAGCGAAAATCAAAAGGAAGCAAGTAAGCTCCGATGTTGCACAGGCAGTGATAAGACAATTTGTGTCAGATGGGATGATGGTGACTAGGCCTTGGAAGCCCTGGTCACGGCCAATTGACTGATGTGTCAGATCTTGGAAACATCTCTGCGGCAGCAACGGCACGGCGGCGGCAAGGGTGGGATGAAGCTGAAACCGTCTCAGTCTGGGCGGGTGCATAAAACTCCGTACATAGGACGTTTTTATCAGACAGCGGGGCCGTTGCACGGTTGCCAGATGACTAATACGAGAAAATGTCTTGCTTCCAACTATGGCATGGAATCGTACATAGTATGACAGCAAGAAGGAAAGAGAAATGACAGGTTCCGCCCTGGATGCCGATGCTCGTCTCTTTTAGTTGCCTATACGCAGAAAGACAAAGGAAAACAGGAAACGAGCAAGTGGGAATGTAGAGGTGTGTAGCGAGCAGCGTACGTCGTATGGTGCACGCCTGCCTCTATTCCGCTTCTGCTTCTGTTTCCGCGGCCTCGTCGGGCACGTCGTCCTCGACAGCTTCGTCGGGAGCGTTGGCCACCTTTTCGGCGAAGTCGCTGGTCACGCCCGTCTCCTCGGCCGATGGGGCAAAGTCGAGGACGCTTGTGCTCGCGAGACCAACAGTGTCCGTGGACGTGTCGTCGCCTGGTGGTGGTGCTGCAGCTTCTGGTGCTGCTTCCAAGGCAGTATCCTTGGCATCCTTGGCATCCTTGGCGGACTCGGCGTCCTCGGATGAGGGTGTCTCTGTAGTTGGTTCGTCGTCGTCCGGCTCTAGTCTGCTGGTCGATGCAGGTTGCTCGTCCGGTCTCTCGTCCAGGATTGTTGCATCTGGGTCGACTTCTGCATCCGCATCTGCGTCTGCGTCTGCGTCTGCGTCTGCGTCTGCATCGATCTCTACTGGCAGCCGGTCGTCCTCGTCACCCAGCACGGTCTCAATCTCGGACTCCTCGCCCTCGTGGCTCTCTTCTATCGTGATGGATGGCGGGGTGGCCACGTGTGCGGCCATGGCGGATGGCCTGGCAGTTGTGGCTGCTGCGGCAGCTGCTGCGGCGGCGGCAGCGCTGAGGGCCTCCTCGTCCTGCTCGAGCACGGTGGTGACGGCACTGCCGGTCGAGGGGTTGCTGCGGATGTGGCGACGCGTGTTGGTGCGTCCGACAGCCTGGGAGCGATCATCATCGTCACTGGCAAAGTCGAGGCCGCCAGTGATAGCAGCAGCAGCGATAGCGGTGGAAGCAGTGGCCGGACTCAGGGATGTACCTGAGCGACGTGCAGCAGCGGTAGCCGAGGTGGTGGTGGTAGTAGAGGAAGGGCCTTGGCCGGGCCCTTTCCGATCGCCGAGCGAGGCGATGGAGATGAGGCCGGGGATGTTGGCGCTGGAGGTGTTGTTGTTGTTGTTGTTGATCTCGCTGTCTCCAGGCAGATCGGTGGCGGTTCCGAGGCCAGACAGAGCGGTCGACACGTCGAGACCCTCGGCCTCGGGCGGCAACTTGTAGTTCTCGGCGGGCAGCAGGTCGTACATGTCGCAGACGGTCTTGAAGAGGACGTAGAGGCCGGTCTGGCCCTCGACGGACCAGAAGACGCCGCGGTGCTGGAACCAGGCGTGTGCGAAGATGCGGTGAAGGCGACGGAAGACGTTGGTCAGGTTCTTGGCCGCGGCGGACTTGTCGTGGGGATCGGCAAAGACGAAGCGGCTAGGGAAGATCTTGGGGTTGGTGACCACGTTGGCGGCCCAGTCGAGCGTGTGGCAGCAGTAGTCGATGGCGCAGCAGCTCTTGGGCTGCTCGTGCACGGCGCAGAGAAACTGCCACTCGGACGCGCGCATCTCCGGACACGTGGCCGCGCTGCACGGCGGCGTGTCGAAGAGGAAGCCGACGATCAGCCCGTTGCACTGCGCGATCAGGAACCGGCAGAGCTCGTACAGCCACAGCGTCCGGTCCGTGCCCGTTGGCGGCAGCGCCAGCGTGTAGGCCGTCTCGCGCGAGATCGCCTGCGTGCTGCTGGCCGTGTGGAAGTAGTGCAGTGCGGCCAGATGCTCCTGCAGCTGGAAGGCCGAGTCGAGCTCATGTAGCGGCACCAGCGGCGGGCCTACCGCAAAGTCTGCTGCCCGCGTCCCCGGATGGATTCGCCGCTTTGCGTTGCTGTCTAGCATCGTCTGCTCCAGCTGCTGCTCCAGCTGCTGCTTCTGCTCCGTGCTGCTGCTGCCGTCCTTGTTGTTGCTGCTGCTGCCACTGCTACTGCCACTGCCTGCTGTCGTCGTGTTGGGCCCGATCTGGATCTCCGCTGCCGGGGGCGGGCTCGGCAGCCGTGGCGAGCTCGGCGGAAGGGCCATGATGCAGCCAAGGGTGCGATGTCGACGTTTGGCGGTTGGAGGTTGGAGGTGGGAATCGGGACCTGAGCGGAGGCTCGATTCGGTCAATCCCAAGGTCCTGCTTCTTTGTTCGCTGCTTCGTATGTCCCAGAGGCACTGTGTCGTCTGTCTGCCGCGTCTGTTGGGACGCCCGTGGATACGCGCCCGTTCGCTTGCAACACGCTCTATCTTGCCAGATGGGCTTGAAATCCAGCAGGAATGCATGCCATGCAATTGCGGCTGACAATCTCGTCACGTGATTCTGCTTACGTAATAAAAATGTATATGCAAATTCCATCGCCGACTTATACGGGCGCCACTTCTGGCTGCGGCTGCCAAAATCTCCACCAAGCTGCACAAACCTACGGCTACCATGGACGACGATGACGACCTGCCGCCCGTTCTCGTCGAGACCGGCAATGGCCCCGACAGAGAGCCGGAAAAGCAGGCCAAGGTGCCCATCACGATCGTGACCGGTAAGGCTGCCCGGAGACGCATATGCGATGTGGGGAACAACACCGACTGATGCTGCCTGCAAGGCTATCTCGGCGCCGGAAAGACGACGCTGCTCAACTATATCCTGACGGCCCAGCATGGCAAGAAGATTGCCGTGATCATGAATGGTGAACGCTCTGTCTGCACCGCTTCAGAAACACCAGCTTGCTAATGCGGTGTACAGAATTTGGTGACTGTAAGATGCTGCTGTCCGTCCTTTACCCATCGAATGGTGGACAGTGCTGACGGGCCGCTGCTGCTGACACGGTGCAGCCGTGGACATTGAAAAGTCCCTGACGGTCAACAAGAACGGCGAGGCTGTGGAGGAGTGGCTGGACGTCGGCAACGGCTGTCTCTGCTGCTCGGTCAAGTAGGCCTTTTTTTTCTCACGGCTTCTGCCCACTTCTGCTGACGGCCGGCGCAGAGACACGGGCGTGAACGCGATCGAGTCGCTGATGGCCAAGAAGGGCTCGTTTGACTACATTTTGCTGGAGACAACCGGCCTGGCCGATCCCGGAAACCTGGCGCCGCTCTTCTGGATGGACGACGGCCTCGGCAGCTCCATCTTCCTCGACGGCATCGTCACCCTGGTCGACGCCAAGAACATTCTGCGCAGCCTCGACGACCCCGAGGGCCGGGTCGAAGATGGCCACGACGACGGCCACGACGAGCGCGGTCCTCTGATGACTACCGCCCACGTGCAGATCTCCCACGCCGACGTCGTCGTCATCAACAAGACTGACCTGGTCGACGCCGACGAGCTCGCCCGCGTGCGCGCCCGCGTCGAGTCCATCAACGGGCTCGCCCGCATCCACCTCGCGCGCCAGAGCGAGGTGCCCCGGCTCGAGGGCGTGCTGCTCGACCTGCACGCCTACGAGACCGCCGAGGCCGTCGAACGCGCGTCCCGCCAGAAATACCACAGCCATCTGGATCCGGTCAGTTCCTTTTTTTTTTGGTTCTCTCCTTCCCTTCCTCCCCCCGCTGACTGATAGACCATATCGACACACACTATCGAGCTTGGCGTCTTGGAACTGCAACAGGTCTACAAGCTGGACGCCTGGCTCCGGTCGCTGCTCTGGGAGGGCCAGCTGCCCTTCCCCAACGGCCCCCAGACCGGCTTCGAGATCCACCGGCTCAAGGGTCGGCTCGTGCTGCAGGACGGCACGGACAAGGTCGTACAGGGCGTGCGCGAGCTGTTTGAGATCTTCGACAGCCCGTCCCCGTCTGCCACCCAGACTACGGATGCACCCCAGCAGAGCAAGCTTGTCCTGATCGGAAGACGGCTAGGCCAATTTGCTTTTGAACAGAGCCTGCGCCTGAGCTTGAGCTAGCTTTGTATGATGTAGCATGGAAACGAAAACAAAACATGAATCTTCTCGTAGACCGGTTTGACGCCGTTTACCGGTTGCCGTGTGCGGCTGAGACAATCGGCCTTGTGTTGAGCAAGCAAACAGAAGCAGCAGCACGGAGTATAAGAACAGCGAATTGCCACCCGCTGGAACCAAGCACTACATTGAGCAGCAGCGCCTATTCATACGTATTCTACAGAAGAACCGCGGGGCTGCGCACGGTCCACTAGACGAGTATTAGCACAAAGCGCCATTAGCTAATCCGCACTAACCTTTCTTTCTCCCGTGCTCATGTTCACAGCCTCAGGCTTCCCGACCCAGCCACAAGAAGCAATCAGCAACGCCAGCAAAGACCAGGAACCCAGACAGCCGCTGCTTGGCCTCCACGCCCTCGCTGCACCCACACGATTCCTCCGGCGAACACGGCCGTCTGTCGGGCCCCCGCAAACGTCCTCGCACCCCTCTCCGCGCCCCTCGATCGAGCTTTTTTTTTGTGCGTTTTGACCATCGACATCCAGATCCCCAGATCGCTTGTTATCCAACCATTGTCGACATCCCCTCTCTCGGCCGCCCCTCGACCGCGCTCGCCCAGTATGAATCGACCAGGTACGCACGCACGCATGCCCGCTGCAAGCATGGAGCGGGAGGGCCAGGGCAGCGGCCAGCAGGAGCGACAGACACGGAGAGCATGCCGGATGGCACGACCTGCAGACAGCCAGACGGGAAGAAGCAGCAGCCTGGTCGTGTCCCATGTCGTCCGGCTGCCCTGCTCATCCAGGCGTGGCCGCACAACGCCTCTGGATGGGCAGCTTGGCCTGCCGTGCTGCACCGGCCGGCGAATGGCTGCAGGGAGGGGCCAATTGCCTTTCTTGCTCTCCTTCTGGCCCGTTGACGGAGGGGAAGATTCGCCGAGCCTTGTCGCTCTATCTGCTCGGTCTTGCTGCAGTCCTTTGCTCTGTCTGGCTGCAAGATCGCTCCCGTTTGTGCGAGACAGGACCTGTCTGGCTTTCTGTTCACTCTGCTCTCACTCTCTTCTCTGCCTTCACTGGCCCTTTCAACCTCTTGCTGCTTCTCCCTCCCCTCACTCTTGCAAACTCTAATGGCTCTTTTTCGCACAGGAGGCGCACCGCAAACACTGCGCGGAATGCCCAGCGGCTTCGGTACACAGCTACAGCAGCAACAGCAACAGCAGCAGCAGCAGCAACAACAACAGCAACAACAACAACAACAGCAACAGCAACAACAGCAACAGCTGCCACAGGCCCGGTCGGTCTCAAGCCGGCTGCCCAATGGAAAGCTGGGTAAGTGGGGATGCCGCATCTGCAAGCTCCAGTCTCGCATCTCTTGGGTCAGATGCTGGCCGATGGCATGACTCGACGGAATCTCGCTCGAGCTCTGATTTGCTGACTCTGATTGCATCAGGAAACAACGGCTCCGGTTGGGCTTTCGGCTCCGGTGTGCCCCTCGGTGCTGGCACGCAGAACCCGTCGCGTCCACAGCAGATGGGTGGCAATATCAGCTTTGCCCAGAGCCTAGGCGGCTCACAACCTGCCACCCCTCTTGACCTTTCGTGAGTTCACTTATTTGTCTTCTGCCTTTGCTCTCCACCTCTTTCCCCTCCCCCCACATGTACGCGTGTCTCCGCCTGTTGCCCCTTCTGTCCCCTTCTGTCTTTCCCTCCTGTCTGTTCCCCACAACAAGACATGTCCTGGAACCCGACTAGCTCTCCCGGAAAGTCGAGTACGGAAGGGGCTGTCGTGCTTCAACAGCCCAGCGGTTGACATCTGCATCCTACATCACAAAATGGCCTATTCTGCATCTATAAAGCGGTACTGCACTCTTCCGCCATCCTTTCCCGCGTTTCCGCCTCACTGCGTTGAATCATCGCCCTTTTAGCCTACCTGACAGCTCGCCTTACCTTCCACCTCTGGCTAACATAGCTCTAGGGAATTCCCATCATTGTCAAATAACCCTCAGCTTTCCAGCAGTGGCCAATCGTCGCTCTGGTCCGCAGCAGGATCACGAACTATCGGCAGCCAGGGCATACAGCGCAGTGCCACCAACCCGCTGGCATCACAGCAGCAACAGTCGTCGCAGCCAGGACAACCCGGACAGCAGGGACAGCAAGAGGACATGTTCGGCTCAGCATCCCGCTTGCAATCGAATCAGAGCACAGCTTCCTTTCGGTTCGGCAGCCAGGCTGGCCTCGGCCAAGTGACAGCATCGACACAACCAGGCGGCATCGACGATTTCCCGCCACTAAACAATCGCTCTTCTAGTGCAGGAGAGATCGGCCAGGACCGCAACCAGAATCTGATGGCCAGTCTAGGCTTTGGCTCGCAGGCTGCAGGCGCTTCGGCTTCCGCTCAGGGTGGCCGCATGGGCAACGGACTGTTGAACGCCCTGTCGGCCAACTCTCGGTCCGGAGGCGAGGTGCGGGCACCTGTTGGTAAGTAGCCCTGCTCAGAGAGGGCTATACGACGGTGCTAACTCTGACCCTAGGCACTCGGCCGCAAGAAACACGAAATCCAGCAGCAGATGACGAGGTCCGGATCAAGCAGAATCCATTCGGGGAAGAAGTCAGGGCAGCCCAGTCACAGCTGGCTGATGTTGTGCCACAACCAAGCACCGACCCGCGGATTGCCATGGCTGCCATCGGCACAGACGCAGTGTCGTCAAAGTCCGGCACCGATGACAGCCTTGGCTCAAGCAGCTCCGCAAAAGACCCGCTAGCTGGGATGGTACCGAATGACAAATGGGGCTTAAAAGGCTTGCGGGCGCTCCTGGTCAAGGAGCCAGGTTACAGCGCGGCAATATCCGGGTTCGGGCTAGACCTCGCGTCGCTGAATGTGGACCTGGGCTCGACCGAGTACGATTCTCCGTTGGGGATGGGGTGAAACGCTTGGCTAACTCGGATGCAGACTCCTGTCCACTCAGGTCTATTCCCTATTTGACGGTGCAGCGCCACGGCCGGCAGTTCCAAAGTTCCGCCTACCAGAGTGCTACAAGGTTTCCAATGTGGGACCGATCGAGAACAAGATCACGAGCTTCAACGAGGAGACCCTGATGTGGATATTTTACTCGTGTCCCAACGACATCAAGCAGCAGCTGGCTGCGATTGAACTGTAGGTGGTCCTACGAGCCGAAAACTGGCGGTAAGACGAGAAAACAAACACCTCGCTAACGGTCGCTACAGGACCAACCGGAACTGGCGCTGGCACAAGCGGCAGCAGGTCTGGCTGACCAAGGACGACATGATGATGCCACAGGTTCTGAGCCAAAGCCACGAGCGGGGATTCTATATCATCTGGGACCCAGCAAACTGGCGGAAAGAACGCGTGAGTTTCTTGTTGCGCAAAGCCGCCCAATTGGGCAGGAGCGCCTTGCTGACTAAGATACAGACAACGCGGGAGATCACGCTGAACTACGCCGACCTAGACAACACGCCCATCTCAGCAACAGGAGCCGTCTGAACGTGCAGGGGCGGGAGTGTTGCCATTGATCTATTTTTTTGCTTTACCATGTGGCTTCCTTTTTCATGTCTCTCGGTTTCATGGGGGGGGCGGGGACAGCAGGACAGACAAAAAACACACAGCACAGAGACGCTAGCTTGCGTTTATCAGGGCGGCGGGCTCGGGACGGCGGAAGAGAACTGGCGAAAATCCTCGAGGGGTTCAGGCTTCTGGTTTTATATTTTCTTTCCTGCTTTTCTCCGTTTGCGTGAATACGGAGACCGCTGATCGCCTTTTCACCCTTCCTCTTGTAGATGCCGATGCTTTGTGACACAGGTGAAGAGACATCTTTCACACCTCTTTCTGCACAGCCAGGCCTGATTTCTAATGTGTATTTTCTCGCTCCCCATATGGAGGAGACATGCGCAGATATGACGGAATCTGTAAGGAGAAAGGGAGAAACAGCAGGTCCTCTGAACAGGAAGCGCCAGCAAGAGAGAGAGCCCACGTCACGGGGCGGGAACAGTTGTTTTTGCGCCCATACCCAGGAAGAAACGGCCAGACAGAAGGGTGAAGACAGGGAAGGCGGAAGGCGGACGGCGCAGAGCAGAGCAGAACGCGCAAGAGCGAAGTACACAAGGAGAGGTGCGATGCATTGCTGACAGACATGGGGGGCCTCGCCAGAAGGAAGAAGAGCTTTTAAGGAAAACGTAAAAAGACATAACAGAGCACAAACGCGACAGAGAGGAAAGGGAACAGCGAACAAGGGTGGAAACAAAGCGTACAAGCAGATGTCAAAAAGACGATCGAGTCATCCACGACATTCACGACATCCACGACATCACCGACAAGAACCAAGTGGGAAAAGGAAACAGGAAAGTGGAAAAAGAGAAAAGAAAAAAAGGAAAAAGGAAAAAGGGAAAAAGGGAAAAGGGCAAAAAAACAGACAAAAATCCCAACTAGATCAATGCCACGAGCTGTTGCCCCCCATGAATCCCTCCTCCAGTGTGCGCTCCTCCAACGTCCGGATGAAATCGCGATTGGAAGCCCCCCGTCCTGAGCTGCCACCACTGCCACTGGCACCTCCCATTCCTCCGCTCAGGTTGCTGCTGCCGATGCCCAGACCACCCATCTGCGTTGCCCGGCTGCCCCGACGCGCCGGCCGTCCCGACTGGTCTAACCCCGACATGCCATCGGCTGGTGGCGGGTAGTATGCTGGGCTGGGCTGCAGCCGGATTGGCTGTGTCGGGTCCAGATGGCTCGCCACCCGCTGGATCGCTGCTGGGATCCCACTCATCTGCTGGTCCATCGTCGACGAGCGCTGCCGTGACCGAACTGCTCCAGGAATGGTTTGCTGCTGCTGCTGCTGCTGTTGCTGCTGTTGTTGCTGGTACTGAAGCGGGACTGCTCCCAGTGTCGTCCCATAGCCTCCAGTGGCACCCATCGTCACGGCTGGCTGCTGGACTACGCCCATTGCTGCGTACTGGTTGGGCTGTGCTGTTGCATACGGTGGAGGTGCCGGTTGTGGGGCTGCATGGCTGTTGTTGCTGGGTGCATACATGTTCTGTGTATTGTACAGCGCTGGCTGCGCCTGGACGTGCATAGCCTGTGGAGGCGGCACGGCCGTCTGCTGCGGATACGCGGCCGTGGTCATGTTGTATGCATTCTGCGCAGCTGTGTTTGCCTGGGCCTGGGCGGCCTGGGCCCTCTGCTTGCTGAGCGCCTCAGCCTGCTGCTGCTGCTGCGTGCCTGGGGCTGGCGACCGGTTCAGCGAGCTTGCCTTGAGGTTCATTGGCGGCACAAAGGGACCCGTGTACTTCTGCTGTGTGATGAACGGATGCAGCTTGGCTTGCTGTGGCGACCATCTCTCGAGCGGGTTGATCGTCAAGAGCCCCCGGACAAAGTCGATGAATGCGATCCGGTTGTTCATTTCTATTCCAGGTCAGCGCCAGAGCGGAAGGTACAATGGGGGATGACCCTCTTACCTCGGTCTATCTCGCTCTGCTTCATGTTCTTCCGCGGCATGGGGTACGACTTGATGATCTCGGGCAGCGTGGTGGCCTGGAAGTAGCGTTTGCTTGGTTGCTCCTTTGTGCCGTGCTCGCGCGAGTACTGCTCCATGCTCTTGAGGTGATAGGTGCGCCGTCCAAACTCGTCGGCGCGACGTTCAAAGAATTCGCCCGCCTGCTTGCCAACCTCAATCATCCAGTTCGGCGGGTTGCCGAGCATCTCGACGATGCGCATCACCTGGTTGTACTCGGATGAGCCCGGGAAGAGAGGGAGGCCGAGGAAGAGCTCGACCACGATGCAGCCCAGCGACCACATGTCGATGGAGGACGAGTATGGCAGTCCTAGCAGTACCTCGGGAGAGCGGTAGAACCGAGACTGTATGTAGGTGTACACGGTCTGGCGCTCGTCGCAAGCTGAGCCAAAGTCGATGATCTTGATGATCGGGCTTTCCAGGTTCTTCAGCAGGATGTTCTCCGGCTTCAGGTCGCAGTGGATGAGGCGGGCCTTGTTCAGCAGGGCCAGACCGTTTAGCAGCTGCTGGGCAAAGACTCGGACGAGCGTCGTGCTAAGGCCGCGGAACTGGTTCTGCTTGATCAGCTCGTACAGGTTGACGCTCAGCAGCTCGAATACCAGACAGAGGTGCTGGCGGTGGATAAACGTGTCCTTCAGCCGCAGCAGGTGATGGTCATCGTTCTTGTCGAGCTTCGTATTAAGCTATGGCGGAGGTTAGGCAAAACGAGTGCGGCGCAACAGCAGGAAAGGCCAAGGTAACGGTGAGGGGGAGGGCGTTTGCTCACCAGATCGAGGACAGATACTTCCATCATGCTCTGGTTGAAGTAGGCCGTCTTGTTCTTGATGACCTTGACAGCGACGACCTCCTGCGTCTTGAGGTTCTGGCATTTGACCACCTGGCCAAAGGTGCCTTGACCAAGGACGTCAAGGATGAGATAACGGTTCCTGTGCATCCGTGTCAGTATCATTGAACCATGAACTAGCAGTAAACGCAAATGGCACAAATGGCGCGAATAGTGCAAACACGCCATGCAAATAGGGAGGCTGTCCGTACTTGTGTCCGGCCTCCTCAGAGCCGAGGATGTCATTGACGTAGAGGATGTAATCACTGTCTTCGTTGTCGAAGCCGTCGTTCTTGACACCCTTGCTGGGCTTGGTCAGAACTCGTCGCGGGTTGCGAGACGACTCGTACTTGAAGTGCGGGTTGCAGATCCGATAGGTGGCCGGCAAGTGAACGGTCAAGGCTTGCAGCGGCTATACAGTTGAGAGGCTCCTTGTCAGAAACCATACAAGTCTGGGAAGGAACAGGGCGGGTGGAACAAAACTCACGCTGATGAATCCACCTTCTGGGTTTGCTCTCCGGAACGGCGGCTGCGTGTTGACCTTGGGTCGTAGGTCAGACGTGCTTCGGATCTTCTTGAACCCCGGGACAGGGCCGCGCTGGCTGCCACCGTTGTTGCTTAGTGCCGCCGAGGGCAGCTGCAGGCGTCGAGGCGACTTGTGCTCGCCATACGGGCCGTCCAAGGGCGTCAAGCCGCCCGAGCTGGGAGAGTAGAGCCCGGTCGAGGTGACTGGAATTATCGGAGGCAGGACGGGCGGGCCTTGCTGCTGTGGCTGCTGCGACCCTTGCGATCCTGGTTGGCGACTGTTTGCGTAGTACGGGCTCTGTGGAAGGTACGGGCCGCTCTGGGGTGCGTAATCGAGAGTCCGGGCGGGCGACTGTCGTTGCTGCGGTTGTTGCTGTTGCTGCTGCGAGGTCGGGACGTACTGGACGGCTGGGTTGGTGGCCGATGCCGGTTTGGAGGAGTAGGACGTGTAGGGCGAGGTGGGCGATTGGACTTCCATGGGCGAATAGCGCTGCGCAGCGGCCGAAGGCTCGAGATTGGAGTGCAGGCTGGCTGAGCGAGCAACGGACACGGCACCGACGCCAACGCCGCCGCTGGAGAGCTGCTGGTGGTGATGCGGCCGTATCGGATACTTCACGCCGGCGTATGGATCGTGATGGCCCACAGCCGCGGCGTCGTGCATAGAAATGTCGCCGTTACCGTCACGCGCGCCCGTAATCATGGGCGAGCCGGCGAGACCCTGACTGCTCAGACCACCGGCGGCTGCGTATTGCTGCTGCTGCTGCGATGCAGACGGCGGTTGTTGCTGTGGCTGAGCAGCACCATTAAAATCCCGGCTCCCGAGCTGGCTGCCGCCGTTGTAGCGTCGCGAGCCACTGCTGGACGGCTCAGCATATGCCGGCCATTGATCCATGATGGCAAACTAAGAGGCCTGCGACAGCGTCCGCATCAACGTCAGCGTCGGCGTCGTCGATGTCGTCAATGTCGTCGTCGTCGTCGCCTTCGTCAACTGTGTGGGCGCAGTGGCTGTGGCTCGGCGGCGCTGCGTTCCTGTCTGGCGCGATTGTCCTTGTTCGGCGCTGCTGCTCTCGTCGTCCGGTCGCTGCTCCTCCCGGTTGGGCGACCAAGGAAATTCGAGGAAAGCTAGCTGAAATAAGCTGGGAGGCCCCAAGCGGTTCCGTTAATAAAGATGATGAAAGAAATGCATGTAGACAATAGGCTAAACGGAAAATGAGGAATGGGTGATAAACGCACGACTGCTGGCGTGGCGAGGGCCAACGTCGATTGGGAGGGCCTCGAGGATGCTGCCTCTTCGTTCTCGTCGTTGTGGAGGGACGTCGATTGAATGGGAATTTTACGGCGTTGTTTATTTTTATTTTCGTTTGAGGGAGAAATGAGGGGAGGTGGGAGGTGGGAGCAGGAGGGGGAGGACCTCGTCCAGGAAGGAGCCCGAAGGGGAAAACAGGAAGTGGCTTCCCCTAAGGTATCTCGCTGCCAAGCTGCCAGGTCGCTGAACCGTCCACTAAGTCAGCTGTAACCCAAGCGTTCTTTTGTGGCTGACTAAACCGCTCAGCCGATACCAGCCCGTTGAGGGAAAGATAAGTACGGACTATGGACACCAATCTCGTGCTTCGTCATCACGGCGTCTCTTCCTCTGCGCTGTTGTTCTTTTGGCCACTAAACTGCTGAAGCCGTCTGCCCCGGCTTACGCACTCGTTGTTTTTGTCTCGCAATTCTGGGCCTGTTTAGCCGCCGCCTGGCCGCCAGGGCCAATCAGCGTCAGACAAAGAGTCACTTGTGACAGTGATGAACTTCTTTGATGCCCAAACTCGCTAGGTTCTGCTTTACGAACTATTTGTGCGGCACTGGCATACTCGTTGTTATTCCCCGAAGACTTGTCTGGGTACCCAATGCCTGCCTTTCTCCCTTTCCTAATTCCCTCTCCCAATTTCTCCTTCCTAGACGGTTAAAGGGATAAGTAAATGCGCTTGACTAATCGTAACCCAACTCCAGTAACCCAAGACTCCTTCGACAGTAACCTTGACTAGCCCCTTGGAAATGTGATGACAAGCCAACCAAGCACGACTAATTAGCAGTCAATACATGGGGAAATAAAAGGTATCCAATGAATGAAAATAAAAATAAGAATAAAAACAAGTCATAACGACGTAATAGAACGGGAAAATGGGGTCTCTAGTTGTCAGATTGAGAAAAATAAAAGTCCGTAACTCGTAGCGACTAAAGAAATGCCTCGAGAAATCACGCTTGTTTGAGTAAAAGAGAAGACTAGGAGAAGGCAGCGAACGAATACGAAGTGGGCTTCAGCAAGCATCTGGATAAAATAGCCAGGCACAAACAACAATGGTCTTTTGTCCCCTGCATCTTGCCCAGACATGACCGCTGAAGAAGCAATCGGCAAACATAAGTTTAAAATTCGTTGCGGAGGTTGGAGCATAAATGCTGGAAAAAAATAAACGACAGGAGAGACATGAAAACAAGAAGCGTCGAGGGCTTCCTCGGCTGTCCGAGCAGGACGCCCTCGACAAAAGGGAAAATGAAACAGGAACAGGGACTAGAACAGGGAGCAAGAAAACGAGAAAAAACAAGAAAACCCCCAACAGAGAGAAGAGAAAGTGGGAGGGGATGAAAACTAGGAGAAAAAGAGACGGAAAACCCCCCCATTTTTGTCCTCGCTCCCATGAAGCAGCCTCGGCGTGAAAAAGATGTCCAGAAAAGAGAAGGCAACACGAAAAAAATCTCATTTGTCGCGTTAAACCAAACCATGCGTGAACGCTCACATGTCAATAACCGTTGAAACTGTTGTTGTTGTCAAAGCCCTGAGTCAGAGGCTGAGATCGCTGCTGTTGTGAACCCTGCTGCGGAGACAGCTGGCCACGGCCGTATCCGCTGCCAGATCCGTGCTGGCCACTATAGCCCATCGGGGCTTGGCCACCGTAGCCGACAGGAGACTGCGCCGTCGGGGGTCCGCCGTAGTTGCCGCTCTGCTGGCCGTTTCCGTATTGTGCTGTGGCAGAACCCATTGGTCAGTCCAGGTTCTCCAACAGAAAAACCTCCGCTCTTGCCTCTTGGATTTATAGCTGTTCATGTATCATACCACCATATTGAGGGAAATATGTAGTCGGCGATCCGGGATACGGACCCGGTGCCTGTGCACTTTGCGGACTACCGTATGATTGCTGCGAAGGGTCAAAGCCCTGGGCGTTCGGAGTCTTGTCCTTGCCCCACTGTGAAGAGCATGGTTAGAAAAACGGCAGACGCGCCGGGGCTGTGTAGGGGGAGCGAGGTTGGGTAAATCGTACGCTGCACTTCAGGGGACGGCCGTTCACGTTGTAACCGTTCAGCTGGCAGATAGCCATGGCGGCATTCTCGTGGCTGTCGAGCTTGATGAAGGCGAAGCCCCGGTCAGACTGAAAGCGCGATTCGACAACGTAGCCAAAGTTCTGGAAAAGTGGCACAAGATCATTCTGCGTGGTGTACGGCGTCAGATTGCCAACATAGCATGTCGTCTGCCACGCCGGCGTCTGGTTGATCACCATCTCGTAGCTGTTGATGCCTTGGGTTGGGAAATGGTGGTGGCCAAACGGCGTGGTCGGCGTCATGCCAACCTGCTGCAAGGCCTGCTGCTGTGCCATGGACGGCTGACCCTTCTGATTGGCCCAGTTGCAGCGGATTGCGCGCGACCCAAGCCACTCGCCATCCATGGAGCTCAGCGCCTTCTCGGCATCTGGACGGTCACGGAAGGCGACAAAGCCATATCCCCGCGATCGGCCAGTCTTCATATCCCACATGACGCGGGCCTCAGAGACCGATCCAAAGGACGTAAATGCCTGCGTAAGAACCTCATCGTTGACCTCGTTTGACAGGTCGCCCACGAAGATGTGGAAGTGGCCCGAAGTGTCCTCCTTGCTGGTCGTGTTGGACTGGTAGGCCCAGTTGACCCGGATCTCCTAAAGAGGGTGTCAACACGTCTTGAACGACAGAGTCGCAGTTGCACTTTACGGCCCAGAGCACCTACCGACTGGTGAACCCTGCGTCCGTTCAGGTTCTGCATGGCACGTTCCGCTGCGCCAGGGTCGTCATATTCGACAAACCCGTAATTGTAACCCTTCGCCTTCACATTGATTAGCACAGGGGTTCGTCCCATCCGCAAAGCTGTCGCTTCGGTCTTGTGTCGGAAGCGTAGTGGCATACATTCTTGTCGGGGATGATCTTGACATTCTGCACGTGTCCTGTAGTTTCAAAGATCTGGCGCAGTACATCCTCGGTCACGCGCTGGTCCAGGCCGCCGACATAAAGAGCCCGCTTGTTAGGCTCAGGCGCCGAACGCCGGCCTCCGTAAGCGGCGGCACTGGTGGGTGACATGAGTCCGCTCTGATCGCCGCCGCCCAGGGGCGAAGTGATCGCCGTCGGGATCGGGTTTGTATTCTGGGGAATGTGGAGGGGGGGAGGCGGCATATGGGCCGAGTTCGACTGGCCATTCTGGTTGTCGAACCCTTGGCCACCAGTGTTCTGCTGCGGAGGAAGGCTCCCCGGCACAGATGAGGGGCCGTTGTCAGCCATTGGAGCGGGTCGCTGCTTATCGACTTGACAGTTGGGAAAGGTGCTGATAAGCTTGTGGCAGGCGAGGCTGTCTGAGAACGATGCGGTGGTAGAGGACACACGCTTCCGATCGTTGTCGATAGGAGGGAGGAAAAGGTGGCAGGTTGCTGGATATAACACGAGGGGGGGACGAAGAGAGTGCTGCAAATAGAGCTTCAGAGAAGAGGCGCGTGGGGTGTTAGCAGAGAAGCTCGACCAAAAAGGCCCAAGTATCAGGTGATGGCGGAGCACCGAGAGATATCCGGGATTTAGGGGTGGCATCAAGGCAGCTGGTAGCAGACTCACAGGAAGCTCGGAGAGGGCTGTGGCAGCAGTAGTGCAAGGCCGCAGGTGGATGCAGGGGACAGACGCGGCTGGAAAGAACTGACGAGGATGAGAAGGGTAGGGCCAACAAATCAACGACAAGACTGCAGCTGCGAGTCTAGGGGGGGGAGCTGGTCGGCAATGAGGCGAAAGCGGAGGAGAAAGATTGAAGCGGCGGTAAAGTGGGACGCTTCAAGGAAGTTGGTCTGCTGCTCGTAGAATAACAAGAGTAAGAGCAGAGGCAAAGAGAGGGGGGCTTCCAAAGATAAGGGCGTGGGCAGAAGGGCGCAGAGGCAGAATCTGACACAAGGAAAACGGTAAGGCCAAGGAGACGAACAGAAACAAGGCGAGACCAGACAATAAGACGACTCCGCTGAAAAGGAAACCGGAACAGCAGAACAAGAAAAAAGTACGATGGTATTATTCAGGAGGAAGAAGAAAAGAGCAGAAGGTGGGTGGGGAAAAAGGAAAGAACAGGAAAGAGATTTTAAATTCTTATAACAGAAATAAAACAGCAAATAAGTAAATAAAAAAGAGAAGAGGGGGCGGAGGCAAGACGGAGCATCAAGGAGGGAAGACGAGGGGAAGCAGGACCAGCCATTTGGCGGTTACCGGACGGGACGGTGAACTTAGCGTGCTCTTGTGCATGGCCTAGCGCATGTAGAGGTGGTGAGTTACAGAAGTAGGGGGGAGAGTGACGGGGGCTTAGCAAGGTGCATTGGTGGAGGCGAGTGAGATGCGGCGGCCGTTGAAGGCGTCAGACGGGAAACCTGCTGGACGATGGACAGCTTCGGGGCCCCTCCAGCAGCATATCAAAAAAATCGTAGCAGTCCGAGGAGAGACGCCGCATCTGCTGTCTTGTATGGCGACGTGATTGGCCGGTTCCGACGGTTGAACACTCCACTTCTCGGCCACAGCTTGTGATTGGCAGGCACCCTCACATCAAATCGTTCCAACGGCAACGCACGCACCACGAACCGCCTTCACGGCTTGGCGCAGGCGTTCCTGCCGTGGGCGGAGGTGCGTGTGGTACGGAGTATTACGTCGATTTACAGGGGACCCGCGTCACATTATGCCCGCGCTCTCAGAACATCCCTCGGTCCTCTGGAATCGTACGAAAAGCGATCAGACACACTCTGGCCTTACGAATAGGATAGAATATGTACGAGTAAGATACGTCGTAACTACTCCGTACTTGCCAGTGCGTGCTATAAAAAAAAAATAGGGTCCAAGCTGTCTCAGACCCCATGTGCTCTCGAACCACTGTGTGGACTTGCTTCGCACTGTAAAATCACGTGCCTTCTATACCGCATTTGCACATGAGGTCCACTAATTCGCGCGACCTCAAAGTACGCGGGGAACTCATCTACACCTCACCTCTCAACGCACCAAAACGGGAACACTGCCGCCCATTGCAATCCACATTGGGCCGCAACAAAACACGACTCTTTCTTGATGCCGGATACCTCTACAACTTACCTTTAGGCCACAGACATAGACGGGCTCTGCTTTCGCAGTTCCGATGGCGGCTTCACGGCCCACAAACTACGACACCCTCGAGAACACGGTCAACGATGTGGTGCGTTGCTGAGCACTGCTTTTATCTTGCCACGCCTCTGTCGTACTAACAGATACGATCTCTTCCAGCTCATTCACATCGGAAAAACGATCCGGGCACAGACGAAAAACGGTCGCCGGACGGTGGCTCTCACGAGCGCCACCAAGATCCATGAAGCCAACAACACGTTCAATGCGACTCTTGACGTCATAGAAGCAGACATTGTATGTAGGATGTCGAATGTCTCTGGCTCGACTGCTGTTGGCCTGTATATCACTGCTGACATGCTTGCAAGTTTCGTGCCAAAGCAACCCTGCGTCGGGACCTCGAGCTCTTGCGCGCCCAGAAAAACACAGCCACCGTTGCTGCTGCATCCAAGTCGGAGCCAGCTCCTTCCGTTGCGGTCCAGCAAGCCCCACCGGCGCCGATGGACGTGGACTTGGAGGAGCCGCCAAGCACGGCCGTCAAGATCAAGACAGAGCCGCGGTCGAGCAGTGTTGCGAGCAGCGGCCAGGCGGCCATGGCCCCGTTCCCTAACATGGAGTTGGACTCTCCCATAGCAGTCACGACTGCCCTGCCAGTTATTCCTGCGGCTGCGGCTGCGGCTGCAGCTGCAAATCCACCGGTGGCAAAGCTTCCGATAGTCAAGAAGGAGTCACCACCGCAGACCATGAAACCGGTCCCGACACCGGCTGTGAACAAGCCCGTCGTGGCAGGACCGGTGGGAGCGATCAAGGCCCCTGCCAAAAAGTCATCTCCAGTGATGATCAGCAAAGTCCCTTCGCCTGCCAATCCTCGGTCCACAGCATCCCCAGCAGCGGCCAAGGTTCCATCCCCGGTCTTGTTGAAGTCGGCTGCTGTATCGCCTGTTCTTATCAAAGAGTCTCCGCAGCTGTCTCCGGCTACTGTCAACAGAGCTATATCGCTTTCATCGTCTTCGTCACCGATCATGATTACATCGCCAGTGATGACCAAGAAGGCAGCCGCTATTTCGCCAGCGGTTAAGGTCGCCGTGCCAGGCAAACAAGCAATACCACAGACGACAGCTCCTTCTCAGAGCCATGCCACAGCACCAGCTTTAGCTACTGTAACTGCAGTTCCCATCGTACCACCGAGGGCGAAGACGGAGGATATGAACATGGACGCGTTACTTGATTTCGACGGACCAGCACATTCCAATGAGCAGGAAAATCATGACCTTGGGTTCACCGACATGCAATTTACTCTTGTGCCAACAGGAAATGACGACGACGTGCAACATCTGCCTCAGCATGCGCCACAAGCTTCATCCGCATTGCAGCAGCAACAGAAGCAAAAGCAACAGCAGCAACAGAAACTACAGCAGCAGCAGCAACAACAACAACAACAGCAGCAGCCTTCAAAGCCTGTCCCAAACGCGCCTCTACCATTTCAGTTGCAAATTCCTGTGCAACCGCCACAACCACCAGTCCAAGACGATTCCGAATTTGATGTGGAGAAATTTGCGGCAGATGCAATGCAGGACTTGATGTCAGATCTATCTGGTCAGCCCAGCACAGCCAGACCGCAACCGCAACCGCAACCGCAACCACAGCAGCAACAAAGCACACAACCGCGGACCAACGAGCTTGCCGCGGGAACGGATGCCGCTGCTGCTACTGATAACGGAGATGATCTTTTCAAATTCATAGACGGCGCCGACGACCTACTCGGCGAGGATCCGACGACCAATTTTGACGAGCTTTATATGGGCGGCAGCGATTCGAATGACATTGACAGTTACTTTGACTCGTAAGGGAATGGCGAGTGCAGAGATGCGTCGGGGCTGACTTCAGGGTAGTATACCATGGCGTTCCAGGTTGGGGGTAAACAAAGTTCTGGAAAGAGTAGACCATGAGCCAGTAAAGTCTTAATTCAGTGTTCAGGCTCGCAGAGAGGGCCGTTATATGAAGTGGTGGCCAAGGCCGGGTGCAGAACAAAGAGTATGTCATACTGTGTCTTTGACAGAACATTCTGAATAGCAATCTATAAACCAGGCAGTCGAGCAGACCACCGTTGTGAGCAAGTCAGCCGGGGCCTGTGCCCTCTGTTATATGCCGCGCAGCAACTCAAAGAAGCGTGGGTTGCGCAGGGCTGTCCAGTTGTGGTTGAGCAGGTCCCATGTCTCGTTGTAGTTGGTCTGCTTGTTGCGCACATAGTAGCTTCCCTGGAGGGCCCAGACGGCCCATTCGGCGTCGTTGCGGCGCAGGTAGTCGACCAGACAGGACAGATACCGGCTGTCGAGGTGGGAAAGTCCGTTCGGACCGTGGCCGCCGGTCTGGTCGACGCCAAACTCGGAGAGCAGCAGCGGGCCGGTGTAGGGCTGGTGCTGCCGGAGGACGAAGCCGGCGAAGAGGCCATAGAGCTGCTGGCGAGCGCGGCACGGGAGGACATGGGGAACCGTGAGAGAAAAGGAGTACGTGTGCCACTCCCAGACGTGTTTGCCTGCCCAGCCGGTGGTGTTGAGCGGCTGTAACAGGCGGACAAACGACAGGTCCGTGGCCATGAAGGTGCCGCCGATGATGACGAGCACGTCAGGGTTAACCTGGTGGACGAGGGCGCCGGCGCGACCGAGGAGGTGGTACCAGTCGGCGTGACGACCGTCTGCGTCCTGGTGGCGGGCGGCACGCAGCTCGTTGCGCAGCGACAGGGCGACGACGCCGGGATGACGTCTGCTGTTGCTGTTGCTGCTGCCGTTGCTGCTGCTGGAACCAGCCCAGACGGCCATGGCTTGCAGTCCGCGCAGCCAGCGATCTGTGTGGAAGAAGCGCGAGTTGGCGGCGTCGTAGCCGGTCGCCACGTCCCACCAGCCGTTGCCGTCGGTCAGGTCGCAGCACCAGCCGGCCCGGCTGACGTGGTTGTCCAGCACCGTCATGACGCCGCGCGCCCAGAGCGCATCGATGACGGTCCCGAATACGTCGCGCGTCGTCGTCTCGGCCCCGCCCAGGAACGGGTTCGCCGCCACGGCCGCGTCGTGGAGCGCCATCATGTCGCTGATGGGCACGTCGGTCGCTGCGGCCGCGCCGGCAAAGGCGTCGGCGATCGATACGTCCGGGTGCAGCGCGTGGTCCGTCGAGTAGGTTAGCCGGACACAGTTGAAGCCCCGATCCCGCACCCAGTCGGCCAGCTCCGCCAGCGGTCGCGCGTGCAGGCCCTCGGGCAAGTTCACCTCCAGGTGGCCGGCCCAGTTGACGCAGCGCAGCTTGACTCGCGTACCGCTCGCGTCCACGATCCAGCGGCCGGACGTCTGCAGAGGCAGCCGTACCTGGCTGGCCACGACGGCAGCAAGGCAGACCGCAGCCGCGATCGCTCGACAGACAGGCCCCATGCCCGCAAAAAAAGGTCGGAATGGGAGCAGAGGATGACAGCTAATGCAATAGGCCGTGGACGCATGCAGACGGTGATATGACGCTCAGTGGGAATGATACATTGTTTGGAACTTTTGGACACGATCACCAAACCTCGCCCACGGCCGAGGCAGGCGCGAGTTAGGGGGAACGGCGAACAAAATGGTCATAAGAGGAAAGAGCAAATCGGTACGGAGTAGAAATGGAGGCCACGCTCGTTCACTCATAAGTCATCGCTCATTCAATCTATCGAGACAAATCAGGACACAATTGGTGCGAATCAGTATGGCAGTTGGACAGTTAGAATGCATGCTTGAGCAACTACACGAGTACTAAAGAGAGTTTGCAGAGAAACAGACCGCAAAAGCAACAAAAAAAAACTAATGAGATTCGGTGTGCCCAAATATCACAGGGAAGGTGCCAGCCTGCAGCATAATTCGCCGTGAATCCCTCTGCTCCGAACTACGGAGCACTCGTTCGCGGTATATCATGGTTCTATTATAAATACCTCGTCGCTTGGCCGCTGTTATGGAGCCTGCATCTCATCCCTGTTTCAAGCCTCACCTCACACATCACCTGTTCCGGCTATAACTAACTATTCTGTCATTCTCCAAAAGATGTCATGTCTTCGTAAGAGTCATAAAGATAAACATGACTATGTGCATACATCAAAAGCACCGCAAGACAAGTCTTTGCGCCGTCTGCTTGGCTGAATAATCGCGCTGGAGGAGGTAAATACAAAAAGGGTATTCGCGATCTTGTCGTTTCATAATGCAGTCTTGGTGGCGACGTTTATTCAGACAGCTCGGCGGCGCGTCCTGGGACTAGGGCAGGGGTGGTTGTAGCCGTAGTCGTAGCCATGATCATGGATGTGGCTGTGGCTGTGGCTGTGGCTGTGGTTGGCGTCGGCGTCGTGACCGTCAAAGGGATAGTAACCGCTGCACGGATCTCGAGCTCCCGGCGCTTGGTCAGCAGGCTCTTAAAGGCGCCGAGACACTGCAGCAGCGACTCTTCGTCGTGGGCCGAGAACCGGAAGCTCTTCTCTTCCGTGATGATCTCCATGCAGTGCCGCTTCTTGCTGCGGCTCATCGGGTCTCGCTCCACCACGTTGACAATCGATGCAAGCGGCAGAACAAACCGGGCCGCATATTCAGACTCGTCCTTGTAGAGGATCAGGTTCCGCGGGCGCAGCACCGCCCATGAGTGATTCCACTTGCGCATTCCGCTCCGGTTGCGCAGAAACCACAGCCAGCCTTGCCAGACAACGCGGTCCGGGTCTGTCTCGAGATTGCCGATGCCGCTAGCCTGGCTGGCGCTGCGAACGCTGCCGCTAAGCGGCCGCACGACTTCGCTGCCGGCAGCCGCCAACGGCGACTGGTTCGTCAGGCTTCCAATCGACACGCCCAAGGCCGGTACATGACCCTCGCCGTCAGAGTAATCTGATGCCAGCTCGTTGCCTGACCAGCCCCATGGCTCCGTCATGCCGCTCTGTGGGCGTTGCTGTGACGGCTGTCTCGGAGTCGAGATCTGCGGTTCGGGCGAGCTTGACTGTATGCGCTCTTGCTCTGTGTTCTGGTTCTGCGGGCTGGCCGCCCTGCTCAGCTGCATCACGCCGGCGTTGAGGCTTCCAAATGCACAGGACTGGCGCCGCACCACAGGGCTGGCATGGAACATCTCTTCCTCCTCCTCCTCGATGCGTGCTTCTTTGCGGATGCGATCGACCCAGTCCTGCGCGTCCGGGCCAGTGTTGGCCTGGAAGTGAGAGTTCCGAGACGGCGAGAAGAGGCCAAACACATGCTGCCGCTTCTGCTTCGGGTCCTTGAGAAAGGTCACGGCGGTCAGCTCGGACAGGAAGACCTGGTATTGCAGCTTGTCTTCCTTGTCCGACTTGTAGATCGACAACGTGTTGGGCCTCAGGACAAGATAGATTGTCCTCCAAGTCTGCCGCAGACGGACGTTAGCTTCGAGCTCCAAACTCGAGACCTCCCTGACCTCTCTGACCTCCCACACACCTTTGCTTTCGTTCGCTTGTGCAGGTAGCCGCTCTTGATCACCCGGTCGAACTCGAAGGACCCGTTCTGGTTCACGGGCGACAGGTAGGTGTCTACTTTCATCTGGTTCTGCAGAAGTGACGATGCTTTCTGCGGGAGATACAGCGGATTCAACGCAGCAGCGGTAGCGGGCGACGCAGAGGACGCCGCGGTGGTCAGGTGCGGTTGTGTGCATTTGTTCTTCATCGTCGGTGGCACCGACTGGGTCCGAAGTTCGCCCATTGCGCTGTACGCGTCCGCTTTCGCAGGATGGATGGGCGAATGAACATTGAATGGCGCACGAGTTGCGCTGGTGCTTTCGTCAGGATGCTGACCAGTATACTTCTTCGTCGTATGTGGTGGAACGCTGTCAACAAAATTTGGCGGAATATGTCAACAAGCGATGTTGTCTCGTCAAACAAGCAGCCGAGATCCAGAAGGACAACAAAGGAAATACAAAGCGGACAACGTGCTGATTCAGCGTTGATTGCATAAAAAGAGAGAATGCCAAAAGACGCCACAAAATGCAATTGTGAAGGGTGAGTGTTTTTCAAAAGACGGTAACGGGGATGCCAGCAACCCCAAAAGGAGGTTGATATTAAGATTAGGGGGGGTTAAAATGCGATGGCTGTCAAGCAGGGCCAAAAACAGGCTGCCATTGGCGACCAAAGTTGGCCCCTGCGCAGTATAAATTACTCCCGTATACTGGAAAAGTGGGGGTTGCAACACTATGTCGCTGCCTTGAGGCTCCAAAACAATACGTCCCCTTCCTGTGCCCCAGTATTATTTCAACGGCGACGTTAAGGCTAAACGGTTCTGAAGCTTTCGCCAAGCAGATCGCTCCGGCTAGCGGCTGGTCAGACGAGAGCCAGAGTATGGAGTACGTCGTGTGTACGGAGTATGCACGAGGAGTTCGGAAGAAGCCTGATGCTATGCCCTGGTATTTCGATGAAGTGGTGTACGAGATAATTTGTTTGACTGCGGAATTTGTGGACTGAAGGTGGAGGCCGATCGGCCCTGCTGAGATTAAAAGGACGCTTTTGGGCGATTATAAATAGCAGGCAGACAACCGTCTGGAACAATGCCGTCGCCACCAAGACCTTTGCATCCGTGTTGGGCTCAACGTAGTCCCGGGCGATCCGCACTTGCCCGCGGCTGAAGCGGTTCCTTTGCCATCGACCTGTTACATAGTAGTAGTGTGTTCCAACCGGAACCAGCATCGTTTCAGCGTGCTCATCTCTGGTGCCAGTCGATCCAGTGTCGAAAGTAGGCGGAAGGTATGGGGAAGACACGTACAACGTAAGATACAAACCGGCGATTACTGCAGCCATTCAGAGTTGTGTGCTAGCAATCGAGTGGGCCATGACACCAGTTTCGTCTGGCTGCCTCCTCCCAACGAAACGTGTAGGAGGAGGACGTGGCGACTGGCAAGCAGCAAATCACAAAGGCAAGTCAGCTGTCTTACGACATAAACACATACTCGTCATACAGAGTACACGATCCCCATCCCTGTCCCTTTCTTGTCTTGCCTTTGTAATTTTCGCGGAAACACATTGGGCATCCGACAGTGCTACATCCATATTGCTATTGTACGCTGGCAAAGAGAAGCGACTTCAGCGACTACTCGCGCGGAGACGAGAGCATGCCTCCTCTCGCAAAGCGCCATCTAGACCATGTCCTGCCTTGCGCTGCAATCACCATTGCCTAGGCTGCATCCTTCCAAGGCGGCCTCTTCAGAGACCCCCGAACAGTGACATGTTATTTTTGACTTTGTGCTACGTATCCTATCCCATTACGGAGTACGCTTTCGGATTACCGCGTCTTGCCCCAACGGCGAGGATCTGTGTCGGCCTTGTCTCACAGTGGGAACTTCCGTGATGCAAAGCTTGTGTCTCACGCACACGTGACCTGTATACACTAAATCGGGCGAATCGAAGAAAAGTTGCTTACCAAAAATTTCATGAAAGCCAAATGTCCGAACAATGACTTGTGCGGCAACGAAAATACTGTGGAAAGGGCTGTTTCAAGAAATCGGCTGATCAGACCGCCCTTAGAGAGCCGAATTGGCAGAAATGGCATTGCAGACGGAGGCACCGCTACGTTGTAAACGATGCTCGGTCAATGATGCGGTTCTCAAGATCCGGATAGACCATGTCTGCAGGTGAGCGTGGCAGACACTTTCATCTCTATCCTGTTCCTGACATTCCCTGTAGCGACTGTTACTGCCGTTTTATTGCCACCAAGACGGTGAAGCGTCTCGAGGTGCTGAACCGAGACACCAGAGGCACCACACCACAGCATCGCCAAAAGGTAGGGTCGGCCTCCGAATGGCGGGCAAACAACAGCAAGGCGAGCTTTTTGCTCGGCTTGTCTTTTGGACAATCCTCTGCGTCGCTCGTGGCCATCTGTGAACAGATTGTCGTCGGCCGGCTAGCCAAGGGCCGAGACGCAGCCTTCACGCTGCATGTCGTGCATGTCGACACCGATCTCCAGAGTAGCGAAGCAGACAAGAACGGTGCTAGCAGCGAGCAATCTCGCGTGACGCAGCTGCTGGACCGCTGGCGTCTGCGGTTTCCGCGCTTCACGTTCGAGCGTGTGCCGCTGGCCGATGTGTTGGAGCTGAAGGCGATGGACTGGTCCCTGCTGATTCCCCCAGGATCCGAAGAGATGGAAGAGAACGGTGGCGCTGCTCCTTCCTCCCCTCTCTCCCCAGCTGGCCGGCTTCGTGCCATGCTGTCCCGCCTGCCGTCAGCATCGTCACGACAGGATGTGCTCGACATGCTCGTGCGGCGGCTACTCATCGCCCGTGCTGTCGCGGCCAATCATCGCGCCCTCCTCCTTGGCTGCAGCACGACAGCGCTGGCCGAACGCACGCTGGCAGAGACGGCAAAAGGTCGCGGCTTCTCGCTTCCATGGCAGATTCACGACGGGCCGCCTGCTGAGGACACTGGTGCAGACGCTGACGGATCGGCAAGGAGGCCTTCCACAAGCACGCTTCTGTACTACCCTCTGCGCGAGCTGTTTCGAAAAGAGCTCGTGACATACACGGGCTTGACGCAGCCGTCGCTGGCAGATCTCGTCTTTCCACCGCTGCCATCGGCCGTGTCGCCCCTGTCCTCTGCGCCCGCCGCGACCCCTCCCGCCGTCGTCTCACACAAGCACCTCAGCATCGAGGAGGTCATGGCCCGCTACTTTGCTGAGGTCGAAGAGAACTACCCGTCGGTCGTGGCCAACGTGGTGAAGACGGCGACGAAACTGGAGCGTCGGGACGATGTTGACGATGATGAGGACACGTGGACACGAGCATCAGAAACCACAGGAGAAAGAACCACAAGGAGAAAATATCATGGCTGTGGCATGTGTGGCATGCCGCTAGATGACTTGGGGAACGAGCGGTGGAAGGGCGAGATTGGGGAGCTTGACAATATAGACAACACTGGTAGCCAGCAGTCTTCAGAGCCGCGGAGGCTTTGCTATGGCTGTGAAAGATCGGTAAAAGGATAAAACTTGGGACACGGCGACATCGTCAAAGCCTAGTTTTAGTTTAATTTGATTGGTGCTATATAAAGGGAAATCCTAACAACATGCTCTTCTAATTTTGCCTTTTTTTCTCACAAATCGGTTCCTAGCTCCTTCCTCGCCCGTCTATTCAGCCATACGCAGGAAAAAGGGCCTTCCAGGTACTTCCAGGGTGCAATGAAGACAGAACAAAAGGGAAAAATGCCGAATGAGATCGCAAAAGTCAACAATACAAAATACTTCTACAATTATGCTTTTTACCAATTCCCTGGCTATTCTCAGGTGGCTCCCCTCCTCCCCTCATTTTTGCGTCCATCATGCGATCTCGGACGTGGGCCTGGACAGGAGACGATCCTCGATCTTGCGAACCAGCTTGTTGGTCTGCTCGGCTAGCGACAAGGTCAAGATCGTGTGCGGCAATATCCGAGCTAGATGCGGCAAGACGCCCTTGTAGATGGCGAAGAATCCCTCTGTGCGAATGGTCTTGGCCAGGCAGTCGAAGACGCCAGAGTAGAGATTGCCGTTCTGGTTGTACATGCGGGACATGATGGTATCTGGTAGAAAGGGAGACGGGTCAGCAGCTGGCTAAGGGCCTAGGACAGGGCCCAGGAGAAGCTCACCTGGAGGGTGCATGACGACGCAGACGACGCAGCCGCTGGCGGCACTGCTGGTCAGGTGCAGAGCGGGGCCCTCGGTCATGCCGAAGTGCTTCTGCAGGCGGCGCTTGGCGAAGAAGTATGTGGGCAGCTGGACGGAACTGCCGAAGCCGGTGCGGATCATAGCGGCGCTGACGCCGCGGTAGAGCCCACGCAGGCCATCGGCCTGGTGGATCTGGCGCACGCCGTCGAGGGCGTTGCGGTACTTGTGCTGGGTGCCGACGGGAAAGAAGGGAGAGAAGCTCTGGAGGCGCGTCTTGACGAGGAAAAAGGGACTGCCAGCAGCGGCACCGATGATGCCGGACGCGGCGCCGCAGAACATGTTGATCGGCAGGCTCTGGACAGCGTCGTTGCGGTACAGCAGGCCGGATAGGCTCTTGCGCATGGGCTCGTAGAAGCCCAGACGGCAGCCGTTGAGCAGGATCTGGTAGGCATAGGCGCAGCTGATGCCGCGATAGATTCCGCGAATGCCCTCGTTGCGCAAGATCACCGAGACTCCGTGAATGGGCCCGCGGTAGTGATGCGGCTGGTGGCCCTTGGACTGCAGCTCGCCCTGCAACTGCATGCGGATCTTGACCGTCTCAAACGGGTGCGTCGCCGTCACGGCACCACAGGCAGCAATGCCGCCGGCGAGAAAGGCGCTGTCACCATCCGGTCAGTCTGGCTGTTGGAGCCCGAGGGACAATGGCAGAGCAAGGACATACCCTGCTGTTGTCGACATGATGACCTGCTGTCTCTGCCTGTCTGCTGCTGGTACGGCTGATGGATCGGCACAGATATAGCAACCGCTTCGTCCGCCCGCTCAGTCAACTGCGCACAACGCAGCCTTGGCAGCAATCGGTAGCACAGAGAGCGAGAGAGAGGGGGTGAAGTGCGGTATATGCTTGTATTCGGCGTATGCAGCAAACCGGGGCTGTCGCGTGGTAAGATACCAGCGGCTGACTTGCGACGGGTGGGTGCTTTTTTTTCTGTGCGGTTCCAAACCCGAGTTCGGTGGGCTGCAATTATATTCCTGAGTCCGTACGAAATCCCTAGGTCAGAAAAGGCTCCGTGTCGATTGGCATCTCCGCACTCTCTTCCAGCGAAAAATTTCCCACGTACTCCGATCAGCGGAATTCGGAGCACTAATATGACTCTTCGACCTCCAACCAGAGCGGGTCTGGAGTCGCATTTTCACCTTAGCTTGCTTCTGGCCAAGCGCGCTCCAGAAAGGTATGACTGTGGGGCCTGGCTCTTGTACCTGGCGTCTTTGCGTGGAGCTTCCACATTTCGTTTTCATCTTCACCTCTTGCCCAAGATCTCACAGTAACAGTACAAGTTGCAAGCCGCCCCAATTCCGCCCCTTGCCCGACCTCCCACGTCTGAAACCCCATAGAGGTCTTTTAATCGAGCTTGTACAAACACAATATTTTATTTGATCGTGCTGAAGCCCCCAGTGCCGTCACCGCCTTACCTCTGCACAACGGCGTCGCAGCGGCCTGTCCCTTGCGCCAGCAGCTCTGATGGACATCGACTCGCCAGCCGCAGTGCCCGCAAGCCATCTGGGCAACGGATCTCTCAATATTCCTAGGACGCTACGCGAAACCACGACAGAATTGACCACCATTATCTCCAGCTTCCGGCCAACAAAGCTGTTCGCGCGCGAGACAAAGGAGAACAAGCCGACATACATCCTGTCGCTCGACTTTGATGACCCAGGCGAGCTATGTATGACCTCGGAGAGCGACGAGACTCTCCAGATCTACAACGTCAAGGAGGGCCGCCACGACAAGTCCTTGATCAGCAAGAAGTATGGTGCAAAACTCGCTACCTTTACCCATTGGTCTTCTAGCATCGTGTACGCAAGCACAAAACAGAACGGTTCGTTGAGGACTTCATATTTTGCCTGTCCGCATTGGCTTCCGTGTGCACTAACCGGCTGCTCTTCCCCTCTTCCCAGATGCCATCCGCTATCTTGCCACTCACGACAACTCGTTCATCCGCTACTTTGAAGGCCACGACGGGCCCGTCACCTCCATCTCGATGCATCCCGGCAGCGACAACTTTATCTCGTCCAGCCAAGACGGCACAGTCAGACTATGGAACATTGGCAGCAAGCAGTGGACCGGCCTCCTGTATCTGACAAAGCCGTATCTCTCCGCGTGGGACCCTGCCGGCAAAGTCTTCGCCGTCGCCTCGCCTGCCAGCGGGAGCGTGTTGCTGTATGACTACCGTAACTATACCAATGCTCCGCTCTACATCTTCGACATTGTCGAGCAGTGTGGTGCTGTGGACAAGCGCAATCTGCTGCAAGGCTGGACCAAGCTTGCCTTTTCTAATGACGGCAAACACCTTTTGGTCGGCACCCGCGGTGCAGGACACTTTTTGCTGGATGCCTTTGATGGTACCCTCAAGGCATTCCTGCACAAAACCGCAGAGCCCACCCGTCGCGCTGCCGTCGGGGAAGGGAATATCTCTGCAAATGCCACGAGCGACTCCTCGCGGTTCGAGACCAGCGGCGACTGCTGCTTCACGCCGGACGGACGCTACGTCTTGGGCGGCACGAAACAGAACGTGCTCGTGTGGGACACTTTGGGCACGGTCAGCGACAGCAAGGTGTTGAGTCCTGCCTTTGTTCTGGATGACAAGCGGGAGGGCGCCGTGGTCGCCTTCAACCCGCGGTACAACTTTTTCGCCACTGCCGACCAGTCTCTCGTCTTCTGGCTGCCCGACGCAAACGCATGAACGCTGCACGGGAGCTCTCCAAACTATACCACAACTCCTACCTGCCCTGTACACGAGCCTCATATCCGGACGCCCCAGCTCAGGTCTCACGCCTTTATAGCATGGCACTACACCCAATTTTCGGGTACGAACACCAGCTCGCATCCGCTTTGCGACCTGGGGGCGACTCATGATAGAATCGTACGCACCTCGTTCTCTAGGAGCGCAATTGGCAATTGGCAAACTTAGACGATACATAGCCAAGATCGCAAACCCAGCCGCTAAGGATTGTAATACAGTACGGCGTACTCCGTACGCACAGTCAGCTTCGCTTCGAAGGAAGTACGCTCTGCATTACAGGATTCGAGAGCAACTCAGCCTGGTTTAATTGGGTGTAAATGTATAGAGTACGTATATTCGTATGTGATTAGCTAGCGAATAGATGTACCTGTGATGACTAACGGTATGCTGTTGTGGCGGGGTACGCAGGCCTAGCCAGGACCACCAAAATTTCAAACTACTTCGTACTGCTAGTCCGATATATCACAGCGAAGGCCAGCATACGAGTTCGACCGTAAACGACGACACTTGAGAGACAGGGGCACGCGAAAAGCGCATATCAACCCGATGGCGACGTTTTCAACGAGCCAGGAATGGCTACGCCAGTGCACACTTCTGGTGGAAGCCCGGCCCCAGACGGTAAGCCGTCCCCAATTGGACACTTTGCCTGCTGCTGTCCACCATCCATCCTTCCTGCCTGCTCGATGCAGGCAGGCAGCCTGATTGTGTCGCTGACTGTTCGCATCTCTCCGATCGGCAGACCAAGATCACGTCACGCTACTCGGTCAAGCCCAAGCCGGCGCGTCGCGTCAAGAGGGCGGCTGCTGCCGGCAGCGAGGAGGCTCCCAGTGCCGGTGCAGCGAAGCAGACAGCAGCCGCTCCAGCCGCCCACACTTCGCAGAACCCGCGCGCCAAGCTCGTCCTCAAGGCCGTCGACCCGGCCAGCGGCGTGTGTCTGCGCTACGAGACGACCAAGGCGGCCGAGGTGTCGCGGCTGGTGCAGCTGCTCGGACAGCTGAGCCGGCGGCAGGCAGGCCTCGCTGCTGCTCAGGAGACGGCGGAAGACGTCGCCATGACAGAGGCCGAACCGACAGCTGCGTCCACACCCACCCCGGCCGGACAGACTCCCACACAAGCACCCGCACCTGCACCACAACAACAACAGACTGGCGGAGGCGGCAAAGGCAAGAAGAAGAAGGGCAAGCGGTAGTGGTGGATGGAACTTGGAGCGTCTGACTTTCAAGACAGATGGGTATTGTCTGTGATTCTCGTTTATTAGCTGCAAATGTTGCCCGGCTGCTTCTGCAATCCAGAGGTCGTTGATGCTTCCAAAATACAGTAATGTCTCAATTAGCAGCACTTCATAATAACAGAATGTTCAGTGACGAGAGTTGTAATATCAATGCCCAGTGCAAGTGATTTTTTTTCAATCCAGAATCATGGATATCTAATAGTAGTACATACAGAATTATCATCTTGAGCCATCAACCAGTTCATACAATAATACCAAAACCCCCGCGTGCCATGTTCCAAAGGAAGCACGGCTGATATAGACACCCCAATCCCCAAACGCCATCTACATATGAAGTCGGGAGTTTCCTAAAGTGGTGTTGCCAATAAGCTCTCCCACCCTTCCCGAACAGAGCCAACCCAAACATCAAACATCAAAATATATACGGAAGACGGCAAACACTGCCGTCTGGCAAACAGACAACCCTTCGAGGATTCGCTGTTTAGAAGTCCTCGTCGAAGTTGAAGTTGCCACCGTCGACGTTTTCAACGGGCGCCTCCTCCTTCTTGGTGCCAGCCATGACACCGGCCTTCTGGTAGTCACCGGGACGCGCTTCTCAAAGAAGTTGGTCTTGCCACCCAGGGAGATGTTCTCCATGAAGTCGAAGGGGTTGGTGGAGTTGTACACCTTGTCATTGCCAAGAGCAACTAGCAGGCGGTCGGCAACGAACTCAATGTACTGCTTCATGAGCGTAGAGTTCATGCCGAGAAGAGCACATGGAAGCGCCTCGGTCAGGAACTCCTGCTCAATCTTGACAGCATCGACAATGATCTCCTCGATCAGCTGCTTGCTGGGGCGGTTCTTGAGATGCGAGAAAAGCAGGCAGGCAAAGTCGGTGTGCAGACCCTCGTCACGGGAAATGAGCTCGTTCGAGAAGGTCAGGCCAGGCATCAGGCCACGCTTCTTCAGCCAGAAGATGGAGGAGAAGGCACCGCTGAAGAAGATACCCTCAACGGCGGCGAAAGCTACTAAGCGCTGGGCGAAGGTAGACTCGCGGTCCGAGATCCACTTCAGAGCCCAGTCGGCCTTCTTCCGGATGCAAGGAACTGCAACATGTCAGTGACTTGATAGGCAGGCAGAATAATTGAACTCAATACATACTGGTATCGATAGCATTGAAAAGGTGGGTGCGCTGCGCAGTATCCTTGATGTAGGTGTCAATGAGCAGGGAGTATGTCTCCGAGTGGACGTTCTCCATCATGATCTGGAAACCGTAGAAGCAGCGAGCCTCAGGCACCTGGACCTCGGCACTGAAGCGCTCAACCAGGTTCTCGTTGACAATGCCGTCAGAGGCAGCAAAGAATGCCAGAATGTGCGAGACAAAGAACCGCTCATCATCGTTCAGACGGTTGTTCCAATCGTGCAGATCCTTGGAGAGATCAATTTCCTCGGCAGTCCAGAACGAAGCCTCGTGCTTCTTGTACATTTGCCAAATCTATATAAAAAATGTTAATACAACGCCTCTTGCCTGTTAAATGACCACTTAACGCGTAAATTCGCGATGTGACGCGTCAATACGCGTCGTGGTTAGACTTACCTCGTGGTACTTGATGGGGAACAGGACAAAGCGCTGGGCGTTCTCCTTCAGGAGGGGCTCCTCTGCCTCAGCTGCCTTGATAGCAGAGACTGCTGTGTTGTTCTCCTCTTTGGCGTCTACAAACTTCTTCACCTCCGCGGTCTTCGCGGCGCCAAAGTCCAGCTTCTTGACGGGAGAGTCAATAGTGAACGACTCAATAGCCGAAGCAGCCTGAAGTAGACACGTTAGAAGCCGTTCGACAAAGAGGGGTCATATGACGCGACGCGACTTACCATCTTGGACGGGGTCATGTTGGAAGCCATTGCTGATGTTGAGAAGAGTAGTGCCACTTGGGGGGGTGGAGTGCAGTCGAGGGATAAGATGAATGGCACTTGGTGCAAGACGATGCTCAATGCAAGGCTATACAAATGGGAAAGTATGTATCAGACGCGTAAAGCGAAGAGAATGCAGATGGATTGGCAAGGTGAAGAGAGAAGAAAAATAGGTCGGGATGGTGGATTGTTTAAGTAGACTTGAAGAACGCCAAGTCACATGATATTTTAGCGCTGAAATGGCGGGAGACACAACGCGTCGCGTCTTCTTGTGGCAGCATTGTCGTTTTCTCTCGCCTGCAGCCCCGCCAGCCATCCACACATCCACTTTAATTACTGAGCTGGAGAGGACGGCTCGCTGATGCCATCAGTGCACTGGTCCGATAGCCCACGAACATGGGGCTGTGGAAGTTTTTATTACAGATAATCGGGTCCCTTGCCCCTCCGTCGGAGGATTCACGAGGACACGAAAAGTCTTCACGCGGACATACGACGTGAAATGTAGAGACAGAGCTATGTTTAAAGACGCGACAACTCTCCCCGACCCTGGGCTTTTGAGGGGCTCGGTGTCGCGAGTACGAGTATGTATGCGTGTGCGTGTACTTGTACTCGAACTGGTAGGTCGCCGGCTTTCCGCTGTACCTTACATAGTAATGGGGCCCAGACGCGCGACCTGTCAGAGTGGGTGTCCGTTCCATGATTTCACATTCCAGACTATCCCTGTACCTGCCTTGGCCAGCCAGCCACCATCACTTGAGAACCCATATGGTCTGCCCCATCGGCTGTCGTCTTACGAGGAAGACACCGCTCCGTATTTTCGTATGTACGAGTCCAGAGTACTCGTACAGCTAAGAGACTTGTTCCAACACGACATAAGGACGGACACGTCATAATGAGCCGAGAATCGTGCAGATCTAATCAATCTAATCATGACCGGACAATACATACATAGTATGTATACTCTGTACGGAGTACTCCGTACACATATCCTATTACTGCTCATCGTATGTATTGCCTGCGGATGCGGATAGGGCCTACCTTTAACTTGTATCCATACTCCGTAAAAATCCGTGGATACATGTTTACCTTATCTCGCACTGTCTGGACTCGGGTTATCAGATCGAACTGCGTCGACAAATGCTGACAGATGTTGACTAATGTTCTTCATTTACTCCCGGGATATACGTGGTAGATACATCGTAAAAGCACACGGCTCTCTATTAATTCGAGGCCCACATTCTCTATGCAAAAGCAACGCGCGAAACATGCCCTGAGCGCAATGGATGTCCAGAAATACACCAAACAGGTTCGTAACCCAAGTTCCATCGTACAATAAATCATTTGCCCCAAGATCGCTGCGTGTATATGTAAGTAAGTTAGCAGCGCACGCGTCAATCAAACGCGTACGCTTGAGCAGATGCTTCATCCTGCTCTAATGTCTGCCCTGATAGCGCCTGTCTTGTCTTTCGTCTCGGGATTGCACCCCCATCTCCTGGTCGGTCAGGTACGAGTCCTGAGCACCATTGCCGCCCCGCGGCAACTTGGACTGCTTACTTGATTGGGGTGCCGTCCTCGGTCCAGAGCTAGAGCCAAGAGAGTCTCCATCCGCGAGGTCAGAATTAAGAATTTTCTTTCCACGCCTAAACTCCTCTTCGGCCTTCTGGGTGAGGTACTCCTCGAGGATCCACGCGTTGCGCGTGTTGGCACGGAAGATGGCATCGGCGATGTCACCGACGAAAGGCACGAGGCCGACCGCAAAGTCAACAATGATGTTGAAGTACATGCGAGACAGAATGGCCGTCGGCAGGCCGCCGTCAACGTCACGACAGGCCTGGACTACCATGTAGGCCATGAAGACGTCTATGAAGTCACCGATACTAAAGACAGGGTTGCAGTTAGCACATCTGCGTGGCGTGATGCAACCGGGATAGGGCCAATGACGTCAATGTCCCTTATCTGAATGGAGAAAAAGCTTACACAGGAATGAAGCCGACAACACTGCTCCAGCCGAAGCGAATGCCGCAGCAGTTGAACAGGCTCATGTCCAGACGGTACGCCCGTCTGCGCACCTTCTTCAAGACCTTGGCATCCTTCTCAGAGAGGCCGGCGGGGACGCCCTTCTTCTGCTTCTTGACCTTGCCGGTTGGACGGCCGTCACGACCGTAGATGGGGACATCTTCGAAAAACGGATCCTGAAGCTTGTGTTAGCGATTGCAGCGGAACGAGGTGCAGCTGGCATTTGAGTTGCATTGGGGGCCGAGCGGTGTACCTTTGAGTTGATGTTTTTTGTGGCAGCGTTTTTGAGTGCCTTCTTAGCGATAACCTCCACAAGTGCGGACATAATTGCGACGCGGAAATGTGACTGTGAGGACGACTTGCCAAAGCAGATTGGAGAAGAGGAGATTAGTAGTAGGAGAGACACAAGTGCACAAACAGCAGGTGCTGGTGCTTTTCTACTGGCAGGTACAAGACGACGGCCTCCCGGTTCCCCACTGTGCTTTTTCGGCGTGTTTTGGGCGACAAAGCGAGCCGCAGGCGCTGAAAGAAGGATTGGCTGGCAGGCGTAAGGGAGTTGGTTTCAAAAAGCGCCTGTACCGAAAGGCTATTCTTAGTGCAGTGCCCCGTTTGTCTGTTTATAAAGGATCAATGCAAACGGAAACGGCCATGGGGAAAGAATGAAAAAGATGAAAACAACGACAGCCACAAAGGCACTTCTTATGCTCATCCAACTTTGAAATTTGCCCCTTTCATTGGGAGGCCTTTCCAAGACCCTGACGTAACCTAACTTTGAGCTTGTGATTATGGTCCTACGTAGCTTTGAATGATTGCCTGTGGCTGGAACTACCTGCTCGTCGCAAGCTCTCGATTTAGGTGGCTGATTTGCACCGCCACTTCAAGCAAGGTGGGTCATTAGTCACCAGGCCAGCTCATTTATCGTACCACGCAGTACTTTTGGCACAAAATATGCGCGGCCTGGGCCCACCGGTACCTCTGAATACAACGGCGATCAGAGGCATACGATCGTAGTTTTGGTGGCGGCGGGCCGAGTATTGCGTGTATTTTTTCAAGGCGCTTATCAGGCACGCTATCGTGACAGGCAATCTGGAGCAATGAAGAAACCCCACGTATTCTGACGCTCATAGTCTGGTCCCATTTCTTCGCTTCCCTTTCACCTCACCTCGTTTCCTGTTTAGCTCTGGTCTGCACACGCAGTTGGGCTCGCAAAGCCAATCAAGTCTCCCATCCTAAGATCCCCACTACCTCGCTGCCGACTTGCTCGTCGCAATAAGACCATTTCTTACTCCTCAATAGCGACTTCTATCATCCCCATCGTCAGTTTTTCTATCCTTCAAAGCAGGTTTTGACTTGATGCCTGTTCCGTGGCGCGTTGCCATTTCTGCCAACATACAACACTTAGCGACAGCTCAGCTGCATATTTTATCTACATCCTCAGCAGCCAGCCCGCCGTAGCCATCTGCTGCCCAATCAGCTCATTCGCCATCCTCGCTGGGCTCCTCGGAATTGCCCAAGCAAACGGCCCAACGACAAACAGCAGCCAGCCAGCCAGCCCCTCTGGCTCCTGAGCTGTCCCGCCGACCTGGTCGCATCGACGCGTCGCCCCCATCACCCCTCGTCTCGGCCGGAAATCTCTTCTTCTATGGACTTTTGGATATGCCCATGACAGTATCTCAATATGGCCGCTACAAAAATGAAACTAGAAGACTGTAAGTCAGGCTGCGGCATTTCGCCGCTTGGGTCTCTGGCTCTCGACCCGTCTGGCCCCCGCTGCCGTCTCATGCCGAGCTGACTCTACCAGGGCTGGACGACCTCTGCGTCCGCTTTATCAACAACCTTCCCGAAGCAGACTTGACGTCTATGGCACGAATCTGCTTCCTTGTTGAAGAAGCCCACTGGTTCTACGAGGATTTTATCCGTCCTCTCGATACCAGCCTCCCATCCATGAACCTGCGCAACTTCTGCCTCGCCATCTTTCAGCGATGCCCACTCCTCGCCCCCTTCCCCATCCAAGATCACGTCCGCGCGTTCGAAGAATTTCTCAAGTACAAGACCAGTGTCCCCGTCCGCGGTGCCATCTTGTTGAACGCAGCGATGGACCATGCTCTGCTCGTCAAGGGCTGGAAGAAGGGTGCCAATTGGAGCTTTCCCAAGGGCAAGATCAACATGGACGAGGACGACTTAGACTGTGCCATCCGCGAGGTGGCCGAGGAGACCGGCTTCGATGTGCGGGAGGCTGGTTTGGTGCCACCTCCGGAAGATATCAAGTTCATAGAGTCGACGTATCGCGATCAACAATTGCGTCTGTACGTCTTCCGTGACGTGCCCATGGATACATTCTTTGAGCCGAGGACGCGCAAGGAGATCAGCAAAATCCAGTGGTACAAGATAGCCGATTTGCCAATCTTCCGGAAAAAGAGCGCCAGCCAGGGCCAAGATGTCGATGATCCGGCGAACGCTCCACATGCACCAAAGTTCTACATGGTATCTCAGTTTGTCGGGCCACTTAAGAAGTGGGTGGCATACCAGAAGAAGAGGGATGCATACCGTGCCGGGCATACCAACCTCGTACCACAGCCGCCAGTTGCCGACGACGGCCTCACCGAAGATGAGACCGGTGCACAGTCAGAACCACAGTTCCAGGGCTACCAGACTCAGCCACCGGAGGGGATTCTCGACAGCGCCTCCAGGGAGCTCCAGCGGCTACTTAAGACGCAGCCCTCTCCTGCAAGCCGGTCTGCATATGACGATACTCTGGCTTCGATGGATCCGACCGGCTCGGCCGATCCGAGCCAAAACAAGGCCAACGCTCTGCTCGCCATGCTTCAGAAGGGTGGGGATGACAGAATGAGTCCATCTGGATCTCAAGCGTCACTCAATCACTCTTATGGTCAGGCACCACAACCGAATGCGCCACATCAACCAAAACACCAGGAACCATACGGCCCCTACGCATCTCATTCGTTTCAGGCACAAGCACAACAGCAGCAGCAGTCGGCACATCCGCCGCTTCCATTCCACCAGCAGATGCCTTCTCTCGACCAGAGCCACGGTCAGGGCATCTCGGGGGCACAGTACAACCAGTATGGAGCACCGCATCCTGACATGCCGCGGCACCTTCAGTCACGCCAGCCGCAACAGGCGCAGATGCAGCACCAACCTCAGAATTACCCGTATCATCAGCAACAGCAACAGCAACAGCAACAGCAACAGCAACATCAAATACAACATGCGCAGCAAGCGCAGCAAGCGCCACAGAATAATCAGCGACAGTATGCGCCAAACTATGCGAACCAGCCGGGACCATACATGTTCCCAGGAAACGCAGCTGGGGCGATCCGACAGCCACAGCTACCACCACAGCTGCGGCCCCCGATTCCGCTGCTGCACCCCCAGCCATTGCCACCCACGGTGCAAAAGGGGCTGTTGGCTAGGGAGTCATTTGCCTCGCCGGATGTAGGCGAGTCTGGCCGCAATGCTGCTGGAGGCTATGCCAATATGGCGGCCCCTCTTCCGTCGCAGAATATGGCAGCGCAGCGGCCGCCTTTAAGTAACCACGCGGCGAGCCTTCTCAGCGCTTTCAAATCGCATAATGGAGCCCGTCCGGAGTCTGGACCTGGTTCGGGAGGTGCTCCTATTTGGCAGCAACCGCAACCACCACCGCAGCAGCAGCAGCAGCAACAGTCACCGGTACCAGTGCCCAATGTACGGCAGCAATACGGCGATGGCACACCTGAAGAACACCACCTTTATGGCTCACGCATGCAGCCAGCGCCACAGATGGGGCCGCACCCGGGGCCGCGCCCGCAGCCAGGTCCACAGCAGCAGTATGGCAATGGACCGATGGGTTCTGCCGGCAGCTACGACAACAGCAACAGCCCCAGGAGCGGTTCCAACAGCTTTGGCCGACCGCAGCTGGTTGGGTCGTTCCCTGGAAACCAGTACACGCAGTTTGGGCCCAATGCCGCAGCCCCACGGCCTGGCCAGCCCATGGACAACCATCGAAACGCTCTGCTGGGTATATTCAAGCAGCCACAGCCACAGCAGTCGCAGCCGCAGCTAGAGCCAGAGCAGCTAGAGCAGCAGGAACAGCAGCAGCCCCCACCGGTGCCACAGAAGATACCCAGTACATACGGCGATAACTCGCCTAAGGGCCCAGCTTCCGAGACCGATAGGGAGCCGTCAGCTGCAGGACTTCAACTTCCGTTCGGTGGCATGTCGCTGCTTAACCGGCCGAAGGGGTCAGACACGAGCGGTTCTCTTCGGTCCATTCAGCACCAGCAGCAGCATCCGCAGCAGCATCAGCCACATCAGCCACACCAGCCACAACAATCGTACCAGCCACACCGGCAACAACAGCCGTCACCATACGAGCAACAGTCATCACCGTACCAACAGGGCTCTGTGCGCCAGCCCAGCCTAGTATCGACACCGTCTACGGAACCTCCGCCTCAAACCACGTCTTCAGAGGGCGGCAGCGTTGGATTTGCGCCTCCACCGACGACATCATCACGGCGGTCAGACATGAGCTCCGATCACAAAACTAAGCTTCTGTCTCTGTTTGGTATGCCAAAGCTATCGCCGACGGCGTCTGTGAGCTCTCGGGGCAACTTCGATCCGCGGTCCAGAGAGGCTGGACCAGGCAGCGCGGGAGGGGGGGTAGGAGGGCCGCTGCCGGTCAACGTAGCGGCCAATGTAGCAGCAAGTGCAGCTTCGGAATCGTCGAGACGGGGCAGCGCTGCCCAGACGCCCATCTCTTCGGCAGACCGGCACTTTCTGTTGGATTATCTCGCTTCGGCAACGAAGCTCTAGCACGACAAATGGAAGGTGGAAATGTGTTTGAGATGGTGGCGGGATTATCCCTTGTTATCTGAATTGTTATCTTCTTTTTGTCTTGTTCTTGTATCGATTTGCTTTTAGTATATTATGTTCTTGTTTGTCTGACAGGCCACGGCCCGGTTGCGTCTACCCTCTGTTTTTCATCCCCTCGCGGGCGAAGCCGGTCTTAATTCTCATTTCTCTCCTGCGTGTGGGCAAAGAGAGAGGCAAGGTCGTACGGATTGCCTGTTTTTGATGTACCAACAGCAGCGAGCAGCGAGCAGCGTAGGATTTTGTCTATTTCTGTTTCTTGCGAGCTAGCAGCGGTAGCAGCGGTAGTAGTAGTTAATGAAAGCGCACCCCATTGTTGTGACTACGGGCAGTTTCTCGCCTCCGTCGCTCTCGACGGCCGCTGCCGGACGATGCTATGATGCGTCAGTGGCCGACGGGTGGACTGATTCTAGGCCATCACAGCGGTCACGCGATCCCGTTTTAGTGGTCATGCGCGCTCGGCCCCCAACTGGCCGTCGCTTACGTTCGTTCTTTCCCCTACGTCGTAGATTGTCCTCCGGCCTTGATTGCTCCTAATACCGCATCCCACGCCGTTAGCCTTCTTTTCCAAGCCGGGCGTCCAGAGCAGATCACCATCTTCCGATCTGGGATATTGCCTTTCCGCTCCTGATTTCCGCATGATTTCGAAATTGGATGAGTCTTGACCATGGCGGCCGTTCCCTTTATAGAGAGTTGGCATGGGCTAGTCTCATGTCTGTGGTTCTGTCCTAATATAATATCTTGACATCGTGCTGCTGCTCGTGTTGACTCATTTCATACGTACATTTATCACCCATCATCTACATCTCTCCCTCTAGCCCCGATGCTCTATAACACCACACCCGACCAGCTCTACGAGCCGCGCGCCGCCGTCGACCCTCTCGGCTACGGCCGCGTGGCCATTGTCACCGGCTGCGCCTCGGGCATCGGCCTCGCCTGCACACAGCTTCTGCTGGCTCATCAGTTCTACGTCTGCGGCCTCGACCGACGTCCGTTTGACTACGCCAAGCTGCTGCGCGCCACCGACCACGGCCGCTTCCACTTCCATCAGTGCGACCTCACGGCGCCCGGCGCCTGTGATGACGCCGTGCGCATTTGCCACCACTCGTTTGGCGGCACTAACAATCTCGACGGTCACATCGACGTGCTCGTCAACGTCGCTGGTGTCATGGATGGCTTCGCTAGCGCTGACACCGTATCTGATGCCGTCTGGGACGGGGTCCTCGCCGTCAACCTGACCGTGCCCGTGCGCATGATGCGCGCTGTTCTGTCATCCATGGTAGCATCGTCCCCATCCTCGTCCTCTTCGGCCTCGCCCGGCGGCGTCATCATCAACGTCGCCTCCACTGCCGGCCTCAGCGGTGCTGTTGCCGGAATCGCCTATACTGCCTCGAAGCATGGACTGGTACGTCGCCTCCTCTTTGATTTTTTGTTGTACTTTCATCTTATTTTCCTTCCTTCTGACCTCCAGATCGGCGCTACAAAAAACGTCGCCTGGCGCTTCCGCCATGAAGGCATCCGCTGCAACGCCGTCCTGCCCGGTTCAGTTGACAGCAGCATCGGCCAGGCCATCGCCGGCCGTGTCGAAGGTGGCCTGGACTCGGCCGGATTCGCCCAGCTCGCCCCTGTCCACGCTCTGCAAGCACGGCCAGCCACTGCGGCTGACGATGGCAACACAACGGACATCACCGCTCTTGACGTAGCCAAGGCTATCGTGTTCCTGCTGAGCGACCAGGCACGCTCCATCAACGGTGTATGCCTGCCGGTCGACAAGGCATGGGGGGTGATGTGAGATAGGAGCACGCGATGAAGTCTGCCCTGTTGGTGTCTTTATATACTTGTAGCATTGGGTTGGCATTTGTGGACTTAGTCATGTCGGTCGGTCTCTGATACGGAGAGCATTGGAACATCGACACCCTTTTTTGTCACATTCTGTTGTAGCACTGTGGCACAAACTGAAATTGAATGTAGCACTGGCATTTATTCTGCTTGCAACCCTTTTGAAGGGTAGGGGCGTGGAGAGTGGTTGGCAGCCTGGTAAAGCTAACTAGTACTTCTCAAACATCCAGATCAAGTGAAGAGAGTCTTGGGGTATCGTCAGTATCAAAAAGGCACCGCGGTACATCCATAATTGCGACCGCAACGTGACCAACGCACTTAGAAAGACGAGGAAATAATGAGCCGAGCATCAGAATAAGGCCACAACGGTTCCCGCCCATCACAGACTCGTTAGGAGGGCAATCTCAGCATTTGGCGCGCCACTCGTGCCATAGTTATCGTCATCATATTCACTGTTCTCATCATCTCCGTTGGCGAGGTCGAGCAGTTGGAAGCGGTTCGCCACTTTGGGCATGGCGAGCTTCTTGGTCGTAACGGCCACTTTCTTCGGCTTCGAGGATGGCTGGACGTTTTGGTGAAAACTTTCCAGAGGTTGTGCACACTCATCAGGATACCATTCAATCTTGGAGCCCTTGAACTTCCTGTTTGTACGTTAGTCCTCTGAACACCATCACCTTGCACTTCCGACACACTGCACTTACGAACGGCTGATCATGCAAGTTCGAGCAAACAAGGCATTGTGGACGGAGTTGGTGCTGATGTAGCAGCTTCCTTTAGTAAATTCGACCTTGAGGATGACAATGTTGTGGATGTGATCGAGGTCCTCACGGAGCATCTCTTCTGTGACGGATGGGTTGCACCGGCGGATCACCAGGTTGCGCGTGGCTCCGTTCCGAATCTTGTGGGCCACATCACCAGGAAGTGTAAATTGCCGTTCGGCCCAGCAAACATTCACTCGTTTCTGCTCTATGTAGAGGCCGGTTTTCTGCACATGGTCGAAGAAGGCTGTCGCATCGGCTGGGTAGAGAAACGAGATCATGGCAGAGTGGTCATGTGTGCGGATGTAAATATCCAGCACGGGTCCGCCGCGGATAACGGCTACCAAAGCCGCATGTGCGGTCCCGACAGGCATGTTCATGACACGGATAGTCCGTCTGCAGTTGCGTTCGAGCACTGGACCAAACCCCCGGACACCAGCCAAGCCAAACTGTTCGTGACCCTGGCCCTGAGCTCGCGGGACTGTGCTGCGGTCGACATTCGGAGCTTCATTGTTGCCATGAAAACAGTTAAACATGTTGTGTGACCGGTCCCTCAGGATGGGAGGGCCGTCATTGCCGCCGGCACCATGGATGTAGTTCTGAGCGTTGGCGTAGTGGTAGCCGGAACCGAAGTCAGTGTCCGCGTTCTCGTTAGGCAAGCGCCTCTTGAACGGAGCATCATAGAAACTGGTGGCGGACGGGATACGAGTGCCGCCACTGTCTGGGCCCCAATCCGAGCCAGCACTAGTGTCGTCTGTGGCCTCTTGCGGCGGCTGGTACTCGTTCTGTATGGCACCGTCATCCCTGCTGAGAAGCTTATAGTGTGAAAGAGCGGCTCGATTAGCAGAGCACGCAGATACACGATGGGAAGCACGGAGATAGCCTACTGCTATGGTCTCCTCCACCACACCTCCTCGGAGCAAATTTTGTCTGAGGTTAGCTAATAAAGCGAGGCATGCAATGTCAGTCACGGGGATGAAATAAGAATTGGCCGAAAAAGGTAAAAGGTGGGTGTTGCATAGGTATGCAGAGATCGGTCCGTACCATATTGTTGGGCGGCATGCAGCAGATATTCATAATCTGTTCGCGATAAATATATGGCTGCATCTGGTGGTACAGTCTTTGGAAGTGTAGAACTGGTTGGATCCGAGTTCTACCCCATTTGCATGCAGAAAAGATTGAGACAGATGTGAGCCAGAAGCCAGAAGCCAGAACAACGGCAAAGTGGGGAGACCTACGATATTAGCTCTGGGGAAGGCCGTTAGAATCCAATTTATTGATGTACACGACATTAGAGAGGAGAGGCAAATGAGCAGAAGGGGTGTAAAATTCAAATATAGGAGGCGAGGTGTTGGCAGTGTAAGAGAATGGGAGCAAGACGGAGGAGAAACGCATGTCTTGGGCCACAGACCAACCTGCATAGTGAAGGTGTAAATATGGAAGTAAAAGCTCTTGCTCACCTGCGTACGAGAGTCTCAAAATGTAAGCGGTCAATAGTGACCGAATCGTGACCAAGAGATGTCATGGCTGCAGCTTTATGGTTGAGGAAGAAAACGAGAGTCTGCGTTGCTTTTGGCGGGGAGGAAGAAGGGGAAGGAGAAAAGACGGCGGACGGCAAAGGTGCCTGCCAAGGAAGGAGCCATCGGCGGTGGTGAGGGCGTTCCAGGCAGCCGGAGATTCTCAGACTTTCAGGGAGGACAAGATGTCTTCAGCGAGTGTAACACAGCCAAGCCAGCGGCATATCAGAAGCAAACAGCAGCACACATGCGACCTTTTACGGAGTACTAGCAGGCGGTTCGCGAAGGGACACCCCGCCGACGACATGCGCGACTGTGGTCTTGTGGTCTTATGGTCTTGTGGCCACATTCAACGGCCACAGAGGCGCTGAGCAATCAGAACGAGGGATGTGCCGACGTCTCGCGTGCGCTTCACTTTTTGGGCCGTATTGGGCGGCCCGGCCAGCTAACCAACGACGTTTCGTTTACGATAGTGTTGAAACGGTTTTTTTATTCTTTTTTTATTCTTTTTTTCTTCGTGCGATAGACTGATCGGCCAGTAGAGCGGACAGTGAGCCGGTGTCTTCGAGTTGCACAGACTCAGCAGAACGGCCGTCACAGATCTGTCCGGCCTCGCTCGTAGCAAACGTGTTGCGCACACACGTAAGATGGCATCGGGCGTGGCCATGATTTCCCCTCTATTTTTAGCGTCTGCATAAAGACGATTCGCACGTGAATGCAAGAATAACACCACGGCGCTAGCCAGTTGTCGTTGCTGTGGGCCTTTTCGAAGAAGATCAACAAAAATAGTCCGGGCTGCACAAAACAGCGTCCAGACTTCACAAGTCCGAGTAAGATGGTGCATGCGCGACGCGGGGGTGTCCGGGGCCAAAGGCGTACTATGTACTCCGTACATGTTGTGTAGTACTGACACGCTTCGATGTCTCGTATTATTATTAACCTGCAAGCTGGCCGGATACGAGTCCCATGAATGGCGGATCTGCAAGCAAGAGCAGAAGCCCACATCGGCGCTCGTATCCGTCCGTTCTGGAATTTTAGTGTGCCTTCCCTGCGAAGGTGCTAAGCTTTACTCGTACAGCCCCTTTACGAAAGCGGTCGAGCCAATGAGGCGACAGCCAGCAGTGATCGGTCGATTCGTGGCTATTTTATTTTTGGTTCTTCTTCCTCAGCCGCCTTTCCGCCTCTCCCCCTTCCAGCATCGACACATTCGCTATTTTGCTCTGCACTTTCTCCTTGCTTCTCTCGCTGACATCCACCGCTCGCTACCATCTTTGGAATACTGTTGTTTGGCCTTGCTTTGTTTATATTTGATTATTTTTCGGGGACCGCCACTTTCGCTGCACATCGTTGGCCCGGCTGCTCCATTTTGCATTCCACCGCTGCTGGGTCTCCTTGCACAACAGTGCCATTGAAATTAGCCCAACCGATTGTGACTTGGGACTTTTCTGGATCGACATTGGCTTTTGCAGTTGTGTTTCTTGTTTACGTTCGCGCTCGTCATCCCCGTCGCCATAATGAAGGCATCACGATCGTTTGGGCAGTTGGCTGCGGCCATGCTCTCGGTGTCGACTGTGGTCGCTGCATGGCCGAGCTTTCTGCCGGAGCTGGACAAGTTCATCGTGCGGAGAGCCGAGACGAGTACGTGTGCACGGGAGGGGGAGAAGAGAGCGTTGGTATCGGCGGGACGTGGGCTAACGTGAGCAGCGGACGCGGCCAACACATTCAAACTAAACACAGGGACGGAATCGACGGCGACGCCGACGGCGACCAAAGAGACAGCGTCCAAGACGACAGAGAAGGCGACAGCGACGACCGGGACGACGGGAACGGGCAAAACAGCGACGGGGACGGCAAAGACGACGGGGACGGGGACGGAGACGGGCAAGACGACGGCCAAGGCGACGACGGGCAAGACGACAGGCAAGACGACAGGCAAGGCAACGACAGGCAAGACGACGGCGAGCGCCAACTCGACCACCCTGGTAGGCGGGGCAGGCGGGATCACGCTGCTGACGCCGACGACGGTGACGGGAGCGACGCAGCTGTACAAGATCGGCGACTACGTGACGTGGGTGTGGAACTATACGAGCCTGCAGGTGACGCCGACGGCGCTGGACGTGCTGGTATCGTGCAGCTTTGCGACGAGCACGTACACGCTGACGCAGAACATGACGTTTGAGACGCTCGGCAGCTACACATGGGACACGGCGGCCTACGAGACGGATCATGTGAACGCGCAGCTGCTGACGCAAGAGTACACGCTGATCATCTACGACGCCGACAGCAAGATGACGGCGGCAGCCGAAGCCGGCTACCTCGACACGTACGACAGCTTTACCTTTGGCATGTACGCGGCGCAGTCGTACACGGGCCTGGCCGACGGCTGGACGTGTGCCACATGCAGCGGGGCGGTGTCGGACATGGAGAAGCGGGCGCTCGGCTTTGCCCTGACCATGAGCATGGTCACGGTCTTGAGCTTCACCTGGTTCGTCACCGGCATGCGGCTGACGCTGTGAGGTGACGACGGGGAGGGAAGACGCGAACTCGAACTCTTAATACGTCCATACAGGACACGCCTTTGTGCATTTGCATCTGCATTTCGCATTTCGCATTCTATTTTCCGATTTCCGTGTTCCACGCTATTTCTTACATGTTCATCCGGGTCCGACCGAGCTCCTGTCCATTTCGCACACTCATTTTGCCGGCGTTGGCATGCTTCTGTTTTTATCGTCCTAGGTGGACTTGGTATACATTTTCGGGGAAGGAAGGGGGTTTAAAATGCTCATGGAACCACATTACAGTCTGGGTTTTTCTGCACATCTGCATCATGGAAGGGACAGAGGAGGAATGAAGTATCATGGCCACCCAGCTAGTTTCTAGTTTCCCGCGTAACGAATCCAGTGGACCTGGCTCCAAGTGAATAAGAGTGCCGGGTGTATGTAGTCATGGCGATCAGACCATGCGCAGGGAGAAGCCGGCGCCGCGTTCCTCCTTGTCGCGGGCAGCAAAGATGCCGGCAAAATCGACGGCACCGAGGTCGAGGTCGGTGGCAGCCAGGGCGCCACGGACGGGGGCATTGGGGGTATTGCGGCGGCGGCGGCGTTCCTGGCCGGCCTTGCTGGGGAAGGTCGGGAACATGGCCTCTGGCTTGGCACGAGGGTCCTGGCGGAAGTAGTCATGGTCGAGCATCTGGCGAGCCGACGGACGACGGGCGGGATCGAGGGCGAGAAGGCTGCCGAGCAGCTGGCAGCCAGCGGTAGTGAGAAGGGGAAAGCGAGAGCGAAAGGAAGAGGTGCTTGCAGCTGCAGTGGATGGGGGCAGCTTCAGGGCGCGAGCGTTGGGCAGGCGGCGGAAGCCAGGCCAGGAAGTGTCGGTAGGCAGACCGCAGAGGTCGAAGATGCGGACCAGCTGATCGGCCTCGTTGCGGCCCTGCAGCAGGGGTTCACGGATGAGCAGCTCGCCAAAGATGCAGCCGACGCTCCACATGTCGACGGGCCGGCCATAGCGGCGGGTGCCGAGAAGCAGTTCCGGGGCGCGGTACCAGAGGGTGACGACGAGGGAGGTGAGGGAGGGGGAGGAGGAGGAAGAGGTGGAAGTCGAGGATGCCTCCTCGTCCCAGTACCGGGCCATGCCAAAGTCGGCAATCTTCAGGCGGCCGCGGTTGTTGAGCAGCAGGTTGGACGTCTTGAGGTCGCGGTGGAGGATCGAGTGGTCGTGCAGGTAGGCGACGCCAGCCGCGAGCTGTCGCAGCAGTGTCTTCACCTCGGAGGCCAAAAACGGCTGCGGCATGTCTTCGAGGATGGTCCGGAGGTCATGCTCGACAAAGTCGAGGACGAGAAAGATGGGCTGTTGCTGTTCCGCGTCGTTCCCCCCCTCGCCCACCACGACCGCCCGTAGACGGACAATGTTCTCCTGTGTGCAGTCTCGCAGCAGCTGGATCTCACGCAGACCCGTCACCGGCAATCCGCCGCGATCGGCCGCGTCCAGCTTGAGCCGCTTGAGTGCCACCACCTCGCCCGAGGCCGCGTGGCGTGCTCGTGCCACCCAGCCGTACGCGCCCTCCTCGATGTCGTTGAGCTTCTCGTAGGCCTCGACCGAGCCGCACGGTTCGGTCAGCGTGCCACCCGCGAGACGCAGCAGGCCGTCGCCCGTTGTCTGTTCGTGGGGGGGCGATCCCCCTGTGTCGTCCGTCGTCGTCCTCCGTCGCTTCGACCGCCGTCCGTCCCCGCTGTCGACCGCTTCCTCTTGTTTCAGCGCTCGCTCCGCCGCTCGCGCCCGCCGCTTCGCCTCCTTCTCTCGTCGTCGCTGTGCCTCCAGGGCCGCGTCTTCGTCCGCGTCCGCCCAGCGCGACTTGGCCGCGCTCGCCATGGCTGCCTGGTCGTCGCGTGCTGGCCGGGTGACGCCCTTTTGCCTTTTGCCTTCTGCCTTTGTCGTTGCCGGTACCACGGAAGCCCAGACAGATGCAGGCGACAGATGCGGCCGTCCGGCGCTGGCAGAGACAGCTTGTCTTGGTCAGAAAGGAAGCGACCTGCCGCTACTGTTTTTGGCCCCAGCTGTGCGGCTGGCCAATCAGAGCGCTGCGTTGGTGGCCCAAAAAAAAAGAAAAGACCTTCCTACTATGCAAACCCCAGTCCCAAGACTCGCTTCAGCTGGCCAGACTCGCTCAGCGTTCCCATCCCATGATACAGGCACTAAGACAGGCAGCTCGTCCGAGCACGGTGCTGCTCTGCCGTCCGACCGGTCTTGGTCGGCCACGACTGCTGCTGCCATGGCGCACAGCTTCTCGCCCTCGGCACCCTGGCTGCCGGGGCTTCTCGTCTTCGGGCGCGCAACACGAAGCGGCCGCGGAGCGCAGATGGTCCACGCCGCTGGCCAAGCAGCTAGCCGAGGCGATCTCTGTAAGCATCGCACTACCTACTACAGCTGCACCGTGTACATGCTAACCCACAGGCCACCGGTCCCGTTCCTGTGGCGAGCTACATGCGCATGTGTCTGACCTCGGATCTGGGCGGCTATTACACCGGCGCCCTGGACAAGACCGGCCGTGACCCGTTTGGGCGCGCGGGCGACTTTGTCACGTCGCCCGAGGTGTCGCAGGTCTTTGGCGAGCTGGTCGGCATCTGGTTCGTCGCCGAGTGGATGGCCCAGGGCCGGCCGTCGCGGGGCGTCGAGCTGATCGAGGTCGGACCTGGCCGTGGGACCCTCATGGACGACATTCTCCGGGTCCGTTGCCTGTTCTGAGCTGTTGTGCGGTTGTTGCCCCAATGCTTATGTGCTGACTAAGCAAGACTGTCCGCCATTTTGGTCTGGCCCAGAGCATCGAGTCCGTCTACATGGTCGAGGCCAGCCCACAGCTGCGGCTGGCCCAGAAGACCCTGTTGTGCGGCCACGATGTCGCGCTGACCGAGTCCAGCCTGGGCTACCACGGCGTCAGCAAGCATGGTTCGCTGCCGATTGTCTGGACCGAGACGATCCAGTCGATTCCGCAGAGTGAGTCTTCCGAGAGCTGACCTCTTGTCTTTTGCGCCCGTCCTGACCTAAAGGCCTGGAAAACATGTCCTTTATCGTCGCCCACGAGTTCTTTGATGCTCTGCCCATTCACGTCTTCCAGTCTGTGGCCGTCCCGGCTGGCCAGGGCTCATCGACAGAGGGCAGCTCGAGAGAGATCGATACGACCACTTCGACCATTCCATCTTCCTCTACCATCACCACCTCCACCACCACATCCACCACCTCCACCACATCCTCCACCACCACTTCTCCTATCCCCTCCTCCACCTGTACCTCCTCCAACTCCTCTTCCTCCCATCAGTGGCGCGAAATGGTCGTCTCGTCCACGCCACCCGGCTCAACCCACGACAGCCTGCGCACCCCCCCCTCGCAGCAGCGTGATGGCCCGCCGCCCGACTTCCAGCTGACCCTATCGACCGGAGCCACGCGCCACTCGCGCTACCTGCCTCAGCTGTCGCCGCGCTACCAGGCTCTGGCCGCCATCCCGGGCGTCGTCGTCGAGGTCTGTCCAGACGCCGCTCTCTACGCTACTGACTTTGCCGTGCGCATCGGCGGCTCTGCTGCTCGGCCACGACCGCATCCTGCTGGCGCTGCCCTCATCCTCGACTACGGCCCCGGCGATGGCACCGTGCCCATCAACTCGCTGCGCGGCATCCGTCGTCACCGTCGTGTCAGCCCCTTTGCCGAACCCGGCCTCACCGACCTCAGCGCCGACGTCGACTTTGGCGCCATCGTTGAGGCAGCCGTCCGCGCCAGCGATCGCGTCGAACTCCACGGCCCCGTCGATCAGGCTGACTTCCTCCTCCAGATGGGCATCCGCGAACGCGCCCAGGCCCTCGCTGCCAAGGCCGCTGCCAGCCCTGCCGCTTCTTCCTCATCTACCCCCTCCGATATCGACCGCTCCTGGAAACGCCTCGTCGATCGTGGCCCCGGCGGCATGGGCAAGGTCTACAAGGTCCTCGCTATCCTCCCCGAGAACGATGGTCGTCGTCGTCCCGTCGGCTTCGGTGGCGATGTCGCCCAGTAACACCACGTCCGCTGCACGTCCGCCTTGTTCTGCTCTGTATTCCCAACATACATACTCCGTTTATGCTATCTGTTAGAGAAACGCCCTAGTAGAGAATCTAGAAACGATCCAAGAAGCAAGGAACAGTAATCACACTTTGTCGAGCAAAAACAACCCAGGAACAAAACTGAAAAAGCATGCGCAATAGAAATACAATGTGTCTTGGCTTGAATATAACCAAACCATCCTCTTTTTCCTTTCCCTTCCTTACGTTCCCCCGCCGCCTTCCCGTCCTTCGCCTCGCCTCCTCGTGTCCATCTCTTCTCGTCTTCACAGCCCTCCTCTATCCTTCCTCACTTCTTATTTCGCACCAGGCCAGACTCCTCTTCCGAATCGTCTTCCTCGTCGTCGTCTTCCTCGTCGTCTGAGAACTTGTCCGCATCTTCTCCTACCGCAAAGATGGTCTCGCCGTCGAGAGAGTCCCGTGCTGCTGTCGACGACGACGCCTGTACCGACCTGCTCGCTGCTGTCGGCTTGCTGCCAATCGTCGCCTCTTCCACGCCCGCTGCACCGCTGCGATCCAGTCCCCCGGCCTCCTGTCGCTGTCCGTTGCCCAGGCCGTCCTCGTCGTCCTCGTCGAACTCCTCCGGCACGCCAATATCCATGTTGGAGATCTCAAACGTCCCGTCGTCGTCCTGCGCGATCTCGTCGCTCATCGCAAACCGACGGTTGTTGGCCGACGGCCGCCACACGTACGCCACCCACGCAACATCTGCAAAGTACACCAGGTTCGGCCAGCCATCCAGAATGAACCACCGCGTCTTCCAATGGAACGGCACAAAGTCCGGGTCCCTAGCCGACGCGAACGAGAAGCTGTTGAGGAAGAAGAAGCCAAAAATCACCACGATGCTGAGCAAAATGCACCACCATAGCTTCTTGTACATGCTTTCCTTGGCATGTTGCTTGCGTTCCCGCAGGTCCTTGAGCGTCAGGTTCAGCGAATTGAGCGTCCACACATAAAACGCCGTCAGCGTCGCCGCCAGCGGGAGGATGATGAGCAGCACATAGGGCCCTGTTATTGATTAGTAATTATGCCCTCTTGCCACACGCAGCTCGAGCATCGCATCGCAACTACTCACCAACATCGTCTGGCTTGACCAGCAGACTCGTGATGGCATACACCAGGCCAAAGACAAAGTGTGCGATGGCGAGCCAGCGCACGTAGATCATCGTCCGACCCAGCGACGTCTTGACCACGCCGTAGCCCATGCACACGATGAGCAGCAGGAAGAAGGTGAAGGAGTTGCGGAACGCGTTGAGCACGGCCACGACTACCAGCATCACCTTGGCTCCCACGCTTGAGCCCTTGCGGTTCATAAAGTCGTAAAAGCCCCAGGTCATGAGCATCTCCGCCACTAAGAAGATCAGGATCGCCGTGATGTAGTTCTGCACTGCCAGGATGTCGCTGCGATGCTGGTAGTACATGAACCCCCAGAACGCCACCACCACCGCATACGATATCGTGATTCCGCCGTAGAACGGCAGCTTGGGGATCTGTGTCGCCGGCAGCTCACCGTACGCGCTGCGGAACTCCGCCACCGCGCTGTACTCGGAGGCGCTAAACGGCGCCGTCACAATGCAGAAGTAGCCCGTCTTCTTGATCTCGTACATGATCGGCTGGGCCTCCTTGAGGTGCACCGCCTTGTTGTAGATCGGGTTCTTCGACGCCTCTGTCGCGTTTGGCTGCAACATGAACCTGCCGACATCCGACGCGTTGCAGTGGCCTTGCGACACATATTGCGGCTCGCAGATGATGAGTTTCTACCACACACTGTCAGCTATACCTGTCCCCGACGTGGACGCACGAAGCAGAATACATACTTGCTGGTTCTCGTCCGGTAAGATCCCGATAAGCGCCTCATCCTTCCACTCAAAAATGAGCACGCTGACGATGGGGTCCACCGGCCCGTCGTACTTGTCGAAGACGACGCTGATGAACGGGTCCGCAGGGCCGCCCCAGGATTTTCTGCTGTACATACCTGCCATGCAATATCCACGTCAGCCAGGCCACCTTCACCACTGTTCAAGCCTCCGGACACATAGTTCAGCCTTTCCGTCGTCACGTACCGGCGCATTGCTGTCTGTAGTCGTCCTTCTGGTTCTGTTCACGGATGCAATGTCAGCACGGATCCAGGTGCACACATGTGCGCGCGCATACAAAGAGCGCAAGCTTCGCATCCGACATGCAGCTGGGACCACGTACAATTTTCTCTTCAAAGGCATGGGCTACCGTCGCTGCACAAAGAGCCAGCGCCAGCGGTGCCAGCATCTTGGAAATCCAACGCGCCATGGTTGGCGCCTCGTCGTTATCAGACGCTCGTCGCAGAAAGGACGGTCAACAAGGCTGTTCCACGTTTCGGCTGGCCGAGAGAATCAAGGTCGGATGGACACCTGGGAAGGCCGAGAGGCCGAAATCAGGAGAGGGACGGAAAGGCAGGTCGCGCAGAAAAAATGCAGCCTTTCATAGAGAGTGCTGACACATCTGGGATGATAAACGGTGGCGTGAGGTCCCCACGATGCTCGGCGGCTGCGATGTGTACAGGACAACGAAAGAACGGTTGCGGTAGTGTCTGCAATTTGCCTGTCATCCTTCGATGCAGCAACAGCTGGCCCCAAGATGCCGGCCGATAAGATAAAAACCCGCTAGCGATCTTACGTATGCACGCTAACCCGCTCAGGGAGCTTACTCAATAATACGAGGTCTCGCTCCCGTATACGAGCATTCAAAGGAGCTTCCAGTCCTGCTGGGCGCACTGCTCTCTTGACGCATCTGCTGGCTTCGCAGACGGTCCCTGGCCAAGGCCAAGGCGCAAGTACGGAGTACAGCTCCCAGCATTAATGAAATGTCTGGCAGGCAGACGAGACAGTCAGGCATCTGCTCCTATCGACTTTCCCTCGACCCATTTTATTATTTGAATATCATGTCTCGCAACCGCCCACATTGGCCGACGCCATGCAATGTACAACATGTCTGTCCACAGCTGTTTATGCCTTGACTTCCTCCTCCTCCTTCGCCTTCTCTTCCGTCGGCTCCGCACTCGCCTGGACCGGATATGGTACTGGCCCACCTGGCGAGTCTGGCTTTCTGGCCGTCAGGATCTCCACTCCCGTCTCAGTGACGAGCAGGGTATGCTCTGTGGCTGTTGTCAGCGGCCGATAGACGGATGCACTGCAGATTGCGGGACAACTTACCAAATTGTGCCGTCCGCTTGCCGTCGATTGTCGTGCTAGTCCAGTTGTCCGGCCATGTCACGTCACGGTACTTGCCCAGAGCAACCATGGGCTCGATCGTGAACGTCATTCCGGGCTTGCACTCGCCCACTGCCTTGTTCTTTGCGTAGTGGGGGATGTTTGGCGGGGCGTGGAAGACGGAGTTGACACCATGGCCGACGTACGTTCGGATGACCGTGCAGTTGCGCTCCTTGGCATGCTTCTCAATGGCGTTTCCGAAGTCACGGAACAGAGTGCCCGGCTTGACCATCTTGATGGCTATATCCAGACACTCCCGCGCCGTCTCGATCACACGCACAGTGTCCGGGTCCGCCTTGGCGCGGTCTCCGACGTAGTATGTCTCGTTCAGGTCACCGTGATAACCTCCATAGTACAGGGTGACGTCTAAGTTGACCAGGTCGCCGTCCATAAGCAAGCGCTTGTCCGGGATACCATGGCAGATGACTTCGTTGACCGACGTGCATACCGACTTGGGGAAGTGGTTGTAGTTCAGAGGAGACGGATAGGCCTACGCAAGACAGAGGCGGCGGGGGAGAGGGAACATGTCAGAACAAAGGGAAAAATAACAGCTGGGATAGCAAGCAGGTCACGGACATTACGCTCAAGGCATGCCTTGTGCACTATCTCGTCGATCTCGTCCGTCGTGATGCCAGGTCGCAGGGCGGCTGCTGCGATGTCGAGCACCTCGCGAGCCAGACGGCCCACCTTGCGCATGCCCTTCTGGGCCTTAGCATCCAAAATCTCGATGTTGTTTGGCCGCAGGCGTGAGCGCGGCGTCTTGGGATAGCCGTCTTCCGCATAATCAGGGTGGGGTATGGACTTCGGAACAGTGCGCCGAGGAGACAGAGGATACACAGGTCGGAGCGGTCCGGTGAAGTGAAAGTTCGGGAAAGGGTTGAAGTATCCGACCTCTGCCCTACGTCAGCATACAGATTCTCAAGGTCTATGAGCTTTAGGCAGCTGCGTACTCGTCTCCTTTTTGTGCATAGACTTGTGCGTCACCTAGGCCATCCTTACGTTAGCTCTGGCAGAAGTGATGCCGTTTTCAAACATTGGGACTGAGCTAACCCAGTTTCTTCCAAAGCATTCCTGGGAGCAGAAAAAGCTGTCCTTGATGCCAAGCTTTATACAAGTCGGGCACTGGAGCGTCCCAGCATCATTGTCACAGTCGGCCCCAAGGCACTTGCGTTTTGCGGCCGGTTCGTCAGCCATGGCGGAGAGCTGTCGGATGGGCGAATAAGCTCAAGTTATTTATTGTTCTGGGCTTCAAAGTTGCTAGAACTGTGCTTGTTGGAGTGTAAAAGGTCAGAATTATGTGAAGATAAATTCATGTGCCATTCGCGCCTTTTGCTCTACATGCAGATGTAAATTTTCTGCCGGGTTTAACAGGTGGGGTAGTGCTTACTTCGTATCTTGCCATCGCATGAGCTAAAGTATACGTAAGACGCGCCGTTAGGTCACATGACTGTACCGTTCGAGCTCTATTACACTCGACAACTCGTGTTGTAATAATAGCCGACAGCAGTAATTGGTCCGCCTTGGCTGCCTTGTGAGACGATTTCTCGAGCCGGAAAAATGGTTTCATGAATGGGCACTATTTTGGCTTTCTCTTGCTCCAAAGACTCTACTGCCGCACATAACAATGGCAGGCAATTCAAAAACAGTAATTGTGGGCGCCGGACCAGTTGGATCCCTCGCTGCTCTCTATGCTGCTCAGCGAGGCCATGATGTGGAGATCTATGAACTTCGCAATGGTGAGTAAAGCAGCCGAGGTTGTTTTTTATAAAACCGCTTGTTGAAACTCTCGCCAAAAGATCTCAGAGACCCGCTCACGACGCCACTCCTTTTCTCAAAATCCATCAACCTGGCACTCTCTGAGCGGGGGATCAATGCGTTGCGGCAAGTCGAACATGGTGCCTTGTTAAGCGAGGTTTTCAAAACTACCATCCCTATGCGTGGTCGTATGATCCACGGGAATAGGCCGTCTGGCGAGCTCTATGAGGAAGCGCAAGACTATGACGCCCACGGGCGGGTTTGTTTTCCCCTTCTGCTAGTCTATGCATGCCGACAAGTCTTCTGACATTCAGGTTTTCTCGGAAGACCATTTTTGCTGTCGACAGAACTGGGCTAAACGGCTGCCTGTTGGACGCCTTGGAACGGACGCCTAATGTGAAATTCTTCTTCAACCACAAGCTTACCGGCGCTGATTTCCGGGCCCGAAAGGCCTGGTTCGAGGTGCAGGATGCTGGGGTCAAGGCTACTGGCCGGGCGCGAGAGATTGAAATAGATTTCGACTTGCTGATTGGCGCCGACGGTGCCCACTCTTCTGTCCGATATCATCTGATGAAGTATGCCCGGGTGGACTACAAGCAGGAGTACATTGATGCTTTGTGGTGCGAGTTTCACATGGAGCCTCGGAAGGAGTCCTCGCCAGAAGATCCCATGTCTCGATTTGCGATATCTCCCAACCATCTTCACATCTGGCCTGGAAAGAAGTTTATGTTCATTGCTATCCCCAGCGATGTAAGCAAAAGACTATTTCGTCGTCAGGATGCAATCCACTGACAATTCGACCAGGACGGTTCATTCACATGCACACTGTTCATGCCATCCGCTCAATATGCCGTCTTGGAGACGCAGCCTTCTGAGGTTCCGGCCTTTTTTGACCAGCACTTTCCGGGGGTGACAGCTCTGATCTCCCCTGACAACCTTATTGCATCCTTCACATCCAACGCGCACCTTCCACTCATCAATGTGAACTGCAAGCCGTACCACTTCCAGTCGTCCGTGGTGATACTCGGCGACGCTGCCCACGCCATGGTTCCATTCTATGGCCAAGGTATGAACTGCGGCTTGGAGGATGTGCGTATCCTGTTCTCGATTCTCGACAAATACGAGACCATGGACAGAAACGCCCCTGACGACCAGAACGCACAAGGGATACAGCTCACACAACGAGCGCTTGCCCTGGCTGAATACACCGCTCTGCGTGTGCCTGACGCCTTTGCCATCAACGACCTGGCTCTGAAGAACTATATTGAGATGCGGTCATCTGTGCTGAGCCCGACATACCGCCTGCGGAAATATCTTGAGGAGCAGCTGTCGCTGTACTTCCCGAGCCTGGGCTGGAAGACAAAGTACGCGCGGGTCTCTTTTGGCAATGAACGATACAGCGATGTAGTGAAGAAGAGTGAGCATCAGGGCAAGGTACTTCTCAATGCCTTTATAGGTGCCATGGGAGTGCCGATTCTTGCCGGCACTATTGCCCTATTCTGGAGGTACAGACGTTCATAAAGAAGTATAAAAAGGTGAATGGTTGCTGGAGACTCTCGGACGGCAATTGACTCGGCACGTTTTGGGGGCGAAGCTGTGATAAAAGGAGCTGCAACCGATCCATGCGGTCGGTTTTATTGGCGCCTCTGTCCATGTCCGTCATTTCACGGCTTTGCCCGTTGCGCCACTCATTACTTTGTTTCACATCCTTCTTCTCTCATTCTATTTCGGGGTTCGCCTTGCTTCCTTCGGCAGTATCTTGCCTTTTCAGCTGTTTTTGATCGGACGTAACGTATTATCTTATCTCACCGCTGTCTGCCTTGCAGCTACGTATGCACGTCCAGACAGGGAGTGGCGCAAAGGCCCGGCTCTATTTGCTAGAAGATAATGCGGAGATGTGGAAAGCACACTAGCGATGCAGATGGATTCTGTTCATACATTACATAAAGAAGCGATGCTGAAGGTTCTCTCAGTGCTACCGAATTGTGATAGCGACGAGGAGGGCAAGAGCAGAAGACCCGCGATAGACTCCGCTCCGGCCACCCTTCTTACCTTCCCTATGCAGCCAGGCTCTGGATTGATGCAAATAGGGATTTCCACAATTTCTCAAATTGACCGAAACAATAATAGCCGCCTCTCCATCCACCCTTCCTAGCAGATATCCCCACGATCACCAGGCATAGCCAGCGTAACAAAATCACGCTGCTGACTGCCTACGGCTAAACACACCACCCTGCCAGCTAATTCCCGATCTTAATTCCCCTCGCTCCAAAGTCGATAGTTTGGGCCACCGAACTCGGTCGGCCGACGTGCTGAAAAGTGAAGTGAAGTCAATACATACGACTACGAGTAGTAAGAAGGTCGAGCGAGCGACAGAGAGAAAGTGCGGGAAAAAAGGATCGAAAGAGGAAAGGCGCCATGCAGGCTTGACGAAAATCCGACACAGAGACAAGCCTGCAGGACGTTAACGGTCCATCCCTTTTCTCGTTTTCAAGCACTTCCCACTTTCCCCTTGTTCCGGTCATTTGAATCTCGGGACGCGCGCATTGCCCAGGAGACCGGGCGACTGGGAAAAAGGTCGACGAGGCGGAGGTGGGACGACTGCTTGAGATTCCAGAACCACTCCGCGTCTGCTATCAGATGTGAATGTGACGACAGAAGGATTTGGGGCTCTGTCGCGGGGCATTTGGCCGGTCGCTCAGCAAAGAGAGGGCCTGGTATCACTTGTGCCGATATCAACACACACCGACCCGAGCGCTGTGGACGAGCTGTCCTGCCGCTGAGACCAGACTGCCATCCAAGTGCCTAATCTCACGCCTTCCGACGGTGCCTGCACCCCGCCAAATCGTGAAGGAGCCGCTGCACCCAACACGCCCAACGTCTTCGTCTTCACCTTACCGTCTCTCTGCACAAAGACCCTCTTTTCCTCACTCTAGCCATCCTCCATCCTGTCCGTCTCCTGACTTTCCCCGTTCTTCGCTTGCTGTCACGAGCCTGGCCGCGATACTCCGCTACGAGCACGGAGCCCTGAAACCTTTGGGCTCATGGTTTCGCTCTTTGTGGACTAACAAGACACCCCGGCTCCTCTTCCTCCCCCATTGTGGCCCCCACGACCTGTTTCTTTTTCCCGGATCTCCTGCACCGCTCCTGTCGACCTTGCGCAACCTGTCTCTCAGAAGTGCACGACATTCCGAGACACAGCTCTGGTTTCCCTTTTGGAAAGGCAACCCTGTTGCAATCACGGCTGTAGCCATCTCGAAACAATGACACCGTGTGCGCCTCCGAAGAAGCTTGCCCAAGCCGTTGCCGTATCCCTCGATCTCACTGCCGAAGTTGGTCTCGAATCGGAATCGGAATCGGAATCTGAACCTGAACCTGCAACCGACCCCAAACTTTGTCACAAGGCTGGGCCGGTTGTGTGGCTGTCATCTGCACTGCCGGTGACGTCGCCGCTTCATCACCACCGTCTGCAAGCCGAGTAACACCGCAGGACACTATAGTCCTCGGTGGAGAGCAGGGGCGGAGACGAAGACACCAAGGCCTGGGAATCACAAAGGGGATCCATAACCTAGCTCGCCATTATCACACTTACCACATCAACCTAACTAGCACATTTCTTTTCGACATAGGCGTTGCTCTGGCCGGTCGGAGCTGACGGTTACCCGTACCGGACTTGGCAAGCTGTAGTTGCAAACCTGAGTGTGTATCCTAGCATCTCGCCAGCCGTTCCCACTCGCCTTCCTCCTTCATACTCGTGTTCTCGTGAGGGCAGTCCGTCTGCACCGGAGCCAGTGCCACCATGCCGGCACCACACGTCATCGATCCGACCCAGTTGGACCTCAGCACCGAAGAGCTCACTCTTCTGCGGCAAGGCCAGTCTGCTCTAGCTGGCTCGTCATCATCCCGCGCTGCCAGTCGGGCATCGTCTCAAGGCCGCATGCTGCTCGACAGCAACTCGCTAGCGGCACTGGACGTCTATTTTGAGCGTGTCATGAACCACATCCAGCAGCAACTGCAATACCTTACGGACCAGACACAGGCTGCGACGATGGCAGTTTACGACCAATCGAATCAGATGATTGTCGATGCCGATGCTGAGATTGCCCGTTTCACAATGATTAATGAGCAAATAGACGAGCTCGAGCTCGACTTTGATCGCATTGCACACATTCGAGAGATCGTTCACGACTTTCGCCAGCGCATTGAGGATATAGAGCACGAGCTAGAGCACTCGCAGCCGTCTTCTTCTTCCCGTCACCGTGATGGGCGTCGATCTGAAGGCCATTCTAGTCGACACCACCGGCGTTGAGAAAGCGTTATAGGCACTACATTCATGCAACACCCCCCTCATCTCTACACCCCTACACATATACACACTAGGTAATGAAATTTTTGGAAGAATTTGGTGCATAAGGAAAAGACAATAACCCTCCTACAATGTCGATATATTACGCGAATACGATGAACCAGGCGAGCGGTAAAATGGAAGACAACAATGAGCCTCACGGCCGGCAAAGAAAGGATCGCCTCACGGCTCGTTGAATTACGATAGTTTTTATTCTTGTATAAATTTATTTTTAAGGTTGGGCAGGTTTTTGGTTTTTTTTTCTTTTTCTCAAAATATAGGCATGTTATATTTACATTACTAGGTCCCCCCTTTTTGTTTCCTCGCAGATTTGCCGACATCATTTGTTCGCGCTACACCCTTATGGCGGTTATGTCTCTTCCTATTGCGCTTTTTATAAAACGTCCTTTCGCTTCTGGCTGGTGGGCGGTGACCGTGTTAATTGCCATAGTAGTGTGTCTACCCATTAGAATGCAGAGCTCTGTGAAGCCTACGTGTAGGCCCCATCAAAGAATGTGAACTTATAGAACTCGAGTCTAGTCAGAGAGATTGGTGGAGAATGTCTGTCCGACTGCTTGCTACTGGAGGGTGAAAGGGTGATAATCGTTCGGCGACCAATACGTTGCGCCTCTTGCTTGACCGCCTTTCTTTATCACAGCTTCAGCCGGATTGCCGACTTGCCGTGCTTCTTGACACGATGGCTTGCATTGCAGACATGAGTCCACCCTGCAGGCGACAAAACGGTAAGATGCAATATGTACGCGTCATTTTTGCTATCAGGGTTATTTGCCTTTTTTGGCCATATGGCTGTTTGACAACGAAACGTCTGGTTTCTGTCCTGGTCATTACAACTGAAAGCTATGTCGTGGGTTTGAATTGTAAATAATGTGAAAAGTTCTAAAACCGTGCCAATATCTCTCCCAACCTAGACGCCTGACTTGCCCCCACTCACTGCAGAGATAAACTAATTACTATGGACAATGCTAAAGGACCCAGACCTGATCAATGCTTGCGTCGTCCCGCCCAAACCGCTCTCGTGTTTCGAGGGTTATATCTCTTCAATCTAAAGCAAAACATGTGATCTCCACTAGTCGCTGTATGCGCCAATACTCCCCGGGCTGGAGTCGTTGCGTGGAGGGGCACTCTCCTCGACACTGCTCCGATACGATCCGACGTATCCGTCAAAGGGTGGCGACGCTGATGACGACTCGTCCGGCTGCTTTGCCGGCTTGTTGTCGTCTTCATCGGTCGCCTCGCTGTCCGACTTATCACTGTCGCCGCCCAACGACGAGAGCGAGTTGTCCGAGTCGCCCACAAAGAGCACCTCGGACCGCATGTGTCGTTTGACAAACGCCCGCTGCATAGCCGCGCACCGGATGCGCGTTTCAATATCCCGCTGTGCAGCCGCCTCACGCGTCAAGTCCTGAATCTGCATGCGCACGTCCCGTGCCAGCGTCGGGAACCAGCCCAAGTGAGCCTTGCACTTGCGTTTCCGGCACATGCCAGCCGTGGCCGCCTCGTAACCCGCAGGGCTGTCGCTGGCGCCATCTCCGTCGTCATTCTCGCCGGGGTGTGCCAATGGGGCTGTTAGCCGGCCGGCTTGGAAGATGGCAGCGCCCTCTGGGCTGGCCAGAAACTGCTCAAAGTGCGGCTGCACTCCGACATGCTCCAGGCGGTCGTCGTATCCGCAGCAATCACGCTCGATCAGACCGGCCTTGATGGCTTCGTAATTGCGGAACTTGGCCATATCGAGCAGCTCCAACATCTTCTTGCACATGCCGTACTGCTCAGCGAGGCGGCGACGCTGCGCAGTGGACGTTTGCGTCACTGCGCGCTCCTCGCCGGTGAGCAGCGACTCAGGGTCGACTGTGGGAGTTAGAAAACGTGGACTGGCTCCACAGCCAGAAAATGAAGGGAACGTACCATTCTTGTCCTGTGTCAGGCCATGCAGTAACATCTGCGCGACGCCCTCCTGGTTGCTGCTCGCGAGGACGGAGACCAGCTGCACTGACGTGAGCTGGTCGATGGGCATCTTGTCCTCGGGGATGGCACCGCTGCCTTCTTTCCGCTGGTCGATGCGCGCCAAGAGAGCATCCCACCACTGGTCCCGGTGTCCGTCGGAGCAGAAGTAGCTGGCCACGTCCGGTGACGCTGGTGACACGTTGTCCTCGGCATACAGACGGGCAGGCCGTCGACAAGACGGAAACGAACAGAGCTTGCGGAAGCGGGTGATATAGCGTTCGGGTATGGCACAGGCGGGACAGATGTAGCTCAGGATCACGCTCTCGCCGAGCTCCTTGTCGATCTTGACGCAGTCACCGTGGAACCAGTCCTCACACTGGTCGCATTGGATCATCCAGCGGTGGTCATCAGGCCCGCGGCAGATGCAATACGGCCCGTTGTCGGACGAATCGTCGTCGTCTTCTCCTTCCTCCTCCTCACTGCCACCTTGCTGGTCGTCGTCCGAGGCAAGGGAAGGGGTAGTGCCCGCCTCCCGCTTGATGCCAGGTGCAGGAGATCCACCAGTCTTCAAGTTCCCCCCATTGGAGAGCGCTGATAACTTTCTGCTGCCACCTCTTCCGCCGGATTTCAGTCCGTTGCTTCCACCGCCCCGGCCCCCTCCCCTGCTGCGGCCACCACCGCGGCTAGCACTGCTACCACCACGTCTCCTGGATGCGCCGCCGCCACGACTCCTCGCTCCTCCCATCCTGGGCTTTTTTGCTGGAGTAGTCGTAGCAGATGGTGAGGGATCTGGCTTGAAGGGCGGCCTTTCTGTCGCTGTCGTTGCTGTGGCGGTAGTTGTCGAGTCGGTTGCATCCGTCATCGGAACATCGTCGTCAGGTAGGAAGGAGTTTGCCGCAAACGAAGCTAGATTTAGATCTGTGTCTGCATGTGCATCGACCCCAGGCGACAGTGAATAGAGAGGGGAGGGGGGCTGCGTCTGCTGAGTCAGCGGCGTCATCGATGCTGGTTGCGACCGGTTGTGACTGCCGTTGTTTCCTGCTTCGTCGTCATATTCGATTTTCAGGGCAGGCACGTCCGCCGAGCCGCGCTGGGGATTCTGGCTTGCCCGAGCCGCGTCTAGGAGGGGGCCTGCTTTCGACCCCATTACGTTTGTTTGTTGCGGGCAGCCCGGCGCAAGAAAGAGGCTATTGCGCGCAAGTGTGTCGTTGCATGAGATGAAGAATTGTCGTGTGGGCGCGTAGGCGCGTAATAGTAAAGTTTAGGCCAAAGCAGCTTGTCTAGAGAAAAAGTGGGACATAATAGCATATTAGCTTTGTCAGTGGATGACGGCCAGATTTTCGCGATAAGATGACAGAAGCATTTTTTGTCGAACGACCTATCCGTCAACCTGCACAACTTTGGCAGACGAAGCTTTGGCAACTACGCCTGTACGCTTACGACGGCCTTTTCTAAGGCAAGAACTATAGACCACATAATCTCATCCGCTCCCGGTCTCACGATGAGCCGGCCACTTGCAAAGGCCATGCCCCTCATCGGAGCTTGGGCCAGCCTTTCCTCGTCACAGAGCGCTCGCTGCGCAGGCCGCAACCATCGGTCAATTGCATCCTGCTCATTCAAGAGCAATCGGACATATGGTGTTCAGCGGCCGCTGCTCCCGGCAGCACGGCTGACCGGAAGCTCAGTGTGCGGCCCACAGCGTCTGCCACTGGTATCAAGGAGGACGTACAAAACAGTGGAGGAGGCCAAGAGCCGGCATCGTTCAGGGGTATGCGATTTCTGATATATGCTTTGTTCCAACACACGTGCGCTTACTGACTGCAACCAGCCCTTTTCCTGGAAAGCAGGCGTCCTTTTTGTAGCAACTGGTGGCGGTCTGCTGTGGTACTTTGAGCATGAGAAGGAGCGCATGCAGCGCAAGCGGGTGGCCGAGGCAAACAAGGGCGTGGGCCGGCCAAAAGTAGGCGGTCCGTTTGAGCTGCTCGACCAGAATGGGCGGACGGTGACTGATGCGGACCTCAAGGGACGCCACTCGCTGGTGAGTTGGCTTGCCTCGTATCTCTTTGTTCTTCTTGTCCGACCCCTGGTGCTAACAACCGGCTAGGTCTACTTTGGCTTCTCGCACTGTCCAGACATCTGCCCCGAGGAGCTCGACAAGATGGCTCGCATGTTTGACCTCGTGGAAGCCGGGCAGCCCGGCGAGCTCACGCCAGTGTTTGTGACCTGTGACCCGGCACGCGACACGCCCGAGGTGCTGAAGGAGTACCTGGTCGAGTTCCACCCAGGCTTCATCGGACTGACGGGAACCTACGACCAAATCAAGGCCATGTGCAAGGCTTACCGGGTTTACTTTAGCACACCATCCCAAGTGCAGCCAGGACAGGACTATCTAGTCGACCACAGCATCTACTTCTACCTCATGGATCCGGAAGGCGACTTTGTGGAGGCCCTGGGGAGGCAGCACTCCCCCGAGGAGGCAGCCAAGGTGATCCTGGAGCACATACAAGACTACAAGTCTGGGCGATGAAAAGCGAGGAAATAAAAACAATGGGGCAAGACACGTGTGTATGATGGGTTTGGTGGTGTAAGATTGTATCGAGTATGCAAAGCCAAACAGCACACCGGGCATGATAAGGCCCAGACGGAGAAAATGGACAACGTCCCTCTCTACTTGTATCTTACGACTCGATCCGACCAAACGGACGCCAAAAGTCCCTGAAAAGTTCCGACACATGTAGGATGGCATCCCTTCCCCACACTAAGTCAGGTACGGCCGCCTGGTCCTGCGTCGGGCTAACTATGCCGGGAGTCGCAGGAGGTGTGCCGTCTGAGCCGCCAGATGGACGTGGTATTTATAAACATAGTCCTGTGTCTGGTTCGTGGTTTTGGGAAGAGCGAGAGGGCTTTGGTGCATTCGTCGGCAGCTTCGGTTCGTAAACTGGGCCACATCTGGCGTGGGAAATGTGGAACGAGATCTGGACATATTTCGACGTAGAACGATAAAGAAGGAAAGTCGCTGGACGACTTACGTAGCCGAGTGGAGCGCGCGGAAGGGAGGCCCTTTTTCCGCTGTTATTGCCGGGACCCCAACGCCTCACAAGCAATGAATATTCTTCTACGAGTACGAGTACGGAGTACGGAGTACGAAATACGGGATAAGGACCGAGGAACAGCTCCAGCTGTCTTTGTCTCGACCTCTCGCAGCGGCTGTGCCTTCCTGCAGGCATGTGCTGTCTACGAGTGCTCGTATCGCGCCTTCCTCACCGCATGCTTGCGGTGGATTGGGCAACTGCGACTGCTGACGTGCTACATGTTTGCCGCGCTTCGCTATCGTCTCCAATGTTTGTCGTTGCAATCGGTTGATTCTCAACTCCCCATCACAACACCGACAATCCTGTTCTGCAGCTGGTAGCCGTGCCAGCCAGAAGACGCCGCTATTCGCGCACACAATCGCCACCCATTCGACATCCTATCTCTACATAAAACCACCCTCCTTCTTTGCACGGCGCAATCCTGTCGTCCGCCCCGTCGATCCACTTGGCCTCTGCTCTTGCAGCTCTTAGCTCGTGGCTCTCTCCTCTCTAGATGGATATAGCCGGGCCCGTCTTGCTGCGTTTCCTGGACGTTCCTGTCTAGGCGACGCAACTAACAGACACCAAGTATGCACAGCCCAACCACGCCAACCCGCCCTTGGAATCTGTGCGCCCCTCCCATCACCCTCTAGCCGGAAGTACAACTTCGTTCTATCTTACATAGTATTGCTTCCTCTTCGAATGGCTGCACATGTCTGTCTGTCTGCCTGCCTATCTACCCTTCCTTAATCACAGTATAGCCTGCACATATAATATGTGTGCTTGGATGTATGCGTATTAGCCAGCGATAACAGCACCCGGTATCGTGGGAAGTGGTCGGATGATTCAAGTGCCTTGTCTTACCTCTGGGAACTTGGTGTGCACAACTCGCACAAGACAGGATAAGATGCCAGAAAGTTGAAGTGATCCCTACCAATGCCCCATCTTCTCTACGACTGGAAAGGCACTCCGACACGCTAAGGAGCAACCAAGAACAGGACGACGGAGACAGACCAAACGGGCCGCGGCCAACAATCAGTACACATAACCCTGCCCCTGCCCTCACTCTTCCTTACGTCGCTTCCCCTTTCTCTCTCTTCTCTTTCTTTCTTTCTAACCCCTCTCGACAGCTTCTCTCGTTTCTTTGTCTGCCGTGCCACTGTCTGTTGTCTGTTTTTGATCTGCCTCTCTGTCCTGCCGCTTGTCTGGAGCCAGCCTTCCAACACCATTGTCCTCTATTTTGGCTCGTTCGATCTCGCTCTGCACCGCAACCTGATTCGTCATCTGGATTGCACTCCAACTATCCAGTCCCCATTTGTGACGAAACGCCCGTAAAATGGCCACCACTATGCTTCCCCACCATTCTCGGGACTTCATGGAGGTGCTGAGCCCCGAGGACTTTGAGACGGCCTCTATCCGCTCTGCTGCTCCGTCCTATTGTGAGTAACTCATCAACACCCTCATCAGGGCGTGCGAAAGGGCCTGGACTCCGGCTGCTGGCGGGGCAGCCCTGCGGTCAACCCCGCGTGTGTCGCTATTTTGGCACAACCCCCCCTGCACCGTTCCGTTCTGGTCGCCGATTGGCATGTCACCGATGTGGATTCTTGGCTAATACGGTTGTGCTCCGTGCATCCAGCTTCCGAAACGCCGTCAACCCACTATACCGTCCCGAACCATGCCGGCGGCTCTTTGCCCCCGTACGCGCCACCGGAGCGTGTGCCCGGCGCCGCCTCATCCAACCGCCACAATTCTGTTCCTTCTGCACAGTCGGCTCCCATGGCCTCGTCTGCTCGGCGCGCCGGCTCAGCATCAGCTGCTTCCGGCCTACCCAGCATCGCGAGCTACGGGCTCTCTATGGACAACGATATAGGCCGTCGCGGCGAGATGCCCAACCTGTCACAGTTTCGCATTCCGTCGTGGTCCAGCATCTCGTCGAACCCCAACGCCCGCCTCTACCACTCCGTCGCCCTGCGCCGCGTCGCTGCTGCCGAGCACGCCTCTGCTGCTGCCGAGATCGGCGGCCTCATGCGACGTCTCGCCATTCTCGAGCGCGCCGAGCTGGCGGAGGCTGTTGCATCTGCCCGCAACGGTGCTAATAATAGTGGCAACGCACGAATCGGCAGCAGCCAAGCCACCACCCGCCCTTTGGAGGATCCTCACCTAGTCGGAGAGGCTGCTGCTCGCCGTACCCGTGCTGCACGACTGGCCCGTGACACCCCTGCTCCTGCAGACGACGCTCTCATCCGCGAGGATCGGCGCTGGGACTGGTTTCTTGGTTCGTTTGCTCGCCCTTCCAATGTCCCCTCATCACGCCACGGCCTATCGCTCGCCCCGAGGCGCCACATCCGTCTGCATCCGGGCTTCATACGCTGTTAGACCTTGGACTTGGACCATCCCAGACTAACGACTGTTGCTTTGCACTTTTGTTTAGGCCAGATGAAGGGCCGTCACAGACCCGGATGGAGCCAGTCGTCTTCCCGGATTCGCCGGCAATTTGATGTTACCAGACTGCCGGCCGCCACTATGCGGCACATCCGTACTGGCCGTCTGTAAAGGGCAGACCGACCTACAGATGCCGGACGAGATGCAGGCGTCTTGGGATCCGTGAAATACATCTTCTCTTGTTTTGGCCCCCTTTTGCTGGTTGTCGCCATGCATCGGCACGGTTCAGGTTTCAGGAATTTCCAGTCGGCTTAGTATCTTACACTTTCCCGGGTTCTCATCGCATATTTTGCTGGTTGTACTGGGCGCCGCATGGAAAGCTATAGGGGCAACTACTGTGCATGTTTGGGCGTTTTGTTCGGATCTCTGTTTTTTTTTCATGTCTCTTCATTGTTATGATTATGTCGGCAATTTGATTGCCATCTCCCTCCAGACGCTCCCTTTTGTGGCTTGTTTCTGTATTGAATGCTACTGTCAAGTCGTGTTCCTTGGCAGTGTATATAGACTGAACCCTTATAGCATCATGTTCTAAGGCAATATAACAAGGCCTTTCGCGATAGTCAGCGCTTGGCGTGTGCGCATATAGCTGTATTCCTCTCTACCTCTCAGCCAACTAAGCTAACTAATACACCATCTCTGGACCCAATACGCGTTACAATGTGTTACATATGCAAGATATCCTAGCGGTAATAAATCTGCTTCACATACTGGCTCTCTTTCTGCTGTTTCGAGGACACCGAAGCCAGTCCATATCAATCAAAGCAAAACAAACGCCTAGCGCCAGTGTGTGAAATGCGTCCGTCGTTTCCTGGATTGACTCTTTATCCAGCCATGGGACAGGGTCCCCCACGATTAATCCCCTTTATTCCCCCCCATCCCCCCCCTCGTTTTGACCGCCGTGGGTGATACATGAAGCAGTGGATAGCATGTACATCCAGCTATCTGGAACTTGCGTATGCCACGCGTTGATGCTTGGCATGTAATATAATCTTAATGCGCGTCTCTGAGGGTGTCGCCTTAGCCCTTGCTCTTGGTGTTCAGAATAAGTCCAACAATGAGTCTGATTCTTTGGTTAGCCAGATCAGCGTGGAAGAGGCAAGCGCCTAGATATAAAGGGAAAGGGCAGTGGACAGTGGACAATCGTACCCATAAAGTCCCAGCACCTCGCCGAAAATAAGGATCAGCACCATGCCCACGAAGATTCGCGACTGCTCCATGTATGCTCGCACGCCCTTGTCGCCCACGACGCCGATGCAGTAGCCGGCTGCCAGTCCGGTGGCGCCGACTGACAATCCACATGCAAGGTGCATGAAGCCGCTAAGAGAGAAGATAGCATGTCAGCAAGCTGTAGCGGTTATTGGCTTGCCCGAGCTGGGTCTTGGCTTACTTGAACAAGCTGTAGTTAGAGCCGGAGCTGGGAGGCCCGAGATCCTGTGCGATAAGCACGGCCATGACGAGGGCATAGACGGCAATAATACCAGACATGACGACGGGAATGAGACACTGGAGGACGAAGACATTGCGTTAGCAAAGAGTCGCCTATCGCGACAGAGAACGCATGGCTCACCTTCATAATCAGATCTGGCCGGAAGGTACCCACGCCGGCGATACCGATGCCCGACTTTGCCGTGCCGTATGCGGCTCCTACGCCTAGCGATCAAGATACATGTTAGAATCCATTGTCACTGCAGGGAGGAAGCAGATGAATTGCAGGCGCAGAGAGATATCGAGCATCTGTCAAGGATTGCCGGACGAGGGAAAGCTCGGAAACATGACGTACAGCCTAGGATCATGGCGCTCGCAATTCCGGCCTGAACGTGGAAGGGGGACGTTAGCTGGCGTACAGGTCATTTTGGTGGCAGCGGCAGGACAGAGGGACGCCGTACCATGCCGAAGAAGGGCGCGAACTTGGGAGAAAGCACCGACTCTGCCATCGTTTCCCGCTGGTGACGATGCTGATGGGAGAGATGGGAATCGGGAGATGGAAGGGCGTTCGACAATGGCAGTAGAGTTGAAAAGAGCGGAACGTGGAGCGCTGCACAAATAAGTCGAGTGCTCCGAGGTGTGGCGATGGAGAATCTCGATTGGCGTCGTCCTTGTTGCGAGAGCTTTCCGTGCAAGGCAGAAAAATAAGGGAGAAAGAGAGAAGACAGCTTTCTGAGACCCACCAGCACAGCATAGAGCATCAGTGGGAGAAGCACTGAGCACCAATGCGTGGTTTGTTTCTCATGCCCCACTCTGTATGCCAACGACTAAATGCAATTGGTTGTAGAGAGACGTAGTCACGTGCCGAGCGATGCATATAACGATGCGACTGACTCGGAAAGGGAAAAGGAGACTAATAAGGTAGCAAAGACCAAGAGGAGCACTCGGCCAAAACAGGGCACCAGCCGCTCTCCTTTCTGCACGGCCCAGAAATGGGTGAGCGGAAGCGTCCAGGCGACAGGAACCAGGTTTTGTTTGGCGACTGAAATCAAGCCAGTCAACGCTGCTGTAGCAGCTGCTGGAGACCTGTATTAAACACCAGTATGGGTTATGCGGAGTAGAATGTGGGTCACGCGTTTTATAATACCGCATACGTGAATATAATGCAGTTGTGCAGTAATACGTACTCGACTCTCCGCCAGTGCCCCATTTCCCGATCTCAAACATCACCGCTTTCCCTCCCGTCCGCTTATCCACCCCCCTCCCCAACGACAACTAGATTTGGGTCAGGTCTTCTCTTCCACATACGAGGACATCCTGCCAGCAGCACCTGCTCAGATCTTCGCCCGTCCTCCTCCTCTTCCCCCCACGATTCGCGGAGCGGCCGTTGAATCTTGGGTTAGTGCTGAGTACGCTGCTTTTCTCCCTCTTCCTCCTTTTCTCTCCCCTTCTGTTCTGATCCCCTTTCTCCTTCTGCTCGCCCTGGCCGTCTCAGTTCTCACACCATACCCTACGGTTTTAGAAACGGCCGCTCTTCACAATCCCTTGTGGATCGATTTCCAATTTATCTTCGTTGTCTAGCGCCATTACGAGAAAATTTGTCCCCGAGTTAAAGGGGCCAATTCTCCTGCCCAGTCTCCTCATCCATCTCCGCAGCATCTCGACGTGTCCAAAGCCTGCAGCGCTCACTCAACAGCCTTCCCTCCTTCCATCCCTCTCGGCTCTTCAACCGCCCTCGTGCATCATCGGATTGGCTGCCTTGTCCACCGCTCCCTCCCTTGCCGAGAAACGGTCCATCTCCTGTTTAGTATCACCAGACCACAACGTCACATTGGGCTCGACGGCTGGGGAAAATCAGGAGAAACATAGCCGCACCGCCTCAAACAAGACGCCATCTCACTGATTCATCTCTCGCCTCCAAGCCCCTTTCGCTGAAGCGTTCTGGCTGATACGCGTTTATCTCGAAGCTCTCCGAACGCTACTCATCCGCCAAAGACGCGGAGCAAGACGGGAGGCCGGCCTCGTGTGGCATCAGTCTCAGCACCTCTGCCCCCCTTCCTGTGGTCTGGACTTGTGCTGCAGCTCGCTACATCCCAGCTCTACACGACCATCATCCGTCGATGAAGGGATCTGCCCTGTCTCGGTGATCGTCCAAGAGCAAAGACGTCAGCGCCTTTGGCTACTCCATATAATCCCCGCTCTTTCTTTTAGCTTGTGGAACAGCCAGACAGCTCCCAAGCGTAGAAGACAAGACGAGCCTGCGAGCGGCCAAGTTCGCTGAGGCTCCTTTCAAGGTCGGCTTGGTGGCCTCCGGGCCTAGCAGATGTGAGTTCATTTTTTTTGGGGGGGGAACAGGGGGGCATACAAGTTCGAGCACCACACCCCAACACACCGCTGAGCCTGGCTACTCGGGCGGTGTATTTGACACCATGAACACTTCTCTGGTCTCCATATGTGTACAGACGCAGATTCGGTGTGTTATTGTGCCGTTTGTAACGGCTTGATCTGTTTGCTTGCTCTCTAGCCATGTTGGGCTTTTCTCCCGCGTTCCGAGTTCTTCCTGCCCACTTTTCAGCTTCAACAGCTCATACCCCTTCAGCAGCACCTAATCCACAGCCTTGCTAATCAGCTCTTTACAGACAGTCTGAAGACGGATCTTAGAAGCCCCAACTGCCGCCATGGTGGACTATCCGTCGTCTAGCCGTAGGCCGGTACCTTCGCGGTCCCAGGAGTACGACAATGCGCCGGGGCACGCACCAGGACATGCGCCAAACTACCAGCGAGATGCCGCCTTCTCCAACATATTCGGTGCTGCTCCTCCAGCCGGACGCTCCCAGACCATGACATCCATGACTCCGCCTGATCTGATGGTGTCACAGCACCCGCAGCATCAACAGCACCAACAGCACCAACAGCACCAACAACACCAACAACACCAGCAGCGTCCTCAATATGCACAACCGAGTGGCTACGATAATGAAAGAACTGCTTCCCTCCGACAAGGGCCGCCTCCCCAAAGAGGGATGGTGCCTGGACAAGGTGGACTGGGACCTGGGTACAACGAACAGCATTACGAGCGAACGAGGACGATGGACTCGAGCTTGGCACATGTGTTGAGCGCTGGGGGCTACTATGCAAGACCCGGGCTGCGGTCTACATCAGGCGGTCCACCTGTGCCGTCGCCAAGCGCCCAGTATCTGCAGCAGCAGCAGCAAATGAGACGGTTTCCCGGCCAGCAACCGCCGCCCCGACAAGAGTCTCGTGCTCCGATGCCTGCGGCACCAAACCGAGGAGGTCCACCAGGCTCTGGGGGACCGCCAGACCTGCGCACTCCTACCCAGCGTTATTACCAGAGCAACGGACCAGCACCGGCGCTGAACTCGGACGCGTACCGGACGCAATCCCTTGCCAACATGCCTCGGCCGAATCCACAGGCCATGTACCAAGCGCCACCAACCCCGTACCAACAAATGCCTGCCCAGGCTGGACGCCAACCGCAGTATGGAGCTGGCAATGTTGGCAGCGGTGCGGGCCAGCACCTGCAATCCAACACCACGGCCCATGGTCGTGTTGTGCCTGGCCGCCACCCCGAAGACCGGACGATGTCCATGACTGGAGGGTTTGCCTCGCACCCTGACCGGGATGCGCATCAGACGATGAGCGGACGCATTATCCCGAACCGGAGAATGCCGGGCTCGCCGGGCAAGAAGGAAGGCGAACATGGACACCAGGAACACTACCACCAAGCCATGCCGGCAGCGCCCGGTACTCAGACGAGGACGACCAGCATGGCATCAACGACAAGTGGCCATATTCCCAGCAGCGCTACTGCTGGCAGCATATCTGAACGCACCATGTCCATGGCATCGACGCTGGCACCATCGATTGCAGCGCGGTCTGAAAACGGCGAGCGCCCGCCGACAGCCAAGATTCGTCCGCCTCTTGTGTACCCGGCACTGTTGTCTCGCGTTGCCGAAGTCTTCCGGGAGAAGATTGTCATTGGCGACCGCACCAAGAACGAGCTCTCGTACAAGAATGCATTTAGCGGTGCCGAAGCTGTCGACGTTTTGTCCTTTATTATTCGCACGACCGACCGCAACTTAGCTCTGCTTCTGGGCCGCGCCCTCGACGCGCAGAAGTTTTTCCACGATGTCACATACGAACACCGGCTCAGAGACTCGACAAATGAGATGTACCAGTTCCGTGAAAACCTCGACGATATGGCCAACGAGGAGTCCGGTTCTAGTCAGAATACAAGCAGCAGCGTCAACGGTGTGTTTGTGCTGCTGTCAGAGTGCTATTCGCCGACGTGTACGCGCGATCAGCTCTGTTATTCCATCGCGTGCCCGCGACGCCTGGAGCAAGTATCGCGGCTCAACCTCAAGATGGGACCTGGACTGCAGGGTGCAGAGGGAACCGGGGCCATGGTCGGCGAAGACGACGCGGATGTCACGGACGAGCAGAAGCTCTGGATCAACTCGGTGCCCAAAGAGGTGGCAGACAGCACCAGCGACCGAGAGAAGAAGCGACAGGAGGTTATATCCGAGATCTTCTACACAGAACGCGACTTCGTCAAGGACCTGGACTATCTGCGCGACTTCTGGATTCTGCCACTGCGGGCATCCACGTCGCCTATCCCGGCTGCCCGCCGCATGCATGTTGTCAGCACCATCTTCAGCAACATCATCGACCCGCCAGCGATCCGGGCAGTCAGCGCCCGATTCGCCAAGTCGCTCACGGAGCGCCAGCAGAAGAGCCCGGTGGTGCACCACGTGGGCGATATATTCCTAGAGTTTGCGCCGCTGTTCGAGCCTTTCATCCGATACGGTTCGCGGCAGCTGGAGGCCAAGTACGAGTTTGAGAACGAGCGCAGCAGCAACCCGGCCTTTAGCCGGTTTGTGGACGAGATTGAGCGGCGGCGAGAATCGCGTAAGCTGGAGCTCAACGGTTACCTGACGAAGCCGACGACCCGTCTAGCCCGTTACCCGCTGCTGCTTGAAAATGTACTCAAGTATACGGAGGCGGACAATCCGGACCTGGTGGACATCCCACGCGTTTTGGTCATCATCCGCGATCTGCTCAGCCGGGTCAATGCGGAGTCGGGCAAGGCCGAGAACCGGTTTAACCTGCGGCGCCTAGACGAGCAGCTGGAGTTCCGGCCCAACGAGAAGGTGGACTTGAAGCTGCGGGAGGCCAACCGCGAGCTGGTGTTTAAGAGCCAGCTGAAGAAGTCGCCTGCCGATCCGCCAGACATCGTGGCGTACCTGCTGGATCACGCGGTGCTGCTTGTACGGACGAAGCAGGTGGGCAAGGTGGAGAAGCTCAAGGCGTACCGGCGGCCCATCCCGCTGGAGCTGCTCGCGATCAAGGAGATGGACGAGGTGATACCGAAGCAAGGAGCGGTCAAGCGGTCGTCAAGCAGCATCCTGCCGCTGCGGGCAGGCAACTCGGAAGCAAAGAAGGGCGACGGCTGGCCCATTACCTTCCGCCATCTCGGCAAGGCTGGATATGAGCTGACGCTTTATGCGTCGAACCAGGCTGCGCGCCAGAAGTGGCTCGAGTTTATCGACACGGCCCAGCAGCGGCTGCGTGCCCGTGCGGACTTCCTCAACACGACGGTGATCCCGACCAACTTCATGACGGCCATCAACAAGGTCAACTGCGCGGCACCTTATGGTAAGGCGTGCCGGACGGATGTGTGGGCCGTATGGACATATGCTAACGATGTGATGCAGACGGTGGGCGGAAGCTCATCTACGGGACGGACAACGGGATCTGGGTGGCGGACCGGAAGTCGCGCGAGCCATCGATGCCGCGGCGGGTTGTGGAAACGCAGTCGGTCACACAGGTGGACGTGCTGGAAGAGTACCAGCTGCTGCTGGTGCTGTCGAACCGGACGCTGTTGTCGTTCCCGCTGGCGGCACTGGCAGCGCTGGGACCGGACGATCCGACGCTGGCGAAGCGGCCGAAGAAAATCCAAAGTCACTGCAGCTTCTTCAAGACAGGCATCTGCCTGGGTAACCATCTGGTGTGTTGCGTCAAGTCGTCGGCGCTCTCGACGACGGTCAAGGTGTACCAGCCGAACGACACGATGGCCAAGGCAAAGGGCAAGAAGGGCTTTGGCAAGATGTTCAACGCGGGCCAGGACGAGTTGAAGCCGTTCAAGGAGTTTTACATCCCGACAGAGTCGACGTCGATCCACTTCCTCAAGTCGAGCCTGTGTGTGGCGTCGGCGCGCGGATTCGAGGTGGTGTCGCTGATGACGCTGGAGACGCAATCGCTGCTCGACCAAGCGGACACGTCGCTGGACTTTGTGGCGCGCAAGGAAAATGTGCGGCCGATCCACATCGAGCGGCTCAACGGTGAATTCCTGCTCAACTACTCAGAGTTCTCCTTCTTTGTCAACCGGAACGGATGGCGGGCGCGGCCAGATTGGCAGATCGACTGGGAGGGCAACCCACAGAGCTTTGCGCTGTCATACCCGTGGATCCTCGCGTTTGAGCCCAACTTTATCGAGCTGCGGCACATTGAGACCAAGGCAGTGCACATTGTTCCGCACAAGAACATCCGGATGCTCCACTGCAGCACGCACGAAGTGAGTTTTGGGGATTCTTTTTTTTTTGTGTGCTTATGACGTTGCATTGTACATCATACTGACCCTACAGATCATCTTCGCGTATGAGGATGAGCGTGGAGAAGAAGTGGTCGAGGCGCTGGACTTCTGGAAGAGCCAGCGGAAGTCGGAATTGCCGGGCATCGGGGAGACTTTCGAGACGACGCGTGTTAGCAGCAATCCGCCGCAGCTGACGCTGTCACGCCTATCCCAGTAATGCCAGCACACCTGCACTTTAGGAGGGGAGACATGTGGCGTCTCATCGATATTACTTGAGTTGAGAAAACGGGGGACGTGTCTTGTTGGATTACCTGATTCTTATTTTCACAGCTTTCGCCGGGACGGAGGGACACGTTCAGGGATTTTTTTTTCCTAGAGGGAAGACCGATACATCTCGTGTATATGCCTATATCATCGTGTAATTTTGCGCCGAGTTTCCCTTCGAATTATGCTCCCAGGGGGGCCTTGAGATGTAGCTGATGATATCAACCAATACCTTTCGCTTTGAAAAATGAGCAGCGAGACACACAGAGAGAGCGCAGAGCGTGATTGGAGGGAAGAATACAGTTCCGAGTTTAAGAATGTCCGGAGAGGGAGATGTGCTATCTATGGAAAACATTGGAAGCAGAGCAGAGGAGAAGTGTGTCTTGGGAACCTGTTTCTGTCGGTACCGTCCTCCGATTCCGTCCTGGTATCCTTCCCACAGCGTGGCCGATCAGTAGTGTGAGGCAGCGGCCTGGCAAGCCTTGAGCTGTTCGAGGTACCAGCCGCAGATCTGCATGTTGCCCGACTGCTCGTCCATGCACTGGGTGAAGGACCGGGTGGCAGTCGAGCAGTTGGGGCCCCAATTCTCCTGCTGGGCCGTCGAGGAGGTGGCGTACTGCTGCGGTGGCGGAGCCGCCTGCTGCTGGGGGGCAGCCTCGGAGGAGCCGCCGCCGAACATGTTGCCGATGGCGTGGCCGACAGACGAGCCGATGGCGACGCCACTGTCTAGTCAGTATGGACACTGTAGCAGTTCTTTTTTTTTTCTCTCTTTCTTTTTTTTTTTTTTCTTTCTCTCTGCACTCTTCACTCACGCTGCTGTGCTCGCCATCTGACCAAAGAGACCCGGCCCTTGCGACACCGGGGCAGCCATCTGGGGTGCCGGAGCGGCTACGGGAGCCGACGGCGGTGGTGCCGGACGTGCGGCATATGTAGTCGCCGGACGGCTCTGTTGAGGCGCTGGGGCGCGCGAGACGGGCCGAGAAGAACGTTGGCGAGCCATGGCTGAGAAGAGGGTGGTGGTCAGGTGAGGTGGTCAGGTGAGGTAGTGAGGTGAAGTCTGGTGAGACGAGGTGAGACGTGAGGCGAAAGGTGGTAATGCGCGGTGATGTTTGTTCAGTCGAGATCGCCGAATGGACACTGACAGTTCGGCAATGTCAGAAAAAAATAGGCGGGTCAACTGGCGAAAAGTCTAGTCTAGGCAATGTCAAAAGGTCGAAGCGTTTCTGTACCGACCATTCCGGCCAATCCGATAGCACCAATTTGCCACACGTGGAGCCCCGGACAAGAACGGAGGCCGTTCGTTCCTGGGCGTTTCGGCGTTAAGGGCGGCCACAGCCAATGCGATATTACACGCAGTCCGTAGAAGCAGATGGAAGGCACGACAGGCGCGTTGCTTCCAAAGCGTTGTAGCCTGGACTGCTGTCTCCGTGCATCTTTCCTAGATCGTGATCTTCAGTTGGAGACAACCCGAGGCGACCACAACTGTTGCATCGCAAAACGAGGCGGCCAGCCAAGCATCGTCCCTCTTTTCATTGGCCTCCCGCTTCGTGGCTTGTGGCCGGGGCAGTGCAAGCATCGCAAAACCAGACTACTTCCAAATAGGCGCAACCCAAACAAAATGTACACATTATAGCACCTAACCAGTGTTGCAATGGCTGTTGCTGTCCGCCTTATCCTCTCAGCCTCGCCTGCGACAATGTCAGCTCAGCGTTGGCCTCACGTTGCCATCCTTCACAGCCATGATAAAAGGGGGAGGCGAGCGCCCTCCGAGGCTGATGATAAACTTGCCTTCGTGACAGACTACTTAATGAGTCCAACAACTGAATCCTCCCGCTTTTGATTTCTTGCCATCTTATACAGAGTCACATCGAGACCACCGAATCCGACAGCGAAGATATGTTTGGCCGCCTTCCAATATTACCCGTAACAGAACATGGCGATGGGACAGGACGGCATTGGAGTCGTCGGCAATATCCAAGACAGGACCGAATTGTAGGCGAGGCCGAAAACCCTGAACACATGCACTGCAAAGATTCGCTCTCATCTGGCTCTTCACTGTCTGAGACGACAACGTCCGACAGCAGGATAGACTCAAAGACTCCGGCAGTCTCGACTACTGTGCTGCTTTCCCAGACCGTCACAGCTGTCGCTGCTTCCGGGCCGTCGCCGATTGCGCGTGCGGACCCCATCGCTGTCTCGCACTCCAGTGCCGCTGCCCGGGGCTGGTCTTGGTTCCGCACCGAGCTTTTCTGCGGCCTGGCCGTCTTGGCGCCCGTCGCCATCGTCGTGGGCGCGCTGCATTGGCCATCGCGGGTCGTCTTTGCGCTGAGCGCACTCGGCCTGGCCGGCCTCGAGGTGCTCGTCAGCACGGCGCTGGAGCGCATGTGTCTGGCACATGCTGACCGGAACTTGCTGGCAGCCGCCTGTCTCGAGATACTCCCCAGCATCTTTCCCACAATGGTGCGTTTGTACTGAAAGCTGCTCACGAGCTCGCCAGAATGATCAGGCTGACCCGCGAGCTCTGCAGATCGGCATCGTGTCGCTCGTGTCCGACGAGATCAATGTTGCCAAGTCGTTTGTCATTGGTAACGTCCTGAACAACATTTTGCTAGTGAGTCGCGACCTCAACAAGACTGCCGTTTGTCGAGATTGCTGACATACCGCCTCTCTCAGGGCACCGGACTCTCCCTCTTCCTCGGCGGCTTCAAGCCCGACAATGAGGGCTATGCTCAGCACGTCAGCAAGACGGCCTTTGAGCTGGTCAAGCTCACGCTGATCTCGACCTCGCCCGTCATCATGGCCTGGGCGATGATCTACGTCATGACGTCACAGACAGAGCTGGCGGTCCTCAACAGCGACGGTGTCGTCGTGAGCATCGATGCCGTTCAGGCTGATATCAACACGGAGGTCAGCCCCGCCACAGCGGCCGCCATCCGCGGGATCTCGCACGGGACCGCGGTCATCCTGCTGGTCGTCTACGTGGTCTGGGTCCTATTCCGCCGCGTGACGCACCGTGACTATTTCGCCGACGACGATCGCAGCCGTCAGGCCGCAGCGACGATTGTGCAGCAGCAACGGGGTGTGTGGCCGCTGCTACGGAAGGAGGCTGAGGGTAACACACAGACGACGACAGATGGTGAGCAGTCACGGAAGTCACGGCTGTCTGCAGCAAATATCACGCAGACTGTCGCTTTTGCTGCTGCCTTTGCAATGGCCGTATTTTGCAGCCACTACCTCGTAACCAGCATCGATCCGTTGGTCGAGGAGTCGGGACGGACCGGCTCAGCGGCCGCCTCGTCTGTGCGCCGCCATTTTGTAGCCAGCATCCTGCTGCCGCTCATCGTCAACCTCTACAGCGATGTGCGGGCAGCCGAGCTGGCCAGCTGCGGCGGCCGTGACATCAGCCTGGCCGTGCATCTGACGTACGGCGCCGGCGCCAGCTCCATCCTTTTGACGCTGCCGGTTTTGGTGGTCATCGGTTGGACTGCCGGCCACACGCTGCTGCTCGACTTCAGTGCCTTTGATGTGTCCATCCTGGCTGGCGGCGTGTGGGCGACGTCCATCCTGACGACCAACCAGGTGGACTACTTTCGCGGTTTTGTCTTTCTGTGCCTGTAAGGACTCCTTTGTCATCCAGATTACGTTCCTTCTAACTCTCGACCAGATACGGAATCCTGGCGCTGGCCGTCTTCTTATTCAAAGAATGAAACCATAAGATTTTGGTGGGAGTCTGGGAAAGCGGGATGCTATAAAGTGAAGACTGGCAGGTGAAAAGGGTTATGAGCAAAAAAAACAAAATAAAGACAAAAAGAAAGAGCTTATTAGCAACTCCTCGTTTCGATCAAGGGACCTCCGGGTTATGAGCCCGGCGCGCTTCCGCTGCGCCAAGTTGCTTTGCTTGTTGAAGAATTGGATCGGCATGCAATCCTAAGAGGAAGGCGCTTTGTCCCTCCAAAAGCCGAGCAGAAAATTGTGCGAGCTCCCTAGCCCCGCTCATCACTGATTGGCGTGACTCAACAGCTTTGCTGCATGCGCTAGACCCACTCTTAGTCACTGCAGCTTGCAATAAAAAGCTCTTCGGGCACAATTTTCCCTTTTTTTCTTTCTCCTCTTTTTCTTTGCGAAGCATCGCCCTCGTCAACGTCACGCCTCCATGCTCCAAACGGAAAAGTCGAGGGAACGATGATGGGAGAGAACGAAGAGAGAGAGCCATTCCGATGGGACCGGGGGATTTTCGTGTTTGGGGTGAACCGAGCTGCGGCAGGCGGCAGTTTAGCATGGGGAGTCACCCGAGGCTTCTGGACGCCCAGTCCTGGGGCAGGCATTGCGAGAAAGCGCAGCTTGATTCCGTGACCGCTGAGCCGAAGAACCGGTCATGTCAATGTTACTCTTGAACGTGCTGGCGACGTCCTAGCCCTGAGTGGCCACAGTCGAGAGGACGAGGAGCTCCCCAGAGCGAAGACAGCCGAGGGTGTTCTAGGAGTTGCGGGCACGACGAGGCTGTTGTCCCATCGGGAGCGGTTCTCTTTCAGAGTAAAAGTCCCATGGAGCGTCGTCTCCGGGCATCGGACGGGCGGGTCGGAAGGCCTGCGGGAAGAGGGCTCCTCTCCGTCCTGTCGGCTTGGCTCCAACACTCGGTCCCTTTTTCGGCTCTCTTTCAGACGTCTCTCCCGTCTTCTTTCCTTGGCTTTTCAACCATTCTATCTTGCATGAGAAAAAGTCGGTGAACAGCTTCATATATGCCATTGTCCGTCTCTTCGGAGGCGGGCCATCGGCTTGCCTGAAAGGGCTTTGCGCCACGATCTCGTCTCATCGAGATTGCGCATGCGATTGGCATCAGAAACGCAGGGGGAGACGGGCCCTTTGGGGACCTCTCCTTCCTATGGGAGGGCCTTCGCGAAGCTTCGTGGTCTCTCTCTTCCTACGGGGAGAGGGGGAAACACATTAGTTCGATGCGTGACGTGGAGTGCCTTGCGCTCTCTTTCCCTCTCTCGCGCGGGCGAGCTGCTCTCGTCGGATCCCCGCAAGGGAGGAAGCGAGGGTTTCGCCGGCGGAGAGGGAGAGAGGCGCAGCTCATAGGCCTCCATATTGCAATGCCGCTTATTCTTTCGAGGGCGATGCTTCCCACTACCTTTTTTCCCCAGGTGCGTCTGGCAACCCACTGAAAAGGACACTAAGGAAACTACTAACAAAGTGGGTGTGGTCGGGTCGATTGGGACGAGGTTTGGGGGTTTGGGAGGGCTGGCGTCTGAGGGATGAATAACATTTGTATAGGCAATGAGAATGCGACTACTGCTTGGTTTCTGTATGTTGTTTGCCATTTGTGTCAACTGAACTGTGTCGCATGTCACTGTATCGTGTCTATGATGGAAAGCCGGCGACATGTGTCCTGTGCCTTTAAGCCTCTGCCACGCCTGTCCATCGATGCCGCTGCAGGGCCTCGCGGTCCTCTGGCAGCTCAAACGCGGCCTCCATAAGGGTCTCGGCCACGCGCAGCAGCCGGGCGTCGTCCCAGAACTGACCGACCAGCTGCAGGCCAGGACAGAACGAGGTGGTGGCAGTGGATGGTGCCGGGATGCTGATAGCTGGAAGCCCGGCCAGGCTTGCCGGCACGGTGAAGACGTCGTTCATGTAGGCGTCGACGTGTGACGGCGCCGCCACGACATTGGCGAGCCGAGGAGCCGGTGTCGGTGCTGTTGGGCAGAGGAGGAAGTCGACCTGGGCGGGGCCGCGACGGTCGGCCAGCGGGAGGCCCTCGGGCAGGTCGGACAGGTTGATGGCACCAGCGTTGGTCTCAGTGGTTCCGGCCTCCGCATCGGGGTCGCGCAGCGGATTGGCCAGCCGGAAGACGGCGTCAAAGTCACGCACCACCAGCCGGCGGACTCGCTGCGCCTGCAAAAAGTAGTTGTCACGTGCTGCTGAGCTAAGCGCATAGGCACCCAAGAGGATGCGCTGCTGAGCTTCGGGGCCGAGGCCGGCGCCACGCACGTGTTGATAGAGGACGGGGTCTTCGTTGTTGTTGTCGTCGTTCTGACTGTCGCTTGGACTGTCGTTCTGCCTCTTGTTCTGACCAGTCTGGCCACTTCGGCCACTCTTACCCCCATAACGTACCCCATCGTAGCGCGCCAGATTCGAAGCCGCCTCGGCTGGCGCGATCACGTAATAAGCTGACAGGGCATGACGCGTTGACGGCAGCGATACGGCGGCTACGCTGGCGCCGAGCAATCGCAGCCGCGTGGCCGCCGCCGTCCAAGCTGCCCGGATGCGCGGGTCCAGCTCGGCGATGTTGTACTCGAGCGGGATGCCAAAGGAGAGCCCGAGAAGGGGTTGGCTGACGTCTCTGTTGCCCTGTTCCTCCTGTCTGCCTCCATAACCCTGTCTCTGGGCAGCCAGACGGAGACGGGTCGAGCGCGAGAGCGACGTCGGGTCGCAGCCGGTGTCGGCCTCCTGCCAGAGCCCTCCGGGCTCGCCCACGATCAGTCGCTGGATAGGACCGACATCAGTGGCGAGCAGGCCAACTGTGTCAAGGCTGTTGGCATACGGCACGACGCCGAAGCGCGACAGCATGCCGTAGCTGGGCTTGAAGCCGACGATGCCGCCATAGGCAGCCGGCAGCCGGACGGAGCCGCCCGTGTCGGTGCCCAGCGCCACGTCGACGTCGCCCAGACGCACAGCCACGGCTGAGCCGCCTGAGCTGCCGCCGACCGACAGCGCATCATCAGCCTGTCTCGTCGTGTCCGCAGCCACCCGCCCTGCGTGCGAGTACACGCTGTGCGAGCCCATGCCGAACTCGTCCATGTTAGTCTTGCCGACGACGACGGCACCGCGGGTCCGCAGCTGTCCCACGATCGTGGCCTCAAAGGGCGACACATAGCCGGCCAGCATGCCCGAGGCACACGTCGTCGTCAGCCCGGACCCGGTCGTGGCGATGTTGTCCTTGACCGCGAGCGTAAAGGTGCCGGTTGCAGCGGCCGCGTCTCGACTGGCGTCTGGGTCTGCCACCGCTCTCATCAGCGGCTGGAAGGAGAAAGCATACGCCGTCACGGGCAGAAAGACAGAAAGACAAAAAAACGTACCGACAGAGATGAATTGGTTCCAGTCTGTTTCGGGCAGAGGATGGCCAGAGGACGAACTCCTTTCTGCTGCAGCTGCTGCATTCGACACCGAGCGGCCAGCCAGGATCGCCCATCCCGGCCGAGCTGGCATCGGCCGTCGTCGCCATGCTGCAGACAGGTCCGGCGCCTTTAGGCCGAGCTGTCGGCCGTGTGGTGGCATTTTTCTGGCTCCCTATTGAGTGTGTGCAGACGGGCTTCTTTGGCGCGGCAGCACAAGAGTGTGCGTGCACGGCTGTATTATTCCATTCACGGCAAATTGGCCGCTTGCTTCCACTGCACTGGGGGTGGCACGCGAGAATGTCCGGAGCAAGATCGTTGTCGAGGCTCTGGATCTAGAGTGGGAAAAACAAAGTTAATATGCGCTAATCCTCAATTGGGTCTGTCCGTTATGCAACTATCCAAATGCCAACTGTCTGCAACTCTTGGGCAGTAAAGCAGTTGCAGTCTGAGCAAAGGGTCGAACTACCTGCAACTACTATGTATCTTCTCTTACCAATAACGCGCCGGAAACGGGTGAAACTTGCCTGGCAAACAACTCAACCATGCCGGCAAGACATCTCGGAGGCATATACAGAATCCTTCAACATAAAACGATTCACAAGAATCAAATGTGGTTATGGCGCTTTTGGAGTGCGTTTATTGGTGGCCCACTGCCACTGTATTGCTCCGGTATGTCTGCAACTAACAGGAATAGACCGACACGCTGTTCTACTATGAGTACAATTCCCGGGTGACACCCAGATTGAGATCTCAGTCACCTCCGTGACCATGGCTCTTACTGGCTGTCCTGCTGGCCGTCAAGCTACCATTTACAGCCCGCACTACGTTGTATGCACCACTATGTATGCACAAAAATGCGAGCTTCAGACCCGAAAACAAATCCCACCCGCTTGTGGCTGCGGGTTCCTGCAGGAGGTCGCACGCCCGGGGCGCGAAACTTGGCGGCCCCCTCTCCTTCAAAATCCCCGGTTCGCCAATGTTTCCAAACCTCCTGTCTGTCGTTGTGCAGGAGCAACAACAACAGCCGGTAATCGAATGAGAGGCTTCTCAGCTAAACCTTTCTGGTATTGTACTCCGTATATCTTCCGATATTGAGTCGGGGTTGCACAACGACGAACGTTTGTATCAATTGGTTGGCGCTGACGGCATCTAAGACTTGCATCTGAGCTTTTTTGCTCGCAAAAGAGAATTCGCCGCCTCTTTACTCCGTATACTAGCCATGATAACAATACATACCTCACGTAGAGTACCGCACAATCAAAGAGGGGAACAAAGATCTTGGAAATATCAGTATGAAGCAGAAAAAGCAAATATCCCATTACAGCTAGATCTAGCTCCAGAGGCTGATCTCAGACAGCCCGGAGGCCTTGTGTCTCGCCGCCACTCTTCATCCACTTGTGCGCAAACCCCATCGGCTGTGAGTGGATTTCAGCTTCCGAGTACGAATGCGAGCGAAACGACTGCTCGCCGAAACGCGGATGCTAGATATTTCCATTGTCTCGCGGATATGAGGCTATATGGGGCATATGCAGCCGCGGAAAGGAGATCGATGAAACGCCAAGGGTGGGAGCGCACAGGGGAACACGAGGCTGAAGGCTGGCCGTTTCAAGTGCTGCACAGTCGTCACTTGTGCCGTGCGCAATCGGTCCCTGACAGCATGTTTGACTTTCTCCACCAATCTTACTCCGTACAAGCCTACAAATATGGAGAAGGGGACGTCAACAGGTGTCCCGTTTTTTTTGCAGAGTTTTTTTTCTCCCACATTTTCTTTTCCTTGTCCTTGAGATGGCACACAGTAAGGCCTCCAGGGTCTGCGTATGAGACCCACGCCCAGATACTAATAAAAATGCGCTTTCCCGACCTGCACGAAGAGACCTTTCTGCAGTCGTAAGTTTCTCTGCTGATCTGCTGATTCTTACCGTAGTCAGGTCTCGCCTTCCCCACAATCATCCCTGAAGGAGGCGGCTTAGGGTCAAATGGTCCGACGAGACGGCACCGACTAGGCCTGGCAGCAGGCGCCAGCGCTAGTGGAACGAAGAGCCGGACAAACTACGGCGTGTACTCTGTATGTATGTATCTTATGTGTCTCACTCTGTAAGATACGTAAGATTCGTGTAAGATGAAGCGTACACGCACTACTCCGTACTTCGTAAGATATCTTATCTTACATAGCCTTCCTACAGGGGAAGACCGTTTTCGCCTGCCCTGTCTCCGTTTTCTTTCCGCCCTTCCGACGGCAGTGTGGAGCAGTGCTCTCCGTATCTTACGTCGTAGGATGCACGGAACATCCAGACGGGGTGCTGTCCAAGTATAGCAACATGCCCTGGTTTTATTTAGAAAGAGAAAAAGCGTCGGTACTATGTAGCACCGTCTGTGTGGCTGGATTGACAGGGCCGCTTGTTAGCACGTCGTAAAATGCAACGGCAACCCTCCACGACTACGTTAGCCAGATGCCTATAATAGCCCTGCTATAGGTTCTGCCTTCTGGCCCGTACTTCCACCTAGCCCGTCTTGCGAGGAAACACTTCGTACAGTCTTTGTCAGTACGAATCAGCGCTCGCTGTGCATAGTACGAGTACTGTACTCTTCTTCTAGGGGCGGCCCGCATATTGAAATATATTAAGATGCCATGTAAGATGCAAGGTACTATGTATGTAAACTATCCTGACAGATCACTCTACAGAGGTGCAGCCGGCATACGACGTAGTTGGCAGCAGCCGAAATTGCATCAAGATGTTAATCCAGTTAACTGGTAATGTTTACCAGACCAAAACAGCCGACGCCCGCACGCTTTACTGCTTTTGTCGCTCTTGACTTTCTTTTCTTATTCTGTCTGCGCCCCCCTTAGTTTCTTTTTCTCTCGGCGCCTCATTTCCACTGCCTGAAATAGTGTGAGTCGTTCAAATAGACTGCCTGCACTACGAGTACGCGCACATTCCAAGTTGTTGTCTATAGCAACAAAGTACGGAGTACGGATTACTCGTATTCAAGCCATATTCCATTTTATTCCACATTACGGAGTACTCCGTACTCATATGCTGTCTACTTTTCCGATTGGCCATTGTCCAATTCGCGCCCAGACATACGGAGAAGTAAACCACCCGGACGTCGCTGCCGTACGTAGTAATTCGGTGTTTCCGTTGTCGTTCCACGGAACCGCTCCTCGACCTCCTTTCGTCTTCGACCGTCCCGTTCATCTCGCACTTTCCGCATCCGCAAATCTGTCCGAGACATCTCGACAGCGGAGCACAAACTTATAAGAGGCGTTTCTTGCATCGCCGTATTTCTACCCTTTGCTCTTTCCGTCCGATGAACCGAAACTGACCCTTCCTTGCAGGGCCGCGGGGCCCAAAGAGGAAAGCACACCCCTTGTTTTCTCCTCTCTTTTTTCCTCGACTCTCATTTCCCCTGCCGTTATTGCTAGTGTGTGGATCTCATCACACCAAACAGCCTGACCGTCTTGGCTTTCCCTCCCGAAGCATGGACGGACACCCCCAGTTCAGGGTTCAAGGGCCCCAAAAATACGTCGTAGTCTATCCGCAATTGTTCACACGCACACGCCAGCACGCGCTCGCGCTGGCGACCCTTGTCGCTCTAAACTCGACCCTGCGCTCCTTCCTCACCCCTGCTTGTTTCTTACCCGTACGCTGTAAGAGTTTCGTGTGTACGGGAAGCAACACCTTTCTTTACGAAGCTGCCGGGTTTTACTGTCACATTCTCCCCGTCTTTGCATTCTCTTCTTCTCCTCGTCCTCTCACTCCTTGTTATTTCTGGTTCCTCAGCTTGCGGCGCCTCTCAATGCTGTCCAGCCAGCACACATCCACCTGCGACGTCCGCCTAAAAACTTACCAATATACACGCACAGCTGTCTAGGTTTTCCTTCAGAGAAGGAAAGCCTGGCTTTCTACACTTAATTATGGCTGAGGTTGCTCCCGAATCTACTCCCGCGCCGGAGACACTGCATAAGGATTCCAGCAAGACTCGGAGGCTTCGTCCGCCAGGAATTGATGACACCGCCGCTGGAAACGACAACAGGATTCCATTGCGAGCTGACAAGCTCGACCGCAGAGAGTCACGACTCGGTCTCCGCGGCCTGTTTTCTCGGAACAAATCCTCCAGCCAGAATGTGCGTGCTTCCGTTGCAGACCTAAGCAACTGGCCGTACTCCCCCAGCACCACCCGATCAGAGATCAGCTTGCCGCCGGATCGGGAGCAACAGGTGGAAACAGGCCCAGCTGCAAAAATAAAAACACCAAGAACCCCCACAACTCCAGCCTCACAAGCACGACGACCCATTCAGCCTCGTACCAAACTGCCTACTGCTCCCCCTCCAGTGGCTGCTTCGTCTACTCCAAAACCCAGAAAAACCTCTACCCAGGGCCCGTCGCCTCCGTCACGGTCAGCTCGAGGGTCCCTTGCCACCTGGGACCCGCCTCCACTATTTCAAGCATATCCCCAGGCCATCAAACATGCCCGGCTTCCTGCATGTACTACATCCATTGAGGTCCTCACGCGGCTGCAGAGCAATCACGGTGGGGGCACCAGCAGCTCCGCTAATTCTGTGCGGGAGTCGTCGTTGGCTGACGCTGCCGGTGACATTGCTGCAGCTGATAGAGGTATTGATAAGACCAAGAGGAGACACCGCCGGAACACGTCTGCGTCATCGACAAAGCTTGACTGGTCTAGCAAGATCTATGTCTTTGTCACATCGGGCTACCTCCTTCAGTATGCCGGGGAGGGGTCCTTCGATCGTCTGCCAGAGAAAATGCTACATATTGGCAAAGACTCGGCAGCGTTTGCTAGCGACCTGATTCCTGGACGCCACTGGGTTCTCCAGATTTGCTCCGACACGGAAGCGTCTGTTCCCTTGACTCCCGACTCACGCTCATTATTTTCACGCCTGCCCTTCCGTAGCGAACGAAGGCACGCATCCGCTTTATTGATGGTCTTTGAGAGCGCGGAAGACATGGAGAATTGGCTCAGCACACTGCGACGTGAGATCGAGCACTTGGGTGGTAAAAAGCACTTGTCTGAAACCGGAAACCCCAAGGCCAACGATCGTGTTCTCCAGTTGAAGGGCCAACCCAGCCAGCGAGCCTTGGTTGTGCGCGATCCCGAACGGTTCTCTCGTGCAATCTCTCCACAAGACATGGCCTCATCACCGTGGCGCTTGGATTCGGCTCTGGGCACCGACTCCCCCACGCCAGATATACACCTGGAAGCCCCGATTGTCTTCAAGGCATCTCGGGAAACAGATCCGTCCGCTGATGACATGTCGGTCACAAATAGCCTGGTTTCGCAGGATGGGCGTCAACTTGAAAGCTTGCGGGAAAGCGCGAATCGCCTTTCGTTCATCTCGTCCGGACAGCGCACCGTTGTGACATCTGAGTGCTCGTCCCCACCATGCTCACCTATCTGTGACAGTTTCACTAGCAGCAATGCCGACGAGCCATCATCGGCACTGGCCGATAGCCCCAAGGAGGCCTGGCCGCACCCAAACACAGCTGTCACATTCAAATATGGCCTACCCATTCAGACATCAGCAAAGAGCGACCGGCTGTCGGATTTCCGCTTCCCGATGCCGGCCGGCCATCCCAAACCACCTACACACCTAGCCCAGCCGGCACCGCCACCATTGCGGTCTCACACCGTCGTCTTTTGCAACGGAAATATGCCAATGCCACATTCTCAGTCTGTCCTGTCTCCAGTACAAACGCCGAAAAGCCCCGGGTTCTGCGTGTCTCCCACAATGCCATTGCCAGCTATCCCAAACTTCAGTGTGCCACACAAATCATCTACGCGGTCGTCGGTGGCTCTGAAAAGCCCGTCACTGGGTCAAACCCAGTCGATTGTGCCATTGGGTGCACCAACTTCGGCACCTCCACAGACTAAATTGCCAGCTCCTCCGCAAAAGCTGCCTCTTTCGAGGTCTAGCACGCGTCGGCTGCCACCGCCGTCTCTGGCATTTTCTCGTCCGCTCTCGGTCGTTCCCGACCAGCCCTCACCTCCATCCAAATCTCCTGTATTGTCTCGGATTGTCACGCAGGCCGCGCTTGAGACAGACTCTGATCGTCCCGGCTGTTCTGATGTTCAGGATACGTCATCTCTGCCTAGCTCCTTTGAGCTGTCAGCCGACACAGAACAGGGCCCATCAACGCAGACCTCGGTCGATGTCAGCAGGATGAAGAATCCTCGTGGACGTGTAGACGTGCTTGCTGCTAGTCCCGTTGAGGCTTTGCTGGAGCGAGCTAGGGTCAAGACATCTGCTCTTCCCACCCGAGGCACGATGCCTGCAACCGCTAGCACATATTCTCCAGCAAACTCGCATAAAGAAAGCTTTCGACCCAGCTCAGCCATGGACTTACACCGTCGGTCATCAAACCGGTCTCTGATAGTCGGAAGTGACGCAAAGCGTATGCACCACAAGCGTGCGAGCATGTTCGCACAAGCCGGCGAGGTTTTGCCAAGGCCGACGGAGTCGATGTCCACAAAGCTGTCTTTACCGGAGAGGCCGATTGATGCGGCGGATAGCAGAGCTGCTGCCACCCGCGGTCGCTTTCTTGAAAGACGAGAGCAACATGTGCCGCGCTCTTCGGCTTCGAATGTACACCTGCGTGCCCATTCCACGCCTCAGAAAGCTCTTTCTTACCGACGACGGAGCATGTCACAACTAGCAGAGGGACCTCCTCCTGCTCCACCACCGACCCGCGCACTGCCACCGTTGCCTCCTAACTTTGGCAGCGTGAGAGGAAGGCGTGGCGCCTAGAGAGAAGTGGGCAGTAACCCACGACCTAGTACTTGCATATGCAGCTTTCTTTCTTTTGTCCCTTTTCCTTTCCAAATCATCTCTATGCTTCTCAGCCAGCGACGGCTTTGCAATCTCCTTTGTATTTGGTGGTCAGTGGTGTCTAGACGGCAAAAAAAGAGAAAGCTTCACAGCCACGCTCAATGTCTCCGTACCGCATATGGGCAGTATTTATGAAATCATTTTTCTTTATTTCCTTTATTTCCTGGTGTACTTTACTGTATCATATCTATTCTGTGACGAGTTAGCTGAATACTGAATGACAAATATGATGGATGGATGTGTTAGAAAGGAACGCTGACTGTGAGCGATGGAGCTCGAAACGCTGAAGCGAATTTGATGGTCTTGCCCCTCCAGTAGCGCTGGGACAGAGGAAGTACCGCTCTGGTATTTCCTGGTGTGATATACATGAAAGAAAATTGCCCCACACTTCTGGGTGGTGGCCAAAAAATTAAAAATACATGCTAGGAAATTCACACAAGTTGCAAAAAATAGCGAAATCCATCAGCGAACATCTCGGCGACGATTACGAGCCACCACGACCAGCACAGAAGACGCAATCGCAAGATACAGAGTCAGAAAAGCGGGTAGTGGGACCAGATACGACAAGAAGAACACATTTAAGCACATCATGGCGACCACGTTGCCCAGCCGGGCGAAGCAGGACTGGGCTGACGACGAGGACGTGGAGGAGACGTCGACGGAGTTGCCGCCGCCGCAGACGATCAACAACAAGGATGGGACTAAGACGACGATCACGTACGGATATAATGACCTGGGACAGAAGGTGAAGACGACACGCCGGATCCGGTTGATCACGCACCGCGAGGTGGTGAACCCGCGGGTGGCGGAACGGATGACTTGGACGAAGCTGGGGCTGTCGGCTAAGGATGGCAAGGGACCAGCGCAAGACACGACGTCGGTGGGCGAAAACATTATCTTCCGGCCGAGCGCCAACTGGCGCAAGGACGCCAAGGACGAGTCCAAGGACCCGAATGCGGCAGCGCTCAAGGACAAGCTCAAGGACAAGAAGGTCAAGTGCCGTATCTGCAACGGCGAGCATTTCACGGCGCGCTGTCCGTACAAGGACACGATGGCTCCGATCGGCGAGACGACCGGCGGCCTGGGCGACGAGGAGGACGACGGGCCGGGTGGTGGCGGCGGTGGCAGCGGCGGCGCCAAGGGGCCGGGCACGCTGGGCCTCGACAAGAAGGGCTCGTACGTGCCGCCGGCACTTCGTGGCGATCGTGGTGCGGCGGCGGGCGAGCGCATGGGCGGACCAGGTGGCGCTGGCGGCAAGTACGGCGAGCGGGACGACTTTGCCACGCTGCGTGTGACCAACGTGTCGGAGCTGGCGGAGGAACAGGAGCTGCGCGATATGTTCGAGCGCTTCGGCCGTGTCACGCGCGTCTTCTTGGCCAAGGACCGCGACACCGGGCTGGCCAAGGGCTTTGCGTTTGTCAGCTTTGCCGACCGGACCGATGCCGAGAAGGCTTGTGAGAAGATGGAGGGCTTCGGCTTCAAGCATCTCATCCTGCGGGTGGAGTTTGCCAAGAAGGCGACCTAGAGGAATGGGCGGAAACGTGGAAAACCGAGGGACTATGGGAGTGTGTGTTTTTGGGCATTTTTTCTTTCTTGTGTGTCTACATACGAATCCACTGAAAGGCAATTCGGAAAGAAATGAGGGAAACGGTGGTCTTAAGAGGAATTGTTCTAACGATTGCGTAAGCTGTCTGATGTGCCGTGTTTGAATTGGTCTGTCCATCGGACGTGTCTGCAGGCAATATGTTGTGAGAGAGACAGGATATGACCTCGTACCACTTGCTCTACACAATGCAGCCTAACCTGTTCGGGCGAGAAGGTCAGTGGATCAGGGCATACTATGTAAGTTACTGGAGACGGCCGTTTTGGCGCCGAGCAGGACCACAGGTAAGATAGAGGGCGACACGGACTGCGGGATAGACTATCCGAGTAGAGAGCAGCGTGCACAGAAGCACCCAACAATACGACTACGGACTCGGATGACAGCTCGTCCAGTCACGGAGCAAACCGCGTGCCTGGTGGGAGCCTCGCCCGTTCAGCCGTAGCCAGCAGCCGGTTGTAGGCGAGAATAAACGCGACGATGTAAAACTGGAAATGCCACCGAAGGCCAGCTCATTTCACGGCCATGCAACTAGCGAGCGAATGGTGAGGCATCTGCTGGACAGAAAGCGGTCAGACCAATCAGGACAGTGCCCACAGGGGTGTCATGTGGCTGATGCAGCGGTGCAGCCTCTAAAAGAGGGGGTTAAAAAAGTCTAAAGGCACGAATTCTGTGCCTCTGACGAATCCGACAGGGCTTTGTTTTAGCGGCTTTCGGGCGGCGTACTTTACGAGGGCAGGCTCTTGCAAACGCTATGGTCAGCGTCCGGTGCTCAGCGCTGGGCGTCCGGTGGCGACTGCCTGACCTACAAGGCTCCAAGGGATTTCGAGCTGGCCGTTGCAAAGGGGAAAAAAGGGCAGGAAGAAAAGAGGGCAGGTGCAACTGCCACGTTGTGTGGCACTACTCCGTAGCTCGTAGTGGCACAGGCCCACAGTGACGATATCACGCCGCTGTCTGCCCTCTGTCTTACGCCCTTCCTACATCGGTCTAGGGCTGTTGGGAAATTGCCCATAGCTTTCGTCTTGCTTCCACCTGGCGGATCTATGCTGCTGTGCAACGACTCCATCACCTTCATCCGCTAGTTCGCTTCCCGGCTCTCTGGCATGTGACAGCCCCAGCCGGCGAGTCCCTGCCCCCATTCAGATTGGCTGTCTCTCGTGCTGGCTCAACAAACCGGAAGGACAGACGGGTCGGTTGAGAAGCTCCGGGGATTCAGGACAGGCCCAAGCCCGAATCTAACAAGGCTAGGACACCCTCTGCAAACTCTGTCTCTCTCTTCCCCGATCCTCGATCCTCGATCCTCGATCGTCTCCGGCCTTCCCATGGACTCTCTCTTCGCTGGATTGCACGACCTCTCCTCTCTCTGCCCACCCATCCGTCGACATGAGCTCTGCACCAGACGCACAGCCGGTGCAGGAGACTTCTTCCGCTTCTGCTTCTGCGCTGCGCCAGCGCCACGGAGCCACTTCAGAACCAGCCGAGGCGGCTGTCAGGTCAGATGATATCCTGAAGCCCAAAAAGACGTACGGCCGGACACCGGATGGCACAGGTAAGCCCGCGCTCCCGTCTATATCTGGCTGTTCAACCGTTGAACGTCTCTCTCTCGCCTGCAGTCTTCACTGTCCCGACGACCCATGACATGGTGTCGCAGCTGCTGGACCCCCGCCAGCCAAAGAATCTCTCGGACGTGACGGTGCTGGTCATCATCGGCCTGCACATCCTGGCGGCCTACCTGCTGCCGGCGGGCCTGAAGCGTCCCGTGTTCGCGGCCATCTTCATCTTCTGGCGGGCGTCGTACAACATTGGCATCGGCAGCCTGCTGACGGTGCAGTCCAAGTACCGGCTGCTCGTGCAGTGGGCCAAGCGGTGGCGACTGTTCGAGAACCCGGCCACGGGCAAGAACCCCCGGCCGTGGCTGTACCGGCTCTTGAAGCAGGAGCTCGAGACCAAGATCCCGGAGGACTATACGTTTGAGAAGGCACCCGTCGAGTACAACACCTGGCTCGTCTTCCGGCGGGTCGTCGACCTGATCCTGATGTGTGACTTTGTGTCTTACTGCCTGTTTGCCGTCGTGTGCGGCCACCGACCCGAGGGCGAGAGCCTGACCATGGCTGTGGCCCGCTGGGGTGCCGGCATCGCCTTGGTCGGCTTCAATCTCTGGGTCAAGCTGGACGCCCACCGGGTCGTCAAGGACTTTGCCTGGTACTGGGGCGACTTTTTCTACCTCATCGACCAGGAGCTGACCTTTGACGGCGTCTTCGAGATGGCTCCTCATCCCATGTACTCCATCGGCTATGCCGGCTACTACGGCATCTCCATGATGGCCGCCAGCTACGACGTGCTGTTCATCTCCATTGCCGCCCACCTGACCCAGCTCATCTTCCTGGCCGTGGTTGAGAACCCGCACATTGAGAAGACGTACAACCCGCCACAGCCGCGTGCTCGCGCCGACTCGGACTTCATCGGAGAGCTGCAGCAGCAGCAGCAACAACAGCAACAGGAGCAGCTGGCCACTGCTGACGAACCCCTGGCAGCTGTACACGGCCTGTGGGGTATTGCCAACTTCGACATGTTCCGCATCACGGACTACTCCGTCATCCTGCTGGGCGCCTACGTGCTGACGCTGGCATTTGTCACGCCGGCCACGCCGCTCTGGCAGGGCCTCTTCTTCGCGCATGCCGTGGCCTGGCGTCTGTGGTACAACATCGGCCTGGGCGCCATCCTGCGTGGACAGTCGAGCGAGAAGCAGCTCACCCGGCACTTTCTCAAGTTCGGCGACACGGCTGGCGAGGCCTGGCGCCAGTGGAAGGGCATGTACCACGTCAGCATGGCCTTGTGCCACGTGTCTTTTGTGGCGGCCTGCTGGAAGATGTACTCGCCGCCGGCCGACTGGCACTATGGCTGGGCGATTCTGAAGCACGTTTTGGGCAGCTGCCTGGTGGCACTCCAAATGTGGACGGCCGTCAGCATCTACGACGAGCTCGGCGAGTTCGGATGGTTCTACGGCGACTTCTTCTTCGATAGCACCGGCAAGCTGACGTACAAGTCCATCTATCGCTACCTGAACAACCCGGAGCGCGTGATCGGCACGGCCGGGCTCTGGGGCGCGGCGCTGATCACCTGGAGCCGGTCGATCTTCGTGCTGGCCATGATTAGTCAGCTTTTGATGCTAGCCTTCCTCGAGTACGTGGAGAAGCCGCACATGCAGAAGATCTACGGACGCAAGCTACGGGGCGAGGCTGGCCTGACCAAGTTCATCCGCAAGTCGCTGCCGCCCCCAGTCAAGGAGTGGCAGCAGAGCGTCGACCGGGTGCTGGACGAGACGCGCCACTTTGTCGAGGAGTTTGTCGACGCCGCACGGCCGAAGCTGGCTGCCGGCGTGTCTACCATGGTCCGCGACACGACCGCGCTCTTCAACAAGTATCCGGCGCGCCTGACGACAACCCGTCTATCGCCCGACCTGGCCGGCTTCGATCCCAAGTACTACAGCCTCTCGGTCGAGGGCGCCAACGGCAGCGATGGCACCAAGCCGGTGGTGCTGCCGTTTGGCGCACCCATCCGGGTGCGGTGGACGGCGCCGGTGCAGCACAAGAAGAAAGACTGGGTGGGCCTATACATGGTGACGGACAACCGGTCACGCGAGGTGACGGAGGTGCCGTCGCTGGGCCGCTGGGTACCGACGTGTCCGGGAGTCTACGACACGGCCATTGACCGGGGCATCGTGTCGTCGGACGAGCCGCTGAAGGAGAGTGGCCGCGAAGAAGACGGTGCAGACGAGCAGGCGCCGGCACGCGTCGGTGGCGAGATGGTCTTTGAGGGCGACCAGCTCTGGTGGACCCAGGGCGTGTTTGAGTTCCGCTACCACCACGACGGCAACCACAGCGTGATGGCGATCTCGCAGCCGTTTGAGGTGCGCATCGACCGATTCGACAACGACGAGGACGTCGGCAGCAGCAGTGCCACCAGCATCACGAGCGACAAGGACGGCCTGTTTGAGCGGGCTGTCGAGGCGGCGCTGCTGCCGATGGTGCAGAACTGCTTCGACCGCGACCCCGACATTGCGCCGACGACGGCCGACGAGCTGTTTGGCGAGCATGTGGAGCGCGACTCCAAGTACGCCCGCCGCGTCGTCTATGCCATCCAGCACATGTTCGGCATCGAGTTTGCGCCGGCTGTGGTGCCGGCCGATGCCACTGTGCGCAAGCTGGCATACCGTATATGCAATGCCAAGCAGGTTCTTGTGAGTGTGGCCGGGAGGAAAGAAGGATTCGGAGGACTCGGCTGACTGTTTGACATAGGCACCATACAGCATGTCGCCCTCGCGGCAGTGATGGGAGGGTAGAGTAGTGGGGAGTCCTCTTCCCTTTCTCGTCCTCTCTCTCTTTCCCGTTCCTTTCTGGCTTGGTGTCGTCGGAGATACCTAAAGAATCATTTTCTAATAGTGCCCTCATACCGTAGAGGTCAGAGGGTGGATGTGGAAAGTTAACAAAATTATGGAGTAGAAGAATGAGTTATGTCGAGTCCGTCACATTGGCATCATAATAGTAGGCAGTTGTAAATACTCCGTACTATGTATGGAGTACTCCACACAAGCCAGTGGACACGTGCGGGACTAAAAATACGCCATGTGGATATGTCAGCATCCACCGCTTACTAATACGGGTCAGGAGCTGCTTAAATTACTCCGTACTTCCTTTCCCAGCCCCACGAATTTCGAACTTTGACTTCTTCATCACCTGCGTTTCGCATGCAGCCGCGATAAAAAAAAAACCAAACACGTTCAAGGAGCGAGCACCTCGCGCTCTTGGCCAGACTGCCGGCTTCTACCCATCGAACGAGAGTGATCTCCTTTGCTGGAAGAATCGGGGCCTTGAGAAGGGACCTTGCTTTGACTTGCAGCCTTGAGTTGGGGGATAAGCAGGCCGCCTGTCAGCGAATCTGGCTCCTTTTTCGTCGTCTGTTTTTCCGATATTATCGACCGGGCGAGCGACGCGAATGCACGGTGCTGCGCATGTGTCGCTGTGAGTGTTCCTGTCCCCTCGCCTGTGGTACTGATGTGAATGAAGTAGCGGGACGGTCCAGCCAGACGTGTTGGCCCAAGTGACGGCCATGTCAGATTGCATCGAATTCCGAGCGCCGGCCGTTGTCGAATGGGAGAGCGAGGGCGAGCGGATATGTCTGGCGGATGCGGATCCGCGGAGTGCGCGGGTGACGTTTGAGGGTCGTCTCCACGAGGACGCGACCGCGTGCAGCTTCTTCCAGCTGCACATTCCCGTGCGTCTGCGAGGTGTGACGCGCGACACGACGATCCTGATGCCGCTGTACCCGGATGCAATCGACTCGTTGGAGCCGGAGCGATTTCCAGCGCCGGCGCCGGCGGCCGTCGACAAGAAGCTGCGCGGCAGCTGTGTGTGTCTGCGGTTCCGGCTGCGACGCCCAATACCCATCATCGTGCCGATAACCGCAGCCATGCCACTGCGGCCGTTTCGTCGTCCGACCGGCGACGTGCTCGACCGGCTGCGCTCGCTTGTCCACGTCACCGCGCTGGACGTGTACGTGCCCGATCTCGAGCTGTCGAGCGCCAAGCTGCAGGCCATTCAGACGCGTCTGGCCGCACTCCAGACAGTCCAGCGGGCATCATCCCGGACGCGGTCCCGGCCACCATCACACGACCTGCGTTGCCTCTTTGACGGCACCGGTGGCAAGATTGTCGACCGCCTCGACGACAGCCCACCGGCCTACGACCAGATCGGACCGCCGCCACCGCTGGCCCCAATCGTCGAGCCCGATCGGAAGCCAGTCCCCCCGTCCGACCACAAGGCCGAACTCGAGCCAGCAGGCTACAGGAAGCGTCGCCGTCGCGAGCGCGACTCGCCACCCCCTGACGACATCGACAGCCGGCTCGCTGCCATCTGGGCCGAGCTGCGCCGGAAAGACGACCGGATCGAGCAGCTCGAGGCCCGGGTGCAGCAGCTAGAACACGACCGAGAGGAGGGGGCGGAAGAGACGGCGACACTCCGTCGCGAGCTCGACAAGGCCGTGGCCGCCAACGAAGAGCTCGAGGGCCAGCTGCTCTTGACGGGCGAGAGACTCGACGGCTTGGTCGACGAGGTGGCGTACATTCAGGAAAACGGGCTAGACAGCGAGGTGGAAGACCGGATCGTCGAGACGGTCACCGACTGTGTTTTTGAACAGATCTCTGAGAATGCCACCGTTACATTTACAAGAACATGAACCGAGTCCACAACTGACTTTTGCGTGACTGTAGCGCTCCTGTGAGTCGCATTCGCGATGCCAAAGACGTAGATGAACCAGTGTATTTTTGGCCTATCCTATCTCAAGGTGCTTTGCCCAGTCGAGTCATGTCCAATTTTTTTTCATCAAGTCCTTTTTGTTCCCGCTCAATACCAAACGGCCTGGCCTACATCTACATCTCGTCGGCACGCGCCTCCAGGGCCTGGATCAGATCCGGCTTGGGTGCAGTAGCTGCGGACGTGCTCAAGTCTAGCTCCTTGCTAAGGGTGCGCTTGGGGACGGTACGGTTGACCTGCGGCGTTCCGGGCTGGCTGGCCATAAACTGGGGGTGTCAGCAGACGAATAGGAAAACTAAAAAGAAAAAAAGAAAAAAGAAAAAAAAACGTACATTGCTGGCGGCACTCAGCATGGCGTGCAGCGAGCTCGTGACAACGTCCTCGTGCAGGCCGACGCCCCAGACCTTCTGGCTGCTGGCAGCGGTGCATTCAATGTAGGTGGCAGCACGGACGTCGCGACCACGGCCAACCGCATGCTCCTTGTAGTCGTTGACCTCGATGTCGACACCGACAATGGGCTTGAGAGCGGCGGCCAGACTGGAGATGGGGCCAGTGCCGCGGCCGGTCAGGCGGTGCTCCTCGCCGTTGACGAGCAGGACGCCAGCAAAGACACGCTTCATGTTCTTGGTGTCCTGCGTGCGGCCAGCAGCCGGCGGAGGGGCCGGGCTGGTCGAACGGTCGGGCAGGATGCTGTAATCGACGAGGGAGAAGCGTGGATTCTCGCGCAGAAAGTAGGTGCGCTCAAAGAGCTCGGTGATCTCGACGGGCAGCAGCTCGCGGCCACGCTCCTCGGCCATGCGCTGAACAGTGCGGCTAAAGTCGACCTGCAGGCCTCGCGGCAGGTCGAGGTGAAGATACTGCTGAATGATCCAGGCAGCGCCGCCCTTGCCGCTCTGGGAGTTGACGCGGATGACGGCCTGGTAGTCACGGCCGATATCGTGGGGATCGAGCGGCAGGTAGGGCCCACCTGCCAGTGATCGGTGGCGTCGCGACCTGTCTTCTCGCGGGCCAGGAAGCCCTTCTTGATGGCGTCCTGGTGCGAGCCGCTAAAGGCACAGACGACGAGCGAGCCGCCGTAGGGCGCACGCGGATGGACCGGGATCTTGTTGCAGACTTCGACGACGCCGATGACGTGCTGCAGGTCCGACAGATCGACACGAGGCGACACGCCCTGGGTGTACAGGTTGAGGGCCAGGGTGACGAGATCGACGTTGCCGGTGCGCTCACCGTTGCCAAAGAGACAGCCCTCGACGCGGTCGGCACCAGCCATCTGAGCCAGCTCAGCCGCTGCCACGGCACAGCCACGGTCGTTGTGCGGGTGCAGCGACACGCACACGCGCTCCCGCTGCGAGATGTGGCGGCAAAAGTACTCGATCTGGTCGGCGTATACGTTGGGCGTGGCCATCTCCACAGTTGCCGGCAGGTTGAAAATGATGGGCTGCTCTACTGTCGGGCCCCAGGCTGCCTTGACGGCCTCGCACACCTGCACCGAGAAGTCCAGACGCGTGTCCGAAAAGGTCTCGGGACTGAATTCAAATGCCCACTCGGTCGCCCGGACTTCAGGGTCGGGGCTGTCTTTTGTGAGCGACCGCACCAGCTTGGCGCACCGCGAGGCCAGCTCCAGCGACTCTTCCTCGGAGAAGTTGAATACCACCCGCCGGAAACACTCGCTCGTCGCCAGGTAGATGTGGATGATGGCTCGCTTGGCGCCGCGCACTGACTCGACCGTTCGCCGGATCAGGTCCTCGCGACACGGCGACAGCACCTGCAGGTACACGTCGTCCGGTACTGCTCCCGGCGTCTCGATCAGGCGCCGCGTAAAGTCAAAGTCCGTCTGTGATGCCGACGGGAACGACACCTCGATCTCCTTGTATCCCAGGTCGCAGAGCATCTTGAAGTATGTCCACTTCTCGTCGCCGTTCTAGAGCCGATTGTCAGCTTGTATCGGCATGTCTCCTTCGGTTCCCTGCGAGTGCAGCCACGCTTACCATTGGGTCGACCAAGCTCTGGTTGCCGTCACGCAGGTCTGTCGACAGCCACCGGGGCGCCTTGTCGATTGTCTTGGAGGGCCATTGCCGGTCGGGGAGATGTACTGGCGGAAATGGTTTGTATTTTGTCGACGGATCCTTGAGCCTGGAAGGTCAGAGAATATCCCAAAAGGAGGCAGAGGAAAGCAGGAAAATGGGAAAGAGCAATGGCAGAGAATGGCCGGACTCGGAAGGACTTACATGACCATCTTGGCGGTTGTAAGGAAGGTGCAAAGCAGAGACCAGGGTGGTAAGGATTGTAGGTCGAGAGTATTTGAAGCGTTTTTTTGGAGAAAGCGGCAATGAAGAGGGCAAGACAAGGGCGGATCAAATACAAAAGTCGCAGATCGGAAAGCCTCTCTCTTCTGAGTCACAGGGTTTTGTGCGGATAGACGAGGCCGCCAGAGTTCGGGAAACTAATTTTTTTTTTCACTATAACAAGAGGCCGACTTATGTCACGACTTAGGCCGACGCAAGACGAAGGAGGGGGGGCAACTTGCTCGGGCCGGCAGCTCATACGTGTAAACGGGTTAGTGCATGCAGCAGCCGAGTGGGGCAGCCAGGAGGACGACAACTGGCACTGTCAGGTTATGGTCATGTGATTGTAAAGTACTGTTTGCAAAGTATTATCAAAAGTATAGAGGAGCTGCCAGCCAGTTTCCCTGTCCGTGGTATCTCAGAAAGAAAAGAGCAATCCGCAGAAGGCGGGAGACAAAGGAAACGTCAGTCATGAGTAATGTACATGTGGACACTTCACCACGTTCCCTTCCTTTCTTCTTCCCTTCTCTCCACCTACAACGCATAGTTCTCCGTGTGCAGAAATATCTCCTCCAACATGTCGTCCCCCCAGATCTCCGCCTGCAGCGCTGCCACCGTCGTCGCCACGCCCACCCGCATGCTCGCTGGCCCACACACAAACACGGCTGTACGCCGTCCCAGAATGCCGCGCCCGTCTGCCCCCCCTCGGGCCCATTCGTGCAGCATGTAGCCCAGGTCCGGTCGTCCGTACTCCACGCTCCAGCCGCCGTCGATCTGGTGCGGCACCGGAAAGGCGAACCGCATCAGCGATCGCTGGAACTCCGTCGGCGTCTCCGGGAAGCCAAAGTCGAAGCCGGACGGCGGCCCAAACGTCGACGTCGGCCCGCTGTCTGTCCGCAGGTGTGCCAACTCTGGCGGCCGCATCTGGGCTTCCGACGTCGTCTCGTTCTCGTTCTCACCCTCGTCTTCGCCCGAGCCCACTGCCTCTCTCGCTGCCAGGACTGGTGGCGCCAGGTTAAAGTGCGGCGCGTCTGTTCGTGGATGCGGCGTGAAGTGGAACTCGCCAGGCTGAGACGCCTCGGTCGCTTGGGCCGCCTGCTTCTCTCCACGGCCCTCCAGCCGGCGCAGCGACTCGTCCGGCAGCGGGACCTGCATCTGGTACGGCTGCAGGTACTTTTGCTGGGGCAGGGCTGTGATGCGGTCCTCGTCTTCGGCGCGCAGCTGTCGCTCAACCTCGGGATCGCCCTGGGCCTCGGCCACAATGAGGGCTGAATTGCGCTTGGATGCGATGCCGGCCACGAACCCGTCGAGCCGGTCGTGGAAGAGGTTGCTGAGCGGTCGGGGTGCGCGCTGTTGGTGGTGGGCACCCATGCCTCCCATGCCCGGGGTGAAGACAACGCTGCTCGTCGTCGCATCGGGCCCGCCGAACAGGCCGAGAGCATCTCCGCCGAGATGCGGGTTTCGATGCTCTGCGCGCGTCGCCGCCGTGACAAAGAACTTGCAGGTCACAGACTCGGGCGGCGCCGACTCGCGGCAGATGCGCAGCTCCTCGCGGAACCAGTCCATGGCCTCGAGGCGGCGCAGCGCCCAGACGACGACAATCCGCTTGGTGATGGCCTTGCCGTCACGCATCCGCTTGATCAGGTTCAGCAGCTGCGACATCAGCGACGTGATGCCCGAGCCGCCGGCAATCAGAATGCACGTGTCAAAAGCGGCCAGCTCGCGCCGCATCCCGCCGTATGGCCCGTCTAGAAAGGCTCGGTATGTGTGGAAGGGTCCCTTGGAAACGGCCGTGTCCAGCACGCGCCGTGTGAAGCCGCCGTACGGCCGGAAGACGAGCACGCAGTCGCGGTATGCATCACCGTAGGCCGACGGGAAGTCCTCGCTGCACAGTGACGACACCGTGAACGGGTGGTTCTCAAACAGCGAGATGCCCGGCATCCGCAGGTACACGTACTGGCCTGGCTGCCATCGCATCTGCGTCGGGATCGTGATCTTGATCGCGTCTTCCGCCATCAGCGAGATCGCCGCCTCGTCGCCCACCAGAAAGGCCAGCCTCCACGGGCGCGTCCAGTTGAGCTTCGCCAGCCGCCACAGCTGGCACGCCCCGAAGATGGCGCACGTCGCGTACAGGTACGCCCACGAGTGCAAAAAGTTCTTGGTGTGCCAGAACAACAGCCCGACATACAGCAGTCCGACCGGCACGTGCAGCAGCACAAAGGCCTCGTATGCCACCCGCCGCACAATCGGCAGCGATGCCACGCACAGCCAGATCAGCGGCACCAGGCACGCAATGCCCGTGCCGTACACAATCAGCCCGTTGGAGAAGAGCCGCTGGAACACCGCCATCCCGCCGTCGCCCCACACTGGCTGCACGTAGAACGGGATCGCGTGCACCAGCGACAGGAACAGGCACAGGTAGCCTGCCCAGCGGTGCAGCACGTTGAGCCGCTCCGGCCCGATGCCCGTGATCAGTGTCAGCACGTTGGTCTTGGTGCTCGTCGCGATGATCCACGGCGTCATCGCCACCGCCATCATGCCTGCCCGCACGGCCACCGGCGGAGCCCCAAATCGGATGCTCTGCCAGTACAGCGGCTGTGGCAGGAAGCAGTACAGCGCCGAGAACGCCAGCGCCACGAACCCGCACGCCAGCACCGCCACCGACGAGAAAGTGAACCGGTACTTGCGCCACACAACGTCGGGCAGCGGCCGGTAAAACAGCCACCGGAACAGTGCGATCGCGTCGTTGACCGGTCCGACCGATGAGAAGTTGCCCGTCGGCCGAAATGCCGTCTCCTGCTTCGTCTCCTCCGGAAAAAAGTGCCGGCTGGACGCGTGGCTGACCGTGGCTGGCGTTCCGTTGGGTCCATTGGGTCCGTGCTGCCCGTACTGTGCATACTGCGCGTACTGCGCTGCCTGTGCTGCCTGTGCTGCCTGTGCTGCCTGTGCTGCCTGTGCTGCCTGTGCTGCCTGTGCTGCCTGTGCTGCCTGTGCTGCCTGTGCTGCCTGTGCTGCCTCCTGCTCCGCAAGGCTCCCTGCTGTCGCTGCCGGCTGCTCCCACTCCGGATTCGTCACATAGAGGTTGCGGTAGTGCTCTTCAACCTCTTGCTTGTAGATGGCCTGCCGGATCTTGTCCTGCCAGTAGTGCCACAACCGCACGACCACCACGCAACCGGTCAGGGCCAGGGCAAAGTATGTCCAGGCGAGCGCGTATTTGCCTGATTTGTTCCACGGATCGACTGTGTCGGCCTCGATCAGCCCGGCCGGGCTGGTGGCCGTCAGCGGGATGTTGATGCGGCGGGCCAGTGCCGGCGCCTCAGGCTGAAGGCGAGTGGCCATTAGGGCTGGTGAGGATAGAGGTCGCGCCGTTTCGGTGAAGGATTGGGAGGCAAGGGGCCCATCAAAGTTCAACTAGTCGTAGCGAAGTTCGGTGGCGACAGCGGCCATGGGTATATAGGTACAGAAAATGCGAAAAGAAAAACGACATGCAGGGGGAAAGCGAGCGAGAGGAGGACGGAGGAGTTGGAAGAAAAAGAAAACTGTCCGCAGACGAATTGCGTCTCTTGCTGAGCGGCCCGGGAGCAGTATGTATTATTGCCCTCTTCAGATGGGCGATGCTGGTTGGTCCCTGGTCGGACTCGACGAGCCGGTGCACTAGACTAGACTACCCGGAGCTGGCAGGTCTAGCGCTTGGGAGGTGCGTCGTAGTGGGAGAAGAAACCGTCACGAGGGAGCATGAGACTTGCTTAGCAGCACATGCGTATGCGAAAGTGCGCCTGCTTGAGAGAGAGCAACGGACCGAGAAAGAGAGCGCCCCGAACCCAGCGGTTGACCGTGCTTTAATACTGGCTGCAGGAAAAGTGATGAGAACGGCAGATGGCATGATGGGGGGTGTGGTGAAAAGACGAGGTACATACATAGTAGTGTGGTGGAGGGGGGAAGAAAAAAGATACATAGCAGATAAGACGGGGGACAGAACAGAGGTCCTTTCCCTCTCCCCTGTCACACCGCGATAGGCAAATTGGCAGCAAGCGTGACTCTGTCTGCAGTGATGAGATGCATGTTTGTTGTGTGAACGCACTCGAATGCATCGCTTGCGTTGTATCGAGCCGTTTCTGCACCTTGTGAGACATCCTGGAAGACGGCAGAAGAGAGAGCCAAGCCTCGGAGGGCAGTTGCTGTGCATCCCCTGTACAGAGTACCTGCGTGCACACCCTCTTCCCGGCCTGTGCAGAGCCAGAGTAGAAAAAAGCGGCGACGGAACAGGGATTGGCCCGGAGCGGTCGATGACGAGAGGTGCGCGGGACGATGAAAGGCAGAATATCGGAGCAGGCACCCACACCAGTAGCCAGACCCTCTGTGCGCTCCCCTGTAGCCGGCTTCTCATTGGCCCACTGGCCGGACGTCTGGTGGGTCTGAGCTTCCCTGCCCTGGGGCCTGTCGACAGGGGGGCATTCCGGCGGCAATGTGTGCGCTGTGATTGGCTGGCATGTGGGCTTCCAACGTCGAGTCACGTGGAATCGAGTACCCACTTTGAGCACTCCGTACTTTTTACCTTGCAGCTGCAGATGCGATACGACCTCTCGACGTCCTGCAAACAGTCGATACGGCCGCTGCGACCGCTGCGGTGGCCAGCATGGCGTCAGGACCGCGTGGATCTCGGTCGCCTTGTTTTTTTTTTTTTGTTTTTTTTTTTTTTGCTTTTCGTCCTGTCTGTCTTTCGGTTGGTAAGTCCGACAGAGGCAACCGTTCACAGGTGGCCCAGATACCCTTTTGCTCAACACCACATCTGCGCACCACCACATCTGCAGCCTCGGCCTGATCCCCAAGCAGCCGGGCTGCGAGAAGACCGGCCGCGATCTTGCCCCACTAGCCAGCCGCACTGGGTCCGCATCGTACTTTGCCCTACTACGTCGTATGTCTGCATGTGTCAGGGCCGATATGGGAGGCAGTGCAAGGGTGAGGAGGGGCGTCCCACTGCCCCGAGAAGGCTTGATGCTGTCTCGGGCTAGAGCTCATTTCTGTTTGCATATGCCATTGTTGCGGGTACGGAGTACAACAGCCCCCTGCTCCTCGTCCATGGAAGCCCAGCCCGCTCAGATCCGCACTGAGCGGCCGTCCCCGGCTTCGTCCGGACGCTCTTTCCGGTGTTGCCGTGTAGATGCTCATCCGGCAGCCGTAGCACCAGCGGCAAGTCTCACGGCGTCACTGGGCGATGGCACAGTCCCGAGCGGACAATGGGGACGTTGTCCTCGGCAGCCACACCCAAAATCGCCTTGCTGCATTGTAGCAGGTGGTCTAGCCGATTGGGGAACGGCACCGAGTCTGTCGAGAGGGCCGAAACCGGATCGGCCGTCGAGTTCAGCCCGGCCACGTAGACGGAGCCGTCGGCACGGCCGAAGAGGACCGCGTGGAAGTCAAGCGAGCCGCCCGTGGCAAAGACTGCGTACACGTCCACAGAAGGAGGGGAAGACGGCCGGAGCAGCAGCGAGTGACCAGAAACGCTGCTGGTGGGGATGCCGCAAGACGGACTTCTAGCGCCGCCGCCAAAAAGCTCGTCAAAGACGCGACCAGACCAGGCGCCAGCCGCGATGATGAGACGCGTGCAGGGCAGCGTCGTCGTCAAAGTCGCACCCTCTCTTCCTCCTGTCGACTGGAGGTCGACGCTGTCCAGCTCGCCGTCCTCGTTCGTCCCCACAGTGACGACGCGGGCTGGCTGGTGCAGATTCACGCCGCGCTCTCGACAGACGTTCAGAAAGAAGTTTGAAAATGCAAGCGGGTCACTGGACCGCTTTGTCAGCAGCTACTTCACCAGCAGAGAGGAGGGGTAGTAAAGCAACAGACACCTGGGCTGTCGTGCCACTGCTGCCACGCGGCTTGACAGCGTCGCCGTCCCGACGGCAGATCCAGGCCGGGAAGCCTCCCGTAAAGCTGGCAGCCTCGTCTGGCCGACCGGTGACTTGACCCATCAGATCAGGACCGGTGTTTCTGCTTTGCGCCCCGGCAGCACTTGGGGACAACTCGTAGTCCAGAGACGTCGAGGCCACATAGCCCCAGTGGCTGTGGCCGTCGTACTGTGCAGCCAGGCGGTCGTGCTGGTCAAACGAGAGCGCAGCTAGCTCCGACACCTTGGGGTCGAACCAGTCTCGCGCCAGAAAGCCACCGGCATAGCCTGAGGCCGAGGCTAGAAAAGCCGATGATTCCACCAGGTGGATCGTATCGGCCGGCTGGTGCTCGCTGAGAAAGTAGGCTGTCGTGATGCCGACAATGCCGGCGCCAACAATGACCGTTGACGCCATTGTTCCAGATCTCTTTGGCACGGAGGAGGGGCGGCGTACCTTCTCGAAGCAGAGCATCGCGCTAGCGATGTTACAAATCCACTAAATCGGCCACAGGTCAATCAAATTTCAAAATTTACACTGCACACTCGACAGCCCAGCGACGCAGACATGAGCAAAGTCATCATCGTCACCGGTGCCAGCCGTGGCATCGGCCTCTGTATCGCTCAGCACTTGCTGGCCCACAAGCATAACGTCGTCCTCGTTGCCCGGACGGCTGCGCCGCTGGCCGCCCTCAAGACCCAATTCCCAGACCAGGTCGAGTATTCTACCGTGGACTTGACCGACTTTACTGTACGTGAGGCCAAATACGCAGCACAGGCCAGAACACTGACTTGCGCCTTAGACAGCCCCTCTGGTGGTCGACCTCGCCATCAAGACCTTTGGTCGTCTGGACGGACTCATTGCTAATCATGGAGCTCTCTCGCCTCTGGCCCATGTTGCAGACGCAAGCATCGACGAGTGGAAGCGCCTCTACGACATAAACTTCTTTAGTGTGCTGGCCTTGGTAAGAGCCGACGCTCGCTAAGCCGAGCCGAGCTAAGGCGCCCTCTTTATTGACAACATCTTGTCCTTTAGGCAAAGGCAGCTATTCCCAAGCTGCGCCAGTCCCAGGGCCGCATTGTGGTCACTTCATCCGGAGCAGCCGTCAATGCATATACCGCCTGGGGCGCCTACGGGAGCTCCAAGGCCGCCGTGAACTCGCTGGTGCAGCACCTCGCCGTCGAAGAGCCCACCATTGCCTCCATTGCCGTCGGTCCTGGCCGTGTCGATACAGACATGCAGAAAGAGTTGCGTGAAGACGGCGCCACAACCATGGCACCCAAGGACTACGCCGGCTTTGTGAGCGCCTTCGAAGAGGGCAGGCTCAACCCGCCCGAGAAGCCAGCTGAGGTCATCGCCAAACTGTCTGTCGACCTTACACTCGAGCACAGTGGACGATATGTCAAGTACGAGCATACGTTGCCCCCCCTTGTCTTATCACGCGTACCACCTACTAGACTTACGTTGCTAATCGTCGACCTTACTGGCTAATCAGTTGGAACATCCCGGACATGGCACCGTACCACTGGTCCGAATAGAGTCGAGTAGGTATGCTGTGAATTCTTTCATGGCGTTAGCAAAATGGTACGCAATCATGGTATGAATGATTTTCAGACAAAAAAAGAAGAAAACATAAAAGCATCAGTTGAAAGATGAAAAGTCTTTTGATAGTCTCCACATGTAGGTTCGGTATTAGCATGGAATATCAAGTTTATAATCACTTGCTTGTATTCTTCACAATAAATCACGGTGCACGTTGTGCTTTGCAGCTTGAGTCTTACCTTTTGAAAGATGTAACAACCCCAGTCGATAGTCACAAGAAAATTTCCGAATTATCTTTACGCTTTGTTAGCGCCGTATCCGAAGGTAGCGATTTCTGACCAGATATTGGGCGGTTGAAGACACGGTTCAGGCAATAAAATGAAGGTTGTCCGTCATACTGATCGGTATTTGATAGTACTTATTGAAGCATCATGGTGGTCGGAGGGTGTGGGGGAGAAGAAGCGGGATTTGAGCATACCATACGAGGCACTTATGGCCTTGCTGCCGTAGCCAAAGGTCACATAAAGATGATATACTAGATAGAAAGTCAGCAAGCTGCCCTGCCACGAGGCGCATTGCGGAACAAGTGAGAAGGCCGTGTGCAAAGATCAGAAACGTCCGTTTGGAAAGACAGTGTCAATCACCATTGTTTTTGTAAGACTGGGGCGACAAAGAAGCTCATCATGTGAAGCCAGGCCGTAAAGGAAAAAAAACCATACAGAAGATAATCTGCAACTTACCAGTAATTGAACGAATGTAAGCCAGAGGGGGCAGCAAAAACACCGCCTTCATATTTTACAGTCGCCAGACAGAGCTGCTTGGCAATTGGAAGGCAGACAAGCCTTCCCGCCTCAAAATTGTTGGCAGAAAAAAGAATATTGAGAGTTGAGAGGAGGGAAACTGTAAAGAGAAAAAAAAAATCGACGGCGATTTAAAAAGAGCGATTACAGTGGGTCTTGCTTATGTAATAGAAAGACCACGGGAAGACTGGAATATTTTCTACAAAATTTACACAGAAACGCGTCTAGCGTCTGGCGACTCCAAAACGGCTAGGACAATAATAAACACAGATCGGATACGGAGACAAGGTACAGCAGCGCGCTGACTCGTAATTGTCCTAGAACTTGTTTGGTGTATTACTTGCGCATGTGCCTCTTTTTTGGCATGCCGTTCTGACGCGCTCAGAAAATGGCCTGTCAGCTGCTTCTGGCGGTGAAACCTCCCAGGGCAGATTACTGGGAAGAACTGCGGGGTCCACTATCAGTTTGCGCCGCGACTGATGTGGTTAATCCTTTTTGAAAGAGGCTCTTATTTTTTTTACTGCAGGGCGCAAAGCGTGCTTGCTCATACTATAGCTGGAGCAGTCTATAAGAACTCGCACAGTTCCCGGCACTGCCAAATGCCTTGGGCGACGCCAGCTGCCACCATTTCCCGACCGCTGCCAATCCGCCAACGTCATCTTAATAAGCAGCACTTAATTATATTATTGCACGCGTTCCCGCCCGCCCTGCTCCAGCGCCTTTCCTGCTGTGTCGTTCTCTACATCTGGACACCATCTGGCGTCCCATCGCATCGGCCATAAGAACCGCCTTCTCGCACACACCCCTCATCTTGGACCTCCACACCATCGCCTGCTGGGCACGCGTTCGGCATGTCTGACCACGACGGAGACTTTGGTGGTGAGTCTGCGCGCACATTGACATGATCTGTTCTTTACATCACCCTCAGCACGAACGAAGCTACACAATGATTTGGGCAAGCTTGGCCATCGCCCTCGCCGTCTCGGGTTTGCTGAGTGGCTTCCGTGGAAGGGAGGGAATTCGGTTCACCAAATTGGCAAACTCGTCATGGCCACCTGTGATTCACGAAGAGGATTATAGCGGCGCATACGAGCGGGATCTTGCTAGGTCTTGGATGCTGCTGCACACCTCTCGGTCCTTCCGTTTACACCCATGCATTTTGCTCCAGCGCTGCACATTTTGCTCCCATCCTTTCTCTCCCACGGAATCCATGTCGTGAGCACACCATGGACTACTTCAGTAATGATTACATTGGCGGTGGTGGAATGTCTGGGCTAATACAAAAACTAGGCAACGACGATCTCTCTTTACCAAAAGGTAATATTTTCCGTCCATGCAGCTACCCGGTATTGTCGATGAACCTGCTGACCTTTCTCTGTTCGCCCCCTTTAGCCACCGTCCAGAAGATTGTCACAGAGATCCTGCCGCCAAGCAGCGGTCTCGCCTTCTCCAAGGATGCTCGGGACTTGCTGATCGAGTGCTGCGTCGAGTTTATCACACTCATCTCGTCCGAGGCCAACGAGATCTCCGAGAAGGAGGCCAAGAAGACTATTGCCTGCGATCACATTACCAGGGCATTGGACCAACTGGGCTTCGCCGAGTACATTGGCGCCGTTGTCGAGGCTGCGCAAGAGCACAAGGAGGTGCAGAGGGGCCGCGAGCGCAAGGCCGACAAGTTCACACAGAGCGGCATGACGCTGGAGGAGTTGGAAAGACTGCAGCAGGAGCAGTTTGCTGAGGCAGCCATGAGGCACGGCTGACCTCTCTTGTTTTCAAATATCGTTTTTATACCTGCATACACTATTTGGGGGGGGGGGGGGGGGGGGGGGGGGGGGGGCGAGGGGGGGCGTTATTAGTGGCTATCTGTTTCTGGCTATGGAAGCTCTTCTGTGGAAAATTTGAGAGGGCAATGCTTTTATGATTCGTTATCAAGCGCCCTGTAAACGTTCCGGACTTGGGGTCGTAATAAAAGGTGACTGGCAAGATGCAGTATTCTTACTGGTTGTATCGTTCATTACATGCATAGGCAACGCACTTTCCTCTTGTGTGCAGTGATGACCTCATTGGCTGATATTCGGTAGAAGAGAAATTGGTACAGATGTCGACATAAGAGATATGTAGGGTGGAAATGCATGTACAAATCGAAATAACACGATAATGACAGGCAAACGCAAGACTAAACAAGAAGATGGCCACGTAGGTATCCCCCATCTTTACAGCATATGAAGTGCTCAAGTCCGAGCGCATACCTCAACCCGCAACGTGCCCAAAATCTTTGAGCTCTTCAGTCCCTTGGACCCAATTCAAAGAAATGCACAGTGAGAATCGATAAGGAAACGTAGTGTGTTGGACCTGAAGAACGGCCATTGTGTGGGAGATCGGTCCTGCGTAACAAGTACGATGACAGCGATCTTGAAATCATACAAGGAGAGTATGAGGATGAGCCGCTTACACATCGTGCTTCCCCTCCTTAGCCTCCTTCTCCTCCTCCTCATCCTTATACAGCGGAAGTTCATCCTCGGCCTCGGCAGCCGTCATCAGACCGGCCTTCTCATCAACAGCGCCGGCCTCGCAGACAGCAGCCTTACTGTTGTTAGAGCACAGATTCTCGGGCTTCTGCTGCGGGCGACGGAAGAACATGCGCCAGAGGCGGACGATCAGGCTGCCAACGATCATGCCGGCAACGCTGGACCCAACACCAGCAGAGACACCGATCAAGACCGGCACCAGAATGTGCGAGACAAAGTTTCCGAGTAGGCGGACCCAGCTGTGACGGTGGTGGTGGTGCCCGTGGTACGGCATGTGCTTCTCATCATGGCCCTCCTCGAGGGCCTCCGCGGGAACGTCCTTGTGACCTTCCTCAGGGACCTCGTCGTGGTGGGATTCGTCGTGATGGCTGCCCTTGCCCTTGCGCATACCACCGCAGCCGTGCGGCTTGACGTGAGACGATAGGATAACCTTCCAGCGGCACAGGATGTTCGTGCACTCAGACAGCTTCTTCTCGAGCTCCTCCCGGGCGGCACTGTTTTCCTCCGGGGGCGGGGGGCCATGAGGGTGATCGTGCGGAGGAGGGGGACCGTGGTGGGGACCGTGAGGACCGTGAGGCGGGCCATGAGGACCATCGAGTGGCACCGGGTGAACGTCGTTAACCTTGGAGTCACCTTCAATGCCCACGCTGCCAATAATCAGCGTACCCTCCGGCTTGCGAATCAGGTTGATGGACACGGCCGGGATGCCCTGGATAAAGACATCGTTGACCCCGATGATCTGCAGGATCAGGGCCACAACGTCCATGTCGTTGCTAGCGTCCTTGCCGACCGTATGCATCTGCAGCGAGTAGCCCAAGGGCACAGGCTCGAAGATGAGTCGGTTGCGCAGGTCGTGCTTCTCCTTGGGATGGTGCATCTCGCGCTTCATCTCATCCTCTTTCTCCTCGTGGTGCTCATCGTGATGCTTGCCCTCGTGGTGTTTGCTGTGGTGCTTGCGAGGGTGAACGGGCAGCTGCATGGCGTGTAGGGCGCTGTTGTGAATGTCGACCTCCGGATACAGCTCGAGGTCGTTGATGACGATATGGTCGCCGTCCTCGCGGCGCTCCACGCGGAGGAAGAAGTTCAAAAAGTTGGGCACGTCATCCAGGACGGCCGTGGACATGTCCTTCTCGTGATGCGCCTTGTTGAAGACCGTCAGGCCGCAGCCCGGGCAGTCGACCGTCACGACGGCAGCTTCAAAGACGTCCGGCTTCAGGCTGGCACCAGTCGCGGCAGAAAAGTCGGTGGCATCGCCGTCGATGCCGTTGTCGCCTTTGGCGCTCTTGGCAGCCTGGGAGTCCGTCGGCGGCAGCACCAGAAAGGCTGTGGCCGAAGAGGACGCCAGCGCCACAGCGAAAAGAGCCTTGGGCAGCATAGTGATGCGGAAGTAAAAAGAGTTGTACCTATCAGGTGGGGATGGATGTCGTATCGTCGGGCTTTCCAGATGTGTGACAAGAAGACGAGAGAGAAAAGATCGAGATAAAAAGGAAAGGAATGGGACCGGACAGATGCCGCGTGTTTGGGATCTGAAAGAGCCCCGCTGTTGAACTTACGACGGCCTTGCATCCTGAGAAAGGGAGGCATACGTAATCGCTGTTCCGGACGGCCTAATACAGACATGCTTGATACATACTTGCCTGAAATTAAATTGGGGCTGAGCGAGCCACGCGGCAACAAAACGGAACTACGCCCGTCACGTGTCGCTCCTGATGGCTGCCTCTCGCACTTCAGACTTCGCATGCTCGTCGGCGTTGCTTTTCTGCCCGTTTCGGTTGCCGATCAGGTCTGTGCTCGATTCTGTGCCATATTACTGCGTACTCCGTACTCGACATCCACCACGCCGCCATTGCAATACGGAGTACTCCGTAGTCCTGTCTGACTTGCACAGCCTCGCAAAATTGAAACAGACTCGTATCTTATTGCAAATTGCAAGCACAGCCCAAGTTGTGCTAACCGGGAGTTGCCTAACGGGTGATAAATTGCCACCTTTGGCAGAAGAATGTTTTTCTTTTGGTCCAGACCAAGAAGCGATCAAAAGCGTCTAAATCTCATCAGTAGGATACCCTTTACCCGGTATATCGTAAACTCCGTGTGTGCGCTCCCATCCAGTTTTCAAACTCCTCAAAGCCCAAAATCCTATACAAAGGTGTGTTACCTTGCGGTAAATGAAAAATAAATCAGTGAAAAAAAAAAGAACACAGAAAAACAATATCCTGACAGCTATTTCCCCCATTTTAATCCGGGTGCACGTGGCCAATGCTCAGGTCTGTTGCTCCACATAATTCAACGTTTTGTTATCGATGAAAGCAGAGTGAAGACGGATGTACTGAATAGAAAGGCATGTGCCGCGCCTATCACAAGATTGTGCAACGGTGGCCGTCTCGCCGACGCCGGCGTCGCTTCCTCTCCGAAGACGCGTTTCCTTCGTACTTGTAGTCGTCTTCGTAGGCCTGGGCAGGACTGATATCGTCTTTCCTAAGCATTTGCCGGCACAGGTCGATGAACACCTCGTCGACGTTGGTCCGTGTCCGCGCGCTAGCTTCGTAATACGGGGCATTCCACCGTTGTGACAATGTGAAAGCCTTGCTTCGTGTCACCGCTCGCTGGTCCTCAAGGTCAGCCTTGTTTCCAACAATGACAATGGGGACGTTCTCGTCGTCTTTGATGCGTATGATCTCCTCACGCAGCATTGTCAGCTCCGTGAGGGACGAGGGTGATGTGATGCTGAAAACTAATAAGAACCCCTGGCCGGTTTTCATGTAAAGATCCCGCATGGCGACTAGCAATGGGGACAAGAAACATGTTAGCGAATGAGTCACCCCAGGCGCTCGCAGAATGCGCTTCCGTCGTTGCCCACGGTCAAGTTGGGGTCAGGCATACCAAACTGCTCAGTGCCAGCTGTGTCAAGACTAGGGAGAGGGTTAGTCGAATCTACACACGATCATCGTGGTGGCAGAGAGCCTTACATCTCCAGCATCACTTGCCGGTCCTATAAGGCATGACGGTCAGCCTCTTCTTCATACAGCTTTTAGGGGGGAGATATGATGTCTCTCAGAAGGTATGACTCACGTCAACAGTGACCTGTGTCCGGTAGGAGTCCTCTATGGTAGGGTCATAGCTTTCAATCCATTGATTGTGGACAAACTGGGCTGTTTGACTGTCAGTAAGACGATCAGGTCTATGTCATGTATCAAAAGCGTTCTAACCTGTGAGACAACTCTTTCCTACGCCACCTAGCACTTGGTGTTAGCACGCAACGGAGCTGCAAGAGATGTTATCCAGAAACGGGAATACGTGGGGAAAACACACCTGCGCCTAAAACGACAACATGACATTCGCGACTACGAAGTATTAGTGATACGGTCCCAGGAGCATGCAGCCACGACAACGACAAGATCTCACCACGCTTGGTATCGAGGGGCCATGACGGCTGAAGAAGAAGCAGATTCGCTTCACTGTGTTGCCAATCTACGTTGGCACTAGTCCCGCTTCTCCCCGTTGTGCCAGTTGGCTGAGAAGTAGGAATTGAGGCGGATCAGCCCGTCGAGGTACGACTATATGATGCTCCACCAGGTGCAATTGTGATCGTGGCAGTCGTCAAAAGGAAAGGGGACGTTGACAAGTATGGAATCAAGATGGTATACAAGACAGACCAAGAAAATAGGGTCGTAAGGGGCGTATAGCGAGGTCGGAGGAGAGGCAAAGTGAGAGAAGGGGGTAGAGAGAGGGGTACTTGCAGTATATAGGTAAGGAGGTGAGGTAGAAGTGCAGAAAGGGAAAGTAGGTCGTGCGTGACCACTGAGACTGGTGATTCTAGGAGAGAGCTAGAGAGAGAATGGAAGTGGATTGGACGTAATATCTTACAAGACGAGCGAAGAAATAGCGAGTGAAAGTGAGAGAAGGGGGCAAGCAAAGTGCCGAGCCGCTGAGGAGAAGGAGGGGGGGAGGGAACTAGAAATGATGTCGGGACAAAAGCTAAGGACAAAATGACGGGCACCCGGGGGTACGGTATCGACAGCGTTGACAATTTGGGGATCTGCAAGGTTGGATGTTTTTTTTTGGCTTTTTTGGCGCATGTGACGGACAGTGGTTCTTTAAGAAAATGGCCCACGGTGTTAGCTATCTTACAGGGACATTGCTCCAGCTAAGGCGGCTATCAGCAGCAGGGCGGCGTGTTTTCGTAGGGCACCTGCTGCCCAAAGGGAAAGACGAAGGAACCCAACTCGGATATACGCGTAATAGCAGTGAGGAAAGGGAAATGGACCAAGAAGGAAGGAAGCCAAATGGGGGTGGTCGCACTGGCGAGAACGAGTTCCTCCCCCCTATTATTTAGGGTCCTATTCGCTGTTTTTTTTTTTTTCATTTTTTTGCGTCGTATTTTTTTTCTCTCGCTCTCCTCCAATTCTTTAACTCCCCCTCCTTCCTCTTCATGTGCCCCGCAGCAAGCTCATAATATGCGGATGGAAACCAAACACAGCTAAGCCAATCCTGCCCCTAAACAGCCGGCCTCAGGAAAAGAAAAAGGGCATCCACCCCCAAAAGTAAAACATAACCCCACTTTTCAACGAACGCTACGACCGTACGGACCCAGTAGTTCAGTAGCTCGGAGAGCCTAGCGACGAGCGTCGGGTTGGGACGTTTGGGCTACGACGGGGAAGAGCAGCTCGGAAGACAAGCACAGAAAAGGAGAAGAGCTGTAGGGGGGCGAGTGGATTTAGCGGATAATGTAGGGAGGATAGGGGGCGCAAGGGCAGAATGACGCTACAGAAAGGTACAACCTGATTCGCAGGCGACGGGCTCCAGCCGGCGCGCGTCTACATTTTTTAATTGTTAGTATGTACGAGTAGGCTGTCGGTGTCCCAGGGACCAGGTTCAGGGGGGGGATAGGGGGGACCGCGAGCCAGGAGAACGGAAAGAGGGCGATGTGTGGCTACCCGATTTTCTTCATTGTTCTTCGAACAGTTACACGGTACGGAGTACATGGTAGCGACGGGGGTCGCCATACAAAAGTAAGATACTCGTACATGCTATGTCTCGTACGGCTTAGTCACAACGGGCACGGGAAGAAGAAGAAATACAGGGATGGAGCGGCAGCAAGATTCCTCAGCCGTCGTACTATGTATCTTACCAGACGGATGCAACATCAAGGGAGAATGAGGGAAAACAAGAGGGCAGAGAGCAGACCGGGCAGGTCAACCCGAGGTGGCACAGACAGCGGATGAAGCAGACACGACGCATCTCAGGATGTTGTGCAGGCGAGATACTACATAGTATGTGAGATACCATCCGCAACAGTCAGCTTCTACATCCAGCCAAGTGCCCGGCGCACAAGAGAGAGAGAATGCACACGCCGCCTGCAAGCTTGCCCGCTCGAATGCGACTGCATGGGTAGTGTACGATAGTGTGAATCTTACGTATCATCTAGTCTATGTAATACGTCCAAACGGCACCTCGCATTTTCTCTGCCAGCCGGAACAGGTTCCCCCAATTCCGCGCCCACCGCTTAGAATCATGCGGGCGATACCCAGTGTTTTCTTGTGCGCCGCAATTCCCAGCGCTAGCCGGTTCCAGCTGGGGCCGCTAGGGCCCACTGGAGCCCACTGGAGCGACTGGAGCCCGCTGGGGGGTCCGCTGGGGCCCGCTGTGGCTCTCCCCGTAAGAGAATCTGAGCCCGAGGCGAAAAAGCGCGCACTTCCGCCAGCCCATCGTTTCAAAACCGCTCGTGTCCTCATCCCACGCATACGAGCGCGGCGCGGGGACAGCTTGTGACTCGTGCCATGTACGATGCTCCGTCAGATACATAGTCTGGACATGTCCCATCGGCTCGTATTGCACGGCACACGGCGGACTAGCACAAAAGCCCGGCGAGCCGCGAGTCTAGCCAGCGCGCGAGGCATGCCTCCGGCTCCGGGCTGCCAGAGCCAATCGCAGACATCTAGACTGGGCCGTGGCCTCAGCCCTCCTGATGACGGCCTGATCTGCGTCCTGTCAGTGGCCGCCGCCGCGCTTGGCTGGCTCAGCTGGAAACCGGATCTCCAACGTCCACCTCGTATTACATACATAGCAACGCTCGTACTCGGACGATAGTCCATCTCCGAATGCCGGACGGAGTACGGGCACATGACAAATATCAGTAGTATTTCACCTACATGCGTCGTACATATACGCACTGCACCAGCTGACCCCCATCCGGGCTGGGTGGCGCGCAGGATTCGTGTTTTGACTCTCCGCCTCCCGTATCTGTCTCCAGCCTTATCGTCTCCATCGCTATGCATGAGAAGAGGGTCCGGCCCCCAACAAGTAGCCGCCTGTCTGGGGCTCACAGCCTTTACCATACGGTACTTTGGACGGCCTCATCTGCCCTTTATTGACAGCTCCCCGCTTGGCCCAATAGTTCTGCAGACGAGGACGTTGGGCCGCGGACGTGCTAAAGACGAAGCAAGAAAATCGTTAAGTTGGGGTAAAGTGGATTCTGCGTCGTCCTTTTCGAACCGAAAGTCCTTTCTTTCAGCCTTTCAGGCCTGTTTCCGTTGCAGAATCATGTAATATTGTCGGTGTGCATTGCCGCTACTCGGTGTCGAACATCTATTCAAAGCTTCTTCTGATATGGTATGCCGCTTTGCTCCAAGTCCCCAACATCTCATCGTGGCGTCCCCAGCCTTTCCCATCCAAGGAACATATGCATAGTCTATGAATCAACAATAATCACCCGTGCTGTCACGTCCCATCCCGGTAATCATGCCAGTTGGTGCGCAGTCCCTTCGGTGCGTTCCCCATCACTTGGCCCCTTTTCATTCGACGCTTCCTGCTGACCCTCGCCCCCGCTCTCGCAGCCGGTGCATTTCTCTTCGTCGCCACCAACCTTGGGCTTTCTGCCGAGCATGCGCCTGAGCAGTGCCGAGGGCGACAGCCAGTCGTCGCTTTCGCGCTCTGCAAATGCAAACGGCGTGCCCGCTGCACGGTGCTCTGCCAAGATATCGTCAAACGTCTTGCCGTCGGCTTTGGCTTGTTTGCGAATGGCACGCGTGCGGATACGCCATATAATATGGGAGATGAATATGCCAATCTCCAGACACGCACTTCTCATTGTCAGTTTCTTGGTTCTTGTTGCTTTCTTGAACGTGACATTGGGATCTCCGGCCTCTCCACAAGCCTCCTCACTTTCCCGTATCCGTAAAAGCTTACCAGACGATGTACAGAACCCCACCAAGGATATCGAAAGAATTTTGTGCGACTATCTGGTCAGTAAAAAGAGGGGCGAAGGGACAGAAGCACACCAGACGGAATCCTTACCCAAGGCCATGAGTGAGAAGATGGCACCGCTACAGTCCATGCAAAGGAAGATCTGCAACCTGTCAGTGCTTTCTGCATAATCAGAGACACATCCAATCAGCATAACTCACCCAGTTGATCCCCACGACCCGACCTCGGCGCTTCCACAGCTCTGCATATGGCGGCAACAGGCCGGCTGCTAACAGAATCGAAGCCAGGATTCCGACCACCAGTGCCGGTGCCTCATCTCCGCGGTCGTATATCGGCCGAAGTGTCAAAATTAGGGCCGCCTCTACACCGGCAAATATCCCTGCGGTAAGTATATACGCCGCAACGGCCTTCCAGACCGGCCATTTGCTGCCGTAGTACAATACTTGGGCCCAACTGACAAGGCAAAAGGCCATGAACATCTGCGGCTGTATTTGTATGGGTATGCTGAAGTTCTGGATGATAGAGTAGGTACCGAACGGGACACCGCCTGGATCTGTTAGTCAAAACTCGACCAATGGCAGCGCTTGAAACACTTACACACGGCCCAGAGAAACATCATCGCGACGGGCAATCCGTCCGTCTTTTTTGTTTTCCAGTTTGTCCATATTCTGGAAAGTCAGCCAGATTTCCGTGAAATCATATAACATGGGGTTGACTGCATGGGAAAAGTCTCACTGAGGCACGAGCTAAGGCAAAGAGATTAGCAGACATATCTTTGGAACGGACGTGAGAGATCGTGGACACATACTTGCACACACCACAATCTGTGTCTCGCATGATACCTCGGTTAGTTATCAACGTTACACCGGCCGTTAAGATCGAGACACTGCCGCTAAAGTTCAGGCTCTTACACTTTGATGTGATGTTAGCCACTGGCTCAGACCAGATGAAGTACGCCGAAACAGTTAAAGCTAAGATGCAGCTTACTTGTGCCGATGGTCTGAATGAAACCAGAGAACCTTGTTTAGTTTACGCATCTGGTTACCATAAGGGGGCCAATACCACTTACACCCAAAACAGTCGAAGTCTAAAAGGCCTTGCTATTAGCTTTCCAACTTTCTCACACAAACCAAGATGCAGAACTGCCTACCACAGTAGTTCCTGACTGAGGTGCCATTTTTTCTCACAGACAGCTGACTGGTCAGCGACAGCTATGGCGGTCTGCGAGCAAAAACACGGCAAGCCTAATTCCGAATTTCCCGGAAGCCAACCCAACCTATATGGACAAGCAGAGAAACCCCGGGCGAAAGATCGAGTTCAACTTTTTAGCAATAATATGTCGAAAGAAGACTGTGAGTTTGAAAGCAATACGGCCGGTCGTGACAACCGATAGCCGATGGCGCGATAATAAATGGAAGCTAAGATGTTGCAAAAAAAAGCCCCAGTAAAGATCGATCATTTGATTAGTCACAGGTCGTTTTCACACTCCCAATGGAGTTATTTTTGTTACCTAACTCAATCTCGAGAGATCTGTATGTCCGACGTTGAGATCGAATGTTTTTACTACTATCGATTTAGCGTACATGAAAGGCTGGATGAGACATCCACATCGTCGTAAACACATACGACAATGACGACCGAGCTGACTGACGGTGACGCCCTCGGCGGTCTGCAAAGAGGCTCTCGGCGGTCTGGAACGACATCGGGTTGACAATCAGGAGTCTGGCATGTCTCGTGTGATATATCGGCACCGAGATTGACTAGTAACTTGCGTCAAATTTTGGGCTCGCAACGGATGTTTTCCACCACTCGTGAAGTTGCCGACGCAAGGCTGCGGCTGTGCATCGCAATTGCATTGTCTGCGAGGCTTCGCATTGGTGAGCGATTCGAGCATCTTACTCATGGTACGGAGTACATAGTTGAACTAGGGGCGCACGGGCCTTCTTCAAACCAGCGAAATGACCGGGCAATGCTCACCGCCTATTTTTGTCAATCCAATTTACGGCAAAAAAAATACAGAAAAGATAGTAGTTTTAGGTGTGGTGATAATAGAGGAAAAGTTCCGCAGAGCTCGTCCGACAAAGCTGCAATTAACAAGATGGCCGGCACCGTCCCTCCACAGAGATCGCGGCCACCGCGGCCGCAGCAAAGAAAGAGGAAGTGGAAGCCACCGGTGGAAGAGGGAGCGGCGACCAAGCCGACGGGCGAGACACCGGCTGGCGACAAGGCTGCTCGGAAGCGACAGAAGAAGAAGCGCAATGCCACCGACGCCGACGACGGCGACATGGACTTTGATCTCAGCATCAACCGTGCTGTAGCGCGAATGGACAGCAACCTGCTGGCGAATTACGTGGCCCGACAGACGCTGCGGTTCGGCAAAGATCTGAGCCCGGTCGAGCTGGCCGATCTGACACTGGATGGTAGGTGGCAGTCAGCCGTTTCCCTGTCTAGTTTTTCTCTAGTGTCCGTCTCGATCTGATTTGTGTTTTCTTCCCCAGCCAAGCCGATCCTCGATACGTCGTCGTACGACAAGGACCGCACAGTCGATAACCTGCCCCATTTCCTCGAGACCTTCTGTGATGGTGGCCAGAAGCACCTGTCCCAAGCGTCCAAGGACAAGGGCGCACCTCACACGATCATCGTCACAGGAGCCGGGATCCGGGCGGTCGACTTGGTGCGGGCAGTCCGCTCCTTTCAGACCGCTAACAGCACGGTGTCGAAGCTGGTGAGCGAGCAGTCCTTCTGGCCTCCCCGGAACAGAGCCTGTACTGACTTTTCTCGCCTTCTCAGTTTGCGAAGCACATCAAGCTGGCCGAGGCCGTCTCGTTCCTCCAGAGCCACCGCACAGGCATCGCCGTCGGCACGCCCGCCCGACTCATCGACCTGCTTGACAGCGGTGCTCTCTCTTTGACCCATTTGAAGCGCATCGTCGTCGACGCGTCGCACATCGACCAGAAGAAACGCGGCGTTCTCGATATGCAGGACACGGCACTGCCGGTTGTGCGCTGGCTGGCGCGCCCCGAGCTGCGGGCGCGTTATGGCGGCAACGAGGAAGACACCCCAACTGACAGCAAAGATGACAAGGCGGCCCAGCCACTATCTATTCTGTTTTACTGATCAGAGATATGGTCGGAGGGAGAGAGCTATGGGATCGATTTACTTGCAAAGAAAGCATCACGAAATCCGCCACGGGTGCTGGGCTTTCGGCGTATGAGGCGTTCACTTGGATATATCACTAAAAAGTGTACTTGCATGGACGTGGGAATGTAGCTATAGGAGACGGGACGGTATAGATAAAAAGATCTTCGACAAATAGCAAAAGCTATCTGTTCATTTCCGGCACCCATTTCCGACGACAACCAGGTGCTGGTCAACATCATGTTCTTTACACACAAAGAAACGTCCACCTTCTTGCTTCGATTATGCAGCTCATGTAGTGTATTTTCTAGTAACGCGTACGCTTAGCCGAATTGTATTATTCAACACACCAGAACAGAAGGCAAGGCAGGACGACTTTGCTGCTGCGACCAATGCTGCCATATCATCGCTACCTCAGGACTCTGCCTGCCGAAACTGAGACATGTGAAATAGAAAGCGAAGCAAATCCGGGAGATCCAAAAAGAGTAAATAATAAACAACCGACACCGGTTGACCTGTATCTGGATAAGGAGAAATATAGGGCCAAGAAAGGGTAACATAAAAATCCAAAATCGAAACCGAAGACAGAATATTGCTATCCGTCAAATGAAAGACATGCCATGGTTGCTTTCATGTGTCTGTGTCCCACTCCGTTGCCCTGCTTGCTGTTGCTCTACTGCTCCAAACGAACTAAGCTTCGTGTCTCCCGTCATCCCAAACACCCTCGACGGAGAGATCGCCACATACAATGCACACAATGTGAAGAGCCAAAAAGGGGGGTATCCACTCTGTTCACGTCGATGACGGTCCATATTCTTTCGTTGTCGCTTTCGCTCTCATCGGGGCCAACGAAACTACCGCTGCCGCCGAGACTGCTGCCGCTTATAGGACGGTGCACTTGGACTTCTTCGGCTTTTGCTGGACTGGCCGAGGGTTGAGCACGGCACTGTGAGCAACAGTTAGTAACACTGCAGAGACTGGCGAACGAACAACCTAGAAACAAGGAGGCTGGGCGTACCGGATAGCCTCGTCAAAGACGCTCTTGAGATTACGCTGCGTCAGAGCCGAGCACTCGAGGTATTTGTGTGCACGAATCTCCTTTGCGCAGATCAGAGCCTGGTCGTACGAGACGGGCTCCATGCGCTTTTGGCGCAGCGAATCGAGCGTAGCCTGGTCCTCGCGAAGATCCAGCTTGGTGCCAACGAGGATGATGGGAACATTCGGAGCATGGTGGTCGATCTCGGGGAACCACTGAACCGCTGTCAGTACGGCAACACGCCATGCGAGGGCCGCGTCTCGAAGCACCAGCGTACCTTTGCCTTGACGTTGTCAAACGACGGCGGGCTGACGATTGAGAAACAGATAAGGAAAACGTCGGTTTGGGGGTAGGACAGTGGGCGCAGACGGTCGTAATCTTCTTGACCGGCGGTATCCCAAAGGCCCAAGCTGATGGGCTTCCCGTCTACCATCACACTGGCTGAGTAGTTGTCAAACCTGTCTCACTATCAGCAGCCGTTCACTGGCAATGAGCGGATATGAGCACACAGCTAAAGACAAGACATACACTGTCGGGATGTATTCGCCAGGGAAGGCATTCGTTGTGTATGAGATTAGGAGACATGTCTGTTGGGAAAACCAAGGTTAGAAAAGGTTGTGGAAAAGGCTGTGCGCGACCAGAGATCTTGGGTATCACAAAGGCAGATGACCAGAATGAAAAAGACGTACCTTGCCGACGGCACCATCGCCGGTCACGACACACTGTACCAATATTGTCAGCCTTCATGCAGCGATCGTTGGCAGAATTACTCTTCGGCCATTGCCACCGATCCGCCTCGGGCGGTTGCCTCGGGCGTTTCTTCGGGCGAACTATTGGCAACGCTCCAAGTCCGCGCTGCAGAGATAGATCGCACCTTCAAGGACTGAACGCCGGGAGCGGCCATTGTGAATTTTGTTTGCGTTGAATATTTCCGGAAAAGGATACCGGCTCGTTATCCGTCTTTCGTCTCGTGGGCTGTCTGCTCTAACGAGTGTGTATGGGGCAGGCGCTGTATAGGCAATGTTTCTGGGCGCAATGAGCTGGCTGTCTGTGACGTCGGTGCCTTGCCGTCTATTGCTCGGATGCTTGATGGTCGTCGTGTAGAGAGAATACTGCGAAGAGCAAGTATAGGAGTTAATTAGATGTTTTTAGATCGATGAATCAGGTGCTGTCTACGAATGTATGTCTGCTCGCTTTGTGCTTCGGAGAATAGAAATTGGGCTTAGATGGTTTCGGGAAGGGGAAGAAAGCTTGCGCGAGAGAATGGAATGAGCAGTGGGGAGAAGAAAAGTAAAGAGCGGCTGGTACACTAAGAGTTGCTCGAGCCGCTTCGTTAGGCAGGGTAGCGGTTTTGGAGGGGGGTGAGGGGCGGTTATGTTTGACGGTGGAGCGCAAGGTAGGGGGTTAACAAACAGTAGTCAGAGTTGGCCAAGCTCCGGGGAGTGCTTAACCTGCACAGGGACGGAACGGTTTGAGAAGCATACCCAAGAGTGGAGAGAGAGGAAGAGAGGCCGACTAAGAGAACACAAGGCCGAGTGCGAGCGGAAAGGAAGCGGAGGGGAAGCAGAGGCAACAGAGAGAGCAGGGACGGCAGAACAGAAAAGTGGAGGTCTGAGATGTAGAGATAAAGCACAAACCGAGCCGTTTCAGCGTCGATACACGTTATAGGAGGAGGGGGGGTGTTGAAAAGGGGTTAGATAGATGACTGTTGCGTCGCACAGCGTTTCTAGGGGAGGTCGGAGAGGTATTTGAAGTGTTTGGGGCTTAGAAGAACACTACTCCCGTAATGCGTGTAGAGAGTGAAGGAGAAGAAAGGGAAACGGGGCGAGAGCGAATTCGGATGGAGCCAGGATACGGAGCAGATTGGCCGGGGCGTCGAGTTCTAATATCGTATCTTACCTTTCTTTTGTCTTGGGGTGGAATCGTTCGAGGTTGGAACCGGTAGCAGTGAGCAGTGAGGGTGAGCAGTGAAGACGAGGATCTGCCGACAGCGTTGGGACAAGTAGAGAGAGGGGAGAAAGAGGAGAGGCGAGCCGGGCGGAATCATAATAAAAATACTGACTGGCCTGGGAAGGCCTGGGCTGTCCGTCTAGGCGATAGGAGCGCAGAGAGACGGTGAGATAAAACGATAATAGTAGGGCAGGTAAAAGAACGGGGACTCTGGCGGTCTCATTGGCTGTGGGAGGCGACTCTGGCTGGCCGTGCAGTGGGCCCCAGCGCATGTGGGGGGCCATTTAGCTGGCTGGGCTGCTCAGCCAGCTTCAATACAGTAAGTACTCAAGAAGTCTACCGTATCTGGAGGTGGCCTACAAGAGAGTGACAGCTATTTAAGTTGGCCTGGACGGTCCCACGCCCGTGCAGAGGAAGTATTCGTACGCAGAGCGTATGCAAGCTATACTCCGTAAAAAGTTTACGAGCAAGATACATTTGGAGTACTCCGTACTCCGTACTAAGATGCTCACTAGCCTATAGCAATGATGACAAGGCCAGCGTTCAAGTTGGTCCGATAGGCGCGTTGCAGAACGCCACAGGAAGAGCAGCGGGATAGGCAGAAAAAGGAAAGAAATGCCAGTAGCCGTACGGAGTACTCGTACTCGTACACGGCCGTCAGCCCTCCCCCCCCCGGTCGACCGATATCTCTCGATCGATCGCGTGTTTCTGGCACTGAATGGGGTGGCAGGGGGGGTATAACTGCGCTCTTTGTATTGCCTCTTGTGCCCTTTTGCTGGACAAAGTCGCCGACTCTTGACACAGAGGATGCATCATATGGCGCCTGATCGCGTGGAAGAGGGGAGAAAAGGGGACCCGCTCGTTGCCAAGGCACAAGAGCAGCAGGTGATTGGCCGCTGCACAAGGCCCAAACTGTCTACTCCGTACTCCTTAGGGAACGGACATATCCTGGCCTCGGCGCTGACGAGAGGCAACGTTTCTGCTGCATACTTCAGAGGCAGACGTGCCATCTCGCGTTCTCATAGGCGTACTCCATCCTCGTAGACAGCCCCTTTACCTCGTCTTCCCTGGGTCCCACAGCCCGCTTTTTCTGCCAGGGAGGCAAAAAGCAACGAGGCTATTGCTGTGGCTCTCGGGTGGACGTTATGTGCTGTGCGTGGCTGTGTGAAGGGCATGGACCAAGATGGCTGCTTTCCGGCGACTCTGATCCGCAAGGCAATACAAAGCGTACTCTTCCATCTGGATAGCTTCCGGAAGCACTCCAAACAGGGGCCGACCCGCCCACAGGGATATGGATATGCTCCGGACACATTATCGTAGCAGGTTCGGCCATGTGTGTGTCTTCACTCCGTCCGGTGTCCGTCGTACGCTGTGCAGGAGTAAAGGGTGGCTGTGCGTTCTCCCAGAGCTCGAACTGTATCAGACATGTTACTGACAGTACCAGTGCTACGTATCGAATCTTACACTTCTTGGCCTGCAGCCACTTTCAAGACACATCACAAACAGCCCCTGTACATAGCATGGTCTAGGCAGTTGCGTTGCGGGCGGTTCCTTCCTATCGGGCTTATCGGTATGTGTACCACGTGGCCGACGCGTCTAATCCTGGCTGGACGCACGCGTTTGTGGCTGAGGATCGCGGCGCAGCTGTGAGCCGGGATATGGAAAGTTGAACGGCGATTTTGCATGCAAATGCACCGTGGACCAGCTACGCGAACTGCGCCGGACAAGACAACGCCTCCGCCACGATGAACACGTCTACGCCGGGCCGACCGTTGACGGCTGCCAGGACGCCGGCTACGAGCAGCCGCGGACGGCGAGGCTCTCAGGGCTACAATGCGTCGGGAACGTCGGTGCGCACGCCGACGATGACGATGACGATGGGAAGCGCAGAGAGCAATGCTGCAGCTGCTGGGCGGCGGACGCCGGGCACGGGCCAACAGTTGCAGGCGTCGGCAGCGCGGACACCGCACGCGCGAGCGGCTCTGCTGGCGCTAGATACGCGGCGGGCAGCCATGTTTACGCCGGGTGGCCGCCAGAGCCGTCGAAAGAGCGGCCGATATCTGCGCGAGTCGCCGCGCGATCTGCTGCGCAACCTCAGCCGGCGGCTGGCCCCAATATCCCAGCCGGTGGCCACGTCATCGTCGCCGGCCTTTAGCAGCAGCGGCGGCAGCTCCGGCCCGAAGAGCCGCTTGAGCAGTCTGAGCAGTGTCCTGGAAGACCGGGTGGGCAACTTCTCAGTGACCGGGATCTATGACGACGATGACGATGATGATGATGCCGACTCCCTCCCGCTCGATCGCCCGCGCATGTCGCTCCCTATCGAGGACGACGACAACGACGACGACCTGCGGCCGCACCGGTCGCAAATCCTGGACGACGAGGAGAACTTTACGATGCGGTCAATCGAGCTCGCCCGCCGCACGGCTAACCTCGAGCAGCTGCAACAGGCCCGGCGCTTCTCTAGGGGCAGCCTGGGTCGCAGCAGCATCGGAAGCCTGGGCATGAGCGACTACATCGACGGCTTCATCGGCAGCGCTGACGGCGACGATGACCGAGACGAGCGTCTGCAGTCGGCCTTTTTTGCGGACGGGGCGTTTGACAATCTGGCCGTCGAGCAGCCGGGCGAGGACATTACGTTTGAACGGTACGTGGGACTGTCTGGGTGCGTCGCTTCCTGCAGTGTCTAATGCATGTCGTTCAGACTGGACTCGGAGAGCGGACAGCAGATGGACGCCTTTGATGGTCGCGAGAGCGGCTTTGGGGTCATTGATGTGCCACTAAATGGAGACGAAACGACCTTTCTGTTGGGCCCGCAAGGTGGTGCCGATCAGCCGATGGCAGACGAAACTGCAGGACCGGCCTATTCGGACGGTGGAGACGACGGAGGACCGGCAGATGCCGACGTGGGTACTCCCTTTGATGACTACGGCGCTGGAGACGACAATGGCGGAGGATGGCCGGACTCGCCGGAGATCGATATCGAGGAAGAGGACGCTGGGGAGGATGCAGCGGTCACGACTGCTCTTGCTTCCATAGAAGCAGCCTCCCAGTCTAAGCTGCTCGCTCGCGATGCCCAGAACAAGGATGCACGAGCTATCAAACGGGCCAGACTGTCACGACACGGAATCGAGTATCCGTCGCTGCCGGTGGGCGTGGTGAAGCGCATTGGCCAGATGTTTGCCCAGGGCAGTGCAGCCGGCAAGACAAAGCTCAGCCCAGACACGGTGGCTGCCCTGACCACGGCCTCGGACTGGTTCTTTGAGCAAGTTGGCGTCGACCTGGAGAGATACTCCAAGCATGCCGGCCGCAAGACAATCGACGAGAGCGACATGCTTCTATTGATGAAGAGGTATGTGCGAGACGGAGGGCAGCTTTTTTGCTCGTGTCGAGGTATATGATACAAAATACAGGTATATATGATGGCTAATATCGGTTGGGGGTGATATAGACAGCGACAAGTCAGCGCAACAACAACGCCCTTCTCGCTCGCCCAGCGCTATATGCCGCGTGAGCTTCTGCAAGAGCTGCGCATGATACCAGAGGCACCCGTCGGCAAGAGTCGACAGAAGCGGCGGCCGCGGGTGTCGTCGGCCGTCCGGAAGGCGGACACAGGGACGGACGAGAACGTGACTTGAAACTGCGTGAAAATGTAGGGGCCAACAATGTCGTCTACCAGCTTTTGTTCATGCGCACACGACGGGCCATGTCCGATGGCGGCTTCCTCAGAACCATCCAGAGCATGACGGACGTCGCGACCGACAAGCTGTACCTGTAATGAAGTCAGGATGAGGATGTAGGGGAGAAGGAGAAGTGCAGACAGCTACATACCACGTGAAGATGTACTGAGCATGACTGTTCCGGATGTTGACCTCGGGCGGCTTTCCGATGGGAATGCCCTTGGCTTCCATGTCATAGATCTGAAGCAAGTCGGGTTCTGCACGAGTTAGCCGACCAATACGATCATGGTTTTTCCGTCTCTTTTTCCGTCTCATCCAGCCTCTCGCTTACCCATCGTTGCCTCGACCCAGACCGGCAGGCTGCCGGTCAGCTGAGCCATCTCGACGACGTCGGGGAAGTAGAACTCGCCCTTGTCAGGCCGGTTGTCGGGCGTGAACACGTTGCGCTTCCAGGGCGCGCGCAGGAGGCCCTCAACACGGACGAGGCCCTCGGGCAGGGCACCGGGTGTGTGCTCGCGGGCAGCCTGCGGACGCTGCCCCCGGGCGATCCAGCCGCGGTTGACGAGGATGGTGGCCGGTGGAGCACCATCAGCAGAGCCGTCGAGCGGCACGGCCAGCTCGAGCGGCGTCACGACAAAGAAACCGGCCTGGCCGTCGCGCACGCGCGGACCCACGAGCATTTCCTGGTCGTGGCGAAACGAGCCGACCGCGACGATGCGCCGGTAGTCAAAGTCGCTGGCGTCGCCCGTCAGGCTGACCTCGGCCGCATCGGCCACGTTGTTAAGCCCCAGCGGCAACGGCGGCCGCACCAGCCGGTCCTCGCACTTGGCCAGCATGTCCGTCTTCCAGCGCAGCCGGAAGACCTGCCAGGTGCCGAGGGCAAAGGCGGCCACGGGGATGAGCACTGCCGGTTAGCGGGGGTGCACCTCGTCGGGGAGTCCGCCCAAGGAAGGGTACCCAAAATAAGAATGCCCGGTCCGTGTCGCCGCCCCGACCGAACCAGCTCGGGTGGGTTGTCGAGGATGGACGAGAAGTTGGGGTCGTCCGCCGGCTGTGGCGCCTCGGCCGGCTCCTGTGGCCGTGACGGCCGCTGTCCAGCCGCAGAGCTGGAGAACAGAGAGACACGTCCACCTAGGCGGCGTCCACCCACCGGTCGATGCAGACAGCGGCAGCAGCCCGTGGTGGTCGTGGTGGTCGTGGTGGAGTTCGTGGCGAGACTGCGACGACCTACAGCTGTCCGAGGTGCTGCAGCTTTCGCAGCAGCAGTCGCCATAATTTGTCGGCCCACTGGCTGCCATAGCCGTGGAGGCAGCATCGGATTCATCGTGACTGGAGTTCGGCTTGGTCCACGCCCTGAGCAGCCGATTGAATGCAGGATCCTGTTCCTCTTCTCTCACAACTCCAGTGAGAAAGAAATTGGGTGGGTCCAAATCTAGACCCCGCTATAGAAATATCGCCAGACTCGTCATCTGCATATACTACCTTTGGCAAGAACGGCATCAATGCTGGTCAAGCTGCTTGGCCATATACTTCTAGTGCGGGTTGCCACGGAGGATAAATATTGGAAGTTTGACACACATCCAAGCCAGTCTGATTCGTAAGGGCTGATTGCAGCCCACAAAGTTGAAATCGACGTCTTGGAACACTCCCTCAGGTCACACGCGCTAACCCGCTCTCGCATATATTACTGATTGACTAGTTGTCCGCTAAAAATTCATATTATCTCTTTCTTCCAGAGACCATATCGTCGAGCATACGAGTTTTCGTTGTCGGTGCATCAAGCCTCATCGGCCGGGCCCTAAGGACCTGCTCGAGGCTGGCCATAGTGTCCTGGGCCTAGCATACTCCTTTTCTCCTAAGGTCGTGTTGGGACTTGAGGGCGATCCCATTAACTTGGGCGATCCCTTATCAAACAGGACCCGTGCAAAGTCAGAGCTTACACAGGACCTCGTCACAAAAGGGGCGCGCAATGGTCGTCCGTCTAGCTCCTACCAACCATGAAAACGAAGATAAAGGCTTATTGCCATGATTTTTTGGCGTTTCTCAGAAGGCCATTGTAATTGGATTGGAAAGGTGATGCATATTCATGTTATCAAAGCGTTGGTCGAAGAGACCCGGATCACTTCGACTTCCTTCCAACGCCGGCTTCCATTGACAACCAAACATCAAGCTTTGTGATACGTCAGGAGCTGGAAAGGGTGCCGGAACATCCAGGTTTAATTGCTGATATAGAAAGCGGATCTACGAAAAGAAGAAAGACAGTTTTCAAGCCGTCTTAGGACCCAGTCTTCATATTCATTTGAGCTGGGTTAGCAGTCTCCTGACAGACACAACATCACCTGGAACCCAGTTGACAGAAACATTACTACAATGTGACATGCACTTATCAAAAAAGACTATTTACAAGCAGAGTCCAATCACTTCGTTATGAGCTGCCAGAGCCTCGGCTATAGAAACCTTCCGATTAAGGAAATCCTTATATCCGGAGTAATAGCTCAGATGGGAGAGCGCCAGCCTGAAGAGCTGGAGGTCCTCGGTTCGATCCCGAGTTGCTCCATTGTTTCTTTTTGTCTCTTATATACTCCGTATGTTGTTTTAGATTGTTTCCTTTTGAAATGTAAAAAGGGTTACATATAGCCATTTTGGGTTTTGCAACCAGCTTGTATTACGATGCAATTGAAAGATTTCAAATTTCCATTAGTGATACCTATGACAGTATTCTCATTGCTGCACATTAAAGGCCAGACCCAGTATGAAGCTAAAGTGAGCATACTGGTCAAAACATGGGAACTTTGACTTTAGAAGTCTGGTGGTATAATTAGTGTGTGGTTTTGTTCCGTGACATCTCAATCGACGAGATCGTAACCTTTATCGCTTAGCCTTTGGTGAAGTTAAGATCTAGAAGTCCTGCTGGTTGAGGGAGGCGGAAACATTGTCGAGGAGTAGGTGAGGAGAGGACAGAGCTAGTGGGGTACATTGAGAGAAGCTCGTCGCAAAATTACACCTATTAAAAAATAGTTTCAAGCACGAGGCCCTTTGAGATTGGTGTTGGCAAGGCAAGCTGCAAGGGAAGATTGACCGACTACTAGGAACTCGGCGGTGAGGGAGTCCTACAGCAACTCTTCTCCTCTTAGTAAATAAGAGTTGTTTGAAGATGCAGATGCTTTATGCAATACCTAGATGCTGTTATTTCATGGTCCCTATAATTTATCTTTATAATGGTTGATTGACTCCAACCTGAATGCAAGCCGTTTCATTGTTCTGAGATAGAAACTTGTCTATATCAACGATATTGAAGCATACGAACTTGTGAATAGCTACCCTCTATGGTTGAAATAAGGGGATTTTTAAACCGCAGGTTGCAAATTCTGGGTGATGGATTAAAATGCGCATAGCATAAACGGCGTAAAGGAGAATGAAACATAACTTCTTGTAATTGTTCCTCTGTTTACAACAGACTTTCAGGATTTCTCTCTCGCCATGCTCTGCGCCATGTTGTAAAAACCCTAAGCGCCAGCACCTTTTTCTTCTCTGTGCTTGTTTCTGTTCTGATCATTCTCCCCTTGGCCCTGTCCGGGTCCCGGTCGCCAGTTCACTTCTACATGAATGTGTACTGCGTCGAATGCCTTTATCTCTTGTTAGTAAGCGTAGACGTCATGACTGCCCTAGCACCTCTCCCTTTTTTTACTTCAGAAACTGCACATGTGTAAAAACAATCAACTTTCACAGCATACTACTGGTGATGGTTTGCAGCCTGTTGTCGTCGGGGTTGTCTTTCAAAAAGCCTCTGAATTTTCCCCAAAATCAGAATAGATGCTCCTGGGGTGACGTTAGCATGAAATGCTGCAGTTTCCCGTCTGTCTATGTGCCCAGATTTCAGCCAGGAGAGAGGGTGCTGCCCTTACTGAATCTTCTTTAAACGGATATCATATATAAGGTCAAAGTTGGCGGGATTTTGTCCGCAAAATAGCACCGTGTGCCGTAGCCAAAGTCACTCGAGATGTCCGGGGCAGCCTTCTCAACGACCTTCATCTGTAAAATACCCTATCCCAGCCCCGAATGACTTGGCTGACGCCGATAGTTTTGACAAAGTCGCCACGGTCGACAGTGCTTCCAAAATCTCGCCCTTATTGTCGGGTTCAGGAGAGTCCTTTAGAAAGCCGGTGTACTTAATGATGACGCGCTGGCCTTGGATTGAGTTGACGCCGCTACCTTCCTGGTACATAGTCTTGGTGACGCCCATTTCTCTTATTCAGGTGTGTGGAAATCAAGATATATCTAAGATGATTCAATACTTAGTTGCTGATCGGTTGTATTCAGGAAGAAAGGTGAAAAAACAGGTTGTTGGTGGACTTATATTTGAGCCACTGAATTTGCTTGGTTAACAAGTGTTAGAAACCCAATATTGCAGGTGATACAAAGGTCCAAATGCTGTTTTGAATTTATCGTAGTATAGGCTTTCTAATGGCCCTTGATGTTTCGATTGATAGCACTTCCTTAGGACAAAATTAGGTGGTGTTTGATTCTGAAGTCTTGTAAGAATTAGATACAGTTCGCATGCACATAGTAACTCCCAAGGGCTTACGGAGTAGCTCCACTATTCTGCTATTTTTGAGTACGTAATAATTACTGAGCGCAAAATCTAACACATTCGGAGTAATAGCTCAGATGGGAGAGCGCCAGCCTGAAGAGCTGGAGGTCCTCGGTTCGATCCCGAGTTGCTCCAATTAGCCTACTTTTTTAAAGGCCGGCTGCGCGCATGCCAATTCGTCCTGTGAACTGACTTAAAAATGGTGAGATGCACATTGCCTGCATGCTTGCACTGGTCACTGATGATCAGCCGGACGACCACGACCACGACCGCCTTTGCCGAAAACTAAAGGAGGCCAGATAGCACGTCTATGTACTCCGTAACGCCTTACCATTTTTTTCTAAAGAGATTTAGGTAGCAGGTACTCCGTACAGATGGTCCAATTTTGTCAGCAGAACAAAGGCATAAATGTCTCCTCTAGGTTAGTTAACCGACATGTCTAGAGCGGACGGCTGTTTCTCGCAAGTGTCGCTTCTGCTAGCGATCTTAGCTGACTGCGAGGCGGAATATTTCAAACCTAACATTTCGCGCAGTGTTCGATTAACAAGAAACGACCAAAAAGCTTGGGCCAAAGTATGATACTTTGAACATGTGAGGGAACTTTTGGAGCAACTCGGGATCGAACCGAGGACCTCCAGCTCTTCAGGCTGGCGCTCTCCCATCTGAGCTATTACTCCGATTATGGTATTGGCAGTGAATTGCCCACTTTTGTTCCGGAGAGAACAGGACGATAGGAAAGGAAAAAACCAATCACAACGTAAAGCACCCATGTCGATCCTACCTGTATTTTAGGCTGCGCTACAGAGTACTCTGTACAGTACTCGCCTGACTTTCCCGCGGCGTATATGTCATTCGCTTTGTACAATCAAGCTGCCACTCTTGTTCGAAAATACAAAATCGAGCTACTTTCGGTGTTCTCCGTATTTGTGCATTTTCAGCAGTTCCTGCATTTGAGGAAAGCAGCAATTCTGCAGATCTAGGGCCAAGTGTACCCCTTGTACTAGTATACTGGCATCGTCGATATCGGAGGGCAGGACAACGCAAGCAGAAGAAAGGCGCCGATACAACTGTATACTGTTCTTCTTTACAGAACTCAAAAAGGTACTCAAACTCTATCAACACCGGGGCCGAAATCAGTATTACAATAACGGAGAATAAAGCTTTCGATTGTCCAGACGAGGAACAAAGCATGCTGAAATATCTACAATGGTAAAGCACACACGAATTAGTGAGCTCTTCAAGTTTGTAAATCTGATAAAGATGTTATAAAGTAAATCTTCGCGGAAGTCGATTGTCCTAGTCAGATTGCCACTGGTTCACACTTAGAAAAACACGCTGAACCCGTTTAAGCCGGGTTACCGCTTACAGAGTAGGGCAAAGGGTTAGTGCTCTTTGGCTAGGCCGGAAACCGGAGCTGGCTGTCGCTTCAGGCGGCGGCTTGGCCTCACGCAACAAAAGATGGGACATCAAAGAAAAGCTGGTATCCGACAAGGAGAAGCGCGCAAAGGGACCCGTATTCGTAGCATGGCCAAGTATGGGGTGCATACGAGGTGGATACAGCTGTCGTCGTATTTCGGTTTTGAGGGTGAGACTTCAAAAGGCAATATGGAGTACGAGTACTTCGTACGACGTAGGAACGAGTAAAATGCATGTTTCTTGCATACGTCTGGCCGCTGGACAGAGATTTGCGCCAGAGAGAGAGCCTTGACGTCAGCTGCCTCCACTGCCAAACGCTGGGGCTGTTTGGAAGTGCATTGGCGACCCCCACAGTATCGCAGAGCCTAGTGAGACAAGGAGTCACACCTGCCATTTGCAACCAAATTCGTCACTTCCGTACGAGGAAAGATTCTCGTGCACTGCCAGCATATTGCGTCCATGTTCACGGCTGCCCACCTTTCACACCATTGAGCCATTTTCTGCCTATTGCAACCTTTAACAACCTCTTTACCCGCCTTTCATTGTACCTTTTCTCTCGCCAACCCATGCCCATCTCTCCACGCGACACAGGCAAATCTCCGAATGCGGTAGCAGCTAAGGCAGCACTAAACGAATTTATGGTCTTGCAGCTGACCGCCTTTAAATCGGTCAGCTAGCACCCCAAATACCGGACAAACGAACGACAGGCAGTTTGACACGGCACACGAATGCGACGCTGCTGTCCGAGTGGTTCCTGATCTCTCCATTCTTGCGCCGGCCTGTTTCCGGATGCTATTTAGTGGTAGAGGGCGCTGCTCTCTCGTAACGTGCTCGCACACAGACACTCGCTTCGTCAGCTTTGAACAGACTGCATATCCTCATTACGTACACCGGCCGCTCAACAGCGATCCAATTTGGATGTCCAGGGCTTCTCTTGAGCTACCAAGCCAACCTGGCTGCTGCGTATTTGTCCAGTGTGCCCGGAGCACAAACTCGACCACCATCTGAGCCACAGCGAAGGGACATGTTGACCCCTCTGCCCCTCAGCTCTCCTCGTCTCGACTACCACCATGCCTATGTTCGAGGACAGACAGGATCTCGTCCCTGACGGCGAGCTGTCTCAAGAAGCTCGGAGATCTCAGCGGGCACTGACTTCCTTGCAGTTAGCAGCTGCAGCAAGCCTGACTTCGAAACCCGCCCCCATACCCCCCTCTCTGCCTCCTAACACTCTCTCCCGAAGGCTGTCTGAGGAGAGTATACGAACCGAACTCTGCGAAGGCCCCATACTCGACAGCCCTCCGCTCTCGTCCCTGCCCTTCTCTGGTGCATCGCAGCTTTACGAACGGCGCCATCATGCGGAACAGCAGCAGGCGCAATACGCCACTTCTCCAGGAAGGGATAGTTTGGTTCTGACGACGTCCGACCGAGCTGAGCTGATCGAGCGGCTCAAGCGAGGGGAAAGCCCTACATGGGTACCTAATCGACATGTAGGCCCTCTATTGCCTGTTCTTTTCTGCTCCCAAGCATTTTGTTGTTCTGACTGGTCAATTTTTCAGCTTGAGCCTTTGCTCCATCGCGAAAAGTCCGCATCACCACCTCGAAAGTCGCGACCGTCCTCTGCCGGTACGCCAACGCCGAGTTTGTTGTCTGCCGCCGAGATGAGGCCGGAAAAGGAAGCTCGCAGCCGCGAGTCAGAATCATCTGAGAGATTACAGGAGGGACTGAATATCGAGCGACCGCGTTCTGCTCTGCACAGTGGAGATTTCACGCACGACAAGGTCAGTCCTGGGAAGGATATGGCGGGGGCAGGAACTGCTGCGAGGGGACCAAGTGATGCAGGCGGGCTGTCGAGCCGACCTTTCCACAGCAGCAGTACATCTTGGATAGCTACTTCGCCGCCGCGACACTACAATCCGTTTACATATGAGGCGACGTCGCCACCCATGTCGTCCTTGTCTGACATACACGCTTTTCGGACAGGCATGGCCTCGCTGTCGTCATCCCTGTCCTCAAGCTTTGCGTATAAGCCCCCAACCAGTCCGTTGGTGCAGTCGGAGAGCAACAACGACGACGATGACGGGGCCCATATCGGCTTGCCTACAAGCAGAAATGACGGTGCTACAGACAGTGCAATGGCAGGTAGCCTGCGGACCAACTCACGACGGCATACCTTGGCTTCAGCTACCAATACGCAGTTTCGACACTCTGTTTCTTCTCACTTTGATGTGCTTTATCAACCGTCCCCCCCCCAAATGGCAGGAGAGAGAACGACGAGCACGCGACGGGAAGGTGCCTTTCCATACCAGGCGCACCAACCGCGAAGATCTCTTACCTCTACGGCACATATCTCCCCTCAACAGCCGCTCGAGGGATCCATGCCACAAAGTCCTAGTTTTCTCCGACCACGGCGTGTCTCGTTTGCCGCCGACACGTCCTCTCTACAGCATGCGTCGATGGTTGGGTCCTACGAGGAAAGCATTCTTCGCGGCCGCATGTCGACAACACCATCGAAGCCGCTTGATTTCCTTGCACAAATTGGGGTCCTCGGGCTGGGAGCCAAGTGCAAGCCAAATCTGCGGTGTCCGCCACACGTGACGCTCCGATTCTCGGCCGTCTTCTACAGCTACGCATCCACTCCTCATGGCCGTTCGAAGAGCGAAGACGGACCAAGTCCTTATGTGGGAATGGTGGATTTGGAAAACGGGCTGCCAAGTCAGGAGGCCGAGCAACGTTCAACGCGAAAGCGAATGCACAGCCGGGCCGCAGCACAGGAAAGACGGACGACGCGGTTGGGAGTCGGCATCGATGACGCTGCAGCTGACGAGATTCAGAACGAGGACACTGTGATGGAAGGTACTCAAGTGGAGCCGACACCGACAGCAGGTGCACCGATCCCGACAGCATCAGCCACGCGAGCGCAGAAGCGGCGTCCGTTCTTGTGCAGAGCTCCTCCAGGGGGATCGTACAGGATTCCACCGCACGGCCAACTGCAGATGATCATCAAGAACCAGAATAAGACGGCAGTGAAGCTCTTCCTAATACCGTATGACGTGACGGGAATGGAGCCCGGGACGAAGACATTTATCAGACAACGCAGCTACTCGGCTGGCCCGATTGTGGACAACGTGCCGATGCTGGCTGAGCTGTCGTTGTCGGAGCGGCCGATTCTGCGGTACCTGGTGCACCTGCACATCTGCTGCCCATCGCGCGGGCGATACTACTTGTATAAGAGCATACGAGTTGTGTTTGCCAACCGGGTGCCTGACGGGAAGGAGAAGCTGCGGAACGAGCTGACGTTCCCAGAGCCACGCTACTCGCCTTACAAGCCGGTGCGCGTGATGCATCCTCCGGTGGGAGGCAGTGGCAGCGGGCTGGGCAGTTTGGGAGGAGGCCCAGGGGCCATGCTTGCGATGGAGAAGGCGTGCAGGCGGCGCAGTTCAGGACTGTCGTTTGGATCGGTTAGCGGCACAGGCACATCCGAGGCGCCGGACGGCCAGTCGTCGCCGTCTCTCATGCCACTGCCGATTCCGATGGCCAATCCGATTGCTGGGTGGAGATGCAACCAGCAAACGTCTGGATCGGCGTCGTTCAGTTTTTCAGAAAACTTGCCGGTCGATCCGATGCCTTTAGGTCTGGGCATATCACAAGCGTCGTCTACATCAAGTCCGGTGACAGATCAGCAGTCGTCAAGCTACGCTGCTGGGGCGAAAATGGCAGGAGAGAGCGGGTCGGGAGACGAGGAGCAGGGGCGTGGACAGGTGTCGAGCGCGGTTGGACCGGCGCAGTTGACGTACAACAAGCTCAACAAAGGTGATGTTGGCTTTGGCGGAAATGCATTTGCGCCTATGGTGGATGGAAGCCCTGTAGCTGAGGAAGGGCTTTTGTCACAGCGGCTTCGGTCGCTCGAGGTGCAGAGAAACCAAACGGCCGAGGAGCGAAGGCAGGATGCGGCGAACAGCTGATCTGGCGGTGGGCTCACGCGGACGTTGTCCTTGTTTGTTTCAGAGGCGAACGAGGAGGCGGTCTCGGCAAGACGTTGAGTTGGGGAAGAAAACAGTGTACATTTTATGGGAGTATGGAACAGATAGACATAGGAGACAGGCAGGATATAGACGTAAAATGTTTAGATTTGTTGCATTATGGTAGGTGACGTTGATGCATAATTGGGGGCGAGCATCTAAGCGCCGTGGACGGCGGAGAGATCAAGGGGGTCGTCGTCGTCGTGGTCAAAGTAGAGGCCGTGTTCATGGCCATTGGGAGTTTCGGATGGGTCGCCATCGCCAAAAGCGCGGCCCTCGAGGCGGGAGTTCATGCGGACCATTGTGCGGACGGCGTGGACGGCCTTGGGGTAGCGGATGGCGAGGTCGTGGAAGTGGCGCTCGGCAGCAGAGGACCAGGGAGCAGAGCGTTCGAGGTCCATGTAAGCCTTGGCGAGGACCATGAAGGTGAGGGCCATGGGACGGTTGTAACGGGGGGCGCCTTCGAGCAGCTGTTGAGCACGTGACAATCGGGCGGATCCACTGTTGGTATTGCTGTTGTTGTTGGGTGGGCGGGCAGGAGCGGCCGTGGTGGCTTCGGCCGCTCTTGCCGCAGCGAGCAGCTGGCTGGTAGTGACGTCATCGGAGCGGAAGAGGTCGCCGTCGAATTGGGCATTATGGAGGCCATCCCGATCGACATCATTGACACCACCGACGCCGTCGCCATCGAGGCCGCCGCCGCGTCGGCGGGCGCGCAGGACGGCGAAACCGCTCCACTGTCCCATCAGGTGCTGTTCGCAGACGGCAAAGGCGTCGTGGGTGCGGCCGAGGCGAGCGAGGTTCTGGACGTAGTGGTTCCAGTTTTTGCTGTCGAGGGCGAAGCCAGCGGCGAGGACCTCCTGGATGGTGCGGACGAGACCGTCGGCGTCGCCTTCGGCGGTATAGAGGCGCTGCATGGTCTTGAGCGGGTCGGTGAGGCCGTAGCGAAGGCGGGCGACGATGGGGGAATGGGATCGGGCGTTTGTGGTGGACCAGTCGTGTGGCCGGCCGATCTCGACGGTGCGGTCGAGGACGTAGCGCCAGGTCTCCTTGACGCGGTCGAAGCGGCCCTCGTAAAAGTCGGACAGCATCAGGGCGTTGCAGAGCTTGAGCGGCAGCGGCTGCTGGCGGTCGTCGGGCGGTGAGAGCGAGCGGTACAGCTGGACGACCTCTTCGACGCCGACAAAGTCGCGGGCCTGCACGAGCATGAAGATGACAAAGGAGAAGCGGCGGGTGGCGCCGAGCGGCAGGCGGACGGCGTCGACAGTGGCCGGACCGCGATCACCGTCGGACGGCAGCGGTGCCAGCGACCGCTGAAACTCGCGCAACGCTTTGGCCAGCAGCTCGCGGCGGTCGAGACTGGTGGTGCTGCCGTCGGCTGCCGGCAGCCCGTTGGCATCGACGCCGGGCGGAAACTCCTGCCACTGGCTAAAGGCCTTGATGACCAGCTGAGTCTGGCGGCTGGTTCGCCGGAAGCCGAGGTGGTGCATCAGCCGGTTGACCTGCAGCGCCCGGTGTGGCTGCCGGCTGCGCACGTATGCCATCATCAACAGGGTGTAGTGCTGGGCTGTCGGCCGGAAGAGCCCCTCGTCTTGGGCCGCGCGCAGCAGCTCGACCGCTCGCCGCGGCTGTCGGCACTGGGCTAGGGCAAAGAGCAGCGCGCTGTAGGTGCCGCCGTCGTAGGCAACCGCGAGCCGGCTCATCCGCTTGAGCACTCGGTTGACCGACACGAGGTCGTGGCGGAAGGCGTGGTGGCGCAGGAGCGTGTTCCAGAGGGCGGTGTAGCTTTGTGGGGGGCGTTTTTTCAAAGTCCCTTTTTGGGCAGAATCCGTCTTCTCGCCAGAACTTCTCGCCGTCGACACGCACAGCCGCTCAGCCTCGTCCAGCCGCTCGTTCTGGCAGTACGCCTCGACGATCGGGTCCAGCATGGCTTCGGTCACGGCCAGGCCGCGCGCCTCCGCGGCTGCGTGCAGCTCCAGAACCAGTTCCAGGTCGCCACGACCGCCGGCTAGCGACATGATGGTGCCGAAGCTGTAGCCGTCTGGCTCGACGGCCGCGCAGAGCTGCTCGAACACGCGCATCGCCTCGCCGAACCGGCCACGCTCCACGTGTGCGTGCAGTCGGATATTCCAGCACGTCGTGTTGGCTGTCTGGTGGTGCACCGTCGTGATCTCGCCAAAGACCTGCTCCAGCTGCTCAATGTCGCCCCGGACGGCATGTACCTTGAGCAGGTGTGCAAATGTGTCTTCGCCGCGCTCCAGCGCCCCCGGGTGGGCTGCCGAGAAGTCGTTCCACAGCCGGTTCACCGACGTCACGTCGCCGCGGCCCGCGTAAAAGGCCATAAACTTTTGCAGGCCCCAGTAGCTCGGCCGCCCGTGCACCCGGTACCAGTCTTTCAGCACGCTCTCCATCCCCCGCACGTCGTCCGGGTAGTACGCCTCTTGCACCAGTCGTGCCAGCGTCGCCCGTCGCGGCCGGAACAGTCGCAGCTGTCGGTACTCGCCATACGCTTCCGATGCTTCTGCCTTCTGTCCGTTGTTGAGCGCCACGTGGATGAACGCCTCGTAGATCCACACGTTCTTCAGTTGTCGCACAAACGGGATCGAGTCTGCGCACGTGAGCCGGTGCAGCGACGCCAGCACCACCGCCGCAAAGATGCCCGTCACCGATCGAGGCACCTCTCCTTCTGTCGTCGCAGTTGCTGCTGCCTCCATGTTCTGCCGCACCACCGCCGACAGCTGCTCGAGCCGGTTTTGTAGGTTGGCCACCTCCAGCACCTCTTTCAGCTCAACCGCCTCCACCTCGCTCCGGCCCACCTTTTCCTTGTATATCGCCCACACGTCCGCCAGCATGTCCCACGCCGCCCGCTGCAGACAGTCGGCAACCAGCGGACCCAAGCCGGGCGGACATGGCTGCTTGGATCGTGTCGTTGTCTTTGTCGTTGCCGTTGTAGCTGTAATCGTCTCTCCCGCCGCCAGGCCCTGCCGGAAGAGGGCCAGCGCTCCCTCGCGATCATTGAGCCGGAGGAGAGCCCGGATCGTGTGCGAAACAGCCGCGGCATCCCGTTCGGCCGTGTCGATGGCTGAGAACGCCATGACAATCCGCTGCGCTTCTGTCGGCCGCCTTGACGGTGTCAGGAAGAGCAGCACCCGATGGGCCAGCTCGGCCTTGTGGGCGCCAAACGGCAGCCGGCTGTAGACATCCCAGGCCCGGTCAAAAGCCTCGGTCGAGTAGAGCGTCACGCTGGTCTGCAGCACGTCCTCGAGCTCCTGCACCAGAGAGGCCTCGTCGTCGTCTGCTCGCCCTCGGCTCGTCGTGGTAGCCGCTGCCTTTCTTGCTTCGACCGGGAAGCTGGGGCCGGCTAGATTGGTCGTGATGGAGTCAATGGTCTGCGAGGTCGCGTCCGGCTCGGGCGTCGAGAAGGGCAGGGAGCTGTAGGGTCGTGACGGTCGCCGAATGACCGCTGCCGGTCGCCGGTCTCCCAGAACACGCAGATACGAGCTTTTTAGGAACCGCAGAGCGCCGTTGGGGTATAGAAAGTCCAGCAGGAAGGACGAGGCATTCAAAGGCTCCGTCTGGGGGACCGGGCTGCTGCTGGCCGCCACGAGACTCTGACAGGTCTGAGACAGTTCCAGGTCCGCCACTCCATATTGCCAAAAGGTCGGATGCAGCGTCCGAGATCGCCGCTCTGTTGCTGTACTTGCTGCTGCTGCTGCCTTTGCCGTCTGGGGGAGAAGCCGCTGGAGACCACACGGTTCCAGGCTGGCGGCCGTCCGGTCCAGCACTGGCATAGAGACAGTTCAGAGGAGCCACACGCTATTGGGATAAGGAAGCCGTTGTGCACAGCATTCTTGGGAGCCGCAAGGTTCGTCTGGACAGCAGTTAGAAAATGTGAAAGAGAACAAGTCAACAGATTCGTGCCAAAAAGCCCTTTGTACCTCTTTATGGATTGGCACAATGCAAACGGTTCCCAATGCTTCAGCCGACACGCATAGTACCGTCCTCGACGTTGTGTTGCGCTGCGTTGGCGTCTGGCCGAGCAAAGCTATATCGATTTGGCTTTTTTTTTTTCTTTTCTCTTCTGCAGTGGCCTGACTTGCCGATTGCAGTATAATTGTTCGAGACGGTAGAAGCTATCGCGCCGGATCGGCCCAAATATGATCCGTCGAGTTGCACAACCCCAATGGCGGGGCAGGAGCAAGCAGCAGGTCAAAAAAAAAAAAAAAAAAAAAAGGCGCCGTCAGTCTGCAAGGGGACCCCACATAATCTGTGGTAGGACAGACAGACAGAGCAAAGCGAGAGCGACCACACGACAGACGAGACGATAATTGTCGTGCACCACGCATTGTCGATCCGCCCTCCCGCTTCGGCTGCCATCAGGACCCTCGAGAAGACGCGAGAGGCTGTGGCCGAAGCTCTTCTTCACACAAGTTCGAGTGCACGAGCGGTGGTGCAGAAGCCCTCTCCCACAGACGAGCTAGAAATGGACATTACCCAGTTTGTCGTCTCCTCGCGAGACAAGGTCGACCTGCCGACCGACTACAGCGGCTACCGGACCCGGCTGGGACACCGCCTGCTCAAGTGCCGTCAGAAGCTGCACGTGGCCGCACGGCACCGGGGCAAGTACAACCACAAGTCGAGCACGGTGCAGCCAGAGCAGGTGGCCGAGGACGTGACGTAAGCCCTGCTTTTTTTGTCTGCTGTCTGCTGTCTGCTGTCTGTGCTGACGTCCAGATATGCGCATCTGCTGATCCTGTCGGCCGAGCGGGCCCACGCCCAGGCCGTGGCCATGAAGACGGTCCAGTCGGCCAACGGCAAGAACATCAACAACAGTGCTCGCTCGCACATTGTCTCTCGCTTCGACAAGGCCGCCAAGTATGCCGAGGATCTGCTGGTCGTGCTGCAGGCCAACGCCAGCGGCGCCACGGCCGGCGACCGGCTCGAGGCCCGTGCCTATGCCGCGTCGCTGCGGGGGGCTGCCGACCTGGAGCGTCGCAGCTGGCCGCGTAGCCTGGCGAGCTATGCGGCCGCCTGGGCCATCTACAGCGCGCTGGCCACAGCTGCAGCCACGGCCGGCCGTCCGGCCCAGGCCGACCTGTTCGGCGACCTCGTCGTCGAGAACGAGCAGTGGGTGCGCTATGCGGCATACCAGCTAAAGAAGCCGCGGTCCACGCCGATCCCGATGCTTGTGCGCGAGGCTCTGGAGACGTCGACCGACCTCGTGGCCACCATCCACCAGATCAGCCCGGTCGTGCTGCAGCCGGCCACGGCCACCGACGATGCCGTGCTGGTTGACGCTGACAGCACCACGCCGCTCGTCGCCTCGACCCGCACGCTGACCTGGCGTTCGCGCGAGGTCCGCATCGAAGACGCCCCCATCGCGTCCGCCTGGGCCGCCCTCGATCTCGCCCAGGCTCGGCTGCGTGTCGTGCTCGTCGCCGGTGCTGCTCGTTCGGCCGCGCCCATGTCGCCTGGCGAACAGGCTGCCGCCTACGACGACGTGCTCACCGCCAGCCAGGACGCTGTCGACGCTACCAAGGCCGCCATCGACGACCTCCGCGCCGAGGGCCTCCCCCAGAGCGATCCTGCCGTCCAGCTGCTGTATGTCGCCCGCACGGCCGCCAACTACGAGATGATTAGCTACCGGATCGGCCGCAATCGCGTGCTGACTGGCCCCCATGATGGCGCCGTCGTCCAGCTCAACCACGCGGCCAAGAGCCGGAGCAAGAGCAAGAGCAAGACCCCCGCCGCCCGTCCCGAGGCTCCCGGCCGCTTCCTCGCCCGGCTCAAGGAAAAGGTCGTCCTCTACGACGGCGTCCTGCAGAGCCTCGAGTCCGTCAAGGAGCTGCCCGGCGTCGCCGCTGATACAGAGCTGTCCGCGCAGCTGGATGCTACCGCAAAGTACTTTACCGCGCTAAAGTGAGTCTCTATTCCTGTTTTTCTCCTTTGTCCTTTGTCCTTCTTCATTCTCCCTTACACCCCTAGATCCCTCGCTGTCAGCCGGTCCCACGACATCGCCGGCAACGCGGCCAACGCCCTGGCCCTCGCCAAGCACGGCCTCGACCAGTGCACAGAGGCTGCTCCGACCCTGGCCAAGGTCGAGGAAACCGCATCGCCCTCGCCAGAGGCCCAGTCGCCCCTGCGCACTATCCATGTCGGCACTGCCGACGTGCAGTTCCTGCTGGACCTGCTGCAGAACGAGGTGCAGCGCGGTCGCGCGCTCGTCAACATCGAGACGCTGCAGCAAGCTGCCACAAAGGCGACCGCCACCACGACTACGCCCGCACTGGCCGAACAACTATCCGTCTACCCACAGCAGCCCGTCGACCTGGCCAACATTGTCGCCTATCCGCCCCGCATCGAACCCGTGCCCGTCAAGCCCATCTTCCTCGATATCGCCTGGAACTACATCGACTACCCCAGCAAGACGTCGGCTGCCGCCTCGGCCACGGCCGGCCAGACCGCCACGGGCGCACAGCAGAACGAACAGCCGCAGCAGCAACAGAAACGCGGCTGGTTCGGATTTGGACGGTAGCGATGATTACTAAGCACATGGCGCCCCAGCAGACGCCATCGCAAAAAAAAAAGATGAAAGAACAAAGTTTCTGCCATTTTCTCTACAACATATAAACGTGACTGTGAGCGGGGATATGTCTATTATGCTATTGGTATGTTGCCGTCGTGTCGGCAAACGGGGACTGTTTGATTAAGGAAAGAGAGAGGTAATAGGAAGAACCTTCCAAGGCGGCCGCAATTTGGCCACGAAAGTTTCTGCCATAAAAAAGACAACGCCCTTCATCGCGCCTTCGCGGCGTCGACTTTCCTCGCTCTCTCTCTCTCAATTTCTTCCCTCCTCTTTCAATTTGTTTTTGCCTCATAAACGGCCAAAGACCAGCATTTTGAAACTCAGAACGCCATATTCTTTTATGAAAACCCTCCCTCCTAATCCCCCCTTCCACCCCCTTAATTCGTTAATAGAGAAAACTGCACCCGAGGGGATGCTTTCCAAAGTGTTGTTGGTGGGACACCTCATAAGAACAACAAATCCCAAGTCAAACCAACGTGAGTAGAAAAAGACAAGAAGAAAGATCGACGTAAAATACAAATAGGTACAAGAGAAGGGATATGAGAAGAGATATGACGGGAAGCCCCTATAGGCGGTGACATGCTATTGCGTGGAAAGACGTGACGAGTTGTTGGTCAGGCCGTTCATGGCTTGTCCTTCTTGTCGTCCTCGGCCGGCTGGCTCTCCTGCGTCGTGTTCTCCTCGCCACGCGCGCGGTGAACCTTGTCCAGCAGGTTCAGGCTGGCGTTCTGCAGCTCGTCGACCTTCTCCTTGATCTCCTCGGCCGTCGCGTTGCCCTCGCCCGACTGGCTCTTGGAGATGAACTCGCGCAGCGCCGTGATCTTCTCGCGCAGCGCGTCCGTCTCCGTCTTGTCCAGCTTGTCCGCGTGGTCCGTCAGCGCCTTCTCCGTGTCCGTCAGGATGCTGTCCGCCCGGTTCGACGCCTCGATCGCGTCCTTGCGCGCCTTGTCCTGCTCGGCAAACTTCTCCGACTCATCCACCATCCGCTGGATCTCCGAGTCCGACAGACCCGAGCCTGACGCGATCGTGATCGACTGGTCCTTGTTCGTCGACTTGTCCTTGGCGTGTACGTGCACAATCGAGTCCGCATCAATGTCAAACGTCACCTCGATCTGCGGCACGCCGCGGTGCGCCGGCGGGATGCCCACCAGCTGGAAGTTGCCCAGCAGCTTGTTGTCCTTGACCAGCTCGCGCTCGCCCTGGAACACCTTGATCTCCACCGCCGTCTGGAAGTCTGCCGCGGTCGAGAACACCTGCGACTTCTTCGTCGGGATCGTCGTGTTGCGGTTGATCAGGCGCGTAAACACGCCGCCGAGCGTCTCAATACCCAGAGACAGCGGCGTCACGTCCAGCAGAAGCAGGTCCTTGACCTCACCCGACAGCACTGCACCCTGGATGGCCGCACCGATCGCGACAGCCTCGTCGGGGTTCACCGACTTGGCCGGGTCGCGGCCGAAAATGTTCTTGACCGACTCCGACACCTTGGGCATACGGGTCATGCCACCGACCAGGATCACCTCCTGGATCTCCTTCGCCTGCAGGTTGGCATCCTTCAGCGCCTTGCGCACCGGCTCAATCGTCTTGGTGATGAGCGGGTCGACCAGCTTCTCCAGCTGCGCACGCGTCAGCTTGGTGTTGATGTGCTTGGGGCCGGAAGCATCGGCCGTGATGAAGGGCAGGTTGATGTCCGTCTGCAGCGAAGACGACAGCTCGATCTTGGCCTTCTCGGCAGCCTCGCGGATGCGCTGGATGGCCATGCGGTCACCCGACAGGTCAATGCTAGAGTCCTTCTTAAACTGCTCGACAATGTGGCGGACCAGGTGAATATCAAAATCCTCACCACCCAGGTGGGTGTCGCCGTTGGTCGACTTCACCTCGAACACACCGTTCTGGATCTCCAGGACCGAGATATCAAAGGTACCACCACCAAGGTCGTACACGGCGATGATCCGGTCAGCCTCCTTCTCAAGACCGTAGGCAAGAGCAGCAGCCGTAGGCTCGTTGACGACACGGAGCACGTTCAGGCCGGCGATCTGACCAGCATCCTTGGTGGCCTGGCGCTGGGAGTCATTGAAGTAGGCCGGGACCGTGACGACGGCGTTCTTGACCGGGCGGCTGAGGTACGCCTCGGCCGTCTCCTTCATCTTCTGGAGGACAAAGCCACCGACCTGCGACGGCGAGTAGTTCTTGCCGCGGGACGAAACCCAGGCGTCACCGTTGGTGTGCTGCACAATCTTGTAGGGCACCTCCTTGATATCACGCTGCACCTCAGCGTCGGTGAACTTGCGGCCAATCAACCGCTTGGTGGCGAACAGGGTGTTCTCGGGGTTGACCACAGCCTGACGCTTGGCGGCAACACCGACAAGCTTCTCGCCCTCCTCGGTAAAGGCAACAACCGACGGCGTCGTCCGCGCACCTTCGGAGTTCTCGATGATCTTGGGAATCTTGCCCTCCATGATGGCCACAGCCGAGTTTGTCGTACCTGGAGACGGGGAAGATATGTTAGTCACTGGTGCTTGTATGTTCCGAGGACTCCGCCCTTGGCAGAGAAGCGTACTGCGACTTACCGAGATCAATGCCGATGACAGAGCCCTTGACCTTCTCGTCCGAAGAGGTGGACTCGAAGCGGGCAAAGGCTGGACGGAAGGTCTTTGCGCTCATCATGCCTGCAGAGCGCGAGGCTGCTGAGGTTGCCCGGGGAAGCTAGATTCGACAGTCAGCATCGAATACGGGATAAAGTGTACCAAACACTAGCTGGTGGACGGAATTGACTTACGGCTCTGGAGAAGCGTGCTGCCAGCATTGTGACGTATGAGGTGTGAACGGAGAAACAAAAGGACCACTTCTAATCAACACAAAACCGTGAGGAAGCAGAGGCACAAGAGGCGAGGATGGATAGGATGTGTCCTGGGTATACCGGGAAGTGTATGGGCGAGGAAGATTAGGTCAAGAACAGGTGAGTGGAAAGTTTTTATGGAGGAGCTTTTTTTTCCGGCTACTCTTACACATTCTGAAAATTTCGAGAAGGTACTGAGAGGCGGGCAAAGGCAGACGCCTATTGGTTGAGGCTGTACCGCTAAAGAAATGGACCCACTGTTCTCGTTGCCACAGACCCTGCAAACTGGGTCACGTGTATATATAAACTATACCACACGTGACCGCATATGAAGCATTTGCAACGAGTCTCGAAATCGCTGTATTCATCTGTTGCATGCTTTCGCACATGCAATTACCAACTCGATTGACATGATACGCTGTTTCTAAAGCGCTTCAATCTCTGCGGATGTGGTTATCTGTAAGCGGCAGGCCATCCGAGGTGCTGCCGCACTCTCCGCAAGACCAGCAGTGCCGCCGAAGACCCGAGGCGGACCATGCCTATTGCCGTTAAAAACGAGCAATAAACACCGACGGGGGACCAGGGGACCTGTGCATAATGCCATGCATGTCAGGCTACCGCTTTTGTGAATTTTCTGCGCCAACAGGGCACTCATGACATCAGAAGAGCGCTTCTGCACTTGTCTGCGGAATTGTGCAGTACAGTATGCGAACAGTGCGGTATTTAAAGTAGCGGCAGGAACAGCCTCGTCAGGCTGTTTTCTTGGCAAAGGTTGTGACAATGCGCCGTTGCCGCCCCGCTAAACGGCGGATTTGGAGACCGCCATGGGGTCGAAGCCACCGTAAAGAGCTAGGATTCACACGGCCATGCTTATGTCAGGCCTTTTTTTGACGGGCGGAACGTCATTCAGCGAGATTCCGTCAACATCGTCAGTAAACAGAAAACAGCATCGTTCATCGGGTTCAGGCCCCACCCATGCCTGTCTTTCCCTCATAACTTACGTTTGCTTCCAGAATTTGGTATTTGGCACACGGCGAATCGCGGTTTTCGATTTGCAGCCGACCACACGAAGCGCCGGCGACACAAGAGTCTAGCCGCGCCTCGTAATCGCCTCACGTCTGCACATCTCCCCATTCATGCTTGGGCCATCACCATCTCGCAGCTTCTTCTCACGCTGTCACCACCATGGCCGTGAAAGATGAGGATGCGTAAGTGACTCTGCCGACAGCTGTTCCGGCTCTCCCAACGGGCTGTCTACAGCAGGACTTAAGCTCACAGTATTCTCCCAACAGATGCTATCCAACCAATTCCCTTATCGCAAAAGAGTCACGCCGGCACTACCGGACTCGCATAACTCCAATGTAAGCACACGCGCGCCACGGCTGACATCGTCGGAACCCTGCGGGCAAGGTCACTGCGGCGAACCGGTGACAGGCAGCAAGCTGACCTGCATTTCGTAGTCATTGGCAGCTACGATCGCTCATCGGCGTCTCGAGGTCCAACAAGGTGTACTATCCCACGGGAACGGACAATCTGCACATCCAGGAATTCAACACTGCCACAAAAAAGTCGGAGACGATCGCACTCCTGTCCTTCTCCCCGCGATGTCTGGTCGCGCGAGGCGGCTGGGTTTGTTGTGGGGGCGAAGAGGGCGAGTTTGTGGCCATCCGGGTGGAAGATCGGAGCCGACGAGTGCGCAATTCGGCGCATGGACGGGTGCGCGACGACTCCCACCACCGATCACACAGCCGCGCTCACGGCAGGAGGCGGTCAGACAGTGTTAGGGCCGTTGCCGGTGGCGATGACGGAGACGGCTCGAGGAGCATGGACGACGAGGACTACGACGACTTTGACCTGCGGATGGGCGAGCCGCCACGGGCGGCACTGGTCACGGTTCCGTCGCGGTTTGCGGCCAAGAGCCAGAAGTTTGGAAAGGAGCGGGTCAACTGCATCACGATCTGGTTTCCGTCGTTGATGATGGCCCTCGCGCCAGGCGCCTATAAACAGGCCGTCGTGGCACTTGCCAACAATGACAAGCATGTCACGCTTGTCAGTCTGGACGAGATGGAGGAGCTGGACGAACTGTCGTACCCAGATTGCGTCAACCGGGCGGTGTTGTCGCCTGACGGACGATTTCTTGCGGCCGTCAGCGACGATCCGTACCTGTACATTCATGAGCGGGTAAAGCGCGATGACGAGGTTCCGCCACCGACGCGCAGGCGCACGGATCAGCCTCCAGTGCGCAGTAGCTACGTGTGGAAGCTGCTGGCGCGACATCATCTTCGCGACCAGGATAAGAACGATCGGACGGTGCATCGCGGCAGCTTTGCAGCGTGCTTTTCCAACACAGGTAGGTATCTGGCTGTCGGAACGCAATATGGAACGATCTCGATATTCGATACGGCACTGCTTGGGGAGCCTGGCGACACGTCGCTGGTGGCCTGTTTCACGTCGTCGAGCCCCAAAGCGGACGCGGGTGCGGTGCGCGAGATGTCATTCTGTCCAGGGCCGTATGACCTGCTGGCGTGGAGCGAGGACTACGGTGCGGTAGGGATTGCGGACGCGCGGAACAAGTTTGCGGCGCGTCAGATCATCAAGCTCGGTGATGAGTCGGCCTTTGAGCGCATTGCGATCAACCAGACCACGCACGTGAACGACGAGCTAGTGGAAGAGCGACAACGCCGACACCAGCGACAGCGTCAGGACGGGGAGGACACGGGCGGCCGAGGCGACTCGATGCCACGGTTCCGGAACGGAGACTACGGCGTATCATCAGAGGAGCAGGCGCTGCGGATCCGGGATGCGCTGGACCGATACCACCTGCCGCTGACGGCGGAAGAGACACAGTTCCTGGACGCACTGCAGCTGCGGCGAGACCGAGACCGGCGGCTGCAGAGAGAGCAGAGGGAGGCTCAGGCGCAGAGGGAGCAGCGCGAGACGGAGCTCTTGGCGCGGCCGTCGGCCTGGATCCTGCGGTCGCGGCCAGGTCTCGCTGACGGTGGCAGCAGCAGAAACAACAACGGCAGCGGCAATGGCAACGACGGTAGTTCTGGGACATCTCGTACGCGTGACCAGGGCCGAGACCGGGACCGGGACCGGGGTGAAGGGGTGACGGTGAGCGACGTGCTGAGCAGCATCCGTAGTCTCCGCAGCGCACGGGAGCAGGAGCGACGCAACTTTCTGCGGACACAGGGGCTGCTGCAGGCAGCGATGCAGACGCCGGCGATTCCGACGATTGAGAACGAAGAGTCGGGCACGGACGACGACGAGCTCACGGTGCCGATGCCGGTGCCGGTGCCGGTGCCGGTACCGGTGACAACGACGGCACACGGCCAGCAGCGGCGACGGCTGCCGTGGGGGAGCCTGGACGCACCGCTGCCCAACTTTGGGACACTGGGAGAGCGAGGCGACGCGCGGACGATTGACTTTCTGCACGCTTACACGGTGGGCAACAATGGCGGCGCCGAGGCGGGCAGCAGCAGCAACAACAACGGCGGCAGCGGCAGCGGCAACGGCAGTGGAACCGGCGGTGTCGGTCGGCGTGAGCGTGGAGCGCTGCCGGGGTCGTCGCTGCTGAGCCAGACGATGATGCTGGACTGGGACACGGGCATCGTCAGCATGAGCCGGCGGGCTCGCGAGCCGGCGACGTCGTCGGAACAAAAGGACGGACACACGGCCGGTCTGGTGTGGAGCGAAGATGGTACCATATTGTGAGTGTATTCGTGGCAATGCCTTTTATTTTTATTTTTGTTTTTTCTTTCTCGCCTTTTTTCTTTCTTCTTTTTACTTCTTCTTTTTCATTCCGTTTAATCTTTGCTAACCTGTCAGGTTCGTTGGAACGGAAGGAGGAATCTTCGAGCTCCAGGTCAACCTTCGGAACCGGCAATTCTTCCCCAGCATCACGATGCGTTGATAGAAGAATGTGGCGGCTGTCCTGTATACTTGATTCGTGCTGTGGTCGTGCTCTGTGTGTTCTGCTCATTTTGTGCCTAGTTTTCCAACGGCTGCTTCACTTTACGGCGTTCTCTCCTGTCGGGACGTTTTCCTCGCTCGTTATCATTTCTCATAGGGGTTTGTTCTGCATCTTGCTTCTCGTCCAGGCCTTATCTTTCATTCGTTTGTATGAGTGCAGCACGGCAAAGAGTCTCTTGGGTTATCCGTCTTGTGCGTTTCTGCGTGTCTGTGCTACGTATGTTGCTTACATAATCATACTGATCCCCATTTTGTTTTCGCTCGTCCTTCAGCTGTACAGCAATTCCTCCACCATCTCGCCGATGGCCAGGCTGCTGGTCAGCCCCGGGCTCTCGATGCCGAGCAAGTTGACCCAGCCGTGGTAGCCGGGTTCCGCGCGGACGACAAAGTCGGCGGCGCCGTGGCCGGCCGGTGCGAGCTTTGGCCGGATGCCGGCGTAGTCGGGCTGGAGGGCGTCGGCATCAATGTCGGGCAGGTAGGCGCGGATTACAGGTACGGCCTGGGGCAGACGAGCGGCACCGTGGACGGCGAGGTTGTAGGGATGATCGACCCACTCGACGTCGGGCCCAAAGCGCATGCGGCCGGCGAGATCGAGGGTCAGATGGGTGCCGAGGCCGGCGAGGCCGGGCTCAGGAGCCGGGTAGATGAGGGTGGAGACCTTGGGCGAGCTGGCGGCGTAGGAAAAGTAGTTTCCCTTGGCGTAGTAGAGCCGAAGGGGGGGTGGTTGGTGGTACTCTTCTTCTCCTTCCTTTTCTTCCTTTTTCTGGTTTTCGTCTTTTCCTCCTTCGTTTCTCCGTTCTTCCCCTTCACTCCCCCTATCGAACCCTGTTCCCTGGGTGATCATGTTGTAGATGTCAGCCGAGCCGAGTCCGGCCGCGTTGACGAGTGTCTCGGCGACGACGGTGAACTCTTCAGCCTCGCCGACCGGCCGCACGTGGATGGCCCAACCGCCACTGCCGTCCTTTTTCGTGTGGCCGAGCGCGCTGATCCGCACCACTGGCGAGCTGAGCGCGACCGTGCCACCAGCCTGCTCGAAGCCGCCCTGCAGCGCCGCCATCAGGCCATGACTGTCGACGATGCCGGTCGCCAGGCTCTCGAGCACGCCGGCGTCCGCCCGCACGGCCGGCTCGCGGCGCTGGGCCTCGGCCGCGCTCACCCAGCGGAGCGGCAAGAGTGTGGCGTCGTCGTGGTGCCGGCTGTACTCTCTGGCCGCGGCGTCGATGCGTTGCAGTGCGGCGAGCTGGGCGGCCGTCTGGGCCACCAGCCACTTGCCCGTGCGGCGATGCGGCACGCCGTGCGCGGCACAAAAGTCGTACAGCAGCCGGCGGCCGCGGATGCAGAGCTGCGTCTTGAGCGAGTTGGCGCCGTAGTAGAGGCCGGCGTGGATGACCTCGCTGTTGCGCGAGGATGTCTCCGTGCCGACGGCGGCGTGGCGTTCGAGCACGAGGACGGATGACGATGATGACGACGACGAACAAGACGCAGATCCGGCTCGCTCTGCGAGGGCGCGTGCTACGGCGAGGCCAACCACACCTCCGCCAATGACCTGCAAATGGTCAGCGAGAGAGCAAGCGAGAGACATCGCTCATCTAGACACGTGACCTACTGCATGGGTAAAATCCGCCCCGCAAGACGCCGTGCTGGAAAAGAAACGCCGGCCAGCCGCCGTGCCTACGGCCACTCGACTTGGTCCATGAAGCATGGCTGCCCGCGTGTTGCTGAGACCCGGCCGAAATGGTGGGTTGCGGCAGTTTGGACGGGTCGAGTCAGCTTGACGGACATTGACGCTAGTTACATCCAGGAGTTTATCTCCGCAAATCACGCAGGCAGCTTCACGAGAGCCCAGCAACACATCACGGCTTACAGAAACGACGCAGACAAGGCTTTCTCTCGCGACTGTGTGCATTGGATCTCTGCGCGGACCTCTGTCGAGCCCAACATATGACGCGTTGGCTGCTTGACGGAAAGTACCTGTCGGAGAACAGCAGCTAAGAGCAAGAAGCATACACCTGGAGCTGTCCTGTCTTCTGGCCAGGAGTCGCATGGCGAGTGTCTTGGCTAATGCAGACATGGACTTGCACCTCGCCGTGTAGCAGCTTGGTTGCCACACTCGGCCAGGTGTAAAAAGGAGGCTGCTGGCACGTGGCCCAGCACCACGTCTTCATCTGCTCCTAGAACGGGCCCCAGACCCGCTGTCAGACGAGTTATCGTCGTCATCCCTACTGTCTCGTCTTGGCCGCCTCTGTTCTGTAGGCCTGTCATCGTGCTCATCTCGGTCGCTGTCATAGCTGCTTGCCCGACGCCCGTTTCTGTCCCTGCGATCGTGGCTGCTGTCGTCGCTCCTGTCGTCTTGATCCCTTTGCATCGCGTCATCGTTCTCGTCCTCCACGTCCATCCTCCTCGCCTCTTCCTCCTCCTCGTCGAGGATCTCGTCAATGTCGCCCAGCGGACTGACCCGCGGCTCCAGCTTGCCCAGGTCCTCGAGCACGTCGCGCGACGGCAGCTTCCACAGGCTGGTGGCACAGACGCGCGGCTTGACCAGCAGGTCGTCGACAAAGTCGTCGACGAACGTGAGCGTCGTGCCGGCGCGGCCGCGGCGCCGCAGCTTCCGGCGGTCGGCTAGGAATGGTTCCAGCGTCCGGTAGACGGCATCGGCGGGGCGCGTCAGCCGCACGTAGAAGAGTGCCAGTGCCCGCAGGTACTTGAATCGCTCGCCGCCGTGCTGCAGGTAGGCCGCCAGGATCTCGTCGTTGGGCGCCAGCTGCAGCAGCTTGAAGGCCAGGCAGAGAAACGGCGTCGGCTTCTGCGCTGTGCCCGTCGTGCCGCCGATGCAGTTGACGTGGTCAACCACCCGGTCGACCACGTCTGCCTCGTTCACGCCGAAGCACTGCTCCTTCCAGAAGTAGCTGTCCACGATCCGCTCGCGCACCGCCTTCTCCATGATCGTCGCCGGGTTCAGCCCGTTGGGTGCCACTGTCGCTGACGATCCCCGCTCGTCCAGGAACCGCCGCTCATCGGCCTGGTGCAGCATCGGCCGCTGGCTCATCGTCGGTCGTCGCGGATGTGGTCGAGAAGGGAAAAGGGGATGCTGGCTGTGGTGGCCAGTATTTCCGTCGCGTGAAAGAGTACCAGAAAAATGGCGTCTCACGGAATTCGGTCAAGCTTAGGTGGGCTGCTGCGCTAACCCGATCCAGCATATCGATAGTTGCCCGGTCGATTCGGCAAACAATAAGCGTATGACGGAAGCAGGCCAGACTGGGCCGCAGTTGCCCGATCTGCCATAGCTCAATCTCAGTCTCGAGACGGCACATGCTGTTCATACAGTATTACTCGGACACACCAACTTCGAAAATCTCAGTTGTGAAGACGCGGTCTCGCTTGTTTTGGATTGACGTGCTATTTTTGGTGTCTCTGCATTCCATTCTGCTATCGATCGACTCTATTTCCACGGCGGCGCAATCCGGAGAAGCATTCAAGCATGTTATTAACGTCCTCCCAAGTTTCGGTGGCAGTTTCGTCGACCATTGGTACGTCTTCTCGGCGTGTTTGTATCTGGTCCAATCCGAAACTGACAAGCGGTGGACCATCTCACAGTGATTCTGTGCACTTCGGCCCTTTTCTTCAGCGGATATGTGCTCCAGCAGCGGACGCTCAATGAGTTGCGCCAGTCCCTTAAGGAGCCTCCACCGACGCCTCCCAAGATCTTTCTTCCGGATCGTTTCAAGAAGATGACGACAGAGCTGGAAGACGGAACAATCGTGATCCTCGACGATGACGACGACGACACCACTGGTGTTGGGGGAGATGCGCCGACAGAGGTCGTGGTCCAGGCGAGTATTTCGGTGGCGGAGGACAACCGGAGACAAGAACAGGTCCAACTGTCAGGAGAGACGACAAGAAAGGAGGAGACGAGCCAGGAGGACAGCCAGGGCAACATCGACCATGAGCAGGAGGTAACAAAGCTCGAGACGTCTGAACATCCGAAGAAGCCCGTCAGCAAAGCAGAGCGGCGACGACTCATCAAGGAGGAGATCAGGCGGCTATCCCACTACGAAAAACCAATGCTCTACCAACGTCGGCTATACTAAGGGTGGGAAGGCCTTGTACCTTGACAAGGTGTTGGATACATGGATAGTGGATATGTTTGCAACGGCCACTTTGGAGTTCACTGGGATTTCGGGATATATTGTACATTTGGGCATTGTTGGGTTAAGAACGAGACGAGGCTGTTTTAACATACAGCGATGATGAGATACACATTGGTGGGCATGATACCGATATACAAACCTCTTTCTTCGGCTCCCCAGCCATTGATTGAAAGTTCCTAAGCTTGTATGGCCTACTGGCTCTTTGCAATTCGCCCAATTTTCACCGAAGATAGCAGCACCTGTACTAACGAGTAGGAGATCTGCAGCTGAAGCGACGCTCGTGCCCAAGAGCCGTCTCGCTTTGGCTCATCGAATCGGTCTCCTAGCTTTTACTCCTGTCTTGCCCACCATGGGTTGTCTCGGCTTGAACGGCTTTCTCGGACATCTGCCCCGATGCGATAACCGGGGCGGAATCGATTATCTTAAGAGTGCGGCATTTAGGTTAGCCCTAAGGTAGATACCTAGCACCAAACGGCGGTAAGTACCAATCGGGAAGAGCCTGTGTTGACAGCGCCGGAGGACTAGCGAGGCAGCATAGTATATCTGCAGGTCAGAGTGGTTAGGGTAGCCGTGGAACGACATCGGACCAGTCTACACCTCGCAGTACAGCAGCCCTCGAGAAGACCAGGCTACACCGTCAGACTGATCATCGCAGCCAAAGCAACCACGTCACAACATCCACCAGCTCCCACAATGTCGGCCAGCCAGACAGCCATGGCAACAGCCGTGGCGACGGCACATGCGACGTTCCGTGAGCACAACCCGGTGTCGGCCGAGGTGCACGCCAAAGCAGCAGAGCACATGCCAGGCGGCAACACGCGGACGGTGCTATACGCAGAGCCGTTCCCGGTTGCGATCGCGTCGGCCGATGGCAACACGCTGACGTCGGCAGACGGCCGGACGTACGTCGACTTTCTGGGCGAGTTCAGCGCCGGCCTGTTTGGCCACTCGCACCCAAAGATCGCGGCCGCGCTCGAAACGGCCATGCGCGGTGGCTGGAACTACGGCGGCGAGTCGCTGTGCGAGAAGACGTTGGCAGCTCGCGTGACCGAGCGCTTTGCCGCTGGCGGTCTCGATCTCGTCCGCTTCACCAACTCGGGCACCGAGGCCAACACGTTTGCCATCGGCGCCGCCCTCACCTTCACCGGCCGCCAATCGATTCTCGTCTTTAGCAGCGGCTACCACGGCGGCACCTTTATCTTTCCCATGAACCTTTGTCGCTGGATGCATGCCGGCGGCAAGGCCACCGGGACCGAGCCACCGTGCCACACCATGAACCTGCCCCACGATTTTGTTGCCGCTCCGTGGAACAACGTGGCCGAGACCGCCGCCATCGTCGATCGCCTGCCGCCCAACAGCCTCGCTGCCGTGCTGGTCGAGCCGATTCAGGGCTCTGGTGGCTGTCGTCCGGCCTCGCCGGCCTTCCTCCGGTATCTGCGCCAGACGTGCGATCGGCTGGGCGCCCTGCTGATCGCCGACGAGGTCATGTCGTCACGGCTCGGTCCTTCCGGCTCTCTCGCCACTCACGAATACGGTCTCCGCGCCGACCTGCTCTCCTTTGGCAAGTGGATCGGCGGCGGCATGACCTTTGGCGCTTTTGGTGGCCGCCGCGACGTCATGGCTCTCTTCGACCCTTCGCTTGGTCCCGAGCGCCGTCTCATGCATCCCGGCACCTACAACAACAATGTCTTCACCATGTACGCCGGCATCGCCGGCCTCGAACTCTACGATGCCGCCGCTGTCGCTGCCCTCAACGCCCGCGGTGACCGGCTCAAAACCGGCATCACCAAGGCCCTCTTCGCCTCTGGTGCCTACCCCCATGCCGACGACCCGGCGGCCAGACACCTGCACGACGTCCTCGAGGTTGACAGCTTCGCCGGCCAGACGCGTCTGTACGCTGGCGAGGACCAGCCGACCCTGCCGCTGCCCAAAGTCTTCCTCGCCAGCCGCGGCAGCATGCTGAATCTCCGCTTCTCTGGTCCCAGCGCCGGGCTCTGGCACAACCTCTACTACCACTTCATGCTGGAACAGGGCATCTACATGGCCAGCCGCGGCTACACGCCGCTCAACCTCGTCATCACCGACGACAACGTCGACAGCTTCATCGTTGCCGTTGCCGCCTTCCTGGACAAGCACAAGGCCGAGTTGGCAGCCTAAGATGTGTTTAGTTTGGAGCCATTATAGCCAATATAGCCAATAAAACTGTTTACTGAGCATTTGCAGAAGTGTATCATCAGGTCCAGGCTCTTTCATGTTTGTCGAATGGCTATGTAGACGCGTAAAGTGATAACAAGATATACATACTGCGTGCGTAGCCATGCTTTCGCAGGGTTTGGGCAGCGATCGCCCAGACCGCTGCTTACCTATACCATATCACCACCAACGTCAAAGGGACAGCATGGGTGCTGGTGTTTATCAAGGCTAGCAGCTGTACCGCGTCTAGATCATGCAGCGCGAGACCATCGTCGTCCACAGCGACATTGAGAGTCGACCCTGATGATGCGGGACTCACGACGCCCTTAGTGCATGTGACAACTGTTGACTTGCACATCCCCCTACAGTTAACCAAGCTCTAGGGGTTTATGAAGCAGATAATTGGCTTGAAATCATCAAAAGGAGATCGCCTGGTGGTCATGCTGACGGATGCGGACCGTTACCATGGACCACATTCTAATGATCACGCACGTCGACGATACCCTGCACATGGGCACTAGCTCCCGTCTGGATCAGGTTATAAAGGAAATTACAGCATGCCTAGTTAATAAGCCGAGTATTTGTGTTGTTGTATCTTATAACGACAAACTGTGAGAAGTGCATGTATTCACGTGCACTAAGGCTAGTGCACTGCGGCAGTGAAAAGTCTGCACAGTGACCTACATGGTCACGTGCAACAAAAACCAAAGAGCACGAATTATGCCAGAAGGCGGTAAGAGAAATAAACGCGCAATATAGTAAGAATGGCCCGTGCTTTAGCAATTCCTGTTACTAGGCGTTGACGTCATTACAAGCAGTGCTAGCCGTCCGTTCCGACATGTAGACGGCAAGTACTCCGTATTGCTGGGAATAGCGCCCAGGTGGCGATGCCCGGCCTACACATAGCATGTAGTACTCCGCCGTAATTACAGTCGTGCCATTGTCGTGTGTGTTTGTTCACACCCTAGATGTCTATCAAACACCCAACATGGCTCTAGTACCCCCGGACAATATGGCCGATCGCCGCGCAGAAGACCGGCTCGGAGAAGCTGCCCTCGAAGCCGACACGTCGTACCGTGTCGAAGATGCCGGCGTCATTGACCCGGACAGTACAGAGGGGGAGGAGGTGCGCGCAACTGAGAAGCTGCCTGAGGAGGGCCTGGACGGCCACCGGCCAGCGCTCTTCCGGGCGCGGTCCACACGAAGCCGGCGCGGAACAGCTGAGTCTAGCGGCGATCGCGGGCTAGGACGGTCGGTATCGCGTGCCCAGACGGTGTTGTCACGCATGCGTTCGCGCCCGGTGCCGGTGTTCACACACCCGCTTGCCCGCGTGCAGACGGGTCCGGACGTGCTCGTCGACTTTGACGGTCCTGATGACCCATATCGACCCATCAACTGGCCGACGCACAAGAAGGTCGCCACCACACTGCTCTACGGCCTCGTCACCATGACGGCCACTTGGGCCTCGTCGGCGTATTCGGCTGGCACGCGTCAGGTCATGGCTGACTTCCACGTCGGCTCCGAGGTCGCCATTCTCGGCACTACGCTCTATCTGCTCGGCTTCGGCCTCGGGCCGCTGCTATGGGCACCGCTCAGCGAGGTCTACGGTCGACGAATCGCCGTTCTGACGCCCATGTTCGTCGCCGTGTGCTTTAGCTTCGGCAGCGCCACCGCCAAGGACTTTCAGACGCTGATGCTGACCCGCTTCTTCTGTGCCTTCTTCGCCTCGGCTCCCGTCACCAACACCGGTGGCGTCCTCGGTGACCTCTTCTCGCCCGCCTGGCGCGGTATTGCCATGGCTGGCTACGCTATGGCTGTCGTCGGTGGGCCTGTGCTCGGCCCCATCGTGTCTGCCGCCGTGGCCATGCAGCCGGGCTTGGGCTGGCGCTGGACCGAGTACCTCAGCGGTATCCTACAAGCCTCTGTCCTCATCGTCGCTGTCTGCCTCGTCGAGGAGTCCTATGGCCCCGTCCTGCTCGTCTACAAGGCTCAGCGGCTGCGCCACGAGACCGGCAACTGGGCCCTGCACACGCGCTTCGAGGAATGGGACGTCAGCATCGTCGAGCTGGCTCGCAAGTTTCTCGTGCGGCCCATCCAGCTCTTCTGCACCCCCATCTGCTTCCTCGTCTCGCTGTATGCCAGCTTCTGCTACGGCATCCTCTACATGCAGCTCGGCGCTATCCCCATCATCTTTGGCGAGCTCCGTGGCTGGAACCAGCTCGTGGCTGAGCTGCCCTTCCTGTCCATCTTCCTCGGCGCCATCCTCGGCTGCACCGCCAACGTCTACAACCAAACCATCTACAACAAGGCCTACCATGCCGTCGGCAACCGCGCCGTGCCCGAGATGCGTCTCCCCCCCATGATGTTCGGCTCCGTCCTCTTCAGCGCCGGCCAGTTCCTCACCGGCTGGACCGGCGCCCGCACTCATATCCACTGGATCGTTCCCTGCATCGGCCTCGTCATGATGGGCTGCGGCTTCTTCACCATCTTCCAGGCTGCCCTCAACTATTTGGTCGACACCTTCCAGGCCTACGCTGCCTCGGCTATTGCTGCCACCACTTTTATGCGCTCGTGCTTTGCCGCCGCTTTTCCCCTAGTTGTTTCGCCCCTCTACCACAACATTGGCGTCGGCCCTGGCGCCAGTATTACCGGTGGCTTTGCTGCCCTGCTTATCCCTGTGCCCTTCATCTTTTTCGTCTACGGGAAACGCATCCGTGCCTCGTCGAAATGGTCGAAAGCCTCCGTGTTCGATTGAGACACAACAGCCACAGCTATTGCTGATAGTATATATTTCCTTCAAAGACTACTAAAAAGAGCTTTAGAGAAGCTACGTTTTTACATCAGATTACTAAAAATAATGGAAAACATGATTATAAATTGCTTCCATATCTTTATGGTGGGAGTGTACGGAGTACCTCTGTTTAAGGAAAGCCGGCGGACTGCTCCGGTGGCCCGATCGCCTAGACCAATCAAGTCCAAGGCGGGTGCCGATCATGTAGTTAGCTTTGTTTGAAGAACAAATAAGAGGCGGAAATAGCCGCAAGTACAGTGTCTTTGAAACTATTGAAATGCCTAGGACAGGCTTAAAAAGGTTCTAACGCCCCCTTGTTGCTGATGGCTACCTCCGGCATCTCTCGAACCAGACTTTTTCGTTCTGGGAGAGTGGCTGCCTCGACCCAATTTCCATGTATCTGCGCCTTGACATGCAGGGGAAGTTGCACAATGGCAACAGGTGTCTCAAAGTCCTGCGTGTCAAGCACAACCAAGTCACTACGGTTGGCGGCACGTCTCTCCACCATGGCAATAACCCAGCCATCGCCCTCTGGCGCGTCGACAGAACGAGGGATAAAAATGGGCTCCTGTACAAGCGAGTTGTCGCCGACATAGTACCAGCGTGTTTTTCCTGTTTTGTGGCTGTGCATAGCTATACCATTCAGGCCCTGGTAAATGTTCTTGCCGCCGTCTGATTTGTCGGGGATGAAGACGTTGAGAAACACAAAATCGGCTTCCTTTGTCATGAAACGCTCGTCAACACGTGGGAACTCCGACGGCACATCGAGAATGATTGTCGGGTCTTTCACTTTGCTGCCGCTTGGCTGGTCCAGGTCAATCTCCCACTGGACAAAATCGGCCTTTGCATCCGGGGCAGGCATCCTCCCATCCTCCGAAGGGAAGAAGGGGAAGGCATTGTCGTGCACACGCGAGGTTTCAAAGTAGAGTTTGCCGTTCTGGCCCTCCCATGCACCTCCGGTGTGAGCCAGCATGCAGTTCTCCCACGAATAGACCCTGTGCTCTCCCTGCTTCCAGCCAGAAGGAAGACGGGTCGTCTTTCGCCGAGGCACGACGATAAAAGTAGCTGGAAGGTTGTAGTCCCACGCCCAATGTTGCTTTTTGGCTTTCATGCGTGCCATGTTCGCCTCAAATGGCCAGAGAACGAGGACAATCCAGTTGGGCGTGATGACACAGTCGTGAATGAAAGCGCACCACGGCGACTCGATCCATTGCTCATCATGCGTCTTCCCGTCTTTGTCGATGGAATAGATGACAATATCTTTGGTTGCAAGGCCCTTGGCTTCGTACCCAAACACGACCAGTTCATTCGTATATGGGTCGACTTTTGGGTGGGCAGTAAACGTCTTGGCGTTGATCTGTCCCTGAAAAGGGTCGTAGCACCGAGTTTCGAGTGTATCGGGATCGACAGCATAAGGGAGTCCAACTTCTTTCAAGGCGAGAAGATGGCCCGCCCAATAGACAAGATTTGTATTCGCAGTAGAATCGACAGCAGCTCTGACACATGGGTGATGCGTGAAAGGATTGCGGTAAAGTCCAAAGAGGGCCTTTTTGGCCTTTCGCTCAAGTTTGTAGCGTTCTGTCTCAACGTATTTCAACTTCATATCGACACGGCCATTGTGGAAACGAAACGCCGAAATGCTTCCATCGCCATCGATGGGAACATTGTTGGGGTCGGGGGGTACAAAGGGATCGCACATATTTCGATAAAATGTGCCATCGATGGCCGAGGGAATAATACCGAGAACAACGAGATCAGCAGCTTCTCCCTCAATCCGGCATGGAGTATTGCCGCCAGCCAAGTCCAAAGCCAGAGGCCACTGGGACTTGAGCTTGGTGTTGTCAGTGTTCTGCATCGTTGTCGTCTATATGAGAAAGGATTTTAGGGTTTGGGCTTGTTTGGATTATCTCTGAACATCTTCCAGGATTTGCAGCGCTTTTTATCATCGACCAGCATCGGGAAATACCCGCATTCGGTTCCATTTTCTACAACATTTGAAACGAGCAGTGTGCGGTCAAAGAGTTTCGTCGTCATGTGGGACGCTATTTTGAGGAGCAGTCGAAGTGCCGAAAGAGTAAACCCACTGTGGGGCGGGCTATTCCCACCTCCTCATCGGCATTTTAGAGCGTGACTAGCCCGACAAATGGTGATTCGCTTGCTGCTAAATTCTGGGGTAATATGTGCCTACTTTTTACACCTGCGACAAGATTTCTTGGTACTCCGTATACGAAGTCCGAATGATTTCTCCCTCTGCTTTCTCTGGCCTATCTTGTCGAGTGGATTATTACGTCGTTTGACCCATATTTTCCAACTGCCCCTTGGCACATCCCCCGCATTCTGTACCTGCCCCCCTATTACTCCGTACAGATTCTTTGAGATCGGTGAAGGCTTTACGAAGAAGTAACGCTTGTCAAGCTGTGACATCACCATGGCGAACAATGAAAAAACATACTCCTGCGCGGTCTGTTCGGCAACCTTTACACATCATGGTCGCTTTCAACGACATGAGAGAACGCGTAAGGCTTGACCCGGACGACATGCACAACCTGTATTGACATAAACTTGTCTAGATCACGACGAGAGGCTATCAGTTTGCCCATTTTGCCGCAGTACATTCACGCGATCGTATGTCTAATGTCAGATCATTCACACAAGCCCGCACTTACAGAACATCCTACAGTGACACGGCGCGCCGACACACCAAAACCTGCGCTGAGAGAAATGGACGGCCGATGCCCGGCCCTTTGAAGAGAGGGCGGAGACTTCAAGCCTGCGATTTTTGTTCCGCTACGAAAATTGCATGCCATGGTGGCCGGCCATGCTACGGCTGCATGCACCGAGACCGGTCCTGCACATACACCAGAACTGAACTGAGATTGCCGGCTCATATCGACCTCATAATCTCAAGTTCTGTGTCAGCCGGGAGAATCAACGACAAGAACAGCAACTGCAATGGATTACAGATGGTTCGACCCAAAACAGTCAAACTGTCTTTTCTCCTCAGATACACCGATCCACACAATAACACGCTGCAAGATTATTTTGATTCATCTTGCGCTGCCACGAGCCATCAGGATCTTGTTCCTTTCGGTTTTGAACCCAGCGTACTTGATACCAGGTGTTTGGTCGAATTCGGCATTAACGCATATTTTGACCTGGAAGAACATCAAAACCCTAGCGTGTTGTTGAGCTCCGACTCTGCGTATACGAGATGTCTTGTCCGTCAACGGCCCTCCATCCAGGCACAATACGAGAGCAGCCAAATAGAATGGCGCTTAGCAGAAATAATAACTGCTCTTAGCTTGAACTCGACAGAAGAACTCTCCTTGAGACGATTATCAATGTCTTCCGAGACATTGTTCACAGCGGAAAATGTGGACACATTTGTCAATTCTTACTTTGACTGTTGGAACTATCAATCCCCCGTGCTACGTCGCAAGTCTTTCAACCCCAAGTCTACATTTACACCACTTCTTGCGGCCGTGATGCTCATTGGAGCTATCTATCATTCCGAGAAAAGCGCAAAAGTGGCCAGAGCCTGTCTAAGTGCTGCAGAAAATTACATATTTCGACACCACGCCTTCCGAAAGCTTCTCCATACATCACCCATTGAGGCTCAAAGACCCGGTTGCTTGGAGCCACTTCAAGCAGGTTTTCTCATTTCCATACCCCAGTACTGGGACCACCACCAAAACTCACGCCGTAGGGTGCGGTCGCATCGCTACGCAGATCTGATATCGGCCGCCCGGAGCCAAGGTCTTCCCAGCCTAAGGCATGAAGCAGGCTGCTCGCCTCCCACGAACACTGGGGACTGGGAAAAATTTGTCAGAACCGAAGAAGGCATAAGGTTGGTTTATGGCATAATGTCTATGTATTCTGAAATGTGTATTGACTTCTTCCAGATTAATGACTTGGATCTTCCTTGTAGATTCGTCCCATACTATATTTCACGGCACTCCACCAAAACTGGCATTGGGTGAGATGACGGGAAGCCTCCCATGCGATCAAGAACAATTTGAACCAGCTGATTATGGAGCCCAAGACGGGCAGCTTCGGCGGCAGCTTACATACAAGATACCGTCTATTAAGGACGGGGTGGGTCTGCTTATGGGGGACGAGTGGGCTGATGACACTTCGTCCCTGTTCGGACGACTCAACCATCTGGATTTATTTGTGATGGTATCAGGTAAGCTCCATTTCAGTTATATCTTTCGAATAGAGCTAAAACTTTGAAAGGCCTTCACGAAATTATCTTCCATTCCAGCGTGGCATGTGCTTTACCTATCGCGAAAACAACACTACACCGGGCATTATCGAGGTGGAGACTGTTATGGGATGAGAATACCGCCAGAATCTCATCTCAGCAGGTCGATACTGGTGGGTTTTTCTGTCACGCCGACGAATACTGGTGGCTGGCCAAGCTGATGCTAGAGGAGAGCATGCCGTCAAGTGGGGAAGACCGAAAAGATCTGGACCAGGATTGCATGATTACTGTGAACAAGTTTGTTAAGAAGTTTTCTGATCTTAGTGTAGAGTGAGGCATTTTCAGTCTTGAACGTCAACCAGGTTTCGCAACAGCCCCGAGCTGGTTTACACCGAAACATGCCCATGAGTCTAGCACCATTGTTATAGTTGTGCTACAGGTGTGAAAGGATATTCGTCGCATGTATTTTCGCCGCCTTTGGATCTATACGAATGGTCTTATAGATCATGTTACTAGAAGAGTCGGCGACAGTCGACTTTAGACAAACGCTGTCGTCTGCTATACAACTCGGCGGGCACAGCATACCGTCGATGACTCTGATATCTTGTTATCAGTTACCCGAGAGTGCCTTCTTGTACGCCTCCAGAGCCGCCTCGCGTGCCTGCTTGTGCTGCACAATCGGCTCTGGATAGCCGGCCGCTCTGGCCTGGTCACCAAAACCGCGTCCATATGGCTCATGGATGGCCTTGTTGTCGGCGATACCGCTATCCTGAAGCTCGGGCACCCACCGACGGATGTACGTGCCGTCCGGATCGAATCGCTCGCTCTGCAGGATGGGGTTGAAGATGCGAAAGTATGGCTGCGGATCGACGCCGACGCTGGCCGAAAACCCCCAGCCGCCACTGTTGCTGGCAAAGTCACCGTCCACTAGGTGCTCCATAAAATATCGCTCGCCAAGGCGCCAGTCGAGCAGCAGGTCTTTGGCCAGGAACGACGCCACAATCATGCGGCAGCGGTTGTGCAACCAGCCTTGTTTATTCAGTTGACGCATCGCGGCATCAACAATAGGGTAGCCCGTGCGACCTTCAGTCCAGGCGGTAAAGTGGTCGTGGTTGTAGGACCAGGCAATGCCACTGTAAGCGAGCTTGAAGGGCTTGTTGAAGCTGGTGATATCAGATATGTTAACATAACCGATCAGAAGGCCAGGCAGTCCTCCACCACTCACCAAACATGAGGCCAGGCGACCAGGATGTGCCGGTAAAAGTCACGCCAGGACACCTCGCTGATCCATACGCGGAAACCTTCGGTGCCGTCATCCAAGGTCTTTGCGCCGGTGCGATCACGTGCCGTTCGGATTACCGTTCGCGCGCTTAGGACGCCGGCTGCGAGGTATGGCGAGAGTGACGATGTTGCTTCAACGGCTGGGAAGTCTCGCTCATCCGAGTAGTCGGCAACGCGCTCGTCGCAGAAGTGTTCCAGCCGCCTCATTGCCTCGTGCTCGCCCGCAGGCCACAGGGTGCAAAACCGCTTGGCCTCGGCTTTGGTGCCTAGAGTCTTGCCTTTGGGAGCACTCGGGATCGGGCAGTCCATCAGCTCTGCCGGCCATCTGGTCTTCGTCTTGGCTTGCGTCTTGGGGTTATCGATGGGACCCAGAATATGTTCGTTGGTGTAGACGTGCTGCTTCCAAGCCCGGAACCAGGGCGTGTACACCGCATAGGCCTTGCCGCTGCTCTTGCTAGTCAAATTCCCCGGAGGCACCACGCAGATGTCATGGACCACCGCCATGGACTTTCCCTGCGCCGCACATTGGCGCACCATCGCTGTCTCACGCCGCAACTCGTCGACCTCATATTCCATGTTGGCAAAGAGGTGGTTGGCGCCCCATTTGTCCATCAGCGATAAGATACGATGAGGAATCTGTTTGCGCTGCTCGACCGTTTCCATCCACAATGGGATCCCAAGTTCTGCCAGGTCCCTTTGAAGAACAGCAAGCGTCCGGAGCACGAAGTCGACGCGCACAGGTGCCGTCAGATGGGCCTCCCAATCCTGCGGACTGACCACATACAGGCCGATCAGAGGCACTCCTGCCATCTGGGCCTTCTCGCTGGCCATGGCTAGAGCCCGATTGTCGAGGGTGCGCAAGTCCGACTTGAACCAGTGCACCATGGCGTCCTTAGGGTCAACCTCGTGCATCTGAGCGGCTGTTTCTTCCAGCGCATCCGTGAGCTCGTCTATGGGCTTCGGCAAGTCGCCATCAATATATGCCTGGGCCCGCTGGTTGGACATTTCCGGTGGGTAGTGTTGGAAGACGATGCTGGACGTCGTGGTGGCCGTTCTGGATTTCTTACTGCTGTGGCCTCCACTAGTAGAAGACGCGCTACTATGGGAGACCTTGCGCTTCGGTGCAGCAGCTGCTTTGAGCGGCATCCTGGCTCTGGCTGATATGAGAACCCGTGCTTCTCGGCAGATTCGATCAGGAAAGGACATACAGAAGTGATAGAAGGAAGTTTAATGGATGCAACAAGATAATATGATGTCTGGTCGGCCTACCCGCCAACTGAAAAGGTTCGAGCTGCAATGACATAGGCCCGATCTCGATACCGTCATCGTGTGGTTGGCGATCGTCGTTAGCTAGACCTATTCTAGACCGAAAGTGTCTTGAAATCCCGTTCGACTCCACCAAACTTAAATACAGAAATAGTCAAATTGATTTCCATACTCCGTATTAGACTGAAGAAGCAGGGGTACTACGAACACGTGCAATGATGTGATCAGGAAAAGCTTCGCTGATATTTACATTTCGTTCTACGTCAGGAAGTCTGCTTGTGAAAATCTGTTTCCCATTATCCGAAAGTACAATCATCGCATCACGACACCATGACTGATAAGTTGCTTTACAGCAATTCTCTGGCGTCAGCCGCCGATGTCGCCGACTGGATTGCCGAGGGTCCGGCGTCTGCATCTACTTATACAACGACAGATGGCAGCAGTGTTTTAGAGCTGGCTTCATCGGGCGGCGAGAACGACCATTTCACATTCTGGTGCCCTGAAGTCTTTGGTGACCGCATCCGCATCACCTGGGAGTTCTCTCCTGTTGCGGAACCGGGCTTGGCAATGCTATTTTTCGGGGCTGCCGCTGCAGAAGACGGCAGCAGCATTCTCGGACTGCACGTCAAATCCCGATCTGGTGCCTACCCACAATATCACTCCAGTGACATCCGCACGCTGCATGTGTCCTACTTCCGGCGACGATGGGAGGGCGAACGGGCTTTTCATACCTGCAACTTGCGCAAATCACCGGGTTTCCATCTTGTCGCCCAAGGCGCCGACCCATTGCCACCTGTTGTAGACGCCCGCGGTGCTTTTTACCGGGTCGAGCTGGTCAAGGATGGCGCCCAGGTGCGCTTCAGCATCGACGACCTCCCGCTCTTTTCATGGACCGACACCGAGGATGGAATGACCGGACCCCTAGTCCGCGGCGGGCGTATTGGTCTACGCCAGATGGCGCCTCTTGTCGCGCGATATAGAAACCTGGAAGTGTGGGAGCTTGCCGCGAAGACACAACAAGCGTGATTGATATATTGCAGGCCTGGATGACTTTGGGAAGACTAGATGCACAAACAAAAGATTGTATGTAGTTAGTACATATGCATACAGCGTATCGTTCACAACAAGATTGTGCAGCAGTAAGAAAAACAAACGGCGCAGCTAATGCTCTTCCCAAGTGGAGTGATGCTGAGGTACTTGAGCTGTGTGGCGCAGACCGCCTATTTAGTAGGGCAACCAGGCTGACCCGACGTATCTTTGATGTAATTGTACTTAGCCACAGTTTACTAGGGCCTAAAATCTGACACTCTTCCACACTTTGACAGATTGCCAGATTGGCCTCTTGACTTAAAATTAACCATCTAATCTGGACGATATGAGTTTGTAGAACTAACTTCGTCCTTGTGCTGTGAAGTACAACCTTGTTCGCCATGTTTACCTTGGACTGGCCAGAATGGTATTGGACAGTTGGGCTCTTTGTGTATGAAAACTTCACGATGCCACTCCTTAATTCGATTATGCTTCTTTTTCCAAGGTGAGTTGCGCTACGAAATAACGTATCTCTGGAGAGAAGTTAACGGCCGGTTTTGATAGACGGCTCATTATGGGTTTTGCTGATCCGCTAAAGAAACTCACCATCTACAATCGGAGAGCAGCTCGACAGCGCCCAAATCTTATTATAAGAGAAGATGTAAACGAGTATGCTTTCTGCCCACAGTTCTGCTGTTTTTTTACTGTTTTCATTCCTTTTCTTACCAGAGATGACTACGCTTAATAGACAGTCTGTTCAGTATGTGTACGAAAGTCTACCAGCAAGGCATATTCGTGTCTTGCGCATCCATACTGCGGTGTCATCATCTGATCCCATCATCTGCTCGCTTTCTCTCGTATGTCTCGACGACAAAAAAGCAGTGTATGAAGCGTTGTCGTACTCCTGGGGTGACCCGAAGGAGAAGTATTGGATTACGTGCGATGGACGCGCCATTCAAGTTACGCGTAATCTCATGGCCGCTCTCCAGCAACTTCGAATGGCCGACCGCGCTCGGGTTTTATGGGTAGATGCTGTCTGCATCAACCAGCAGGACATTCCAGAGCGTGGAGAGCAGGTCAAACTCATGGCGGAAATCTACCATAGTGCGAGCCAGGTCGTGGTATGGCTTGGGGAAGCGCACAGCAACAGCACCTTAGCCTTTAAGCTGATCCAGAAGCTTGCTCCTGTGGCCGGTGGAGAAGAAAGCCCACAGTCACAGCAGAGCCAAAACGCAAGCGCAATAAGGCCTGTAGACCTCACCGACGTTGAAAACGCTGCGTGGGTCGCACTCGATGCCCTGTACTGGCGTCCATGGTTTACGCGCGTCTGGGTCATTCAGGAGATTGCCGTTTCGCGCTCCGCTGTGATAATGTGTGGGGCAGATATCGAGACGTTTGACTCCTTCTGCGCCGTTACAAACTATATATCACAGCACGGTCTAACAGCGATGACTACCGCCGGGACATTGCGGATACAGTCGCTCATGATGACACGGCTGAATTTCCAACAGAAAATTGAAATACTTTTGATGAATCTGCTCGTCAACTTCCGCATGTATCAGGCGACGAATGCTGTTGACAAGGTATACGCGCTCTTGAACTTGGCAAATAATACGATAATACAGCCGGACTACAGCATGGAGGCCAAGGATGTCTACAGCAAGGTTGCGCGGGAATTTCTGGCACAGTCGCTGCTAGTTTTGAGCTTTAATTGCGACCCGAACTGGAAGGCACAAGACGGCATTGTATCATGGGCACCAGACTGGTCCTGCAGACCTCGTGAAGTGGCCTTTCTGTCTCGAAAGCGTCTGAGGCCCTGGCAGGCCGGGGGCCAAGGACCGCATGTCATCCGCTTCTCCGAGGATAGTCGTACGCTGTTTGCTCAGGGGAGAGTCATCGACAAGCTCAGGACAGTCGGCGAGGGATATGCCTACTCGGACGTCAACTTTAGCCACTTGTCCCAGGATGCTTACGGAAAAATACTTGGGAAGTTGGACAGCACCGAGGAAGTAACGAAATACTTTCACCAGAGACGATGGAGAGGGTGGGAGCATCTTGTTCTCAAACTCCAGAGCTACCCGGCCACCGGCGAGAACATCCGTACTGTATTTCAGAAGATTCTCATAGCCAACGCCGACTTTGACGCATACGAGGGCTCGAGATCGCTTCCAAGCCTGGAGACTATGTTTGATGCGTTTAGAAAGTACGAATGGCATAGGGTGCCTCAACGCCCAGCAACGCCTGAGGGACAGACAGAATACGGCTATTATCAGACATACATGTACTATGCAGTAACAGCTTCGTCTGGACGAACCGTGTTCAGCACAAAAAGGGGGTATGCTGGGCTAGCTCCTTACTCATCTCGGCCGGGTGATTATGTTGTCGTTTTGCATGGAGGTGGAACACCATACATTTTGAGAAAGTCAAAACGATCCGAAAACTTCATATTTATGGGAGAGGCATATTTGCATGGTTTCATGGACGGCGAAGGTATTGACGATATCAACTCAGTTCAAGAGTTTGCTATTGTCTGATGGGTCGACGGGCTGCAAATAATGCCCTTGGCAAGGTGTTTTGAATGGCGAAATGGCGAATCTACGGCCAATTGGTATAATGGATGGGTCTCTTTTCTCAAGACAAGCACTCTCTCGATCTTTGCATAGATTGCCTTCGTAAAATATTTAATCAGCGACTGTGACGCAGGATAGCAACGATTGAGACCAGAAAAAAAAATAACAAGTGAATGCTCAAAAGCGTGTAGATGAATGCAGGAAAATGGGTCGAACATCCGGGTTCGCATCGTAAATTAGGTAGACATCTTCATCGCGATCGGCTTGTGGGGGGTATATCCTTTGATCACAAAGTCCTCCTCTTTCCAACCATCAATACTACCTCCCACATCTCTCATGATTTCTAGTTGAGGAAACTCCCGTGGCTCCCGCTCCAACTGCGTCTGCAGCGCTTCAGCATGGTCAATATAGATGTGCGCATCTCCCATAACATGTGTAAAACTTCCGGGGACCAAATCGCAAACATGGGCAAGCATATGCGTAAGTAATGCGTAGCTTGCAATATTAAATGGTACCCCGAGACCCATGTCGCAGGAGCGCTGATACAGCTGACAATGAAGATGGCCTTTCACTTTCTGGGTGTCCTTGGAGGAGTCCTCTTGTCCCTGATCCTGTCGCGGAAACGAAACATAAAACTGAGCGAACATGTGGCAAGGTGGCAGTGCCATGCTAGGCAAGTCTTTTGGGTTCCAGGCCGAAAGGATGATTCGGCGGTTGTAGGGATCCGTCCGAAGCTTGTGGATAACGTCGGCTAATTGATCCACGCCTTGGCTAGTGTAGTCAGTCGACGCGTCTACATATTCGGCGCCAAAGTGTCGCCACTGGAAGCCGTAGACAGGCCCTAGGTCGCCTTCCGCACGGTGTGACAGTCCCACACTATCGAGAAATTCGCGTGACCCGTTACCATCCCAGATCTTGATACCGGCATTGCTAAGTGCGAGGGACGACGTGTTGCCCTGAATGAACCAGAGCAGCTCGGCGATGACGCCGCGGTGGAAGACACGTTTGGTCGTGAGCAAGGGAAGAACTAGACGCCCATTGTCGGATAGCTGAAATTTGAAAGGCCGGGGTGCAAAGATAGACAGTGTACCGGTTCCTGTTCTGAAGTTTCCATTTTTAGAAATTATGTGCGTTGGTGAGCACAAACGGGAACATACCGGTCAGGCCGTCTCTCGCCACTGTCCAGTATCTCACGGACAAGGTCGAGATACTGATATTCCTCGTGCACTTTGTCGGGCGCCATGGCTGCTGTGATGGGTGCAAAGGGGGTTTCTGGCTGAGGAAGGGAAAGAAACAATTCCTTAATTGAGTAGCGAGAGATAGAGGGGTTCTGTGACGCGACGCGACTGGCGCGTATGCGAGTGGGGCTACCTTTAACAGCGCCACTTTAACTAACGACGTCAATCCTTATTTTCGTGTAGGTCTTGACGATGGGAAATGTTGCACGTTTTGTGACCGCCCTCGCAATAAAAATGCACTGTTTTACTCTCTTTTCTTTTTACTCTTGTTCTCTATATGGAATCAGCTTCCTTCTCTACCCAGTATAACAACTGTTAGACATCACGTTATATGTTTCCATCCTCAGAACTGCACAACCCAACTTCATGGGGCCCAGGCGGCAGAAACGAAATTATACAGACATTTGCTGCTTATCACACTAAACAATTAGGATCGCCAGCGGAATGACGGGTGCTTCCAGTCAAGGGCTTGCAGCTCTTGCTCGCTCAGACCTTCAAGTGCGGTAAGCTTTGCGGCATTTCGTGAATCGCGTTGCCTATTGCTGGTATTCATAAAGAGGAGGACGAGAGCGCTGAGGACAAGGATCCCGATCGAGGCGGCCAGATTTATTGAGTTTCCGATACGATACATCGGGGCATCCGATTCGAGAAAACTCCACGTCTGAAATTGTTAGTAGGTTGACGTACTTCTGTGATTATGAACAGGACGGCGGCAAAATTTTACCGAGACGATGCCACCGAGGCCACCAAGGACGACGTTTGTGGCCAAAGCGCTGCTGCGGGCGGTATCCGATATGACGTTGGCGCTGATTTGGGCATTGGTCAAGGTTCCCATCACAAACGCAGCGCCTGATATCAGAAATGTGGCAACATATCGGGCGCTAGCATCGTCAGGAGATGTGCCGAGAAAGATGATGTAACCGGCTATGACAGGGACAGCAGAAGCGAGCATAAACACCTGCCGCCGGTCGATGCGGTCGCTCCAGAGAGAGATGAGAATGGTGGCTAGGGCTCCGACGGCATAGGGAGGCACCGTGTAGAGCTGTTGCATTGTCGTCGGCTTCTCCGGGAAGATGGTTCGGATGATGGTGGGCAAGAAGAAGCCGAGACCGCTGACGGTGATGTTGCTGCAGAAGAGGATGGCTGCTGTCGTGACGGTGACTGGACAGCTGATGCCACGCCATAACAGGGTCCTGTTGAGACGGTCGAGTTGGTCGAGCTTGTCAACGTGAATGCGAGCCGCGGCAAGTCGACGTTGCGCAGGCGTCAGCCAGCGGGCGGTAGCCGGACGGTCTGTCAGGGTAGCAAGGGCCACAAGCCCGACGCCGACGGTGAGGCTGCCCTCGAAGGCAAATAGGAGGCGCCATGGTGCGTTCAAGCTGCCGACGGGTCGCAGATGCAGGATGGCCGAGGCCAGAAGCCCGCCAAAGGCGCCTGACAATGGCGCCATGACAACATACAGTGCCAGGCGAAAGGCCAACTCGCGGCGCCGGTACCAGCGCGTGAGGTAGTAGGCGATGCCTGGCATCAAGCCGGACTCGCACAGCCCCAGAAGAAAGCGAACAGCAAAGGCCTGCGCCCGGTTCTGTACAAAGGCCGTGCTCAGCGAGACGAGTCCGAAGCAGAGCGTGATGGTAGGCAGATACCATCCCGGGCCGATCCACTTACAGGCCACCATCGAGGGAAGACCAAATAGCACATACGAAACGTAGAAGACAGATGTGACCGCGTTGTAGTCGTTGCCGCGCATGTGGAGGTCCTTCTCTAGCCCGGCCAGACGGGCATTTCCTAGATGAGTCAGCATCCAGCAACCACTGGTGTGGTCAGCGAGAAGAACAGACCGATATTGGCTCGGTCCAAGAAGCAGAAAAGGTAGAGCAGGGCCACAATCGGAACGATAAACAGGTCGATTTTGCGCCGTAGCCGTCGTTCGGCCAGAGGGTCAATGTCCATGACGGGATTGTCAGTCGGTGTCGTGTTGCCGCTGACGACGACACTCGTCACCGCCTTGACGCCATCGTAGGATGATGGCGCGTTTGCCAGAATGTTTTCCTGCTTCTCGGAGATAGCTCTGGACATCACAAAACGTGTATATGAACGCAATAGCTATCAGCGAGATACCAGGCTGGATGTTGTCTGGAGATGGCAGAGGTAGGATACATAAGGCGCATGACTGGTATACTAAATATTTATTAATAGTATATAATGTATAGCATGAATACTTTTTTAGCTATTAAATCTGTCATAACGGGAGGTATTGGCTGTCAAAGATGAAGTACCCCTTCGTACCGTTGGCCGGGAAATCTGGTTGGTGGGGCAATTTTTTCGTTTTGGGAGGGTGCTGTACCTCATGCAAGCGAGTACCAGTCAGACTGGCGACGTAGCTGACAAAATGCAAGAGCTTTGTTGCAACTCTGAAGACGATTGTAGCCTGGGCTTTAATTTGTTAAGTTATGGACCGGCCATGCTTAACGTAAGATGCTATTGTATATTACCATTCACTTCCCTGTTTAGGCTAAGTCGCAGTGGTAGTCTAGCTTTAACGGAGTAATGTATTCGCTAGCTCTAGTGTAAAAAGCACTTCTTGAAAACACTTCTTGTGTTGCGCGGTGCTGGATTTAGTCAGCGGGTCAGAAACCAGCCCTACCGTGGTCGTAAAAAGTATGGCCTCGTGTTATTAAGTGGATGCGAAAAATATGCATATATGATTGGAGCAACCAAGACCGTGTCGAGAAGGTATTTTCTACTCGAAAGACTCAAAACTACGGAGTACATACAGAGTAATTGCGCGTGCCACCGTGATAAACAGGCAAACAAGTTTGCTTTAAATATCCAGTAGGGCTTCCTTATTGGTAATACTCCTGTAGGGTACTGACGAGGTCTATTCACTTTATATATTCTTCTTAGAGGGCCTTGCAAAGACTAATCTTTATGTTAGAAATTCACAATGGCGTTACGTCCTTCCAAGGCCAAAAGTAAAGCGAAAAGAAGCGACTATTGTGAACCTACGGAGTAGAGGAAAACCCTTGGGTACCCAACAGTGCCCTGCACAAATGACGGACAACAGGCTACGTCGTACGCGTTTTGTAAAATGGACAAAAAGGCCGAGGAGGTTCTAGCGTTGGTTTTGTAGATACGGAATACGACGTAGAGTAATCCGTACTGCACAGTTGTGATTTACGGAGTATACGGAGTACGGAGTAAAGTATGAGCATGCCACACACATAGGCACTTGGCTCTCTTCCTCTTCCTCTTCCTCTTTTTTTCTTCCTTCCTTCTTCCTTCTTCTTTCTTTATTATTTCTTTTCTTTTTATGCCGTCTCTCGTCTCTGTCCTTAAATCACATTGTTTCACCCTTGCAGCCTCTTTTATGTATATATATCCGGAGTACTCCGTACGAGTACTGCATATTATATGCACTGTGTCTCTGCTTGTGGGGTGTAAGTCAAGCCAGCCGAAGATAGCCAATAGCAACGTGCTATTCAGTCACATTAGTTGGATCCTTGGGGGCTACGGCAACGAAATAATATTTTCAAAACACAATCGTCGTTTATGTATTTTTCAAACATGCCATCTACCTCACGCTCACCATGTATGCCAACATTGTTCTCTTCACTGGCCTAGTTGGTTGTGCAGCTGCCACCTCTTCGTCCCTGCCATACTCTGAAGAAACGCAAAGCTCCGCCGCCTTTGCGTCACCTACCAGCGAGGCTTGCGCCATCGCGCTGGCAGAACTAATCTCCAAGATGGAGAGCTATATTTCCAGCTACGACACCAAGGTCACCAACACCGCCGCCTGCTGGTTGACCATCCCGTCGACTTTTGATTCTATCTACTCTTCCTACATAGAGTTCTCGTATAGCACGCTTTAAAGGAGTTGAACGGACCAAGGGGGCACGATTGTGCCGTGTGATGGAAGAATACATGTACTGTGTGGCGCAGGGCGCCTTTAGTATGATCGTAAATGTAGTTTAGGCTCATTTCGACAGCTGACGTGGCGTTGGGCGGGACAAATAAGAAGAGGTTGCAGCCAAGGATAACTGTGCCGCCACCACTAGAGGTTAGACGATACGCACACCGGCCCAACACCACAAACTCGCCCAGTCTGCCGACCGTCTCGCTAGTCTCGCTGGAGGCAGCTCTAGAATCTTATCTCTTTCAACGACCGGAGTATGTAAAGGTCGACAAACAAGAAGAGGTGAAAGAACATATCAGTATGTATTATTCTGCCCGTCCGGAGAAAACTGATTTGAGTTTATTTTACCTTCTTAGGTTACTATGCTATTTAGACGCGTATAAATTCTTACTACATAGGTAGGCCGCGGTGTGCTACATAGTACACATATATTTCTGTTACTCTGAACCACCCCCTTTGTATGCGAGCCCACGTTAGCCAGTTCGACAATTTACGGGGCAGCTCTCAGAGGTGTTTTGCTAGGTTGAAATCCACAACTCCCGTGTAAAGTATGAGCATTGGTTACTTGCTCTTAATACCGATGGGGACCTCCGGCAAACATCAATTCGTTCGCAGAGTGGGACGGGAAACTAACTATTCTTGAAATTGTAATAAGACCGTTAGCTGTGAGCTCAACACGCAGATATGCAAACATATAAAGCTTGCGAACGTTGCCTGATCAACTCCACCCCCCCTTGGGGCCACCAGCCGTAACTTATACAGAGATATGTCATATGACACGCGCTTGACATAAATGGCTCTCTTTCATCAAAGTACAGGTTTAATGTTGGAAAAATCCTCAACTATAGTAGAGCGCGTCGGTCACTTCAACATACTCCTGTGAACCGGCAGAATTGGGCGATCCAGATGTTACAGGCTTCGGGACAAGTAGAGTTCGACAGTTGCGAATCAAGACCCTCTTGTCAAGCAGTCTATATTAATCGGCTGTAGGTGCTCATCTCCTTCATCTCCTCTGTCGTGATCGTGATGCTCTCGATTAACTGGGCCTACTTCACGAACGCACTGCCAAGAAACTGCTATAACGCGTTCGATTACCGCTTGTTTGTCCGCCGCAAACACCGCAATGAGGAGCGAGCTCGCGGGTTTCAGGTTTTTATCCTCGCAATGAGCGACCAGCAGTTCGTGTCTGGCCTCGCCCTCGTGCTCGCCATTAACATCATCCGTAACGGTGTCCAAGATCTCGACGTGAAGCTGTCAGGATACGCGTATGCCAACGCCGTCATCCTCGCATTATTTTCCTGCATCATTCACCTAGCAACCATGACCGTCCTCCAAGACTATCTTCGACACCGCAAATTTTTAAAACATATGAGGGTCGTACTTATGCTCTGCGTTCTTGGGCTCCTCCTCCAAGGGCTTGCTGAAATCTGGACCCTAGAAGATGACGTAACACTCCGATGCGCCCTAGATGACTATTCCTTTCTTCAAGTCTTCTCAGATACGGACATGCTGCTAGAGAGGGCATGTCTCGTCCTCGGCTTTGCTACCCTACTAGGACTTCTCGCCAGCGGCTATGTGCGAAGAATTTGGAACCTGTACGACCATAATTACAGAGAGTTTTCAAGGTCCTGGCAGGTGGCCCTCCTGAAAAGGACAATCGGCTGGCCAAAAACGTCTCCGTCTCAGATCGCAGAGGTCCGACGGCAGTTGGCATCTAATTTTCAGACCCAAACTTGAACATAAATAGTCTAGCTCGGATATGTTTCCTGGTCATCCCAGCTAGTTTCAGTCGATCCTTCATGTTCGAAGTCGTCTGGTTAGTTTTCTACTTCAATTTTGGTATAGAACACGTGGTTTTCTACTTAACGAGCCATGGCAGCTCTGCCATAGCTGCGGCCGTCAGCTTTGAGCTAAGTTTTGGCCAGTTGCTTCCCCTGGTTTTCATGCTTCTCCCGTTCCTGGCCGCGGCGGAGAGCTACTCTAGTAGGAAGCTAGCCATTATAACTATTGCCATCGTTTGGGCCATCTGAGCTAACAGAAGTTAGAATTCGGAATAAAAGGAGGCCAGGAAATACAGCAAGGAGATGGTGGCTGCCCAGTACCTGGTTCGTTGGTAGGATTCGCTGCTGGGAGTAGTAATGCAGTACTAGTGGCACGTAAAGAGACGAAGCCGAAATGCGGTTACAACGAGCTGTGCGATAAGCAGGACGCAGAGACGGTAAGCTCTTGATCCTCTTTGTGGGAATATTTGACTGATAATGTATACCTAACTTGGTAGAGCGGAGACGATGCCGACTTTCTTGCAGCCTTTATGGCCCATGGCTTGGTGGTGAAGGTCCGTTCCTGCATCTTTGTTGTCTATAACATGATGCTTTGTATATTTAAATCACAAGCCGTTGGTGAGAATTACGTTACGAATATTGGTTTGGGTAATTCGGATATTATGATTGTCGTCGCTTTTATTGTCTCTGGAATCTCCGTCGTCATGTCAGTGGTCGCAACCTTCATCCGACTCTTCACACTGCGGGCAGAGGTCTACAGGGCTCAGCGTGACATGTTGTAGAAGCGCTAGCCTTCTAATACTTTGACCCTATTATCATGTTTGATTCTTAGCGCATTACCTTGAATATAGAAGTACAGCCTTGAACCTCATCAGAGGACGCGTGCCTAATCAGAGAATCTTGACAGACTGTCCTAGCTCCTTCTCAATATCCTCCATCACCAATGCGGCCGGCGTCACATATTTGATATCCATCAGATCATCCGTAATAAACATTTTGCTTTGCAACAGAGTCTCACTTGTCTTTGGGGACCCTGCACCCATGCAGATAAACCCGCCCAATCGGCCATCAATGTCCACGATAGCCGCACCCGAATCACCCCGAGTAGAAAACAACGAATCGCTGCAGGCACAATGGACGGCCCACTCTTGTGTGATAACATATTGTCCGCCCGGAAGTAAACTGCGCACCGTCGACTTGGTTTCTGACGGTGCCGCCCAGACGATTGCCGTTGTCGAACTGCGCTTGGCCAAAAAGAGACACTCGTTAAGTTTACAATCCCACGTGCTATTGAGCATTTTTGGGTGGTCGATCTCGGCCATAGGGATGACGCTACCTGACAAACTCAATAGTTGCGTCTCTAGTAAGGAATTTGTGCGTTCCGTTTCCTCAAATTCGGAAAGAATAATTTCGAGAACGTTTTTGCTCCTTTTAGTACGTAAGTCGAGCACATTTGTAGGGGACTCTCCCTCGGTAAACGTGCTCCGGTTGAGTTCGAGGAGACACCAGTCGCGTTTCCAGTCGTGAGTGGATATATTTACTCTGATAGGTGGTGAGAAGTGAACACAACCAATCCGGCGGGCGTCCATAGGCTCCAGAGCCCGCACCTGCCATAAAAGAATGTTAATCTTTGCCACGTTGTCTTCTCTACGATTTGCGTAAGTTTCTCTGCTCTCCGAGAGATTGGCAACGGCGGCGTCTATGACCTCTTTTTGGGCGATTCCTACGGCAGAGCGATTTGCTCAACCTCGACCACGATGGTAAATATTGTCTTCGCTTCGCTCACTAGGGAGGACGGCATGCCGGCAGGTCAAAGCTTAGAGTGGTGCATCTTGCCCTGCTGAGCGTTTTGGTTGGACATAGACGCCCAAAGCACCACCTCGAGTTGGATCGGAAAATGGAAAAATGGGTTGCCCAATGGCCGTTGTTAATGGCTGTACATGCATATCGATGCGCATATTGAACGTTCCCGGTGCTGGCGTGTCTATCAGCATGGGAGAATCACGTCCAGATAGAGAGACTACGCGCGACTCGCGCATCTCGACCTCGACGTCACGAAGGCCGGCATCGTCCAGCACCTTCCGACAGGCACGTAGACCGCGGGCCATGTCTTCCCACGGAATATCCCCTCCAGAGACGCCGACCCACACAACGACTGGTCTCTGCTGCCACGTCGTGGACTTCAAGCAGCCTAGATCACCCATCCGGCAGACGTCGACCGATGTCCAGGGCAGGCGGCAGATGGCCCCTAGCAGATCCGGTCGCACAGCATCCCAGGATTGCAGGATTGGATGTGGCTGATGGCACCCAGTATCTTGTGCAGTGGAGAATAGAAGCCAATATCTCCGAACTCTTCCTCAAATCTGCGCATTTGTTCAACATGGGTCTCCCAGATATTGGCACCAGCCAATGTTTGCCCGAGTAGTCGGGGTCTAGACGGGAGGCTGTAGTAATAATCTTTGGCTTCTTCGCTGCTCGGCGGCAGCAGATGGGGTAGGATATCCGGAATGCTTGACATGTTGCATATGTTGCAGAGGCTGGATTCGTTGATGAGATAGTAAAAGCGTGTGATGGCTCGGTGGTGTGGGTTTCTAAAAAAGAAGGGCGAAGTTTTGGATTTGGGAATCGTGCCTAAATAATAGTCTACTTTCAAACTAAGGTACTGTGTTACAATAGGAAGCAGCGATCACGGCAATTGACTCATTCGGGACGATCGTTATTCTTATCATTGCTCATTGCTGACTTTATTACTGAGCCTCGGTTTTCGCCACGCTATTGCGCCCGTGGTCGTCAATCCAAGTTTCGTTTCTGTTTCTGACCATAAGCACATAGGAAACTCCAGTGTCTTCTATCCAGCTTCTATCTTCCATGCCAAAGGCGTTCTTGTGGTACCGCTCGTCGCCGCAAAAATGAGGCTGATCAGCAGCCACACTGTTGTTGCAGCTGTTGGTTCTAAGACCACTAGAGCTCTGATTTTGTAAGTGGGCGCCTGGTCGTGAATTGTCACAGCGTCCTTATGCGGTAGTACATGGTCACTTTCTGGGCATAGCTATTGTGTCGGCTTGCGTCTGACCAAATGCTGAATCTGGTGCTCCTTCCTGACTCCCATTTTTTTCTATCCCCACATTCTTCTCCTAAACTGAAGTTTGATAGTTCTAACGAAAACCTCTCCATTGTCTTCCTTGTATCTCAAAGCCACCCTGGACGTACCTCTTGTCGAGGATAGATTTTTGAGGAGAAAAGACACAGAAGCCTCTATGTATATACAGGTTCCGAGCATCACTCTTCGCAGTCAATAGTTTGAGTACGACAAAGAAGCAAGAAGAAAGAAACATGGAGGCAGTGTAAAAGTATATTTTTGTGTTGAAACCGCTGCAACCCTTCGTGACTGTCTACAGCTAGACACCCTAGCAGGAATTCTGATATGTTTCAGCGTTAAATTTGGTACTTCTTCCTTTCTAAGCGCCCTGTTTAGAAAGATCTGTCTTCTTCAATTTCGGCATCGAGCAAGTTATATCATCTTCTGTATATAATTGGCACGATTATGCTCGTGCCTCTGGAAGCCTTCACACCTGGAAGGACGCTTTGTAGGTCCGTTATTGTGTCCTTATTTTATCTTTTCTTTGTAGCTTCCATCAAAATAATGTTTTCTCTACCAAAGAGAGGGGTAGCCAGGTTTTAGGGGCCCGCCGCTTCCAAGACTTTACGACTCGATGTTGTAGCGGTAACTTTAATTTGATTGGCTGAAGGAACACCGTTATGTATATACCGCGACCTCCAGACACGAAAGCCTAGCCATCTCTATAAGGGTTGGCCTACAAAAAGCCCAAATTCTATGTACAGTGTCTCCAAGTATCAACAGAGAATAATAAATGGCTTGCAACATCAAGTCGAAGCGTCCCATTTCTCGCTTAAAGCTTGCCAATACCGGCATTGGCAGTCACGCTGCTCACCACAGTACTGGCAGCGCTAGCGCTGGCAATGTTCTTGCCCGAGAATTCGGAGAAGAAGGTCGTATCTGTACCAGAGTAGGTAGTGGTGCTGCCGTAAGAATTAAGCTGGCAAGTATGGCCCAAGTTGGTTGAGCAAGCCGCATTCGAGTTGGTGTCCGGGCTGGTGAAAATCTTGCCTTCAATGGTCGAGGAAGTATCGACCACGTTGGCAACGTTCTGGAACACACTGCCCTCAACAACGATCTGGGCACCGCTGTCAACCTCAAAGGCATGCTTCGAGTTGGCGTACCAGTAGTTGTTGACGGCATGCAGCAGGGTGTTGCCGGCGACCTTGGGCGAGCGGCCCGAAGTGTGGTGGATGTAGTTGCCCTTAAAGGTGACAAGATCGCTGGAGCCGGTAAAGTACAGAGCCCAGTAGTGGTGGCCATCGCAAGAGGCCGACCACGAGGAGCTTCCGTCGATCTCGTTGTTCGAGATGGTGACACGCCCCGAAGCGGTGTTGCCGAGGACGATATGCTGCCGTCCAATGAGAGAGGTCTTGACGTGGTCGATCCAAACCATGTCTTGACACCGTGTTAGCAAGAGACTGCACAATCCCGGGCCGCCGTAGCTTTACTTACCAGTGCCAGCCAGCGTAATGGCATCACCACCCCATACATACTGCGGGTTCAGGCCGGTGATATGGATGTTCTGGATGATGATATTGCTAACTCCATTGGCCAGTCTCAGGCCCTTGCCCTTGATAGCACCCGCGCTACCCTGGCCAACGATGGACTTGTTGGACTTCACAGTGATGCCAATAATGGCTGCATTGTCATAGGTAACGGACACCTTGGGTGCACTCGACTCGTAGTTGTCGCACCAGCTGTTCTGGTTGATGGCTACTTGGCAAGCAGAAGCAGTGCCCCAAGGAGCACACCCGGTGGCAGTGGTCGTGCCCTCAGTGCCAGTGAAATCAAACGTCTTGGTGAGGATGATGACACGCGCAGAGCTGTCGCCAAGGTACGACACCAGCTCAGCGTTGGTCGTCGGGTAGACAGGGGTAGCCGTTCCACCGCCCGTGACACCTTTGGCGAAGCCTTCGGCCGCACCGGTGACGCCAGCAGCGGAAGCCAATTTGGCGAAGACGGCAACAGCCGTACTAAGGAACGTCGTCGACTTCATGGTGAACCTTTTCAAAGACAGGCAGATGCGGGAAAGAGAGGTGAGGAGCAAGAGAAAAAGCCGTTGAAACAGCCGTGGTATCGCGGCATTATATGCTTATTCGTAGTCCGTCTCGTGCGACGAGAAGCAATTCTGGTCTGGACATGGTCCAGACATAGTCGTCGTACACCTCCTCTTGGCGGTCTAGCTTTTTCATGCTAATCCTGAGATGCCCTGCAAGTTGCACTGTAGCTCCTACGCCAGTTTGTGGAGTATCCAGTCCTTCGCGTAACAAGTTTCATTGTTTAGGCATGTAGCATCGGCTTGGCTTGGGCACGGATCGACTCACGAGACTTACTCCTATTTGGATTTTGCTAGCAACGGAACTTGTTAGTCAGTCGTGCTGCTTGTGGTTGGAGGAAATCGGCGGACCCCTGTCCTTGCAAATGACTTAAAGCCGCGGATACGGAGTACGGAGAATTCCATTATAGGATGTCGCAATGCGGTACGGATGATTGATGCGGGTTTTACGTCCGAGCAGGATAATACACGTGCAGTTGTCCTGCTCGAACCTTTGGTTCTGGCGAGGCGGAAGCAATGAGAGAAGTAGATCGCACGTGACGACCGCTTTCTCGCAGCCATGAGAACCAAGATCCAGGAACGAGGTCAAAATGGAAGCGAGCCGAATAGGGGTACTCGCCGGATAGCGTCTTGGCGGCATCAGTTTTGTTCATGCGGCTCCCTAGCCGGCTTAAACCCGGAAGAAAAATATCTCACATGTCGTACTTTGTAGATATCGGATGGAAATATGTGGAGTTTTGGGACCATCTGTGTAGAGGTACCTAGACCCACCTATTCTGTAAGGGTTTTCAAGCATGTCCACGTAGCTCGGAAGTACCTTCCCGCAACACTACAGACGTGCGCACTTAGACCAATAATTTAACAAATGTATTTTGTAGTAGAAGACACAAAGTGTACGAACAGTACGGAGTAGGTAAGGTGTAAACCGTATTTTCTTTTTCATTTACCCACCGTTGCCTAATACGAGATAGAGCAATGGCAACATGTGTTCGTGCCTTGTCTGCTCCATAGCCTTCTCTGCTCCGTTTTCAAAGATGCTCCGATGCGCTGTCTCTTGGCAGTATTCTCGAACCCCAGAAGCTTTACACCGACTTGTGGCCTGCTGCCTGTTCTCCACCCCGTCCCCCTATCTTGTATGAGCCTCGGTCTCCTCGGTCTTCTGGGCCCCGGCCTCACATGCGCGCTTCAACAGCAGCTGGTCAGCGTCCAGGTCCTCGTCGCTGCGCAGGTATGCCTTGACCACGTCGCCCCAGACGGGCGTGCGCTTGTAGCGTGCAAAGGCGGGCGCGTTGCCCAAGCCGTAGCCATCGGTGGCGCGGATCATAGCTTCAGCCAGGCCGACCTGCTTGATCTCGCGGATCGGGTAGAGGTACAGATGGACGCTGAGGATGCGACCGCCAGATGTGGACAGCCCGAAGAGCGTCTGTAGCTCGCAGCGCACCCAGGTGTCGTCGAGGTCGATGTCGGCAGCGCTCAGCACGCTGACCTGGTCGTCCGAGTAGAGATGGTACTCGCCGCGCTCGCAGAGGCTCGAGTTGGTGGCCACGGCCCAGTTGACCCGGTCGACCACGCGGCCAGGCGTCAGTCGCTCAAAATACCGGTCCATCGACAGCTGCATGTGCTGCTTGTAGCCCGGCACCGGCCCGTGAGCATCCCGCAGCTTGATCCCCAGTTTGTCGACCGGGTCGAAGCCGACCGGATAGAGCCACACGAACGCCTGCAGCGAGTACCCGTCGCCGTCGCTACTCGGCAGCAGCATCAAGAAATCCTCGTCCACCACGAGCGCAATCGTCCGCAGAGCCGCCAGAATGTCCGTCGGTGGCACTGTCGGCAGTCGCTCGTCCAGGATCCGGTTGTGCAGCTCGCCCGCGTCCGCATCTAGCACAAACACTGTCGGATACCGCCTCGGCAGGTAGTGTGTCAGCAGAAACGAGTACAGCTCCCGCACCATGGCCTCAGCCGACAGCTGGCATCCCAGTGCCCCCGGGTACTGCTCTAGGATCCGCTTGCGCTCCGCGATTCTCTCCACGTACTGCTGGTCGATGCGCGTGATGGTGTTGATGGTGGTCTTGCGGAGGCCTAACAAAGTGACAGCATAAGCATGACTTCAGCGGATTGAGTCTCACTTGCGGAAGCACCCACCCATTGTCAGGTTGTACTTGTCGGCAAACTTGTAAATTCGCTCCGGCCGCTCGGCCTTCCAGTCGAGGTTGACCAGCGGCTCGATCTCGCCCATAGCGTCGAAGCCGAGCGCTGACTTCTCCCCAGGTGGCCTTGTTATGGTCGCCTCGCCTGGGACTTTGATAGCTGTGGCGCGCGTCTGCAAAGACTTCCAGATATAACCGACTAGGAGCGACAGGGCTGCGCCAAACAGCGCCGCTGCCACTGTATGGCTCGGCATGCCATCGAAGCCGGCCAAAGACGCCACCAGCTCGCTAAGCAGAGCCATGGGTGTGCTGTGTGTGCTCACAGAGGGTACCCAATGATGTTTCTACTGAAGCGTTGCCTAATCGTTCAACCCACGTCGTTCAAAGACGCAAAAACGCTCTCTTGTCCGTCTGAACCTCTTGTATCCCTATGAAGTGGTGCTGATCGCCGTGTCCGCCAAGTCCATCAGCTGATTCCCTCCAGAGTAATAGTGTTCCGGATGCAAGGTCTCGTTCCAGTGTCTTCCGTCTATTCAGAAGCGGCCCCGCTTTGATTGGGTCATGGCGCCGAAACGCCGGCCGTCACTGCGATTGTCAGCCGAACGTACTAACTTTTTTTGATAAGAAACTCCGGGCACGATTACATGGCATGAGTGGCCGAGCGGCGTTTAAATTGACGGCATGAATTGAGCAGATAGGCGAAGTGCTCGGAGTGCCGCTGGTACATGTAATCAGGGTGATATGTAAGTCATTTTGGAACTAAAATCGGAAACCTTTGCGGCAATTATTAAGATTGGGTACCAACAGTGGCTCAGCCTCCAATTCTATCTGCTTCTAAGCCTTGTGTATTGTCCACACAATCTCGCCCCTTTTCGGTAGTTTAGCAGAAACGTAATTTTGTAGGCATATCATACGCAAATTTACGGACTCAGCGTTAATATATCTGCTCAACAATCATAGTTTGAAAGCGGCAGCTCGAAAATTAAGGATCTGTTGTTATACGGGGTACTACCTTTTGAAGTATACAACTGGTTTCACAGCTTACAATGTCAGTTTCGTATTCGCTCTAGCCAATGTCTTCTGCTTTCCTATTATGGCAAAAAACATTACAGAAGCGAAACTAGAATATTGACAATCACGATTTAGAAATCTTGTCTGCCCAGCGCATAACCAATTCAAACGTCCATGCAGCTTCTCCCGTCTGCTATCTTATCTTTGTAAAACGCGGGGGGCTCTAAAATTTGAGTCCCTGTAAGATCGACGATTTGTCTTCCTTTCGGGTCGCTAGCCTATGTGGATCGCGACATCGATTGTACCCTCGAAGGAATTTTATGAGAGGTCTACCGACAGTAAGGTTCGCTGCGTAACTAATTCATCTAGCCATACAAGCTTTGCTACTTGCATTTGGGTTTGCGATCGGGTCTATCTGGGATTATATGGCCTTCAGGGTTGCCTGCTACAATACTGAAGAACTGGTTGCCGTACAGAGTACAGGCCCACCAGTTGCGCCTCTGTGCCACTGCTATACTGTAGCAGCTGTGAGACGTGATTGTGCTCGCATTCGCCAGTGTCATTGCATGAAAATGGGTTATTGTTATAGAGCCGCCGTAGGATCTACAGCCTGTGCGGCTTGGTTTGGGCTCTCGAGGTATCAGCGCCAAGAGGATCCTTATTTGTAAGCATGCGATATCTACAACGTTCTCATGGAAGATGCATCCAAGACACGGGAGTATGCCGACCTGCACAGAATTATGCGCTAAACAGGTGGGACCAGTCATCCTGCGCCACACAGTATACGGAGAACTGACATACTCGTACTCCGTAACCGTACAGGTTACTACAGTTATGCCGTTGCATAAAAGCGGACTACAAGGTGGGCCCAGTTTTTCTGCGCCACACCGTACAATACTCCGTACTTCGTACTCCGTACGTTTCCACGACCGCGCACAGGCCTCCAAACATCATATTCGACAACCTGTTTGCTCGACGCAGAATATCTTCCCATTCTTCCCGGGGCCATGCGACGCAATTCCGCCGGTACCGCAGCGCGCGGACTGGGAATCTCGCAGAAAGAAAAGCCAGAGGAGTCGTCCTGTGGTTCGCCTGTGGAAGTTGGGAAGCGGGGAGAGACTGACGCCGATGGCAGCGGTGACGATAACGGGGGCCTCGGCTGGCCGATGGAAAACTTACCCCCATTGTCTGTCGTCAGCGACGGCCTGGCTGCGGCAAAAGCTCTTTTCTCGAGCTGCAGCAAGACGTTCCAGTGCCAGAGACACAGGGCTCACAGCCAGGCCGACGCCTACGAGTGTAGGCAGATGTCTGGATATCACCAACGGGGGCAGAGACGATCTTGCTCCTATTGCCCCTGTCTGGAGCAGCCATGTGTCACTGCCGAACAGACGGTCAGAAGCCGCCATTGCAACTCCAGAGATTATTGTCATATCGGACACAGGACTCTTCTGTCCAGTGGTCGCTATGCGATTCGGGTGACGATGACTGCATTGCATTGGTTCTCGAGGAGCCTGTCGAAGTTTCGAATTCAGAAGAGACCAGAGAGACGAAGCCGTCTCTGCATGAATACAGAAGGCCAACACGTGAAGAGATCGAGCTCTTCGCCTCAATGCAGCGAGACACGCTAGACGCTTCACCTATCGAAGATGTCTCGGTAGAAGATGTCCTCTTCCCGACTACCACTGGACCGACAAAAGATGAGATCGAGAGTTTCGTCTCTTTTCTCGACGAAGATACGGAGTCAGATACCCAACACAGCGAACCCACCCTTCCAAACACCCCACGGGTCGCGTCAAATACAGCTGCAACCATTATTTTGACGGCCCCAAACACAACCATAGACATGGCTGCAACCACCACCACTTCCGGCGAACCGATTCTGACTCGCGAGCAGCAACATGTCGTCGATCTCGTTGCCGCCGGCCGCAACGTCTTCTACACAGGGCCCGCTGGCTGCGGCAAATCCACCGTTCTGTGTGCTCTAGAAAAAAGGTTGCACCACATGCACAAGACGGTGCACATTCTGGCGCCAACGGGCCGCGCCGCGCTCAACGTCCATGGCACGACCACCTGGACGTACGCCGGCTTGACACCCGACGACCACGCCCGGCCGCTGGCCAAGCTCCTGGCTGCCTGCCACCGCAAGGCCGTCTGGCAGCGACTGAGCAGGACGGACGTCCTCATCATCGACGAGATCAGCATGATCGAGAACCTCCATCTCGAGCGACTCAGTGCCATCCTGCAAGAGGCCCGCCGTTCTCCATATGTCTTTGGTGGCCTGCAGATCGTCGTCACCGGCGACTTCTGCCAGCTTCCGCCACCGCGACCGTTGCAGAACTGCATGACCTGCGGTGGCAAGATGGACGTTCAAGCGCCGCTGAACTCGCGGTCTGTCACTGGCATCGGTCGGCCGATGCGAATGCACCAGGACACCGCCAGGACCTACCGCTGTCGCCAAGACCACGCCGCCTACGTGGACGAGGAGAAGTGGGCATTCAACAGCTGTGCCTGGCGCCGCTGCCACTTTGTGCCCGTCTTGTTGCGAACAGTCCATCGCCAGAACGAGCCGGCCTTTCTGTGTCTGCTGCAGAAATGCCGTCTCGGGCTGCCGCTGACGGATGCCGAGGTACGCCTGCTGACGCACGATGGCGCCCCGATGCCACCGCGATCAACGACGACAATGAACAACGACTGGATTCCCCCAAGCGCCACTTGCACCCGTCTCTTCCCTACCAACCGGGAGGCTGAAGATGTCAACTACCGCGAGTTTTCTAAGCTTCCCGGGCCATTGCGTGTCTACTGGTGTCGTGACACGTTTGTGTGGCGAGGCCGTAAAAACGATCCGAATATGCGGGCCAAAGGCCGTCGCTATATGCCGTTTGTGCCACCGAATATCTTGTGGATGGCCGATGTGCCCCGGGAAAGCGAGGAAGGCGTCTTTGTGGCATCGCCAATTCGCGGTCCTCTCGGGTCCCTGAAAGACCATCGCTACGAGGAGGTGCTGGAGTTGAAAGTGGGCATGTTGGTGATGTTGCTGGCCAATATCAGTCTCCAGACTGGCCTCTGCAATGGTAGCCAGGGTATCGTGTGCGGGTTTTCCGACCTGGACGAGACGGGGAAGCCGGTGCAGAAGCCGCGTGCAGATGAAAATGCTGTGAAGCAAGAGGACAAAGATACTGTTCTGGCTAAAGATAGTGACCACAAGGGTGCGGAAACTTCTGTAAAGCAGGAACCCTGGAAAGACGACTCGTATAACCGATACAAAACGGGCGCCACGGACGACCAGGAGTACATGGATAAAAAGGAAGACGCCGACACTTTGGAGAGACAAGACCTGCCGCCAAAAGACGTCTTGGAAAAGAGGCGTGGTGGCAGCTTCACTCCATACGACATATTCTCTCTTCGGGACAAAGGCCACCTTGACCGCCGAGAAGACGAGCGCGTACGGCGGATGAGGGAGAACGCGATGGACTTTTGCAAGAACGAGGTCGAGCGCTACTCCAGCTGCAGCGGACAAGAATCAGCAACGGGCTTTGTCGGTGGACTACTGCAGCAACGTCGCGGCTGGCCCATCGTGCGTTTTTTTCACGACGGTTTGGAGCGTGTCATTCCTCCGCACTGCTCCCTGTCGGAGCTCGACGACGGCGGCGATCTCGACTCTGACGGTGCCCTTGATGGCGAGCCGTCCCTGAGGAGCTATCTGTCGCGCACGCAGGTGCCGCTGGCGCCAGCTTGGGCCGTCACCATCCACAAGAGCCAGGGCCTCTCGTTGGATCGCGTGGTCGTCGATCTCAGCCGCGTCTTTGCCGACGGGCAGGTGTACGTAGCCCTGTCGCGGGCCCGAACGCTAGCAAGTCTGCGCGTCCAGGGAAACACAGACAGCCTGCGCGAGGGAAGTTGCGGCGATGCGGCAGTGCGGACCTTTTTGGAGGCCATGTTCGGCGCTGATGCCCTAGGAGTAGAAGTGAAGGGAGGTGAAGCGGGAAGACACGCATTGTCGCGATCATATACGGAGAACTAATACAGCTTATGTAATCACAATCAATAAGATAAAAAAAAAACAAGGGACGAAAAGGGGGACATCCAAGTCTGCGATATGTCTGTTGATGGAAGTTCTGCGATCTTATCACTGTTTTTGTCGTGAATTTGTGCTGTAATGTTTTCAGTAGAATCTGGACGCTAGCCCATCCTGGAAGGACCCCTTGAGACAATTTTTCTAATCCCAAAGCCCATGCTTTGCCGTCTCTCTCACCCATTTCCATCTCTCTTTCTGTATAAATTACTCTAACAGGGTCCTTTTCCATGAGCTGCAGTCAAGTGTGAAGGCGGGCAGGCTCTAGTGCCTCTCTCGTTGCCTCAAAGCCTTGGTTTCCTTTCACCTTAGGATCGTTCGATGACACAGACGCCGTCCTAACACGCAACGAGGCAATCATCTGGCTTGCAACTCACAGATATCTCCTAGCAATTCGCGACAAGATTAATACTAGAAGCACCTACCAGCGTGGCAACGCCGTGATCTTAGACATCGGTATACATAGCTTTTTATGACCTACGGACTTGCCCTTCCACTATAAGGCTTTGTACGTCTTCTGAAATCTACGTTTTATAGGAGATGACTATCGTCAGGTTTGTTGAAGCAGATGACGGCATGAAGAATGAGAGCGGCATGATAACAGAAGCCGCTTTTGTGATAAGGGAGTGGAGGGTGCCGAGATGAGATGGAAATAGTTAAAAGAGGAAACATTGAATAGCAGCCCTGCTGCATGAGATGAAGGCCTTTTATCTGCCCGAAATACAACAGGCAAGACTGGGATTTGGATGAAGCGACCGCTGAAGCTGGGGAAAATCGCTTTGAGGCGCAGCCGTTTTAAGGCGAATTCGGTTAAGAGACGCCCAGCGATAAAATGTCGCTAGATTGATGTTCTTTGATGATTTTGATGCTTCTGGCGATGACAATTGGATTGGGAAGGGCTCATTCATAACCTGTAATAAGGCATGTCGTGGCACAGGGTCCTACATTGTCACGTGAAACAAACCCAAGTGAAGTCATGACCCGGTGATTCGCGTCCCCGTCCGACGACTTTACTGCCTGCTTACAATAGCATGAGATCCCGACAGCACGCATACCTCTGTCAACCTATTTCTACTATCTGTACTTTATGACGGAGGATACATGCGCATCTCGGCAAACGGACTTAGGGATGTAAAGCCCGAGTTCTCCCAGTAGAGGTTCGTCCAGTCGAGCTGTTCGTTAACTGAGGCCATGTGTTGCTGCAGCGTAGTGGCCGGGCTGAGCATCAGTGCCTGCAGAACGTCCACATGCTGTGGTCCGGGCATACCAAAGCCGTGTGCGTGTGAAGCCATGGCGACCGTGGCCGGGTCGATAGCTTGTGATGGCGAAAGTGGCTGTTGCTGCTCCCGGGTATGATGCGGCTGGTCGACCGCAGGCGAGATGGCAGAGTCTATGCTGCCGGTGCTGACGCTGCTCTTGCCGATGACCAGCTGGGCGCGTAGGCGCTCGGAGCTGTCCTCGAACAGTCGCAGGATAATCTCGGCGTTGAGCCAGAAGGCGGCGAGGCGGCGCATAATATCCATGGCGGAGTCGAAGCGCCGCATGGCGTGAGCGGCTAGCACCGGGTTGGTGACGCGGATCTCGGCGCTGAGCTGAATCAAAGCGGTGAAGACGGCGTCGACGGCGAAGACGTTGAGGAAGCGCAGCTCGTCGCGGGCGGCCACGCCCTCGAGAAGATGCACCAAGGCCGTGGCAGCCGAGGAGCAGATGCCCATGTCGTCCTGGCTCGTCACACTGGAAGCAATCGTGGCTGTGGGCTGTGGAGGCGGCGGCCGGTGCAGGAGGATGAGAAAGTTGTTGTAGGTCATGTGCAGCATGGCGACCCAGGGCGGAGCAGAGGCGGCCGGATGGACACTTCCGGAACAGCCGAGCAGGTGATGGCGCAGGGACGACGGAAGGGTGGCCATCCAGTGGGCAAGACGCTGGTCAGCGTCAGCGAGGGCGGCTCTGCGGCGTTCGGGCGGGACGCGCAAGCCAAAGCGGTCGCGTAAGGTGTGGGCAATGATGCAGCAGAGGCGAGTCTGATGGATCGTAAAGTCGGCATGAATGGGAGAGAGAGGAGGTTGGGTGTTGGTATTGGTGTTGCTGTGGCCATTGTGGACGTTGTTGTCGTCATCACCGGTCGCGTGTCCAGGCGAATCAAAGTCGTCTGGCCTCAGCTCGGGCACGTCGCTCTCATCCAGACGGACAGCCGGTGGACGGCCGTAGGATAGCGATACGATGACGTCGAACTGGACGAGGATCCACCAGAGGCGACGCCAGAGGCGCTGGTCCGGGGCGACGAGCGTGCTGGCGCCAGCGTCACGATGCATGCCGAGACCGAGAGCAGTGCGAGCGGCCACGCCGACCCAGTAGTAAGAGTTAGCACCAATGTCCTCGACGCCTTCGGAGTGCCAGGTCATGAGCAGGGCGGCCTGGACGACGACATCGCGATTCCACTCGAAACGGGCGTCAAAGAGCATCTTGGCGCGGCGAAAGAAGCTCGTCTTGAGGGCAGCGCGGTCTGGCCGGTGCGAGCAGACATGAGCACCGACCATGAGGACAGCCTGGAGCACGAGAAGGCTGGGGGGGTTGCGCGGGTCACGGCGACGGTACTGGCTCATGAAGACGGCCTCGTCGAGGACGGGAAAGCCGGGATGGACATGGCGGAAGTAGGCAGCCAACAGCTCGTCGACGACAGCGGCCGGTGGAAGCGCAAAGGCCTTTCGAGGGATGCGGTCGAGCTGGTGGCTCGTATATCGGCGCGAGATCTGGTTAGACGGAAAGTGGTGGACCGAAGGCGGCGCATGGCGGGCTCGCTGGCGGATCAGGTAGTGGATGTTGGAGTACTCCTGGCCGACGTAGACGATGCGGACGCCGCGCTGCATCACCCGATCGGCAATGTCTTCCTGCGAGAGCATCTCGACCAGGTGGCGTCTGACGTCAGCCGGTGCAGCCGAGGTGCCGTCCGAGTCCGAGTCATCGTTGGTGTTGGCTGTGTTTCCGTTGTGGACGGTGTTGCTGCCACAGTCGGCCGTGTTGCTGTCCCCATGGTCGCTGCCGTCTTGCCATGACGCATCCTGCAGCGATGACAGTGCAGCAGCCACCCGGTCGACTTCACTGTCGCGGTCATCAGGGCCCGGGCATTCATCGTCTCGTGGCTGGGGATGGAAGCTGTCGGTCCCACCAGACGCCGCAGGGCCGTCAACCGCGCTGGATGAGCCCCCGGTCGCCGGCGTTGGCAAAATGGTCGCCAGCGTGGTTGGCTTTGGTGGGCCTCTCTGGCAGACAGTCAGTTCTGGGACTGAAGTCAGGCCGTGATCACCAGCAGAAAGTCATTTCTTACATTGCGTCGCCGCTTCTCGTGGGCGATGCATGGGGACCCCGCACACCGGCATCCGGAACACGGCTGTCCGGGCGTTGCATCGCATCTGACCTGTTTGTTGCCAATCAACGTCAGTCAAAACGTCTTTTCTGGACACGCCCAGATCTGGGGTCCACCAGCTCACCTTGCGCACATGGCATCGGCGGCTAGAGACGGGGCCCGGTCGTTAGCTAAGTGCGATGATCGCACAAGTCCGGAGGCACTCACCAAGCCGAGCGCTGGCTGCGAGCCTGGCCAATCCTGTCCATTGGTGATGGGGTCAAAAGGACTGTCGCCGACGGCGATTCTAGGAAGAGTGGGTAGGTCGCGTGATATGTGCCTTTCGAGGCGAGGATCGGACTGTATCTCGGCAGGAGCGAGGCGATAGACCCCAGACGGAGGCAGGTGCGGGTGGCACGTGTCGGACTTAGCTAACATCTATCCAGACCCACGATGGTAGATTGTCTTTGTTCAGGTCGGTCCCCAGCACGAGTCAAAGCGTTCCGATTGCAGCCTCTTATCTCGCGCGATAGACGGTCGGCGACAGACACCAATGCGACGACAGGACGACGGGTTAGCGCAGCTGTCGTCGTCGATATCCGGGCGGGTCCACCAGCCATGGAGGTGCACTAGGCTAATCGTCTGCCGGCGAGCTGATATGGAAGCGAGTCTTTGATGTCTAGCCGACCACATGGCACCTGGGCCAGGCAAGGAGGCGTGTCTGTTATCTCGCAGCAGTTCGGGAGGGGGGGTGCAACGGTGACGATATAGAAGCGGTATGTTCCTCGGGGGACAGGGCAGAGAGCACGCAACAGTCGCAAGCACAGTCCATTCTGTCCGCAAAGCCCAGCCATTCGCCAACAGCATGGACACCAAGGACATTGAGAACATCACGATGGCGCCAGCGCGGCCGTCGAGCGAAGCTGCTGGCGAGATGCGGAAGCTGGCCGTGCCGACCGAGCAGGGCGACGAGTACGGCAACAACAACCACGGAAACGCGGCCCAAGGCTCGCTCAAGCGGGTCTTCAAGACGCGACACGTCCAGATGATCGCGCTGGGGGCCAACATCGGCTCGGGCGTGTACGTGTCGAGCGGCGAGGCCTTGCGCAACGGGTCAGCACCCGGCATGCTGATTGGCTACGGCCTGATCTGCTCCATGGCCATGTGCATGCTGAGCGTCCTGAGCGAGGCCCAATGCCTCTTCCCGACGAGCGGCTCGTTCATCGACCACGCGAGCCGCTTCGTCGATCCGGCTCTCGGCTTCGCCATCGGCTTCTGCGAGTGGTTCGGCGCCCTGACCGTCGTCGCCGCCGAGGGCTCCGTCGTGCCCATCGTCATCTCCTACTGGACCACGTCCGTGCCGACGGCCGTCTGGTACACCATCTACCTCGCCATTGTCGTTGGCCAGCACCTGCTGCCAAACCGTGTCTTTGCCGAGTTCGAGTTCGGCACCGGCGCTCTCAAGGTCGCCGTCACCTTTGTCGTCCTCTTCACCATGCTCGTCATCTGCTGCGGCTACGGTGGTGATGCCATCGACCGCGGCTACAACTACACCGGCCTCTCGGCCTTTCCCCATGGCTTCAAGGGTGTCGCCTCCGTCTTTTTGCTCGCCTCCTGGGCCACCGGTGGCCAGGAAATCATCGGCATCTCCTCCGGCGAGTCCGCCTTCCCGCGCTGGGAGCTGCCCCGCGCCTCCAAGAACCTCGTCATCCGTATCGTCCTCATCTACATGTCTGCCTGCGTCTATATCACCGTGCTCGTGCCCTACACCGACCCGTCCCTGCTCGACACTAGCAACGAGATCGCCAAGTCGCCCTTTATCATCGTGCTCGACCGCGTCCGCATCCGCGTCCTGCCCGACATTGTCAATGCTGTCCTCCTCGTCGGCCTTGCCGGCATCGGATCTGAGTCCATGTTCACAGCCTCCCGCATCCAGACCGCCATGGCTCGCATGGGCATGTTCCCTGCCATCTTCGGCCGTGTCGACCGCTACGGCCGCCCCATCTACTCCACCGTCTGCTGCGCTGTCGTCAGCATCGTCATGACCTACATTAACCTTTCGACCGGCGGTGCTACTGCCTTCACCTGGTTCAGCTCCGTCTCGGCCACCACCACTTTCTTCGCCTGGTTGACCATCCCGCTAACCAACTGGTGCATGCACCGTGCCCTCGCCGCCCAGGGCGATCCCGCCCTCCAGATGCAGCACGCCTTTAAGCTGAGCTGGTGGCCCCTTGCCCCCCTCTATCTCGCCATCACTACCGCCTTCACTCTCGCCTGCACCATCTACGTGTCTGCCAGCCCCATCCGCGACAGCCCTAGCGCCACCATCTTCTTCGAGAATATGCTGTGCATGCCCCTGTTCATCACTGCGTACGTCGGCTACAAGATCTACTTCCGCACCAGCGTCCAGGACCCCAAGACCGCCGACCTGCACAGCGGCCGTCGCCTGATGACGGAGGAAGAGCTGCAGATGCTGGACAACTACTATGCCCAGCCCATGTATAAGCGATTGTTAAGCTATGTGAATTTCTAAGCAGCAGACTTTAGACTAGTTAGGCTATTAGTAGAACTAAGTAAGACGTGCCTCTGATGTATACAATGGTACTCGTGTTCTTATAACGTGTGTGAAACGTAGGCTGTGTATACTTCAACAGCAACTTTAAAGGGTTGTTAGGTAGTGAGGCGATACCTAACAGCTGTAGGTGTATAGCCTTCTTCCTTACATATAAGATACATATTATACAGTAGCATCCGCTGCGTCTCAGATACAACTATGTCTTTTAGTGCTGTCTTATTTTTGGTCGACTTTTGTTTCCTCAGCTCACGATCAAGATCTTACGCTAATTATTCTCAAATATATCCATATTCCCTTGTTTTGCGAAACGTTCATAGGTAAGTTGGACATAAGACTTTGCATCTTGCAGCTGGATTTCAAGAAGTGTGACCACGCCAAAAGTACCAAACATTGACGCGGTGCCCCATAAATGATCCGTATTTTCATCTGTTATGCGCGAGGCCTTGGTTACTTCGCCAGTAGGAAGAACAATCTCGATCCAGTTAATGATGGCATCAAAGGGCCTATGTCGGAAGGAGGAACTTTCTCCAGAAGTGCCCGTAAAGCCCCCACCCACAGTTATCCTAGGGAACTCCATAAACACGAGTGGTACAAGACCTTTCGTAATTGTCGCCGCCACAAGCATGTCCATAAGCACATTGGACTCTACCAGAGCTGTCTTGTTCGACTCATCGACCGCGAGCACCCGGTTAAGTGAGCTCGTATCCACAGTGTTGTCGGGATGCCGTTGAGAGCAACGAGTGCTGTTCGTAGAGCCAAGGTATCTGGTAGCAAAATATCGCACGCGTGAGGATACCACCGCTACGGCCTCCTCATGAACTTCCATATCTGCGTGTGTGTTCTCCGGTGTTTTGTAAAGTTTTGTTTGAAGCGAAAGAATAAATAATGCTTGATGCAGCTCTTTACACCACCTTAGCAAAACCAACAGCACAGTTGGCTGTGTTGATGCCGTTGGTAAGCTTAGCTGCACAAACAGGGTCACGCAGTACCGGCTGAAATCGTACGACTTGACTACCCAATAAAGGCGTAAAAGTGGCTCAAATGATATTGTTTATCGCTACTCTCCGAGAAGTAGCCCTTTTCTCCTTGTCGTCTTGCTGTCCTTCACTTTGCTTATTGAACCGTAGCAATGGTTAGAGATGTTGTCATAATATTCGGAAACAGGTACGGAGACCCCACTGTTACTCATAATTGTGGGGTTTCCGGAGATGTCGGTAGCTGAAGACGCACTTAATACTTCTGACCAATCACAGAGGTAATCTGTAATTCGCTCCGCCCACCTTAATTGTAGTCCCACAAACTGGTCGGGTAATATTGGATCAGCTGTTGACTGCGGAGTACGAAGCATGACAGATAACGTTGTTCTTTACTCCGTTATGCAACACGATATGCACTGTGTAGACGTCGCGGATTCTACTTCAAAGTACAAGTATGTTGTTAAATACGTCTTACGTCACGTTACACGCATGTAATGGTCCAATATTCACGGATCGAGCTCACCGTTCCGAAAGGCAAAACGCTTTGCGAGGTTTCTTGATTCGCTAGATATTACTTTACGTAGACCGTCGGTAAGTGGCTTGGCTACCACCGGTGTGTGCGGAGTGCTAAATATTGACGTATTACGCAGCTAGAGAAATGAAACGCCGTCCTGCGCACATCGTCCTAGCTAGTAATAGTTTTTAAAGATTGCTATATATGTGTGGGTCCTATAAGGTTTAGAGTGCCCTGCTGGCTTTCGTCTAGTTTGGGTTTGCGGGAATCCACTTCGGGGGCTGGAATTTCCACATTCCCAGCCATGTGAGGCGGCTATTGCGGCGCGTCTGCTCTGTGTACATTGTCTGTTCCATGATATGCACCTGGATGGTTATCTATTGGGATTTTGAAGTAATGGCTTGGATCACAAGACGGCTGGAAGGACCAAAATGAGAGCATCACCGCCACCGAAAGAAGAAACTCTTTAGTGCGGCGCTTCCAAACGAAATGGAGATCGTCCATGTTAAGCTCGACTCTGAGGCGGACCCGCCATGTACGCTTCAACAACTCATCGGATCAACATCCCAATGAAGCCGTTCCGTTTTTTACCGTCGTCATACTCGGTCCGCTTGGAGCCCTTTACATCTGCACAAGGAGCAGACGCCTCGTCTAAAAGACTTTGATAAACACGTATACTGTACACAGTGTGGGTTTGTGCTTATAAGAACTGCGTTGTAATCACACAATTCTTGGATCCACGCTCTTTCAAAAGCCTATGCTTTGGACATTTCTGGTCCGACTACGACACAGGTCTCCCTCTTTGTGGATTTCGTTTTGCGAAGAAACAGCGGGAGCGTCGACATTAGCACGGCGACGCCACCAAGGGCTGAAACCATGATAAAGCTCAAGCGATACACGTCGTTGAACCGACGACGCACCTCGAGCGCTTCGGCAGCTGATAATGTCTTGATAACGGTAGTGGGAGCGTCAATCAAATCGGAGACGACGTCATCTGGTAGAAAGCTCAACCGCCGGGGAAGCTGACTGTGAAGGATGGCCTGGACGCTGGATAAGGCCATACAACCGCCCATTGTGCGCATCATGTTAACCGACCCTATCATCACGACTGCAGGAGGAAGGTCATGACGGAGAGAAGGAAAGAACGAGGTGGGACTTGAAACATACCATTATCACGGTCCTGGACGATGACACGGCCGAGAATGAGAAAGGTGGCCATGGTGAAGCCCATGCCGACGCCGAGGATGGCCTCAAAGCCGTAGTTGCGAGCGAGAGTAGCGGAGCTAAAGGGGACTTCGATGAGCAGGCCGACACCGAGGGCAGTGAGCACAGATCCGGCGGCAAGCATGTGCCAGGCGAAGCGGAGCGTCTTGGAGAGGATCACACCAGACACGAAGCTAGAAAAAGTCATGGGCAGTAGGATGGGGAGGGTGCGGACGCCAGCCATGGTGGCCGAGGACTGGCGGACGATCTGATTGAGCTGGGGCATGTTGATGACAGAGGCGTAAAAGACGCAGCCCTGGAAGAAGGCGGCCAGGAGTAGGAGGGTGACCTTTTTGCTGACGAGCAGGCGGAGCGGGAAGATGGGCTCGATGGGCGAGTGTGCGGCCCGGCGCATACGCCAGTGCTCCCAGCCGAAGAAGAGGAGAATGCAGAAGCCGCCGACAGTGAGTGTGGCGATGACTTGGGCGTCGCTCCACGGATGCTCGTCGCCGCCTGTCTGCAGGCCGTAGAGCAACAGGACGGCGCAGGTAATGGAAAGAAAGGCGCCGACGACGTCGAGCCGACGCAGATGGGCTGTGCTGAAGCCGTGTCCGTCGCCACCGGGCAGAGAGAAGAAGACAATGGCGAGTGCGAGAGCAGCCCCGGGGACACTGTCACAAGGGTCAGCCAAGATGTGTCCGGCTCGAGGGCTCCGGCACATACTTGAGCAAAAAGATCCATTTCCAGTCGCCGGTGCTGCAAATGGCGCCTCTGATGATGGGGCCCAACACATTGGAAATGGCAAAGGTGGACGAGACGACAGCCGAATACGCGCCAACTAGACTAGCCGGACACCGTACTAGTCAGCAAACTGAAGAGGCGACAGGACCGGACGGACGCGTACAATGTCTACAATGGTGACAAAGACGACGGCATAAATGCCCGAGCCGCCGACACCCTGGAGGGCGCGGAAGACGATGCTGCAGCGAGGTCAGCGTCCGGCGTGGGAAAGCCGTGGTTGTCGGCGAAGCACGCACAGCGTTGTCAGCGGCATATTCTGGGCGCCGCCACAGAGTCCAGAGAAGAGGGCAAACCAGACAAGCGCAAAGAGGAGGCAGTTGCGCTGGTCAAAGATGTCGGTCAGCTTAGAGTAGGCCAGGGGAAAGCCTATGGGACGAGCCGGTCAGCCAGTGAGCAGCAACATGGACAATACAGCAGCCGGTCCGTACTGCTGTAGGTAACGAGGTAGGCTGTGACGACCTAGCCGACGGCGGCAAAGTTGTTGAAGGACATGCCGATCGTCGTGAGAGCGGTCGAGATGATGGTCGTCTCGAGGGCCGAGAACATGAGGGCCAGCGAGAGTCCGAGCACGCTCATGTGCAGACGCCAGCCGTACAGCGCCCGTGGCGGATCCTGCAGCTTGTCGTTGACAGCCGTGGTGTTTTCCATGCCAGCAGGCCGCTCCGGCAACGCTGTCTCGCCGGCATCAGCAACTGCTCTGTTCATTGCGGTGGTGGTGCCAAGATGGACGGACATGCGCACAGACTGCTCTCTGCTCGGCACTGCATCTTTGCAGACAGGATCGGGGTGTCAGACGGATGTCGGGTCCTGATAAGGACAGAGTGGGCTTACACACTGTCTTGGTTGTCTGGGGTTCCCCCTTCTCCGGTGGGTTTTTCTGCAAAAAACCCGCCGAGCGTGTGGAGATGTTTTATCTGCAAAGATCAGTGGGGCGCCGATCAGTCGTAGGATCAGCGCATGGTTGCATGAAATAGTCCGTGTCCACATTTCTCTCCGCTTTTGTCGGATCGCTGCTGCACGATGCCTTACTCTGGGCTCGTTCGGTGGATATTGTCAGAGACCGACAAACTGTGGGCTGACGGGCTTTCGCCTATGTGATCACGTGATGTCAGATGTACTTGTCTATATACCAGTTGTTTGGGGAGAACTGACCCACGTCTTGAGTAGATGAGGAATTTACAGTACTGGAGCTTTCAACGTTCTCTGTCGATCAACAGCAACGTCTCCAAAGCCATGGCAGTAGAATCCAAGGCCGAACAGCGCTTCCGCGTGGCCATTGTGGGTGGCGGTCTAGGCGGGCTAGCGCTGGCCCAGATGCTGAGGTCGAACGAGCGAGTGCAGGTGACGGTGTATGAGCGGCAGGTGGAGGTGACAGACCGGCTGGCCGGCTACCGGATCCAGATGGAGCGAGGGGCGATTGCGATGCTGACGAGCCGGGTATCAGCGGGAGTAGGAAAGAACCTGGAACGGAGCATTGGCGAGCAGCCGGCATCGGGACAGTAGCTGGGGTTTATGCGGGCAGAGCGGCGCGACAAGATGTTGATGACATGGTATCCGCCCAAACTGCGCAGCATGGTGAGCGTGAACCGGTGGATCATGCGCCAGGCGCTGCTCGACGGTGCCGACGGCTTTCTGCGTGCAGGCAAGAAGCTGGTGCGGTACGATCGGGCAGACGGGGCAGACGGACCGATCAAGCTCTTCTTTGCCGACCAGACGACAGCGACGTGCGACCTGCTGGTCGGAGCCGACGGCGTGCACTCGGCCGTGCGTCGACAGCTGCTGCCAGATGTGCGCGTGCACAACAGCTGCTACGGCGTGACGTACTTCAAGGTGCCGTATGTGCCCGAGACGGCGGCGCTGCTGCCGTTCGGCACCGGAGGAGCTGCGCGACGAGATTCGTTCGCGTCTGGCCGACCAGACCGTCGATCCGCTCTTCCGCCAGCTCGTCGACCGTGTTGCTCTCGACAGCGCCTACTCCAACATCCTCAAGCTCGTCGAGGAGCCACGCCCGTGGTCCGACGGTGCCGTCACCCTGCTGGGCGATGCCACACTCAAGTACGTCTCTTGTTCCCCATCCTCTCTGCCTTCCCGGACTGACAATCCCTAGCATGTCCCCGTATACCGGCAAGGGCGCGTCGCTCGCCGTGGCCAACGCCCTCGAGCTGGCAAAGTGCCTCGACCAAGACGACTTTCTCGACTGTTTGGAACGACGGCGCACACTGCTCAATGGCTACGTTAAGACCATGATCAAGCGTCGACGCAAACAGCGCAAGGCGGGCGTCTTTGTCCCGCGGCTTGTCTTCTCCGGCAAGAACTCGGTCAAGGTCGACTTGCGCGACAGCCTGTTCCGCATCGTCAACGTCGCCGGCCACAGCATGGTTGGTGTGCGCAGAGTGGTGGGGAGTAACCGGTCACCTCACGTCGTCCTTAAAATTGAGCCAGTGTGATGGGGATTTTCTTTTTCTTTAGTTACTTTTCCTTTTATATTCTTATATTTTCTCATTTTATTCTTCTCTTTGCCTCCCCAGAGTCTATTATTCCATATAATTCGGGTCTCTGTCACGTCTCATATCTATCCGTCTGCTATTACAATCCCCCACCGACAGCATCTGAAACTGGCTAGCAATGCAGCACTCTGTGCATGACCTGCGCCGCCACGTCTCGTATATTACGCACCGTAGACGCCAGCTGCTGGATCGACAGTGCGATAAAGGGTAAGCCACCGCTCTCGCTCGGAGATAAAGCCTGTTCCCCCGCAGCCGTGGCCTGTTCCATCTGAACAAGGTAGTACTGTAGTGTGGCCAGCGATATAAATGCTTTCAAATCATCAGGCAAGCGTGCCATCGACCACTCGGCCAAGCAGACCTGCGGGACCTGCGGGACCTGCCGCTGTGCCTGCTGCTGCTGCTGCTCGAAGAGAGAAGACGGAGTTGGGCTGATGCTGATGGAGTTGCTTCTTCCCGACGGCGTTACGGCCCATGGATTTGGGTGCGATTGCGGCTGCAGCTCGCTCGTTACCCGCTGAAGCGCATCCCGGTACAGATCTAGCGTTAGCGTTGCTGGCATGGCCACTGCAAGCATCGCGTGAGCGAGCCTAAGTGCCGGCTCCATGGCCGCGAGCCCGGAGAAGCGCGGACAGCCACCGTGCGGAAATAGGCCATCTCCGTCCTGGTGTGGTACCGCGACCGGGGACAGAGCCGACTTTGCCAACATCAGCTGCTGCTGCAAGCCTGCCAGCCGACCCAGTAGTCGATCCAGGTCCGTCGTCGGCATGCTTGCTGTCGTGCTCGTCGTCGTGCTGATGTTGTTATTGCTTTTGCTGCTCGCATGTTGACTGTGTTCCCCGAAGCCAAAGATTTTGTCGTGCTGAAACGCGACGTCTGGCTCTCCGAATGATTCTGGCTGCATGTCACCCTCTGTTGGTGGCGAGTCGAGCATCAACCACGGCCGCCAGAACAGGTCGGAGAGGAGTGCTGAAATGGCGAATCAGTCATCATTGTTCTTTTCGGATGGTACTTGTCCCAATTGTCACGTACGGGCATTGTTCCAGTTCATGTCCGGTACAGCCGTGCCATCCATAGAGTCCTGCTCTCCGGAGCTCCGATCCAAGTGAGTGTTGCCGGCATGATAAAAATGTAACAAGTCCGGTGGGTCTGTCTGTTCGCTTCGGCTCTCGTAAAGCGGGAGCTTGCACTTCCTAGGCCGGCCTCCCTCCAATGGCGGGCTGTGGATGCAGAGGGGCCCGTCCTTTTCGCAGTTGCTGCAGCGTAGCTCGTCTGTTAGCCGGGAGCACTTTAGCTTCTTGGCATGGCAGCGATCGCAGGCCGAACGATTTCCTGGACAGAGCTGTGAACGTATGCGCCTCATGTCGGCAGACTGCAGCGGACACATTCAGATGCAGACGGCTCGGGTGAAACCAATAAGAAGATGAAAAGTAAAAAATATGTAAGCGAGACTACTAGCAGAGGACAGCTGACCCAGACTTGTTTCCCGGACAGCAGATCGAAAGCAGATGTCCACGCGACACCAGCAGTAACATGCACAGCATTTCCATGTTTAGATAAAAACCGCAACATGTTGATCGCTGCCGTTTAGCTAGTGTCGGGGCATACACCAGGAGAGTACGAGGGACTAGGAGAGGAGCTATTGTAACGCACTGAGTAAGGTCAGGCTACGACATGGTTGCTTGTAGGGCTCCTTTAGTAAAGGCTCCTTTCAACGCATTGTGGGCGCTATGGATGTTAATGTGAGTCGGTCTTATTCAAGGAGGCTACTAGTCGTAGCAGTGGCTCCGAATCCATCGCGTCTGTACTTTGGCGAAAAGATATATATTATGCCTGCACGTACTAGAAAACGCCGCAGCCGTAGTGGAAGCAAATAAGGGGGAAGGGGTTGCGTGCCAGCAATCACACAGAACTTACTCCAAGCTCGTGCTTGCAGGCATCTGCATCCCAAGGAAGCCCTCTGGCGAGAAAGATGCGGATTTTGTGTCTCCACGGGGCTGGCACCAGCGCTAAAGTAAGACAAGCACCTCAAGAAACTGAAACGTGTTGGGCTGACGATGGTTCAGATCTTTGCCCTACAGCTTGGTACGGGGTCAACATAGGATCTGGTCTTTGACGCGCTGCTAATAATGGATTAGCTGCTCTACAGAATCATCTGCGAGATGACAGCATTGCGTTTGAATTTATCGACGGCGAGTGGGATGCACCACCGGCACCAGGTACGAGATCTTGCGGCCTGTGGACAAGAAATCAGGCCGCTGACATGATGTTGCTGCAGGCATTGCCAAGCTTTATCCCGGCCCTTACCATGCCTTTTACGACTGGAATCCGGCGGAGCCTAGCCCGCCATGCGAGTCGCTGGCTGAGTCCTACGACTACCTGACTGAGGTGCTTGAGGCCAAGGCCTTTGACGGCATCGTCGGCTTCAGTCAGGGCGCTGCGTTGGCAGCGTCGTACCTGTTGTACCACCAAAACCAGGACCGTCAACTATTGCAGCCGGTCGTCCGCTTTGCCGTCTTCATGTGCGGCACGCTGCCTTGGGATGCCTCGGGCACGCGGCGATTGGGCTTAGCAGAGCTGGCTAGCAGCGACAGCACGCCGAGAGCGATTAACATTCCGACGCTGCACGTGCATGGGGCCATGGATGAATGGTTGGATGAGAGCCGGGCGCTCAAGGAGCTATGCAAGCCGGCCGAGGCAGTGGTATGGCAGCACGGACTAGGCCACGCGATCCCAGTGGACCGAAAGAGCACCGAGCGACTGGCCGATCTGTTTCGCGAGGTGATACGACGGGCGATATTTAAGCAGTAAAATACGCGTGGTATACAAGATAGAAGACAGCAGAAATTCAGGTATTTGCTATCAATGCGACCCCTTAAGCAGGGCTCGTGCAGTATTCAAGACAGTGGTGAAAATCGAGCGGACATCGCCCTTCTTGGCCCGAACACTACCAATGGCAAAGACAAGGCCCAGAGGCAGGACAACGGTACAGCCGAGGCCAAGGGCCCAAAGGTCCCAGTTTTTAGCCCGCCACACCGACATGCGAGCATCGGCCGTCTGCAGGTGCGTAGGCCGCAGTTCGTGGCCGTCGGCATCGAAGCGAAGCTCGGCATCGTAGAGCACCTCTTCGATCAAATCGACGGCGAGGTACTTCCGGCGAGAGGCAACACGGGCGATACGCCTCATACGCTCGACATTGCGGGTTATAGGGCCATTAGACCTGCTATCGACGACGTCGTCGAGAATACGGCCAACTTTGTCGCATATTTCCTTGGAGCTAAAGTTAGCCTTGTCGAGCTGAAGGCCGACACCAGCAGCGGCTAGACGGGCGCTGTTGCAAAGCTGGTCGAAGAAGAAGCCGAGTGTTAAGACGGGCGTCCCGTGGAAGAGGGCCTCGTTGGCTGACGATCCGCCGCCGTGGGTAAGATAGAGGCGACAGTGAGGATGGTCAAGGACGGCGCGCTGAGGGGCAAAGAGTGGGAAGAGGAACTCGTCGGCATGCTTCCCGTCAAGAAAGTCACCGACACAGAGAGTCTTGGACGAATATTGGCCAGAGCGGGCAAGCAAAGCAGAGCGGTTAAAGGCGTCGCGCAGTTTCTGGCCGATAGACCAGATAACGCCGTTAATATAACCGGCGTCGAGAGCGAGTATAAGGCCATAGAGGATAGTGTGTAGGGAGGAAGTAGGCAATAGAATATGGGTGCCGAGGGCGACATAAAGGGTGCGGTTATGGGTGCGGAGGAAGTCGGCAAAAGGGGGCGATAGCGGCGGATAGTCGTCGTCAAGGATAGGGCCAACAGGGGCGATTAAAGGCGGCAGGTCCTTAGGCACCTCAAGCCCAAAGAAGGAGTTGACCAGGATAAGATAGCCAGGCTTAGGGCCAGCAGGCGAACGCCAGGTAACGCCAGCAGCACGGCGCATGCGTTTAGTCCATTCCATCCAAGCAAGGATAGCCGGCAGGGCCTTGAGGACGACAAGCTCGTTGCGCAGCCGGGACCAAACAGATGCGTGTTCGGACGTAAGGGTCATATCAACCTGGAAGCCGGGCTGGCCAGGGATATACGGCACCGGGGCCATTAAAAAGGGCATCTGCGGCCACATAACGGCTACAGGGATGCCAAACTGGACCATCATGTCCTTAGCAGCGGCCTCGGCAAAAAAGTCGGCTAGGATAAGGTTGGGCGGCCGTGTCGACTGGTTAACAAGCTGCTTCAGCCCGGCGTACTCGGCCGTCCAAAAGGAGTCCCAAAGGTACTTGGACTGCATGATGGGGCCGAGGCCCTGGCTTGGGTCCCAGTCGAGCATACGGCGGTAGTGTGCCTCTGTTTGCTCGTCTGTCGGGCAGCGGCCATCAAAGACGTGCACGGCCGATAGAAACGGACAGCCGCTGGCCCACGACTCCTGGCCGCCCAGAGTGGCAAACTCAACCGTATGACCACGGGCTGCTAGTAGCCGACACACCTCCAGGATTGGCGCTGTATCGCCGTCAAGTCAGCATAAGCATGGCTTATAGGATAAGGGAAAGCAAGTGGACTAAGCGAGCACCTGCCTGCATGCGTAAAGCCGCCGGTTGTCACGACAGCCAGGATGCGACGGGCTGGCAGGCCACCCGGTCCTGCCTCCATCAGCTCTCGTCGTATCGAGTCTGGTTGCGTCATCTTTCAATCAACCACAGAGAACTGCAGAAGACTATCAGCAGAGGACAGTTATGCTGTTAGGCGCAACATATACAGGAGATACGTCTGGGCTTGAAAAGATGGGTAGGTCGGAAGGCTGTTTCGGGCTTCGTCGGAATACTGCAGTCGTATGATTTCGCACATGCTCGGCGGGTTTCTCGCAGGTCTGGGCTAGGATTCAGACGGTTATATCTACAGGTGGACCGAGTTGCGTAATGCGGCTACGAAGTAGGATATTTGTCGAAAAGACTAGGCCAAAATGGGTGGGTCGAGTTGTGCCATGTGATGGATAAATACATGTACTGTGTGGCGTAAGCCGCTATTAAGTAGGAGATTCATGCACATCAGCAGATCCGCCAGACTGAAATTATCAGATCCTTCGGCTCCACCGGATCTGCAGCACTGGAAATAAGGCTTAGTGCTTCTGCCCGGAAGGAAGCAGAAGCAAGGCTAACCGGTCGGAGGACGATCGGAGGTTTTGCAATCGTGTCGAGGAGATTTTACTTAGCGCCGGCCGGAGGATCGGCTGCCGGAGGCTGGCGAGAATGGCGTGAAGATCTCGGACCCGAATCGGTAGGAGCTCGAATTAGACGTAGCCCTGCAAGGCCACGAACAACAGTATCAAGAAAAAATGGTTCTAAAGCCTTGTACGGCTGGACGGCCATCGGGTTGATCATCAGGGAGTTTAACGAAATTTTCAGAATCTAACAGATCTGCTTATTCAGCCGACTACTTCTTTCTTTTAACAAGACCCGACTATCGAAACATGGGCGACGCAGGCGACTACGAAGGCGGAGCTGGCTCCCCACACAACAGCAACATGCCCATTGCCGTCGTTGGACTGTCGTGCCGCTTTCCCGGCGACGCCACGAGTCCGTCGAGGCTGTGGGACATGCTTAGTGCTGGCAAGAGTGCGAGGTCACCTATTCCCAAGGACAAGTTCAACGTCGATGCGTTTTTTCATCCGAATCCCGACTGCAACGGAACAGTACGTGGGGCCTCAGCGGGTGGACGAGACCGCTTGACTGAGTGCTAACCGGTCCAGCTCAACGTTCGCGGAGGACATTTTCTCCAGGAAGACATTGGTCTGTTCGACTGTTCCTTTTTCAACATCTCGCCCAACGAGGCCAAGGCGATCGACCCGCAGCAACGGCTGCAGCTGGAGTCTGCATACGAGGCGCTGGAGAATGGTATGTACGCTAGCAGCATCAGGTGTTGTCCGTCTCTTCCTTGCTGACACAGCCAGCTGGCATCCCAATGGAAAAGGTCGTGGGCAGCGACACGTCTGTGTATGTGGACGTGTTCAACCGCGACTACTCGGAGATGCTGGCACGCGAAACCGAGACAAGGCCGGTGTACCAGGCGACGGGCAACGGACAGGCCATCCTGTCGAACCGGATCTCGTACTTTTTCGACCTCAGGGGCCCCAGCATCACGCTGGACACGGCATGTTTGGCCAGCCTGTCGGCCCTGCATTTGGCCTGCCAGAGCTATACGTATGACCACCGGGCAGCCGGCTACTCGCGAGTCGAGGGTGTGGCCACGGTCGTTCTCAAGCCGCTCGACGATGTTCTGCGTGACGGTGATCCGATCCGCGCCGTCATCCGCCAGACCACCGTCAACCAGGACGGCCGCACGGCCGGAATCACGCTGCCCAGCCGGTCGGCCCAGGAGTCGCTCATCCGCACAGCCTATCGCATGGCTGGCCTCGATCCTGCTCTCACCGGCTACTTTGAGGCCCACGGCACTGGCACCGCTGCCGGAGACCCGCTCGAGGCCGGCGCCATTTCCACTGTTTTTGGGTCCTGTCGCCCGGCTTCTGATCCCATTATAGTCGGGTCCGTCAAGACCAACCTCGGTCATCTCGAGGGTGCCAGCGGCCTTGCCGGCCTCATCAAGGCCATCCTCATCCTCGAGCACGGCATGATCCCACCCAACCTCAATTTCGAAAAGGCCAACGAGTCCATCCCACTGGAAGAGTGGAACATCAAGGTCCTCCTGCAGCTGCAGCCGTGGCCGAAGCCTGGCCTTCGTCGGGCGTCGGTGAACTCGTTTGGTTATGGCGGGACGAATGCGCACGTGATCCTTGATGATGTGAGTGCCTGTCGCTCTTTCCTGTTTGGTTTTCCTATTTTTTTTTCTCCCTGTCTCTCCTGTTTGCACGGAGCTGACGCAATCAGGCATGCAATTTCCTCAAAAAGTACCAACTACAAAGTCGTTGATTGAGCAACGGCACAAGCAACCACCACGCCTGCCCCCCAGTACAGCAGAGCCGGGGTTTTTTTGAGCGCCAACGACGATGCATCGGGCAAGGCATACGCGAAGCGGCTAGCGTCGTACATCCGGCAGAGCAAAGTGGCCGACGCCGACCGCGAGCTGCAAGACCTCGCATTCAAGCTAGCCGAGCGACGATCACAGCTGCCATAACGCCTAGCAATCAAGGCGGTGACATCCAAGGAGCTCGTGGCAGCACTGGACGGCACCGATGGCACAGACGGACCCAAGCTGACACGCAGCGCCAAGGCGCCACGGCTAGCCTTTGTGTTCACAGGCCAGGGAGCACAGTGGTTTGCCATGGGACGGGAGCTGGTCCCAATGTATGCCGTCTTCCGACAGCGACTGGAGTCGGCCGATACGCTGCTGTGAACGCTGGGGGCGACGTGGTCGTTGATGCAAGAGCTGCTGCGCAGCGAACAGACGACGCGACTGGATGAGCTGTTCCTGTCGCAGCCGGTTTGCACGGCCGTGCAGCTGGCCCTTGTCGATACGCCGGCATCATGGAGCATCATTTCTTCGGCCGTGGTGGGCCACTCTAGCGGCGAGATTGCGGCAGCCTACGCAGCTGGAGCGCTGGACTTTGCCGCTGCTATCAAGATCGCCTACTTCCGCGGCCTGGTCTCGGCGACAGTGCCGGAGCGCTGCGGCCGCAGAGGCGCCATGCTGGCCGTCGGCCTGGGGCGGGCAGCGGCCGAAGAGCGCATTCGTCAGAGCGTGGCGGCCGACGTCGGCACAGTCACGGTGGCGTGTGTCAACAGCCCGGCCAGCACGACGGTATCGGGTGACGCTGAGGCAGTGCAGCAGCTGTGCACAAGCCTCCAGGCCGACGGCGTGTTTGCACGCATCCTCAAGGTCGGCGTGGCCTACCACTCACACCACATGCACGCCGTGGCCGACGAGTACCTGCGGCTGCTGCAGGGCTGCATCGACCCTAAGCCGGCCCGGCCAGACGTGCACTTTTTCTCGTCCGTCACTGGCGGCCACATGGCCGACACCACTGCTCTGACTGCGCAGTACTGGGTGCGAAACATGGTCTCGCCCGTGCTCTTTGCCGATGCGGCCGCGGCGCTCTGCACGGGGACGCTGCAGGGAAAGGCAACGACCCAGCGACGACGTCGAACTGCTGCTCGTGATGGCGTCGATATTCTGGTAGAGATTGGACCCCACGCCGCTCTCAGCGGCCCGCTCAAGCAAATCCTGGCCGAGAAGAAGCAGCAGCAGATCTACGGCCCAGTGCTGGTGCTCGGAAAGGATGCCGTGAATACCACGCTGGACCTGGTGATCATGCTCACAACAAGGGGCTACGAAGCCCATTTGGATGCGGTTAACTTCCCGCACGGCCGAGCATCATCGGTCAAGGTGCTGCAGGACCTGCCGCCGTATGCATGGAACCACACGACGGTGCACTGGGCAGAGTCGCGCATCGGCATGGGCTACCGGTTTCGCAAGTTCCCACGACACGACCTGGTGGGTGCGCCGGTGGGTGACTTCAACCCGACGGAGCCGCGGTGGCGCAACTTTATCCGGCTGTCGGAGAACCCGTGGGTGGCCGACCATCAGGTGGCACGCAGAATCCTGTACCCAGCCGCGGGCATGATGGTCATGGCCATTGAGGCGATGAGGCAGATGCTGGTCATTGGCGACGTGCAGACGGTCATCGAGGGCTACGAGCTGCGCGACGTCAACATTGGCAAGGCCCTGGTGGTGCCCGAGTCGGCTGAGGGCGTGGAGACGATGCTGGTGATGCGTCCGGTGACGGCGAGCGCACGCAGCTCCTCGGACCTGTGGCACGAGTTCCGCATCTTCTCTGTGTCCAAGGTCGAGGGCTGGGTAGAGCACTCGCGCGGCCGCATTGCCTACCGCTTCCGCCAGCCTCCTTCGGTCGTGGATGGCGGCTGGGAAGCAGCACAACACGCGGCCGATATTGCTGAGGCATACACGATATCTCGGGAAGCCTGTGTCAACAAAATCGACGTCCAGGATCTGTACGCGTCGCTGGACGCCATCGGGCTCTCATACGGCGAGACATTCCGCAATATCACCAGCATGGCCGGCGGGCCGGGTCGATCGTTTGGCACCATCAAGATCGCCAACACACGCGACGCGATGCCATACCAGTTTGAGCACTCATATCTGATCCACCCAGCAACTCTGGACTGCGCGCTGCAGGCCATGTTCCCGGCCCTTGCGCCAGCCGGCACGACGGTCGAGACGGCCATGGTGCCGACATTTGTGCGCAGCATGTTCATCTCGAGCGAGATCTCGAGCGAGCCCGGGCACGAGTATGAGGCCTGGTCTGAGGCACGCTTCGAGGGCTTCAAGAGCACGACGGCCAGAGTCACGGTGGTCGACAGCCATGACACCACAGCAGTGCGACCCATCATCGAGATCAGCGGCATGGAGTGTGCGAGCCTGGCAGACCAGTCGACCCCGACTGACGATGACGGCCAGACACGGCCACCGAAGCTCTGCTTCATCATGGACTGGGATGTGGACGTGAACCTGATGACACAGGCAGACCTCGAGCGGCTTTCGCCCGTCCGGCCGGCTGACGAGCAGGACCGCAAGCAGATCGTCACGCACGACATGTATCGCGACAGCATGGGCATCGATCGTTGCTACGAGCACATGGCGGCCTACATGGACAAACTGGCGCACAAGTACCCGACGCTGCGCGTACTTGAGATTGGTGCGGGCACAGGTGGTGCGACGTTGCCGATGCTGCAGACGCTGGGAGGAAGAGGAAGCGGCCCGAGACGGAAGCACTACGGCCGGCTCAGCAGCTACGACTTTACCGACATCTCAACCGGATTTTTTGAGAAGGCGCGCGAGAACTTCAAGGACTGGGCCGGGCTGGTGCACTTCCGCAAACTCGACATTGAGCAGCGGCCAGTCGAACAGGGCTTTGACGAGGGCACGTACGACGTCGTCGTGGCGGCCAACGTGCTGCACGCAACCCGGCAGATGCGCGTCACGCTGGACCACGTGCGGCGGCTGCTGAAGCCAGACGGCAAGCTGGTCCTGATGGAGATCACCGAGCGCACGCTGCGCATGACGCTGACGCTGGGCAACCTGCCAGGCTGGTGGTTGGGCGCAGCCGAGGGCCGTGTCGAAGGCCCGTCGTTGTCAGTGGCCGAGTGGGATGGCCTGCTGCAAGAGACCGGCTTCTCCGGCCTGTAGATGAGCTTGCCCGACTATCTCAACGTCAGCGACCGGTTCTACAGTGCCATCACGGCGACGGCCGTCGAAGCTGTCGAGCACGCCCTTCCTCCCATCCTCGTCGTTCCACCGACAGAGGCCAGCACGAGCCCGATGACGACAGTTGACCGTGTCATTGAAAGCATCAGGGCCACGACGGTGTCTCGCGTCTCCCTGTCCCAGCTGGCGGCTGCCAATGCGGCCGGCGCCCTGATCGTCTTCCTCGCCGAGCTCGAGTCGCCGCTGCTGGCGACGGTGTCGGCAGCCGACTTTGACGCCATCCGCGGGGCCATTGGCGCGGCCAAGGGTATCTTCTGGGTGGCCCGTGGCGGCACTGTCGAGGGGCACGTGCCCGAGGCAAACCTGATTACAGGACTTTCCAGGACGATCAGGGCCGAGAAGCATGCTCTCAAATTTGTCACATTGGATTTAGATGGGGAGAGGATGGTGGCGGATGACAGTGAGAAGGACAACACCAACATCGACGTCAACGTCATCATTCGAGTCAGCTCATGTGGAACTGGCACCGTTTGTACAGCCAGGCCGGCCACTGAAGCTGGACATTGGCGTGCCGGGACTGCTAGACAGTCTGCGGTTCATCGACGACCCGATGCACACACCAGCACAAGACGGCACAGAACCACCGCCACTAGGACAGGACGAGGTCGGCATTGACATCCGCGCAACGGGCGTCAACTTCAAGGACATCATGGTCTCGATGGGACAACTGGTCGAAGACTTTCTCGGCTGGGAACACGCGGCATGGTGGATGACGGGCTGCAGTCGGCGGCGGAGGACGAGGGCGGGGCGGTTCATCTGGCGGCTGGTCCAAGTTTTGCTTCACTAATGATGACATAAGCCCGGAGACCCAGGTTCGAAGTAACCGGTCGACAGAACCAGCTACATTATGCGCGACGCAAAGTCTCAGACCGGTAAGCCGTCCGGGAGTAGTATTAAACAAGAAGACTAATGCAGCTCTATACTAGCGTCGTAGTCATCGCACGTCTATGGCTGCCCCTCGTTTTCTCAGCCGTTTCCCCAATGTCCTTCAAGTCTGCATCTTCCGGTCTGTGTTCTGCCCAAGGCCTGATGCGTGTACGTACAATCTGCCTACTCGCTATATTTTGAAACTCAAGCCAGCCATCATGACTACGAAGATACCGCAAGCTGAGAGCCTTGTAGCAGCCGGATTGCGGCCCCGGAAACTGGCTCCGTCAGACGCCCAGTACATGGCTCGGCAGGATTCGTACTGGTCCAGTATGCATTCCTGCAGCCCCATACGGCCGAGGAAGTGGACATGGCTGCCAAGGCGCTAGTGTCGTCGGGGCAGAAGTTTGCCGTCCGCAGTGGTGGCCACACAGGCTGGGCTGGATCCAATAATATTGAGGGCGGCGTGACAATGGACCTCGAGCATCTCCACCGTGTGGAGTACGACGGGGCCAGTGAGACGGTGCACATCGGCCCCCGCAGCCGGTGCACATCGGCCCCCGCAGCCGGTGGCGCTAGGTGTACGCCGAGCTGGACCAGTACGGACGGGTGGTGGCTGGTGGACGCGAAGGAAACGTTGGCGTGGCGGGCTTCCTTCATGGCCGGTCACGGCTTCGAGTGCGACAACGTGCTTGCGTATGAGGTGGTGCTGGCTACGGGCGAAATCATGGCTGTTGGCCCAACTGGCCCCCATGCTGATCTGTTCCGTGCGCTCAAGGGCGGCTCCAACAACTTCGGCATTGTCACAGACTTCAGCATGAAGGCCATTCCGTGCAGCAAAGTCTGGGGTGGCATGGCCTTCCTACCCAAGACGGCTATCCCCGGCGCTATCGAGGCCTTGTCGGCCTTCACCGACAATATCCCCAACGACCCGGACAGCAACCTCTTATAAACACAGTCCAATGGACAACCGTTTCCGAAATGGCCTTTTAGTACAACATCCTGGCTAACTACTTACTAGAGCAAGAAATAATGACGAGCATGGTCATGTCTCTTTTAATATACTCAACGCTCCTGGCCAGTCGATTGTTATGCCATGCCAAGACCGTCCTGGTAGAGATGATGAAATCTGCCCGTCTTGGTACCCGCGCCAATCGATGGACAAATAATCGTCATCGCAGAGCGTGCTTGGGGAAAATGTGCCATCAGCCAATGCGGCTAGCCAAGCTGCGTCTTAGTCGTAACGCAAAAGCCGTCCTTTGCATATAAAATAAGTATCCGGTACCAGCTAGTAGAGCCGTTAAGGAAGGCTTTGGAAGAAGTGGTGACAAGTACGGAATCGTGTATTAGTGGTTATTTTAGCGATCCCGCACTTTATCAATAGAGAAAGGCCGGTTTACCTCGTTAACATAGGAAACGACGCGTAACCTATCGATGGTCATATGTTGCTAAAGCAAACCACCGAGCATGCTGCGTCCGCTGTCCGCGAAGAGATTGCCGTTACTACCTGGTCGGCTCTATGTTAATACGACACGTCTCCTTATGATACAAGTTTTTGGCGTGCCAAGCCTTAGGTCTTGACCTTTGGACCCACCCAACGAACCCTCTTGTTAGCGAGAGCTTAGCCCGTGTGTAGCATATGTCTATAAACGTATAGGAAGCAGTCGGTGAGCTAAGGTCTAGGAGCATTAGCAAGGCTCAATCTTGACCAAGAAGAGCACCAGTTATTAACAGTATATCGCAACCCCGCGCCCAGTTCCGGTTCATTTCAGCCATGGCCGCGGTAATAAGATGCCAATAGCGGATTAACTTATGGCGCACTGACGTCAAAATACATGGCATCTGCAGCATTGTAGATGTCATGAGCGACTAGAGAAGCGTGCCATCTTCGTCTACCCATTCAGATTGCCTAGGCTTATCGTTGACAAGTCTAGTTCAAAACACCTTCAAGGCTTGGAAGGACTCGCACTGCCGAGGTTGATTCGCATTGTTCTCGTACTTCAAGTTGTAAACTGGCTTGGGTTGCATGTTTGATGACGGCGCGATACGGTAACAACGATGCAATTGGTTTAAAGCACACAATTTTGTGGGATGTAACACGGAGCAACCACCAAGACCGGCCGTTATCCCAACCTTCTACTTTGCTAAGGCAATGATGCAGCTGTAACTAGTTGATAGACAAGACTAGGCAATTTTCGGGCTTGCAATACTATACCTAAAGAAAAGGAGAAGGTTGATAGCGTCTATTCTTTTTATCTATTTTATGTACACATTTGTTTATTTATACGGTTTAACGTCGCCATTCAAGGGGGGTTTCCCCAAGAACTAACTCGCCTCCCTAAGGGCATGCGACGGAGGAGGCAGGGGACAAATTCTTACCCGCTCCTCAGGTCTATCTAGGTGGCTGCATTACAGCTGTCTTGGTGCTTCCTAACGTCCTCCGGGTGACGCAGTGCTCATCGTGGTTCTGTGGCCTGTGAGGGCAGTGTCGGAGCTTAGGGTGGGATGTCCGTTGGGCACCCGTCCTAGGCGCGGAGCCGACTTGGTCGGTGAGTGTTAGGCCAGCCCATAGGGCCGGCAAGCACCGCTACCCTTCCTCGGCAGTCACCGAGAGGTATAGCGCAAAGAGAGAGGGCTTCCGTTATTTTATGTACACAGCCAGCCAGTTGAGACCCAATTTGCGTGATAAAGAAGCAACTCAAAAGTATAAAAAGCGACAAATTCTCCCGTTTTGTTTACAACCACTTGAAGAGAAAACTGTGTCTAAGTCGATCCAACAACCTATCACATCTATACATCTGTCATCACTCTATCGCATAAAATGGGCCTTAACGGTTGGATGGCTCGCAGGACTGCAAACTGGTGGCAGTCTTGGTATATGAGCAACACTGCAGTCCAGTACGTTTGTGCCGCTTGTGGTATAGTTTCTGGAATCATGTTTATTCTTGCCTTTATCATTGCCCATTTTGTGCCTCCTACGCATCCTTGGTGGGACGCGGATCAAATAGCGCACTTCTACCAGGAACATACGACTCGCATCCGTGCTGGTGCTACCGTTCTTATGATTTCTGGGGGCTTCTATCTTCCCTTTTCTACGGCTATCTCATACCAGATTCGGCGTGTTCCACACATTCCGTGGATTATATACCAAGTACAGCTAGCCTCAGCTGTGGCTGGAATTTGGACATATATGCTGCCAGGAATTGTTCTTGCAATCGCATCGTTTCGCCCCGAACGGCCAAGTGAAGTTACCCATGCTCTCAATGACTTTTTTGTGAGTAGTTTTAGACTAGCAAACTACACTCTATACTTTTTGTAAGAGTTTGACTAAGTTATTTTTAGTGGCTTGTTGCCCTTATGCCTTGGCCTACCTTTATGGTACAGAACTTTGCCTTCGCTTTTGCTATTCTGTACGATAACCGCAAGAAACCGCTATTCCCAAAGGAGCTTGCTATTATCAACATTATCGTACCTATTCTCCTTACGACAACTACTGGAATTCACACACAAGTCAAAGGGCCATTCTCATACAACGGAGTTCTTGGTTTCTACATTCCAGGCTTCATATTCACTGTGCAGCAGATCATAGACGGGATATTTCTGGCTCGTGCGGCCTATCATGAAGAGAAGGACGGAAAGCTTAACGACTGTGAGAGCAACTTGGGAGAGACCTTGGCTCCGTCGAAGAATGATTAAAGCGAGAGGCAGAAGTGCGCGGAACAAGACTGACATGCCTATCTGTGGGCTCTTATTTCTGTGCTTCCTTTTTAATTATTTGCGAAGCTGGTAAATGTTGTTGTGCCTTGGGGCATAAGAGCGTTTCCTGCATTAGTCTTCTGCATCGACCTAATATTGGCTTTACTAACTTGTCGAATATGAGCACATTCATTTGTTGTTAACTCTCCGTTTATCCTTCTACTTTCCTTCTTTATCTGTTGTGCTTTAATTCATTGTGCTGCAATCTGCAGTTGTTACACAACAATTGTCCATTAGGTCAAATACTAAACTTATTACTACCGCTTTACGTACATTGATATGCACATGGGCCAATACTTTCACAATAAGAGTCCTGCGGCAAAAGCAGTTTTTTCTCGCCGCGGCTCACAAGGACACCGGAAGAGTCGCTCAGCGTATCATTGGCCGTCTCTTTGCAATAGTCTTGTCATAAACATACGATCTGCTGCCTCAATACACAAAGGCCTCGTACTCCTTCTCGGGCGCGTCAAAGTACCAGGTGAGATCGCGGTCCTCGGCCTCCATGACGGAGAAGCCGTTGCCGAGATAGGCCCAGCGGTTAGGGCTGCAGGAGGTCCAGTCCCAGTCCTCGTAGCGGGGCTCACGAAGCAGGTGAAACCAGTGCAGACGGCTGCCAGGGTGGAGGCCGGTAACGGGGCCGGACTCGCGACCGTTCTTGAACCAGCTGCGACATTTTCCGGCCCAGGCAGTGCGTGGAAGAAAAGCATCGGCGTGTTGGACGAACTCGTCGATAGCGGCCGGTCGTGGACAAAAGGCTCGATAGCCCTCGGTCTGGGCCTTGTGGACCATCCGGAGCATATACTTTGTGAGGTGCTCGATGATGGGGATGGCGGAGCCGTGGCCAACGGGCGCGTTGGGGCCGAGGAACATAAAGTAGTTGGGCATGTCGGCAGGCGTCATGGAGAGATAGGCAGTCGGGCGTTCAGCCCAGGCGTCGCTCAGGTCGACGCCACCACGGCCGACAATGGGGAAGCGCGGTCGGAAGGAGAGGTCGAAGCCGGTGGCACAGACGATGACATCGACCGCAACCTTTTCACCAGAGCCAGCCATGACGAGGCCGTCAGGCTCGACACGGACAATCTCCGTGCCCGTGATGACGCGCACGTTGTCAGCCGAGAGTGCCTCGAGGTAGCCGTTGCCGGGCGAAGGACGGCGACAGCCAACGGGGAAGTCTGGGATCAGAAAGTCGGCCAGCGCCTTGTTGCGCGGGTTCACCGCTGTAGCTGCTGCGGATGTCTCGTCGCTGACGCCCAGCCGCCGCCGCATGTCGGCACGCGAAAAGGCCACTGCAGCCGCCTGCTCGGGCGTGTCTGCATGCAGCATACGGAACCGGCTCGACAGCTCGTGCTCGACGCCTTTGCGGTAGGCCAAGTAGGCAGCCGGATCGGACGCAAAGTGCTGCTTCTGCTCGTCGGAAAAGGCAAAGTTCAGGCCGCCGGGAGCAGCATACTTGCTGCCAAAACCAGCAGTGATCCACTGGGGAAGTTAGCAGGCTTCGAAGATGAGCGAACAGCATATCCACATATCCACATGCCATCTCATAAAAGCATCATAGCATCGTCGCCAGCATCAGCAACACAATACACACTCACCGTTGGCCCCCGGATAAACGTTGTCAGATGCTTGACCACCGGCTGCAGCGCCGTGACGACCTGAATGCCGCTGGACCCGTAGCCGATCACGGCCACGGTCTTGTCGTGGAGGTCGATCTGGTCGTCCCAGGCAGCGCTGTGCAGCAGCGTGCCACCAAACGAGTGCAGCCCGTCAATAGCCGGCCACTTCCAGTTGTTGAGGTAACCGCTGGCGTTGATGAAGAAGTGTCCATAGTCGGCATGTTGCGTCCCTGTGGCCACATCCTCGATCTGGAAGCGCCACAGGCCCTCGTCCTCGTGCCAGACGGCCTCAGTGACGCGCTGACCGAATCTCACGTACGGCAGCAACCCGTGTTTCTCGGCTGCCCGCGTAAAGTAGGCCAGGATCTCGGGCTGCGATGCGTAGTAGTCCGTCCAAGTCGGATTTGGCTCCCACGAGTACTGGTAGTTGTGGCTCGGAATGTCGCAGGCACAGCCCGGGTAGCTGTTCTCCAGCCAGGTCCCCCCGACAGCTCCGTCCTTCTCGTATATCTGCAGCTCCACGTTCTGCATGTGCTCCTTGACGTTGCGCGCCACGTTGAGCCCGCTGGCTCCGGCTCCGATCGTGATGATGCGGATCGGCCGCGCCGTGCCCATCGGCTGCTCAACCACCTTGTAGCTGCTATGGGTGGTCATCTTTGCAGTTCTGCTCGCTGTCGGTCCTTGACGTCTCGACGTAGGTACTCTCTGCTTTTCTATCCTTCTTTTCTGCCCTTCTCCTCCGGGTCCTGTCTGCTAGCTCGGTCCAGCTATCCGATTGAGCCATCGCGACGTCGCGACCACCTGATGAGGCCCAGCGAAGTCGGTCTTCCGGCAACAACCAGCCACTCAGCGTCCTTCACAACATAGCCCCAGGTCCCATTGCTCGGCGATTGTGTTAGCTAGAGTGCCATTGGATAACAGCGCCGCCAGCCAAATCCTAGCTAGCCGTGCCATCCCGCCATCCATTACGTCATCACATCCGGAGTTTAGCCGTCTGCTAATGCTCTGTCTGATCATCGACTCGGCCCAATTGTCGCTGCATCTGGTGACGATCGTTGTCCGCTCTGTTCCTCGTCCCAGCTTACGTCTCAGTTTCTGCCATCCCTCATCTAGCCACAAAGAGGATCGACTAAAGGAGTCGCCAGGAGAGCAGGAAAGCACCATGTCGTCCTCATCCTTTAACCACGTCAACTTCACCCCGGCTGCCGGCACGCCACCGAATGTGGAGGCGGCCATCCGCAGCAGCAGCAGCTTCACCATCCTAGCGCCGCCCAAGTCAGATATTTACGCGCAACCGGTGCCGCCGGTCACGCACGACTACAACGCGCCAGCTGTCTTTCGCCGCATCCCCAAGACCAGCTTCGTGTCGGCGCAGCTGACGATCGCCGGCGCCTGGCAGCACCAGTTTGATCAAGGCGGCTTCCTCTTCACGCTGCCGACGAAGGACAATCCGAATCCGGACGCGGTCAGCGGTGCCGTCCACGCCAGCCATCCGGCCTGGATCAAGGCTGGCATCGAGACCAACGACGGCTTCCCCTGCGTCAGCATCGTCGCCCGCGCTCACGGTGGCTGGTGTGACTGGAGCCTGCTGCCGCTCTTTGATGCGCCCGTCAGCGCCAACACTGTCACGTCCGCTACCCTCGCGTTCGAGCGCTATCACAACGCCCTCAAGATCTTCCTCGTCCGCGGCCACGGCGCCGACGCGTCCCGCTCACTCATCCGCAAGGTGCCCTGGGTCTTCCTCGACAACGTACCTGAGCTCGGCCAGGACGTCCTCGTCGGCGTCTACGCTGCTCAGCCGGACCCTGAGAACGAGTCCTCCGGCAAGTCGTTTGAGGTCACCTTCTCCGGCTTTCAGATCCACACCACGGAATATGGTGCATAGACATAGATCAAGGTTTTACACTAAGCACTAGTTGCTTCAACTGTACATGTAAAGTGCGCTCTGAAATTCATTCATCCTGCCCAAGTAATTGCATAACCGAAAGGTCTTTGTCCAATCCGGCTTTCCTCTAAACAGACTTACAGTTTTTCCCCCACCCAACTCTGTCCAATAAGTTGCCAGTTTGCGTATCGTTAAGCCCTCATTTTTGTTCTACGTACAAAGTATAGAATATGGAAAGACAACAGAAGCATGGAATAGAATTATGAAAGATCTTGCAATATTTCTGTCTTCGGTCCGATATCGGATCTTCGATCTGTTATCTCTCTGATCGGTTCATTACACTACAGGCGAGGGAGAGTTTGCCCATCAGAAGAGGGAGGTGCAAGGGAGATTGATTGTTACACGGGGGAGGGAACATGCCCTCACCCCGCTCCTTCACATTTTCTTCTACAAATTGCATGCACATTTTACAGTCTTCATCTTCGAGATCTTCATTCTTTTGTTTTGTTGAGCAGAGCGTTCCATCAACGAAAATACATGTTCTATTTCGTGCTTCATCGATAAAACTACAAGTACGACAAACAAACGCACATAAAGGCGGAGTGAGCGGTGGAATCGCCGCAAAGACAATTTGAGATGGCGGGCACTCGTTGCCGACCGCATATGTCGCTGAAATTCACCAGGCAACCAGGCCAAATGGTGGCACCGAGCCTTTTTGGGAGATGTTGCTGGGGGACCGAGTCGACGCATACCAACAACCTAGAACGGGAATGGCACGAAGCCGAGTACGACATGACGATGACCGACTTAGACATGATCAAAGTCTGCGAGACGTCGAAGATGTAATTTCCCAAGGAGACAACAATCCGACGAGGCAGGTTGCCGCAATTGTGAAGGCAAAAGCCATTAGAGAATTTGCGGCTCTTCAAATTAGGGCGATAGAGGATACGATAAAGGCCTAGATCACGCTTCTTACCCGCAACCTTATTCCGCGGTAGGAAGACAAATAAACCGACACGGGTGCAAAACGTATGGTCGAAAGACCTCTTTGAGGGAAAGGAGAAAGCCGATGGGGTGGCAAAGGGAGCGGCAGGGGATGTAGCCGGCGGGATAAAAGCCCCTGGTCCAAAGGAAGGAGGGGCAGCTGGTGGGAAGGACGCATTCCTGGGATGGATACTGCATGCATCGTGTTACGGTGTAGCATGCCACAGTAGTTGACACCGAGCCTTGATTATATCGCGCAGGGCTTTAGCTGTACTGCTAGACACTACGACACTGGAATATCCTGTGCATGTTTCGTTAAAGCTATCCTCTTGTAAGAAAAGCAACATATCCCTGTCAAAGTCTAGATAGAATGATTAGAAGCATCAAATACTTGGGTAAGTCTCAAACCAGCAATTCCACGGAGTACATCACCCAAAATGTTAGCTTGGGTATTGATAGTAACCTCGCCCCGATCTCATCCAGACTTGAGATAGGAACACTTCGCCTTGGATGCCCCTCCACCGGGACCTTTCCTCCTCATCTCACCCATGTCGTCTAAGGAGCCCTCCGCGCCACCCTCCAGGTAAAGAAGCTCAGCCTCAAGCTTGCTAGCTCCTACTGCTTTAGACCAGTTGACTCAGACATGTGATCATCCCTTCCTTTGAGGGCTTGATTGCGCTTTTTAGCCTCCATCAAAGAATCATCGCAGTCCTCATATATCTCTAGTGTACTTTCGAACACAAGCCGGCTCACGGTACCTTTTCTCAAGCTCTTCCGTCCCGCTTTCCCGGCTCCGGACAGCGATGCCAGTTTTGGAAATTGTGGCCTGATGGTATCCCCCGACTGTCTCATTGAGTTGTCCTATCACTTAGCCCGTCATGAGCAAATCGGCTCTTCCGGCACCCAATGCGACAGCGCCTCACGAGGCATCTCAGGTCCTTGTCATCCTCATCAGGGGTGTACAGAGGGTACGTCATACAAAGGTGGTCACAGGGGCGGGGGTTTCAGGTTTAAAGGCCCATAAATCAAAATTTTCTCCCAGACAACGGCGAGATATGACGAGTGTCCACCAATTGACAGATAACGACACTGCCAATGAAGCGGTGAATACGAACCATCGCGTCAGGGCTGGGCTTCCAGGTGGCAAAACGCGGGTATTTACTTTCATGTCTGTCACATGAAAATTCACCTCATTGCAGCTTCACGTCCGAGTGAAGGTCCTTATACGAGACAGTAATACACTCTGATTGGCCAGCCGTCTATGCAACCCCTGTGCAATGTGTCAAGCATTGGAATCCGCCACACTGTGGCCCTTCCGCCCCACTTGGCCGTACGGGCCTGTAATTGGTCAGAAGGCACAAAAGCGGGCCTGACACTAGTATTAATACGGATCCCCAGAAGGGTCGCGATGTATCTATTTCTTCCTTAGTACACAACACTCTTTCGCCCACACTAGACCCTATTCAGCCTCCTGCTCCTCACAGTGCATCACGTTATATGACCGCTACGTATAGCCTCCTTTAACCTTCACACAATGCCTTGCATCTCCGGGGTTCCCGTCTCCAGGGCCATATTGCGGCCCGATCTAATACGCAATCTGCCTTTTGCATGCGACGTGCACCAACAGGTTTGTGCCTGTCAAGAGGTCTTGGGTTGTATTATGCCCGAATCACAGTGAGCGCCGAAGCGGACGACTCAGCCCTGAGCAAGGCTGAGTCAGCGACGTGGCGGTCTCGGAGTCGGCAGTTTTTACGAACATGCCAATTAGGTGGATGCTCCCGCGTCCTCGTTGGTGCCCAGTATTCGCAACTGCTTTTTTTGGCACCTTCCTCCACAACCACACAGGTGGACCAAAATCAGCCCCTGGGACCAGCCAAAGCTGAGGAGGGAGCCTGCGGCTGGCGGCAACAATGGCCTGTCGCAGAGAAGATTGCCGCCAAACAAGGTGTCTGTCGGTTTATCTTCGGTTTATCAGGGACTGTGCCTATGCCATACAGACGACTAAATATGAGTATATAACGTCACAGCTCATGCCGTACGAGAGACGACGATGTTGAAAAGAGCTCTTCAATCAGCCTTTCAAGGCCCATTGGGACACATTAAGACGCCTTAGGGCTCAAGTCACTTTCTTAGGCGTTCAGCGACTTCCTTTTATTTTCTTCTGATTTTCTCTTTCTCTTCTCTCATTTCATCATGGCGGACATCCTGGGCACTGCAGCAACTGTGCTACAGCTCATTGGTGCTATCAAGACCACCTGGGACTTTTTCGATGAAATGCATAAAGCTCCAAGGACGGTGCTGAAATACCAGCGCATGATCGAAAACCTGGAGATAACCCTTCAATTTGTCAAAGACTACTACTCACTCCTCTCCATAAATCAACTCGCCAATGTCCAGGAAGCTCTAAGCTCCAAGCACATCTCGGAAACCTCCATCGGCAGGATTTTGGACAAAATACGCCAAGATCTAGAGGTCGTTTCAACCGAGCTCAGAAAGCACTCGGACAACAGCTTGAAGCTCCTAGCCAACGCCAAATTGGTCTTCCGAAAAGCGTCTATTGTCGAGGCGTTTGAGAACATAGAATACGAAAAGTCATCACTCTCTCTGATACTCGGCTCTATTCAGGGGTATGCTTTGGATTTGTTTCTTTTCTCTCTTATTGTCAACAACCATTGACACTTTCAAAGAATGATAGCCGCTACTCAGTTTGCCTCGATACAAGCCCAAACTCAAAGGTCGATTCTTTTTACCGATGCCGATTATGTGGTGGACCAGCTGCGGTCCAGCATCGTCCATGCTGTGCAAAACTCGGCAATGTTCAGCAAGTCTTTAAACGGGTCATCCATGAACCTTCTTACAGGTTGTGATGACGATGAAAACTACGACAATGTTGACGTCGAAGCTGGGAGTCGCCGTCTCTCTTTGTCTATCGCCTCCCGTCAGTCTTCTCAAAAATTAGTCTGCAACAAGGACGTTTCAGTCACGCTGCCCCACATCGACAACGTTGAAGATGACGGCTACTATATCCAGGATGCGGATATGTACGGTTGCAAGAGCCGCTTCGGCAGCATCATAATCCACGTTTCAACATACTGTTCCAAAACCTCTATCTTCCACAGGCCTCTCATCAACATACAGGCCAGCCTGTCGCTCCGAAAGAGCTCATTGATGCATGGGAGGGTCTTCCAGTTTCGGTTCCAGCAAGTGATGCACACTTCCAGGTTGTCGGGGCTGTTTTCCTCCTCTAGCAGTGGCCGCATCTTTAGAGAAAACAGTCTCGCCATTCAATGTATCGCTGCTGGAAACTGGCAGGGAATCAGAGACCTTCCAAGCCGACGCCAGATCTCGGTATACGACACAGATGATTACGGTCGAACCTATCTTCATGTGAGTCAGAATGGCAGCCAGACAGCTTTATTCAAAGTCTACGAAACGCTACTAACTCAATATGACAGTATGCGGCGACACATGGCTTGGTCGATATAGCAAAGACGCTGATCCAAGAGGGTGCGGACCCTGGAGCAAAAGACCAGTGCGTTCCTATTTGAATGCTCGTCCACTCTTGCTGCTCGCTTTGACTGACATCTCTGTAGTTTTGCAACCACTCCGCTGGACCAGCTTCTCATGTATGGGCCAGGCAACTCCATGCTTCTCAGCCAGATCTACAGCAGCGCAAACAAGGACCCATTGAGCCGCTTTGTGGACTGTTTTTACTTTTTGCAGTTCAGGGGAATCAACCCCGACTGTATTGGAACCAAGCGGGGCAGTGATGGCATCAGCAGCCGGCATTCCGACATGGCGGCTCTCGGCGTCCGTGCCGGCACCCCTGGCTCTCAGTCTGCTGCAGTTGTGCAGGGCTGGAGAACTTTTATTTCGGGCGTCGGGGCCAACGTCAACGCCAACCTGGCCCACCACAATAGCAGTGCATTGTCCCTGCTAGCGGCCTCTCGCCACTCGACGGCCACATCTATACAGGCCCTCTTAGCTCTCGGGGCGGATGTGAACTATACTGACGTCAACAATATGCAGCCGCTACACTACTTCTTCCACTACGCCTACTCGAGCACAACGAATCAGCCCCTGATCCCCTCCCAGCGCAGGGCCGTGCAGGACAAGACATTTACCCTGATCGAGGCCGGGGCAGATCTCTGCTTCCGGGACCGCTGGGGTCGGAAGCCCAAGCATCTCGCCGCCCGTGCTGGGCTGCTGGACGAGTACAAGGAGGCCGTCAGAAGGTCGAGACATTCTGGGCTCGACTCGTTTGCCGAGGGTGAAGAGTGGCACCGCTGGTTTGATGTGCCGGTGCAGTGTGATTCTGGTCGAGTACCGCACAAGGGAAAAGATCGCCAGCACCGAAATGGAAGCGCAATCCCACACAAACTCGTACACAGACTCGAGCATGGATACGTACATGGGCATTTACACGGACACGGACACCGGGACAGTCACATAACGACAACAGCTACAGAAGCAAACACCACAGCAGAGACGAGACCACATCAATACCTGAGACCACACAACTTCTCTGTGCATCTCAGCCTCCTCTTCAGACCAGCTCACCAGAACACGAGATAGCACATGTTCCTAAGGACGTCCTTGGACTTCACCAGGATGACGGATACCTCGAGCCTAGGCCTATCTCGGAGATTGCTAGCCACCCCTGGCTTCCATTCTACATGCTCCTCCGTTTTGCTGTCTTCTTCCTCAACAGCCTGCACAAGGAGCTGATCTGCTGTGTCTTTTCGGTCGGTCTATCTGCGCTGTTGGATTTTATCGCTCTGGTGAAGAGCTATTAATTTTAATGCACGGCAGAACACAGTATGCCCATTCGATTGTCCTACTCATTTTCAGAAATGTTTTATTTGCTGCGAAACGGCTGTTTCTTTTTTTAGTTTTTATCATAAGGTGGAGTTCTCTTTTTACATTTTTGGTCTTATCAATCGAAGCGGTTTGGGGCGTTTAGGGTGGATGCTTGGCCATTTTCTAGATTTTTGGTAAAGGACACTGTCCTTAAAAACATATATGTGACATGTAATCTGAGCGTAGAAACGTTCAACCAATGATTAGCTACACCGACCAGACACCCTCCTTTAATTACTATCTGGGAAATAAACGTCCGGTTTGTATAAATTGCGGACGGTGTTTTGTCTAGCCCACTCTGTGATCTTGCCATAATCACGGCATTTGTGCCGTACAGCGTTGTCCTCATTCCAACCGGCCAAGGATGTAGGATCTTTCCAAATCAAATAGAGAGACGAGTCAACGTGGCATACGAGCTCCTGCCGCAAAGCCTCGCCACACTGCCGAACGTGAGCTTGCAACTGCTCTATAGTCGTCTTGTTGGGGTTGAAGAGATTCTCTTCTGAGTAATCGTACGTCCTTCTATGTATGTACTTGCGCAGAAGATTCTGAATGTGTAAAAGCTTACGTCGGTCTCGTGTACAAATAAGCCCGTACTTGAAAAACTCACTATACAGTTAGTTTGATAATGAACACTAAGCACAGCTGCCACGCCCCCGCCATCAATCGGTGTCACAGGCCACCGGTCACCTTGAGGGTCCTTCTGAAGCCGGGCGAGCATAGTGTACGGAACACTGACTATTCCGTCTGGCAATAGCGTTAAAAGATCAGATTTATACATCTTATAGCTAGACTGACAAAAAATGATTAATCTTACCGAATGTGTACTCTTTCCATCTCTGCTCCAGGTCCGGCTTCTTATTTGCATCTCCCCGCAATGGCGAGCTAGGATAATAGTAATCGGCAAAGTTGATCCAGGAGTGGCTTACAGCTGAGAACGCCGGCGAATAGGGCCATAGGTGAGCGAAGCATTGGGCATCAGACGGAAGAAAGTAGTGCTTGAAGAGAAATATGCAAAGAGAGAAAAGGAAGCCGCAAAATGATGCTGATAAGTACTTCAAATGATGCATACTTGTCATGTTGTATAGCAAAGATTCGATTATCACTGTCTGTTCTTTTCAGATATTTTTAGGCAGTGTTGGACAAGTGCATACTGACTCGGGCTATCGCACAAGAAACTCTTGTGCTGGCGAAAGGGGGAAGCGAGAAATCATTGTTCATGTAAGATTTCTAGCACGCTGGATACAAATTACGAAACTTTGCAACCGCACGTGTGCTGTACATCAGTGTCTTGCCATGTAAATGGAAATACCGGATGGGAAGCTCAATACTCGGCCCAATGGCTTCCCCCTCTTGAGATAGCGAGTTCGTTCTTCGACAAATACACGTACATACTCCGTACTGGTACGCTCACCCAGTGTCAGACTAGCCTTGTAGATTGCGGGTTACCCAGCAGATAAGAATGTTTGACCAGTTGCACCGTCTGTAAAGGGTGAAAGGCCTTGTGATGATGTCGTGATTATTATATGGGAAGTAGCTAACTAGTCGCATCTTTCAATATCAGGAATACCAAGATCTGCGTTGCGCTGCGTACCAATGTGGGAACACAATAGGTACGTACATCAGCAGCTTCCCAGAACAGTCTGGTATGTCTATTTTCTCCCAAGCATGCAACGCAGATCTCTCACATGCAAGCCTCAATACTATATCTTGATCACTGCCACATTACCTGCTTCTGCACGCTCGTACACAAGTCCCTATCTACGACGCACTTGTGCGGCGATCGTTAAGTGAGGTGGGACAACCTGATGTGTAAAAAAATCACGCTGACGTTAATCGAGACACACAAACCAACTCGGATTTAGGGGAAAGGGAAACTGAAAGTGGGAGAAACTCAAGGCCGAGCAAGATATACGGCCGAGCATACCCTCTGTAAACGATGGATAATCTTCCATCGCCCGTCTATGGTTCACGAAAGCTTCCTATCTATTCATCGTATTTCACTTCAACACCAAGTTCCCGGTGCTTCCAGTCATGAACCTGACTACTGAAGACTTTGATACTTCTGAGCTATCGCCATTTGTCGGACAGAAGCACATAGTTCGCTATGAAAAACGCCGATGGCCATGGATTCTAAGTACAATTGTTCTGGCTAGTTTATCTGCCAGTATTTTGATGATCGTGACAATCCAGAACACGCAACGGTCATTGAACCTCCATGCCCAAGCATGGCATGTGTCTGACTTTCGTGAGTTGCAAGCACGCAGAAAAAGTTGCAGAAATTATGGCTGATGACGCTTTTCAGCTTCAGCTAGACAGGCGATCGACTACGAACAGGTTCTCTTCAACGGGAACTCAGCATACGATGAAAACGGCAGGTTTTATGTGCTCAATCCGTCGCCCATAAAATACACAGGACCACCGAGCATTAAAATCGACGAAGCTTAGAAAAACCTAACAAGCAGTATGTCGAATCTGAATTCAATTTTTGCATATAATTTGAATCTAATAGGATGACAGAGCGAGGTTTCATGATCACCAGAGATGAGGCGTTCCAGCTCTGGGGAGACAGAATGGATGAACACTGGCATTTAAAAAAAAAAGGGTTACCTCGTCGGCTTGGATATTTTCCATACCCTGCATTGCCTGGTATATCCGACCCTTTGAATCCCAGCAACGATACTCCGTAGAGTCAAAGGTCATTTGGTTACATGCTAATCTTGGCCTAACTCAGGACAACCTCCGCAAGATGTTTTATCCAGAGTACTATCCCATTCAAGCCAAATATAAAGATGCGGCTGCAACACACCATGGTAAGCTTATTGAATTACCAAGGGACTTCAAGTAACCCGTTTCTCGTCCCAAGGTCACTGCATCGACCAAATCCGGCAATATGTCATGTGTGCAGGAGACATGACAGCCTATGGGACGCGGTATTTCCAGAACCCTGGGCGTAACTATGCGGATTCAGACGTAGTTCATACCTGCCGTAATTTTAATAAATTACGCGAATGGACCACGCGTAGGTTTCACGCCGGGGGGGCTTTACATATAGAGGGTGTAGAAATCTGGGATTAGTGTGGCAGAATCTAAGCTATACATTATGAGCTTTATTTTAGAAGCGAGTGACCAATTTATTGCCCCATCCAGCCGTTTCCCTATATTCATTTTCGCACAGAGTCGAGGGTCGGCAATATGGAGCGACAGCAAATATATACTCCCATTTCAAGCACAGATAGCCCAGTGGTTCTAGAAGAAGGTAGAACGCAGGTCTTAACGCCACTGCATCTGCCGCATTGGAAAGATATACTGCTCAGGGTCATTTTTTGCCTTGCTCTTATACTCATTGGGGTCTTTACTGGTGTTCTCGCATCGACAAAGGCGAAGCAGCCTAGATTGACAGACTGTGGTAGCTCAATTGCCGAGGCACGTCAACGGGGATGCACATTCGATATCATGATGAATGGATGGATGGCATCCGCACGTTACAACCGCCAGCTCTCGGAGGAATATTTTGCACGTGGACAGTTTCGTTTCTTCGCCGACGAATTCGGTTTTCGGGAGGTCGCACTGGATGTTGTCCGGCGCGGTGAACATGGACACATATTTACGACCGTCGATCATCATCTCTCACATTGCGCCTTTATGTGGCAGCTACAGGTTCTAGCCCTTCACGAACATAAGTCTATTGATGAACGTTCCATGGACATCACGCACACGGCGCACTGCGCGAAGGTGCTTTTGGAGACTCATGTGTTAGAAGTTGATGAACCTGTCGGCAATGGCACTAGACTGCCTATAAAAATAGAAACGGGATATATTCCTTGTTATATATTCAGCTGAAGCAAAGCTGTGAAATTTCGGTGGGAGTACGGATCAACTAGATCTCATTGGTGTCTTGAACCTGTCTGTTCCAATATATATCGTACACAATTTAGGCCTCGTGAACTATGCCTCGCAGACCGCCTACACAATTCAAATTGGCATACTCGTGGACTTTTTCAATGTTCCGACATTTCGCAGGTTTTTGGAGGCTCAGCTTCATCTCATGCTGTCCGTTGGAGTTAAGGTGCTTCTCGATGAGGAGTGGGGTTACGTCCGACGTGCAATCAATTCCCCACCGAATATTGTCAATGCAATGCTCAACATGGCGTTGTACCCTTAGCGGGTCTTGGTGAAAGAAGTGCTGGTTGCTGACATTGTATGAATCTCTGAAAGCATACATCATGACCAGATGCTAGACGGTAAATCAGAATGGGTCAGTCAAGAATAGATGCACAAGTTGGGATCAACAACAACATACCAAACAGTGGATGCGGTGGAACCCCTCGATGTAGGCCTTTATCTGACCCGGGTATTTTGGCGCTTCCTTGCTGTGTCGAACCCAATCAACTTCGGTGGATTTGTTAAGAAGGGCCAGCTTATCATCGCCAATTCCAATGGGGCCGTCTATTGCAGTTGCAATGCGAATAAGTAGGCAGCAAAACGTCATCGACAGAGACAAGCTTACAGTGCCAGAGATTGTTCCATGCCTCATCTGTGGCTTCACTAGGCAATCCCGTATACTCTGACCTCACGCTGGCTTCTAAAATGGTGTCTTGAAAGCCAGCAATATCGACCATAGGTGCTGTACTTCTGTCAGCAGTTATAGATGACTGGAGAGAAAAATGCTGCATACACCACCCAGTCATCTTCCTAGAGCATATCGGGTCCAGGTCGTGAGAAATAAAGGCTCCTAGCAGAAGTATCAAGGACACGACAAAGAGTACCCCCGTAAGAGTCAAGGATGCAGGCCTTTCTATGTGTGAGAAACGCTTATGCAGTTTGCGTTTTCGTTCGTTTTCTTTCAGTAACAAGCTCATCCCGTCGTTGGGGGGTTCATAAGAATCGCAATCCATCTCATGAAATGATATTGAAGCTTTTGTCATTTATATGAAGGTTAGTTGTTATTTTTCCAAATCTTTGAAAAAAAAAGAAACGGTGACTACATGAGTCCTTCTACGGCCATGTGAGTTAATGTTTTAACTTGAGCTCTCTGTCTGACTAGCCGTATGTTGACGTAGGTGGTTTCCGAAGCTGTCACAAATATGAACTCTTTGATGTAGCAGGAGGAAGCCTGAAAATTTGCCGAAATTTGCCGTTCCACTGTAAAAGTATCCTGTACGCTATTGAACCTTCTTGTTGTGTCCTAGTATATTTGAACACTCGTTTGAGACCTCTTATCCGGGCTTCCAATTCAGTATGATATTACACGAATGCAAAGTACTTGTGCATGTGTAGAAATTGCATGTTGGATGCTATATGGAGTGCTTTTGTCAAAAAGAAAAATTACACGGGTTTTGCTATTTAAATCAGACATTTCCTGCATTCCACTTGAATTAAATTGACAGTATTGGAGTCACACATCTTCTGAATAACCAGCAGGTCGTCAAAGCAACTACCCCGAATAACAAGCGAGATGAATTTTCTCTATTCTATTGTTACCATGTTCGCTCTCGGAACATTTGCAGCTTCCATTTCAGGCAGCAGTGGGTACAATCTTTTCATGAAGATATATTGTTGCATAAACATATTCACTGACCTTGGTCCTAGACTAGGAGCTCGCCCCGCGTGAGCCTTCCGTGATCGCTGCTCGTGAGATCTCGGAGGAGGGCTATGAGGGAGAGGATGAGGGTTAGGCCGCGGATTGAGATGTGGTCTTCCGTACGATAAACGCAGATAAACAGACGTCTTTGTCACAATTCAATTCTCTGCTCGTTGAACAATAAATGCACGCTCTGTTCAATAAATTAGTAGACAACTTACATTAGAAACCATAGCACGTTGTCTCTTCTACGAGGCTATTTTCATATTGCGTCAGCTTAGAAAACAAGGTATTGGGGTGCTGACTACAATTTGGCGTCTTGCGAGATCCATTCCCTCTCCCACCACCAATAATTATGATTAAGGAAGCTAAGTAAGATCTTTGAAATCTACTAAGATTCATACGAAGATGAAGGAACTCGCCACAGTGAACCTTTTGAAAAGCAGTATGATTTATATTCTCTCCCCTAATACGCAGCGTAGATCTTCACAGTGCACTGCGCTCCTATTCAGTCATCGCTACATTGCCTGTTCTTACATATTTAACAAAGATAAGCTATGAGCGGAAGCACCGTTAAAGTAAGGATCCCTTACTTATATTAGTCATCTTTGAGACGTCACTTCAGTGGATTAAATTAATTACGTGTACAATCAAATTCTGTTTTATCTGTCAGCAGTATATGTCGTCAATGACGACAACAAAGATGTGACCCCTCATGCGTACTTCTCCTCCCGGAAACTTGAATTTGATACCTTCTTTGACACCTTCCTAGATAAGAAGGTAGAAAGAAAAAGTACTGAATTTATGCCGCCGCCATGCCACATGCTGCTAAAAATACACAGAGTTAGTATGCGGACGTGACTAGTGCTATAAGGCGCAAAATACGCTATTAATCTTATACTAGACGGGCAGCCCTTTTATAAGCTTATCTACCTTCTCTTAGCAACCTAGCTTTGCAAGTTGTAGGAGTATATTAAGGAAAACCTGCGCTCCGGCACTCTACTAGTCTAGCTAGCGTGCTAATCTTGTTTGTCCTTAAGAAAAAAAGACGCTGCGGTTTTATATTAACTACTAAGGCCTAAACTAGGTAACGCGTAAGAACCGTTACTTGCTACCGCTTATTAAGGAACTAATAGATCGACTTGTAGGCGCCGTAGTATATTCGAAGATAGACCTTAAGGACGCGTACTACTGTATTTGCATTAAAGAGAGGAGTATCGACGTAAGATACAAACAGAAGCTCTTCATTTTCACGTCAAAGTTGTGGAAGAGAAAGTTATCTTCCTATTTCCAAACATCCTTAATGTTTACTCTGACTCTATCCGTTCAACCGCTTCCCAATTTCAAAGCAGTAGTTTGATTAATACGATGAATTCCGACATCTCGCGCAAGTATCGGCGTCTTCCCGACGACGCCTTCATGACGGATGCGGTGGAAGCAGCAGACCCGGGCGTCAGACCGACCGCTGTGGGTCTTACCGGGATCCGTGTACAGAAAGCAACTCCTTGGGTTGTAGCTTCACTATTCGCTTTTATCTCAGTGCTTCAATTCTTCGTATATAATCTACGTGCAGAAGCAGGCAGCTTTAAGAAAGGATGGGCAACAGATTTTGGTATAAAAATATTCTTCTCTTAGAAAATTACACAATACTGAATTTCCTCCAGGTCCTATTCACAGCTCTATCGCCATAGAACAAATCCGGTTTACCGGCGGTGCGCAGTTTAGTGAAACAGGCAAGTATGGGATCACTGCAAACTCGGAAGCTCAATATACTGGCGATCCTAGTCCAGAAATTGACAGAAATTGGGAGGAATTGACATGGGGTAAGTAACGGCTATGTATGGGCCTCATTCTATCATTATTGTTACACAATTCTGCAGAAACACGCCTATCACTCCTAGTTTGACCTTCTTTTTGACAGGACGATATATCCTACTTACGGCCGACGAAGCTAAGGACGCGTTTACGGAAGGCTATGGAAAGGACTTACAAAATCTTTGGAGTCCCCGCCACGGTGGCTACTATGCTGGGTACCGTTTTTTTTTTGTCAGTTGTGCGAGGATATGAGGGCGTTTTCTAACTTTCTATAGATTTTCCATGTTCCATACTTTACACTGTCTAAATCGTTTGCGGAAGGCTTTTTATCCTGTAAGCAAAGAGCAGCATGTTTCATAGTAATCCCAGACAACAGCTTAACCCGGAAGCTATAGGATTACTATCCCATGGATGAGAATCCGAATCATCTCACACATAGGGGTACGTTTGCTTGTGTTTGATTAGCATGAATGAAAACGAGCTAACATTTCATAAAGATCACTGCTTCGAGCAAATACGCCAGTACATCCTATGTTCAGGGGATCTGACTCCGGTCCCGACGGTTTACAACAAACTCCGTGATGTCAACTACGTGGACTCTAATTTGAAGCACACCTGTAGGGCCTTTCAGCCTATTCGGGAATGGCTTAGTGAGCGTTATAACGGCAGCCAGGCGGTACAGCCCAAATGTCCTGATGGGACGTTCTATTCCCATGGCAAGTTGATGTGCAGTGGCCATTGAAAATCACGTCAATTTTGTGTATATATAGATAGAACGATTACGGTGTAATGTACGGACTATCTGGCTATGGAATATGCCCCCGCTTCTGTCGAGATTGTAAGATACGATGTAAGATATAGAGTACACTTAGCACGGTGGTTTGTTTAGCACATGGGCCCAAAGTACAAAACAACTCGAAAAGCCTTACTATGCCTCGGCTATGCCGAGCACAATGCCACGTTCTCTACGGAGTACTTCAGAGGAAAGATAAGTCTGATATCATATCATACTGATCGACGCATGTAGTGTACTCCCCTTAAAGGTACATATAATAGCGCAAACCCATAAGTTTCGTTTCTTAGATTCGCTGTATTTCCACGCCCAGCAATATATCTCTACGCACAGAGTTCTTTTTGCATTTAAAAATTTGTCGGAGTCGCCTCAGTCACTGATTGTCTTTCCGTCGGAAGCATCCGCTATCATCCAAAGAGCTGAGCACGCAATAGCCAAGACCAAAGCTGTTGAGGACGCTGTTGTCAATACTGTTTCCCTTGACACGGCTAGTTTCAATAGCCTGCTGCCACTCATATACGCGGAGAACAAACAGCGGCTAGAAGAGAGGGTGTTGGGAATTTACGCTTCAGTATCTTCAAGCCCAGAATTACGAGAGGCTTCTCTGGCCGCTGCTCGTCTGTTCAGCAATGCCAGCACGGCATCGTTGATGCGCGAGGACATATTTCGTCTTATAAACCACGTGTTTGAACATGAAAACGAGTCGCTAGATGCCGAGTCCGCCCATTATCTACGACGGCAGCACCAGAAGTACCTTGATCACGGCCTGCAGATACCGACGGCCTCCGAGCGGGAGCGTCTCCGGGAATTACGCCATAGAATCGGCGAGCTTACGCGATCGTGCCAGAAGAATTTCAATAGCGGAGATGAAGGCTTGTGGCTAGACTCTGGTTGTCTGGCCGGCATTCCTAAGCGGGTGCTATCAAACTTGCAGCCCGGTGAGGATGAAAACAGAGGAAAGATTTGGTACCCCATCAAGAATTCAGATGTCGCGATCCTCTTGCAGACGGCAGAGGATCCAGAGCTTCGAAAGGAAGTCTTTCTCGCCGCAGAGAAGAGATATCCCGAGAATGCTGAATTGATGACCGGACTCTTTCTCGCTCGTGATGAGATGGCACGGCTGCTCGGCCACACGTCGTATGCATCGATGCAATTGCGAGATAACGTGGCCAAAACACCGGAGGGGGTGGAGGCGTTTTTATCAGATCTAGTGCAGAGACTCAAGCCTCATGCCCAGATCCAACTGGGGCAGCTACTGGAGACAAAAAACGCCGAGCAGGCCGCTTCCAGTAATGAGCCATCGCCTTTGCTTTATTGGGACCTCACTTACTATCGCGCTCGGGTTTTAGACAAAACGCTCGGAGTCAATCATAGCGAGATAGCACAGTATTTCCCGTTCGAAGCAGTTCTCCCAAGACTTCTCCTTACATTTGAACGACTGCTTGAAGTGGAGACGCGCCCGGTATCTTCAAAGGGCGACAATTTGGTATGGCATCCAGATGTTTCTATACTTGCAGTTTGGGACACCAGCAGAAACAACCCTGAGAAGGAGTTTTTGGGTTACATATACCTAGACCTACACCCCCGACCTCTAAAGCGACCCAGGGGTGGACACTGGCGCCTTCATCCGGGAAATTTGCGAGAAAAGTAAGTAACTTGTTCTTACGTATTTGTCATCGTTTGTATCTTCTAAACATTAATCTATTGTGCAGTGGTACCCGTCACTGCCCTTCATCGGCCATTGTGTTCAACATCGCAAAGCCTGCGGACGGGAAGCCCTCGCTTATGAGCCACGCTGAGGTTGTCTCTTTATTTCATGAGCTTGGTCATAGCTTCCGAAACTTAACTACCAAGACCCGGTTTGCTGCTAGTCACGGCGGGTACGACACAGACTTTATTGAAACCCCAAGCAAGCTCCTTGACAACTTTTTTTGGTCTGCAGGGCCTCTTCGAGACCTCGGAAAGCACTACAGTTACTTGTCGCCTGAATACGAGGCTCTGTGGGAAGCAGAGAACGCAGGAGGTCAAGATGGCCACAGAAGGCCACCCGAAACGCTTCCAGAAGCCACCATCGACAGCCTCGTGTCCTCACGATACCAATGCAACGCCATCGAGACGATGCGCCAGGTAGCCCTTGCGATGTTTGCGCTCCGTGTGCATAATCCGGCCACCCGATCGGAGCTAGAGGCCTTAGACATCGCCTCTATGTACAACGCATTGCGGGACGAGTACACCATGCTGTCGATTGGGCATGAACAACCAGGCCACAACCAAACGGCCTTCTCACACGTGTTCGGCCACTGGTCTGCATCGTACTACAGTTATCTACACTCTACAGCAGTTGCCGCCGACTTATTCAGCTCCGAGGAAGGCTTCAAAGGCAACCCCTTCAACAAGGTGGCAGGGCGTAGATGGCGCCGTACCGTCTTGGAGCCTGGTGGTAGCCGGCCACAGGCGGGCTTGCTACAGGAATTTCTTGGGAGAGAGCCGACGAATGCAACATTTGTCCATAGTCTGGTAGGATAGATAGTATTAGGCCTCTTCAGGACAAAAGGACCAATATTTCAATACTTGAGGGATTTAGCTATCTGAACAAAAGGCACATTTTATATATATTTTTGTCTTTGAGCTTTCTGGTAATAAGTAACATACTGATCAGAGAAACATTCCAATCTCTACGTTATTGTCTTTTACCAAGCTACAATGTACGCTTTACACAGTGCAGTGCATCTTCATGACCCTGCGCCTTATGGGCGGAGGTTAGGTAAGCTCCCCACAAATTTTCATACCTTATCGATAACGACGCTCTCTTAATTTGTCTATTAGTTTTTCTAACAGCGTATTCAGGGCGAACCAGTTTGTTCATTCAGACTGAAGACACACATCGTTCCGAAATACCGACACCCTTTTTCCAAAAATGGTGAAACGACCGGCCGAATACCCGGCGGCTCCCTCAGCGGCTGCGATGCCTGCCCGCAAGCGCTCTCGCCTCGTCGGTGCCAAGACCGCCCTGCCCGTTGCCGATGAGGCCTGGCGCGCCAAGATGATGCGCACCAAGGACGCAGTCGTGCTGCGAGCCAAGACGCGCAAGAACTACGCAAAGATCAAGGCACGCACGCTGGCTGCCGACGGCGTGGACGGTGAGGGTGAGGGCGAAAAGAAGCGGGACCAAGAGGGCATGCATCCAGATCGACAGGCCCGGCTGGGAGACGACGAAGAGACACAGACATCAGCACAGTCACGGCCACATTCGAGGAGACCCGACGGCGAGAATGGCGAGAGACGGCCGCAGATTACGCTTCCCCGGGCCCAGCGCCGCCCCAGCAGGGCCAAGACAGACACCCTGCTCAAGGCGCAGCAGGAGGCCGACCAGCACCGCGCCGAGGCCGAGCGACGGGCGGCCGAACGAGAAGAAAAAAGAGCCGAGCGTACGCGCATGCAAAAGGCAATGGTGCGGGCAAGACGGGTGGATGGCGGTGGTGGCGGGGGCGCCAGCAGCAGGCGTGGTGGCCAGCTCGGCCCTGATCGGCGAAAACTCGGCCGGGAGAGCGAGGTGCTGCTGGATCGGGTGCGAAGGCTGATGAAATGATGAACGGGAAACATGGGAGAAACGAGACAGAGGAGGAAGAAATATGTAATAAGCAAAGCCTATGCGGGAGTCAATAGAAAACAGCGAGTTTTCCTTTTCCATGATGCTTCACACTACCCTCAATTTCTGGGCTTGCTCTGTTTGACAGCCACGGCTGAGTACAGACGACTTTCTCTTTACCTTTTATGAGTGTCTGAAAAAAAGATGAAGTCAAAGTTAGAACACACGGCGAGCAAAAAAAGCAACAACGAGTGGATACATCCGGATTCGAACCGGAGACCTTTCCCATGCGAAGGGAAAATCATACCCCTAGACCATGCACCCATTTCTTCTTGTAAATTTTATGAGCAAGATGTCTATTCATAGAGCAATCACTGCTTTGCCGCTCACAGCTTCTTGACATATAAACGTAATTTCGTCATTTGCACAGTATCAAGCGTCGCAAGCATTTTCAGTGATGACCAGAATAATAAAGAATGGCTTATTTATACTGGTAAAAGGGCCTGTCCAAGGTCCCGTCATCATTCACATGAACCGAATCCAAAAGCCACTCCAGCAGGTCTCGTCATTAGCGTGGGTTTCCAGAAGGCGTGGAATATAAGGACAGAACAAATAACGGAGAATCAGTACTCAGTACGGCTAGAGACCGTTCCCAAAGAAAACGCCAAGCTCAGCCGATATGATAACAGAGTCAACGAAAACAAGAATAAGAAAACAGCGTGGGTCATAAGCCCTTCTCAATGGGGGTAAAAAGAGGGCAAACAAATTCGTAACGAAGGGAGGGAAGAAGAATAAAAGGGGGAAGATGCGCTGAAGACAGTGCAGTCTAGGGCGTGGCACGGCCTTATAACGTATGTACAGTGTTGTGCTGCATAGCCGAACTTAGTAAGCTTCGGCCAACTACTCAGTCCTCGGAGAAGATGATGTTGCTGTTCTCGATAACAAACTGCACCGCCACGTTCTTGGAGTGCATGTCGGTCATCTCTCTGTCCAGGCTGTGGTCGCGCATGATGGTCGGAGCAAACACCACTGCCAAATTCTTTGGCGACATCTAAAGGAATTTTGTTAGCTCCAGCTCTGGCTATTGAGGCAGCGTATCAATCCACGACGAAACCTACCAGATTCTCCCGCTCTCGGTTGGCCACGCGTGCCAGATGGAACATCAGGAACTCAAGGCAGTCGCGGTGCTTCTGCGGCAGCATGTTGATCGTCTTTCGAAGGTGAGCACAACGCTCATCAGTGTCCGCGACCCCTGCACAATCGTTAGCTGGAGTATGATAGAGGACGGATGAGACAATACGCACCATTAGACTCTAAGATGCGATCATACACATCGTACGTGAGCAGCGGAGTCGGCAGCTTTCGGAAGTACTGCTTCAACACACTTGTCACTGCCGTGATGTCCAGGTCCGGATCGGAAATGTCAAAGTCGTCCTGCTTTTCGAATCCCTCACGAATTGCCTTGACCTGCGAGTTGCCGCCCGTCTTGCGGTAGATGCCTTCAACATCCATTCCACGAAGCTCCACTTCTTCGATGCATCGCGTTACTACGCTCGGGATGTGTCGTCGCTCGAACTCCGTCCGCTCCACCAGATCAGATCCGAACAAAACGTTCGGCGCCTCCGCCACCACAACTTCCGAGCTCCCCAAAGTTGTAGACGTGCCAGATTTGGGCATTCCAGATTTCTTGAAGAAAGCAAAACTAGCCGCACCGTTCGGACCGTTCGGACCGTTCGGGCCCCCAACATATGCACCGTTATTGGGACCAGCGGTGACAACCACAGTGGGCCCCGTCGCTGCGCTGACCATACGGCTGCCGGGAGGACCAAACTCAGTCGGCATCCGGTTGGCCTGCTGCAAAGGCTGGCCAAAGGCTTGAGGCGAATCAACCGACGCCACCGTCATGTTGTAAGGCAGGCCAATGCTATCGCCAGACAAACCCGGGTAGCCAGGTCGATCTCGATCGTTTTGGAAGGCTCCGACAGCCCGGTTGACACCTTTGCTGAAATTTTGCGCCACGGTCTTGGATCCCTTCTTCCAGTTAAATTTGCGAACCTGGCCCTTGCGCATATTTACAACTGTTGGACCGTTTTCAACGACTGTCTCATCAACGTCTGTCCCGATCAGCGTTGCACCAGTCGACGTCTGGACGCTAGCAGTTTCCAGATTCACCGACGAAATGGACGGCCCCTTGTTAGCTTGGTAAATGCCCAAGCCGCTGGGGGACTTGATCTGCTCAGATGTGATCTGCGACTTGAATCGTTCCTGGATCTGGTGGGTGAGATCGTTGTTCATGTCGGCCAGCTGGGCATTCTTGGACGACAGCTGCTCAAACTCGAGCAGTGCGCGATCACGGTCGGCAACGGCTTGGTTCTTCTCATCCACCAGCTCATCACGCTCTGTATGCAGCTGCTCGATCTCAGCCGCCATATTCTTCTGCAGCTCATCAAGCTTTTGCACAAAGTCTTTGATGGCAGAGTCCTCCAACTCCTTGGCATCGATCGGCTGCTTCGTTGCCTTGGCCCGTTCAACGTAACCGGCCAGTACTTCCAACTGGCGAATCATGATCTCCGCTTGCGTGTCCAGCACGGAGACTGTGCGCCGCTTCTCCATCAGCTTCTTGTTAAGAGACTTCAGATCCTTTTCTGCACCAAACTGGCGCTCGAGCTCAGCAACGCGTTGCTCGGATGTTCGCAGTTGGCGCTTGAGGAATGCTGGGTCATCGTGAGCAGCGCCAGAAACAGAAATCGGGCTGCTAATGTCGTGCGCATGAACATCCACAATAACGTTCTCCGTAATGGGCGTCTTCGGCCACCGAGGAGACGATGTAGCCCGTGTGGTCTCGCTGAGGCTTCGGCTGTGGCCCGGGCGGCCATTGTGATGGTTGACACTACTCGATTCCGTGCTGCTGTTTCGGCCATGGCGCACGGCGTTGGAAACGCGACGCAGAATAGACGAGGAGGACTCGTCCGTGCCGAGAATGCGAGCCATGTCCTCGTCCAAGCTAAAGTCGCCGCCGGCGCTCCATCTTGGCAGCTTGGGCGACGGTCCAGTAGGAGGAGATGCAGGTGTCGCGTCACCGTTCGCAGCAACAGCATTACTGGCGCCGGAGTCTTTCACAGCTGGGTGGGGCGGGGCTGCTGTCGGAGGCTGTGGCGGAGCGCGAGGCTGCATATACGTGTCACTTAACTTCGTCTCCGTAAGCCCTGGACGCACGGGTGGGGGTAGCGCCGTTGCAGGTGAGATAAGATCGCCGAGGGGGCTCAAAACGGGCTTCCCGTTGGCTGTCACCCATGTTAGCTTCCATCAGATATAAAATCTCTCAAGTCCAGAATACTCATGAGGAATACAAAGGCACGTCAATCTTTGGGGGAGGGGGGTTCTTACCAGTGCGCGTCGAAGTGGGAAGTTCCTTGCGAGGAATTGGGCCTGCCCGAACTTGCTGGTCGCCCACGTTTGCTCGACTGTTGGGTGTCACCAAGCCAGATGACTCTGGTGACGACGTCTCGACATCGTCTTCCTGCCTTGGTTGCCGGCGTGTGTCCTGCAACGACTGTCGCCCCGTGCTTGAGGTAGGCGTCGAGGACGACGACGACATAGTAGCTTGCCTCTCCCGCCGTGCTGGTGGCGTGCCACTTTCAAATGTGACGGTGGATTGAGTGTTGTTTCGGGCCTGGGCTATAGCCCTCTTACTTTTAGGAGCATCTTGCAGCTTGAATTCGTCTCCACGTCCGTTGGACGGCTTTTTGAGCTCTTCTCCAGCGCTCATAGAGCTCGCAGCCAAGCCCTTCTCTGACCTGGATGACTTGGAAGACTGTCGAGCCAGTAGGTCTTTAGCCGTGGTGCTGCTGCTATCATACTCGGAGGGGGTAGAAGTCCGGTTCCTTTCTTGGAAAGCGATGTGCGGCGTCGAGGCCTGCGACTCTCTCCTGTCACCCGGACCAGGTGTGAAGTATTCCCGGTCTCGCGTCTTTCCGTTGGGGTCGGCGAGGTCGACGGTGTTGTCTGAAATCGATCGGGGCGCAGATGGGGCGGGGCTCGGGTCCAGAGCGACTGGGATGAAAAAGCTGTCACCATCGCTGGAGTTGACGTCGACATTGTTCTGAAGAATAGACGAGTTGCGGTTCTTGCGGTAGGTTGGCGGCGATAGGGCGTATGGGCCAGGACCTCTGCCGGCAGCATCTTTTCCATCTGATGCCGACCGTTCGGGCGACCTCTCTTGTCTCAACGTGCTGTTGTAGGGGACACGCGGTGGGCGAGGAGACGCCTCGGTGGGGGTCTCGGGTCCACCTGGCGGGAGTGCAGGTAGGGACTTCTCGGTGATCAGCGCTTCTTTTTCTCGAGCTTTGGCCTGTGCAGCAGCCTTGTGCTTTTTTCTGCGACGGGCCATGAGCGATTCGTGACAGCTCATGCAGAAGATACCCTGGGATGTGCGTGCATAACGGAGATTCTCGATCTTGCGCTTGCAGTTTCGGCAGCGAAAACAGGTGGCGCAAAAAGCTTGGTCTCCAGTCAGGATGGCAAGGTCTTCTATCTTGTTGCCACAAGCATTACAGCTGTAGGTGCAGTTGTTGCAGATGAGGGAGCCGTCGCCAAGGAGGAGGAGATTCGCGTCAGAGTCGAGCAGCGTGCCGCAGGTGTTGCAGCGAAAGCAGTTGAGATGCCATCGGTGGCCGGCTGTCATTTCACAGCTGTCAGTGGGTCTGGCATCCAATTCGAATTCATGAGGACACGAGAACACGTACCAAGCTCGAACGCTTTGCCTTCCTCCAGGATTTCACCACATCCCTTGCAAGGGAATATGTCGTCACCATCGAGGGCGTTGTCAAGATACTCGTCCACGGAAGTCATGATTGCGCGAGCGGGGGATACGGCCCCCAAGCTTGGAAGAGATGTTCACAAGTGATCGCAAGCGGTGGGTGGTCGGGCACGAAGACAAGTAGCCGGCTATGAGGCCGTCATGTGGGATCGGGTGCTGCGTGTACAGAGTGCGGACGAGGGACGGAGAAAGGTCCACCAGTCTCGCTATGGGCGGTGAGAGTTTCGTTGTTGTCCGGCAAAGCAATCGAGGAGGACAGGTAGAGAAGTTGGTCAAAGGGGGGGGAAGCTGGAAGGATAAAGTTGGTGGGCAAGTGCTTGCTAATCAGCAGCAGGGGAGGGAATGCGGACAGAAGGGAAGAATGGGAAGATGGGTGCTTGAAGAGAGTGTGGTGGCTGCCGATGGCGAGACCTTTGCGATGCTGGGAGAAAAAGGGCGAGAGGATGAGGAGGAGGAGGGTGGAGAATAAGGTTGTCGTGAGAAGTCGTGGGAAGTCGTGGCGTCGTTTCGGGAATGCGTGGTTGGAGCGGTGGGAAGTAGCGAAGGCGGCGTCGGCGGGCCAGGAAGGAAGGGCGGGCTATTGGGGAGAAGGAACGTTGGAATAATGGCACAGTGCGAAATATAGCGATGAAGCGGCGTACCTCGGGTGTGGCGGCCAAGACGACCCTAAAATTAGTGGGATTCAGCCTCCTGCCCCTAGCGAACGTAGTGAAAGAAGAAGGAGGATAGGTGGATCTAGCAGGGGCTGCTGGATACTAGCATGATGCCGCACAGTGTACAAAGGCGGGGAGGGGACCTAGCGGTTTGGAAGTCTTCTTCAGCATGCAGAGGACCCTACGTCGTAATCAGAATTATGTGCCCTGTCGGTCAGTCCTACAGAGTTTCTTCACCAGCGTTAGCGCCTCGTTTCCGAAACAAGCTGCCGCAAATCAGACGCCAACGGCCACGCTGACAGGGAATGGAGGGATGGGGGCCGCACATTCATAACAGCGAGCCAGAAAAAAGGGCAAGCAGTGCCAAGGAGCGACAAGAACATAGGTCGGCAAATGAACAGGTGCACGCGTGTGCAATCAAGTGCACAAGACCATCGCGCACAGAAGTTGGGGACCACCAAGGCACAGAAATTTGGGGCCGAGAATATTATGGAGCACACAGATGGGGGATTTAGGGATTTACTGCCAGCTTTGCCTAGTGGGTGGGGCCCCTCTACATCACCAGTGGCACAGGCCAGGTCAAGCCAATCCAGGGGGGCAGAGTACTCCGTACGTCGTAAGGACAAGGGGTAAACAATGTGAGATATGAGCGACACAGGGGCACAGGGCGTGGAAAGTAAAGAGGTGCAGAAAACAAGAGGTCCGGCCGGGCATACGTGTTCACAAAAAGTCGTGCAGCATTCCTGGTCAATCGGTAGCTCGATGGTAGTATATACTCAGTAGTATGGGAGTGTTGCAAGATCAGCATTGTGCTTTTTCACTACCGGTTGTCGAGTTGTGTGCGAACCTATCCAAGAGCGTCGCATCCATCACACGTCGTTCCTGGCAGAGGCTGGCGCTCAAAGAACGCCATCCTGGCCCCTCCTCTCGCGACTACTGCAACGCTACTGTCAGTCATTAGAGGACGAATGAGTGTCGAGACGAGCTGGTTTGGAGTCTGCGAGTGCTCGTATCGCACCAGTCGAGGAGACATTATCTTATTTTCTAGACACTGGGCCAGCAGGGAGTAGTCGGTGGAGCCGTCCAGACGTCAAGTACATAGTAGAGGGGTTCCGGGCAGAAGGCCGGCTGCCACAGATCGGCGGCTTCCCTGCCTTTCAAAGCCAAATTGGACAGAAAATGAGATTGAGGAGAACGGTCTCCAGCAATGGATGGCGAATCAGAGGGGCGCATTCCTCTTCCTCGTCTGGCGACCGCTCCGTACGTGTACTCGAAGATAAAGTCGCGGGGTGGTCCCCTGTCATCAAGGGAACAGAAGACTCGAGATGGCCACGCCATTTGGGCAACAGGTAACTCTCCGTATCGCGTATGCCAACGAGCTGGAGTCCTCTTGCACAAATGTGCTCTGGCACACAATCGGCATACCCGTCATACGCATACTCCGTAAACTCGTAAGCCCGACCTATTCGACGGGTGTTTCAAGTTAAGTGGCTCTAGCCAACACGGTCGAAACACGCGATCGCATTTGCTAGTGTCGCTCTCCAGCAGCCACATGCCCCTGTTGCCTAACGGCCAGCCTGTATCTTATCTTACTCCGTACGGAGTACATACAGTATGTACATACATATGTATCTTACTGAGTAGTATACAAATGCAGAAAGATCGTACGGCGTACGGTGGGTGACATTTCGGCAGCCGGCCTTGTTAGGCCATAATACCACAGCGCGCTATAGCGCATGCATTAGCTTCTAAATTACAAGGGCTTCTGTTTCTTCTTCTTCTTTTCCTTTACCGTCTCCTAGTCGCACGTCCTGAAACGCGAAAATGTCAAGTCTTCTTCTCCCTCTGCCCTGTCAGGTGGCAGCCATCCCCAGTTGTTATCTTCGTGCCCACTTCTGATCAGCGCTGCGTTGGGGTCCAACGTCTGTTCGCTTGAGTTTCCTCACTGCAGATGAATTCCCCACACATAGTAAGATATAATCCTCCGTACGGAGTACTCCGTAGAGTAATTCGCCATATCACCCAAACCTTCGGGAGGGCGCAGTCCGCTGTACGCTGTAGGCACGCAGCGCTCTCTGGCTGAGCTGCCAGCGAAACGAAAATGGCAAGCTAGTATCTTACCAAGGAGTGGCCGGAGTCGGTTCCTGGGCCAGAACCAGTTCTGGACAGCTGCTTAAAGGTTTGGCCCCATAGTTAGGCTGTGCATCTATCACGACCCCGTAGCGAAACCTGTTTCTCAACGCGTACGAGTGTTCCGGGACTGTCTCGCAACAAAGCGCGGTGTCGAAATTGTGTCTTCGGTGCCGCTTCTACATAGGCACATGCTAATTATATTAAAAATTTTCCTGTATATGATTTAAATTTAAATAAATTATTAAAAGGTTATTTTGATTTATATTTTAATCGTGAAAGTATTCAATCTAAATTTAAATTTTTTAGAAAAAGACGTTTATCTTTAAACAAAATATTTGTAAGTAAACCTGAAATAAAACATACTAGCGTGATCGGATGCAGATATATCTGAGCGCCTTTTCAGAACAAGGCTTCATCCCGATCAGCCAGCCAGCCGCCATAGAAGTCTACGAGAATACGAGCGGTCAGCTCCGGCTGGATATTCTACTGGCCTGGACTGATAAAATGCACATGCGGCTTTTTACTAAGAGCACTCTGTGCCCTGAATGTTTGTGGTCTTTAAAGAAGGCGCACTTTGCTTCCAAAGGCTGTGCCGGACGCCTTTCTGGTAGGTTGCAAACGTGCGCGTAAGTATTCAGCTACACCTTCTTCCCATTGGCACGCCGATGATGCCATTGTCCCTTGCGGCTATATAATACAATACCGTAGCTGCCTCAAAGGCTATCAATTTCTTATGTTCGTCATTGTCCAGTCATACCCCACCCTTTCAAAGCTATAGCCTCTTTTGTTTCATCAATCAAGGAGTCGGAGTCGCCAGCTTTTAAGGCCTGAACGTTTTGATCGCAGAAATGAACCCCTCTTTGGACCCGGACGAGGCCGTGGTGCTGCTTGAAAATAGTAAGAAACATGGCTTTTCGGCGCTGCAGGGGGAAGCTCCAGGAACACCACTTATTACTGGACAAAACCCAGACCCTCTTGTCAGGCCGGTAAGATCCCCAATGTCGCACCGCAGACAACCTGTTGCTGATACGACGCACACAGATAGCAGCGAGGTTCCTCAAAGAAACCGCAATAAAGTGCTTACTTGCCGGCGCGTATCCTTCCAAAATAGACGACTTGACGACGATCGACGGCCTCATCGCCTTTACACACCCCTATCTTTGCCTGCTGTACAGACCTCGTGTCAGTCTCAATATTTTTCATACACTCCATATTGTATCATTGGACCTTTCACACACACCCAAGAGCACCAACGATGCCCACTGGCAACTGAGAACATTTTCCCCAACAATTTTGCGATTGCTATCTTCTGAAAACAACAAAAATCCGCCTAGAGAGTCAGGTTCTCTCTTTATCAACACGCACACCACAGATGAACAAGTCAAAGCTCTTGTGGGGAAGGAGCAATCCTCTCGCTGCATGTGCCACGATCCGCGCGGCTGTCTAGAAAAGCTATTTTACAAGTACAGCCTTCTGGCTGGACTCAGGACGAGCCAACGCCTTCTAGGCGCTACCGACAAAGGCGGCCCAGAAAGACATACCCCTTTCGACGACACCTTCTCAGGCATCGGGTCTTGGCTAGCCAGCCAAGACCAGGAGCGTGTACAAGAAGCTGGCACCCCACTTTACCAATATTCTTGGAGCATCCCGCCGGCGTCCCCGATCTGTCTGCAGTCGGATGCCCAGTCAGATAGACATCACGACCTTTCCTTTGATGAACGTTTTCTCGGTAACCCTCGCTTCACTGCCAGCAGTCAGTGCTCGCAGCCGGTCATCATCACAACACCGCCAGATGAGTCGATAACAGCGGATGAGGTGTCGGTTTTTTCGGATTCGACCGAGATATCGCTAGAAAACTGCACTTCCCTAAATGCTGACTACCTTTCGCCGGGCCTGTCACGACATCCGGAAGTCTCGTTGAAAGATTGCGGAATCTGGAGACAGAATCCCGGGAATAGAGGGAAAAGCAGGAGCTCTTTGCAGAGCTCTTACCAGTACACAACCAGTTCGAACAGTAGCGATCCCAAACCTGCTGTGGCCAATAATGCTCAGCCGTCTCCAAATTTCCCTATAAGAGACGCACGCGACGGCCGCGACGATGACGACGGCCACGACGATGGTGGTGGCGATGGTGGCGACAAATACAACACACGCCCTTCTAAGGGACCCAAGTTTGCATGCCCTTTTTGGAAGAGGCGTCCCTTCAGCCACCCTAACTGCTCCGGTCGAGGGGGCTTCAAGCTGAGCCATGTGAAGCAGCACGTAAGGAGGAACCACCAGCCCCCCATCCTCTGTATCCGGTGTGATAGTCAATTTGGCTCGGTGAGGGAACGGGATCTGCACATGCGAGAAAGGGTGCCATGTCTCGCGCAAAGCCTCATACGCGAAGTCGACTGGCTGACGCCTGAACAAAGCGAGCATCTACGTGAACGAGCGTCTGTAAATCAATCGCCCAAGGAGCAGTGGTTTGAGATGTACAAGATGCTATTCCCGAACTTTCCGGTGCCCCAGTCGCCGTTTGTGGATGATAGTATGCAGATGAGCGTCTTTGTGGACAGGTTGCGCGGTGAGATGCCGGCTCTTCTTGCTTCCGGCATGGCTCGCATCCGTCAACACGGCAACAGCGATGCCAGCGGGCAAGAAGGATTACAAATCATGGTGCTGGAGGTGCTTCAGGGGATTGATCGCATGCTGATCCAGACACCGGAGCCGGAGCCGACTCTGGCTCGGGGGCTTCCAGAAGTGCAGCCATCTGAGCCACAACATTCTCCTGGATCAGGGTTGCATCCTGGGTCGTGGCCATCTGAGCCGCTCTTGCCAACCAGTGCTGGGACGCCAATGGACTGGATTCAAACCGAGACAACGCCCGAGATGCAGCCGCTCCAGCAGCTCCCTATATATGGCATGGACTACAACCAAACTTCCCACCAGCAGTCGCTGATGTCGACGCCACATTTTGATGGAGAATGGTTTTACGCCCAGCCGCCTCAGGTGTCCCAGCCGCTTCAGGTGCCTGGGCCGTTTCAACACGCACAGATGAATCAAAGGCCACAGCAGTTCCATCCAGCACACATGGCTCAGCGGGCATATCCGGCCCAGCAGGCTTATCCGGCCCAGCAGGCACAGCCGATGTTACTCCCGAACAGCTTTCATAACAGCAGTCCAGTCCCACCGGGATTCGGCAGTACCCCTGGCAACAATGGCCAGAACTTCGTACAGATGTTTAACAGCGCCCATAATGGTGGCACCAATTTCCATGGGGGAACCTACCCCCCATAAGCATATAGAACAGGGGCAACGAGAGGTACCTGGAGGATGACTCATTTAGGATTATGAAAACAGAGACTGTATGGTTGCACGCGTATGACATGGACGGAACACAAGGATATATACTGGCAGAGATAGAAAACAGGTCGTTGAATTACAAAACGGTATTGCTTGCTTAAATAGCAAAAACAGAAAACGGGAGAATAATAGAAAAATCAAAATCGACAGGCCAGACGGGACAGAAGAGGGGAGTATACAATCCACGGCTATGTCCCAATTCTGGTGCTCCTCTGCAGCCAAGCAAGACTCCCACTTGTGTCGACCTTTCCGACGCTCGCTCGTAGTATTGTACTTTCAGTATGAGTACTAGTACTCACACTTGCGTACACAGCACTTGTAGCCTCTCTATCACCTCTCCACTGCCTCTCCTCAGCACTTTCTCCTCTCTCAGCGCCTCAAACACCCCCTCACCCCTTCACCTCCCTCTGTCGCTTCACAATGTAATACGTGATCAAGCTCCGCGGATCATCCTTGACCCCTGGCAGCGCCGCCCAGAAGCGCGTGTCGCCGACGCGTTCGTGTACGGCCACACACAGCTGCACCGCGTCCATGCGCACGCCCGACTCGCTGCTCTCGAGACAGCGCTGTGCCAGGCCGGTCAGCAGCAGGCCGAGCTCGGCATCGGTCGGCCTAAAAGCTGGCCGCACATCTACCAGCACCTTGAGCACGTGCAGTCCCATGCTGAGCGAGTGGCTAGACGTCGCCAATCCTGTTCCGCCGTTGTCTTCCCGGCTCAGCCCGCGCGCGAGCACCAGCACGATCTCGGACGGGTCGCCCAGCGTCACCAGCTCGTCGGCCAGCAGCTCCAGCCCGGCCACAATGTGCGTGCGGGCGTCATACGCCGTGCGTGACGCCAGTAGCGCCTCTAGACCACGCGACACGTGCGGCTGGAAGCTCGCCCGCCCCTTCTTCAGCAGCAGCTTGATCGTCGCCAGGATCTGTGCTTTGACGTCTTGCGCCTTGTCTGTTCCTCCGCTCATCGCTCCTGCCGCTGTCGTTGCCGCTGTTGGTGGCGCCTCCAGATATGCAAACAGGCCCAGCAGCAGCGAGTCGAACCGCGCGTCCGTCAGCACCGCGGCCGTCTTGCCGCTGCTGCTGGCACTGCCACCACCAATGCTGCCCGCATCCCGGATGATGCCCTGCAGCCGCCGGAAGCCATGCACGTCCAGCGACTGCGCCTTGACCCGGGCAATGCCACTGTCCAGCAGCCGCGTGTTCTGCCGCAGCTTCTCAGGTGATATTGAGATCTGCTCTCCCTGCCGCATGTCTTCTGTCGCTGCTCCTGCTCCGGTGTTTGGGTGCGTGATCCCCATCGCTGCCACGGCTGCCGTCATGGAGGTCACGCTTGATGTGCCGTTGTCGTCCGTCAGACGCACCAGATTGGCCGCGTCCTCGTTGATCGGCTTGTCCTCCAGTGCCGTCGTGCTGAAGAGCGGCAGCGCCTTCTTGGACATGTCCTGGTCGTCGGGCGAAAACGGGTCCTCGTACACCTTGAGCGGTGGTGGCGATGCCTCTCTGTCCATCACCTTGGCAAATACCATGTTCTCGTCTCCGACACTGTGTGCGGCCGTCCCTGCTCCTCCGCCTCCTCGGAACCGTATCGGGCTGCTTCCGGCGCCCGGAAGAACGACAGCGACCATGGACTTTGGTCTTGCCGGGCTGCTGCGTGGCGTTACTGACATATGGCTCGACTGTGGCCGTGCCGCTGCAGACGCGTTGGCTGTGTTGGCCGCTGTGGCTCTGGAAAGCGCAGCTGCGGCGGCGCGGGATGGCGATACCAGGTTCGACTCGCTGACGGTTGCCTGATGTCCCATCCGCGGTCTCGCTCCTGTCGTTCTCTTGGGCGAGGATGCCAGTGGTTTTGGCGTCACGGCGTTCCTAGACCGCAGCCTTTCTGGCGGGCTCGACTGCTCGATCGTTACTTCGTGGGTACGAACAGAATATGGCCCTGCTGTGGCAGGTCGTGCGTGCAGCTCGGGTCGCCGCTTTGCTGGCCGCACCGGGGCATTGGACAGGCCACCACCACCCTCTGCCCGTTGCCGACCCAGAGACGATGTTGACCCGGCACCGGCTGCAGCGGAGGACGAGGATCCAGACCCAGAGCCCGTCCGCACGGGTGAGAACTGGGCCATGGCAGAACCAGGACGTGTCGGCAAATTGCGCGTGGCCAGGGCCTCCTTCTTCTTCGCCAACATCGTCTCCCGCAGCGACGGCTTCGCCGACCCCATCGTGCTTTTGGACAGGCCCAGGCCCGTTCGTGCCACCGGGGTGGCCGTGCTACCACCCTTCTTGGGCGAGTTCGGGTTGTTCGGGTCGTTTTGCAGTAGCTTCTGCGCCGTGGCATCCAGCGTGGACATGATTCTATGCTGTCAGCGCGTACGAACAAAATCAAGCAGAGTGCCAGGGCGGACGGCTTGCACTTACGCCTCGGCCTTGGCTGGCCAGAACTGGGAAAAGGCCCAGAAGGTGGCACGCATGCGCTCGCGCACACCCGGGTTCGGGTCGATCAAGCCCTTCTTGATGCACTTCTCCAGGAGGTCGAGGCCGCCCGAGTGCTCGAAGCGCTCCTTGTGGCGGGCCTCGCGGTTGAGAATGGTGCGGACCCAGCCGGCAGCGTAGGTGCGCGGCTGGACGTTCTTGTCCTGGCAGGCGGCCCAGACGTGCTGCATGATCCGGTTGGTGTACGTGACCTTGGCGATGATGGCGTCGACAGTGGCGTTGGCCTGCTGGGAGCTGATCTTCTTGGTGCCAGCCGAGAGCTTGATGAGCGTCTGGAGCAGCAGCTCGACCATGGGGTCAATGCCGGGGCCGAAGATGTTGGCGAGGTCCTGGACGAGACTGCAGCCCTCTTTGCTGAGGCTGGTGCGCAACGAGCTGACGCCCTTGAGGATGCCGTCAAGGAGGCTGCGGACGCCAGTCAGAAAGGCCTCTTGGAAGTCGGTGGCGTTGCCGGCGATGAGGCGGCGCAGCCGCGTCATGCTCTCCTCACGCTTCAGCCAGTTCTGCTCCGTCTCCTTGCCGTCGAACCAGGCGTGCATGTCGCGGAGCATGTCGTCGAGCTCGCGCTGTGTGTTGACGTACGACGGCTCGACCGGTTCGGCACGACCAGCTGTCTCGGGCGAGGGTGTGACGGGGCGGTCGTGGCTTTGGGGAGGGCCTGACGTGGACGAAACGCTGGCCGAGAAGTTGGAGAGGTTCGAGACGGACACAGCCGATCGCAACGGTGGCCGAGCCGGCTGGAGAGACTCGGGGCGGACGTCATCAACAGCAGCAGCAGCAGAGACGGATGTGGGCACGAGCTCGCGGACAATGGCCTGCTCAATGGCCGGACGGACCTTGAAGATCTTCAGCTGCTTCTTCAGGTCGGCCTTGGCAGCGTTGGGAGCCGAGCGGAAGAGGTCGAGCACGGTGGCTTTGGCGGCGTCGCGCACCATCCCGTCGGCGTCCTCGAGCAGCTCCATCAGGCCGGGGACGTAGGCACGGAACGGCATGCCGTGGTCGTGGTGCATCTGCAGCAGCCACTGCATGCTGGCCTCCTTGGCTCGCGGGTTCTTGCCGACCATGGCCGTGTTGCGGACGAAGCGCTCGACATCCAGCGGTGCCACATGCTGCAACGTCGTCAGTGCCTGCATCGCCAGGCTGCGGTACTTCTCTTTGAGGTCGCCGAGCTTCTCGATAATCAGCGGCAGCGTGCGGGCTGCCTCCTTGATCAGCAGCTTCGGCTCCTGGCGCGACAGCCGCGTCAGCAGATGATTCACCGACGTGAACCCGGCATTCACCAGGGCCGCGTGCTGTGACGTCGACGCCGTGCGCAGCGCCTCAAACAGCGGCCCCACCACGTTGTCCGGCACGTTGTGCTGCTTGATGCTCGACTTGGCCGCTGTCACATGCTGCACCTTAACGTCGACGGACACATCCGCCACCAGGATCGCCTGCAGCTGGTCGGCCTGCTCGAGCGTGATCTTATCGGCCATCGGGAGAAGCGGGGTTGAGGAGGAGGAGGGGATGAGGCGGAAGAGGAAGGGGGGGAGAGGGAAGAGGAGATAGAGGGGGACCGAATCCTGGCTGCTGTCTGGTCTGCTGTCGTTGTGATATATTTCGAAAACTGTTTATTTCTAGCTGGAGATAATCGGCTGCTTGCCGGTCTAGCCCGCCTCGTATAGGCAAAAAAATGAAGAAGAGCTGCTCGCTGCTCGAAGAGGAAGCAAAGAGGCTCGGCGTCTGGCCAACCGAAGATGTGAAGCGTCCAAGTGGGGGGGGAAAGACAAATGGGAGGGGAGTGGAAACGAGAAAAAACGACGCCGTGCAGGATTGCTCGCACTTGCCGCTGTTTGGCTGGTTGCTGCCCCTTTGTTTAGTGCCAACAGCCGCGTCGTTGTTGCCGTGGCAGTGTGCTAGCGTCGCGCTCTGTTATCTAATCAGCGTGACGCAGTATTCGGTAATTACGGAGTACATACATACCTACATAGTACAGTACCGTACTTTGTGCCCCGCTATGCAGCCTTACCTGAAGGACGGAGTTGCTACGACGTACGACGAACAGCCGAGCTTCTCGAACCCGACACGAGGACGTCGCTCGCTCTGACCGACACCACCGTCGACCCGCTCGCGTCGCACGTTGTTCTCGATCCGTGCGCATACAAATGCCCCCCGCCTCTCCAACCTATGGCCATTGTTCCTAAACTCCAGACGGCCACCACGTCGGCGATGGCTTCGACCACGTCTGCCGTGCCTGTCGAGACGGCCGTGTCCACTCCTCCCTCGATCGAGAAGGCCAAGGAGCCACTGTTTCCCCTGCCGAAGCTGCGGCTGGAGGTCCGCGATCTCAGCCACGCCGGCGCTGATGTCTTTTTGGGGGCGGTCAACGCGGCTGCTGTACTGGCAGCGGCCGTGGCCAACGTGCAGCGGCTGCTCTACGCCAGCGACGCCAAGACGGCCGATCCGGCCACGCACATGACGCCGACGCGCTCCGTCACCGTCGTCCTGCGCGACCTCGACGGCGTCGCCTACACGACCGGCAGCGACCTCGATGGCGACCACAAGGAGATCCACTTCAGCCTGGGTTACATTGCCGGCATTCAGCCAAGGGCCTCGCGCGCTGTTGCCGAGATCACTGGCGTGCTCACTCACGAACTCGTCCACTGCTACCAATGGAACGGCCTCGGTACCGCTCCCGGTGGCCTCATCGAGGGCATCGCCGACTGGGTGCGGCTGCGCTGCGCCCTCGAGCCGCCGCACTGGAAGCGCGAGCCCGCCGCTGCCGGCCGCTGGGATGCTGGCTACCAGCACACCGGATACTTTCTCGACTACCTCGAGCACCGCTTCGGCCACGGCACCGTCCGCCGCATCAACGAGAAGCTGCGCCGTCACCGCTACGAGGAGAAGCCCTTCTGGACCGACCTCGTCGGCAGGCCCGTCGAGCAGCTGTGGGGCGACTACGTCGACGCCATCGGCAAGGAAATATGAGCTCAAGCTTGGAGCATGGAGCATAGACTCATGGTCAGCGTCCAAATCTTGTTATACACTGTAGTCTTCCGCACTCGTAGTTCATAGTCAAATCGACAGCTGCTGCCGGCCGGCAGCTGTATTGCGGGCGATTAGTCATCACCAATGACCAACCACGTGATGGGAATTACAAAGTTGGGGGGCCGATCTTTCCTGTCCACCGTTTCCGAGCCTTGACGGAATCCACTTTTTGGACTCTCGCAAACCTCGACAAAGCGAGCACAGCGAACGGACGCCGCCATTGCCACCGCAGTTCATCCACCACCAATATCCAAGGCAGCGACGATGCGAGCGACACTCCGCCTGCTGGCTGGCGTGAAGCCGGTGCGGTACTTCCAGCCGGGAGCGCAGACGGGACTGGCGGGCGTGTACACGCACAGCACGCCGCGGTCGACGCTGCTTTACCTGTACACGACCACGCTGGAGAAGCTGCAGGCGGTACCGGAGACGTCAGTGTACCGGCAGTCGGTGGAGGCGCTGACAAAGCACCGGATGGCGTTGGTGCAGTCGGTTAAGCCGGACGGCTACGACGAGTGGCGGCAGCGAGCGCAGAAGCTGGTGGCCGAGAACCCGGAGCAGTTTGGCACGGTGGCACAGACGAGCGTAGACGGAACGGCGTCGTGGCGCGTGAGCAAGGGCGGCCAGACGTTTGTCATCCTGGACGTGCCCAACCAGGTCGACCCGCGGCTGCAGGAGTGGGACGGCGAGCGGGATGAGGGCCCGGAGCTGGAGGGTATCCGCACGGCCGAAGACCGTGCGGATCACGGCCTGTCGGCGACGCGCAAGTCGCTCGAGGTCAACCACAACGTCGCGTGGGAGGATGAGCCGCGTCTGACGGCGGACCAGTGAGTGTAACCCACGACGGCTAGCGGGCGGCCACACGAACAGATTAGCTGACCCTGCCAGGATCGAGGAGCTCGAGACCAAGCTCGGCGCCGGCCTCATCGAGGAGGTCATTGGCGTGGCCGAGGGCGAGGCCAAGCTCGTGGACGTCATGGTCAAGGCCAAGGTGTAAGTGACGATGGTTCTCCCTTCTGCTTTCTTGTTTTTATCCTTTCCTTCGCTGACATTCTTCTTGCAAACAGCTGGGAGAGCCTGGAGGAGAAGCCGGCCGAGGGCCAATGGGTGTACTTTGAGCGCAAGTAGAGGATCAATTCGAGCCTTGGCGAGGACAAGGAATTATGTATAACTACATAGAAAGCGCAGTGTACATAAGCGTGCCAATGAAACCCATGGACCACTATTTGCAACGGCGACGTGCCTGCCGTATTCTGTACAGATATCTTACGTTGCTGGCGGCTTCCCGAATCACCAGGCAAATACGGAGCAGTGAAAAATAAAGAGAATAAAAATTGAACAAAAGCAGTGGGGCATCCGCACCAACAGCCAAAGCTTCCCCTTCAGACCGACGACACCGACACGCCTGCACGCCTGCGCGCCGCCAGCCCGCCATGGCTTTTATCGAGCCGCCGACGTCGACGAACCTGCGGAAGCGCAAGCGGGCCTCGTGCGCCTCGCGCGCCTCTTCGACAACCTCCAGCGCAGCTGGCCGGCTGCCGTCCGACGCCATCAATCCACATAGCTATGGGCCCTTGACATGGAAGCAGCTGACGGTGGCGGGACTGACGCAGGCCGACCATCTGCCGGCCGACTACGTGGGTGGCTTTCCGCACCGGCCGCTTCCGCGAGACAGCACAAACGCGACACCTGTGCAGGGCAGCGACGAGGAGGAGAGTGGAGGGAACGGAGAGGGCGGCACCGACAATGAGGGCGGCAGCGAAGAGGAAGCCCATGGCCATGGGCACAGCCACGGTCATGGCCACGGTCACGGTCACGGCGATAATCGCTCGGCTGCCAAGCGCCACCGCGCTGCGCTGCGCACGGTCAACGCCTACGACCGACACATCGGTCTGCTGACAGCAGTGGTGCAGCGGGGGCTGCAGGAAGCGGACCACGGCATGGCCAGTCTGGGGTCCGAAAGGGGAGTCGTCGGGCTCGCGCGGGCCAAACGAGCCTTTGGCCTGCTGCTGCGGACCGAGGTCGACGGCCGGATCATCGACCTGCGACGGGACCACCTCTGGGCGCTGGGGGCGGAGATTCTGATGCGCGAGGGAGAAGACGAGGCGGCGGAAGAGACGGTGGAGAAGACGGTGGAGGAACACGACGGGGACGAAACGGACGAGACCGACGGGACAGACGGGACAGACGGGACAGACGGGACAGACGAGACAGACGAGACAGACGAGACAGACACGAAATCTAATGTCCGTCGCCGTCGCTGGGGATCGGCCGCCAATCTGCCCAGCGTGCGAGCCTACTACGAGGACCTCATCCAGCAGCACCCGTACAGTCGACAGTGGCCACGAGTGCCGAGCGCGCTGACCTTTTGGCCGGCCATGATCAGCACAGAGCTGTACAACGTTTATACAGAAGAGCGGCATGCGATGGAGCGATTAGAGAAGGAGGAGGAAGAGGAGGATGAAGAGGAGGACGAGGAGGACGAAAGTGACGAAGATCTTGGCGACGAAGAAGAGGAAGACGACGAAGATGAAGAGCACACCAACATCCACACCCACACCCACACCCACCGCCGTCGCCGCCTCTTCCGACGACGTCGTGCTGACCCCCAGCGAGCCGCCCGCGAAGACGTCCGGACGGCAGCGCTGCAGCAAGTCCGCGACATGGCCCGTCGCATGGACATCGTCATGGAGAGCCCGCCATACCGGGCCAGCCATGAGATGCTGCGGCTGCGCGGCATGGTGGCGCTCTACGCGGGCGACTTGGTGGTGACGACGAGACCGCGGACGCGCCGTGAAGCGGTCGAGGACCAGCGGCTACGGACGGCCGAGCGGACACGAGCGCGGGCCCTGTTTGCGCGACTGGTGCGGGACGATCGGGGCGGCGACAGCAGCACGGGTGGGAAGAGCCGGCAGGCGGGCATCAGGACGGATAGCGTGGTGGATGCATATGTGGAGGAGATGGTAGAAGGGAAGGAGAGAGGGGGGGAGAGGGAGAAGAGGAAGAAGACAAGAAAGTCAAAGGACAGATCGAGAGAGAAGTCGAGGGACAAGTCGAGGGAGAAGGCGAGAAACAGCAGAAGCAGAAGCGCCGACAGCAGAGACACACACGACGGGTCAGAGGACGACGACGACAGCTATGGCATGTTGGATCGGCCAGTGTTCACGTCCATGCCGATCCGGCAGTCACAGTGAGCAACAGCCGTCCAGCTGCTCGAACTAATTTCGTTTTTTTTTTGAATTCACTTGTTTCACATCTCATCTGCATCTGCACCTAGAGCCCATCACCATCTCACCCAATCCCCACACCCCTCACTCCCCAGTCTCGCCCGTCGCTGCCATCTCCCCGTTGGCCCACCGCTGCAGGATCAGCACCTGGCTGTTGCTGCCCACGACCACGCACCAGTCGCCCTCAGGGCTCCAGGCCACCTGCCGGCCCACCGTCGAGAGCGCCTTGGACGTGCCCTCGGTCTTGTGCGCCTTGAGCTGCGCGTGCGGGTCGCTGGTGTCGTACTTGTTGTGCCAGTCCTCGAGCGTCTCCGCGTTGTAGTGTTCGACCTTGGCTGCGGGTGCCGCATGCGTCGTGTCGGGGTCGGGCGTATTTGTGTTTGGGACTGGATTTGTGTTTGTGTTTGTGTTCGGGTTTGCAGCCGAGCCCACGGGCACTGAAAAGACCGAGTCCTTGTCGCTGGCCTCGACGCGGTCGGCCTCGCGCACGACGCTGCTGCTGGCCTCGCGCAGCCGTCCGGCGCTGTCGCCCCGTCGGCCGGTCGGCACGTTGTTGCTGCCGGCGTGTCGACGTCTCGGGGCCAGCAGCCGCAGCCATCGCGGTCGCGTGACGCCGGCGCTGTTGACGAGCCCGTCGCCGCCGCTGCTGCCCTGCCTCACAGCCGCGATAAACTCCTGGTACGCCGGGAAGCAGGCAAAGTCCCAGAAGAAAATCTTGGCATACGTGTTGCAAAAGGCCAGCGTCGGGTGGTGGCCGGCCACGTTGAACAGGCCGAAGCGCGTAAAGAACTGCGACCCGCAGCCGGGCGTGTGCAGCTGCAGCAGACGGGTGTACTGCGGATGCGTCGTAGACGACAACGACGACGGTGCTGCCGTTGCTGCTGCTGCTGTCGGCCCGTTGGAGCCGGCTGGCGTTGACACGGTCCCGGCGGCCGAAAAGGAAGACCGCGTCAGCTTGGACGTGTCGTGGTTGGACGGGGCCTGCTCCGGCGACGGCGCGTCGTCCAGCGAGCTGAAGCCCTCGATGCACCACAGCACAATCACGTCTTCGTGGCAGGCCCGCGACAGGATCAGATCGCCGAAAAAGGAGACGCTGCACCGTCAGGTCGTGTCCTCACAGCGATTGGGAACAACATACCAGTCAATCAAACCCGTGTGGATCTCCGATGTCGAAAAGTGAGGATAGTGCACGACAAAAGGCGTCTCGATGTGCTCTTGGGGAAAGTCTGGAAGCGTCCACTGGCCGAGACCGGGTCAGAATGGCTGTCTCGAACGGGTGCCCCAGCAATACAAAAGACATGAGACATTCTGCTCACAAGGTTGATAACCTGGTCGTGTCCTGCAGACAGAACGTAACGGCCAGAGTCATGAAAGGCCTACACGGCCGTGTTAGCAGTCATCACAGAGCAGACGGCCGCACGGTCAGACGACAACGCACCACACTCAGCAGGTTCCACGAGTGGCCCTCGCCTGCGAGGAGACACACGCACGGCTGTCGCCTGTGGACCGGATCGAGACTCCAGATGCGGACCGTCGTGTCGTCCGAGGCTGACGCGATGAGGCACGGGTTGGCCGGCGAAGTCGCCAGATCGTTGATTTCCTATCACCGCCTGTCAGCGTGTCGACACCTGGGCGTGTCGAGAGAGCCCGGAGATGCACTCACTCCGCCATGGCCAACAAACGACTGCGAGTGGTCAGCGCGTGTCGGCAGAAAGCGGGAGACACGAAGAGGAAGACGAACCGTTACTGGCGTGCCATCCCGTATGTTGTATACTTTGACCTTGGAGTCTCTGCCGGCCACGCAGAGGAGTGCTCGGTCCGTCTCCGGGTCCTTGGTCCACGTGCATGAGCAGTTCAACGCGCCGAGCTGAGCCCGCAAACGTCAGCAGCCGACAGACTGGCAGAAGATGAAGAGGGAGCGGCTGCACAACATACGTCGTCGTCCCGGATGATTTGGATGACCTCGCATGGGTTGGCGTCCTTGTCCTTTGTCTGACAGAGACGGCAGACGAAGATCTGGCCCGTTGTTTGATTTCAGCCAAGGGAAGCACATTCTAAGGACATTGTCCGGCAGACTCACGTGACGCTTGCTCACGGCTGCAAACACCGGGTTGCTCCCGGCTGGGCTATACGGGTAAAACTTGACATCGAAGAAGTCTGTCCTCCGTCAGCAACGGAAGACGAGAGACGAAAGAGTAAGGAGGAGGATCTGTCTACCTGTGTCCAGACCGACGTCATCGACGTACTTCTTGTCGTCCTACAGCGCAGGGACCAGTCAGCCGGTCGAGCCCGACTGGGAAGAGAAATGAGCACGTGTTTGTTACCTCGAAGCTGAGCGAGTACCGCAGCTTGGGCAGTTCCCACTCGAGCGGTGTTGGCGGTGGTGCCATTTCCAAGCGGCCGTCCGTCCTGTATTTGCAAGAGCTCTGTGGCAGGTCAGGAAATAGCAGACGGCTCAGCCATTGGCTGGCGTCATTGGCGGACTTTGAAGCGTTCGAAAAAGGACAGAGACGGGGGGGGCAAAAAAACGGAAGACGGCCGAGGGTGGAGACTCTGGGGAGAAACAGCCAAGAGAGGAAATGGACAGCAAAGGCTGCACGAGGAAGCTTGGAGAGCTATACGACTACGGAGCGGTTGGTGGCCTGGAAATTTACGGTCGGCATGAGAGACGGAAGTGGGGCACGTGCGTTTGGCGTGTGGCATTTGGCTTTCTTTTTTTTTTTTTTTTTTTTTTGACTGGATGGCTGGTTGCAGGCTGGTTGCAGGCCACGGTGGCCAATAGCCTGGTGGTTGCGCCGACCAGCTCATCAGGCACACCGCATCTGCTTCTGACGCCCGCTCCATTGGCCGGCCTGCCTACGGCATAGATGGAGACGCGGCAAGCGAGCACATCGGCACGACGACAGCGGGTGACGACTCGAGCCGATCTCATGCCCGACGCATTTCGTATTCGCACGACGATCACTACCCCATCGAAAAAACGCCATTGCTCCAAGCCGACGATACTGCCCAATGCAAATCCATTGGCAGACTTCTACTCTCGGCCCTACTAAGATACTTTGTCCGTGCCGTCGTCTCCACCTAAGAACGATCACAGACCATCCTGTGGCCGGTCTCTCCGTCGGTGTGGGGTGCGTGAGAGCACAACAGAAGGCGACTGGCCGCTGCTGGCAGGCTGCATGACCTGTACATACAGAGCACGTCGTGATATGTGTTGGGTCATGGTGGGAAGTCCGGATGATGGGGACAGTCAACAGAAAAACAGCCCCCCACTCCCTGAAGAAGGTGGCCGGGCCCTGTCGCGAGGACGGCTGAAATGATTGTCCAGATACATGACACGGGGCTAGGCTGATCGCCAATTTTACCACTACGAGTACTCCGTACGTCGTACGGCTTCTGCCGACCATGAATGGTTCTAGAGTCGGATCGGCTTCAATCTCAAATTCATGTCTTCCCTCTGCGAGGCCGAACCGGCTCGACAAAAACATGCTGCGATCCACGTCTCTCGCAGCAGTGGAGCTCCACCAGTTGCCAGACAGGCAAAACCTGTATTGTGTTTTATTGCGAGGACGATCAGCGACGGAAAGAGGCAGCAAGCTCGCGTGCAGGGGTGCCACGCGTATGTACATAGTGGACACTCGTAAAATACATGCAGTCTTGTGTGGCGAATTATAGCGGCAGCAACATCATTCGCATCCTGCGTCCCAGCTAGGCAAGCTGGTCATGGGCGAGGCCCACGCTGGTCGTCCTCTCAGGCCCGCAGCGAGAGGCCGGTCAACGTCTAGAACGGCGCGCACAGGACGCAACGAGCAAGAGACCCGCCTTTCCGGAGTTACGAACGATAGGAAGATCATTGAGCAGTGGCGGCAACGTCGTATACTCCGTGCAGCAGCCATGTCCGTGGACAGGGCAAAGGGCAGAGGTCAGCCTTCTTTCTGGGTGGCATGCGACACGCAAGATAGGAGATTCGTGATGCTCGGCATGCCCGCAGCTGAACGGCTATGTAAGAGGTCTAAAACAATCGCAATCAAACGCCCTAACAAAAGGTCACCCTGCGCGGAAAAAGAAAGCAGGCGCCGAAAATATCTCCCCGAGTTGGACACCATGTAAGATACGACACGGATGGCATGTCTGTACGGAGTATGCACCCCGTGAATATCTGGTAATCCCCTCCTCCCCCCTGTCAGCCCGAAGGCACAGACCCAAATGATCCGCGCCCATCCCCATCTTTCCTTGACGGGCAGTTTGCAAACCACAGGGCCTCATGGCCAGCACACAAACAGCTAGGCCGGGGCGAGGTTAGCGAACGGGGCCCTCCGTCCGGGCCAATAGAAAATGTTGCGTTGCCACCCGTCCCTGAGCTTGTCGCCGAGCTGAGGTCGGTGAGGTGTACTTCGTATCTTACATGGTAGTAAGATACCATGCACAATGTATTTATGTACGGGATGCTCAGATGGTGGATGCTACAACGGCATGTCTGGCCGACCGGCGCTGGCCAAGACCAGGTTCCGGGGGCGACCTGCATCCTCTTTCCCTCTTTCCCTCTCTCTCTCGGGGTGGCCGATGGGAAAAGGGTGTGAAAAAAGGGACGAAAGTCCAATGGTGAAAATAGCAAAATAGCAAAATAGCAAACATGTCGAAAAATAAACCAAGGCCATCTCCCTTCGCCATCGTACATAGTACATACCCATGGCCGTCAAGTGACGCACCACTGCCTCAGATGTCTGCTGCGACCTCAGTGCGTGAAGGATCAGCAGTAGTCCCAGTTCCTGTGGATTGGTTTCTGTCGCTGACAGCGTCCGGCATCAGGCACTAGCGGGGTGGAATGACCCTTAGGGCCGGTCGGGGAGAGACCAGCAACGTTACGAGCATGCGCTCGTATCTCTCGGAAAGAATATGCTCTGTCGCTGTCGCTCGCGCCCTCGTTCCTGCACGTTCTAGAGCTGGATGGCAAGGCCGTTCGAGGCAGGCCTGCCATTCTTTCTCCTCACGGAAGTCCAGCAGTCTAAGACACCGACTCGGCGGCGACTCTGCTCATGCCCCGCTCTCCCTCGCCCTCTCGTACGCGTACTCTCCCTCGCCCTTCCTTACCGACCGACCTCTCTTTGCCACTTACAACGTCAATTATTACATTGCATGTGTCTTACGTCCCAGGCCTGGCCGCACTACTTGCTATAGCCCGGCATGCAGCTTTCTGCAAATTGCTCTACCAAGTTAGTGCACCCCTCTATTCTGTCTACTTCCCGCCTAGGCCATGTTGCGCCCATTCCTCCCGATCTCCTCGCCCCTTCCCTTCCTGCTAAACAGGGCGCTAAACATGCCGCTAGAGCATGCCATGAGCCTTCTGCCTGCAGCACTGAAGTACAAGGTACAAAGCCCGGCAGTGAAACATTGTGGACTGCTCGACATATTACGGCACGTCCTGGCCGCTGTTCTCCTGTCCTCTTCCTTGCTCTTGCGGTTTGTGTCTCGGCCGCGGGAAGAAGGACCCCAACAACCCGGCCAAGAAGAGAAGGCCAGAGGACCGAGAGAAACCTGTCTTCCCTCCCCTCTTTTTCTTGACGATTCCCCCGTCTTCTGCTCCTGGCGAATTAGGTGCGTTTTCGCTGTGAGAAGCCATCTCTTATCCCCCATCCCATCACCACCACCGCCACCGCCACTATATTTACTGCTGCCTTTCTATCTTGCTATTACAACTACTGCTGTTGCTACTGTTGCTGCTGCCATTGCTTCCCCCCATATCGCCAACTGCCACCACCACTCGCGAAAGAGGGTCACTCAAGCACTACCCCCTCCCCCCTGTCTTTACCGAACGTCCTCTTGCAACGGCCGAGACTAGGTAACCGGTCCCGTCCAACGGGAGCTGCGTGCAGCTCGGCTCATGCAGAGACGTCCACCAGCTGCCCAGTTGCTGCACATGCAATTACCCTCTCTCGCTCGTCATCGTCTCTGCGCTTTCCTTCGCTCCCCATCGCCACGGCCGTCTGTCTGTCTGCCTTCTCGGCTAGTCCTGCCATTAGCCAAGCTTACACCGGTCATCGTCGCTGCCTATCTAACTTATCAGTGCTGTCACATCCGGATTGTGATCCATCCAAAAGAGGACAGCTGAGCCCTGCTGGACTCGCCCACAACACGATCGTCCTAGTCTTACTGGCCCCTGGACGGATCCCTATCACCTACGTCACCGACGACGAAGCCGACAACCCGGCTTCCCGTCGCTCTTCTCAAAAGAGACAGTTCCTAGCTTCGGTTTTTTGTGCCTGGCGGCCTCTGCTTCCGCACGCATCTCAGCCCCTTCTCAATTCGCTTCCCCTTATTTGTTGTCCTTCGCATGGCAACACTGTTCTTATAGTCCCCAGTCCCGGTCAGCAGCACTCTACCAGCCATGGAGCAAACTTTTATGACCATTCACAGTGAGTCTTCACTGTATCTCGCTTTTCTCTTTCAGCGTCCGCTACCTTTCTGGTGGCTTTGTGCGATTGCTGACCACCTCACCTCACTCCCCTCCTGTGCAGACCTCACACAAGATGCAAATATCCTCTTTGCGTCTGAATCCATTACAGACATTCTTGGGTACCAACCGGCTGAGGTGCAAGGAAAGTCGTGCTTCGACTTCTTCCACCCGGAAGAGGAGCCCTCTGCTCGCTCCGTTCACAGCCGTGGCGTGCTGCTTGACAAAGCTGCCGTGCTACATTATGCCCGTCTCCTGACGCGTGATGGCCGCTGGATCGGCTGTGAGTGCTGCTTCACTATCGTCCATGACGTTTTGGTAGCATGCGTGAGCATCTACCACAAAGGAGCCAAGAGCAAACGTGAGTCTCTCCTGGTACGCGATGCGCCTCTTTTCCACAGTACAGGCTAATGCGTCCAGGCCGAGCAATCGAAGCGCCGCAGATACGGCGCATATTTTCTTGCTCTCCACGCGACCCGCGCTACCGCATGCTGGAGCATCTGTCGCCTAAGTTCAAGATGTCGCCCGTGGAACGGGAGCCAAGGGCCGCCCTCATCGTGAACCGCTTCACTCGAAATCTGACCATCATGTTCGCGACCAACGCAACTGCGGCAATTCTTGGCCTACGGCCCGACCAGCTCAAAAACAAAAGCTTCTACCGCTGCATACAGGAGAGCTGTCTGTCTGAAGCTATCACATGCCTGGAAAGCGCCAAAGCCAATGACTCGATTGCGTATCTCCGCTTCAGCTTTCAGGACCCGAGGGACGATGAGGAGCTGGAGGCCGAGGCCGAGAGTGGAGTTGTTCTTGTTGACCACGAGGACGAGCTGGAACAGCGCCTACCCACAACAGGCCGCAAGCAGTTTGATGTCGATATGTCTATGGACATTGACTCGGACAACGGCAGCACGGACATATTTCGGATCAAGACGGAGGAAGAGGACAAACCGCTTTCGATGCCGACTGTCCCTCTTATTATGCAGCCTCCGATCGGGTTTAATAGGCTAACACCGCGGCGGGCCCAGCGACTTCCGTCAGTCGAGTTGGAGGCCGTTGTTTCGTGCACCTCGGACGGACTGGTCGTCGTGCTGAGAAAGGCGCGGCCTCCAATACCACCTGCACATCCACCTCTTGTTGCGTTCGACTATGGCGACGGGCTCTTCGCCGCACCATGGGCCCAGCACCCAATAAGGCCGCATTTTCCAGTAGAATCCCTCTACACCTTCCGGCCCCCCCTGCTACCACAGTACATGCCGTTGAGAGAGAATGTCAAAGATGCTGGTGGACCGCCCTTGGACGTGCTGATGGGCTCCATTCGGGATGTAGCTGTGATTGCCTGGAACATTGGCACCCACCCGGCCATTGCGGCATACGGACGTGGCCTTCCAAGCAGCGATGCACGACAGAATCAGCAGGGAGACAGTGATGCCGGTGTCGGCAGTGCTAGCGGCACTATGCAGCCAAGAAGCATAAACAAGGGAAAAGGACCAGCCGTCCCTGATGCACTCTACGGCCACGCCTATGCACACGACGGCCGACTCAACAGTTACAGCTGCCGAGCCGATCAATCATCAGCACTCCCTGACCGACGGGGATCGTGTGGCATTCCATCCAGCTGGACAACACAGGTTGATAGTGCTTCTGTGGGCTTTGGGACCTCGCCGCCCAGCCCAGCCTCCTTCGAGCACATGCGTCCTCAGCTTCGACCACACAGCACCCTTGAAACACATCCCACTGGCGGCATCACTTTGTACTACGGATCTCCGGGAGCACAAAGTGAGGCTGATGTACTACAGCCTGCATACGGTGTTCACATTTCAGGTCCTCGCCCGGACCTTGGCAGCTCGACCGGAGACCACTACCACAGGTGGGGCTGAGGCAACGAAGCCGACAGACCACCATCGACGAGAGTCGGCTCCGATTTTAATCAATACCAAGGCCTTCACTAGGAGAGACTTTGACCCATTTCGGATTGCGTTTCGTGGAACCGTTCTAGGCATCAGGTTTTTTATTTCACCAGGTCCTGGTCCCATGTCTTTCCATCTCCTGTTTTGCACGATTTGGCGTGGCCAAACATGAAGATTAGATGCATCCGTTTTGATAGAAGAAACGTGCATTGGATCAAGAGCATAGCGAAGAGGACGGAAGATACCCACCAAAATACGAGCATGTGTCGTACTATTGTCGTTAACTAGAATATAACTGTTCCGTTCAATACTAACAAACTTTTGTCAACGTGATCGATTCTGCCATTGTAGAAAGTCCCCAGTACGAGCAACACTGTTGGGAGATTGGGCCAACAGGACCCGGAACAATGACGCGGTATGTGAGTGGCCGGCCAATTAGCGTACCTGTCCGGATTAGGTAATATGCATTTAATCGTTCTGCCTGCCCCAAGCGGCAATACCTGTTCTCGCAACCTGTCGTTTCACACTATCGACAACGCAATCGTAGACGCGACGCCACGACCACACATTTACTAAACATCTGCCAAGACCGGCTCGCCGATCGAAGAATCACACCTAGTGAGTTTGGGCTGCAGGCGTACTCGTCTCAACACAGGTTGCATCCGGAATCTTCCTGCCCAACAATGGCGTCGGTAAACCGGAAAGACTACGGGCCTACGCCGCAGGTGGAAGATGACGATCTGATCGACCCGGATGATGGCAAGTTCCCTTTTTTCATCAGTCTTGAGGGGATGAAGGCCGGGTGACAACCAGGGTCGGCAGGGGATGAAAGCCACTTGCTAACAAGAGACGGTCAACCTGCAGCTGACCTGGACGACCTGGACGATCTCGATGACCCGATGACGGCGGCCAGCGCGTCCAAAGCTCCTCTGCGAGGAAACATCGGCCAGTCCCCATCTAGCGGTGGCATCGGCAGTGGCAGTGGCAGCGGCAGCGGTAGTGGCAGCGGCAGCGGTGGGGGTGCCGGTGGTGGACCGTCCAGCTTTGGGCGGTCGCTGAGCGAGAACTATCTGACGTCGCAGATCCCGGGTGAGGACCGGCGGGCGCCGACGAACACGATCGACGAGACGGTGTGGGCGACGCTGCGACGGGACCTGCTGGCGGTGTGGGCCAAGATGCGCGAGGTGCTGTATCCACGGTACCTCTTTGGCGGCAGCATGTTTGACGACACACAGGAGAGCGGCGTGGGTGGCGGCGGTCTGCGCGGGGCCTACGCGACGCTGCGCAGCGCCGGTCTCTCGGGCACGCGCGACGAGCTGGCCGGGCTGGCCGGACGCGTCATGGACCCGGAGTCGCTGCTGCGGCAGAGCAACATGACGCCCGGCCTGCGCGACTGGGACCTCTGGGGCCCACTCGTGTTCTGCCTGCTGCTCAGCATGCTGCTGAGCTTCAACGCGCGGTCGAACCAGCGCGACCTCGTCTTCTCGGGCGTCTTTGCGATGGTGTGGATCGGCGAGGCCGTGGTGACGCTGCAGATCAAGTTGCTGGGCGGAAATATGTACGTCCTTTCTTTCTTTTCCTTTCTTTCCTCTTCTTTCTTCCTTCTTTTCTTTCTTCCATGTCATCTCCTTCCCTCCGCTAATGCAACCCAGCTCCTTCGCCCAGAGCGTGTGCATCATCGGTTACACCCTCTTCCCGCTGGTGCTGGCAGCCCTGCTCTCGGCCCTGCACCTGCCAACGGTGGCCCGCATACCCATCTACCTCGTGCTCATCGCCTGGGCCATGGCGGCTGGCGTCAGCATCCTGGGCGGCAGTGGCGTGCTCAAGAACCGCGTCGGCATTGCCGTGTACCCGCTCCTCGTCTTCTACATCGGCCTGGGCTGTCTGTGTTTTATTAGCTGAGCGAGCGAGCGAGCGAGCACAGGCCAGGGACAGCAATTTCCGAGCAGCTCCCGAGTCACAACAGCCAATTGCTGATAGGCGACCGGACTGCCGAGAGAAGATGAAGACGAGGGGGAAGAAGAACGAAGAGAGAGGGAGATGGAGAGAGGCTTGCGGTTAAGACATGCCATAATCTCTTACGAGAGTGGACGACATTAGAAAATGGGACAATGTGTATCTGTAGGAACAGACCGTAGTGTAAGATACAAGCAGGCAACCCAAGGGGATTCAATGTGCATTTCCGAAAGCGCGTCGCGGGCTCTCCTATGGCCCTAATACGGGACGTTTAATTGCTCATGTGCGCTGGCGCTCAGACGGCAGCCAACCAGACGACCGAGAAGCACTGAGGCTCTTACGTTTTGGGCGCAGAGCAAGGCAGGCATTTGTTTAGTTGATATCGGGCATACATAGTATTACAGACCCTCTTCGCTCATCTCCCTTGCAATATATTAGCAGGTAAAACGCATCAGTCATTTCCTGGCCCACGACATAGATTAGGCTCATGTCCCATACGTAGCCTCTCTCCCTTCTTCTGCAGGACAAGACCTTGTTATTGTCGTTGGCCGTTAACTACTAAATACGCGCAGCGCTGACTGGCCTCAAAGGATTGCCTTGCATTCTGTTAGACACAGCCCACAGTGCAGCTCCCACCAGCCTGAAAGCCCCACCAAGGCTCGAATTACTGCGCAAATCCACAACTGGATCGTTCTTTGTCTGCGAGCCACAGGGCAACAGCCACCCCTCACTGGCCCCTTCCCAACTTTCGAGTTTCGAGCCGTCATATTATTATTATTTTTGCCCCGTCTCCTTTCGCCGAAATTCTTCGCAGCAGCCCTGCAGCGTCAGTGTCTACCTGCTCTCGCCCGTCTCGCAGTGCCAGCGGATTGGCAGTTTGGATTTTGTTATCGATCTCGCCCGCTCGCCGACGTCTCTAGTATCTGGCATTGCATCCCTTTCCACCGCTCCGCGACGCGCGCTGCTTCCGGCCCACTTTGCCGGCTTTTGCTAGCTTTTTGCTGTCGGCTCGTCAGATCCCAAGATCCCAAGACCCAAGGAGGACAAAACAGGCCAACACAGGACAGAGCATTGGGGAACGGCAGAGCAGACCGAGACCTGTACGAAAACCAAGCACACGATCGGGACCAGGACGCAGCCGAGGCACAATGGCGGGCTCCGATTCGGATGTGCGCCCGGGCAGCGAGAGCCCCAAGGAGGACGACGCCACCAAGGCGACACGGGAAGAGCTGAAGCACACGGCAATCTCGGAGAAGAAGCAAGACGGAGGAGACCAGTGGCGGGCGCTCACGCCACCCGATGTCCTCAAAGAGCAGGTTGGGTCGCCCAAGAAGAAGCGAGCCCACGACGAGGTTGATGATGACGACGACGACAACAGCGACGGACACCCGCTACGGTCCCGGAGCAAGATGGGCGAGCGGTCGGACGATGAGGACGGGGCGGCGGCTGCGGATGCTGCGTCTGCCAGCGGTGCGTCCAATGGCGGCAGCGGCGGCGAAGGCGGGCGATCAGACTGCGCCGAGCCCGACAAGAAACGGCTGCGCGACCAAGATGCAGTGGTGAGTCTCTTTTGTTTCCCGTCTTCTTTCTGTCCTCTTTCTGTCTTCCGGCCCGATCCGGTGAGCGAGCGATGAACTAAGTTGCCGGTGTCTTTCCGCTCGTCCAGACGACTACTTCTGCCGACGGGAAAGGCAGCCCGAAGAAAGACGACAAGCCAGTGGCAGTGCCATCTCCTGCAGCCTTTGCAACCTCGGGCTTTGCCAAGCTGACCAGCACGACATCGCCCTTTGGCTCGCTCGCCGGTGCAGGAGCGGCCACCAAGCTGTCTCTCTTCGGCTCCGCTTCGGCCTCGGCGATGGCATCGCCGTTCGGCGCCCTCGGTGGCGGTAGCAACACAGCGAAGCCCGTATTGGCGCCCACGGTACCGAAGCTCAGCTTTGGTGGTGCTAGTGCGTCGGCGTCGCCCTTCGCCAGCGTGACGGCTGCGCCACCAGGCAAGCTGTTCGGAAGCCCCTTTGGCACGACCACGGGCAGTGGATTTGGCAGCGGCGGCAACAGCTTTGGCGGCAGTGCCACGGGCAGCAGTGTGTTCGGGGGCGGACTCTCGAATGCACGACTGACGAGCTTTGCCAAGCCGGGCGCGGCGTTTAAGAGCGACAAGCCGGCCAGGCCGTTTGGGGCACCGGAAAGCGAGGCAGAAGAGAGTGAGGGCTCGGAGAACGGATCTGGCGCGGACGAGGATGACAAGGCCGACTCGGCCGAAGGCAACGAAGAGGGCGGCGAAGCAAAGGAGGCGGATGAGCGGAGTAAGATGGGCGGCGAGGAGAAGAAGAGGCCGAAGCTGCAGAGAGGTGGGTGCCTCCCAAAGTCCCGTTTGCGTTTTTCGATATGCGGCAAAGCTAACGAAAATAGTTGTGGTCAACGACGGCGAGATGGGTGAGGCAACGGTGATACAGGTGCGAGCACGGATGTACTATCTCGACAAGGACCTAGGCGGCTGGAAGGAGCGCGGTGCTGGGATGCTCAAGCTCAACGTGCCGGAAGGCTGTGTGGAGTACGACCGGGACGGCAACGTGATCCCGGCGTCGTTTGACGCGTCGATGCTAGGCGGCGACAAGGACGACGACGGCGACGACGACGCCAAGAGCGACGTCGAGTCGGCAGCAGCCGGACACGGCTCGACTCGGGCGGCGGCCGTGCCAACGCGAACGGTTGTGCGGCTGATCATGCGGCAGGACTCAACGCACCGGGTGATTCTCAACACGGTGGTGCTGGCGGCGACCCAGTTCCAGGACCACCAGATGCTCAAGGCAACGACGGTGCTGTTTACGGCGTTTGAGGGCGAGGATGCCAAGCCGGTCAGCGTGCAGATGAAGGTGAGCTTACTAGGATGCCAAGATTGTTGTAGATGCTAACATGCCAGATGAATTCTGCCAATGCCAAGACGTTTATGAAGACGATGGAGGGAATACAGAGGGAGCTTCGCGGGGATTGAGACGGTGTACCGCTGGCAGCTTCGCAGCCCCTCTGAAACGACCCCAGCACGAGCGAGACGACGAGTCTGCCTGATCTGTCTTATGGGAGAGTGCGAAGCCTGATGCTAGAACAGGAGATATTTCTTGGGAAGCAGGCAGGTCCTGATCGCCACATGGAAGTCTTGCCTTCGCGGAGGGTCCCGACTGGCGCAGACCGGTAGTCGCTGTAGGACCGGGAACACGAAGAGATACCGAGGGGAATGGGCCGTTCTCATGCCTTTCTGGCGGGTATATCGTATATTGGGGGGACATCCCTGACGACAAGGGAAAGGGTCTACGTCGTACACCGGCCGGGTTTGGGCATCTGGGGGGGAAAGGGGAAAGGGGGAAGGGGATATATGAGGCAGGGGATACATGAGGTGACGGGGACAATTGAGGCAGGGGGGGTTGTGTTTTCCACATATGTCCATGTCCGAGGAGGATGCAGAAGGGGGGCTCAGGAGGGAGCGAGTGAGCCGGGGCGGCTTGGGCTCACTGGTGGCTGAGAGGATTCAGCGTGTACCTATCGAGGCGATACCCGTGGTGAGCTTGAAACGGTAGACAAGAGATCTTTGTATTGTGTGCGAAGACAGGGGGACCAGAAAGAGTGAGGCTGACAAAGGGGGAAAGAGAGGGATAAGAGGTCACGTGCTGTCGCGACGGGATTCGCGTGGCAAAAGCCCCACGTAATAGCGGTTGATGATTTGGGAAGGCTCTTGAGAGGGTCTGGTCGCACAAGCATGCAAGAGATACGGGCGACGATGGGCGAAGCAACAGACGGTGGCAGCAGCTGTGGCAAGAGGAAGAGGACGAATGGAGGCGGTACGGCAAGCAAAAAGCAGCAGCAACAGCAGCAACAGCAGCAACAGCAGCAGCAACAGCAGCAGCAGGTGGCGATGACACCGAGCAAGACCGAATGGCCGGGTTGGTTCCGGCAGTTGGAAAAGACACACGGGGCTCTGAACGTGGTGTACACGTTCTGCTGCACGCGCAAGCACCTGCTAACAACATTTGGTACTATCAAGACGGCGGTGGAAGCGCAGACGGGGACGCCGCTGGCGGAGGCAGACGTGGCGGCGATTGCCTGTCTGCTAGCGCGAGCGGATGGTGTTGGTGGGAGGGGTAGCATCCGGTTCGAGTATGTGGACGCGCTGTCTCTGCAGCTGGAGGTGCAGGGAACGGAGCGGGATGAGGTGTTCAAGACGGGATCGCACCGACACTGGGTGACAGCGCAGGGACCGGCAGCAGATGCGTCGGTGGGCGGGATAACGGGTCGGGGAGAGAGAGTGAGGGCGGAGAGGTGCTCTACTTTGAGTTTGTGGACGAGGATCTCAAGCGGCAAGTGGCTGACGCCAAGACGGGCGAGCCACGACGGCCAACGCAGCGACTGCGGAACGAGCGACTGCGGCTGCCGGTGTACGGACAGAAGCAGATGGCCGGACTGATCGAGAAGCGGCGACGACGGTTTGCAGCGGCGGTGGAGGCCTTTCTGGGAGGAGAGGCGGGGGACGGTGGAGGGGAGGAGGCTGAAGCAGCTCTACGACAGGCAGCAGAGGCGTTTATGCCTCGAGAGGGTGTGAAGAGTGGAAGCAATCAAGACAGGAACGAGGACAACCAGGAGGAGGACAAGGTTGACGACAACGACGACGACGACGACGACGACGACGACGACGGAATACCGAGGTCGATCCCAGAGCAGCGCAAGAGCATTGCGGAAATCGTGTCAGAATTGCAGCGGCAGCGATGGTACAGCGGACAGATCGTGGCAGACGGTCACCGGGTGCAGGAGGCACGAGAGGCAGAGTACGGGACATTAAAATATCTGTTGAGCCAGGACGTGGTGAACGCATTGTACAATGCCAAGGGCATCACGCAGTTCTACCGGCACCAGGCAGAGGCACTCAACGGGCTGCAGGCAGGCAGCCACGTGGTGGTGGCGACGGCAACGAGCTCTGGAAAATCACTGATCTACCAGCTGCCGGTAGTGCAGGCGCTGGAGGAGACCAGCGGACAGGCACGGGCGCTGTACGTGTTTCCGACCAAGGCGCTGGCGCAGGACCAGCTGCGAAGCCTGCAGGAGCTGCTAGGATGGATGCCGGGGTGGAGCTCGAGCCAGGAGAGGCTGGACGAGGCGGTAGCGACGTTTGACGGCGACACGCCATGGCGAGAGCGAGAGGCGATCCGGGAGCGAGCACGGGTGGTGTTTACAAACCCAGACACGATACACGCGGCGATTCTACCACAGGAGCAGCGTTGGCGAGGGTTCTTTGCCCAGCTGCGGATCGTGGTGGTGGATGAGCTGCACTGCTACGACGGGCTGCTGGGGACACACATGGCGTTTGTGATGCGACGACTGCGGCGGCTATGTGCGGCGGTAGGCAACGAGGGAGTGCAGTTTGTGGGATGCTCGGCGACAGTGGCGAATCCAGGAGGACATTTCGGAGCATTACTGGGGGTAGCAGCCGAGACAGTGACAGTGGTGGAGCGAGACGGAGCGCCATCAGGTCAACGGGACTTTCTGTGCTGGAACACGCCGTTCCGGGTGGCAGGCGACGCAGCGAGCGGCCGGGGCAGTGGGCTGCACGAGACGGCGCGGCTGTTTTGCGAGCTGCTGCTGCGCGGAGTGCGGACGGTGGCCTTTTGCCGGGTGCGGGAGCAATGTGAGCAGCTGGTGGCAGCTGTGCGGACAAATCTGCGACAGCGCGGACGGGCGACCGAGGCGGAGCGCGTGATGAGCTACCGGGGCGGCTACGGGGCAGCAGAGCGGCGAGGCATCGAAGCAGACATGTTTGCCGGACGGCTGCTGGGCGTGGTGGCGACGACGGCGCTGGAGCTGGGCGTCGATGTCGGCGTGCTCGATGCCGTGCTCACTTGGGGGTTCCCTTACTCTCTGGCCAGCTTACGTCAGCAGAGTGGAAGAGCCGGACGACGGCGAGGACGGGACGCGCTGGCGGTGTTGGTAGGGGGGCCCTTTGCGACAGACCAGCACTACATGAGACAACCAGAGCTGCTGTTCTCGCAGGAGCTGCCACCGCTGCGACTAGACCTGAAGAGCCTGCTGGTGCGCGAAGCCCACGTTCAGTGTGCAGCAGCCGAGCTGCCGATCCGGCCAGACGTCGACGGCGGCTATTTTGGCGACGACCTGGCAGCGCTCTGTGCAGCGCGTCTGGTGTGCGACGACGCCACGGGCTTCTACCACTGTCACGAGCGGTTCCGGCCACATCCATGGCGGCTCGTGGGGCTGCGAGGAGGCGCAAGCGACGATGAGGAGCCGCCGTTTGCGATTGTCGACGTGGGCGCACGGTCAGAGCCGATCGTGCTGGAAGAGCTCGAGGCAGAGCGGGCAACGTTTACGCTCTACGACGGGGCGATCCACCTGCACCAGGGGGCCAAGTACCTGGTGCGCAACTTTGATCCAGGGCGCCGAGTGGCCGAAGTGGTGCGGGTTCAGGTCGCGTGGACGACGCGGCAGCGGGACTTTACCGACGTGGACCCGGTCGAGACGGAAGCAGTGCGGGCGGTGAGAGCCAAGGAAGCCGTCTGGAAGGGTGGGCAAGAGCGGACGATGGCTTCGCTTGGCCGCATCCGCATCACGCAGACCGTCTTTGGCTTCTTCAAGGTCGACGGCCGCGATCGGATCTTGGATGCGGTCCAGGTCGACAACCCGCCGGTCGTGCGGGAGAGTCGCGGCACCTGGCTGGACCTGCCGGCCCGTGGTCTTGCCGTGCTGCAGCGCCGTCGTCTGCATGCGGCCGCGGCCATCCACGCGGCCGAGCACGCCGTCTTGGGTCTGCTGCCAGCCTTTGTCGTCAGCAGTCCGGGCGACGTGCGGACCGAGTGCAAGAGCCACATCAAGGAGTTTTCTGCCACTGAGACGCGTCGTCGTCGTCCAGCCCGTCTCGTCTTTTACGACGCCCGCGGCGGTCCGGCTGGTCTCGGCATCGCTGCCCGCGCCTTTGACTTTGTCGACGTGCTGCTGCCACAGGCTCTGGCCCGCGTCGAGGGGTGTGTGTGTGGGGGCGTGAGCACCTCTGCCGGCTGCTCGGAATGCGTCGTCTGGCAGCACTGCGGCGAGGCCAATGCCGTGCTCAGCCGCGCCGGCGCCGTTGTCGTCCTCCGCAGCCTTCTCGGACTGCCCATCGACGAGGACCGCCTGCCGCTCGGGCCCGAGGCTGGCATCCCCCCCGGAACAGAGACGGTCGTGCTGGCACAGCCGGTGCCGGGTGCGCGGCAGGATGGACGGGACAAAAAGCCTACATTGCCAGCATCGCCAACATCATCATCGCCAACATCACCAGATGCTGTAAAGCTCGAACTAGAATAGTCACATCACGTGACATGTACTTTCACACATAGGCCGAGGCAGCCCCACACCCCCCGCAGCATCCCCAGTCTTCCCGCCCCAGATAATCACACCGCGCTGACACGTGCCTCGGCTGTTATGTCAGCGAGACAGCTTCATGTCATTGTCTCCCTCCAGCAACGTCCGGCTTTTCCACGCGGCATGCCCTGAACGAATATTCCACCGTCCGCCTCCCCGAACCCGACACAATGGACGAAGACCACCCCAAGGTGATCCGGCTCTCGTACGAGGGCCGTGTGGCCGTCATCACGATCGACAACCCGACCAAGCTGAACGCCCTGTCGCTGTTCCAGTACTACGACCTGGCCAGCAAGATGCGCGAGGTAGCTGCCCGGGACGACGTCTACGTGACCCTGCTGACAGGCACGGGGCGATTTTTCTCAGCGTACGTGTCTTTGTCTTTGCAATCTCGAATCTTTTTTCTTTTTCCCTTTTTCCTTCCTCTTCTCTTCCACCCCCTCTAACTCCTCCCAGCGGTGCCGACGTCTCGGTCGCGTCGAGCGACAACGGCAGCGACGCCTACGCGCACTGGCTGCGCTCGTTTGTGGCCTTTAACCTCAACATTGCGCGGGCCTTTTACACGCATCCCAAGGTGCTGGTGGTTGGGCTGAACGGGCCGGCTGTCGGGCTGTCGGCGGCGCTGATCGGCTTTGCCGACTTTGTCTACTGCACGCCCGAGACCTTTCTGCTGACGCCGTTCAGCTCGCTCGGACTCGTGGCCGAGGGTGGCGCCTCGGTCGGCCTGGTGCAGCGACTCGGCCGCGCCAAGGCTCTCGAGGCTCTGCTGATGAGCCGCCGGATCCCGAGCGACGAGCTGCTGGCTGCCGGCTTTGTCAATGCCGTCTTTTCCGGCCCCGACACCGCCAACGACACCGCCTTCCATCGCCGCGTCCGCGCTGAGATCGATGCCCGCCTCGGCCCCCATCTCATCGGCGACAGCCTGCTCGGCATCAAGAAGCTCGTCCGCGCCGCCGACGATCACGTGCTCGACCGCCAGAACGTCGCCGAGGTCTTTGCCGGGCTCGACCGCTTCCTCACCGGCGTGCCCCAGGAGGAGTTCCGGAAGCTGGCCACGGGCGAGAAGCGACATAAGCTATAGGGGCTGGAGGAGGCAGCCGTACTGTATCTGGGTTTTTATGATATAACCGTGTTTACGGAAATTCCTCTTTAGGCAGTCTCCCGTTCTTATGTAATGCATGATCGTTCGTCTGCCTCTGTACTCGTCTAGCTGTCCATTTGGGTGTCACTCGGTACTTCGCTTTCGAGACTATCCTCACACCTCTACTTACTCTTTAGGTCACGCCAAGGTGCTGGCTGCCTCTACTGATCGTAGCACTTCTATTGTCTATCCCATTGCCTAAGATAGATCGCTTTATCCTTATAGCAGCCTCTTTTTAGCCTCGCCTACAATCTCCAGGCCCTCACAGCACCCCAAATAGCAGACTCGTCTTCTTCCATGAGTCCCGCGCCGTCTTGATGATGCGCTGCCGTGCCGCTGCTTCCGCCGTCAGTCCGCTCTGCCCGGCCAGCAGCTCTTCCAGGTCCATCCACGGCTGCTGGCCGGCCGATCCGAAGCAGCAGTGCAACCAGGCTGCGTCCAGCAGCCACTGTAGGAGGAGGTCAGTGTGGGGGTTGAGTGGAGATGGCGTCTCTTCGTCGTCTTTGCTGTTCTTGTCATTAGCTTTGCTGGCTTTGTCCTCATCGTCCTTTTCCTTGTTTTCTTCGCCCTCGTCCACCTTCTTCTCTTCGTTGTCCCCCACCTCCTCATCCTCCACCCGCTCCCTCTCTAATCCCTCCACCACGGCTATCCATCGCGCTGCCAGATCGGCCGCCACGTGTCGCTTCAGCACCGCCACCGCCGTCGGACTCCAGAGATCCATGCCAGCCCGGCTCATAGCCGTCGAGAGGTCGCGCAGAAACCGAAAGACACCCGGCGAAGGCGATGGTGGAAGGACGAGCCCGTTTCTGTTTTTCTTTTCGTCCTTCTCGTCCTTCTCCTTCTCGCTGTCCCTGTCCAGTTCCCAGAGACTGCGTCCGGCCACCGTCCTCCGTGCCAGGGCCCCCGCCACAAACTGTTCCAGTGCCGGTCTTGTCACTGACCGGACGATCGTGTCGTGCAGCTCTGGGATGATGGCGAGTCCGAGCGAGGCCACGCGTTCACCTCCGCCCGCCCGGATCTCCCGCAACACGCGCACCAGGTACATGGCCCTGTCCGCCTGTCCGTCGTTTGCTTCTGTCCCCAGCTGGGCCCACGTCCTGGCCATCTGTCGGTCCAGATCGGCAAACGCGGTCGCCAGCGCCGCTTCCAGACGGCCCTGCAGCCTTGTCGGGTCGTCGCGGCTCAGCAGCTGCTGGCGCTGTGCGATCGTGTCCTCGTCCTCGACCAGGCCGTCGCCGTGCTCATCGTCGTCGTCGCCCTCCTCCAGCTCCCAGCGCTGTCGTCGCAGCTGCGCCACCACGGCCTCGGCGTCGTCCATCACGCGTCGCCATGTCGCAAACGAGGCCACCGCCCGCGCCACCGCATCGCTGCGGCCGTGCAGCCGTCCCACGACCTCCCACACAAACGGCACCGCCCCGGACGAGAGATCCGTGTCTAGACCCACGTCCACGTCCACGTCCACATCCACGTCCAGGCTTCCTCCCCCCCACAAGCTTGCGTGCCGGTCTGCCACGCTGTCTCGCCATGACGCCACCGTCGACGCCACCTCGGATCCGACCAGCCGCAGCTTGTCGACCTTGGCCTCCAGCACCTGCTGCATGTGCTGCCCCAACACCAGCCGGATCCGGTCCAGCAATGCCGCCGGGTCCAGCCCGCGCACCCGGCTGCTGTCGCGGATCCACAGCTGCAGTACCCGTCGCCGCATGTCCACAATCGCGTGCAGGTCCAGCTGTGCTTGTCCGGGTCGCTTCTTCTGGCTGTCCCCTGCCCCGTCTACACCCCCCAATGCCCGCTGCAGGCCGGCCAGCAGCGCATCGGCGCCACGTTCGGCCCACGTGCCTAGCATGTCGCGCGCCTGTGCCGCGTCCAGGTCGTCGTGTCGGATGTACGGCTTGAAGAACTGCACGTCGTCGCCGCACCATCGCCCGTGCACATCCAGTGCCAGTCCCTCCATCTGTTGCAGGCTCTCGTCGTCCAGCAGCGCCCGTCGTTTCAGTCCCAGCAGCGCCTCGGGCAGCCGGTGCGGCAGCAGTGCCTGCACGTCCAGCAGCGTCTTGGTGTATAGTGCCAGTCCGTCCAGCACTCTGTCAGTGCGGTCGGTCTTGTCGTCGTCTTTATCGTCGCCATTGTCGTCGTCGTCCTCCTCCTCCCCGTTAAGCTCCAGCACTTGTCCCATCGCCTGGCTGCGCACGTGCAGCAGCTGCCAGAGCACGTCGCGAGCGCCCGACGTCGTCGCCAGGCTGTAGGCGCACAGCGCCCGGAGGAGGTCGTCGCGGCGGGCTGCTGCCGCTGCTGCGGCCCGGCTGGTGTGCGTGGTGGTGCTGAGGTCCATCGCAAGCGCTGCATCGCCGACCGCTCCGTCTACGCCCGTTCTCGCTGCCACCAGCGCGTCGTAGTGTCGGTGGTGCACCGTCCGCTCCAGCACTTCGACCATGTCGCGCAGCCGACGGCGCAGGCTTGCGAGCGTCTTCTTGGACGCCTCGATCGAGATGCGCACGGTGGGGTCTCGAATTGTACTTTTCTTCTCGTTTTTGCTTTCCGTCTTGGACTTGTCCTCGGCCAGACTGGTGATGAGCAGCCGGCTGAGCACCAATACCTTTGCCGCCAGGACCAGCCTCTCTCCCCAGGTCTGTGCTGGCTTTTGTGGCTGCTGCTGTTTGGCAAGCTTGGCGTTTGTCGCTATCGTCGTCGCTGCCGAGCGTGATAGCAGCCGGGCCACCGTGCGGGCACACGCCTCCAGCAGCCGTGCCCTAGCCGCCACGCTGAGCGAATCTTTCTCGTGGTCTCGTCCGGCCTGGCTGCTACTCGCAAAGGTTGCCAGCGCGTTCACCTTGGCGCCCACGGCGGCACGACCGCATCGGTTGCCCATGCTCGCCAGCGTCGCCCGCACGGCGTCCATGTCGCCACGCATCTGCACAATGGAATCGGCCGTACCCAGAAGCTCGCGGTACGAGCCGCCAACCTGCGTACGCAGGCGGGCAGCCTTGTCGTCGACCTGCCCGTTGAGAGTCTTGTGGAGGGCGCGGATCTGCGGCAGCGACCGGCTCGACGCAAAGATCTGGGCCGACGACGTCAGCTGGCCGACGTCCGCCTCAAAAGTCGCCATCGGTACGGGTGGTAAGCGGACACGCTGGCGGTGCCCGATCGCAGAGTGACTTCTGTGAGAGAGTTTGAAGCATTTGAGTGTAGAGGTGCAAGTGGGAGAAGCTGATGCTGGCAATTACGGCAGCCAATTATGGTAGCCAATCAGGCAAGTGTGGGGCGCCCGAGAAGGCAGGAGCTTTCGTTGAACAGACAGTGTCTACAGCACAGTGCATCTACATATCGCCTTAAATGCATCCATTCCCCTTTTGCCTTTTGTCTCTCCAGTTATGACAGCTTGATACTGCGGACCAGACCAGTCTTGATGCCGGTCAGCTCACCCTGGTAGTTGTTGCGGTCGTTGCCGCCCTTGTACACGGCCCGCTTGCTCGCCATCTGCTTCGTCTTCTTCTCAAACTTGATCCTCTTCTTCACCCGCGGGTTGTTCTTCTTCTCCTTGAGCGTCTTGTGGCTCAGGCCCTTGTTCTTCTCAATCTCCCACGAGATCTGTCGCCGTCCGTCCTCGTCCGCACCCATGGCCGCGTCCACGCGGTCCAGCCGCCCGGCCTGCACTTCCGCCTGGCGCGCCGCCTTGCCGTCCATCTTCTGTCGGTGCGCCTGCACAAAGCTGTTGTAGTACGCCAGATCGGCGTCCTTGGCTGCCCGGCTGTCGTCTCTGTCCTGTTCGTCTTCTGCCTCGTCTGCCCCGAGCTCCTCGCCTGGCCCGGCTTCGTCTTGTCCCCGCCGTACCGCTGCCGCGTTCAGTCGGGCTTGGCGGTCTCGAAGCCGCTCGCGGTACGGAATGTCCAGATCGCCACCTGCTTGTCCGCCTGCGTCGGCTCGCCGGTTGGCCTTTTGCATGATCTGCGACGTGTAGAAGCCCAGACTCTTCTTGCGCTTCAGCTTTTCCGCTGCCGTGCGCGCATCCATCGACTCCTCCTCGCCAAAGTCGGCGTCCGCATCGTCGTCGCTGTCTTCCTCCTCCTTCTTGCTGCTGCTCGTCGTCGTCGGCGTTGTCGTCGCCGCCAATGTCGCCCGCTTCTTCTTGTTCTTCGCCAGCAGCGTCGACAGGTCTGCAATCGATTTCTCCACTTCCTTCGACACCGCCGCCGTCCGCTTCTTTTCTTTCGTTTCCTTCTTCGCCTTGTCCTTCCGCTCTTTCTTCTGCCGCTTTTCGGCCGGCTCCTCGCTCCTCGCCTTCTCCTGCGGCAGCTCGTCCGCCATAACCGTCTTCTCTTCTGCCTTGCTCTCTCTCCCGGCACCGCCCGTTTCTTGCCGGCGTGCCTGCACGTGCTTCACCCGTTCCCACGTCTGCCGGCTGTCCATGAGGTACTCCATCACCTCGTGGCTGTGCAGCTCCTCCGGGTCCATCAGGAACTGCGACCCCGTCGGCTTATCCCGTGCCGGTGCCATGAGCAGCGAGAAGTACAGTGCCATCGTCGACACGTAGCAGCCGAGCACGCGGTACTGGATGGCCTCGAGCGTGTTGCCGGCCTTGCCCTCGGCCGCCTTCTTGTACTCGTTGAGCAGCGGCTCCAGCTCAGCAAACTCGTCGCACACGTAGTCGAACTCGGGGTACAGCGTCTTGAGCAGCTCGTAACGTTCCTCGGCCGACATGCCGTCGATCTCCTCGGCCGTCTTCATCGTCACTGTCACTACTGCGCCAGCTGCGGCTGCACCGGTCTTGTCAGCCTCTCCCGTGGCCGCACCGTCCGTGTTCCAATCGTCCGCGTCAAAAAAGTCTTCGGCCGCCATACGCGAAAGCTGCTTCTTCTGCAGCCGTCGGGCCTCCTCCTCTTCCTCAAGTGCGTTGTCCTCCGTCTCGATCACCTCGCCGTCGTAGTACTCCTTCTTCGACGCGCCCCACCAGCCCTGGTCGCCGTCCTCGTCGCCGGCCGCATCCTCGCCGTCCGACCCGTCGTCGCTGGTGGCAGAACGTCCCTTTTTCGTGTTGCCTTTAGCCTTTTTGCTGGCTGCCCGACGCTCGGCTTCGGAATCGTCTGAGTCGTCTGAGTCGGCAGCAAGCACCTCGTCGTCAGATAGCTCGAGAAATTCGTCTTCCTGTTCTATTCTCCGCTGGCGCTTGGTGCCCGGCTCGTCGTCAAACATGATCTTGTCCTTGTCCAGGAAGTACTCCTCCTGCTCGTCGGCCACGTCTGCGTGTGTGGTGATGGGGCCCAGCCGGGCATCGGCCGCATCATACTCCTTGGGGCCCGTCGGACCCGTCGGCTGTCTGGCCGCCTTTCTTTTCTTTGCCATTTTTCCTTGGCTAATGTGTTGGATGGAGATGGGTTGTAATTTAGGATGGGGAAGTTTTTTTTCTCTGATAACTGGATCTTTTTCTTATCGAGTGGACCCACATAAACCACTAGTCCTATCCTGGATGCGAGATCTATGTACTGAGTATGTTGTGTGAACGTCAAGGTGAGTCTTGTAGTACTTGATAGCCTGTTTCGTTTTGATATATTAATCGCTAAAGGAATTACATAGAGTTAATTGTAGGTTTCTTGATCATTTTGCTGGCTCTGGGAAGAGCATCGAGGATTCCCTACAAAGAGCCTTCCCGCGGGACATAGTACATTGTTGAACCCACTTTTCCAGGAGCTTGCATCAGCGAAACGAGCAGCTACAAACTGGTCTATCTTGCGCATCTCGCACGACATATCTGGCACTGCCACACCAAGACCTGGTAATGCCGGCCTTTAACACCTCGATTGCATTGACGTCTGCGGCCGTTGTGGGCTCGAGCGCGATTGTCGGCTCGGCCATGGGGTGGTGGACCAAGAACCAGATGCCGGTCGAGGGCAAGGTGAGCGAGCGAGGAGTGAGGATGGAGGCGAGTGACTGACGACGGCTGACACTCGACAGACGGTGCTTCTGACGGGAGCGACCGAGGGCATGGGCCGGTCTGTGGCCAAGCAGCTGGCGGCCCAGGGCGCGGACGTGATTGTGGTGGCGCGCAATGTCGGACGTCTGGCCGAGACGGTAGCAGAGCTAAAGGTTTGTTGCGTGGAGACTTTGCGTCTTGTCTGCTCGTCTGTTCTTCTCTCGCTAATCTGCCCAGACGCTCGCCCCGTCCGAGTCGCAGCGGTTCCACCACATCGCGGCCGACGTGGCCGAGCCCAACTACGCGGCAGCCGTGATCGCGGACGCGCTCGCCTGGAACGGAGGCCGGCCGATCGACGTGGTCTGGTGTGTGGCCGGCATGTCGACGCCGATGCTGTGGGCCGAGGAGCCGCAGGCGGTGGCGCTGGGGGCCAGCCGGCGCAACATGGACGTCAACTTCTGGGGCGCGGCCGAGATGGCGCACGCGATCCTGCGCGAGTGGCTGCGACCCGAGGCCGGACCGTATGCCGAGCCGCGTCATCTCGTCCTCACGGCCTCGGTGCTGGCCTTTTTTGCCGTCGTCGGCTACGCGCCCTACACGCCGACCAAGTGGGCGCTCCGCGGCCTCGCCGACACGCTCGCCCAGGAGACCCTGCTCTACTACGATACCAACCCGGTCCGCGTCTCGGTCGTCTTCCCCGGCACCATCCTCAGCCCCGGGCTCGCGCGTGAGAACACGACCAAGCCCGACGTCACCCTCCAGCTCGAAAAGGACGACCCCCAGCTGTCGCCCGATCAGGTCGCCGCTCAGGCCATTCGCGGCCTCCAGCGCGGCCACCACTTCGTCACCGTCTCCTGGCTCGGCGACCTCATGCGCTGGGGCACCCTCGGCGGCGCCCCCCGCAACAGCTGGCTGTGCGATACCCTCGGCGCCTACCTCGTCGCCTTTGTCATGTTCTTCGTCGTCTGGTGGATCCACGGCGATATCCGCGCCTACGCTCGCAAGCACGGCCACCCGGCCACGTACGCGAAGAAGGGATAAGGGGGGAGTGCGAACTACTTGGTAGAGCAAAAGTATTCAATCTTTCATCCATCTACAACGTAACGAAACATGATCGTGTACGGAGTCCATATTTCTAATCCGACGTTCATCCACGTGACTGATTACTAAGCAAGACCCACCCCCTTCACACGCCCTTCCACTTGCCAAACTGCAGCCAGCGCCGGTAGAGGTCGCGGAAGAGGGCGCGACCGGCAGGATCGACGGCATCGTTGAGCAGGCGGCGGGTCTCGTCAGAGGTGACGCCGAGGACAGAGAAGAGGCCGGGCTCGAGGGCGTCGCGCAGGTCGCGAACGACGACAGCGCCGTCGATCTGCAGCTTGACGTAGGCCATGAGAACGAGGTACATGTGCTGGCCGGCAGAGCGGCGGGCGGCCTCGGTGGCCGAATGGAGCACGGGTGCGGCAGCGGTGAGAGAGGCACCGGCGGGACCGCGCCGAGTCATGGTGGCGACGGCAGCGGTCGAGGGCTCGCAGACGAGTTCGAGCAGGCGGGCGAATTGGGTGGCCTGAGGGGTCCAAAAGACACATCCGCCATTTTGGAGCAGCCGGGTGAGCAGGGCCTGCAGCGTGGCGACGACGAGGTGGAAGCGGCCCTCGAGCCGGAGTCGGTGGCGTTTCAGGACAGCCTCGACGAGACGACAGGCGACAGCAAACATGCCGGCAGAAGATCGCACGCTGTCGTCGCTGCGGCCGTCTAGAGCGACGGCCAGGGCCACAGCACTCAGCGTGCCGTCAACGTTCCACTGCCCCATGGCGGCAGCGCCGGCACGGTCGTCCAGCAGGAGCGCGCGCAGCGTCTGGCCCAGCAGCCGGGCCTCCGTCACCGAAGCAGCTCGCGGCAGCCTTTCGGCCAGGCGGCTGTGCACGACGGCCAGGTCGAAGCGGCCATCATCGGTCCTGATGGAAGCAGCTCCAGGCTGGGCCAGCAGCCGGCCGAGCAGGTGCTGGATGGCCAGAAGCTGGCCGACGGTCGATGTGGATGTTTTATTTTTGTCTTTGTCATCCTCCACGAGCTCCTGGATGTACGACAACAGCGACTCTTGGCTGTAGCTGCGCGTCTCGTTGACGAGGTAGGTTTGTAGCAGGTCGCTGTCCACGAGCACCGAGGCGGCCGTCCAGGCGATCGTCTCTCCGTCGTCCTCTTCCGGTCGCTCGTCCACAAAGAGCCCCGGAAAGCGCAGCTCGCGCCGAGATTTGTCATCGTTGCACAAATACCGTGCCATCAGTGCCCTCCACTTCCAGCCAACCTTGTCGTTCTGGCTGCACAGCCGCCTGGCCATCGTCTGCATCGGGCCAGCCAGCGATGCCAAGCCCTGCTGCTCCAGCTGCGGCTGCATGTCCGGCAGGTCGTCGGCCAAGATGGCGTCAAAAGCAAGCAGAAGCTGCACCGTGCTGCTGCTGCTGTTCTCCAGCGCCTGTCGCAGCACGGCAACGACAAGTCCGGCCAGCGCCTCCCGGGCCCGTTCTACCGGTGCCACGCCAAGCTTGCTGGCCGCCGGTGTGTTCGCTGTGGCCAGCAGGACGGCCTGCAACAAGATGAGTCGCAGCACAGCCGATGCTTTGTCAGCAGCCACCCAAAACGAGACCCGCTCGAACATGGCCTCGCCCAAGCTGTGCTGGAGCACCGCCACCACGATGCAGCGGTACCGGTCCATGAGCCCGAGAGCAGACGGCAGGGCCACAGACGCGGCCGTGGCCTCGACCACCATCCCGAGCCATACGAGTCGGTCGAGGTCCATGTCGCCGGCCATTCGCTCTCGGGTCACGCGGATCAGTAAATCCAGCACCACCACGGCGTCCTCGACCGACATATGCAGTTGGTCCCTGACTGGCTTCTCGCCCGGCAGCAGCGCCGACATCACGCGCTCGCGCAGGCGACGGGGCAGCAGACTTGCCGGCGTGCGCAAGAGCCCGCCGGTCGCCTCAAGCCACTGCTGTCCGCCGGGACGACTGGCCTCTTCCAGCTGCCGGATGTACCGCTCCGTCATCATGCCGGCAGCCTTGTCGTCCAGCGTCAGGACAGCCCCAGACTGCCACGGCAACAACAGGTCCAACACCACCACCGACCGCTCCTTGCTGCTCCTCGTCATCTCGCTATAACACAACACCGAAGAGTCAGTCATAGCCGGAAACAGAGCCAGAAACGGGAATACATACTCGACAAAACGCGACGAGCCACACAGCATCCAGGCCAGGTACGTCGCCAGCGTGGCCGCTCGGGAGTCAAAGTCGAAGCAGCTGCTGTCGTCGTGCGCAGCCACGCGCTGTGTCAGCTCCAGCCGGACCGCCGTTTGATCGGCCTCGTCCACCAAACCAGCCAGTGCGCCCTGAAACTGACCAAAAAGCGCCCAGGTGAGGTTGCGAGCGTCCTGCTCGGCCGTGCCGCTGCTGTTCTTCAGCGCCATCCAAAAGGCAAACGCGCAGACGAGCGCCTCAAACGTGAGCTCGCCCAGCATCGCCGTTTCTTCTTTGGCCAGCTGCTTCTGCACGGCCATCCAGAGGCTCATGGCCGCAGCCGGGTCCAGCCAGCCGAGCGACCGCCGGATCAGACGCCAGCGAATCGCCCGAATCGAACTAGACACCACTAGAGACACGTCCGCGCCAACCACGGCTTCGGCCATCCGGCTGCCCACGGCGTCCTCGTACTCTTCGAGCCGGATGCCCGCACCGACGGCGTCCAGAACCACCAGCCTGCACACGGCCGAGGCTCCGTCCAGCTGGTCTAGCAGCTCCAGCAGCTGCGTCTTCGTCAGCGCCGTCTGCAGCACGTCGGCCACGGCCGTACGGATGGCTCGATCCAGCCAGACGTTGTCGTCGCCGCTCTGGCTGAGACCTGTACACCAACGCCCGATAAAAGCCGGCAGGCTGTGGGCCTTGGCCGATCCCCGTGCGAGTGCGACCAGAAAGATGGACACGGACTGCCGGTCAGCCGCCAGCGTCGGCCGACACGTCGCCAGGTCCTGCAGCAGGTCGTCCAGCAGCTGATCGCCAGCCGGCGCCACCAGAAACGCGTCGGCATCACAGCGAGCCACCGACGCCACCAGACCCCAGTCTGTCGTCCCTCGACCCTCGTCCTTGCTCGAAGCCATAGCCGCCCGCCGACACACTGCCTGTAGGCTCTCGCGGGCCGGCGAGGCCTCGTGCTGTGCCGCCAGGTCCAGCAGCCTGGCCAGGATTGAGTTGCGCCCCTGCACGGCTGGCAGTAGCGGCTGCTGCATCGCGTCAAAGACCACCTGCAGCCACCGCTCGTTGTCTCGGCTCGTCGCCGCTGCCGCACCACCACCACCACCACCACCAACCATGCGTGGCGCCTGGACCGCCAGCAGGAACAGCACCGGCAACAAGACCTCGTGGCCCTTGAGCTTGTCGCACGCAAGCTCCAGTGTGTGCAGGTCCTTGTGGTTCAGATAGGCCGAACGCGCCGGTAGCACCATGTTGTTGGTCAGGAACCGCTGCAGGCCCGCCGCCCAGCACTGCCGCCCCTTTGCGCCAGGCACAGCGAGCAGCTCACGCAGCATGCTGCAGCCTTCCAGCGTCATGTTCAGGGCTACTGCTGGCGCGTCGGTCGGGCTCTGCAGCCGGAGGTCCCAGAGAGCCGAAAAGGTCGTGATCCAGCCCGCCTGGTCGTCGTCGTCTTTGTTCTCTTTGTCACCGTCGTCCCTCGTCGTCAGAGCCAGTCGGCACACCTGCAGCAGAGGCACCAGCAGCGTCATCGCATCGGTGCCCGATGTGCAGAAGAACGACTTGATCTGCTCGGCCCCGATCCGGTCGTGCGAAGCGTACAGGCTCCCCTGGCTCCAAGACGCCGTCTTGACCTCGTCCAGACGCCCTAATAGAACGCGCAGCGCCCCAAAGAGTGCCCCTGCCGACAACACCCGCTGCCGTGGTTTCTGCAGCGCCTCCAGGTCGAATCTGACTGCCTGCCACTTCTTTCTCTTCCGGGGATTCTCGCTCTCACTCTCACTCTCGCTCTCGCTCGCCTTCGGCCTCCCGCCCAGTTCCAACGCCGTCTGCTGCAGCACCGCCACAAAGCGTCGGTCGGCCAGCGTCTTGGCCAGCGTGAAGAGCGGAATGCGCCTAAAGAGACAGCCTAAGATGTGCCACGTCAATGGCCACCGGCGAAGCGTCTCGGCCTCGGCCGACGAGCCGCTCGTGTTCTTGAGCATCCACCGCAGCGCCACCTCCTCAGACGCGTAGAAGTCACAGTGACTGTCGGCAGTAGTGACGCTGCCAGGGCAGCCCACAACCGCTCGAGCTTGGCCGCTGTCGTCTCGGGGCCGCTCTGATCCAGAGACCGGGCTGTCTTCAAGAGCGCGGCCGCAGCCATTGTCAATGGGGATTGTTGAGATGCCGAGGACGAAGCCAAAAAAAAGAAGAGTCGATTGAAACAAGCCGAAATGAAAGAAAGTATCGGCTCTGCCAGAAAGTGAAGCTGAGGAAAAAAAGATCGAAAATTCTGCCGGCGTCTATCCAGATAGCTGCCCGTCACCCTACAGCCTGGCTCACCGCCTTCGGACCTCTGTCGAATGAGCGCGAAAAAAATATAGCCGGTTTGGTCCGCGTTTGCGCGATTCTCTAGCGACGAACCAACCGTTCTCACGACCTCTCCCAACCCCTGTGTGTCTGTCTCAACGCAGCCGTCACCCACCGGACATTGTTCGCCATCGAGGTTGGTTTCGCCCGCTCCGTTCCCCCTTCTCGTCCGGTTGGACTGCCAATTCCTAATCCTGGCCTTGGACACACTCCCGGCAGCTTCCGTTGCGTTTTTTCTTCCGCTTTGCCGCCGCCGGCCTTTCGTCTCCTCCAGACTCCGCGTCACGCCACATCACGACCATGTCTGACTCTTCCGCCCCGGCACCAGTACGGAGCGTGGTTTCGCGGCCCGTCAGCGAGGCCCTGCTGAACGAGAAGGTGTGACCATTCTGCTTGCACAAGCTTCGTAATGTCAGAGACCACTCACTAAATTGATGCCGCGCAGTGGGACCACTGCCTGTCCAACCTGGTCATCAAGTCGGCTCTCGGCCTCGGCTTCGGCGTCGTCTTCTCCGTCCTTCTCTTCAAGCGGAGAACCTGGCCGGCCGTCATCGGCGTCGGCTTCGGCGCCGGCCGCGCCTACGAGGAGTGCAACTCGGCCCTCAAGCAGGCCGCCAAGGACATCCGGAAGACCGCATAAGCACATTCGAAGCGACCCTCATGAGAGGCGGCCGATGAGAGGAGTGGCACCGGAGACTACACCCCTCCTGCCACCGCCCGCCCGCCTTTTCTTGCATTGTATAAAAGGATATTTCTCATTTGTCTTGATATAGGGAGACGGAATGCTAGATCGGTCTTGCCCAAAAGCTACGTGCACATGTCCCGTCACCACAGCAAGTGTCATTCTGCCGTCCACCTGTGGTGTCGCTCTGGACGACCACCTGCGGCATAGATCCCATCACACTCTCCCGCCGAAATGACCACATTCCTATCCTGTCCCGGGCCCCAATCTTGCCGACATATCGCGTGTACGACAAGAGCAAAAAAAGAAGGGGAAACGCCGTCCCTAGGCGAGCTATGTGGCTCAGTATCCAGTTCAAATGCGCAGTCCTATCCAAAGATGTGTGCAGCCCTTGTGGGGAAATAAAATAAAATAGACCAATCAAATACGACACAGTCACATAATCGTGCAGCAGCCGCGCAGAAGCTTCGGCAGGCACTTGCCGACAGCCTGCTCGATCTCCTGCTCGAGCTGGTCGTTTCCCTGCTGCTGCTGGTTCTGCTGATGCTGCTGGTGTTGCTGGTGCTGGTCGTGATGTTGCTGCTGGCCAGCCGCGGCCGAATAGTTGGGCTGGGACTGCGGCTGGTAGCCGCCGCCGCCACCACCGCCGTACCCGCCCAGATGTCCCGACGGTTGCTGCGGCAGGGGCGGGACGCCGCTGACGGCACCGCCCTGCAGGTTGACGTACACCCGGCCCTCGTTCTCCTCGGTGGCGTACTGCAGGCCCAGCTCGCCGCACAGCTTCTCGACCGCCGGCTTGATCTTCTGCACGTGGTTGGCGCTGTGGTTTCCGCGGCCAACGATGACGTGCAGGTGCGTCTGGCCCTGCGACTGGGCTGCGCGGATCCGCTGCTCCAGGATCCGCTCGGCCTCTTCGACAAACTGCCCGTGCAGGTCAATGGTGTCGCCGGCCACCCGGCTCACCGCGTTGTTCTCCCGGAAGATGTACTCCGACGCCTGCCGGTTGTAGTCGTCCATGGCGGCGGCATGGCGCTTGCCCTCGGTCGAGAGGGTCTTGGCGCTGGCCCCATCGCCGCGCTCGTACGCCTGGTGAGACTGTCGGGTGGAAGAGAGGCGGTCAGCCACGGACGAGGGGGGGCTGCGAATCGGAAACGACCAACGGCACGACCAAGGCCACAGCAAAAACTCACCTTGTCAAAGCAGGAGTTGCGCTTTGCAGCCTCCTGACGGGCGAGGTCACGCAGACGGTCATATTCCGCCTCAGCGTCGTTTCCGGCGCTGTGGTTGAAGGCTGAGAGAGTACGGTCAGCAACAGCAGCTCGCCCAGAAAAAAGAAACCATAGGCACGAGTCGGAAGAGAGGGAGGGGCCAGTGACTTACACCGCTCGCCCAGCTGTGTCATGGGAATGGCTGAAGAAGCCATGGCGTCGGGCGCGTCCACAGAGACGACGTTGTGGCGCGGCAAAGGGCCAATAACGAAAACACTGGCTCTCCAGGTCTAATCACAGTCGCACAGGCGTGAGGCTTGTGACCGGGAGTTTATAAGCGGAAGACGGGACGTGGAGAAAGCCGCGCTCGCAGAGGTCGTTACTCGTGGTATCGACGAGGACAACATCGGCAGCCATGAGATGTTGAAGTTGGCGATTTCGGGCTGCGCCCCACTTTTGCCTCTGCGCCTCAAGACTCATTGGCGGACGACAGGTAGAGCTGAAAACGAGCGTTTAGCCACAAAGAAAAAGAGCCGGCGCCCGATTGAGTTTGGAGAAGGGGGGGTGCTGCAAGGAACAGCACGGTGAGTGGCTGGCGGTGCTAGTGGGCGCCTAGCCCGCTATAAAGCAGGCGGTTGCCCCTAAAGCAGGCGCTGATCGCCAGAAGAAAGAACGAAAAGGGGAAAAAGTACAAAGTAAGATGCACCAACAACAGAGCCAGCTTGTCGAGACGGAGGGAAGGGAGACCTGGTTCGGCGACTACTCCGTACGGAGTAATAATCATATATTGCTGTCTTATTAAGTCTCGCTCTAGGGACGGCTGGCGGCATCGCGGATCCTATCCTCCCTCCTCATGACTTGTGCTCGTCCGTCGTATGCATTCTGTCAAGGCAGAAGCGAGAATTCGGCAGATAGGCAAGCTTTCCAGAAGGAGCCGCCCTGCTTCTCTGATCCTCTGCTACTGCCGGCCACGACATACGACGCGCAAAGTATCTACATCCACTTCCACTTCCACATCCACACATGTAAGATACGAGAACGGGGTGTCCAACTTGCTCGGTCGCTTATTGAATATTGCTGGCCGCCATTGCGTCTTTGTGCGCCGCTGTGTCCGTCCGTGCCGGCAGCGAGGCGTTTGCTCGTCTGTGTCTTACGAGTATGCGTAATACAGCTTCTAGAAAATTGAGCTAGGTATGCTCTGCTGCCGTTGTGTTGCTTCCGCTGCTCGGAATAGGCCTAGCTCAATGTCATCATTTTTCACTTTTTCATTTGCTCGCCATGGGTTGTGCAAAACAAAAGTCAGGTTATACGTTGCAGTCGTGTCAAGAAACACCGGTTCTCGTCAGGGCAACGTTTCGATCCCTTGCTGTCCCGACTCCTCCTCTCCCAATGCCGAGCATGGCCACATGTCGCCGACCAAACGAAATAAAAAGTCCAAACGGGAAAACGGGAAAACTGGAAACCGGAAACCAAAAAACCGAAGCTGGCAACCAGAAACCTCAGAAACTGGGAACCCTGTTTGGCTGCCCATTGCACAAACCTTGGCTTCCAGAATAGAAGTCGGACAAGGGGATTGGCGGATTCAAAGAGGATGTGCTTCATCCAGCAAAATCACCTGCTTGTAGAGTTTGCGCAGGTCATATTCATCAAATCCAAGCTCCGCCATGTCCACACAAGCACTCTCCGTCTGCGTCAAAGCGGTGGACCCTCTCCATTCTCCATGTCCCCTATCCACCTACAGAGCACCTCTGGCGAAACGTGGTGGCATGGTTGCGGCCAGTCGCAGGCAGCTCGTGGGATATGCATCCGGGGGGCTGTATGATATTACGAAAAACACGTCTCGTCCGAGGGCTGCCAACCGGAAAAAAAACCTCGTCACAATGGCACAAAGAGCCGGCGCAGCAGCAAGGGAGAAATGGGCGTGAAATGTGCAGACGGAGCACAACAGGCCCGCATTATCGGACAGAGCTGCCATTTCGAGGCTGGAGAGGGTCTGGCGACAGGTTCGATCGACGATGAGAGCTTTGAGACAGAGCTGGCGAAGTATTCGTCCCATGGCGTCCTCTTGCGCCTCCTTACTTTGAGTACGATAGTCGTGCACGTACTTCGGATACGGCGTATATGTACTCCGTACATCTGACAATTTACGGAGCACTCCAAAGCCCCCCTGGGCGCCGAAATAGACGGCCGAAGAGCTCGGTTCGCTCTTTACATTCGACAGAAAAGAGAGAAGAGTCTGGATTTCTGGCTGTCGTCATCCACTTCATGCCTCCATGTCTCACAATGTTGCCATAATGGGGAGAGAAATGTCCGGTACTATGTAGAGCTGAACCAGGTCTGGCGACAACACTCCGTGCGATCAAGCAGTTTTGGAAGGGAGGGGCTAGCCGGATTGTGCCAAGGAGTCAGAGACGATGGAGTTATAAATCATTAAAAACAAAACAAAAGAAAACAAAACCTCCAAGTGCCAAAAGTGGACCCCGACAAGGTAAAGGCTTTGGGGTCTTTGGGAGAGGGCCCCCCCTTTTTTAATATTATTCCTCTGCAGGTGAGTAATGACTCTCCTTGCCGTCGCGCATCTCCCTCCCTCGCCGCAGTTCACAATGGGTCGATCTGCACAGGCAGCTGCGATGCGCCCTAATGCAGAACCACACCTGTATCTCGACACATGGTGAGACCGTTTCGCCGAGCTGTGCCGCTTCGCACGAGTGTCCGAGAAAGATATGCTGGGTCCTCAGGTACAGGGTACCTGTCAATGCATCTCCAGGATCAAGCCCCGAGGCCATTGGCTGACAAGACGGCGCCAACTCGTTCTTGGGACCGCCAGAGGCCCGAGCATGGCCATGGATGGGGTACAGGGTACATCTGACCATGGCGCCCATCTGTCTTTGCGTCACTGGCCGCCCCCTCGGCCTGCAGTAACTGCTCCCGTCTAGCCGTTTGTCAACCGGCAAAGAGCTGCACGGGGTCGCACGCAGCAGCAAGCACAGCTGGACACTTGCATAAGCGCGTGCAGCCTGCGTCTTGGCCCACCATTCGCCCCGCGTCCCTTGCCTCCTGTGCAAATCGTTCCCATCCTGTGTCTCTGCCTCTGCAGGCCTCTGCTCGCCTCTGCTCGTAAGATACAAGCTTCCACTACGTACCGCTGCCCTGCCTCAATCGCCTGCTCGTAAGATAGACACTACCATGGTACCTACGGCGTACAGGCCTACAGCATCTCGTCAACTAACTTCCGTCCTTAAATCCGGTTAGCCCTCTGGAGCCTACCCGGTTAGGGTGTGGGACCCCGCTAACCTGCAGCCTGTATCCGTAAGGACAGCCCCGGGAGATATACTATGTAATTTGCACGGAGCGCACTGTCGACTCGTCCATACCTATCGCTACTCTAATTCCGTACAGTGTGGTTGGTATACGAGCGCAGAACCCCTTTCCGCCGGCTAAGCCGTTGCGTCCAGTTATGGCCTGTCTGCTCATTAACCCACCATCATCTTAGCGCTCTTTTTTCGGTCGTCTTCCCCCAACTAACCATCCTCTCATCTGTTCCACCACCAATAATCTCCCGTCTTTCCTCCACCCTTCCTTCTCGCCAATTCTCTCTCTCCCCTTTCCCTTTCCCGTCCACACCGTCTCTCACCATCACCACCACCACACACCCAACCTCCTTTTAGTCTATCTGCCGCTGAATTTCGCTCTTTTTTTTAGTCTCCTCTTTCTCGTTCCCTATTTTCGGTTCTTCTTTTTCCCTCACCCCCATTCTCCGCCATCTCGACAACTATCGACATCGGGGTTCTTCTTTTTTCGCCGTTGTATCACAGGTCGGATTGGTTCTCAGCGAGCCGCCTTATCCCTTCGGTCAAACGCTTAATCGAGTACACCCATTTGACGGGTAAGTGTAAACAGCCAGGCAATCGGCGCCCTGCTACCATTCACCTCGCGCCATCCTGCGCTGTCTTGCACATCAATTGTCCGATTTATCGCATCGAAACGGCGACTTTCCTTCCTCGCGCTCAACCCCTTTTCCAACAATTACGATCGCCTTTTCTTCCCAGTCACCTTCCACTTCTTGCTACCGGCTCCTGCACGTGTGGGCAAAGCAAACTAACAAACTCAACAGTATCGCTCACCGTCCTGTCTGGCTTCGCTCATTCTTCGTCTGTAATCGGACCGACGGCTTTTTTCGATTCTTTTGGGCGTCTACACACACCTCCAACCGTTAAGATGGGTTGTGGATTGAGCGTGGAGGAGAAGGAGGGCAAGGCCCGGAACGAGGAGATTGAGAACCAGCTGAAGCGCGACCGCATGCAACAACGAAATGAGATCAAGATGCTCCTTCTGGGTACGTTGCTCCGCCTGAACCGAGTCATTGTCACGAATCGCTTTGGCAGAGTGCTGACTCGTCGCTACAGGTGCTGGTGAATCCGGAAAGTCGACCATCTTGAAGCAGATGAAGCTCATTCACGAGGGCGGATACTCGCGCGACGAGCGGGAATCGTTCAAAGAAATCATCTACAGCAATACCGTACAGTCGATGCGCGTCATCCTCGAGGCCATGGAGTCGCTAGAGCTCCCCTTGGAGGACCAGCGGATGGAGTACCATGTGCAGACCATCTTCATGCAGCCGGCTCAGATTGAAGGTGAGGTCCTGCCGCCTGAGGTTGGCAATGCCATTGAGGCGTTGTGGAAGGATCGCGGTGTTCAGGACTGCTTCAAGCGGTCACGCGAGTACCAGTTGAACGACTCCGCCCGATAGTAAGTTGCCCGTCGCAAAGCGCTTGCCACTGTATGTCCTAGCCACTTACCTATGCCGTTAGCTACTTTGACAACATCACTCGCATCGCCGCGCCCGATTACATGCCCGACGACCAAGACGTGCTGCGATCGCGTGTCAAGACCACCGGTATCACCGAGACGACATTTATTATCGGCGACCTGACATATCGTATGTTCGACGTCGGTGGCCAGCGGTCCGAACGGAAGAAGTGGATCCATTGTTTTGAGAACGTCACAACGATTCTCTTCCTGGTCGCTATTTCCGAGTACGACCAGCTTCTGTTCGAGGACGAGACAGTCAACCGTATGCAGGAAGCCCTGACGCTGTTCGACTCCATCTGCAACTCGCGGTGGTTTGTCCGGACATCCATCATTCTTTTCCTCAACAAGATTGATCGGTTCAAGGAGAAGCTTCCAGTCAGCCCGATGAAGAACTACTTCCCCGACTACGAGGGTGGTGATGACTACGCGGCTGCCTGCGATTACATCCTCAACCGCTTCGTCAACCTGAACCAGCACGAGTCCAAGCAGATCTACACCCATTTTACTTGCGCCACAGACACGACGCAGATCCGCTTCGTCATGGCCGCTGTCAATGGTATGTCGCCTGCCCGTCGTCGATGGTGTTGCGTGCGAACCCGATACTGACATTGCGCTAGATATCATCATCCAGGAAAACCTGCGGCTTTGTGGTCTGATCTAAACGTGCAAGCAGCTTCCTTACTTTCCTTTTGTTTCGCTACTTATATATACCCGAACGATGGCCGACGGAGGAATGTCGGATTATGTTCCGACTACTTCCACATCGCTACTGTCCCATCCGCTCGTTATCAGCTCTCCCTACTCCCGCGACGATTTCCGACGATTGCAGAGAAACCGGTTTTTCTTTCCTCGCACGCCCCTCGAGTAATATCGTGTCCCACCTCGTCATGACCGCTGGCCTTACTACACCTTTTTATTACGATCACCGACTCTGAACGGCTTTCATACTGTCACACTGTTGCGATTTTTTATATTATTTTTCAGGCGAATCTATTACCGATGTTTCGCTTCTTTTCAGGTTTGCGGTGCGCGAGGAGAAGGGAGGTGGAGGCATGACGAGGGGGCACAACCAAAAACCACATCCAACGAGCCGATGCTGTACTACAAACCAAACAAGGAGGCGGATGGTGGAAGAAATGGTGAGAAGATATAAAGTGTATGTGGGAGAGGTGAGATTTCTTCGCCATTATTTTGTATTTTTGTCCTGTATTCGCTTCCTGCCCACAGATTCAAGTGGGTTTCCTTTGATTTTCGTTGCGCATTTGGAAGTAAAAGGGGCACGGGAAGGCTCGATATTCTTGTTTAATTATGACAGTCTGTATTTGATGTGTTTGCTGATGCGTTTTGCTTCCTATATGTCGATGATTTACCATTTTATAAGTTAGGTGAAGAATAGGAGGAACATTAGAGGACAGGCAGGTCTAGGTCTGGGCAGCAAGCGAGTCGACACCTTATCATTCACCAACTGTCGATTTTATCATTCACTTTTCTGAGTAGGGACTGTCGTCTCGGGGAGAATATAAGAAAAAGCATATACCGCACCGAAGCCAAGTACTTGATCGTTGATGTCGTAGTGTATCGTTGATTAAACGGGATTATATGGAAATTCGGCGTCTTTCTGCATTTCTGGGCACCTAATCGCTTATATCAAGATCGTAGAAACAATAGCATCCCTCCGCGTTCCGCGCGCAAGCCATAATGTGTGTGTGGTCCGTTTCCCGTCATTTTCCCATGTTCTCATCCGGTTGCCCTCCCATCAAACGCCTGTAAAGTCGCAGTGTCAATACAACAAGCCGACCCCCTGGATCCTATAAGATACCTCCCGTCCCCGAGCTATACCCACGTAATGTATTTCTCGTTCGTTTGGGATGTGTCTATTTCTTTCTTTTCTTACTCCCTGACATTATCACATGTCGTCTGAAGAGCCCCGGTTGCTGATATCTGTTGCACTGTCAACGTTACCGCTGCCAGTTTGTTGTGCCAGGGCCAAAACCGCCTGCTGCTGTTGTTGCTGTTGTTGTTGCTGCTGCTGCTGCTGCTGTTGGCTCTGTCTTTCGCTCTCTCCGTACCGCACAATAGCCAGCGCCAGCTGCTTTGCGGCAATTTCCACCATCATGAGGTCACGAGCTCGCCGATCGGCATTCCGCACCTCGGCCAGCGCCTGATCGACCACGAAGCCGATCAGGGACGAGTCCACTCCGGCCGGACCTGCAGTGCTGCCAGCTGCCGTGGAGCCTGCGCCCAGCTCGGCCGAGTCGCCTCGGACGGCGCCGTTGCCACTTACGTCTTCGCCCAGGATGGCCGCTGCCAGGTGGAGGCCGAAGCCGCCAAAGGCGTCGCCGACCATGTCGTGATGGGCGCCAACATGGACGCCGTTGTTGCCGCTGGCGCTGTCGCTGTTGTTGTTGCTGCTGTTGTGGATATGCTGCACGGCAGCGGCCACGGCAGCGGCTGCAGCAGCGGCGGCCGTGGATGCAGAGGCGGTCGTGGCCGCCGTTGGTGATGGGTGAGGCTGCGTATGAGGATGCAGCGAGCCGGCAGCCGAGCGGTGGGAGTGCGCCAGTCCGAGGGAGGCAGCGTCGACGCCACCAAACAATGCGGGATGCGACAGGCGCGGATCGATGGGTGTGGACGAGGCCAGAGAGGCACTTCCGCCGGACGAGAGGTGATGCCGCTGGTGTAAGTGATGGCCAGGTTGCATAGGTGTCTTGGCTTCTGGATTTTGTTAGAGAAAGGGGGAGGAAGAAAATAAGAAAGGAGAGAAAGAAAGAAAGAAGAAACCCCACCGTGAAAAGAACAACGCGCCCCGGACGCGTTGAACCAGCAATTTGCGCAGCTGCCGCACATCTGGCCATCGACGACGACGCAGGCCGTCCACGGGCCGTGGCCCTTGTGGCAGTTCTTGCACGGCACCGCGGCGGCCTCGCCGGCAATGTGGGCAAACAGAGCCTCGACGTTGCTGCGCCGCGCCAGGTTGAGCTGCTGCTCCGGTCGACGCTGCTGTGCCGGACGGAGGGCCGGCTCGCGGGCCAGCCGCTTGGCCAGCGCGCTCTCGATCAGCAGCCGGTCGTAGCCCGAGTCCACGGCCATGCGCTCCGTGTTGATGGGCGTCGTTTCTGCTGCTGCTGTTGTTGCTGCTATTGCTGTGGTTGTTGTGGTTGCTGTGGTTGCTGAGGCAGTCATGGTCTGCGTCAGTCGTAGACTGTTTTGTGCCATCGGATTGTCATCGTTGCCGCTGTTGCCGTCCTCCTCCTCGCCCTTCTCGTCCTTCTCGCTGTTCGGGTGCGCATCTCCCGCACTGGATGCTGCCGCAACTGCTTTGGCCGCGACTGCTGCCACAGCTGCCGCTGCCGCTGCTGCCGACATGTCCATGACCACGACGCCGTCGTCGTTGCCGCTGCTGCCATCTTCGCCGCCATCTGCGACTGCGTCCACGACCGACAGCTCATCCACCTCATTCGCGCCGTCACCCAGCGGCCGCGCTCCGCTCTTGTCGTCCATGGCCGCGTCGTGCAGGTCGAGCATCGCGCTGTCGACCGCCACATCGCCGGCGCCGCTGTCTCCGTGCACGTATTCGCCCGTCATCGCGTCGAGGCGGTTTACCTCGTCGGCTTCCTCTCCATTCGGCCCAGCACCGTCGTCACTCGTGCCTCGGCCGTCGTACTCAAACTTCATGTCGTCTGCCGCTGTGGCAGCAGCAGCAGCACCGTCGTGGAACTGCCCGTCCCCTAACTGCTCCTCAACCACTGCTGCTGCTGTTGGTGGCGATGTTGATGACAAAGCTCCGGCTTCGTCGTACGGATGCGGCTGTGGCTGCTGCTGTTGTTGCTGTTGTCGGTACTGGTGTAGCTGCTGCTGCCGGAGCGCATGCTCGATCGCATTGGCCTGCTGTCGCCGGTAGACCGACGCTGACACCTGTCCACTGTCGCCAGAACTGCTGCCGTTTGTCGTTCGTCGTGGCTGCGCCACGGCGCCTGGTTTGGTCACCTTGTTGGGGCGGCCGCCACGGCGGATGATGCCGGTCATCTTGGCCCGACGACGAAGCAAACCGTTCCACGAATGATCCCCGAGCCTGGAATACGTCGGTCTAGCAGAGGGGAAGAAGAAAAAAGCGAAACAGAAATAGAAAGCATGCGACAGAGTCGGTTGCGCAAGGTCGAGGTTCGCTTCTGGCAGGTGCGAGGGATGGGACCGTCAAGCAGCTGGTGTCAGCTGGCCAGAAAGAGGGAAGACGAGAGAGCGGCAGGTTTTGAACAATGGCGCGTGGGGAGCCGGCGGCTCATTCGCCAATTGTTCGTGACGCACAGACCACCAAAGCTCAGTCAGAATCCTTACTACTCATTCTGTACAAAGTACTCCGTACGGAGTAATATTCTGTACACCTGTCCGTCGATTTTACGGCAAAGACATCTCAGCTTTGCCATGACACCTCGTGTACACGCGTTTGGAGCACTCTTGTGTCTCTCCTGAAGCTCGCATGCGTACGCATTCATATCCAGTACGACGCCCTCGCACAACGTCAATATGCGCAAGTGTTCTTCGTCTGCTGTCATTTCGCTTCATGGTTTCATGATGATCTATTTATTCCTCGTCACCGTCACCGTCCTTCTCGGCGCTCTACAATCTCCTGCCATTCTTGGGCAAACTTCCGCAGGCCTCCTTCGCCCGCCATGCTGGCATCGACTACCTCCTTGGGCAGCTTGTGCGCCGAGTAGGGCGCTGAACTAAAGTTCATGGCGGCCGGGTCATCCTTCTCGACCAGACGGAGCTCCGGCTCGTAGTCTTCGGTGTCATTCCCGCTCTCCTCTTCTTCGTCTTCGTCGGTCTCATCGCCTTGGCTCGCCGTTTCCGCCTCGTCCGGCACCCCGCTTTCGCCTACGATCCCGAGAAAGGGCTTGGGGATCTTGAGGTCGAGAAGTTCGCGCCACGAGAAGAGCAGCGTGTCCGTCCGGGGCGCCCATGGGTTGATATCGATCAGACGCGCCCACGAGAGACGTCCGCCGGCGTCTCCGCCGCGGGCCTCGTTGTCGCCCACGTCGAAGCCGTCGCGCTCCGGCATGTAAATGTCAAACGAGAAGCTGCCGGAGGGGAAGGTGAACTGCAGCTTGCTGTGGAAGAGCGTCTTGGCCCGCTCGATGATGCTGTTGCGCAAGCCCTTCAGGTAGGGATAGTATTTGAGGTCGCGTGGCGTGATGGCCACGAGATTGCGGTGCTTGACAAAACAGCGGAACTCGAGGGCTGTGTGCATGTTAAAGGAGGATCGCAGCACCAGCACCGGCTGGAAGCCTAGGCTGCTGTCGGTCGCCGGAGCAGAGGTAGAAGATGGGGCCATCGGTGCACTCGCCGGGATGCAGCCGTCAAAGGCGTGCTCGAGATCGTGCGTGATAAAGTTGGAGCTCTTCAGCAGCAAATACACGTCGTCGGGCGTCCGGCACTGCATCGTGTTCTTCTCAGCCATCAGCCAAGTGGCATCCTTGGGCGACGACCAGTTCAGCTTGGGTGCCACCGAGCCGCCGAGTGCTGCTATCTCGTCCTTGATCCTCTGGTGCACTTCGGGGAAGCGCTTGTTCGGTGGCAGTCGGATCGTCGCCGGCGCATTCTCATCCTCGTCGGAGCTGTCGTCGTCTTGTAGGCCCTGGTACTTGGTCTCGTCCGCCGACGGGTAGTGCTTCATGGTCGGGTTAGACGGCTCCCAGTCATCATCGTCGTCTTCACCACTGCCGTTGCTCTCGTCGCTCAGCACAATGCCGTCTTCGCGGAGGTACTCGATAGCCGCCGCCGGCAGTTCGATCAGGCGCGACTTGATGCATACTTTGCGGTATCTGTCTCGTCAGAAATGCTGGCTTCATGGCCTGGTCGAAGCGGACTCGTAATCCATCCGTCTGTACTCACTTTGGAAACCAGTAGTCGTAGGAGCAGTAGAGGATGTGATCCCGGCTAACGGGTGGGAAGAGTGATCCCTCGTCGTCCGTACCACTGGACGGCGCCGGAGCCGCTTCCGTGTGAAATTCTGGCATTTTGTCCATCTGGTATGCCTTCGTCGAGACGTCAGAGCTGGTAATATGAGGGGCAAAAATTGAGTCAAGAAACCCCATGTTTTCTGCCGGGAAAATCGGCCAGGAAGTCAGCGCGTATCCACACCGCCTTCCGCATAAAGAGGCCCGCCAAAATCCAGAGCAATTTAACTGGAGCTGTACATTGTATTCCGTAGCTACAGATTGACACGACGCATCCAACCAAGCCATCCGGCACGCACGCGCACGCACGCATCTACCCCCAACAGCAATGTCCGACAACGTCGGTCTTTCGACGCCGCGTGGCAGCGGCACGTCCGGCTTCGTGCAGCGCAACCGGGCCTACATGCAGCCGCGCGACCACGTGCGATCGAATGCGAACCCGCGTGACTTTCTCGACAGCGAGGCCCAAAAGGCCCGTCTGCGCAAGCCCGACCAGGGCATCCTGGACCACGACCGCAAGCGGGTCGTCGAGGTGCGTGTCTTTGCCCTGCGCGACGAGCTGGAGGACAAGGACGTGGACGAGGCCGAGATCGAGCGCCGCTGCGACGAGCTGCGCAAGAGCCTGACGGCCGCGGCCGAGCGGCCGGGCCGCGCTGGTGGTGCCGACAACGGAGCCCCCCGCCGCTTCAAGGCCCACCAGGTCCACGAACAGGCCCGGGCTAAGGCTGAGGAGAGCGAGCGGTTGCGGCGGGCGCTGCACATCAGCAAGGACTACGAGGAGGGCGGCCATTGGCGGCGCCAGGACGAGAAGCAGGAGCTCAAGCGGAAGAAGGAGGAAGATGAGGCTGAGCGCGAACGCGAACGCGAACGCCAGAGAGACGCTGCCGAACGCCGCCGCCGCCACCACCACGAAGACCCGCCGGTACGGAGCGTCGAAAAGCCGAGCCACGACATTGATGATGACGATGGCGACAACAGCGACAACAACAGCAACAACCATCGCGATGACAGAAGCGATCTCGAGGAGGGCGAGTACGACGACCGCGACCGCGGCCGCCAAGACGGTCGGCGCGTGCGCCAGCGCCGGGGATCGTCGCCCGGCCGCGACAGCCGCAGCCGCAGCCGTAGCCATAGCCATAGCCATAGTCGCAGGAGCAGTAAGGACTCTTCATAGGCTCAAGGGACATATCATACTTGTTTTTTATCGTGGCTCTAGGCCAAAGTGTGGGGGAATTACGGAAAGAAGCAGCGGCTTGGCGTCATGGCGTTTGATAGAACGAGACTCGTCTGTTGACGAGACAATATTGTGGCTTTCACCAGTTTGTAAGCACTTGACAAAAGAAAGGACGACATTGGGTTTATAATTAAGTTCAACTCAACATTAAAAAATCCATCTGTTATCTATCTGGAGGTCAAGGTACCGATATTATGGACATGTCGTGAATTCAGAAATCCGTGTCTGCGTCGTGATTGAAAATGAAATGCAGGAGACGTTGTAGAATTGCAGCCAAGGAGATGGAGGGGGTAGGGACAGGAATATGGGCGTGGGTATATGTAGGGTACAAACTCAGTAATGGGCATGAATATTAATACAGGCAGTCAACAATGGGTGATGTCTAGTATGGGCATGGTAACAGGAATAGGGCTGGGAATACGGAAGGGGATGCATATGGATATGTACTTTGTTGTATGCACAGATGGAGAGTGTATGTGTAGGGGAGAATGAAAGGGTATCATTTGGACGGTGTTGCCACAGTGTTGGAAGGAAGGAGACCAGCGCTGTCCTTTCCGGCCAACGCCGTCACAACGGTGGTCGCCAATGGCGACACGCCGGCAGCGACATACAGCAGCAGCAGCATGCTGGCCACAGCAGTGCGCACCAACAGCGGTCGTACAATGGCCGATGTGGCCACCGAAATCACACCTGAGGCCACTGCCTTGACGGCCGGCGCTGCAGCCACAGAGGCCCAGACCTTGCCCACGGGCAAGGCCACTGATCGCGGCACGACAGCCCAGGCAGACTGGAGCCCGGCACACAGCAGTCCCCAGAGACACTGCAGCACCTGGTGGAGCAGGAGGAGAAGCCGGGCGCGCGATCGCGGCACTGTGCCTGGGAGAGCCGGCTGGCCCTTGTTCTTGGTGTCGGCTGCTGCCTGGTAGTAAGAGAGATCGCCCTTCTCAAGGTCGATCTTGCTCAGGTCTGTTGCTGGCTGTTGATACTGCGGCTCGGTCTCGACAGAGGTGTAGAAAGGAGCCACGGCCTGCGGCACGAGCTGCTGCTGTTCCATCGGCGGCGAGGACACCATCCGGCGGTGGTGACGACGACCTCCGACAAGCTGGCGACCCGGACGAGCCATCTCGCGCAAGCGGACGGGCGTTGCCCGGGTCTTGGCCATTCTGGTGGTGGTAGATGTGATAGATGTCTTGGATGTGGAGCTGGTGCCGCCACCACCAATGTAGACGGTCAGAAGCTCCGGGGAACCGCTAGAGACAGCGCCAGACTGGTCGGTGCCGTTGGTCGGCGTGACGTCGTCGTAGGGAAACGCATAGCCGCGGCCGTCGAGGTTGGTGGCGTGCAGGATGCGGGCATAGTGGTTCGTGGGGCTGGTCTGGTAGTAGTTAGAAGCCGAGAAACCATCTGGCTGGTCGGTGTCGGTCAACAGGGTGCTGCGGTTGAAGGCAGCCGACAGACGGGCCGCCAGGTTGCCCATCTCGTCAGTGGTGGTGGCAAAGGGGCCCGAGCTGCAGGAGAAGATGTCTGCGGCCGACGGCTGGGCAAACGAGCCGATACCGGCAAAAGTCAGCGTGCTGGAGTCGGCATCGACTTGGCCGGTCGCCGTGCCCCAGGTGTACTGCGTGTCGACGGTGAGGGTGCTGTTCGCGTACATGGCCCAGACAGCATCGACGTAGGACTGGTAGTAGCCGTCAAAGAGGCTGCTGTCCATGACGATGCCCGAGTTGGGTGACAGTGCCCGCAGAAAGGACGTTGTGCCGCCCGACGACACCTGCACCACCAGTCGGTCCCAGCCGGCACAGTCGAGCCGCTGCTGCGCCTGCAGAGCCTCACACACCGTCGTGAGACCGTCAGTCGGCAAGCCCTCGACCGTCTGCGTCGCCGTGCCGTCTGAGCTGGTCAGCTCCAGGGCTACCGGAATGCTGACAAAGTCGACGTATGTGATGTTGGCAAACAGCTCAACCGTGTTCAAGGAGAACTCGCAAAAGTCCCACTGTGTCGTGTAGTTGGGGTCAGCCGAGTTCGTCACCGACGGCTCCACCAGCACCGCTCCGGTTGAGCCCCGGTTGAGCAGAAAGGTCAACGGCGTGTCCTGCGAGAACCAGATGCGTGCTCCCACCAGCTGCGGTACCATGATCGTGCGCGTGCTTCCCGGTGCGCCAACTGCAATGGCCACGTCTGCCTGCAGCACAGCCTGGTCGGTTGTCGGATTCGCCGGGTAGTACGATGACGACCCGTCGCTCTGCAGCAGCCACACCGCGTTGTCGTTGTTGATGTCCAGACCTGTCACCGAAACGTACAGGTTTTCTGATGTCGTGTTGTTCTTCAGAGCAATCTGCACCGTCGAGGCCGTCGATGATGAGTCTTCCACATCGGCCGTGTATGACGTATTGCTGGTACTGGTGCTAGAAGTGCTAGGCGCCTTGAGAATACCATCCTTGGTTTGGATGTCGATGCAGTCGTCGACAGTCGACATTTTGAAGAAGATCTTGACTCGTCAATATTTCTGATGTGTGTGGTTATGTTACTTGCAGTATTGTCCTCCTCTTTACCACGCCGTGAATATCAATGTCGTATGAAATCTAGATGCTGATACAATCTTATGGAGAATAGGGTGATTTGGATCAGAAACCCAGATCGAATAAAGGGATTGCGGTGCCCTTTTATCTCACGATTTCTGTCTCGGCAAGATCGCCTCCTCACCGGTCACCTTCTGCTCCTCGACTTACTTTTGCCTCCTCCGCCTCCCGTCTGTATGCTGCCAGCCATTTCGTTTTGGCTCATTCTGCCAGCTCCAGTGCAGATACTCCGAGGCTGGAATGTAGCCCACCTCTGTCAAAATTGTTGCTGGCCGGTAAACGGTACACCGGACCACTAGGCAACGTGGACTGTGTCTTATCGTAACATCTTTTGGCATAAGTTCGTGCACAGGTATGTGACTAACGACCTGACTGGTATGCAGGCCATCTGCCACTACATCAGTCCAAAAAATGACCCCTGTCGACTCATCTCTGCCCCCAATTATCCTACCTTTCTGAGGAATGTTGTTAGTATGACAGCTAATCATCGTGGCTAGCAGTGCGAGGTTGGAAGAAGTTAACGAGTGCCGTCCAAGGAAGTACTGGGAACAAAGAAGAAGCACGTCCTCTGCGTCTGGAGACGAGCAAATTCTAAGGCACAAGCCACGGTGGTATGAAGCATGATAGTAATATGGTGTGGCCGGGTTGCAATATGCACAACTGCCGAGCTAACAATACCAACTTGAAAATTTGATAATCTAGGAAGGCGCGACCTGAACACTTACACCTCTGAATCTGGAACACATCAGCTCCACTTTCTATCTTTGGACGATCAAATGGCTATGCCTATTCTCATGACCAGCAGGATAAGAAAGCATGCAAGTGGTTGCAGTTTCTAGATGGCCGAAAGTCCTTATTAGACCCGACGATGGAGAAGGCTCGAAGAAATCTTTTCAACAGGAGCAATATTATCCTGTGTGTAATGTGATTGGCCTGTTGTGTGCTGTTAGGCCTGAAAATGGCTTGAGAGAATTTGCGCCAGACGGAAATCAGGAAGTCCGCGTCGAAGTACAGCCATCACGGACTAGCTGTGGCGAATTGCTTTGTAGTTCAGCATAGAACGCACGTAATGAGATATAACACTAGCAATCCCGTTCGTTGCTCACAGCCACGATACCATAATTCAAGAGGTTGACAATCTCATCGAACCTCACTCCCAACCAGACAGGAGTGATATGTGTAGACATAAACAATGATGTGCTAATCCCCAGATTGTGAAAGCGAGTGAAGATACTCTTTGATGAGGGCCTAGAAGTGGACAACGTTGTTACTTCCACTAAACAAGGTGATGGCACGTCCAGACACTTGTCTTTTTTGCGAACTCGGACAAGATACAAAGAAAAATTCCCGTGTCTTCGTATCTAATTGTACGATCGCCGAACCTCGGTACAACAACTTACTATGCCTGGAGTAGGTCATTACGTCGTATGCTTGATTCTACTCGCTGCTCCACATCCACCAAGTAAGATATGCCCGTTAACACATATCATCAATGATGCGGGCTTCACCAAATGTCTAGGCCCCAGCCAGCAGTAACAAGAACAGTGGCTAAAAGCGACAGCACAAAGACACCGGGCGCTTGGGTTGTACCGGCACTATTCATACCAGACACTGTCTGATTGTTTGTCATGTTGTCCTGAGAGGAAAAAAACCATCCAGACGGCGTGTTATTTGTTGCTGTCACCTCCGGTATACTGCATATAGCACCAGGCACGGTGGCATCACGGCACCGGCCATGCCAGTCTTGCTGGCGCTGCAACGCAGACGAGTTAAAGTATGCCTTTACGTAGGACACGGTGGTAATGGCGTTCTGAGTGGGCGGACCGCCAGACCAAAGCGCATTTCCATTGCTCCAATGCTCTAACGAGAGATGGCCGGAGTGAGTAGGCACATTCCCGCCATCGATCCGGCCCAGAAATTGATTGTCTGCATAGAAAAGCACCCTCCCTGGTAGAAAATCAAACCGGTATTCGTGAAAGTTGCCTGTCGGGTCAAATGGAAGGTACGCTATAATGAAGCCAGGTGTAATCTGAGCATTGTATCCCATCTCGGCAGCCTCGCGGGACTGGATCACAAGATTCACGGGATAGCTGCTGTTACTGGAATTGTAGTCCTTGGATAAGAATTCCATGTCAATCTCCTGTGTGTCGTTGAAATACTAGTATTTGTTCATGTGAGTCATCCGATTTTTGCTTAATTTGGAACGGTGTTGGGGACATCCATAGCTTCAGCATACCCAAAAAAAGGCGGAACAGGTGCCCGGCACATTGGTCAACTTCATGCCAGCACGGAATGTGCCGAATAAGATATCCATTCGGTTGCTGCCGATCTCAGAAACAGGAACCATGTTGCTTTCGAGGTCGGCCTTCACGACAAGATCAAGCCCCGCTGGGTTTCCATTTCTGTCTGTGCCATCCTCAACCTTGCCGTCTGTGATTGGATCCGTGTATACGTTTTCTATGCTGTACATCTCGCTATAGCTACCGCGATTTCTCTCTTTGGTAACATTAAAGGCCTGTCGCATCCAGTCGGTATTTGTAGATATGTCTGATAGATGGGCGAAATCAGTCTCGATCAGATCGGTAAATATAAATTCGTCATCGTCTATCACGGCCGAATATCCACAGTCGCAATCGGCAAGAGCGAGGCGGGTAAACATTGTCAGCATTATAAGACCGGCAGTCATCAGTACCGACGTGGCACATCTCGTAGTCGGCCACGGCAATGAGGGGGGAGTTATTCGGCAGCGCTGTGCCATTTCTGTCGGGCATGAGCAGAGATGCCCATGAGACCTTGACGGAGTACGCTTGCAGTTTTCTGGGAAGTCTTGGATATGTGGAGGTTTTGGGTCCTTTATGTCACCAGCGTTATTTGCCCCTCGGTCGAAGATTTGCCAGGAAATTCCAGCACGAGAGCGATGTGCGGAGAGGGGGAGGAAAGCGTTGGCAACAGACCAAGAAAAAAGCAAACGAATTTGCGAGAGCGGTGTTTAAAGAGAATTTATCCAGTGATAGTTACGCAGGAAAATTAAGCACGGAGTAAGTTATGACAGGAAGCAGATAAGGGAAAAGACTTGGGTTGACGAATTGTCGAGAAAGGCTCTCGTATGGATTCGAAGGATACAAAATACACTGGCACTGCGTCACTGAAAATATTGAAGCCTACTTTGTAAGAGCAGGACGAGGAAATATGGTAAGACGGGAAGGCATGCGAGTAAGGGGCTCGGAACTAAGGACAGAGAACGTGTTAGTCACTCGTTTTCGGCTGGCTGCCTGCAGCGTTGCACAAGGTGCCCATTGAGGAAGTACGACCAGTTTCAGCTGACCTCCAAGACGTGTGGAAGACTATTTCGGGAAACATATGGAGAGCGTTATCGGGGTAGGATAACATGTCTTCGTACGCCGGTAATCACTTAGACAGTACTCACCCTATATGCCTCTGCTTAACAAAGAAATCAAGCAAGAAGCAAGGCTAAGTAATGACCAATAACGAGAGGCTGCTTATAAGAGGGAGCTTACTCCGTACAAGACTCAGTTGAAGCTAACAGACGAATGGCAAAAAAGGTTGCAGACGAAAAATTACACCGCCCGCAGAAAATTTTCGCCTACTCAGACCTATATAAGGTTGGATCTCCCGCCGCCCATTCTAGGATTTCTTTTCTCTTTTTTTCTTCATGACGACAATACTTCAGAGAATCATTTCTATAGTTTTTGTCCTCTACATTGTTCTTTAGAACAGAAGCAGTACCCACCCGGGTTGATGACTTAAATCCTCGACTTGCCCATTGTTTGCGAAACGAACAAAGCTTTGCTTTTGACCCTCGCACTGCCTGCAAAGGTGGCGGTTCAGGACTTGTCCAGGACTGTATTAGAGGGTGGTGATGAGCTATACCCTAGATTTGGGTTTCTCCTTTGTGAGAACTCTGCTGGGGTGGGTGCCGATGGACGTCTGACCGGTCTTTTTTTTTTCATTGTGCTCTCAAGCTTGTTTTTGGGACACGAAGAAGAAAACGTTTTGGAGTTCTAAATTGGAGAGCTTATGACAACGTTGATCTTTCTGTGCCTCGTTTCCATGCAATCAGAAAACTGTACGCTCGTGTCTTTAAAGGTATGCTCCTGGTATTTTACAGCAGGGTGCAGTGTCTTCGATTAATATGGATACTTTTACGGAGCGCAGATATTAGATACAAGTGCGATACAAGTCCCGAGTTATGACGTCTATTTTAGAGCTTGCAGATGCGATAAGTAATGAATATTGTGGCTGGCAGAAGCACGGATCTGTCTCTTTAGAGACCGCTTCTAATATGTCTGGGGATTGTGGTTTTTAGGTTAAATATCCTACCTTACCATTGTAAGTTTGTGCTGCTGCTGTCAGTAGCCTCATCGGTTCACTTTATGTTCAGTATTTTTATTTTACACGACACACGACTGATCTTTATAGTTTTAGGACAGTCGTTTTCTTATTCCGTGAATAACCATGTAAGCTCTGAAGTGATGGCAGCTGATCGGGAGTGGATGGATTTTCAAACTTGCAAAACTGAACCTGTAATGCGTAAAAAATAGTTACTACAGCATCGTTGGCAATAAAACGCCGTCTGCTACGGTTAAATCTTCGAAGCGTATTCATTTATCTGTTGGTTTTTATATTCTATCATATACATATTAAAACATGTACAAATAAGACACAATCAACATTACCACCACTCTTCTTTATAACAGTCTGTGGCACAGGAAAACTGACTGCCCATTTGTGACATTGGCACATTGCGCGATAAGGTCCTTCAGACAGCGTGGCTTTCTTGCTGTCAGCGGCGAGGGGCACAAGTCCGTAGGCCTGAGAGAAGATAAGGAGGAATCAGGACTCATCGGATGGAACGTGACCTTTATAAGAACATCTAGTACCACTGTCCAGGAACGCTAAAGTATGGTATATTTGTGTGAGCTGATCGCTGCTTTTATGAGGAAGCCGTTAGGGTCAAGCTTGCCTTCATGCTGGTTGGCCTACGGCCTAGCCAACAACAGCCAGCCGTACAGGGCTCAACGCGAAAGTATAACGTTGGCATAGACGCCGTTCAGATGGCGGTTGCTCTGATGGCGTCGCTCGAATGCTCGGCAAATGCCGCACTCAAGTAACGTTATCCTTGCATTGTAAACTTTCTTCCAACTGACGCAGACTAGATGCCGGTCGAACCAGTCAGATCTAGTGAGCTCTATGAACTCGTCTACCCAAAGTTTAGGCACTACCAAAAGAATATGCTTCAAGTCCGTCAAAGAGCAGGTACGTCGGGAAAGGGGACTCAAGGCTAGGCATATTACAAAAATACACAACTAATGGAACAAGTCGCGACTCAGTAAGACGGATTTAGAAACTTACCTTTGGCATGTGCCTTTCAGTTTTTTGACTATCTAAGCGACGTAGATCGATCTGATTACAGCACAGGGAAGGACTAGCGATTGCATCTCTGCAATCAGATTCTGCTTGGATGGCCTTTCCGGACTTAAGACGACAAACATCGCAGGACATACGCCAGGCCACTTCTGGCTTTTCCTTTTCTCTGATATACCAGCATCCGACTATCACGCACATTTTATAAAGGGTTAGATTGCTAAAGGCTCTGATTATTCAACGCACGAATTAGATGGTATCCAAAGACTAGCAAACAATATAAGCATCGCAACAAACAAACACAAGCAACGCATACAGCTAATTGTCCAATCTGCAATGAGCGGTGGTGGGCGCTTTCCTTTGCCTCGCCTTTTTTTTTCATTTTCCGCCATCCGCTTTTCGTTTTGAACCCGTAACACTCGCACACACCCCGGCCGTCATTTCGTCATCTCTCCCTTCGATAAGCTTTCAGCTATGCATACGCAGGGAGTTACACGTCGGGAGACGATGAAAAGGAAAATAAAGCAAAACAGTATGAAAGACACGCAGCTAACATAATGGACCGATCAACGAACACATACTGAGGAGATATAAGATAGAGCGAGCGAGAGAGAGAGAAACAATCTGTATATCGAACAAGATATCGGAGGAGATGTAGAAGCGAAGAGAAGAAGTAGGTAGAGAAGAGAAGTGGGGTGTTTGGCCACTGAGAGAGCATCAAACGACACCAGCATTAAAACATAGCCAGTAGGGGATGCCGTAGCTAATAAAACAAAGATTGTGAAAATCTTCCTCATGGACCAGCCAACAGTTTCGTTCGCAGATATTAGTGGTAGGCTTCGTCAAAAATGCCCAGAGACCATCCGGTTCTGGGATCCAGAGAAACCCGAGTTGCCCAATCCTGCCCCTATTAGTTGCCAGGTGACCGTCCACCATGTATGCAGACGCGCTAAATGCAATATGGCCCAGCGAGGGCAAAGACAGCCGCAAAAGGGAAAGCAAAGACAAAGTAGTCAAAATGAAACAAGACAGGAAAGCAGGCGATGAAAAGAGAAGAAGAAAACACCGAACAAAAAGCAAATAGGAATAGTACTCCCACGTGACCCTCTTTCTGCCTTCACGCCGAAGCCGACCAACCGGAAAACAATAAGAAAATAAAGCATATCCCAAACAGCCACTCTTGTCTCCACCGTTCCACCAAAAAGCGAGATCGTTCAGGGTCGTTCAAATCTAATAGCACACGCTATCCTCATCAGCGCCTTGTGACGTCATGGACGGTGTCGAGACACCAGAGGACGCTTCGATGTCATCCACATAGCCTACAAGGGCCTGCGAGTGAAGTCGGAACGACTCGCCCATGAGTCGTGTAATGCTGCAATGCTAATGTTAGCCACTCGCTCAAAAGTACGGCGAAAAGAGAAAAGTACGTACCCCCAAACCACAACCTCATCAAGCATTGAGCCCCACAGCCGGGCCACAATCGAGCTCAGTTGCGAAGCAAACGCCTCTTCGAGGTCCTTGTCGAACAGTTGCCGGATCTGATCGTACATCTTCAACTCCTCATCCGTAGCCGGCTCTTCGTCATGTTCCAGGCGATAGAGCCAGAGGCTGAGAATGATCATGAGATCCATGCCGCACAATGGGTGCTCGATGCTCCAGTTTGTCGGCGAGGTCCGGGCAACCCAGCGTACGCCCTGAACCACAGCGGTCTCGATGCAGTTGTAGCACTCCTGGATGACCTTCAACATTTCGCTCGAGCGCTTGACCTTGTCGCGCGCGTTGGACATTGCAGCCGCCACTTCGTACGAGTCATGGTAGCGCAGAGCCTCCTGCACTGTCTTCAGATCAACCTCTAGCCGTGCACGCGCATTGCGATACATGGCCTTCGCATTGAAGGTCAGCGGGTGCCCTTTGTGCGGTGCACTCAATGAAACTGATGAAGCTTCAGGCTCGCAGAGCTCGAGGGATTTCTCCCACGTCTCCAGAGCCAGGCGAAGCTTGTATTCAGTGACCACATCCTGTAGAGCTTCCGGACTGCGCTTGTGGTACCACACTTCGAGGAAGAGGGCATTGATCATTACACGCGTAGCAAAGGCGCTGTACTTCAAAGGCTCGCCCTGAAACAGATTATCATGGGCTTCCATAATTGTCACGTTGGTTGCCGACTTGAGCTGTTCCTGCCATGAGACCTCGTCCGCCACTTGCAGGTTCCATAGAGCCTCCGTAGACGGCAACAGGAGATCCTCGAACTCATTGAAGCTGATGGCGGGAGTGTGGTTGTACGAGAGCGTCAACAGACCGAAAAAGATGTAGACTGCATAGTAGGTACGACGGCAGCCCTCGTCCTCAACCCATTCAGTCCTTGTTGGCGGTCGGCCCTCCCGAGCTTCCTGTCTAAGCTTCAATTCGTAGCGGTTGCCAGAAACCATGTTTGCGAGCAGGCTCTTGATGGAGCAGGCCCACTCCAGACCCTTCGGGTCACCGCTCCAGCTTGAAAAGATCATGTTCAGCAGAGAGCTCTGCATGGTCCAAAGCGGGCATTTGCGCGAGCTGAAGTTCTCCTTGTGCTGCAGAAACTGGTTCACCAGTACTTTAGATCCAATGTGTAGGATATAAGCCTGTTCTTGATCAAAGGCATACAAAGCACCGATTGACAAGACTGCCAACAACATCGAAGGCGATGTCTTCGACGGGTCGAAGGATGCCGGATGCAGGAAAGGCAGGTGGTGGTGGAACAGACCGAAGTACGTTGACAGATAACGGTTGATGGCCGCGAGGGTAGGCACACGAAAGCCTTCTGGAAGGGCATGCTCCGAGTCACCGTTCCGAATGTTGTCCAGGATGATGTTGCGCTCGTCATCACTGTTAACCTGGGGCAGCTTAAAGCCGGTGGGTGCCGGGGGCAGCTCAGGACTGTGCTGGCGGTCTGACTGGTACGGCGAAGGTGATGCGGCAGACCCTGGAGAAAGACAAAAGTTAGTCGATTGTCTTGGGCTCAATCAAGATGAGACACAGGGCACAAACCATTCATATTGTGACCAGCCATGGGTGGCAGCGCAGCCGACAGAGCCTGATTGGCGTTGGAGAGGGTATACGGCGGCTGAGTATCGTAAGCACCAGAAGTACTCGAGGCGATGGAGTGGGACTTTGAATCCACAGACTGTGCCAAAAACGAGTCCCATTGGGGAATAGCAATGGCACCGGACGGATAAGTGACAGCTGGTTCCATCATGGCGGACCCGTTCTGGGAGTAGGAGGGAAGGCCAGTGCTACTTTCGTACGAACTGCCATTGGGACGAGCAGACGCCGTGGCCTTGTGGTGCAGATCTGCCACCAACATAGCAGCAGTTTCGACATCAAAGATCCCCTCGCTGCTTGCCTCCAGTTGCTCGATCGCAGCCGTGTCAATGGCGGCGATAGACTTGGACGGACCGCTGACGGCGCGCGTCTTCGTCACACCTCCGCCACGGCGCTTTCCATCACTGTGCAAGGGAACACCACCATCTTTGGCGTGAACGGTCCGGTCATGGCGGAGAAGAAGATCGCGGCGCACAAATGTGCTCCGACACTTCATGCACTTAAACGGCCTCTCCTTGGTATCTGAAGAAGCGGTCAGTCAATCTGATCTGAGAGCTAAGCAAAGACAATGCCGTCTCTCCTCATGGTCTACTTACGCGATCGCTCATGGCGGCTGCGATGTTCACTTCTACTAAATGCTCGGTTGCAGAACTGGCATTTGTACTTCCTCTCCGGTGCGAGTGAGGGCTTCCGCGTGGCAGGGGCCGGCGAGCCGGTAGTGGGCATAACGGCAACGCTTGCACCAGGCATTTTGGCGACTGCCGTTGGCGATTGCGGAGTCGTGAACGTGAGTGTTTGTGTCTAGTTTACTATCCAATTGCTGGCAAGCGGAAAGCAGGCCAACACGACACAGTAATTAGTGTCTTCTTGGGTGTCTCTTTCTCGACGAGCCTCCGACGCTGATGGTGGACGGCGACGGCGACGTTGGCGACGGAGATGAGAAGAGCGACGACGACAAACAACAGCAGCAGCAGAAGTGGGCGATGGACAGGCCTTGGAAGCCGACAAAGTGTCCCTCTTAGAAACGATGGTTGAAATCGCCCCCCAACACCTCTCTCGCACACGCGCTCCCGTGGGATTTAAAGGGTGTCTTTTTGACTCTGGTAATTGTTGTAGATCATTTGTGTTGATATCCGGGTCATAGGAGGAATCGATATGGGGGTGGGTAGGGGAGAATGATGGCGTAGGTCGGGAGGGGGTCTGAAAGGCGACGACGATGTCTGTGGCCGGAGCAATGTTCGAAAAGTTGCAAAGTCGGCCTGGCTGGAAAGCTGGACCGGCAGTGAGTTGTGTGTGGGAAGTTGGGGGAACCGAATGTGGTTGATGCCTGCCTCTGCAAGGTCAGATTTTCGTAAAGGGCGTGAGTGTTGAGTTGTAGGTTGAAGATGAGATCGTGAAAAGTGGGAGTGGAAAGAGGAGAAAAAATAGAGGGAAGAGGGGTGAAGGAGGGAGGAGGGATTTTTCGCGGAAGAAAAGGAGGGGAGACGGGAACGCGCAGGGAGGGAATAACAGAGTGCTGCGGTTATGGAGCAGTGGAAGGAGGGGAGCAACGCTTTAGCGGGAGGGGTGTTATTCTTTGGGATACATGGTATTCTCAGCCAGGAAGTTAGTGGCTCGTACGAAGGAGATGGCGGGGGTTGGAGGGGCGCTTGGTGTGAGAGACTTAGCACAGTGCGCGACAGCCCTTGGAGGTTGAGGGGCTGTCGATGTGGCTCTCGCAGGCGCCTTAATGTGCTAAAAAGGGGTACCACACACACTGGATGTAGCGATGGAGAGGCGGTATTTGCTGGCGGCCGGCACAGCGGTGATGGCTGGTGTGCCGGTGTGGTGGGAAGGAATGCTCCTATGAAACTTCGTTCGTTTTTGGCAAGTCTACGAGTATCGCCGTCAGTGTGGGGCACTGTGCGCTCTGCTATTGGGAGGATCGAATAACAATAGGGGGGCAAGCACAGGAAGCAGTAGCCCACATATTCCCTATTTCGAATAACCCATTAATTCCGGGAGATTTAAATTGGCCCCGGAAGTACAAGCTACGAGCGGTAGCCCCTAGCACCGGCTATCCAGGCGGTCACAGCAAGGGCTGCTAGGTACAAGCTACACGGCAGGCCTGTGTCGCTCTCTCGTCCTTCCCGGGGTGGCGTGGTGGGGTTCTTGGTATCTTCGGGGCAAGAGCGAGTGGCATCACAGGGTCTTTCAAGGAGGGAGATTTCGGACGGGCTGTTCTTGTTCCCCTCCCCCGCCGACTCTGCTCTCTGCTGTGTGCGAGGGCGAGCTCTGTCTGGTGCTGGGACTGTCAAAAGAAGATTGGCATTCTGCATTCGCCCTAGGGCGCAAAAGCAGACAGACGTAAGATCCGTATCGGGCCACCGCCAAAGCGCCACTGCTCGAGCGCACTGCGTTGTCATTGCAGCCAGCTACGTCAGGACGTCGGCCTTGAGCTCGTTCGCGTAAAGCGACTGGAAGGCGCGAGGCATGTGACGCAACAAGTCAGCTGCCTAGCAGGTGCGAGAAGGAGAAAAAAGGAGACGGGTGTCGTGCGCACGAAAAAAGCGGAAGGAGAGAATGCGCAATCCGCCACCGCCTGAAAGTGAGGCTGCTGCAGCGAGGAGCGGGTTTCTCAGCCAATCCCCTCGATCGCTACTTCGGAGCGCAGCGTGCTCCAAACTGCGCTAAACCCCACGGTACACTGCAGTAGCCGAGCGCGCTCCATTCAAAGGTTGCCGCTTGTCTCGCCTGCAGCATGCCGTTTGGAGAAGACACAGAAGATACGTGTCGTATGCACGACGAGGCGGGCGCTCGTGTCGTCCGTACAGCCTCACGTGCCATGTTTTTTGGCCTGCTGATGGGCAGATGAACACCACGTCGCGTCCTATCGAGCAAGCAACAGCCCGCAGTAGCGAGACTTGGCCGGCGGTGTCGGCTGAGGAACGTCGTAGGTGAGGGGTTCAAGGGCCGTTGCGCGCTGCTGTTGCCCCTCATTTAACGAGGGCGCTGTTGGGGCGCTGTTTGGGTTCGCTTGCGTGCGATTGACACCGCCCAGCAGAGTGGCGGAAACAAGCAGCATCATCCCCTAGCATCCCCCACTTCGCGCAGGAACATGTGCGATACGAGTGCTCGTAATATTACATAGTAGCGAGAGAGAGCGTGTGCCCGCAAAGGCGGGACGCAAAGTGCGCCGTGTTCCTACGTCGTATGTGCGAGCTTCAGCGAGACCGATTGGCCAACAAGATGAGAAAGGGGGCCTGTGTTGTCACCCTCCCGTCGCATAGCAGCAATACTCGTGTCAATCGCACAAAATTATACGTCGTACAGCTGCGGCGCTGTTATGCAGCAGATACACCCAGCCGTTATGGAAGCTGCAGATCTGCGTGGGTTGCATCTACTATGTACAAGTGAGATACTTCCAGACAGCGCAGGCCGCCCTTGTCATTTCAATTGTCTCTCCACTGTGGGAACGGCGAGCCGGATCTGTACTAAGGCATCCCGGAGCTTGCTTCCGCCGCGTTAGGGTGCCGAGAAATGAAATGCCAGTGTTTTTCCCTCTCATTTTGGGATGCAACGGCACTAGTTTGGCTGTTCCATCTTAAAATATATTTGGGGCATGAGTCAGTTAAGCAGGGGACCCGGACAGCAAGGTACGGAGTACGGAGTACACGTACTCCTTGTGCGACACCCGCAAATCTCAGGCTTCTGGCAAAGTTCTACGACGCATCGTAGCATACGAGGGTCCCGTCTGCCTCTCCGGAAGATAAGAGGTACCCATAATGCCAGGCTGAAGTTTTCGCATTCTACAACGTAAGAGCACACAGTTATGGAGGTACTCCGTACGAGTTTGATCTTAGCTGAACAGCCCAAATTTGTCGAGGCGCCAGTGCATTATTCAATCATACGAATACATGAAAAAAGAAAAGAAGAAAAACAGTCTTGTAGCTCTGGCGATCCACACGCATCAGTGTGTCCCGTCGACTCGTCCTAGGGAGTGTCCCTATCGCCTTTCATCTTGTCGGGACAGGAGGACGAAAGAGAACTACATACGGAGTAGTAACAGTCGAATCTGAACTCGCGGAACAGCCGAGATGTGTTGCAGCCGGAAATTTGGATTGCAGGGGTCAAAAGGGGAATGCCCTCTGTTTTCTTTTCCACAGCTACTCCACATATACTCAGAGTCAGCATTCATAGCACTGCCAATTTCACCGACATTCATGGAGAGCTACGACTAAAGCAGACTACCAAGATACATAGTACACACACTCCGAGCTCCGTATAATAGATAAGAATCGGCCTTGCACATACGGAGCAGATCCAGCCCTTGATATCTTTATAACGCGCCTTGATCTGTCCGCGAGAGCGTGGGGGTTCTCATCTCTGCACTTGCTATGTTCGGTATAGAGGCGACGGAAAAAGGAAAAACGACGCCGTCGCCATCCTCGTAAACGAATGTGCCACCAGCCCCCCTATAGCCAAGATGCGAATATACGGAGGGGTCGCAAGCTACTCGTATACTCGTAATGCTTGTGTGTCGTACGGAGTACGAGTACGGAGTACTTGTAACACGTATAACCACTCCGTACTCCGTAATGAGATACATCGCTACCCCTGGCGCCTCCCTTGCAATGCCATTCATTCCCTTCTAGAACCTGCCTGCAAGGAGATTGCGGCGAACATCCGAGCATGCCCTTGTTCTTACTATGTATGGAGCGATCCCCGTTCTGAACGAGTTTTCGTTCCCTACTCCGTACTCCGTACTATGTACTAAGATACACATAGCAGGACCAGCCCCGTGGTTCCGGGCTCTGGGCTTCGCGAATCATCCTTGTGCGGAGGATTTCTCGCCAGGAGATGTGTACGGGTATAAACCACCTATGGAGCATCCCGTGCTGGATCTGTGAGCAGCACGCAACGCCGACACGGACAGAGGATCAGCTATCGAGGATACGTGTACGCCACGGGTTTTTTTCTCTCTCTTTTCCAGGCCGGCCAGCCAACGGAAAAGCTTGCCCCGTGTACTCCGTAAAGGACTTTTACTATGCTCCATGCGCGTACTGCCTGGTCCCTGCTAGTGTACGAGAACTTATGGATATATCTTACTATAACACGTGTCTGACTCCTCCTTGGCGGGCTTCAACGCCTGCAGCTGGCCGGCCAGCCAGGTCAGGCACTCCCCCCCCTGCGCTACGTGCTGGGCACTTGTGCATAAAGAGCCCAAGGACCCACGGTCTAGTGTCCTTTTGGCATAGCGAGACGTCCCGTTCCCATCAAACTACGCTGACCGACCCGGCCGCCATTACCGGGCCTCTTACTGGCAGGGCCATAGTCGCAGGTGCAGGCGGATTCACCGTCTTTTCGGGTCCATGGAACGAAGCGCAAGCCCATTTCCTCTCTTTGTCAACAGACAGCGGCGACGAACGTGAGAGATCGTTTTCCATGCGGCCCGCCATATCTCGGCGAATGCCGGGGAGTGCTTTTTTCTCTTCCCCGTGGATTATCTTTGATAAGGAAGGTGGACGTAAAGTCGGTGAAAGAAATGCTGTCAAGATCAAAACTAATTTGCAAGACCAACAGCCTCTCTGTTTTTGCCCTACTCGCCAAAGGGCCTGTCCAGGCATCGTTCCATTTCCCGGGGCAATGCACGTAATCGAGTAGCACCGCTCGTTGCCGTCTCCAAGTTCAGCTGGCGAGCTGGGCAATGAAGGCTGCCGTGTTACCCTGGTCGCCGTTCGCAGCGGCTCTCTCTGGACATGCTTTGATCGGTCGCCCTATCTGGCCGCCTGGCTGCGGGATCGCCGACATTTGGGCGGCCTGCTGCCATAATACCACTTCTGTTCTTCTTTGGACCTGCACGGCCAGACATGCGGTGAACATCTGGGTTATGCGCGTTCGTCCAAAAGCGACGTGGTTCTGGAGTCCATCCGGCATGCCGGTGCACTAGCCAGACACACTGCCCCCCCGGTTCCTGCATTCTGCGACGTACCTGTAGCCCACCCATCAGGTGCCATACTGTGTATGCCAGTGTGGCCTGGAGGGAGTCGGTGAGGTGCTGTGCAAAACAGCCTCCATCGGTCGATAACCCACCCCATCACACCGTCTTCGCGGCCGCTGACACTCGTGATGCACCTAAAAGTGCAATGCGCCTAAAGATGACAGCAACATCGATCCAGAGTGGACACATCAGAGAGACCACCAGACACCGTGCGAGGAGCTTGTCATTATTAGCACTGCGAATAGAACAGCCCTCGGAACGGCGACTTGGCCCCTTCCGAATTCTCACCGCCCGGATCGACAATCGGGACCCGGAGTGGCTTGTCCGGCTTCGGCGCCTGATGCCCAACACTCCACTGCTCACTCGGCAAGGCACATTGCGCTGTAGCCGCCGCGTTTTTGTGCCTGAGGAAGTATGCGACCCTTGGCGCCATGTGATCGAGTCTGCCCTGTCATCCTTTGGGCTGAAGCGTTGTCTGTGACCGGATGCAGACCTCACCGCTGGAAAGCTGCTTGTCCGTCCTTTCGCTTACAGGAGCAACACTAGTTGTACATGTAAAATTGCACTTGGGCCAAATACGGGATGCCATGGTGCCTCTGGAATCCGGATAACACGGTGGTCAGTGGACCAGAGATGTCTCGGTGATCTCTTTTCGATTCCGTCACAGGTGCTTGCGTTTTACTATTTGGCATAATGTGCAGCTTTGGGCGCTCCTGCTGTGTCACTTTACCCACAACATGTCTGGACCTTTTACTATGTACGGCGACACGTCATGCTTGATTTTACTTGAAACCCTCATAGCTTTCCTTTCTTATTGCGCATTCAACTTGCAGTAGGCCCGTTGCTGTCGTCCTTTTTCAAGAGGCCAGCTGCAATCTGGCGAGAAAAAACAAGTACAGGCGCAGATAGGGGTGGGGATATCGATGATAGTATTTGGTGCTTGTCTGTGAACAAGACACTGGTATCTTACACTACAGAGTTGGGAGTAGCCATACGGTGAGGGAGCATGGTTTCGTCCAAATCCAATTTACGTATTCCGTATAAGCCGGGAACAGAAGATTCCTACCAGCATAGTAAGATACTCTTCTTTAGACCCGACTTTTTCCTTCCTGGCAGCTGTCTGCATGCCATCCCGACCAGATGGGTGGCAAGACTTATCGAATAGGAAGGAGGCTGCAGAGGATTGCAAGATAACCAGCTCATGCGTGTTGTTCAGTAGATAAAATACATTACTACCTGCCGCTTTCTGCGAGGAAATTGGCATCGCCACTCGACTGTGAGCTGGTCCGGTTCTCTCGAGGGAAATATCGGGCATGGTTTCTTGCTTCTCCCTACCTTCATTGCCCAAAACTGGCAAAGTTTGAGTTGGCAGCTCGTGATGCACATATTGGACATGTCGACTTCCCATCATACAGATTTAGCAAGCGGAGATGTCACTACCAACTGGAGCGCCTTGATCCAAACTATTGAATGTGAACGCGAGGACTTGTTCCCCACAACCGCACAGCTTCAGCAGCCTTAGATAGCACCTGCAAGGGCTATCGAACAGAAGGAGGGCGGCCAAGAGACGACATGAGGCACTCCCTCCTCCTACCCGCTTTCCACCCGCGCGGACGGGCGGCCCGTGTTTGTAGTATGCGGGGGAGGCTGACGTACAAGTGGTTCCATTTGTGCTTTATGATCGAACCGTATCACCGATAATGCATCCAGAGAAGCGGGTGACAAGTACTCTGCATTATTCTCCAGCCCCCGACTTGACAGTCGCAATAACCATGCGGGTATCAGGCAACAATGAAGACGGGAAGTGAGAAAGGAGGGAAGAAAGAAAGGAGAGCCGATCTCAATGTGTGGTTGAAGGGCTGGCCGAGCCACGTGAGATGGGACAATACGTGGAGTGATGGGAGGAGAAGAGGGGCGGAGAGAAGGGGCCGAAGAACGATACCAGAACAAGAGGACATCTGAAAGAAGCCAGCAAAGGTGGATAAAAGTCAAGGTGGAAACACATGATACCACCTCAGCCTCTTTCTTTTACGACCGTGGAGGAAGGCAGTTTTTTAGAGCCCGACGGGCAATTGGCAGACAGCAGCAGTTTGCGCTCGGACGAGAAAAGCCTTCCTTAGTAGCCGCACGTCCTGCATCAGAACGCAGGGGAACAGGACAAAGAGCAACTCTCATTCCCCAAGATGCTGCCACGATGGCACACACAGCTGTCGGCTTGGGGGGACCGACACCAAATCAGGCTAGAGTTCGCGTGGACGATGGCTCGTCATTGGCTTGACCTTAGCTTGGTCGACCGGCCAGCTGTTGCTTTTGGTGCTCGTATTTTACGGAGTAAGATACTATCTTTACATATGCAAGGCTCGCGGTCTGCCTGTACAGAGTACATCAGTAGTTTGTTACTGTGCATACGGGCCTTCGCCGATGTCGCCAAGCAGCCCTAACATTGACGGCAATGCTTACATAGTTATTTGCTTAACACAGACGGAGCCTCTGGAAAGTCTGCCTCGCATGGACGGAGGAGAATGTTTGGGGATCGTCCAGCCTCGGGAAATGACGATCATGGGCAAGGGAACGCTAGGAAGGGGTAGCGCGATCCTGGCTGGTTGGAGCTCAGACGTGCGAGGTAAGAAGAGCAAGAAGCAATGAAAGAAGAAAACAAATGAAAAAAAAAAGTACAGAAGGGAGAGGAAGCGTCCCGATGGGCGACATCGCGCGCATCGCGAGCCGTGCGCTGTGCATCATATGCCGCGGGTAGGGGAAGAGGAAGTGAGATAAAGCGTGCCGGTGGGGTTACATAAGTCGAGAAAACCGTTTCTGCTGTTGAAACGCCTAGGCGATAGTGCGAGCCTGGCCCCAAAACGTACCCTGGGGCCTGGGAAGAACGCTGTGAGCTATCCCTTACAAAGTACATTGCGCCGCAAGAGCGACGCTAAGATGCTCTCTCTCACCGTCTCTACCCACTCACAAAACAGACACGCCATCCGCCCCTCCTTTCCCTGACGTGGTGCCCACCCCGATCAAGGCCCCCTCCCCAGTAACTCGTTCCTTCCTCTTTTTGCTACTCGAAGAAGGGAATTTCCAGGTCTTCAATCCGGACGCGACACAGGACACGGCAGGAGCACAGACAAGAAGAAGTGAAAGATTGAAAAGAAGAAAGCGCGAGAAAGATAGCGCATCCTGCAGCTTCATCCCTTGTTTTCCTCCCCCGTCTCGATCTCGAACAGCCTTGACCGATCCTGGCACCTCATTTTGCCCCTCTCACCCTCTCAGCCGGCTGCCGCACATACCCAATAAACCAGGCACTGCAGTAGCACGCAAGGTCGCCCGGGGCCCCCCATCGCCCAATCGCCCAATCGCCCATCCGCGTGTGGTCCTGGCCCTTTCTGGTCCTCCGGCCAGTTTTTTGGACTTTCTTCAGCGTCTGCCCCGAGATAGGCTGCGACTCCGCCGGCTTTCTGCAATTTCCTACATCTTTGCCATCTCCTCGTCCAGACTCCAAACCATCGCCGGCACACGGAAGGCGTACGCGACAGGAGAGAAGGTGGCGATACGCAGGGTGGACTGAGCATCGAGAGCACCGACGACAAGGAGAGCCGAAAAAAGGGGGAGGCCAAAAACGTGAGGGGGCCTAATAAAGAACGACCAAAAGAAAGCAATACCAGCCCGCTTCTCCTTATTCACTGTGGCCGGTATTTTCTCTCTACTGCAAACATAATCCTTCCCCTTCCTCGTGGACGAATTGCGGCCTTTTTCGTCGCAACAGCCACCCTGACTACCCGCCGGCCAGTCCAGTCCTCTAGCCATTCACATACGGCCAGATCTCGCCCGTCCTGCCTGCAGCATTTGCCTTCTGCAGGGCCCCGCACTTGCCAATTTGCCCTGACGAGGCCTTCGGCCGCGACTCGCTTCACGAGCAGCCGATATACACGACCGTTCTCTTTCGCTACTCGGCGTGCTTCTTCACGTTCCGTTCACTTCGCCTTCAGCCACCGCCCCCTTTGCTACTGTCCCTACCCAGACGACTTTGAGATTTTGCACGGCCCCTGGTGCGGTCGGAATTTTTTTTTTTTTTTTAACTTACTGAATACCCTCTTCTCTGCATTGTCTTCTATTTCTACATCTCTTTCTCTGCCCTTTCTCTGGCTCCTTTACTCTGCAATCTGTTGTGGCGAGTACACAATGCTCATGACGCATACCGTGGTTTTGGCTGCAGCTCAGAGTCAGAAGACGCAACTTACGGCACCTTCCGACACAACCAGTTAATAACCACGCTCGACGACGATTGCAAATCGAGCTAGATCTGCGAAAGCCCCTGCACACTTGTCAGCTGCTTGCAGCTTCCGCCCGATCTGATGAACGGCATAGTGAGCACGGCGCCGCCCGGCGCCATGTATGTCCGAGCATTATATGACTACGAAGCCGACGACCGAACCAGTCTGAGTTTCCACGAGGGCGATGTCATCCAAGTCATCACCCAGCTGGAAAGCGGCTGGTGGGACGGCGTTATTAACGGTGTCCGCGGCTGGTTTCCAAGCAACTATTGCCAGCTGATCACCAGCGCAGACGAGCTGCCAGAGTCCGAGCAAAATGGCGTCGGCGTGGCCGATCACGTGGACGAAGACATGGAGGAGGATGTCTACGAGGAAGGCTTTGACGATGACGACGATGAAGCCGACGATCTCACCAATCTTCCTCTGGAGGGAACCGACTCCAACGTGAGCCGGTCTGGTGCCGACTATTGGATACCACAAGCAACGCTCGACGGCCGACTGTTTTACTACAACACCATGACCGGCGAGAGTTGCATGGAATTGCCGCTTGAGTCGCCGACACAGATTGCCGAGAGCGGTCCACGCGATCGCATGAACATCAACATCCCCGAGCGGACTCGGCCGCCCCCCGAGCTGATGGCGAGAGGGCTCACACAGAACGAGGACGAAGACTCGGACGCGAATTCCGCATCCGAAATGGAGGGCGAATCTCTCTTGATGGGATCCAGAAGTTCCATTGTACGTATTGCCTGTCCCGAATACTTCCATGCTCTCGATCTGTCTTCCATTAACTGGTTCATCAGCTTCGCAACAACAGCCGTTCTTTCACCAGGGATGGCATCTCTCCTACCGTGTCAATGGACTCATTGAACGGGCATTCCCCCACCCGAGGAAGAAATGTATCAGCCGGCTATGCTGGTGGTGATGTCTTCAATGGCCCGCACATCCCCCTCACCCAGACGCCCATAATAGCGTCGGCGACCTCTTTTACATCGGCAGCTTTCCCCCTGCCAACTGCCACCGCCATTCCTCGCTCGTTTTTCGACGACGGCACAGTAAAGTCTCTGTCCTGGAGCCGGCTCGTGAACAGCATGCGGGACTCCATTGATCGCTACCGTGACGCCATCACGTCTAATAACCGCTCCGAATATGTAGCGCGTGCCGAGGACATCTCAGATCACTTGCGCCTCCTTCTTGCCGCTGGGTCTGGAACCACCGACAACCATTCGGGCCAACCATCCATTATCTCCACAAACAAGGCATTGTACCCCCACTTCCGGGATATGATGTCGAAGTTCTCCAAGCTTGTTATCTCGTCTCACATTGCTGCTGCGGATTGGCCGAATGCCGAGTCTGTGCAAAAGTGTCTCCAGGAAGCCGATGGTGTTCTCTCGGGCGTTTACAGCTACGTCGAGGTTGCCCGCCAGCAACGAGGGGAAGAAATTCCCCGCCTGTTCCCAGGATTTATCATTGGAAGCAGTACGGGTGGCGGCTGGCAAAATAACTCTCTGGGGCTTAGCGATCCCATCACATCCAACTTTCTCGATGACGACGAGGGCACAACCGAGCCAACTGCCACTCTGGACGGCAAGTTATTGGAGCGGCTGGACGAGTCGAAGCGCATGCTTGTATCAAGCATCCGTGAGCTGGACAAATACCTTACCATGACGGACAAGATTGTGACGCCGTTCAAGCACGAAGTCATTGGTAACAATGTCTGCATAGCTGGTGGGAAGGTGTTGGAAATGTTCAAGCCGTGGATAGCCATGATCGAATCGATCGACCTGTCTGTTCTCGGTAACAGCTTCCAGACCCCGCAACTTGGCGACTTCAGCGCGAACAAACAGAGTCTGTACGATAACATCTCCGACCTTATTCTTGGCTGCCAGGCTGTCGCAGGACCGTTGGCCGACGAGTGGGCAGAGGTTCGTGGCGAGGCGCTGGAAAACCGCCTGGAATACGTACGACAGTGTGCTCGGGCTCTTGAGACGAACTCATCCCACATCGGCTTCTCGCTGCAGCTCCTGTCCGAGCAGGTACAGATAAACCTGCAGCAAAGGGCCGAGATGCAGGCTCGTGAAGACCACATGATGTCACGCGAATCAATGCGTCGCGACGAGTCGGGACCCTACATGTCCTCGGGCTCGACCATTGCACCGTCTATCAGTTCAATGAGCTCTGCAGCAACAGTGATTCATCAAAGGACCGAGTCCCGAGGCATTGGTTCTCGCCCTACGGTCATGCATTCGCAATCTTACTCCGAAGGCTTGGACTCGCCGCCTCAAACTTACCGCAAGGCTGGCGATTACTCGAAGCTGAAGAAGTTGCTTGGTGAGGATCCATCGCCCCAGGCTATGGGCGACGAAATTCCGGACTTTTTGCGACTTGACTACGAAAATGATATCTCTTGGGATCTGAAGGCACAGCCTCCCCAGGTCAAGGGCGGTTCTCTCTTTGCGCTGGTGGAGCAGCTTACCCGCCACGACAAGCTCGACTCCAGCTTCAACAATACCTTCCTACTGACCTACCGGTCTTTCACCTCGGCGCGGGAGTTATTTGAGCTTCTGGTGAAGCGGTTCAGCATCCAGCCGCCAGAAGGCCTGACATCGGGCGAGAGCGAGCAGTGGCGCGACCGAAAGCAGAAGCTCATTCGATTCCGTGTGGTCAACATCATTAAGAACTGGTTCGACAACTTCTGGATGGAGGACGTGAGCCTGGAGGAGACGAAGCAGCTCATTATGGCCGTGTACGCATTTGCGCGGGACACGGTCAAGTCGACAGAGACGCCCGGTTCTGCGCCGCTTATGGCAGTGCTGGACCAACGGCTTAACGGCAAGGATTCTGGTGCTAGACGCCTGATTCAGACGCTGAACCAGAACACCCCCTCGCCGATCATGCCGAAGAACATGAAGAAGCTCAAGTTCCTCGACATTGACGTGACGGAATTTGCGCGGCAGTTGACGATTATCGAGTCTCGTCTCTATGGCAAGATCAAGCCGACGGAATGCCTCAACAAGACCTGGCAGAAGAAGGTTGGCGAGGGGGAGCCAGAGCCGGCGCCAAACGTCAAGGCCCTGATTCTTCACTCCAACCAGATGACTAACTGGGTGGCGGAGATGATCCTGGCACAGACGGATGTGAAGAAGCGGGTGGTTGTCATCAAGCACTTCGTCGCTGTTGCAGACGTGCGTCCTTGCCCCTTTCAATTGTTCAGCCCCGACTGAGGGACACGTGCTAACCAAAGTGTAGAAATGCCGAGGACTAAACAACTTTTCGACGTTGACGTCAATTATTTCGGCACTTGGTACGGCGCCTATCGCGCGTCTCAAGCGGACATGGGACATTGTGCCCCAGAAATCACAAGCGACCCTAGAGAGCATGCGGAAATTGATGGCTAGCACGAAGAACTTTGGCGAGTACAGAGAGGCTTTGCATGTCGCAAACCCACCCTGTATTCCCTTTTTTGGTAAGGCGTTCCGGCTGGTTTGGACCTAGAGGGCATCGCGGTTGGTCTGCTAACAAGGTGCCACACAGGTGTTTATCTGACGGACCTCACGTTTATCGAGGACGGCATTCCGTCCATTATCAAGAAGACGAACCTGATCAACTTTGCGAAGCGAGCCAAGACGGCGGAGGTGATCCGCGACATCCAGCAATACCAGAACGTGGCATACCTGCTGCAGCCGGTGTCTGAGCTGCAAGACTACATTTTGAGTAACATGCAGGCTGCGGGCGACGTGCACGAGATGTACGACAAGAGCTTGCAAGTAGAACCTCGTGAACGCGAGGACGAGAAGATAGTGAGGTATGTGACGGTAGCTCGAATGCTACACCAGCAGCAATAAGGGATGATCGGCACAGCTATAGAGGCTGCTAGCAGCTCAGGACTTTTCTACACCGTTTTTTACCATTCCCTTTCCCTTCTGTGGTGGCGTGAGAGTATGTGTGACTCGTGCACTCATGTTCAAATGTATCCACAATCACATGCCGCGTCGCGACCCCCTGGCCTTGAAATAGATGGGGAAGGATTAAAAACAAGGTCACGCTGCTAATCTAAGCTCTGTTTTGAATAATAGGGTTTTGGCCGAGTCTGGTTTCCTATGAGTGATGAGGTGATGCTGCAGGCCTCTGTCTCTTGGGTGGACCAACCGGATCGGCAGACGACGCAACATCAACAGAGAAGACGGACGGGCTTCAGCGCTACGGCGTTGGTGCTAGCATTGGTGCCTGTTGGTGAGCCTGACTCGCTATGTAGCGCGACTGACGGTCGAATCGCGCCAAGCTTAGCGCTTCGGGTTGCCCAAGATAGCATGACTGGACGCTGCTATCTAGGAGGACGGCAGGAGACAATACAAATACTGTTCAATCGTCTGGAGGGCTTTCTGCTTCTGTGTCGCTCTCTTTTTCTTTGTGCATGACAACTAATGCTAGATGGAGCGCCTGTGACTTCGGTGGGAGAGAGCATGAAGCAGATGATATAAGCGGACTTGTTTTTTCCAGGCTGGCCGGCGATAATAGGATTTGGGGGGACTCATTTGGCTTATAATTTTCTTTCTACACATCATTGCCGTCTGTGCTCCTCCCGTGCCCCAGTCCTGTTCCTGTTTTCCGTCTTGGGCCCTTTCTATTGGCCTGGCATATCAAGGATACGAGGGGAAATTGGTCGCGGGAGTTGAAGGGGGTTCCTCTAGTTTCATTGGTAGACTTTCTCCTATCCCCCAATAAACACCTGTTTTTGTCGTGGAGTCTATTCTGGTATCGTAATTCTATCTTATCTCACATCGCGTCTAGGACAGACAGGGCTCCGTCTGTCTGTGCCGTGGTTGCAGGAGCAGGATCGGCGCCAGTGCTTGTGGGCGCAGCCGCGTCCTGGACCTCCTGTTTAGGCTGCGGTGCCTCGGCCGATCTGTCCGTTTTGTCCGTTTTGTCCGTCGTCTCGGGCACGTCCGTTTTAGCCTGATCCGTTTTGCCATCCGGTTTGTCGTCCGTCTTGCCGCCCGTCTCGTCGCCAACGGTCCGGCTAGCCTGATCGCCATTCAGGCCCTTCTTCTTGACCTTGCTCGCGTCCAGGAAGCCGTCGGGCACGCCGGCGGCTGCGCATGCCACACCCGGCCCAGCCCAAGCGCCGACCAGTCGGCTCCACCGGTAATCGCCGCGGACCAGCTTCCGGATCTCCTTGTAGGCGTAGCTGTTATAGAACGGCAGGCCCGTCTGCACGTCCCGGTAGCGCGCAGGGTAGCCGGTGATGCTGCAGAGCGGTGCTTGCGCCGGTTCTAGACGGTCAGCAGACGGGACAGAAACGGGAGAGGAACACGAGCGAGAGGAAACGTACTTCCAATCTTGGCCATCCGCCGGCCAAACAGAACCTGCATCTGCACCTGCCTGTCCTTGAGCGCGTCCTCGTCAAAGTTTTGCAGCACGATGCAGGTGCGCGTGATGCGTCCGTCAATGTCGGCTGCAGCAGCAGATGCGCCATCCTGCTGGTCTGGCGGCGGCTGCACTTGGTCTTTGTCGGCAGATGGTGTCATCGGCTCCTTGGCAGGTGAGCTGGCCGGAGGGACGGGAGGTAGTGGCATGGTTGCCTGCGCAGTGGCCTGCACGTCAGGTTTGGTATCTGCCTCGGACAGGGACGGAGCCGCTTGTGATGGTGAGGGCAGCACGACAGGCTGAGCGCCATCGGGGACAAGTGGCACTGCCAGAGGTTCTGGCACGGGCATCGGCTTCTCTGCTGCTGGCAGTCGTTGTGCATCTGACGACGGGTCTTGGGACGACATCGGCTGCACAGGAGGAACGGCATCGGACATGGGCGTGTCGGCGGTGGCCTCGGGAGGTGTTGGCATGTCGATCGGCATGAATACGGCTTGGCTGTACTCGGCATCGAGTCGTGTCGGTTGGGCCGGTTCTGTGGTTTCTGGCAGGGTCTCTGACAGTGTCTCTGGCGGCTTTCCGTCCTTGACCGGCTGGTCTGCCTCGGCTGATTCTCCCTTGCTGTCTCTGCTCTCGTCTTGAAGTGCGGCTGTCTTGTCTGGATGCTCTGTCGTCGTCTCGGCCGTCTTCGTCTTGCTTGCCTCTTCCTCGGCCACCTTTTCCGCCATTTCCGCCTTTTCTGCCTCTGCTTTTGCTTCTGCGGCCTCTCTTGCCGCGGCCTCCTTTGCCGCGGCCGTCTGTCGTTTCTTGCGCGGTGCCTTCTCCTCGATTGAGACCATGCGGCCAGCGTGTCTGAGCAGCAGGCTATTCTGGCCGCTGTGCCCATCCTGACCGCTGCTGCCTCCACCATCACCAGTGCCAGCCGCACCGAGCGCCAGCTCGACGATGCCGCTCCAAAACGTCACGACCGGCCCCTCGAGCGTGCGGTTGTACATGGCGGCCAGCTTGGCGGCACGGTCGGCCTCGCGCAGCTTTTCGGCCTCCTCCCACGTGTTGAGGCTGCGCGTGTTGGTCTGCTCGACGACGGCCGCCGCCGCCAGCCGCTGCGCCTGAGTCAGCGGCGGCTTCCGGTTGGCCTCGGCGCGCTGCTGCTTCTTGGCCATGACGGCCAGCTGGCGCACGCGTCGCCGCTCGCGCTCAGCCATCTGCTGGTGCAGCTGCTCCTTGCTGATGCGCGTGGTCGCCCGCGCAGACGAACGTGTCGGCGCGTCCGTCACCGACGGCAGCCAACTGGTGCGCTCGCTCTTCTTGCGTCGTCGGGCTGCTGCCGCAGACTCGGTCGGTGTCGTCGTTGTCGGTGTTGTCGTCGCGACTGTCGTCGTCTGGTCGCCCCCTCCGGCGATGCGCACCTTTTTGCGGAAACGTGCCGGAATGGCTGCCTGGGCTCGTCGCTTGCGTGCCGCCAGCTTCCGCTCTCGCTCCCGCCTCTCCAGCTCCCGCTCGCCTGCCAGATTGTCCGCACCTCCACCGCCACTGCCGCCACCGTCGTCCTCGTCGTCCTCGTCGTCCCCGCTCGAGTCCATGTGCATGTCTGAGCCGTCGTCGTCGTCATTCCCGCGGACAACGCCACCGCCCGTCCGGCTCCCGTCATCGTCATCGTCATCGTCTTCATCGTCATCTTCGTCGTCGCCTCCGCCCTTGTCCTTCTCGTCTAGAGACCAGCCGTCGTCGTCTTCGTCCTCGGCAAACAGAAGCTCCAGGTCCGAATCATTGCCGCCTCCACCGTCGCCAGCAGCCACCCCGCCAGCCGACGCACCCATGCTCGCCAGAAGGCTCTTCATACGGTTGCCTGCTGTCGTCCGCCGTGCCCGTCCTGTGGCCAGCCATTCGATCTTCTCGGCGGGCGCCTTGGATTTGCTCATCTTCTCCGAGTCGCTGTCGTCGCTGCTGCTGCTCTCACTGCCCGGGTCTGAGAGGCTCGACAGCTCCGACATCTCCGTATCGGCCATCGTCTCAGCAGACGGCCGCGCGTCGATTCCCGATGCGGCGGCCATGTTTGTGCAGGAATGCGTTGTCGTCTACATCTCTCGTGATCGCGTCGACATTTTGGCTCACGAACTCCTACGCAGAAGTCCCCACTTCAACAGCTTCTTATCGGAAGAGTCACGTGACTAAATGCGGCTCTCCTCGCATTTTTAGCCCAATCTCGATTTAGCCGATTTGGACCACCGCGATTACTCAACAAAGTCCTAAATCTTGCAATGTGGGAAAAAGGATTCAACGGCCGGAAGCTTGCTGTCATGAACAGAGCACGCCACCGACTTCGGTGTCCATCGGCACTACACGCACATTACCAAGCAGATGGCTCAATTTCGGACAATCCTACGTCACTTACCAAGTGCGAAAAGCTTTCCGACTTTCATTAGGACCCCTCCTCGTGCCCCTCCTTGCTCTCTCTTCTTCCATCTTCACTCTCCTCACTCCATTCAATCTCCATCGATTCGCATTTTAACTGCCTTTCAGCACCATACATTTGCCACCATGTCTCAGGGAAAGACGACGACGTTGAGCTCCGGCCACAAGATCCCACAGCTAGGCTACGGTACCTGGCAAGCTGCTCCGGGTGAGGTGTCTGCCGGCGTCTACGAGGCGCTCAAGGTCGGCTACCGCCACCTCGATCTCGCCAAGATCTACCAAAACCAGGCCGAGGTGGCCCAGGGCATCAAGAAGGCCCTGGCCGAGGTGCCCGGCCTTAAGCGCGAGGACATCTTCATCACGTCCAAGCTGTGGAACAACAAGCACCACCCGGATGACGTTGAGGCTGCTCTCGACGACACTCTGGCCGAGCTGGAGCTGGATTACCTTGACGTGAGTGCTATTGTCGTCCTTTTTGTGCTTGTCATTTTCTCACTCTGACCTCTCAGCTCTACCTCATCCACTGGCCGGTTGCCTTTGCTCGCGGCGAGAACCTGTTCCCCGTCGACCCCAAGGACAACAGCAAAGCTGCCCTGCTAGAGAGCGTCTCCATTGTGGACACGTGGAAGGGTATGTCTGGGTGTTCCTCTTGTCTATCTCTGTCTCGAGCGACGTTCTGACCGCACAGCCGTGACCAAGCTGCCCAAGTCCAAGGTTCGCAGCGTCGGCGTGGCCAACTTCAACATTGAGCAGCTCGAGACCATCATCAAGGCAACCGGTATCACGCCGGCCGTCAACCAGGTCGAGCGCCACCCGCGACTGCAGGTCCTCGACCTCGTCAAGTACAGCGCCGAGAAGAACATCCACATCACGGCCTACTCGGCCTTTGGCAACAACTCCGAGGGCCTGCCGCTGCTCGTGGCCAACGACGAAATCAAGGCCGTGGCCGACCGCCTGTCCAAGGCACAGTCCAAGACCATCACGCCCGCCCAGGTTATCCTCGCCTGGTCCCAGATTGGCGGCCACAGCGTCATCCCCAAGTCCGTCAAGGCCGCCCGCATCCTGGAGAACTTCCAGGAGATCGAGCTGGACGCCGAAGCCGTCACTGCGCTGAACAAGCTGGGCGCGCAGCCGAAGCGCTTCAATATTCCTGTTTCCTGTACGTCGTCTCAGCTTCCAGGTACCGTGCTGCTGGACGAATGCTGACAAACCTGACAAACACAGACAAGCCATCGTGGGACATTGACGTCTTCGGCGAGGAGGCCGAGAAGAAGACCACACACAAGGTCATCTTGTAAGGTGAAAATGAACAAAGAGCGGGAGCGCATTATGGGTGTCACACATGTATATACGTATTAGACACAGAGTAGATGAAACTGTAATTAACGTGTTTCGGCCTTCTCACTATCATCCATGTTCTATGATCAGGCCAACGCTGGCTGCTTCCGCCAGCAATGTCCTTTCCACTGGAGCGCCATAGTCGGCAAGAGGGACACGGCGACGAGCAGGCCGAGAGGGATGCCGAGACTGCGGACGAGGCCGATGTTGGCCAGCATCTGGGGAACCAGAAGGGTCCGATAAAGCCCCAGGTCTGGCGGACAAAGGTGATGAAGACGCCGATGCTGGCCGCCTCGTGGCGGTAGCAGTCGACGGCGTACGTGATGAGGACGGTGGTGATGATCTGGTTGCCGGCCGAGGCGATGGCGGCGCCGATGAGCGGCGTGACGTTCCAGCGATGACCGGCATGGTCGATCTGGACGAGGAAGATGACGACGCCGCAGACGACGAGGGCATAGCCGACATAGCTGAGCCAGAGGCGGTATTCGGGCGCGGGAAAGTGGCCACGACGATGGCGTCGCCACATCCACCGATCCGACATGCGGCCGCCAAGCTGCTCGCCCAGCAGTGTGCCGATGACGAGGCTGACGTTCTGCAGTCCGACCTGCTCGGCGTTCTGGCCGAACCGCTCCGGGAAGAGCTGTGGCAGCTCGAGCGAGATCAGGATCCCGCCCCAGAGGAAGACCATCGCGTAGGCCGCCGCCGGAATCAGAACGCACGGCCGCAGCGCCATGGCCAGCGGCCGCACAAAGTCGGCCACCCGCAGCGGCGTGTGGTCGATGCGGCCAAATCGCAGGTAGCGGGCCACAAAGGAGGACGGCCGGCTGGGGGGGGTCGTCTGCTCGACATGGGGCCGGTTGGCAATGTAGCGGGTCTCGGGGCCCAGGAAGAGGTAGAGGACAAGCTGGCCAGCGTTGATCTGGACTGTCAGCTGGATGGACAGAATGGAGGAAAGTCCAATTCAGAAAGAAAAGAGAAAGGACGACAAGGTCACGTGACGAGTACACTCACCATCGCCAACACCCAGTACACCCACCGGTAGCCGACGCGGTAGGCCACAAAGCCAAAGATCAGCGGCGCCACCGACACGCCCAGCGTGGCCATGGTCGCCCAGACGCCCATGTAGAGGCCGCGGTCGCGCCGGAAGAATGTCTCGGACACGACGCCGCTGCCGATCGACAGCGGCGGCGAGATGAAAAAGGCCGTCAGCGCGCGGCAGAGACCCATGGTGCCGTACGACCGGCTCTCGGCACAACCGATGTTGCACACGAGACTGCACGCGAGCGACAGCAGAAAGACCGGCCGTCGGCCGTACGCCTGCGAGAAGGGCCGCCAGAACAGAGGCGCGCCGCCGAGGACAGCAATCTGCAGCGACGTCAGGTAGCTGGCCTGCTGCACGGAGACGTCCAGGTCGGCCGCGATCGCCACAAAGGACGGCTGGATGCTGGCGGCTGTGAAGGTGGACATCATGGCGTGGAACGCGACCAGCACAAGGTTGACTATTTTCTGTTGATGTTAAATTTTTTTATTTTTTTTGTTCTTTCTTTCTTTCTTTCTTTTTCTCTTCATTCCTTTCTTCTTTCTCTTTCTCGTCTGTTCTCCCTCCCACTCACCTTCCTCTGACCCCAATTCAACGGGTCTTCGTCGTCCATAGCCGGGATCGGATCCAGATCAGTCGTGCCATGGCGTTGCATCAGATAGGCCTGGTGCTCGGGCGAGAGAACGGGCTCATCCTGGGAAGACTAGAGGCGGCGTCAGCATGCCCCGGCCAGAGCACGAAGCAGAACACCACGTACTCCGTATTCGACATGCTCGCTCTTATTGGGAACGGCCACTGCCTCCATCTCCTTGCTGGCCGCGGCCTCAGACCGGACGACCTCTGTGCTCGACATTCTGTCACTGTAAATCTTTTCCGTTTCCTTGAGCCGCCCTTCGGTTAACAAGAAAGCCAGGACCGGGCAGCATCGACACCCTTTATACACCGCCCATCCCTGCCTGCTGTCACCCTGAGGAGCCCCGGATGTTCCCCGCGAGCCGACCGACCTATACCCGCAGCCTCTTATTCCCCGTACTTACCCCAGATTCCCCCGCTCTCTGGTGGGCCCAATGCATTTGCTGCTACTATGTACTCCGCGTCGTCTTATGCCCCACATATTGTGCTCTCTGCTGACCGGTTGCTGGTTGAGCTGGTCCCGTAGAATCTGCCGCTTGGCCTGGCTCCCTTCATGCGGTCCTTGCGGCTGCCAGACTCCTAGCGCTTCGGCAAGCACACGTCGGCATCACATCCCGCGCTGCAGACTTCGGGGCTCGCTCCCCTGTGAAGACCGGCCTGGATTTATGGACGAACTTGCGAGAGTGCAGGAACTTGTCTTTTATCCGTGGACAGCTAGCATTGGAAATGCTGCCTCTCCACAGTCATCATTCCTTCCTCCACATAAATGGCTGTCTGTCTCTGTCCGTTCAGCCGATAAGCACTCATGTCCAGGCCTCACCGGCAGCAGCCGGCTAGGGAATGCCACGTCAGAATCTGCCAAGGAGAACCGGACAGTTTTTCCCGGAATTCGCTTGCAGGAATGCGGGATCAAAATATTGGGGTAGTATTGGACCCAAGCTTTATCTCGGCATATGTCGCAGTTCGACCAGGTCGGAGCGTGGTGGATAAGTTCAAGACCACCGATTGGTGAAATATCATCCATGTGTATTTGTATGGTTGTATGCATTGATAATAGCATAGGACAGGATACAATCTATGCGCAGAAACAGACAGGTCCTCCCTCCAGAAAGCAAGTCAAGACTGAAATACCAAAGGCAAAAACAAACATGCGGATACTGTTCCCTCAAGACGCCCCCATATAGTCCATGCGACACAGTCAAAGTCACTCGCATCTCTTCCAATTGCTGCTCCGTCTTGTCATGCTGTAAGAAAGAGAAGCAAAGAAAAGTCTAATTAGATAAGGCAGATAGATAGCCCCTGCACTGCCTGTCACTATAGTTCGTCCAGGTTCTCCCAGTCTTTGCAGAAGCCGAGCCAGCTCCGCCGCAGACATCGGTGCTTTGGCTTGACAGGCGGCGATTGCGTTGGCAGAGCGCCAGCCGGCGGAGCCGTGATTGCGTGAGTTGGCGCCAGCTGCGTTGATGTGGCTGTCAGCACGCCTGTGGTCGCGTTCGTCGCAGCCGGCGGGTCCAGACAGCCCCAGAAGCGACCGGGCGTCGCACACGACGTCTCCGTGGCCGTGGTGGTGGCGTGAGGCGTTGTCGTCGTCGTCGTCGTCGTCGATGTCGCCGGCGGCGTCGGGTCGTCCTTGCAGCCCCAAAACCGACCGGGCGTCTTGCACGTGGTGGTGGCTGTGGTAGTGGTGGCCTCGTCGGTGGTGGTGGCCTCGATCGACGTCGTAGTGGTCGTGGCCGTCGTGGCCGTCGTGGCCGTTGAGGCACCGGTGGTCGTCGTCTCGTCCAGACATCCCCACCAGCCCGGCGTCTTGCAGGTCTCGGTGCGTGTGCGTGTCTGCGACGTGGTGGACGACGAGGTCGCTGACGTGGTGGTGCGCTCGGTGCCGTTGCTCTCAAATATCTTCCAGCCGGCACAGTCGCGGCACTCGGGCGTAAACTTGCACTGCGGCACACTGTCGTACTTGCGCAGCACGTCGTTGATGACGGTGTGGATCTTGTGCGTCCCCACGCCGACGCGCCAGCCCAGATCGGCCACCACGTCGTACACGCATTCGTAGCCCGTGTGGCAGGCTGTCTCCAGCGCATACCCGGCATACGAGCACGTGGCTGTGGCGCCGTTGCACGTGCCGATGTAGATCGGATCGGCCGTGTGGCCGACGTGGAACGTGCCCGTGTGCTGGCGCGACTGTGGCCGGTTGGGGTCGGCGCCGGGTGGCACCGGCAGGCCGAGACGGCTGGCTGCAAGCGCCTCCGGAACGGCCTGGAATGTCACCGCCGGGTGGCCGTACGTCAGGCCCAGAAACGAGCTCAGCGCGCCGCCCAGCGAATGGCCCGTCAGCCACACGTTCGAGCCAGGGTACAGCTGCGTGATGTTGGTGTACAGCTCCCGGGCGGCCATGTAGTAGCGGTTCTCGTCGTGCAGCGCCTGGCGCACACACGTGTTGTTGCAGGCATACGTCCCCGTGGCACAGTTGCACACCTGCCGATAAGTCCACTGACCCTGCTGCCCGCAGCAGCAACTGAAGAACAGGTTGTCGTTCTCCTTGTCATTGGTCGTCGTGCCCTCGCCATCGAATACGGCGAGCGACGTACCCTTCAGCCCAATCACAATCGTCGAGTTGGTCTCGTCGGCAAACACATGACCACGCAGCCCATCGCCCTCCCAGCCAAAGTCACCGCTGCGGTTGTACGGATTCCCAACGTCGAACCAGTCCGCCAGGTCGGGCGTCTCGACATAGGCGTTGGACGCCATGTAGGCCATGTTCAGCACCGTGTCCTTGTCCGTGATGTTGGGCGACGACACGCTGTCCACCGTCCACGCGTCTGGAGACAATACGGCCACGTAGCCACGCTCTCGCGCCATCGCTACCATCGGGTCGACCACACTGGGCCGGCGGTCGACCAGCCGCTCTATCGAGGACGCATGGCTCTTTGCGCGCAGCGTCGGAAGCCGCTCACGGGCATAGCCATCTGCGGCATCGAGCCATACCTCAGCGTCGCGCTGATGAACGTCCATCTTCCGATGGAGTTTGGGGTATTGATGAGTGCCATGGTGATAGATATGGCGTAGCGTCTGTGAAGATACCGAGTCAGCCACACAGATATCCAAGGACGCAGGGGAGGTCACGCACAAACACATGGTCGGCCGGTGCTGGCGGCTCCGGAGACAGTATAGGCCCGGAAGGCGGTAAGGGAAGGACGAGCTGTTCGGACGCCTTGTCGGTGGCGACGGCTGAGCTCAGAGGAACGGCCGAGATGGCAAGGAAGGAGAGCAGAACTTTTGCTGTGACTCTGCCAGCAGACCTGCATCGACCTCTGCTGTCTGGGTGTGATGCAAAGCGATGGGGAGCCATGTCGGTGGCGATGCCCTGACGGCAAGGGGAAACGAGACAGAGGCGAGACCAGGCCGATGAGTATAGACTGGTTCGTCTGGTCGTCTGGTTGTCTGGCTGTTTGCAGTGTGTTGCTTCGCTCCTCTCTCGTCCTTGGTTTGATGACAGGGACCGCAGATAAACAGCAGCAAGAAGCACCAGAGCTGCACGGCAGAGGGAGCGAAGGAAGAAGGATGAATGAATCGTGGCTGTCGGGGGGAATCGCCCGTGACGAGTCGTCAGGTGGACCCTGTTATGACGGCAGAGCAGCGATAACGGGAGAGATTAGACCGCCTCTTGTTGGGCTGGGGCAAAAGGGTGCTGCCTGATAGTGGCCTAGTCTCGGTGCACGTGATGCGCCACTCCCTGCAGCATGCATGGATTGCCATCCGCAGAGTAACGGCTCCAGGATCGAGAGAGATAGCCGAGGTGATGGCCAGCCCCTTTGTGCATGCGGTGAGCTCAGGTTGCACGGTGCAAGAGTCTGCTCGACGCGAACGCGTACGGCACGGAGCTTGTTGTGCGCCGCATGTATCTTATCCTACTCCGTATTACTCCATACCTGATACGCATAGTGCAACTTTATAGGGCACTTCAGCGGACATAGCAGCCAGCAGGCCTGTAGGCAGCTGACACATCCTTGACCCGTCTGGCACCGAGGACGCGCGATTTGGCTTTGTCGTCCCCTCTCCCACCAACCTCCACCGCCAAGTCGAAGAGGAAGAACCGCCATTGGAAGACCGGCATCCCGTGACGCCGCCTCTTCCGTGCCCAACTGCGAGACCCTAGCGCCCCGTGCAGTCCGCAACGTCATCGCCGACGACGTCTGGCTGACACGCAGACCACCTTCAGCACACCTGCAGATCCTCGTTGCTCGCTCCCGCCAGCAGACGGCTGCCTCCGGAACACAGCCACCTTTGCCTTCTCCCGCTGCTCGCCATTGCGTCGACGACTGGCCTCTTGTGCTATACACACATCTGCTCCGGTCTACTCCACTTCTTACTGGCTTCCTCGCTACGGCAGGTCTCACGATCCCTTAAAACTTGATGCGTCTGCCGTCTGGTATGTGCATCCCGCACATCTCCTAGCTGTCCTCTGCCGATCACTGACATGTTCGAAAGCTTGACCGAGACGTTCATGGCGCCAGCCGGCTCCAAGGATGCCGTAGCTGTCGGTAAGCGTCCCAACCCGCTGAAGCCCACCCGTTCGGCCTCACGGTCAGACCTGAAGAACACGTCCGCCTCCTCGCCCATTCGACCCATGCCTCTCGCCCGCTCATATACCACCCCAGTCAAGTCTTCCACGGAGGACAGGGCCACCACACCGACCGAATCGAAGAAGAAGCATAACATGTCGTTTTCCAGGGAGAAGGACAAGGTTGGGTCCTCCGCTTCAGCGGGGCCGGACACGTTCGAAAACGAGGACAGCGATGAGCCACCGGAGCCGCCGAGAGCGTCGGTCGATCTCGACGAGCTGCCCATTGAGCTGATTGGCCTCGCCGACAGGTACGTGTTGCGTTGTCCCCGGGCCTAGCTCATATGACTGACCGTCTTCTCCGCCTCGGCTAGCTTCATCGAGAACCTCCAGGCCAAAGTGCACCCTACTCCACCCAACATTGAGTCTCTTTCGGCCAAGTTCCAGGAATTCTATGGCACCGCCTCCTCCCACATTGCCACACACCTGGCGGCCCTTGCTACACGTCAGAGCCGTGAGCTGGCGCCGGTCGTGGCACACACGCGCCCCTCAGCTGCTAGCATATTGCGGGCCAAGGCTGCCTCGATCGGCGGCCGAGACAAGGCCAAGACCCCACCTCCGGCTCCAGCCAAGTCTGAGTCGGAGCAGCAGATGATCACGGCCGAGGAGCTGGCTGACCGCAAGCGCCAGCGACGGGCCCTAGAAGTGAAGCGGAGCCTGATGGAAGAGGCGGTCGAACGACGGCTCTGCGAGGGCATCTACGACCGCATCTACCGCCACCGGTCGACGCAGGACGAGGCCCAGGACGACAAGCTCCGGTCCAAGACGGCGGCTCTGGACGTGGTCGGCATCGGTCCAGCCGATCTGGGCGTCGACCTGGGCGAGCTGCCCACCTTGCCCGAGGCCTTTGCGGCACGACAGAAGGAGGTCCGACAGTGGCTCGAGCCGGTGCGGAAGGAGATTGTTCGCATGAACTTGACACACTACCCTCTCGGCAAGCTCAATCGGCTCAAGTCGGCGCACAAGGGCATCGTGGACACCTTGGCCCACTTCCATCCGTCGTCATCGGCAGACGAGATCATGCCGATGCTGATCTACGCGCTCATCACGCTGCCGCCCGAGCAGCTCAGCGTGGTGAGCGACCTGAACTTTGTTCAGCGCTTCCGCTGGGAGACCAAGATCGACGGCGAGGCTGCGTACTGTCTGACGAACCTGGAGGCGGCGATCAGCTTTCTGGACACGGTCGACCTGTCGACCCTCCGCGCCGATGAGGCGCCATCGGGGCCGATGAAGGCACCGGGTCCCGAGACGCCCAAGACGGAGACCTTTCCGCCTGCATACTTTGCGACGCAGGGACTGACGGTGTCGCCGGCCACACCGAGCACGCCCGAGGTCAGCGCGGGACAGGCCACGGCAGCCATGGTCGAGCCGTCAGCACCGCCGGACAACGGGCTGCTGACGACGGCAGCGCCGCTGCGCAACCGGCGTCTCAGCGACCTGGTGAACACGCCGGCGGCACAGGCGCTGAGCACGGCGAGTGACGCGGTGTTGAACACGTTCAGCGCAGCCGATCAGGGCCTGAAGACGATCGGGAACAGCCTGGAGGGCAGCTACCGGCTCTTCTTCGGGCGGCTGCAGAAGCAGCAAGAGGGCGGCGTGGCCGGCAAGTCTGGCAGCGGATCCGACGGCGGAAAGGATGGCGGCAGCAGCAGTGGTGGTGGTGCCGAGGGGAACGTGGTCGTGCCCAAGACGCTGGAGGAGGCCCGGAAGCTGATCAGCACGCCGCCGCCAGCGGGCAGCGAGGACGAGGCGTCGCTGAGCGGAGAGGAGCAAAAGGCACCGTCGCCCCAGCAACGGCAGCGGACGTCGTTTCGCCGGTCGATGGGAGCGGGTGGCATGGAAGACAAGCTGCTCACGATTGTGGGCGGGCGCAAGTCGTCGGCGTCACGTGACCACAGTGCCGACAGCGCGCGCAGTGTGGCCAGCTCGCGCCGCGTGACCTTTGTGGACGACGAGGCCGGCAGCATGACAGGCAGCACGACAGGAACAGGAGCAGCAGGAACAGGAGCAGCAGGAACAGGAGCAGCAGGAACAGGAGCAGGGCCAGGGTAACGGGAGCATCCTCGACGACTAACCCGCCCCTGATGGATTCGGTGCGCAGCCTCAGCTCATTCAACCCGATGTCGCGGTTCAGCGGCATCGGCGGGTTTCGGGGCTTTGGAAGGGCAGCGTCGACACCGTCGGTGCCGCAGTCGGCACATCCGGAGAAGGCAGTGGAAGGCGGAGATCTAGCGACGGTGAGTTTTTTTGGGGGGGGGTTCCTTCTGTCCTCCCTTTTATTTTCCTCCTTCCTCTAACTTGATAGGCCTTCCCCGATCTCGCGGCTGCCCTACCTCCCAAGATACAGGTGGCACCACCGGTCAAGCGGTTCATGGAGGTGCACAGCGCGACCGACCTGCGGATCAGCGAGGTGGCCGTGCTGCTGCGCGATTACCAGCGGCTGGCAAACGCGCTCAAGGAGCTGGGCGGCTTCCGGGACGCGTAGGCCACGAGGCTCTAGAGGTTTTTATTATTATCTATATCTTGACTAGAATCGTTTTCCAGAGCATGGGTCATCAGGCGAACGGAGGCACTGGGGGTCTTTCGTATTACTTTTTTTTCTTTCCCTCTCATCCTATTTCTAGCTCCTTTTTTTTTCTGCCTTGCCGTTTGCTAGATCGGGATACACGGGATGCATGCCGGCCGAGCAGGTCAATCGTACGAGTCTTTATTGCATAGCAAAACCATCAATACGCCGGGAAAAGAGCACCAGTGCACGGAAAGGACGTAAGAATAAACCCATTAAGCCGTCAAGGAAGAGAGAATATTACACCAATCGCGCCCAAAAACGGGTTGCCAAAGCCAGCCTCTTGCTTCCTTCGCTCCTTCTGCCTCGGAGCTCCTTCTTTCCTAGCGAGCAAATCTTAACCAAGCTGCAGCTTCGTCTTTGGTGACGTGTGATTGGTGGAGGGAGAAACAGGGAGAGTGAGAGGGAAAAAGGACCATTTTGTTTGAATATGTACCGGAAAGGGAGATGGAGAGACACGGAGGCGGAGATGGAACGGACAGGGCACCGAGACGGCGGACAGACGACAGACGACAGACGACAGACGACAGACTGCAGGACAGGAAAAAAGCAGCGGGCCGCGCTCAGTGGAAGCCGTTTGCGCCAGCCCTTCGTGAGCTCTGGCTGATGGACGATTCTGTGCGGCCGTGCTGCAGTTTCTGGGGTGTCTGGCGGCCGTTGGACCGGGGCGACACGGCGACAGCGACAGCGACAGCCACCGAGGCCGGGCTGTCGTCAATGTCGTCGTCGTCGCCCGAGTCGTAGCTGCCGGTGCCACGGTCGCTGCCGCTGAGGCTGTCGTTGTCGGAATGGCGGACGTTGCCGTTGCCGGCACTTTGGGTTGTCTGTGCTGACTCAGCAGTCGCGTCTCGTCCATCGCGACCGGCCTGGCCCGCAATCATGCGGTCCATAAAGGTGATGTAGTCAAACTGCGGCGTGCCGCGATCCTCGGCCAGGTCCGGACCCTTGTGCGGCGGCATGATGGTGACCAACTTGTCGATCACGTCGTCAGGCACTAGCGAATGGCGCAGGTCCATCTCGGTGACGTAGGGCTTGCCGTCGGCGACCTCGCGGAACGACTGAAAGACCTGCTCGGCCGTGTTCTGATCCTCGGTCACGTCGACCATGAAGCGGATAAACTGCTCAAACGAGACGCGGTCACGGCCAGACGCCGCGGCCACAAAGTATGCGTGCATCTCGTCCTCGGAGAAGACGAGGCCGAGCGAAGCCAGAGCAGCCGAGAACTCGAGCTCCTGCAGTGAGTTGCTGTCGTCGCGGTCAAAGTGCCGGAAGACCGACTCGAACTCCTCCAGCTGGATGGGCGTCAGGTTGGTCATGCTGCGCGCCACGATCTGGTTCTCGAGGAAGACAAGCTTCTTGGAGACGCTGGCCTTGGCCAGGCCCAGCTCGTAGCTCAGCTCGTCGTACGTATACGTCGTAAAGTCGTTCTCCTCAATGTTGGCCTCCTCGCACTGCGCGTCCAAGGCCGCGATCGTGTCGAGATACGCGTCCAGCGGCGGCAGATTGTCCGACAGCTTGCGCACGTGGTGCAGCTGGTCTTCCACGTCGCCCTCCAGCCCTGAGATGGCCAGCTGCACCGTGTTGAGCGCCAGCGCAAAATCGTTGGCCTTGTCGGCAAATGACCGCCGCAGCGCGTTCTTGATGTCGCGGATCGTCTCGTTGATCAGCTGTCCGTGACCCATCTCGGCTGTCGTCAGTGCTGCCCATTCGCGATCCATCACCTCTGGTCGCAACTCGGCCGGTGGTTCGTATGGCCGCAGACGGTATGTTCCCAGCTTCGTCTTGATGTTGCCCAGCAGCGTCGCCAGCTCGCTTCGCTCTGCCACCCACACCCGCTTCTGTCCCCGCTTGTAGCTCGAGAAGGCCGCCGCCTGCGCCTTGGCGTCTGCATATGTCCCCGCAAACGTCGCCGATCGCCAGGCGGCCACTTGTCCGCGCACCTGCGCCAGCAGCGCCGCCATCCGCCGCTCGTATGCACTCTGCATCTCCCACGCACCCTGCATGTTGCTCACAAACTTCTCCACCCGTCGCCCCGCGTTCTCCACCTTCTCCATCTGCGAAAAGGCGTGGAACCAGTACGCAATGTACGTCATCAGACTGCGCTCGTCCGGCTTTGCCACGTCGCATACATCTTCCACGTCCAGCAGCTTTGGGATTCCAATCTCGTCGTGCGCCAGGTCAAACGCCAGCTGCATGTTGCCCCGCCGGTCGTTCTTGTCTAGCGAGTCGTAGTCGATCAGGTCCGGCCGGTGAATGTCCAGCAGAGCGCAGAATGCCAGTCCGTCGCACCAGCTGCTGCTAAAATCCCGCACCTCCACCTCGTCGTAGCACGCCGTCTTGCGCTGGCACCACAGTAGCAGTCCTTCCTTGGCCGTCATGCCCTCCTCGTGAATGTCGCTGATCGTGAACCGCAAAATCAGCGTCCAGATCAGTCCCAGAATGATCTTCCGGTTCCCGTCCACCACGTCCTCTGCCCCGATGTTCGTCATCTGGATTCCTCGCGATTTGATAAAGTTCAGAGCCAAGTTGGCGTTTTCGAACCGCTGCACCCGCAGCTTCGGCTTCGCCGCATACCGTCCCAGCGACTCTGCCGAGAGGCACTCCAGCAGATGGATGAGCATAACCTACACTGTCAGCACGTTTCTCTCCTCTCTCTCCTCTTTCTCCCCTCTCCTTTCTCTTTCTCCTCTCGTCTTTCATCTCTCTCCTCTCCTCTCCTTCTCTCTGTCTCCCCTATCCTCACTCCTCATCCCAGTCTTACCCCGTCACTCAAATCCGTCACCAGATCCTTCACCTCCAACCGCCGCTCTGCAATCTTCGTGTTGAGCCATTTCGTAAATGTCTTCTGCTGCACCTTGATCCACCGCTGTTCGAGATGCGCCATCATGACGTCGTGACCACCACGGTCGTTATTCTCGATCTCGCTTTCAGTCTCGTGCACGCTCGCTTCCTAGGGCCACACTTGCCGAGCCGAACCGCTGCAGTCGGCCAGCATGCAGCTGCTGTTGCGTGACGTCGGCTACGGGTCAGCGGCGGCTGCTGCTGTCGTTGCTGTCGTTGTCGTCCCGAACGAGAGACGGAAGCGGTGGGGAACGAAAGACGAGAATCGATGCTGGGAGTCGGTCACGTTCCGGTCCTGTGCTGCTAAAGATGGAGACGGGGTGGTGACGAGCGTTAATCGGCGACGTTTGCAGACGATTGTGTGTGCGAGAGAGTGTGTGTGGAAGAGAACGCTGGGGGATGGGGGAGACCGGTTGGGCCGCGATGGGAAGATGAAGGTGATGAGGCTGCTTTCCCCTTCAGGCGGCGGCCCTTAGCTCGCCCCTCCAAAAGACTGGTTGGCGGCGTAAACAACAGTGGACGCACCGTTGCCAGAGACGCTTTTGGCGCCTTCGGCAGCAGCCATTGGCGTTGGAGGGGTAGCATCAACCGCTACATTCCACCGCAGTAGTCCACTATTAGTGCCATAACAGAGGGGGCAATTTGGTCTAGGTGCCGATTTCAGAAGCTTGCCACTTTAGCGGTCGGATATTAGCTCTCTCCGAGCGGGGCTCGCGTAATATTGCAATAGGATCTTATAAATAGCAAAATAGTCATAAAGCTCTGATGAAAAAACAACGAGCGGAATGGATCGAATGGAGAGCAAAAGTGGTAGACCCTCCTGCGAGCAGTGCAGCGCACGGACAATGCCATGGCCAGCCTACAGGTACGGGGTACTCCGTACGTCCCAAGAAGCCAAGAAGGAGACCAGATTGCTCTCGTATTTCCGGGCCTCGTAAGATCTTGCATACAAGTATTTGCTGGTTGCAGAGTGGACCAGTCACAGTCGCCATCGTCTCGGGGTTGCGTTACTTTGTAGGATTGGCAAACCGCGCCATGGCCATCCCCCGGTCTCTGTTGGTCCAGTATTGTCCGCCTGTTCCGCCGTCGTCGTTTTGTTCCTGTCAGCCCATCTGGCCCATTGGCCGTGTGCCTTGCATGGTGTCCGACGATCGCATCAAATCTAGACGAGGCTGAGAGATCGTTTGTCGGTTTGGAAACCTTTAAGAGGGTGCGTAGGAATGTCTTGTTTTTGCCAATATCTCTGTCCAGGCAATCGCCTCTGAGATCTGTCTATGCTCAAAAAGGTCTGGCTGTTCGCTCTTTATGAAAACAGACATCTGACCAGACATATCAAATTCATGCAGTCATCATAGACCGCAACCATCCAAAAGTCAAAAGCGGATGTCTTGGTTGTGCACGCCGCCCCTAATTGTCTCGGCGTCGATGGCCTTCATACTGGCATAGCCAACACCATCGATCGCATCCTCGTCTTGCAAGTCGTCGCATTTCACGCCTTGACGCATGTCCTCTAGGTAGCCGGCGATAACGGCAGCCGTCTCCAGGGCCGTCGTCATTGTCGTGTCGACATGAAGCCCCCTGAACTGAAAATTGGGCACCGAGGTAGAAGACGAACCCACGCTCGTTTTGCGGCGATGGGCTGGAAATAGGACTGGCAACCACTTGTTTTCCTCTGCGTCCATTGCCTCAATTCTCGTTCGCAGCCTCACCAGCAGCTCGTTCGGAAACCTGTCCGGCGTCTCATCCACTAATTCTCTCTCCTTGCCTTTGCCCTTATCCTTCCTATTTTCCCACAATTTCTCGGGTTTGGGTCTTATAACACGGCCCATAGCCCGGCGATGAAGCCGGTCCATGTGCTGGTCCAAGGAGCATGTCAAATAAATATGGACAAATGGCCGACCCGAAGCGCAGGCGGCGCCTCTATAATGCTGCACCGTTTCCGCGCTTTCTTTTGAGAAGAGCAGGCAATCGCTGATGATGACTGTCTTGTTCTCATGATTTTCAGAAATTACATGATCCAAAAGGGCCTGGTTTCGGATCGTCCGCATCTTCTCCAGGAACTCGGCTTTGGTTTCAGTGCTAGGCCACAAGGCCTGATGCTCGCAGCTCTTGTCAGTGTTGGTGTTGGTTTTAAATATGACATTGCCCGCAATTCTCCTGACGCTTGGTTTGGGGATCCCGTTGACTGTTGTATTATAAATCTCGTTCATATGAAGCACCACAGTGCAGCCGTCCGTCTGAGTTTCCGTCGCACTCTCAGCTGGCCTCGCGAGTCGTCTACCACTCCTTGCCATACGGGCCTTATATCGGTTGCCAAGTATGTAGGCCAGATCGCGAGCCACAGCCGACTTTCCCACAATAAAGCTGCCGTTAAGCAAGATAAGAGGGCAACCTGCGACCTTGACTCGACACTTGTTGTCAGCGACACGAGGGTTGTAAACTAAACGCGTAAGATTTCCAAAGATGCTAAGACCTCCTTCCGGGGTTTTCGCTGGCTGTTTTGCCCTCATCTGCTCCATCCATCGCTTCCAAGACGGGAATGTCGGAAGTGTCAAATACCGAATTCGTGGTGTCGCTAATTGCATCATGGTAGTTAGGTAAGGTCGCGCCCAACTGCCTGGAGCGCCTTGGTCTTTGGGAGTTGGTTCTTGCCCCTTGGAAGTCGAAGAAAGATCAGTGCCTTCGGACGATACGATTTCAAACTCTACACCATCTGGTCGACTCGGGTCAGCCGGTGAGCACGCGTCAGACATTGTGGAAGGCAGCTTGTCTCTTTTTCGACTTTCGTTCTGTCGTGCTCGTTTGGTTATCCTTTTCTTCCATGAGGTGGCTGCCATCTAATAAATAGTCTCGTGTATAACTGGAGCAAGACTGTCGAAATGGAAGTAAGCTGTCACAGAATAAAGACAGTGGGGACTGGAAGGGAAGCTTTCAAATCAAGATTTCAGGAGTGGCGACGGAGACGAGAAAGAAGAAGACGGGCTGATTGAATAAAAACAGAAGGGACACAGTCATCACGGGTAGGTCAAAGTCAGTGAACAGGGGATGGCAATTTTTGAGGTGAAGTTTCTGTCTTGTCATCAGGCTCTCGCTTCCTAAGCCTCATCTAATACTGTGCAACGTCCATCCACTGTCTGCTCTGCATCATGTTCGCGATATCTTGGCCTCTAATGGCAAGACGGTTTCGAAAGGCGCCACACCATAGTAGCTCAAAAGTGCCGTCGCCAGACGAGGCATTGATGTCCCGGTAGTAGGCCTCTACGATGAAGAGCGGTACCGTCAACAAATCTGGCTGTACAGTAGAAGCCAGGGCAAAGTCCAGGCTGCGACACACGCTTGCCGAAAGATCCATCACGTTGTTGGCACTGTATTTCGAGGGATCCGGAATGTACAGGTTGGGTGGCAAATCGGGAAACGTAGAGGGAAGGGCATCGAGTACGGGCTGAAAAAGGGTGGCATAGAGGCATTCGATGCACGGGTAGAGCAGCACCAGCGTGGCCCAGTAGGTCACAAACATGATAGCTGTGGTGGAATCACGAAAGGCGATCGTGTCTGTAAAAGGCATCACACCATCCATGTTGCCAGCGTGGCTCTGCCAGACACTCGGCCCATATCCGACCCCCCCACCCTCTTGTATATTGCGGCGCCACTGGTGCAGGTTGTGTTCGACGCGAAGACACTTTCCCAACAGATTCTGGGCCATCATGCGCCGTTCTATGGTCGGAGGGTGAGGTGCGATCTGATCGGTCTGGCCTAGGATGGCAGGGACTTGTGCTACAATATCCAAGAGCTGATCGAACCACGCCTTAGGATGCACTTCCCACGGCCCATCCATCCATTCTTGTTCTAAAAGGAAGGTATCCGTACGGCTGAGTAAGGCAGAAAATATCTAATAGCAAACAAAGGAGGTCAGTCTCTGTTGTCTTACGCAAAAGGACAGAACACGTACTGCCGTCGGTCGATACACGCGCACGAAAAAGTGACGGGCTGGAAACGTCGTAAATCGGCTTGGTCCTTGATGTTGTATGCTTGGTAATTGCATCGCCAATTCATCCCAGATGGGTAACGTGCTTGTGGAAATAGAAGAGTTATGCTGCGAAGTCAGGATCAGTATTTTTGGTTTCCCTATTGTTCGCTCCTTCCATTTGACTTTTTGCTTCTGTTTTTTCGCCCTATCGCCCTTCCCCTCCTTGTTCCTTAACATTTTTCCTCTCGTATCTTCCGTCACATCGTCTTACCTCGTAGAGTAGCATACAGACATTGTCTGCTGTCGTTGAATCGAATCCGAAACCTGTATTTCCACCAAGGGCAGCAGGCGATGACAAGTGCACCATACATTGTGAATGAAGCTGAAAGTCGGACCCATGCAATGTCTGCTGGACGTCCGCAGGAAAATAATGCGGCATAGCCGAGAAGACAAAGGAGCTGCTACTGTCTGGATCTTCGACTACCGTTTGTTGAAGGAGAGAATGGACGCGTGTCTCGAGGGCGGCAATCGAAGTGGTATACGCAATTCCTCCACCCAGAAGGGTAATGCTGTTATCCCATGCCGGGCGGGGTGGGTGAACAGGCACCAGGCCGTGTTGATCATACACAGGGAAAGGAGAAGTCTCGGAGGCTGTCTGTCGAGATGATCTCGGCTGTTTCGAGGACGAAGGCGATGTCGATGAAGATCCCGGACTGGATGTTGTGCTGGTAGCAGAGCCCTTGTGTTGGCTGCTGCTAGAGCCTTTCTTCATCTTGATAACCCGCGGCGGATGGGACGAACAGCGACCTCCGTCCTCCTGTGTTCCGACGATAAAAACTGTCTCTCGCTCGTAGCCGGCGCAGTCCCTACCGGTGTCGACACACTTCTTGCAAAACGGGCGCGCATTGTCACACTGGGCAGTTAGAAATCAGGAGGGGAGGCGAACAGAAACTAGCCTGCGGCTGTTCCCTGTTTTTCAAACACATACCTTGACTCTCCACATCCTGCAGGTTTCGCAGCCTTTAAACTTCCCAGGAACGCCAACCATGATTGGAATCGGATAATTTTTGTGGTACTCTTCAAGTGCGGTACTCTGTATCTGTGCAGCGGTCTAGCCAAAAGGGAGGTCATGAAAGGGTGATTGGACTGTGGCATGGAAAGAATGAAGGCTATAGCAGGGCGAGCAGAGAGAAAAGGAGGTGCAGAGGAAAAAGACTTATATACGAAAAGGACGCTGTGTAGACTATGCATCACCCGATGATACGGATGCTTTCTTCATATTTCCAAGGGTTAGTGTGTAAGTCAGAGCCGCAAGCGACAGGTATGAAAATTGAGACACGAGATTAGGAGAAAAGGGAAAAAAGAAAGCAAAATATGATGTCAAGTTCAGCTATGGCAAGCCCGAAGGATCGGGGACAGGACCGTAGATTTTGCAGGTCATCACGGGCTGCCAATAAGAGGAAGGAGTGTAAACCGGGCAAAGTGGAGAGATAAGGATTTGAAATTGACGCCGAGAACTCGATCCCGGAGGAAGCCAGGATTTGTCCTGTCTCCTACCGTAGTTGCAAGCATGGAGCTACTAAACAGGCGGGATTGTATTGTCTTTTTGGTACGTTACAGAACAGGGCGAGACAGGACAGAGCAGGACTGGATGGGTTGGGCGAATGGGGGCGGGCTGACGCAGAGGGACAGAAGCCGAAGGAGCAGCACATGCTAGCTGTTCAGACTTTTGAGTGGCGGTACTTGATCGACGATTCTGTATCCGGACAGACTCAACGGCTAGACGAGCCGTTCTCCTGGAAGGAACGAGCACACTCTCCCGAGAGACGCTACGGATGCAAGCATGGAAGCGAGACAGTAGGTATCCTCTACGCTTGACTAACCCCTGAAAATCCGTTTATCCAGTTCGGGCCCTGTTCTAGAAGCCTGCTTTTTTGTTCTAGAACAGACGGCGACAGGGCGGCCGCAGGAGACGGTAAAAGTACACGTGCGAGTGTGAGACTCTCATGTAGCCACAGCAGAAGCACAACGCGCGTAAAAGGGGGGCCAGCAGCATCCGTAGCGTCCAGTTGCCGCTACATGGCAGGTCGTTCGGGTGTCCTCTGCTGCAGCGGTCTGCCACCCTTGAGCCGGCTGACGGCAGCTTTCCGATCGCCACGATTGCAAGATGGAAAAGCAAGAAGGGAGACAAGCTCTCAGAGGCGGAAGTGAAAATGACTCCCGTTGGGGAGACCGTCTGTAGGCTGCTTTTTTCCACAGTAAGGAAGCGATGGAAGAGAGGCAGGCGATAGAGGTTGCGAACTAGCAGGACGACCAGGAGCAAGCACTCCACCGCAGGGCTGGATGGGTGGAGTTGGAGAGGAGGGCCAAAGAGGAGAACGACTTGACAGGATGCCGAAAAGGGCCATCCTCTTCTGAAGGATGGAGTAGTTGATTGGAAGGATGTGCTCAGCCGATGCATCGGTATATGGGGCAAGGCGCAATTCACCGTTACCCGGGCCAGGCAGGCTCGTAGGGCTGCAGAACGACAAGGGGGTCCGTGGCTGATCTGAGCAATCGCTCGAATCCTTCAGTGTTAGTGCCAGTCTGCCCCACTTTGAGGCGTCTTATTGGCTGCGCCTGCAAAACCCACTGTTCCTGCTTCCTGCTCGAACTAAAAGAGTCACGGGAACGACGGACGGGCCCCAATCGGGACGCAGCGACGAGCTTGACCCAATCGAGCAGCTTTTTTTGATGGACGGGCATCGTCACCGGCTTCTGACGCCGCAGCAGGACCGGTGGGTTGACAAATGTGCCACCCCGGTTGTCTTGCCTCTTTCGTACCTTATTCCGCTTTCTCTTGCTCTTTTCTACTCATGCCTCTCTTCCTTGTCGATTGCCACAAATTTCTTCCCTACTTCTTTCCTTTTCTTTGTTCTTCCCATTTCTCCTCTAGGCCTCGTCTGATACTTTTCAGTCAGTCAATTAGACAACACTTCATCTGCATATGTGACAAAGCCTATTCGGTGCAGCTGGCGCATTAACCCAGCAGCGGGTCCTGTCGCTGCTTTATCCTTTATCCCCCAGTATGACGCCACATGTGCATCTTGCTGCGGCCTTGCGTTACATGTTGACTTTTCCGATTCTTGCCGCCTTCTTTGGCCTGCCTCACACCACAATTATGCCCACTTGCTATTTGCATAGACCTTTACGGCACCAGTGCTCAATCACAGAAAAACTTGTTATGTTCATCGCCGGGTCCGGCCCTGTCCACATCGACCTGTCTTAAAGACCAATTGCCATGCAAACAAACAGCTCCTTGCCTGTGTGGGATAAGCCGCAACTCGACATGTGTGTAAGGAAACCGAAAAGGAGTAACAAAAAACACAGGAGGCCACATGCCAAAGCCCACACCACTGCCTTGCTTCTATATTACGGTTCCTGGTCCGACCTCCATATTGTCTCCGAGACTATCGTTTAGATGCCCAGAGTAAATTCGACGCTGACGTCAATATCACGAGCTGTTACTGGTTAGCATGTGGATAGATGGGAAATAGTGAATAGGAATCAAGCCTGAGGGGGGAATAAAACTCACCCATCTTCACAACCTTGGACAGCTGCACGGCCTTCTCGGCAGCGCTCTGCAGGTCGTCGATGGAGAAGATCTTGAGGCCAGACTCGTTGATGATCTGGTGTGCCTGCTCAACGTTGGTGCCCTGCAGACGGGTGATGATGGGAATGCGCAGGTTCAGCGTCTCGACCGTGTTGATCAGGCCATGCGCAATGGCGTCGCAGCGCACGATGCCGCCAAAAATGTTCACAAAGACGGCCGTGACGTTCTGCTCGCTGGTGATGAGCTCAAAAGCCTCCTTGATGGCGGCCGGGGTGGCGCCACCGCCAACATCGAGGAAGTTGGCTGGGTTGCCGCCGTTCAGCTTGATGATGTCCATAGTGGCCATGGCCAGGCCAGCACCGTTGACGAGGCAGCCAATGTCGCCGTCCAGCTTGATAAAGTTGAGGTTCGACTTGGCCGCCCGCACCTCCTCGGCGTCTTCCTGGCTGGTGTCGCGCCAGCTGAACACCTCTTCCTGCCGGTACGCCGCATTGTCGTCAAAGTTGAACTTGGCGTCCATGCACATGACCTTGTGGTCCGACGTCTCGGACAGGGGGTTGATCTCGATCTGTGTCGCGTCCTTCTCCTTGAAGATCTGGTACAGCTTCTGGATCGTGTCTTTGCCATCCTCGACGCACTGCTCGCTGAAGCCCAGCTTGACCGCGATGTCGCGCGCAATTTCGTCCGTCACACCCGTCTCGATGTCAATGTACGTCGAGTTGATGGCCTCGGGGTTCTCCTTGGCCACCGCCTCAATGTCCATGCCGCCTTGCGACGACGACACAATCACCGGCTTCTGCGTCGCCCGGTCCATCAGGATCGCCAGGTAGAACTCGCGCCGCGCAAACTTGCGCTCGCAGATGTACACCGCGTTGCACAGCCGCCCGCCGGCGCCCGTCTGCTTGGTGATCAGCTTGTGACCGATCATCTGCTCCGCGAACATCTTGGCCTCCGTCGGCGAATAGATGACGCGTACGCCGCCCTTGAGCCCATTGTCAAACGTGCCCTTGCCGCGACCGCCGGCCAGCACCTGCGCCTTGATCACGAGGTCGCCGTTGCTGATATTCTTCGCCACCTCCTCGGCCTCAGCTCCGGTGCGCGCCACTGCGCCGTCCGGAATCTGGATGCCATACTGCACACCGAAGACGAAGACAATTAGTTGCGTTGATCAGGTGCGCCATACTCGGAAAGCTCGGGTAGATATCTCGTGTTGTGGGGAAGACGGGGTCGTAAGATACCTTGCGCATCAAATCCGCAGACTGATGCTCGTGGATGCTGAGAGCTCTCCGCTGCTGGGAAAGACCAGGAAGGCGGGAGATCGAGGTGGGCTGTGGATGTCGGTTCGTCAGTCGCAAGATCTGTTTCAATGCGCCCTTTTTGGGGTCTCTCGTCTGGTCGGACCATCAAGGAAAAACGCGGGGTATAGCTTGGAACAATTGGGACTGAGACGACTGGAGACAAACAGGACGACATACCCTGACGGCAGTAATGGCCGAAGCCACAGCCCGGCTGCGTCCTAATTTGAACATGATGGCAACGGTGGGTATTGCTTGAGCTGCGCGAGTGACGAAAACAGGTGTTTGGGGAGGTAAGGCCGGATGATGTTCGTTGATAATAGCTGTTGCTTTTCACTCGGCACTGAAATGTCGGCTGTCGGAGAAGGTAGGGAAATGCCGCTTTGTTGGGCGGAGCTGGCTCACCGCCCAATGCCAGTGAAACGCACCTGCTATATCGGTTTGAGCTCACCCTTTTTTTTTCTGCCACTTGGGGCCTGTTTTTATCGTTTTTTTGTTCGGGGAAACTGCCGTGAGCAATCCCGTACAGCTGCGGGATAAACGTATCTTCCGTCCTGGCCATTCTCTGGTTAATATTAGCATGACAATAAGTGCTATTATACTACCGGACTGCTGAGGGTTATTTCGGGCCCTGCTGTCCCGATACTTTGCTGTACCTCGGCACCAGTATATTTTAGAAGCAATCGTTCCGATGCGAAGTAGATGTTTGTACTCCGTATCGACTCCCGCTTCACATGCTCACACACCTGCACACTGTTCACATCGTCATTTCTTCACTACGAACCGAATACTGCTGTATGGGGTTTTGTCCCTTTTTGTCCCTTTTCTGTAAAACTTGTCTACTTTTTAGATGTACTTGTACGGGTTCAGGATGCCGTTCTACAATAGTCAGCAAAAAAACGTCGATATGAACACCGAAGGTGGCCTTGCAAATGACCACCAGGAAGCGCTTTACTCACCGGGTCGTAAGTGTTCTTAATCTGCTTCATCAGCCCGACCGTCGTCGCATTGCGGCTGTACCCGATGTACTTCTTCTTCGCCAGCCCAAGGCCATGCTCGGCGCTGATGCTGCCCTGCCGCTTCGAGACCCACTCATAGACAAACGGCTCGAGGGCCTGTTCGACCTTCTTGTCGTATCCGCGCACGGCGATGTTGAGGTGCAGGTTCTGGTCGCCCATGTGGCCGTAGCCGACTACCTGCGCGGCCGGGAAGTCGTTGGTGTCGCCGATGAGACCGGCGCCCTCCAGCTGCGTCCGCGTGTCGTCCACGAGCTGATACAGCTCGGCCAGTGGGATCGACAGGTCGTACTTGTACACGCCACCGAGGTGGCCCAGACACTCCGTGATGCCCTCGCGCCACGTCCACAGCTCCTTCACCTGGGTCTCGTCCTGCGCCAGCACGCCGTCCTCCACAATCTCCTCGCCCAGGACGTCCTCCAGGAAGGCCTCCAGCTTGGCCATATCGTGCTCGGCGTTGGAGCCGCTCGTCTCAATCAGGCAGTAAAACGCATGCTCGCCCTCGAGCGGCCGCCGCTTCTCAGGCCGCACCGTGCGCACAATCTGCTGGCTGCCCGCGTCCATGAGCTCAAAGGCCGACAGGATCTCGGACAGCTGCGACTTGGCCTTGCGGAACGCCTGCTGCACCTTGTCGTACGACGACAAGCCCAAGAAGGCCACATTGACCGCCTGCGGCCGCTGCGGGCACTGGATCGACACGCCCGTCACCACGCCCAGCGTGCCTTCAGCGCCGATGAACAGCTGTTTCAGGTCGTAACCAGTGTTGTTCTTGCGCAGCTTGCTGAGGTCCTCCAGCACCGTGCCGTCCGGCAGCACCACCTCAAGGCCGAGCACGCTGCCGTGCAGGCTGCCATACCGCAGCAGCCGCAGGCCGCCCGCGTTGGTCGAGATGTTGCCGCCAATGTGGCACGAGCCCTTGGCACCCAGGTCCAGCGGGAAGAGATAGCCGCGCTCGGCCAGGTAGTTGTCGACGATCTCCAGCACGCAGCCGGCGTCCGCCACGAGCGTGCCGCTGACGTCGTCAAACGACCGGATGGTCTGCATCCGGCCCATGCTCAGAACGATCTCGTCAAACACTGGCACTGACCCGCCCACGAGGCCCGTGTTACCGCCCTGGGGCACCACCGCCAGCCGCTCGTCGTTGCAGAACTTTAGAATCTTGCTAACCTCCGACGTCGAGCCGGGCCGCAGCACCAGCTGGCTGTGCCCGCGGTACTTGCGCATCCAGTCGCCGTTGAACGCCTCCACCTCGTCCTGCAGCGCTGGATTCGTCACCGCATCGATGACCGCATTCTCACCCAGGAGCTCCTTGAAGAAGGCAATGTGCTCCTTGGTGATGTGTGCGAACCGAGGATCGCGCTGCAGACCAGGGTACTTCTCAGACGTGGGTGTGATGTCCGAACGGCGAGGCCGCGTCGCCCCCAGCGCCCGCACAGCCGTGGTCGACAAGAATTGCACCGCAGGCACCGCTGCTCTCACTGCTTGCCGGTATGCATTCGGCCTTTTGACGACCGGCGTAGAGAGCCTTCGGAGTGCAATCCGGAGCTGTTGTCTAGACGCCATGGTAAGTTTTTGAAGGCAATTACAGACGAACGCTCCCACTTTGCCTCACAATCCAAATCCAAGGATCTCGCAGTTGGGGAGAAGAAAGGAAGCCGGCACCGGATATCTGGTTGAGGCAGACAGCCCTCTACAACTAGTTAATTTTTCTGATCTATACATGCTTACAGGTGGAAACCGGGCCGGTCTGTAATAACTTAGAGCACGTTTCAGTCACGTGGCTCGGCGAGGCGTACGAGTGCCCAAAGGGCGGTTCCACTTAGCCAATCACAGTAAGCGTTCCGCTACAGCTTCGTCACAGCTTTTGCAGCCTGGATGCGTTAGTGGTTGCGAGCAACTCTTGTCACCAAACGCGCAACGGGAGTCAAGTTCTGGCTCATCTCGCTTTCGCAGCAACGCCCTCTGCGCAACAAAGGCGACGGTTATTCCCGCTACCTCGGATACTCCACGGCCTTCCATCGCAACCACTTTGCTCACCCCAGGTCTCTGTCCCTCATCAGAGCTGTTCGATTTGATACCTCTTAGCAATCATGGCTTCGGGATACGACAGAGCTCTGTCTGGTAAGCCACTTTCTTAGTTGCGTGCCACGCTTGCACACTGCAACTAGGCATTCTTATGTGACGCATACTAACATTGCTCTCCATTTCAGTCTTCAGGTTCGTGCTTCATTACCACAGCACTCGCAATATCCTTGGCTCCGTTCGATATCCATCCAGCTCTATCTAACTTCTTTCAGTCCGGATGGACATGTGTTTCAGGTTGAGTACGCCGGAGAGGCAGTAAAGAGAGGTAGGGAGAGTCTACAATCTGGATAATCGCAAACTCTAGGAGTAGAAACATGCGACCAGACTGACACATGTGCTAGGAACGTGCGCTGTCGGCGTCAAAGGCAGTGATGTGGTTGTGCTCGGCTGCGAGAAGCGGTCTGCGATGAAGCTGCAAGACACCCGTATCACGCCATCCAAAATCGGTCTGCTCGACAGGCATGCTTGCTTGGCCTTTGCCGGCCTCAACGCCGATGCACGCATTCTACTCGACAAGGCTCGGTTAGAGGCTCAGTCACACCGTCTTACCGTCGAAGACCCCGTCACCATCGAGTACATTACCAAATACATCGCCGGTGTGCAGCAGCGGTACACACAGAGTGGTGGTGTGCGGCCATTCGGCATCAGCACGCTTATTGTTGGTTTCGACAAGGGAAGCAATGTGCCACGTCTCTATCAGACGGAGCCGTCCGGCATCTACTCCGCATGGTAAGCACTGTTTGTTCAGATGTTGGGGAATTGTACACGGGGGTTTCCTACTAACGATTACTAGGAGGGCAAATGCAATTGGCCGGTCGAGCAAGACTGTACGCGAGTTTCTGGAGCGCAACTACAAGGAGGACATGGACCGTGAGCAGACTATCCAGCTGGCTATCAAGTCCCTGCTAGAAGTGGTGCAGACTGGCGCAAAGAACATTGAAATTGCCATTATGGCTCCTGGCAAGGATCTAGAGATGCTTCCGGTTGAGGATATTGAGAACTTTGTCAAGAACATCGAGCAGGAGAAGCTGGAGGAGGCAGCCAAAAAGAAGTCTGGCCGGACTCCGGGTACAGGGAGCGCAGCCATTCTCACACGAGGGGCAGCAGAGTCTGAGGATGCATAGACAGATGAGTCGCGGGTGTCCGTCTATGACCGGCTAGACTTCACATAGGGGTTGGTAGTGGAAGACATTGGCCCCCATATACTCTTTGTCTGGCAGCTCAAAGACGGTATCACGCGAACATGTAATCGTATGTCATTTGCCTTATTTACGTACAAAGAAACGTCATGCAACGCCTTGCGATAGTCATTCTATCATGTTCTATCATGTTTTTTTGTTATGTACAGAGCGGCCTCGTAAATGATAGACCGAGCAATCCGGACGCCTGGCTGCAGTTCCTTCTCATCATGCCGTCTTGAACTCTCAACCAAGTTTGTCGGCGTCCAGGTCTGGGTCGAAAATGTCGCGAAACTGCTGGGCTTTGACGCGATCGTCCTTTATCATACGGTTGTCGATCCGCACATCGCCGCCCTCCACCGTTATTGCCGCCTTTGGTGTAATTGCGTCAAGAACATAATGGTTGTCGCAGTGTGGACAGTACTCATCAGAATCTTCGAATTCGCGGGCGTCCTTGCGGAAGCATTTTTTGCACTTCTTGCAAGCAAAGACCATCTCGAATCGCTGCATCAGAGGGTGGTCCTCCTGCTCACGATGGCATTCGACACAATCGAACCATTTGTGGCCTGGTTTCAGGCGAATCAAGCGTTAGCATACATGTTCGTTTCAATGACAGAAGTGCAGCCCGTCATAGCAAGTGATAGGGTGACGAACAGCAGGGCGACCGGATGGAGACCTGGGCGTTGAGAACGTGTTTACTGAGAAGGCCCTAAGTCAGATCTCTGTTTGCCGAGGCTTGGAGCCCTAGGATAGTCATACCACATGGCTGGCGCTTCAGCTATCGCGAGTGTACGTTTGTGTCGAAATCGATTAGACAGAAGAGGACTTCGGTGTCTTATGGTGATACGCTGAACACTAATGCTGCGGGGTCGCAAAGGTAAATGACTAATTGGGTTTTGACGGCTGATACCGCGAACACGTCGCGTAACAAATTTATAGATACATTAATATGGGGCTTTCTAGGCCACATACTAAGCTCAAGTTCACGCAGTGTATGTTTTCCGATATCTTACGACCATGATACTTAAATCTGGTATCGATATACATGATATTTTGTGTGACTATAGCGTTCCTGCGATTAGTAATATTTCTGAGGCGTAGGAATAAGGTTGTTCATGGCGGTACGGAGTACTCCGTATGCAAAAGATATACGAGTGTATGTCGCACTATTAATTCGCCGATCCGGTCAAACACATAATGGTAATACAGCCTCGCCACACCTAGTACGAACGAGCACTTCACCAAACTCGACAAATGACCAGTTCCATTCTCGCTGACAAGATTTTGTCAAGTGGACGCTCCTTGCCGAACCGTCTGCGATCGAACCTCGGCCTGTGCTCAAGCTGAGAGCTAGGAACGAGCGAGAAAATAGGAGAGGCTGAGTGAGGCCACGGCAAGATCGCAGCCGCCATGGCACCGAAAAGAAAGGCACCACCAGGGTCCGCGAAGGTGGTAGCCTCGAAGAGTGGGAAACTGTCCGACACAGCAACTCCTGGGCCCGGAACGCCTCGCAGTGTTGCCAGCTCGGGGCAATACTCCGACGACGACCCTCTCAGCGAGACAGAAGAAGAGAATCTCGATAAGGCTGTGCACAAATTCAGCCTTGACAACATCCCAACAAGTCGTCCCAGCCATCTGGATGCAGCATCCCGCTTCTTTGGTAACCGGGACTTCTCGTTTCTGCAACTCAAGCCTGACCACCACAACCGACCCTTGTGGATGGACCCGGAACTAGGCTTCATCATACTCGAAAGCTTCCACCCGCTTGCACCGCCAGCCCAGGACTTTTTGATCACCATCGCCGAACCTATCTCGCGACCGACTTTTCTCCACGAGTACCGATTGACGATGCACAGTCTATACGCCGCCGTGTCAGTCGGCCTGAACCCGTTGGATATCATCAATACGCTGAACAGGTTCCTCAAAACGCCTGTGCCGGACGGTGTACGGGATTTCATTATCCGAACTACAGATAGCTACGGCAAGGTCAAGCTGGTGCTGAAAAACACAAAGTACTTTGTTGAAAGCAATGACCCTGCCATCCTGCAAAAACTACTCAAAGACCCTGTGATCGGCCCGCTGCGGGTGCACGAAACCGAGGAGATCTCGACAACAATGGCTCCCAAGATGAACGGGCTTGTAATTCCGGGTACAAAGAATGCGGCTGGTGTTCGTCAAGCGAAGGATCTACAGAAAGGGGCTCCGGAAAAAAGCACAGGTGGTGTGGAAGAGACGCCAGGAGACAGCGCCCCAAGGGCTGGTGCTATTGGCGACGATATGTTTGCAGTTCTGAACGAAGAGGAAGATGCGGACGACGACGATAAGGACGCCGTCCACGCATTCGAGGTGAAAGACCAGGGCATCGAGGTAGTTCAGAAGCGGTGTCTTGACCTAGGCTACCCAGTTCTCGAGGAGTACGACTTCCGCAACGACGAGGTGAATGCCAATCTGGACATCGACTTGAAACCGAACACGCAAATCCGGCCGTATCAAGAGAAGAGTCTGAGTAAGATGTTCGGAAACGGTCGGGCAAAGAGTGGTATCATCGTGCTGCCGTGTGGCGCAGGAAAGACGCTCGTGGGGATCACTGCAGCCTGTACCATCAAGAAAGGCGTGATCGTGCTATGCACAAGCTCTATGTCGGTGGTACAATGGCGGCAAGAATTTCTTAAATGGTCCAACATCAACCCCGACGATATCGCAGTTTTTACGTCTGACAACAAGTCCATGTTCACGGGCAATACGGGCATTATTGTGACGACATATTCCATGGTGACGCAGACACGTGAGCGGTCACACGACGCCAAGAAGATGATGGACTTCCTGGAAGGGCGAGAGTGGGGAATGATGCTGCTGGATGAGGTGCATGTGGTGCCAGCCAACATCTTCCGAAAGGTGACATCAAACCTCAAGACGCACTCAAAGCTGGGGCTGACGGCAACGCTCCTTCGTGAAGACGACAAGATCTCTGATCTCAACTTTCTAATTGGGCCCAAACTCTATGAGGCAAACTGGATGGAGCTTTCGCAGCAGGGTCACATCGCAAGGGTGCAGTGTGCAGAGGTTTGGTGCCCGATGACGACGGAATTTTACGAAGAGTACCTGAAGTCGTCTAGCCGGACAAAACAGGCGCTCTATGTTATGAACCCGCGCAAGTTCCAGGCCTGTCAATACCTGATCAACTACCACGAGTCGCGCGGAGACAAGATCATTGTGTTCTCGGACGATGTCTTCGCGTTGACAAAGTATGCGACCAAGCTTGGTAAGGCATGCATTTATGGTGCGACGAGCCAGAGCGAGCGACTTCGGATTCTAGAGAATTTCCAGCACAACGCCAGCATCAACACGCTGTTCTTGTCCAAGATTGGTGACACGTCGCTAGACCTGCCTGAGGCTACGTGTCTGATCCAGATCTCCTCCCACTACGGGTCTCGAAGACAGGAGGCACAGCGGCTGGGCCGCATCTTACGAGCGAAGCGCCGCAATGACGAGGGGTTTAATGCCTTTTTCTATTCATTGGTCTCAAAAGACACACAGGAGATGTTTTACTCGTCCAAGCGACAGGCTTTTCTTGTGGATCAGGGATACGCCTTTAAGGTGATCACGCAGCTGCAGGACATTGAGAAAACGCCGGGGCTGGCGTTTGCCACGGCCCGCGAGCGGCGGGAGCTGCTCCAGGAGGTGTTGGTGGAGCGGGAAAAGCTGATGGAAGACAAGGTGGACGATGATGACTTATGGGAGAAGACCAAGGGTCGGTCGATGAAGCGGATGCCTGTGGCACGGCGGACTGCCGGCACTCTGGGCGAGCTGAGCGGCGGACAGGATATGGCGTACATTGAGCAGAACAAGTCGGTGAACAAGATGCTCAAGAAGGCGGGCAAAAAGGGAGAGAGCAATGCCTTCTTCAAGAAGTTGCAGCGAGAGAAAGACCGGCGAAAGCACCAGGACGACGAGCCACAGTAGCAGCCGTCTGCAACCTGTCTCGCCTCTTTTCTTTTCTTTTCTTTTCCGTTAGTTCTGCTTTCTTTTTTTCGAAAGCCGCGGGTTATGACAGTCATTCGACGTATCATTTATGATGGAGCATACGGTGTGCCATGTAAGATAGGATAGGCTCGTAGTGCCACGAAATTGCATAAGGCGGTGGTGCCTAAGAGGTCATAAAATAGAGCAATGGGAATCGGACAATACGAAGATAATCAGGGAACAGCAGGAGTGGAAATTTGATAACCAAATCACGGAGCTGACCAAAACGGACGTGACAACACTGCCGTTCTCGTTTGGGACTGGCTCAAGGAGGCCCCTATTCGCCGTATCTTAAGATACGAGTACACGGATGCGCAGCACGGATCCGGATTCGTTGCATCATCCGCCGAGTCGTGTGTCCGAGACCTTCAGATACGAGAAGGTGTGCTGTGCTGGCAGCCATGCCGAAATTCAGGTTTGAATGGCGATGTTGTGCCCGAAAAACGACATTGATGACCAGTAGCGGTAAAGCGGAATGGCAGCAGCAGCGCTACGGACGAAAAGAGCAGCACTTCATTAGCCGAAGCGAGCTGTCCCAGGTGTTCAAGCATCAACTAAAACATGTGCTCGTATTGGCATTTGTTGACATGCTTGTGCATCTAGCAGGGATTGGCTACTAATAGTATGTATGGTAAGGTACGAGTACGAAGTGCTTCGTACGAGCTGCGCCAGGGAACCGGGACAAGTGGGCCCGCTGTTCACTTACTAGATACATCTGCCACGGAATGCATGACTAGATACATACGCAGTACGGAGTACATAGTAAGATTATGCATTTGGGAGTTCTCCTATGTATGGAGTCCGTACAGCTTAGGTAAGACACTAATGCGTGCGAGCTGAAGTGGGCCGGGCTAGAGGCAGCCACACCTACTCCGTACATTCATTACTTGGGGGCATAATGGGGTCTCTTGTAAAAGAGCATGCGTCATATTCTGGAAATGCCGTTGCCGGATGTTGCCTCATCCCCTTGTCGACCACACGATGTCCGTTGACAAACCTTGCCATACGGAGTAGGTCACGTGGCAGATCGGCAAAGGATCGCCGAGTGACTGACAGGCGCAAACGTGTAATACAAATGAGACAGTCGAGATTTCCATTTTTTTGCTTCCATGTAAGCTACTAACTTATCGTTATCAGTTTTAGCTCAAGTATTCTGGCTTTGATCTCTTTGCTCCCAATCGGTCTTTTTGGATACATACAACACAACACCTGACCATCACCAATTGCATCCGCAATCGCCTGCCACCCATCGGTCGCTCTCTCGCCGAGCCGGCTCTTTGAGTCCTGTGTCAGCTTGACACTCTCTTTCTCTCTTCTGCACCTCTGTGTCCTTCTCCGTGTCCTTCTCCTTTTACTGTACTCCCCCTTTATACGCGCCAACATGAACATTAAACTGCATAACTGAGTGCCGTTTTTCGGCCTCGTACCCGCAGATTCCCGGTGCCACACTCGTGTCAGCCACTGATCGTTCTCTTTTCTTCCTCGAAAGGGAGGAGCGCGTGGTACTTTCGTTTTTCTGAGCCTGGCTTCCCTTCCACCTTACCTGATCTCAAAATAGCGTCTCAATTCTCAGCGGCTGTCCATCGAAACTGGAGGACGGAACTGCGAACTTGAATTGCCTTTGTCTGAAGACATAACGAGCCGGATTCGGCTGAGAGCCAGTACTGTATTGAGCGCGGACAAATTTCAACGAACGCGTATGCAAATCGTCTGGCGTGATACCTGCACAATTCCGAAGCGTTCGACCAAGCTCCAGTATTATAATGGATTCTCTTCGGGACATCGTCTTGCAAGAGCTCAAGTCCTTACGCCCTTCATTCCTCTCAAAAAACCCACACTTCAATTTCATATCCGTCCATTGTCAGTCCCTTCTTCTCAGCCCGTTACCCTTTGCTTTCAAGCTTACTCACCAACCACCCAGATTTTTGGATTGTCGGCCTCACAGTGATCGGGTCTATATTATTATACGGGCCTGGGCGTGGCAAGCTGAAATACATTGATGCTCTGACATTTGCTGCTGGTGGAAGCACACAGGCAGGCCTGAACACAGTCGACGTCAATACGCTAGACACGTTTCAACAGGTGGTTTTATACGTGATATGTTCGTTGGCGAATCCGATTACAATCAACTCGTTCGTCGTCTTCCTTCGCCTCTACTGGTTTGAGAAACGCTTTCAGCACATCGTCCACGATACACGCTTGCGCCGAGGAACAATTTCCAAGTCCAAGGCCAAGGCCGTGGATGATCTTTATCTTGCCGAAAGAGGCGTCAACGGAAGACACATCACTGTGCTGCACAACGACCTGAATTCAAGGATCGCAAACGACGGTGCTTTTCTAAGTCCAGTACCGTCGGTGAATACGGAAGAGAATGCGGCAAGACTGGCCGAGAATGGCGGAGCCGAAGATGACGGGAACCATCCTCACCACCGACCCCGGTCGGACGATGCACACGCTAGGATGTCGATCACCGAACAATTTGAACTGCGCAGACCGGAGATCAAGTTCGCCACCACAGTTAAGCGAAGTGACGGCCTTGGCGACCAGGATGTCAAAGTATCCCAGCGAGTGTCGGACGAAGAGCATATTGCCATCTTGGAACGCCAGCGGAACCTTGAAGACGACGAAGTGCTCTGTATTCCTGGACCTCGGGATGCTGAGAGAGGAGTACTTCCAAGCCGAGTTGTGCGCCGCAACTCCAACGAAAGAGACGAAACAAATCCTCACGGTGGCTCTGCAACCCGGGAACACTCACCCAACTCTGTCCGGTCGTCGCCTTTGCCAGAGACAGTAGTCAATCCGTCAGTCAGCACAGCCGGCGAGGACCATGCGACGGAAGTTGCAGTTTCTGACGGAACGGGTGGAGGGCACCCAATAATGAAGCCGGCCATCACGATCCAGGAGCCCGAGAAACCGCCACTACGAGATGACTTTACGGAGGATGCTCGTGCCTTTGTGAACGTCTTCACATCGTTCCGTGCACGGGTCAACCCATTCGTCAAGAAGAAAAAGGGTGCTGGCAAGGACAAAAACCACAATGCGTTCCCTTTCAGGTTCACGCGGCGTCCGACCCTCCATTCCCTACGGCAGGCACTCACGAGAGATAAGGACGAGGACACGGCCCCTTACCTCAGCTGGCAGCCGACGGTGGGACGCAACTCTGCTTTCATTGGAATGAGCGACGAGCAGCGGGAAGAGCTGGGTGGCATTGAATACCGATCATTGAAGACGCTTGCCCTTGTGCTGTTTGTGTACTTTTGGGGCTTCTGGTTACTTGGCACAGTCTGTCTGATACCGTGGATCATGCTGAGCAAGAGGTACGGCGCTGTTGTGGATGCGGCTGATCAGGGTCGTGTATGGTGGGGATTCTTCACGGCGCAATCGTCGTTTATGGATCTTGGTTTCACCCTGACGCCGGACAGCATGAACTCGTTTAACACAGCCGTGTTCCCGCTGCTTCTGATGAGTTTTTTGATTGTCATTGGCAACACCGGCTTCCCTGTCATGCTCCGGCTTATGATTTGGGTCGGTTCGATACTCGTGCCTCGTGGCAGCGGCTTGTACGAGGAGCTCACATTTTTGCTTGATCATCCGCGCCGCTGTTTCACCTTGCTGTTTCCATCAGGCGCCACGTGGTGGCTGTTTTGGCTGCTTGTTATTCTCAACGGCATAGACCTCCTGTTTTACTGTGTTCTCGATGTTAGTGCCTGTTTCTTTGTTTTGCTGATTCTGACCCCTGCTCTCTGTCCGTCTGGACAGAAACAACGGATATGGACTGACAGCGATGTTGTAGCTCGGATCCGGACCGATCGCCGAAATGTCAGCAGGGTCTCGTGTCCTGGACGGTCTGTTTCAGGCCTTTTCGACACGCACCGCTGGCTTCTCCTGTGTGAACCTTGCGACCCTGCACCCTGCCGTTCAGGCGTCGTACATGATCATGATGTACATCTCGGTGTTCCCCATTGCAATTTCGGTTCGGCGAACGAACGTGTACGAGGAGAATTCGTTGGGAATCTATGTGGAAAGCGACGAGCTGGACGAATCGGCCAATGGGAACGACCTGGAGTTTGTTGGTGCTCATTTGCGGCGCCAGCTGTCTTTCGACTTGTGGTTTCTGTCTGTGGGTTTCTTCATCTTGACCATCTCAGAAGGCACGCGACTACAAAAGAACGACTTTTCGATGTTTGCCATTCTATTCGAGGTGATCAGTGCGTACGGCACAGTCGGGCTCAGTCTTGGCTATCCGACGGTCAACGCGTCGCTGTGCTCACAGTTCAGTGTCATTGGCAAGCTGGTGATCATTGCGATGATGATCCGTGGACGGCACCGCGGCTTGCCATACGGTCTCGACCGAGCGATTCTCTTGCCCAGCGAGTCGCTAAACCAGAAGGAAGATGCGTTGACGGATGGCCGAAACGCCCCATGCGTCATGACAGCAGCTGGACGTCGCGGATCTGTGACGTCGATGGGAACGCAGGCGGCCACACTCCGAGTGACGACCAGCAACCGAGACCGCGGACGCAGTCGGAGCCGAGACCACGGCAATGGCCATATTTTTGCGCAGTTCCTGCATCCTGGGCCGCCTATCAAACACGGCCCGGTAGTCCGGCCGCATTCTCGTCGGTCGTTCAGCGATTCTGCGATGGAGGAGAGCACGGCACAGACGACAGGGATTGAAGTGCCAGGCCAAGACGGAAGAGCCCAGCCATGAGGCAGATGATTTAGCAGGTTCAGAGTGCAAAGCTGGGCTCTCCGGACGCTGCACAAGCAGCAATTCTTGGCAAAAAATGAATTTTTTCTATTATCCTTGTCTTGGAATGCAGCCTTGGGCAAGGCCTTGGAGTTATAGCCGGTTTAGATATGGGAGCCTGCTTGGACATATAATTGTCTCACTGACAGGAGAATTTTCCCTCGGCGCAATTGGGCACATGCGCACGCTATTGGAATTTTGTGATGAATCTGGGCGACAACACATACGGAGCAATACAACGGTTAAGAGGGCGGTTACAGAGGCTTGCTTGTCGGATTGAAGATTTGGAATACAAAGCATAGCTCACGCTGCGGCGATAATGGCGATAGCCATTGCGTATATAAATAGATGGCACACAAATGATTTGATAAGAAGCACAAAAGGCATGACATGATATATTTGATAGGTGGGTGATGGTACAGACAGGATAAGGACAGCTGCAGATGACCACACAACAACTTGTCCGACGACAGCCTCTCATTTCTTGGCGGGAGCCGACTTTGCGCCAACAGCCGGAGAGGTCTTGGAGGTAGCGGCGCTGCCGCGGGTGCGAAGAACGTTACGACCACGGCGCCAGGCCTTGACGAGGTCGTCGACAGCGCCACGATCGTGCTTGGGCTGGCGCATGTAGGTGAGGCGAGCACGACGGGCGCGACGAGGCCGGCGCTGGATGATGTCGATGGCGGCGACGGCGCGCGAGTAGATCTTGAACCAGCGCTCGACGCCGGTCTTGGCGAGCTGGCCGCGGAGCAGGATGGCGGTCTCGATGCCGGAGCGACGAACGGCGAGGCAGACGCCGGCAAAGGTCTCGCCGCCAGCGCGACTAGGCGTCACCAGGAGCACATCGCCGGGCTTGGCGCTGTCGGGGTTCTTTCGCGAGAAGAGACGGCCCCGGGCACCGGTGGGGTCCATGCGGGCGATCTGCTGCTCATGATAGGCGCGAATGACGTCGACGCGGGGCGTCTTTGCGAGGGAGGATGCGGAGGGCGTCGGTGAAGTTGAGGTGGAAGATGCTGGCAGCTGTGGTGCATAGACGGCAAAGGCAGTGCGAATGCGGCCCTCCTTGGTGGGAATGGAATCTGGCAAGCCTGTCAGCGGGCCGAGGGCAGAGGAAAAGACAGGGGGCAGAAGAGGCTAGAAGCTGTCAGAGAAACATACGGAAATGCGTGGGAATGGAGACAGCCGGAGATGGCCGGACAGTCAGCGCGTCGGACGCAAAGCGTCGGGCAAGCCGTTGGGTGGTCATCTGCAGCCAGCTGCTGCCCAGGGGCCGGCGAGCCAGGGGGGCGGCAACGCTCATGTTCTCTTTCCTTGTCCGTCTGGTGATGTGTCGGCCAAGGCGAGGCGTCTCGGGTCAGATCCTGCGATGTTTCCCTGTATTTTTGGCTCGGCCGGTTTCGATTTCTGCTATTAATAATTTTTATTTCTTGCCCGCCCTCTCGCCTGATTGGCCCAGACGGCTGACCGCCCGGCACTACGGCAGAGACAGGCGGAAACGCTTGGACCAGCCATGGGGCTTCCCTGGCGCATAACGTCTGCCCAATTTTTTCCCCTCTAGCCTCCCCCCCCCCAACTTTGGTTCTCGCAATACGTCTCGAAACGGACGCATAGTGTATGCGAGCGAGCATAGAACGACAGGAGCCCACCCCCCGTCCGGTTTCCGGTGTCCCCTTTTCTGGGTCTCGCGGGCTGTCAACTCCTTTTTTTCGGCTTCTATCCTTCTTTCCACGGCATAATGTCTGGTCGTTCGATCCGCAGCGTCCTGTCGACGACAGGCCATGTGTTTGGTGATGCCTCAACCATGGCGGGCATGCTGTGCCGGCAGCGGCTGCCGGCACTCGTCTCATCGACCACAAGGCCCCCGTCGTCGTGTCAGGGGACAGGGCGACTGCTCTCGACGACAGCTCCACGCTACGGTGCGTAAACGTTCTCTTTGTCATGACCATCTGTTTCGTTTTTCGTCTTCACCCCCCTCCCCATCTGGGGCTTCCTCCACCCACACCTCCCATCATTGCGTATAATGGTGTATATGTTCGTGTACTCCTGTCAGTGCTATTGCCGGTGCATTGCACTTTGGAGATGGCTCGTACCATGCGCACGCCAACGGGTCATGACCAGAATCACAGACCAAGTCAGGGGTGTGTGGACGCATACGTACACGCGGTGCGAGACTGTCTCTGCCGGATGGAGGGCGCGCAATGGGACGAGAAGGAAGACAGAAGCACAGACGTCGACGGCGCCGGAGCAGGACTATAAGAGCTGACGCTGACGCTGCCTGGCGATTCTGCTGGTAAATAGCCCACGCCATCGACTTTCTGCCCTCGTCCTCCGCCGAGCTTGACGCTGTTCTCGAGACGATCCGACTCACGATCCTGGTGCCCTCGTATCTGCGGGCCGAACAGCGACGCCAGCTCTTCAGTCCGCGGCACAGGGAGAAGCTGCGGGCGGACCCCATCACGCTCGAGATCGACGGGACCGTGCTTAGCTTCACCGGCATGGACCTGCTGCGCGATATGCCAAATGCGCGTGCCGCCGCGCGCGATGCCGTCGGCCGCATGACTACGCGCGAGGACTTTGACAACCTGCCGCGCCTGCTCGAGGGCCTGCACAATGCCGGCCGCCGCCTCCGGCCCGCCGACTATGCCCGCATTGCTCGGCGTGCCGGCGAGCGCGGCTGCATCTACGCCGTCATCGAGAGCGCTCGCACTGTGCGGCGCACCGGCTTCCGCCTACAGACGTCCGAGACCGTCGCCGAGATCTTGACCCATGTGCAGCTCCGGGCCGTCGACAGCGGCTGGGAGGAGGCGGCAACGCGCCAGGCCCTGGTCTGGGCCGAGATGGTCGTCGACATGCTCGAGGACGACCAGCACGGCCGACAAGCTGCTGCGACCACTTCGACAACGACGACACTACCACTCATTGATGCTGACTCATCCGCCACTCTGCCGACATCGCCACCACCGCCACTCCCGGCATTTCCACTGGCACGTGACCCACAGGTTCTGGCCGCACGACTACACCTGGCCGCCATGGTGGCGACGCAGCCGGGCGACGGCGCAGACGCGGCCAAGGACAAGGTGGCCCGGTATGCAGGCGAGCTGGTGCGCCTGTGGCCCGCCAGCAAGGGCCTGCGCAGCCTGCACCCGGCAGCGACATACACTGACCGGCGCGGCGAGATGCACTACCTCGACGAGGACAACAAGTTTTTGGGCGTGGCCGCACCACTGCTCTACGGCCTGGACGCGGCTGTGGCCCTGCTGCGCGGCAGCGACGGCGAGCTGGCGACGGCGCTGCAGGCGCGGCGCGACGCGCTGGGTGCTGAGGTGGCGTCGGCGCTGGTGGGAGCACCAGACCGACGAGGCGCGGCCGTTTACAAGAAGCTGTTTGGCGAGGAGTAGGGGAGTCCAGTCCGGATTCTACACGAAATGCAGCAAACGCATATATGCATGTAAGATAGAAAAAATGTATAGAGGTATGAGGTCTGTAGACAATTTCCATTCATGCAACCATTGTTCTGTCTCTCCTCTTCACTCTGTCGACTCCGGCCCTACGGCAGCACAATGTGCCGCTGCAGGTCAGACGGGACGGCGTCGACGAGCTTCTTCTGGGTGAGCCAGGCGCGCGAGAAGAGGCGGTCGGCATAGCGGTAGGCGCCGTCGGCGAGGATGGTGACGACGGTGTGGCCGGGGCCGAGCTGGCGGGCGATCTGCTCGGCAGCGACGACGTTGAGGGCCGAGCTGGCGCCGAGATAGAGGCCCTCGTTGTGGAGACAGCGGAAGAGCATCTCGATGGTGTGTTCATCGGGCACCGAGAAGGAGCCGTCGAGGAGGTCGAGATCGGGCTGCAGATTGGCGGTGACGCGGCCCTGGCCGATGCCCTCGGTGATGGACGAGCCAGCACGGTCGACGAGCCGGCCGCCGCTCTGGATGTACGTGTGCAGGACGCTGCCGGGGGGATCGGCGAGAAAACAGCGCACGCGGCCGCCCGAGACGTCCTTGAGGAAGCGCGTGGTGCCGGCGAGCGTACCACCGGTGCCGGTGGCACAGGTAAAGGCATCGACCTGGCCAGCGGTCTGGTGCCAGATCTCAGGACCGGTCGTCTCAATATGGGCCCGCCGGTTGGCCGTGTTGTCAAACTGGTCGGTCCAGACGGCGTTGTCGAGCGACTCGGCGTGACGCCGCGCCTGATGGTTGTAGTTGTCCGGGTGATCAAACGCGACCGCCGGCACCGGATGCACCTCGGCGCCCAGCAGCCGCAACAGATCAATCTTGCCCTGCGCCTGTGTGTCTGGCATGTAGATCACCAGCCGATATCCGCGTGCCGCGCAGACGTGCGCCAGCCCGATGCCTGTGTTGCCGGCCGTACCCTCAACCACTGTGCCGCCCGGCCGCAGCAGCCCACGCTCCTCTGCGTCTAGGACGAGATACAACGCTGCCCGGTCCTTGACGGAACCGCCCGGGTTCGCAAACTCTGCCTTGCCCAGAATCTCGCAGCCCGTCGCTGCTGATAGGTGCTTCAGCCGCACCAGCGGCGTGTTGCCAATCGCCCCCACAAACCCGTCCACCACACCTTGCGCCTGTGCCACCGCCAGCGTGTGTGCCGACGGCGCCGCTGGGGCCAATGCTGCTGTCGGCCGCAGCATCCGTGCCGACGTCGCAAACCGCCGCACACCCGTTCGGAACATCGTCGGGGTAGGAAGCCGAGATAGGGATGAAGAAGAGAGGAAAGAACAGAGAAAGAGCACGGAAGAACACACTTGCTCCCTTTTGTGTTAGGTGGTCCTCTTATCCTGTCTCGTCGGCTTTCCTCACGGGGCTGAAAACGTGGTGGCAGAATGGCGCAATCGGGCGGTGACCACATATGGTTAGTGTGCCTGTATAAGTCATGGACTTCACCCTAATCCTCCATCCTCACGTATCCTCCCGGGAAGAGGCCCTGCCGGCCCATATACGTCCCGTAAAACCACTCGCCGTTGACGTCTTCGATCTCCCGCACCTCTGCCTTCTTGGGAAATGCCAGCTCGTCTTCCGCGCCGGCTTCGGGGAACCACGCCCAGCGCGCCACCGCCGTCCGTCCGATGCCGCCTGACGGTGGAAAGCGCGCGTCGTCAGCGGGCAGACCTGCTGCCGGTCGCCAGGGTGGTGCCTCGACGCGGACGTTGGCACTGACAAGCCGCTCGTATTGTCTCTGCTGTCTGAACCAGATGTACCACGTCTGCAACTCGTCCTTTTCCGTCTGCAGACGTCGTCCCCCAACGAGGTCCTGCAGCACCACCCGTCTATGCATTCCGCCATCTTCCCGGAATGCCACCACCACCATTCGGTGCCCGGCTGGACATCGCCGCCAGCCTGTCGGTCCGTTCTCCGGCGCAATGTTGCTACCGCCTACCAGCGCGCCCGGAGCATAGCAGTCTTCACACAAGTCGTAGTCGCCCGGTGTCTCTTCTGGCTCTGTCGAGGCCCATGTCGCCGCCGAGCTGTGACATGTGTAGCAGTGGAATCGAGGCCGCGTCGGCGCAATCGTCCGCCGGCACATGTCGCACTTGGTGGCAAGCGTCAGCGGCCGAAACGAGCCAATGTGCGGCTTGTTGCCGGTCTTGCCGTCATCCACTCCTTCGCTCCCTTCGCCCGTCTGCAGCGGCCGGGCAGACCGTGGAGCCGGCGGAGGAACCGGCAGCATACCATTATCACCACCGGAAAACAGGCTGCTGCTCTGGTGGGCCAGCGGCAGCAGCGCGTGCGTGCAGGCACGGCCCTGGTCGACGCAGCCGTTGCAGAAGCCCCAGTCGCCGTCGTTGCACACGTCGCAGCGCCAGTAACAGCTGTTGGCCCATGCCTGACAGCCGGCACAGAAGACGCCACTCTGCAGCCGGTCTTGCGGGTCGTCGTCTGTCAGTCTTCGCCGCCCGTCCGCTGTCATGTCTGTCGTCTGTGGTCGCAGGTAACGGTTAGCCGTCAACATGTGCGGTGGCGCCAGCGGTTCTCCTTCTGCTGCTCCTGCCGCCGCCTTCTCCCACCGCTGCCATGCCGTGTAGCCAAATCCGAACCAGTGCTGGCACCCGCGCCCGCGCCGGTAGCAGTCCAGACAGATGTTCCACTGGCCGTGGCTGCAGACCGCACAGTTGTAGTGCACCTCGTACTCGATGTGATCGCGGCCACAGGCCCCACACGTGATCGCTGGCTCCATAAACAGCTGCGACAGCCGCTGTCGATGCTGGTGCTGCCCTGAGAACGACGAGCCGGCCGACGAGGGTGGCGACACAGCCGGCAGCGGCATCCGCTCGAACCCGTCGCTCAGCGTCCCCGGTGACGACACAAAGGGGGCTGTCGTCAGCGGTAACTCGTGCACGGCCGTCGTCGTTGGTTTGGCCCCGTCATCCCCTGGCCCTTTGTGGTGGTCCGACGCTGTCGAGGCCGACCTGAGCTGCTCCAGCCCGGAAGCCCGCTGGCGAAAGGGCAAGGATAGCGGCAATATGTTGGACGTTGCATAATTTGAATCTAGCTCCGCCAGTGGCGACGACTCGCTCTCCCGCTCCTGCTGCACGCCAAAATTAACCTGAGATCGTGCGCCTGACCGCGAGCTAACGGCCAGCTGTGCCACCGTCGGCAGACTGGCACTGCGACCCTCGCTGGCCGCCCGGTGTCGCCGGTGATGCCGTGGCTCCTCATGGACTGCCAGATGGGCTGCTGCCGACGGGGAATGGCCGGCCGGCCGGGACTGTACGGAGTGCTGGGACTGCGCAGACTGCACAGATTGCACGGACTGCTGGGATGAACGCGACTGTGACCGCTGGCGGCTTGAAGAAGGCGGTGGCCGCGACACGTCTGACCGTCGCGACGTACCGCTGGCATTGCTTCGCCGGCCGCCGTCTTGACGCGATCGTCCCCGCTGTCGCCGCTGATACGCCTCGGCGATGCGCCGGCTCAGCTCGTCGTCGTTGTCGAGGTCGATGTTGTCGAGGTCCAGCCCGTCCAGAATACCCTCCTCCTGGATCTGCCGTGCAAACTCCTCAATCTCCCGCTCAATGTCCAGCAGGCCTGACGTACCCTGGTCCGACCGGCTAATCAGCGACCGGAGCGACGACTGGTGGCCCATCTCGCGCCCAAACGCGGCCGCCGTTGCTGTTGCAGCTGCTGTTGCGGTCGAGCCGCGCTGTCGGCTGCCTTCCCGATGCGAGCGAGGACGGATCGCCTGCAGACTAGATGATTCCCCGCCTCCGCCCGCCACTGCCTCCTGTCGGCTCATCTCGCGCACCTCGTCGACCAGCCGCTGTTCCTCGGCGTCCAGTCGCTGCTGCTCTGCCGTCCTCTCGGCCAGTCGTAGCTTCGGAATCACGTTCTCACCCGGTCGGTATTTGCTGTCCATCTCGGCCCGCTCGCTGGCTGGCTTGCGCTTCTCCGGCTGTGCCGTCAGCAGCATGTCCAGCAGCGTCACCACCGTCGCGTTGTGCCGCGTGCTGCGCACCGCATCCCGGCACGACGGACACGTAAACACCGCCTTGCCCGGTGCTGGTGGCGTCGGGTTCGTCTCGGCTGCGTGCGCTTGGAAGCTGAACCACTCCTTCACACAAGCGCCGCAGAACGTGTGCAGACAGTCGAGCAGCGTGAGCGGCTGGTACAACAGCTCCGTGCAGATCTGCGAGCGCAGCCGTCAGCGGAAAAACACACGCACACACTCACAAACTCACAAACAGACAAAATATACTCACAGAACAGGTCAACTCCTTCTCCAGATCCATATTGGTCGACTCCATATCGTCAATCCGATAGCCGTGCGAGACAGAGGTCACAAAACACCGTCCGAGGATTGCTCGGCACCGAAAGCTGCGTGTGATGCGCAAAAGAGAAGCCAGACAGCTGCACCTCCGTCACCTTGACCGTAATGTCATCCTTCTCTAGTTGGTTCTCTGCTCGATTTTCTCTTCTGGTGTTTTTAAATCGGAAATCTGGCAGGCGGGGCCACCGATTCGCCTTTCCTTCCTCTTTCGGACCTGATGTCGTTGGCCTGCTGACTGCTGCCTGCTGCCCTGTTTGCCCTGTGGCAACTTGTCCACCGGCCGTTAGCAGCTGTCCGTAGTGTCCCCGCCGGCCGCCTAATCCACAGAGCCCGCATTCTCCCAAAAGCCTCTTTTACGCCTTCATCCACCCCACCAACACCCCATCATTAGCTCTGACGCCCGTAGTCTCATCCTGTGCTACGACCGTTCGCTTCTGGCTATTCCTTTGTCCGTGTTGGGCCATATATTTGCTTCCCATGCAGCCAAGACAATATGCATCTCCAATACGAACTGTGGGGTATTTCCACTACTCTTTGTTGCCTCCGGTGCCTTGCGCAAGAGACCAGTCTTTGCTGTAGCCATGGTCCCTTGCTTGACGAGCGTAGAACGGAACGGAGTACACAAAAGAACAGACCCGCTGCAGGGCCCGTTTTCTTCCACTCCTTGCTCCAGAGGCCCCCCCCCGGCCCTACTCGTTGGTCCAAACGGGCTTCTGCTTTTCGGCAAATGCCTTCATGCCAATCTTTTGGTCCTGGCTGCCAAAGAGGCTGTGGAACACGCGCCGCTCGTACTCCACGCCGTCGCGCAGCGGCAGGTCCTGGCTCTTGTTGACCACCTCCTTGGCCGCCAGCACAGCCACCCGCGAGTAGCTGGCGATCGTCTCGGCTGTCTGGAGCGTCGCCGCCATCAGCTCCTCGTACGTCGCAAACGACCGCGCCGCCACGCCCCATTGGGCCGCCTCGACGCCCGAGAACGTCTTGCCCGTAAGGATGAGCTCCATCGCCCGCGCCTTGCCGATCGCCCGTGTCAGTCGCTGGCTGCCACCGGCCCCCGGCACCGTTCCCAACTTGATCTCCGGCTGTCCGAAGCTGGCCGTGTCGGTGCAGTAGAGCGTATCGCACATCAGCGCCAGCTCGCAGCCACCGCCCAGCGCGTGGCCCGACACCGCCGCGATCACCGGCTTCTTGATCCGCAGTGCCAGGTCCGACCACGACTCGATGAACGCGCCCGTGTACGCCCGCGAAAACGTCAGCGGCGCCATCTCCTTGATGTCCGCTCCCGCCGCAAACGCCCGCTGCGAGCCCGAGAGCACGATCGCCAGCACGTTGTCGGCCGCGTTGAACCTGCTCAGCGCCTCGTTCAGCTCCGTGATCAGCGGCGTCGACAGTGCGTTCAGCGCCTTGGGCCGGTTCAGCGTCACTGCACCGTCAGCACCAGACACATGCACACGCACACACCCTGGTATAGAAACAGTCGTCCTACCTTGACCAACGCCCGGTCGAGGCTCCGACACCTGGATAAACTCGTAGGGCCGCACGGCAGACGCCGAGAAGCTGCGAGCAAGCTGCCTTGCCGGCAATGGCGCCCGCATCTGTGCCACAATGGGCTGCAGTCTCTTGAGGGTGTTCATCGTGTGCTGGTGGATGAGGTATCAGACGTAATCAGGTCCTCTTGCAAATCACGGAATCTCTGACAATCAAGTATGCCGAACAATGTGGCCGTCGTCACTTCCAGCAGTTCGCATGCTCTACCGCGTAATATATACTGATTACAGGCATAAGCCGTGCTGAGCCGAGGGGCCGAGGGTCAACTGGGCATCGGACTTGCTGCTTGTGTATAGATCACGTGACTCCACACATGATGCTCAGCATACTACGCCACACACTTAGTGGATGGTTTGGGCATTTTGATTGGCTTAGCCAAATGTTGGAAGGGCCAGATTGATCGTTATTTCAACTCACTGTAAATTGTTTGCGCCTCGTGCGAAAGACCGCGTTGACATCTGTCGCGAATCTTCCGACACCACATTGTTTTCCTGCTGCCGCCATCGACCACGCGCCGGTCTCTGCTTCGCTCCACCGCTGCTCACTTTTCGGCTCGCATCACTTTCACGACGGCCCCCGCTCGATCAATCTGACCGACGATCTCGATCTTTGTCCCCTTATCCGCCATGGACTCCGTCGAGCCCGACCAGACCCCCTTTGAGGCCGTGACTGCACAGACCTCACGGCTGCAGCGAGTATGTATCCTTCTCAATGTCTCTCGCTGTAATGCACTCGTCTGCAGGCTTCCCTGTGGCCCAGCGAGCTCTTGTCTCTTGTCACTAATCAGAGTCGCGTGTCCTAGCACTACCAAGCACTGCTTGACCAGTCAACACCGTACGTCACGTACCGGTGGGTCGGCACAGGCGTCTTCCTTTTCCTCTTCTTCCTCCGCATTCTCCTCGCCCAAGGATGGTACATTGGTGAGTCGCTGTCCGTTATCCTACCAGGCTTCGCAACGGACGGTCTCTAACTTGGCAAATCCGTTCCAGTCGCATACGCCCTGGGCATCTACCTGCTCAACCTCTTTCTTGCTTTTCTCCAGCCCAAGTTCGATCCCTCCAATGAGGCCCTCGACAGCGAGATGGAAGACGGTGCGGCTAGCGGCCTGCCGACCAAACAAGACGAGGAGTTCCGTCCCTTTATTCGCCGCCTGCCCGAATTCAAGTTCTGGCACTCTGCCACTCGTGCCATTGCCATCTCCCTGACATGCAGCTTCTTCACCTTCTTCGACGTGCCCGTCTTCTGGCCTGTTCTGGTTATGTACTGGATCATCCTCTTCGTCCTCACTAGTATGTGTGATTGCTCCTCTCCCTTGAAGCAGCTTGTTCTGACCATTCCAGTGCGAAAACAAATCCAGCACATGATCAAGTATCGCTATGTTCCCTTCTCCTTTGGCAAGGCACGCTACGGCAAGACCAGCACCCTGTAAGCTCGCTCGCTTTACTGGGCGCATACGACATCTGACGTAACGACGGAAAACGGGCATCAACTCATGAGAGGGACATGGGGTCTGGCTGCTACTACTTCCTCTATCGCGGTTCTTCTGCTATTTAAGTTGGAATGACCGCTCACGCGAAGCACACCAGCTGTAGTGTGCGTGATGTAACGTCTGGGGGGGGGGGGCATCTTGGTAAGATATCTCTTGCAGTAGGACTAGGGTGGGATCGTTTTCTGTTTTTCTTTGGGGCATCTATCATGCAAGGAGATATATTAACCCCAGAACCCAGTGTACCTGGAAGCCGGTTCGAAAATGGACGGATTATTCTATAGAGTAATACGGGGAGGTGATCGTGGTGTATTCCTATACTAGCTTTGTTTGTATTTTATGGTTACAGGAAATAAAGAAAAGACCAGTCCTAACGATCTTGACGAGCTCGGAGCATATTCTATGATTTGGCGAGTTAGCGGCTGAGTCCGCCCTGGAGTCCCCTATTCTGTTCGCAGCCTTCACCGCCCAGACGGCAATTTTTGCTAATTGCTGCTTTCTCCCTAGTAAGGCCAATCTAGTAAGCAACACGATTTCTGAGCCGCGACTGACGAACAAGCAATAACTCACTACTTTCGAAATCATCTGCGCAGCACTGCAAGACGGGAATGGGCCGCTAGAACCGAGCCATTTTCTTCCAATTCTCCCCAAAAGCCTCGACCAGGCACCATGTCGTCGTCCGCGTCTCGTGGCGGCGGCACCGGCGAGAGGATGGTTCACCAGGACTTCATCGCGCGCATCAGATTCTCCAACACGCTGCCGCCACCACCGAATCCGCCGAAACTGCTCGATATCCCGAACACAGGACTGGGAAGCAGCCATTATACGACGCCGGGATTTGCATCACGCCTAGCGCGAGAGCAGCCTCTGAACATCGAGGCCGATGCCGAGCTGGGCATGCCGCTTGACCTGACGGGAATGCCGGGCGTTTTTGACGGTGATGAGAGCTGTACGTGTAGCATGGGACGAGCAGCCGCGAGCATCCTCGCGTAGGACAGTCTGAAGATGTGCCGGGAGGCTGACAGCACCAATAGCCATACAAGCGTTGCCGCATCCACCACCGATTCATCCCCACGACCGCGCCCTCCTGAAGCCTCTGTCTTCGTTGGGCAAGCCACGCACCACCGAGGCGTCGGTATCGTTTCTACGGCGCACCGAATACATCTCTGCGGGCGGTGCCAAGGCTGCTGCAAGTCCGCTACGGGCCAGCGCTGGCAACGGTCCTAAGCGGGCCGAGAAGCGGCGGTCGCCGGAGCCGGACTCGGGCACGCCGGCCTACGTCAAGCGCAAGATCGAGAAGAGCTTTGAGGCGGCCCAGATGGCAGCCCGCGACCGCTACTCGCGCGTGCGCCACCCGACCAAGAAGAATCTGCGGCTGGTCGGCGCCTATCCGCTGCTGCCCGATCTGGGCGCCTTCCCGGACAGCGGAGCGTACGTGACGCTCAAGTTCAGCAACAACCCGGTGACGGCGGGGACGGGCGTCTATGACACGCGCCTGCTCTCGGGCATCTTCAAGCCGATCGAGCAGTCGGACGAGGAGCGGGCTGCCTTTGAGGCCGCGCTCAAGGTCTGGGAGCGCGACCCGCAGCGCAATCCGCGGCCGCAGAACCGCATGCAGTACGACTTTTTTCTGCCGGACACGGCAACGGCCGGCGAGAGCTTCCGCGGCGTGTTTGACAGCGCCAGTGGCGAAGGCGACGGGGACCGGTTCAGCTTCAGTCGCGTGCGAGCGTATGAATCGGCCGAGGAGAAGGAGCTGAGCCACACGACCAAATACTCGGAGGAGATCCTGCTGGCGTTTGCGGACAACGCGCTCGTCTCTGCGCCCGACCTGGGCGGACGGGTGACCGGCGGACCGGGTGCAGCCCTATACTATCCGGTCATGCAGCGGACGGTCGTGCGCAGCCAGCGCGGCAAGCCGATGATGCGCGACGACGAGGTCGGCGGACATCCCATGGACCGCCTGCAGGTCAGCGTGCACGAGCCGCCCGAGGACATGCTGCAGCACATTGCTCGTATTCGGGCGGACCCGCTGCACTTCCACGAGGCCGAGGAGGATGCCGAGGGAGAGGAAGACGACGGTGGACATCGGCGGTATCAGCATCACGACGACGATGATGACGACGATGACGACGACCGCAACGGAAGCGTGACCCCGGGAAGGACCAACGGGAAGAGCCGCGGCCACGTTGTGGAAGACGAGGACGATGCCGAGGGCGAGGAGGAGGACTGAACGGGCTGATGGGCAGCGAAAAGATACGGGGAGCGGATATCTGTTTTTACTAGTAATTTTTACAGGGAAATGTACTACAAACCAAAGTGTCGTCGAGTGCCGAAGGGGGGATGCAACAGATTTCAAGCATTTTGGTTGGATAAAATGTATCGGTGAACAAAGGGTACCAGCAGTCGTATCAGGCGTCTATATTTGCCGTCCATTAGGCAAGCAGCATTACAAACATAAACGAAGAGTAGGGTTACAAGAAGCGCTGACAGAAGAGCAGAAAGGGACAGGGTCCGTGAATAGAACACGGAGAGTGTGACGAACTGGAAAGAAGAAAGGGTGAAAAGAACCGAAAACAAGGACCTAAACGCCTATCCGTATGCAACGACTAATACTCACGACCCAACCAGCCTTGCAGCCCTTTTTTGTCTTACCTTGCCTAGAATAAGAGCCCGTTGAAATTACCACCAGAAGTCTCCCGGCATGGACCAAAGACAGCCAAGACTTTATATGAAAAAAGAATAAGCAAAAAGACCGCCCTTAGATTATTGATCAGACAGAAAAGCCAATGGTTTCCCGGTCGTCGTCGATGACGCGACCATACCTGTGAGATTAGTCAGCAAAATGCAGGTTGTAGTATGGAGAGACGAGAGACCGAGACAGGCACATACTCTAGGAGCAGGCGGAAGAACCAGGCCTCAAGGTCGACGTTGCGCACGACCTTGTTGGCCCAGTCTCGGCCCTGCAGGGCCAGCCGCTCAGCCTCCTTCTTGCCGAGGGCGCCGTCACTGAAGAAGCGGACGGCCTCGAGCCAGTCGTCACCACGCAGGCTCAGCGGGACGTAATGAACCCAGGGCTTGAGCCACTCATAGTGCCACTCCCGGAAGACGGCCAGCTTATAGACGAGGCTGAGGCTCTGCAGAAAGGCGTAGAAGCGGCCTGAGAAGGCATTGCCGTCGAGGTCGACGAGGTGTTTGTACTGCCAGGCGTCCTGCTGGTCGACACGGTCCTGGATTTTGAAGAACTGGCGCTGGGCCTCGCAATCGCCGTCATCGCACTGGCCGACGTGCGAAAAGTACACGTTGAAGAGCTCCTTGAAGTCGCTGCGGGCCACCTGCCTGGCCACCCACTGCTGGGCGCCGGCCTCGCCGACCGCACCGGCCTCGCCGGCAGCATTGACCATGATGAGGGCCTGGTCGGCGGCGTTGATCTTCTGGACGAAGCGTTGGCGGTGCTGGCGGCGCCAGCCGCCGTTGCGGCTGAAGCCGCCGGTGGTCGAGCCGCGCCAGTACAGCTGGTCGGCCTTCTGGGCCCAGGGCCGGTCGCGCGACTCGTCATACGACACCTTGGCGTACCAGTACCAGGGCGACGGGTAGAGGATGTCAGCGTACGACGAGACCTTAGACTGCGAGAAGATGGGGAAAAGGTCGTGCACGACGCTGTAGGCATTGGGCCGGTCGAAGAAGCCAAACGTCTCGCTCAGCGACGGCGTGTAGCAGACGTCCGAGAGCGCGGTCGTGTTGTAGACGAAGCCGAGCTCGCCCAGACCATAGCGCGCCACGTCGTCGCGCCGGTCGTCCTCCTCGAGCGCGCGCGCCGGGCTCTCGGGCGGACACGACATGCGCGAGTGCGTCCAGGTGGCCTGGTGGGCAAACACGTTGAAGCGCGTCAGCGGCGTGTCCTCGAAGCGGGAGCCATCGTTGAGCCCGGGCATCCGCGTCGAGAAGCTGTTGCGCAGCGTCCCCGGGCTGTCGGCTGCCGCTGCTGCCGCCGGCATCGTCTTCTGCTTGGCCATTGCCACCAGCCGCGCCATGTCTTCGTGCGGCACCACTACGCGCGGCTCGTCGTGCGTGTTGAAGCAGAGGTCCATGTCCGGCAGGTGCTCGAGAAAGGGCTTCAGCATCCCCTGCAGCGCCTCCCGCTGCCAGTCGCCACCGCCCTGGATGTTGGTCACCCGGCCGCCACGAATCGCCACGCCCACGAGGTTGTTCGTGTAGCCCAGCGCCTCCTTGGCTCGTGCCCGCGTCGTTGCCGGCTTCAGCCCCCAGAACGGCGTCAGCAGCTCCTGGATCGTGTCGAACTCGTCCACCAGCTGCACGTTGTTCTTCTGCGCAAACGCAAACCACTTGTCAAAGTGCGGCGGCGGCGCGATCCCGTACCGTCGCCGATACTCGGTCACAGCTTCCGCCAGCGTCTTGGACTGACGCCCTTTGAGCTCCTCCATCTCCTTCTCGGCCTTGTTGATCAGCGTCCACATCGGGTGCGAACCTGCCGCCGCCGTCTTGGGACTGTCCGCCGGCGGCAGGGGGTCGGGAGCCTTGGGCAACGGCGGCGGCGCCGACTTCTTGTTTGCGTCATCGCCGCCGGCCTTTGCTGAGGAGGTGCCCCCATTCACAGCCGACAGTGGCAGCGATGGTGCTTCCAGTCGCAGAACCGTGTAGAAGCAGATCAGCACGATCACCGTGCCGAAGAGAAAAATATACTGACGTGGTCGCATTGTGTCGTCGACAAAAGGGAGAGAGGGGGGGAGAGGGGGGGGTCCAGATGGTCGTTGATTTCGCGAGACTGCAAAAAGGGGATGAAGAGGCACTATGCTATCTTAGCATCGAAAAGACCAGGAGACACAGTAATAAGCTTTATCGCTGCAATCTACCGACAAGCTGTCAGTCCTCTCGAGAGTGTAGAGCCACGCAATGCAATGTAATGCAACAATGAGACCGCAGTGTGCGACCCCTTGTGCCTCGGCGAAAATAACAGGACTCGGCGCAACTCTTAAAACAGACAGGCTGAGATTATTGGACGTTTGACCCGCGCGTTCATTGCTTCTTGCCCAGAAGCGCAAGGATTAACGCAATACACGCTACGGGGTACTTTGTAGTGCATTGTGGGCCTCTCACATGCAACGGACACAGCTCTCCAGGCCAGCCAATCAGGGGCTACCGAGTGATGCCATTGTGGGCAATAGTTGATATTCGTGATGACTAAGCATATTATTTGTACCTTCGATGCCAATATGTCCAGTCATCCTCAAGTAAAAGAGCAACATACCGCTTTCAGAATGCAATGAACCCTTACTGCAGTTGTCGAGAAGACGGTCTAAAACATTGCCTTCTTTTCAACGCCGTCTTCTGTGACCCCGTCTAGCTCCCTTCTTAGCCTTTCCAACTTGTAGGACACTTGAGCTCCAGAAATTGTATCGAGAGGCAGTATAAGGCTTTCTGTTTCACCGCCATCCTTCTTGCCCTCCCCTTCCTCCTCCTCAAAGCCCATACGCACGACCGCTGTCGGCCACGGGCTTGTCACCAGCACTTTTAACACCGCATTTAGGTCCTTCTCTGCAGTCAGACCCAGGATGTCCCCCAGCAGCTCGAGAAGCGGTTCCTCGTACTCATCCCGCTCGTAGAAGCTGATGCCATCAATGACGCAGAACAGCGTGATGTCCGCCGGTAGCATTCGCACCAACCACGCAAAGAGGGCCCGCAGCTGGTCGAGGCTGGCTCCATGTATCTGCTCGGGGGCGAGACCGGGTGGCAGCAGGTCGATGCCGACTTCGAATTGATAGTCGCACAGCAACTGCGCTATAAGGCTGCGCATCATCTTTATTAGTGTCTGTGTGCGTGTTCCGGGGCCGTACTGGGTCAGGCATCCGAAATCCTCGTTGTCGTCCGAGTCTGAGCAGAAGTCCGAGTCCGCGCCCCAGTCAGACATATGCGAGTCATTCGAGGAGTTGTCGTTCCAGTCCGACAGTTTACCTCCGCCCTGATGCAGACCACAGAACCAGACGATACACAGAAAGTGTTTGCGGTAGCGGAACGCCTGAACGATTGTGCTGCAGAAGAGAGACAGAGCTGAAGTATGCATGGGACTGTGGACAAGATTTCCGTGCACGAGCAGCTTCGTAGAATGCGCTGCGACGACCCAGTCTTGGAACGTGTGATGCATCTCCAACTGCTCCGTCTGGGAGCGGTCAGAACTGCTGAGAAACGGACCCCGTGACTCGATGTGATCCATATCAGCTGTGTCGAGGTCGTCAATGTCGAGCTGCTCCCATAGAGTCTGCTGGTCGGTGGAGAACAGACACGGAGGGGGAGCCCATGCTGACTGCTGCACGGCTGGCGAGACACTACGGAGCATCGTGTTTTGCATTTCCAGTTCCGCGTTGCGTCTTTCCAAGGTCACCACTTGTGCATCTGCGTTTCGTGTTAGCATTAGCAGCCGATGAAGGGAGAAATCGAAACACGACATGCCTCTTTATTTCCTGTGCTTGTCCCCAAGTAAATCAAGCACGCAACGTAGGCTCCCGTTTACATCGGTCAGATCGTCTCTGATCTGGACGACCTGGACAGCTAGATCCTCCTGTCCAATCAAGATAAGCTGTTGGATATTCTGTGTCTGAAGTGAGACTATCGAATATGTCAGTATGATTGACCAGACAGAGGGATAACAATACGTAAAACTGCATACATTGCTGGAAGTTCCGGAGATGAAACTTAACCGCCTGCACCATGAGACTTTTACCGTCCCCCGTGATGTCCTGGAGGCTTTGTCGCAGAAGTCCCTCGTAATTCTTGCCTTGTGTGATCGCTTGAATCCCCCGGACAACTGCCAGCTTTCGTGAGAACTAATAAATTACCACAAGATAGTAGGATAGACGACGAATGAATTGACCACGTACAACTGTGCTTCGTAAAGAAGCCAATACCCCTTTCCACGGCGACGAGAACATGGGCTATCAGGACGATGGCTTTGTTTGTAATGTCTTGCTCCCCCTCAAAAGTCGCGAGAAACAACTCGACATCGGAAAATATGTCCTCTAGTCCTTCTAGTCCCTGTAACACCTCTTTACGCCTCTCCGCTCCGGTTTTCACCGCCTCGATGATGATATTCACGGCAGCGAAGACTGGAGTAGCGATATCTGGCTTGGGCGAAACCGCAACAGCCACACTCACGACTTCAATCACGTTATCTGCGAGCCATCGCCAAGTCTGCTGAAGGTGACCTCTGACTCCAGTCTTGTCAACGTAATGGTCACGAGCAGCCACAAGCTTTTCGTATACCGTCTCCCATTTTTCGGCCTCTCGAATGTCGTATTGCTGATTGCGCTCCGGATTTGTAACATTAGGCATGGTCTTGAACACCGTCATGGCTGGCACAAATATCATTTTCCAGAACTCCATCGCACCGACGGCAGTGCACTGAGCAACTGGCTGTCCATCTCCGGTAGTTGCGGCAGTGGCTGCAACGGAAGCTCCTGGTTGTGCAGCGAAATCAGGGGCTTGTGACTATTGGCCATTGCATTGCGAGAGGCTCTCAAACCGAGCATGATACTTTGGGAGGCTATTGCGGGCGAAGTCGATGACCAGAGAATGATCTGGCAAGGCTAAATCAAGAGGGTCATTCTTTTCAGACATCTGGCTGGATCACTGGACTTCGACTGCGGTCTAGGCTACGTCAACGTCGCTTCAAAGTGCAGGCAGAAGTGTAAGCTATATATACTTTGATACTACAAGTGCCTTTCTACACAAAACGCATAATATGCATCGGATTGATAGTTTCGAAGTCGGGGTTTCAAGCCCTCTTCCTCGGTTAGTTTGCTGACGGCCATCTTGAGCAGGTTGCACACCTTTCCGTGAGAGAATGCTGCATGGGGGCGAAGGCTCGTCTCAAGATGTATCACCTGCAGAGCTCCGAGGGTGCACCCTTGTAAGCAATCCTACGTTGGCAACAGAGCATAAACGCCCGGGTAGTTCTAGAGATAGCGATGTTCACCTCTTATTGGCGACGGACTCGACGGCCTCCCCCAAGCGGCCTGTCTGGTCGAACAAAGACGGCACGTTGTGTCCAATAGGGCCTGCAGTTCATTCAGCTTACAATGGCAACCCAATAATCATGTCCGTTGACCGAATGTGCCAAATAGGAGGCTCTGCATTTGCACGAGAATTCATCTGCACAAGACGAAGCGTCTAAAGCTCGATTCTTACTGGTGCGATAGAGCGACGTCTGAAGTGTGTCGCCTGAAAGCTCTCCTATATAACCTGCCCAAGCTCTCATATTCATCTTAGTACATATTGCAAGCCGACTCCAGTCTTTAGATAACCCACGTTTCCCTTCTTCTGCAGGTTGAACTCGGTTCGGCACCAACTATTGGCGTTGTTTACTACAACCACAGTTTTGTCTCGTCCAAAGTCACGATAGCACTAGAATGGCAGACAAAAATTTGGCCGGCACGGCTGTACAGCCTGGAATCGAACGAACCACTATTGACGCAGAGCTTTCTGTGTCAGATGCCATTCATAAAGGTGCAGAAGTGGGCTTGGTTGACCCAGCAGAGCTTCCGGTTGCCATCCAAAAGGATAGCGACGGAGAGGGGCATGAAGACGGCCACGACAGGGCAGAGCTAGTTTCCAGCAAGGGCAAGGATGGAACCCAGGATCACGGGCTCGATGACAGAATGCTAGAAATGCGGCTGAGAGACGGCCTCGAAAGCGATATTGTCAAAATAGGCGATTAAGCAGAGGACTGTACCTCGCGTATGGGCCGCATTTATGCTGAAACCAGACAGCAAATCGAGTTGCGCGAAATGGGGATAATTTTGCGCAATAATGGCAGAAAGCCGCATACAGAAGGCAAAAAGGACGACAAAGACACTCTTAAAGACGACGGGCCCCAGGTTGAAGAGGACGACACGTTTCGGACGGAGGGAGATGCCGGCTTGCCGCCAGCCAAACCCGGCTTTTATCGGGTCATTTGGAAATACTTCAGTACGCTGTGCATGAAAACCGACAGCAACTCGTTTGCTATCGACGTCCTGGAAGGAGAGCCAATTCTGGCCATGGAGCCGCCCTTCGTGCCGCCCGCGAAGAAGACGGCCAACAGCCAGGTTCTGAGGGCGTTGCAGACCAAGGACTCCTCAATTCCAGGAAAGGCGCCCCTGCCAGAACGCATCCGCTTCCACTCAAAGCAGCTTGCCGGTATCATAGACATGCTTTATCCTGGTTCAGAAGCGATCCAATACGATACCATTCTGCTCCGCCCGTATAGGATTCTCGTCTACCTTGATGAACCATTGCGAGCTTGGCACCGTATGCTGCAGTCCAAGTTCGGCAGACAAGCCAAGACCCTTTCTTGTGCTCGTAGAGCAGAAGAGGGTGGTGCAACTGAAGCTTCTATTGCACACAATGAGACAAGTGACGGCAACAAGGACAACGCCAAAAAGCCGCCATCGACCGAGAGCGATGATGTCGATGAACGGGACAGAGATGAGATGATGATGATGGACCTAGAAGACAGCGCCACTTCATTCGCTGCACTCCGCCACTTGGAAGTACTCATTGAATTTATGGATACGGATATTGCTCAGAAAATTAGCTATCTCAAAAGCGCCGACTGTCAACACGTCACGTTCTCTGATATCTGGTATCTCTTCGAGCCAGGCAGCCTTGTCATTGGTAACAACGGCAAGCAGGCATATCGCGTTCTATATGTACGCATGCCAGCATACAAGCCCCCCCATTATTTGCAAAATAAATTGCACTTGCCATCGTGGGATAGAGAAGATAGCGCCATCATGCTGTCGTCCGTTTATGTGGATTTTGACGGAAAGTTCCTAGGCCCTGTCAGAAAATGGAGGTATATCGACTATTTTGAAGGCGAGAAAGACGTGACCTCTCTCGAAGTATACCCCATTCGTTTTCATAAATCTCGGATCCAGGCGGCTACAATAGGCGAGCTTAGTCCAGGAAGTGAAGGCGAGGCTACACTGCCGGCGGACCAAAAAAAATATCTGGTCTGATCTTGTGAGACGGGGAGAGACGTTCCTCAGACACGCCAACGCCCCAATTTCAGGATTCCATCCCCTGTACTATTCCGGACCAACGATTACGGCGATGGGTGAGGTTGAAAGCCAGGTCGTTGTCGACTTCGAAGCCGCCTTCACCGTTGACGATCACGCCATGTCAGATTGGCGACCGAAGGTCGTGTCAATTGTCGGAGACGTCATGTTAGCACCTGAAGATGAGTTCTCGCAACAGCGCACCCGTCTCGAGGTAGAAAATATCGCCGATGACCTATTGGTGGATTGGCGCAGACAACATGCCTACATGAAGTACGTGCTCGCTAAATCTGGTATGGAACTGCTATCTGTGGCTATCTTCCCGCGGCCAATAGACAAGACGGACCCGAGTAAGGGCCTGACAGAAGAAGATATGGCCATCATGTCGTATCGCGTGTTTGGATTTGTTTTGCGAAACCGCAAATGGGGTGTGTTCAAGGCTTCACGGCTCCTTTGCAAACATAATTTTCGTGTCCTGGCTAACATTGCCGTCAACCACCATCAGCGCAACTGGACCTCATGTATTTGAACGAGAAACTCCCGTCCAAGTTCGGAAACGGGGATAAATCTTGTCACGATAACGACATAGCGTCAAATACATTCGATCGGCTGGTCCTACCAAATGGGCACGCCGACATCATCCTCGGCCTTGTGGACCAACACTTTCGCAACAAGCAGTTGGCAGGTAACAGAGGAAATTACACCGATATCGTTCGGGGCAAGGGCAATGGCTTGATAATATTGCTTCACGGAGCACCTGGCGTTGGCAAAACAACTACAGCTGAGGGAGTTGCGGAAAAGTTCAATAAGCCTTTGTTCCAGATTACCTGCGGTAAGTCGTCCTTCCACGCCTGACCATAGCCTTGGCTAATTTGTGTTTTTTGGGTTGGAGGCGATCTGGGTACAACTGCAAAGGATGTGGAAAAGGCGCTAGATATGAACTTTGCCTTGGCTAGTCGCTGGGGATGCGTCTTGCTGCTGGACGAAGCAGACGTCTTCCTTGCGCACAGAACCAAGGAAGATTTCGTACGAAACGGCTTTGTTGCGGGTAAGTTGTTCCTGGCCTTGACTTTTATCATCATTGTGACTGCTAACAGGCACAATAGTATTTCTACGTGTGCTGGAGTATTATTCTGGCATCCTATTCCTCACGACGAACCGGGTAGGCGACTTTGACGAGGCCTTCGCCTCTAGGATTCACATCAGCCTTTATTACCCTGAGCTCGATCTTCAGAAGACCAACCAGGTATTCATTCTAAACCTGGAGCTCGTCCGCGCCCGCTTTGCCGCCAGAGACCGCATTATCGAGTCAGATGACGTAGAGATTGGCAGCTTTATACGCCAGTATTGGGACGACAACCCATTTGAACGCTTGAACGGCCGACAGATACGCAACGCTTGCCAAACGGCCGTGGCACTCGCCGAATATGATGCCAACGGAAAATGCCCTATGGTTGCCGCCGACCTCAATCAGCCAGTCAAGCTGAAAGTGTTGCATTTTAAAAAGGTCGCCGACGCATACCTTGAGTTTTCCCGCTACGTGCGAGACATTTACGGAACGCATGCCGCGCGACGCACCAAAGAGGCTGGGCTGAGGGCTATGTGGGTAGACAACAAGGGGAATGTGGTTGGCAACATCGGGCCCAAGGGATCCAAGAGGACGCGGTACCAGCGGGCGGCTATGGGGAAAGAGCCCGTGCAGCAATTCCCACCGCATGGCTCATACAACCCAAATCCATATTATCAACAGCAGCAACAGCAACAGCAACAGCAACAGCACCAGCAGCGCCCTCAATATCTACGGCCGCAAACCTGGGCCGACCACGGCCAGAACAAGGGACACCAGGGTCCAGTAACGCAGCAGATGCCGGACAGTATGGGCCTCCACAGCCACAGCTGTATCATGGCCCTGGTACGGCTCAAAATTATGCTACCGGTTCCTATCTCGGCGACGAAAGCGGAGGCGGGCACCCGCAGCAACAAGCAAGTAACAATGCGCCAGTCCAGCGGCCTATTCCGCTGCGACAGCCAGGGCAACAGCGGTCTGCTGGGGAATATGACCAGTCTGGTGGTGGTGCTGGATATATGTATAAAGATGATACCGGGTCGGAATTTCGTGAGGCGCCGTATTAGGGGACGGAGATAAGTGACAGAAACCTACCATCAATAATATACGGCTTTAAAGTCTGTAGATCTCTTGTGGTTTCTACTCGTTGCTACTTCCACTCATGCCGGCCATCCTAGCAGACTATCAAGCCTGGCGGAAACAAAGCACCAGTACCAAAATCCAAGGCACCAGGTTGAACGTCTCCACACGTCTAGTCACATCATAGCACATTCACAACGCCTGTATCAGAATGTACGGAGTAGCTTATGTCTTACTTGGGATTGACTTGCGCCAGTCTTTAGACTTTTGATTGTCAAAGAAATACAATTCATTGGTATTGTAGCGCTGCATGCGCAGGACACCCGAAAAAACAGCGAGGAGTAATCATCATCCTTTTCCATCTGCTTTATTGTCTCGTAGTCTTGGTCATCCTTTTCCAGTCCCAAACGCCGAGAATGCCGCAGTCCATCCCTTCCCATCCCGCCGGTCACATTGCTTTCTCTAGTAGAAGAAGCCAATGATCTTGCCGGACACGTGCTTTCTCCGGGCCTCCTCGTGGTCCATAATACCAGCAGACGTGGTCAGGATGATGTAACCGAACTGACGGGCAGGCAGCAGCTTGACGACCCACTTCTCCAGGTCCGACAGGCGCACGTTGTAGCGGGGGGAGATGACAGCGGTCTTGTTCAGGCGGCCGTTCAGCTGGACGACGATCTTGCCAGACCGGTGGTCGTCGACCTCCTCGAATTCGCCAATGTAGCCTAGACAATGAAATGTCAGTATGTATGTAGCGTAGGGTTAAACGTATAGACGTCATGTAAATATGCCAATAACAGCTCCGAGAAACGTGTAAGCCCTCGCAAATCAATCTATCGGCAACTTAAAAGACTAGTGTCGTGGGTATTGAAACCGTCGTCCAGTTATCATGCCGAACATAGTGTTCGTTTCGTTGGAGAGCATTGGCATACAACATGACGAGGGGAACCCGGATCAACGTACCGTGCTTCTGCATGACGCTCAGGAACTTGATGATGACCTTGGAGCTCGGGCGGATCAAGACCTGGCGCTTGCCGGCCTTCTCGGCGTTGTTGATGCTCTTAAGAGCATCGTGGAGGACAGATGTGCGAACCATTTTGGCTAGTGGTTCAGGATGATGATCTTTTCAATCCAGTTAGTCTCGAGGCTCAAGAGCATGGAGAGTGCCCTTCGATGGAAAAGAAAGAAGGGTTCTGCCTGCTCAGTGCTGAAGGAGAGCAGCGTATCAAAGCCGTTCAGGGAACAAAATTGATTGCTGTCTCCGGCCTCCGCGTCGAGACGCTTGTCGTTTCCTTCATGATTGCTTTTATGCGCTCACGGCGGAAAGATTGTCACTCCCCCCTTATTTCTTTTCCCACGTCGGGCACAGCCTAATAGACCATGTTGTGTGGAGGATGAAACCTACCTGAATTGATGATGCGATGGTGCCGGTTGGGTGCGTGAAGGAAATGAAGCTTAGTTCTTACTTTTTCCTACACCCAATTTTATTACCGGCGTTTTTTTCTCGTGCGAGGAAACCTACCGGATAAAACTTGCCCCATGCGCCGCACACACAAAATGTCGTGTGGACCCTAACCTAAGTGGGTTGTAATTGGTGAATTATTATATTATGTCAGCGACAACCCGCAAAAAGTGGCTCACACAAAATGTTCACTACTAAGAGATCCACCACTTTTTTTTGTGAAAAACCACACCTTCATGAATCCCATCTCTATCAATCTATAAATCTACAACTCTTCGAGGATCGCCCCGACAGCTTTTTGACAAAATAACAGCAAAATGGTGAGACTCCGAATTTGCCGCTTTCCTCTCAATCTCGACCCCCAGTGGTTCGGCCGCGCAGAATGGACATTGAAATAGAGGGGGGAAGCTTGCGGCGCATGCGGCGAACCACTGGGGCGAGGGGACGAAGCAATCGAACGAGACAACGTCGGGAAACAGGCTTGCTGACTTGTGGAACTCATAGTCGGACGTAGAAGATAACCAGCCCGAAGTTCAGGAGGAGGTTGAGGTGTCCGCGGACGCCGCCTCCAAGGGCCAGATGTCGGTCCTGGACGCCCTCAAGGGTGTTCTTCGCCTGGCCCTCATCCACGATGGCCTTGCCCGTGGTCTTCGTGAGGCCTCGAAGGCGCTCGACCGCCGCCAGGCACACATGTGTGTCCTGAACGAGGCTTGCGAGGAGGACGCGTATAAGAAGCTCGTCATCGCTCTGTGCTCCGAGCACAAGATCCCCTTGATCAAGGTCCCCGACGGCAAGCAGCTCGGCGAGTGGGCTGGTCTCTGTACGTTTCTATACCATATCTTACCCAGCCTGATCTCCTACTCAGCAGCGACTAACATGTTTGTGTCAGGCGTTCTCGACCGCGAGGGTAACGCCCGCAAGGTCGTCAACTGCTCTTGCGTCGTCGTCAAGGACTGGGGTGAGGAGTCGCAGGAGCGGTCTATCCTCCTGAACTACTTCCAGACCGAGCAATAAACGCTACGGAAGCTGGAAACGGGAAGCTAGATGGAGAAAATAGAAAATCTATATCATCAAACGGGCTTTGAATGAAAGTCTCCCCCCTGTCGAATCAGGGATGAGAGGACCGGTGGGGTACTGGATACCAGGTAGACAAAATGTCAACTGTATTGAGTGTCTTCTCTGATTTTCGGACAAGCTAAAGTCTGCATTGCCTGAGATGTCTCGTGCCATTTCTCGTTCGTAGCAGGAGCGGAGAAATCATTCCATATTTGAATTGAGCCCCACGTGAAATAAAACCATTCTTGCAAGGTCCGCGACTAACAGGCGAAAACACTAGCAAAGCACAGTCACGTGAGTCCGAGTCTCCCCGGATTAGGAACCCGTGCACGGACCGGATAATCGCTCAACAACTTTTCAGCCGTCGCCGTTACCAGTAGGCAGGATCTTTCCCCCTCTGCAGAACACGACAAACGACGCGTTCTCGTTATTGTTCCCGACCATTCGGCTTCTTCCTACCGGCCTTTCTCACTTTGCTTTGGCCGAGTCTGATTGGAGGGTCCGCACAGGTACTCTGTCTGCAATCTCCGAGCCACCGAGAGACGTGCAGCCGTGATTCCTGTCTCGTCAGCGTGTCTACCATCATCTGATGGGCATCCCTATCATTTAAACCTTTCCTATTTCCATCCTCGCGCCGCCGGGTTGGCGATGGCGACCAAACCTCTGTCTCCCGCGGAGGCGGAGCTTGTCAGGTACGTGACGACATTCTTCAGTTCACATCGCACTCATTGACCACGCGTGCTTTGCAGCTCCCTGACGGAGGACGACATTCCCACGAAATTGCGATGCGCCATTTGCAGCAAACTGGCCGTGAATGCGTACAAGCTCCCATGCTGTGAACAGCTGATCGACGAGACCTGTAAGTAGACGCGATACGCGATATGCGAAAGCAGTACAATGGTAGCTAACCTGGCGTATAGGCCATGACACTCTGCCGTCGACTTGTCCTGTCTGCGAGCACACGCCGCTTTCCGCAGCGGACTGCAACCCGAATAAGGTGATGCGGTCGACGATTCGTGTCTTTATCAAGACCGAGCTCAGGAAGCGGGAAACGAGCCGCGCCAAGCAATCGAAAGACACGCCACCGGCGACGGCCGTGCCTGTGGAGGCCAAGGAAAGCACACAGTCTTCTGGGACGGTGGGGGTGGCTGCAGTCTTGGCTGGGGAGTCTCAGGAGGTGGAGGCATCCTCAAATATAGTTGATAACGCCGTTCAAGCGGAAAACTCTCAGATGCAGGAGGTGGTCGTTGCGGAGCCAACAGAGGATGCCTCGATTAAGCACGACAACGCCAGCAGTTCTGGGGCAGCTGACAAGATTGTTCGTAATCCTCATTCTTTGTGTGATGCTTTGGCACCTACGGCGTACCCATCCGAGCCGAAAGGCTGTTCCTTGCGTTCTTTGCGTTCTTTGCTAACATGCCGTAATAATCGTCACGCTGTTAAGGCAACAGAAATTATGGAAGGGATTGCAGATGTCGAACCTGCCGTTTCCCAGGTCGATGGAGTGGTTGGAGCCGACTCCAACACCGACCCAGCAGCAGCCACCAGCAGCCAAGAGGTGGCTGAAACGGCCGAGGCGACCGAGCTGTCCGTGCCGCAGGGCGAAAAAAGTGCCACAACCAGCAGCAACGCGAATGGCGGTGGAGGCTTTGATGGAAGCACGACAGCCGAAAACTTTGCTGGCATGAATGCGAACTTCACTGGGGACTTTAGCCAGATGCAGATGATGATGGCCATGCAAAACGGGATGATGCCAGCCGGCTTCGGCTTTCCTATGATGGGTAAGTTTGCGCGGAGGACAAACGCATGACCCCAACGTTTTTTATTTTATTTTTATTTTAGGAAAGCAAAATCTGACAGACGGTACTGTTTTAGGCATGCCTGGCATGGGCATGGATCCCGCAATGCAGGGCATGTACATGAATGGCGGATTCGGGGCGCAAGGCATGGGCATAAACGGCATGAACGGCATGAACGGCTTGAACAACATGAACATGATGGATGGCGGGTTTGGCGGCTCAGGGTCCAATAACTGGAACGGGCAACAGTCATGGCAAATGGCCCAAGATAATTTCAATCATCAAAATGCTGCTGGTATGGGCACCGGTGATTTTGGGTCGTATAACACAAGTTTCCAAGCAGGATACAATCAACCAGGTAACTTCCAACAGAACCAGTTCAATCAGTTCCGTGGGTTCGGACGCGGACGCGGCCGTGGTCGGGGGTTCTACAACGGATATGGCCGTGGCGGCTTCGTCAACAACATGGGCTATGGACCGAACGCGAACTTTCCGGTCCAGGGCCAAGGGTTTGGACCTCAGCAGTCGATGTATGGCGACGGTAGCGGCAACGCGGTGAACGGCGAAGAAGCCGGCAACAACATGACGGGCGAAGACGACAGCGCGATGCCAGCGAGCAACGATGGCCACGACAGCAGCAACGGCAACCATGATGCAGCCGGTAACAATGCTGATCCGGTGGAACGCAGCACAAGTCAGGCGCCTTCTCAACCAGCCGCCGAAGGTTCGGAGTCGGAGGCGGTGGATTTGCGTGCACGAATCCCCGTGTTCGAGTCTGGTGATCGTAGTCGTCTACAAAACGGCGACCGCTCTGACGGAGGACCGGGTTCTGGGCCACAGGCCTTCCCGTTCAGCCCGATGCAGATACGAACGCACGTTGAAGGCAGTAACGGGCCGGCAGCAGCAGCCAGCGTCCCTGACATTCCTTTGAATGCACCGTCAGGCCCTCGCGCGATGCGTCAAGGGCTTCCTAACACTAGTACTCTTCACCTGCGCGCACGTGGGTATAATATTGACGACGGCAGCCGGACGGTCAACGCGGTCACAGGCGGCTCGGGCAATAACAGCCCAGCGGTTGAGCAAAAGAGCCAGAGAGAGTCCCGCAGTAATTCGGTCAGCTCGAAGCGGCGGGACTACGGCCGTTATAGAGAGCGCAGTCGGGATGCGAGCAAGAGCGGTGGTGGAAGCCACAGCCGAGACTATGGCCAAGACCGGGACAGAGACCGGGAGGCAGAAGCAGACGTTGGTCAAGGCGAAGATGGCAGCCACAAAGAGCGGCCAGCGGTGGATGAAGTTAGCGAGGAAAAGCCGGGCGCGGATGGGGAACGAGGCCGCGGCCGTTCTGAATCTCGCAGCAGCCGCAGCCGAAGCCGCAGCCGAGACGGCCAGACAGACGATGCCAAGCACAAGCGGAACTACTCTGAAGTTTCAGCAGCAGATGTGCAGCAAGAAGCGGCACCGCAGCGACGTGGCCGTCAGCGAGGCAGAAGACGGCGTGGACGCAGAGGAGGCGACAAGAAGGCAGATGAGCCACCAGCACCTGCACGACTAGACGACGGACACGGGCGCACAGGACGATCGCGGTCGGCGTCGCCGCCACGGGACGATCTCAGACGGCCTGGCAGTCGTGGACACCGAAGCCGCAGGGATCGCGAGAAGGAGAGAGAGCGGGAAAGAGAGCGGGATGATTACCGGCGACGATCGCACAGGGACGACGAACACGATCGGGAGCGGGAGCGAGATAGGGACCGAGAACGCGACCGTGAGCATCGGGACCGCGATTGGGATCGGGATCGGGAGCGAGACCGAGACCGCGACCGCGACCGGGATGATGATCGAAGCCGTAACAAGGAGAGAGCTCGCGATCGGGATCGAGAGCGGGATCGAGAGCGAGAGCGGGAACGGGAACGGGAACGAGACCGTGGGCGTGATCGTGACCGGGAACGGGACCGGGAGCGTGACCGGAACCGAGATCGAGACAGAGACCGCAGTCACGGACGCGACCGTGATCGAGAGAGAGCGAGAGATGGAAACGGGCAAGGAGCAGGACCTGGAAGCAGCTCGCAGGCGGCTCCCAATGGTCCTAAAGGGGCTGCAGGGCCATCTGGGGCGGCGGCTGGAAAGGGCAGCCTGGACCCGTATGCGGCCGAGCGTGAGCGGCGGATGCGCGAGCGGATGGTGGCAGAAAAGCAGAAGATTGCCGGGATATCAACCCTCGCAGGATCGAAGCGCGGTCGCGACGACTTTGAAGAGGGTGGTGGCCAAAACGGCAGTGGAGGCGGCGGTGGAGGTGGCGGTGGAGGTGGCGGTGGAGGAGGAGGAGGTGGAGGTCGACGAAGCCGGCGCAGAGGCCGTAGAGGCGAAGCAATTGCTACGGAAGACGCCGGACAAAGGCTTCGACGCAGCGAGGCTGAGCGAGACGGTGGTCAGAGATAGGACGAGGATGAAGCCCGGTTTCTCGTTCCTTTCTCTCTTTTGTATTGACGTTGATTAATGTGTGGAGGGGGGAGGGGTTGGAAGGACAATCTGGACAGGGAGGGGCAGAGAGCAGTGTTGCTCTGATGTTGCATCGAGTAGTATTTAGAGGTCATAAGATATCTTCCACACCACAACTCCAAGACTCAGCTTCTTCCAAGATGCTCTGACAGCGACCGTTTTGAGCCGCGTCTGAAACGGAGAGGGCGAAACGGTTGAGCGACCAATGACAACGCGCCATCCGGCCAAGAGGCCCCGCTCCTTCTCCGTTGACGACTGGCAATGGATTGGGCGGGAAAGGCGGGGTTGCCTGATGTCGACTGAGCTGACGGTCAGCTGGCGACGGGTCTTTTTTGGAAAAGGCCCCCCGGCTTCCCAGACGGGAATCCCCCCCCATCCCTCCTTGTTGTTGCGTGTAAAGCTCTCACCTCGCGGTCGACCCCCTTACACAGTGCAGTGCAGCTCTCCTCCATCCTATTCGCGCTCTGGACGCTTTCCATCATTCGTGCTTCCTCCTATTCCGGCCGAAGCTCGCCTGCGACGCCCCATGTCCATTTCTTATCAGTCTCCCTCGCTCACCGTCGTCCACGCCAACATCTTATCATGCGGCCGCCCGAGGCGTTTGCACGCCGCCGTTCTGTCGCTGCGGCTGTTGATGCCGACCTCTCCGTGCACATGGCCGGCGACAGTGGCAGCGGCAGCACAGCGCCGGCGATGACCTATTTCCTGGCAGCCGAAGACGAGATCGACGCGGCCGTCGAGAGCTCCTGTGGGGCCGGATTCCACCTTCGCGAGCTGGTGAAGTGTAACCAACAGCAGCAGCAGCAACAGCAGCAGCCGCAGCGGCACCAGCACCAGCACCAACACCAGCAGCTTCTACAGATCGCGTCGAGCCAACCGCAGCCGTCTCAGCACCGCAGAGTGGAGGCCACGACGGTGGAAGTGGAAGCTGCTGCAGTCGTGGCATCGAGCTCCACACCGCTCAGTCGGGACGACGGCCACGTCAGACGCGAGGACCACGAAGACGACAGCCGCCCTGCTCCTGTCGATGTTCCGAGCATCAGCCATCGTCCCCGCACACCAGCTGCGACCAGACACGATCTCAACCTTGACCACGACCGTGATCTGGTCCGGTCCATCTGTTCTCCCTCGCTCTCGCGGCCCAGCACGCCAAGCCTGTTTGGCACGCCGGGCCCGGCCTCGCTGTCGGCCCTGAGCAGCCCGTCGTCCCGGCACAACTCGCTGGCGAGCTCGTTTCTGGACGACAGCGAGCCAGACCCGGTCGTGCTGCCCGAAGGCGGAGAACACGGCCGGTTTGGCAGTTTTGACGGCAGCCATCACCACATCCACCAGATCGCGGCCAGCAGTCCGCCGTCCCTCGCCGCCTCCGCCCTCTCGATCGCGACGGCCGACGATAGCCGGATGATGGACAGCGGCAGCGCGCCGCAGCTGATCATGCCCAGCATCCAGATGCCCAGCCGGCGACCCTTTACGGCCACCGGCCGGCAGCTCGGCCGGCTCAAGGTGCTCATCGCCGGTGACACTGGCCTCGGCAAGACGTCGCTCATCAAGGCCATCGTGCAGTCGTGCCAGCACATTGTACACGTCGACCACATCGCTCCGGCGAGTACCGTCGGCCGTCGTCGATCGGCCCCGGCCAGCCGACCTGCCCTGGGACACGCACACACGCACCGTCGGCCGTCCCGGTTTTCACCGCCCGACCAGTCCACCGGCAAGATCACCGAGATCTATGCGAGCACCAAGCCGTACCCGGCCTGGTGGAGCGAGCTGGACGACAGCCGGGCCCCAACCAAGAGGAAGAGCCTCGGCGACAACGTGCTCGACCGCAACATCTGCTTTGTCGACACGCCAGGCTACAGCGGCCAGACATCCGTATGTATCGCTTCTTCGACGACCCTGTCTCTGTGCTGTGCTGACGTTTGACAGGTCATGGACGCTATCACACCGGTGGTGCAGTACGTAGAGTCGTTCTTGCACCGGCTGCGTTCGAACGCGCTGAGCGATGCCGACCTCGTCAGTCTCTTGACGGGTGATGGAGGGCTGTCGATCGACGTGGTCTTCTATCTCGTTTCCGGAGGTCGGTTCTCTTGCGTCTCCTGCGATCGTCTACCAAAGCTGACACATCTGCCGGACATTTAGATCTGAAGCCGGCCGACATTGAATATCTGCGACTGCTCGCACCACTGACCAACATCATCCCTCTGCTGGCACGGGCAGACACGATCGCGTCCGAGACCGAAGTCGCGTGGGCCAAGGAGCGGATGGCCAAGCAGCTTCTGGAAGCCAACATACAGCCGTTTGCCTTTGCAGCGCCGGCAACGGCCTTGGTTTTGCCCTATGCCATATCGAGCACGCCGGGCGTCGACCTCGACACGATGGACGCGAGCCTTCTGATGAGCCCCGACTACGTCCAGCCGCTGGTGCCGACCGAGTTGGCTCAGCTGGTCGACCGCGTCTTCTGCCCGGACGGCGCCTCTCGTCTGCGCCATGCGGCTGCCCGCAAGTCCGTCCAGTGGAGGAAGTGCGGGCTTGATGCGGACGCGGGCAGCTCGTTGCTGTTGTCGTCGCCGTCGTCGCCGCCGGTGCCGTCACGGCCCCAGCACCTCTACCGGCCCCTGAACCTGAACCTGAGCCTGGCCCGGATGGCCGACCACACGCAGCGGGAAGAGCGGCTGGCCCAGATCCGGCTGGCCACCTGGGCCGCCGAGCTGCAGCGCCACCTGGACAGCGAGCGGGCCCGGTTCGAGAACCTGGCCCGGAACGAACGTGCCGTCTGGCTGACGGAGCGACTGAGCGAGTGCGTTCAGGATGGAAGCCTGGTGGCTGTGGCTGCCGATCACCGCAGCCGAAGCCAAAGCCAAGGCCATGGGCTGAAGCGACACGATACCCGCACGCATCACGGCTACCGCGCCGACCTCTTTGGCCAGAACAAGAAGAAGAGCCGACGGCCGTGGTCGACGAGGTCCGTGTCGGCATCACTCTGCCACGAAGACCCGCTCGGCCTGCTCGAGGTCACGGCAGGCCTGAGGGCCCGCGGCTGGCTCGTTCTCGAAGTCCTCGGCAGCCTGAGCATGCTCGGCGGCATGGCGCTGTGGGTGGCCCGGTACAACTACCACCTGCAGCTGTACGGCTGGGTCGTCGACGAATGGGCCAAGTTCTGGGGCGGGGGCCGTTGAGGCGTTTGTCGCTTTCCGTCTATTCTTCGTTTGCTTCCTTCTGGACCACCAACGCATGTCCTCTTCCTCCTTTTTTCTGAATACCACGCTCAAACACATACGACCAGTTTCACCATAATCACTTACTTCATTCATATTCAAGGGTCTCGTCGGGCGTTGTGGAATCGGGAATCATTCTTCCCTCTTATAGATATGCCACTATAATTACAGCCAAGATTAATGCACTTTTAGTGGACGTTTGCCTCAGGCGCGCTAAGCTGTAATTGTTCGTATTTTTTCCGTATTCACTCCGTCCTTCGTATCTTACTCGACCTATCAATGTCGATCTTTCCGTTTCCTACATCGTTTGCTGCTGCTGCTGCTGCTGCTGCCATCCTCCTACACAACACAGCTTCATCGCCAGCACGCTCTCTCCTTTGCGTCGGCCTATTTAAACTCCTTCTCTCTCCCACTTCTCCCGCCACTCCCTTGACAATCCGAGCACCGTCTGCCGATTCCGAGAACCGAATTGCTGGGTGCTGTTGCTATTGTGTTGGAGGTGTTGCTGTTTTGACACCACAATCGTCCCATCTTTTTTTTATTCGCGTTTTGGACAACTCTTCCATCGAAAGAACAACAATCGACTGCATAGATTCTCGCCCCCCCTCCCCCCAACAACGCACGTCGACTTGTCACCTCCCCAACAGCGGCAGAGAATTTTTCTTCCGCACCTCCACTCTGGCCACGCCCGAGTTCATGACAGACTCACAGCTCCCCCAATCTCGCCCCTTTGCACCCTGAACAGCGACGAGGCGCATAGAACGAGGAGGAAGACCGCAGCAGACAGGACCAATCCGCAGCCATGAACACCGAGAAGCAGTATGGCGTCACGCCGCCCCTATCGACAGAGATGCCGACCGAGGAGCAGCGCCGCCAGACCGACGCGCTGCTGGAAGAGCTGCGACAGCAGGGAACGTTTGAGAGCACGGCCGAGACGCAGAAACGGTGAGCTTTTGCCGTGTGCACAGGGTGGCGCTCAACGAGGCCCGTCCGTCCTCTCTTGCTAACGCCCTCCCCCCCTTTTCTGCAGCTTCAAGGTGCTCGAGTCGCTCCGCATGGTTGCCGACGCATTTGTGAAACGCGTCGCGAAAGAGAAGGCGCCAGACAACCCGACGCTCTTCCGGGATGCGTGTGCCAAGATCTTCACGTACGGCAGCTTCAGGCTGGGCGTCTACATGCCCGGCTCCGACATTGACACACTGGTGGTCGCGCCCAAGTACGTATCCCGCGAGGACTACTTCAACTACTTCCCCGAGATGCTGCAGGCCATGACGCCGCCAGGCTCCATCACCGACTTGACCCCTGTCGAGGACGCGTTTGTGCCCATCATCAAGTTCGAGTACAACGGCATCAGCATCGATCTCATCTTCTCGCGTGTCCTCCTGACCCAGCTGCCGTCCGATGACAAATGGGGCTTGAAGGACTCTAACCTGCTGCGCGGCCTCGACGAGGCCGAGCTGCGCTCCGTCAACGGCACCCGTGTCACCGACGAGATCCTGAGCCTCGTGCCCGAACAGCGCACCTTCCGCGATGCCCTGCGCGCCATCAAGCTGTGGGCCCAGCGTCGCGCCATCTACGCCAACATTGTCGGCTTCCCCGGCGGCGTCGCCTGGGCCATGATGGTGGCCCGCGTCTGCCAGCTGTACCCCAAGGCCACCGGCGCCGTCATCGTGTCCAAGTTCTTCGGCATCATCCTCCGCTGGCCGTGGCCGAACCCGGTCCTGCTGAAGCCCATCGAGGACGGCCCGCTGCCAGTGCGCGTGTGGAATCCCAAAGTCTACCGCGGCGACCAGTTCCACATCATGCCCATCATCACCCCGGCGTATCCGTCCATGTGTGCGACGTACAACATCTCGCAGTCGTCGCTGTCCATCATCAAACGCGAGCTCGAGCGCGCCTCCGAGATCTCGCAGATGATCATCTCCGGCCGCCAGCAGTGGAAGGACCTGTTCGTCAAGCACACCTTCTTCACGTCCGACTACAAGTACTACATCTCCGTCATCTCGGCCAGCACCGAGAAAGACGCTCAGAACACCTGGTCGGGCTTTGTCGAGTCCAAGGTGCGCGTCCTCGTCCAGGGCTTGGAACGTCACGAGTCTATCGCGCTCGCGCGGGCCTTCAACAAGGGATACGAGCGCACGCACATGTGCAAGAACCAGGCCGACATCGATGCTGTCCAGAACGGGAGCCTCGATTTCATGGTCCACAAGTCGGACGAAGCCAGGACTGGTGATGGTGCCGATGGTGCCGCCCCAAAAGATGCCGCAAACTCGGCCGACGCCATCGAAGTGTTCACATTGACGCACTACATCGGCATCGAGCTGGTGGAAGGTATGTTTCTCTGTGCCTCTCTCTCTGTAGGCGCTGATGCTGATCCGATACGATAGGAGCCAAGTCGCTCGATCTCTCTTTTCAGGTGGATGAGTTCAAAGAGCTCTGCTTTGGCTGGGATAAGTACAAGGGAAAGCTGTCGGACGTCGCCACTCTGAGCATTCAGCACGTGCGAAAGTAAGTTGCATCAACAGCCATGTTCCTCTGCGCTCTGCGCAAGAGGGGACTCGGGAGCTAACAGCAAACAGCGTTACTCTTCCAGATGACGTTTTTGAACCCGGAGAGGTGAAGCCCGTACGCCCGACTAAAGGTCTTCGGCAAGGTCGCCGAAACCCGGCTGCAGTTGCAGCCAACGGAAACAAGAAGCGCATCGCGTCAGAAGTAAATTAGTCTCTACGAGATGGCTACGACCTTGAACCTCTGCATGGTGCTAACAGTCTCTCAAAGGACAACTCGTCAAACGCGCCGCCACCGAAACGACAGCAGCCACATGCAACCCAGCAACAGTCTACGGCCATTTCTGCCACGGCAGCAGGCTGAAGGCAGACAGCCGATGCCAGAAGGCGTCTTTGACTATCGGAATTGAAGTCCTCCAAAGTGAGACGGCATGTCGCCAAGGACCACTTGCTGGGCATGGCTAGTTTCCCCGTCCTTGAACTCAGAACAGTCTGGAAAGCCCGGCTCTCACACTTTATTCCAGAAGCACACCCTTCCCCCCCCCCCCCCCATTTTCTTTAAAGGGCTTTGTCAAACGGCGTCTGTGCACCCCGTTACAGACCAGGCTGACATTTGATCTACTCCTATTTCCAAAACAACAAAAAAAGCAAGATTGGGCCGGATTGCCAATCAGATACGCAAAAACCGCCCTGCATTGGGGCAGCAAGAGAAATTCCGAAAGGAAGAACAAAAAAATAATTGACAGCATAAGAAACAGAAAAGCAAGGGACAAGAAGAAGGTGCAAGAAGCGAATGGGAGCGCAAAAGAGCAATCTGCCAGCAACCGACAAGGAGCTGGATATCCTCATTTCGGTTTGGTATTCCATCGAATGCTAACGAACAGTAAACGACTTGCCAACAAAGCTCACGGTTGGCGAAGTCGGTCATATTGGGCAATATCAAGGCGAGGAAACGCCTTGGTTGGTTTTATTTCCTGCATTTTTTCTTCTCACCTCTACACCATTTCCCCGTTATACTCATTTTAGTAAAGGAAACTCCTCGGACAGAAGCCGGGGCACGCGCCTCCTAACCCTGTCTTTCCCAGAGACAGGGCATCTTCATCGTTCTTCGACGTCACGCATGATTTCCTGAAGCCTCGCGTTGCGTGCCGTTATTTTTACTTGCTCACTGTGGGAAGACCATAATAGGCGATGCTTTTTTCGAGAGACTTTTCATTCTCAGACGCACCAGCAAATATGAGACCATGTAACCTAATATTTTACATAGCATCAATTGACACGTAAATATGACAGAAACGGAACATGTGGCCTAGGTTATGACGTGAAGGCAGTCAGGCAACGTGGTATAGGCAGCCTCGCTCCTTCCCATAATGACAATTGGTCTCGTATAGAGTCATATCGCAGAGGTAGACGCCCCGGACAGCTCCTGCTGAAAGTGGTTGGCGAGCATCGAAACAGAATCGAAAATCAAGTAATGTTCCCTGTCGTCAACGTTTCCATACAGCGGCAATAACATATTAAATTACTCACTTGCGCAAATTCAGAAGCATGCCTCATACTGCTACAAGCTGCCGATCTCTGGCGGGTCTCCGACCTATTCCATGCACCTCTTCACCGACGCTGGACAGTGACGATGAGCTGTCTAATTACCAGGAGACTCTATTGATGCCGCTGGCAAGAATCGAAGTCGAAAGCCAGGCCTGTGGGAAGTTTAAACAGCGTACGGGCACCTCCCCGCCTTCTTGCGTTGGTTTCCAGCTGACGAATTTTTTTGTACTACTGGGCAGTGATCAAGATCCCGATTCGGAGGGACCAGTTTATACGAATCGGTAGCGGCGAGAAGAGGTTACGGGCCATGATCCAAGACCGACTCCGTACGGTTGCTCTTTTACTGACCTGCATTAGCAACCTTCGAATTAAGGATGCGGGTGTTTCGCCCGTACACTGCGAAATTTATTCTGTCGTCTTTGAAAGCGACGAACGTTGCATCTCTCTAATCTACGTTCGCGACTGCCAGTCGATAACTGGGACGCATGTGAATGGCCACCGCATTGGCAAAGGACCCTACATCACTTCTGCCCAGCTCCTCGAAAACGACGACATTATTCGTGTTGGTCCCTGTAGACTTCAGGTCCGCAGCGACATGGCCCAAGGAGGTGATATGGCATTGAGCCGAACCCAGAGAGAGGAAACCTCTGTATGTGCAAAGAACCAAATACAGCACCGTCTTTTGATTTAATCTTACTTCCAGCAGCTTTTCGAGGACCACTATGTGGTCAGAGATATCGTCATAGGACACGGATCGTATGGCACAGTGCACCTTGCTGTGAACGTCAAGACAAATCGGCAGGTGATATGCAAAGTCCACGATCTAGAAGGGCTCGAAAATCTGGAGCCGTTTGCGATCCGTGGTGTGGACCAGGAAATGTTTATCTGGAGCCATCTTGATCACGTATGTGCAAACACGCGGTCCTAACACCAGCAATAGTCTAAATAAATCTGGCAGCCTAATATCATTGCCTTCCAACGTGCATTTCGGACAAACAAGAACATGTAAGCATCTGCTTACAGTCCGAAAACCTCGCTTGGCACCTTAACGATATATGGCAGGTATACGTTTGCAGAATTGGCAACAGGGGGCGACCTTCACTCTCTCCTGCGACGAAGGAAAATGCTCCCCGAGCTTGAAATCAAGTGGATTACGAAGCAAGTCCTCAGCGCGGTTGCTTACCTGCATAGCAAAGGTGTTGCTCACCAGGACATAAAGCCGGAAAATGTCCTGTGCACTGTCAGCCCGCAGGCCACGCACCGAATCGTGTTGACGGACTTCGGCTGCTCTGGGGTAACAAGCCTGGGGAGATTGCCTTGCGATAGTGGAACAGTCAATTGTCGAGCACCGTAAGGATTTTGTTAGGACTAGGCGCCGTCAAGCTTGACAATGTTACTGAACCGCAAATAGGGAAGTCTGGTTCGCAGGTGGGAGACATGGGGTCTCGGTCGACATCTGGGCTATTGGGGTCTTGACACTGCAGCTTATAGCTGGTGATGATCCCGTCGACATGCCGTTGGAGTTCGCAGACATGTCAGAGATTGGAGAGTTTGTCTGGTCGGTCTTATATAAGAGGATGGCGTCAATGAGCGAGCCCATGTCAGACTCCGGTCTGCGCTTTCTTATGGCATGTCTCAACCTTGACCCCAGCAAACGGCCGTCTGCGAAAGAGGCATCAGGACACATATGGCTGACTAAGCAACCGGAGAGGTCTATCTTTGAAGAGAGAGAGAGGCAGCTAGCTTGGGAACCACGCGACATTCTGATCCCAGCTGTCGTTGATCTTCGAGAAGCTACTCGCACGGTATTCGGTAGCGAATATTGTGCGATGCACGATGCTAGTGAGCTGGAAGGATCACAGGAGTCTGAGCCTGATGACCACAGATTGACTCAAGAGACGTCGCCAGCGTCAAAGGTAATGGGTTGTCCAAATCAACGCATGAAAGTGTGCGAGCGAGGCCAGACGACAATAGTCACCAACGGGAATCCTGTAGCTGCGAATGGTCGGAACCATTCTGCGCCATGAACGTGTGTTTTTACGGACATGTGATGTTGAGGAGATATCTTTCGCTTTGTGATCTGTTGCATGGGGATATGTCTCTTGAATATCTTCAGATAGTAGAGACACTGTACTGTAGCTAATCAAAGACCACTTTGAGCATTAGCTAGGTTATGCTACTCGTCCCGAACATGGGCTGACGTTCACTCGGTGCTTCAGTCTCCCTGATGAGAGTGCCTGTGTTGCCAAGCCACAGCAGCTCTTTTAGTCAGCCTCTTCTAGCCTTCCCTGCAATACACCCGCGCCATCTCGTCTCGGCTCGGCACAGGGCAGCCCGGCTGCCATCGGTTTTGCTGATCCGTGTGCACGTGCTAGAGAGCGCAGAGTGGTAGGAAACCGTAGCCTTCCCGAGGGCGCGAATTGGTGTGACAAGATGTCTCCTGTCCCGTTCCTCCGCCCTTTCCTCTTCGCCTCACACCTTTCCGCCCAGCCGGGCGCGTCGGGCCTCGTCCTCGCGAATGGCCTCGCTGCGGGCCAAGAACAGTTGGCGGTCTGCATACGAACCCTTGGCGCGGCCGGCGAGTGCGAGCTCGTCCTGGATGCCCTCCTTATCGACGAAGCCGGCCCAGTCCATCCGGCTCATCTCGACCGTGTTGAGCTTCCGGGCCTTTTCCTGGGCGGCAGCCTTTTCGCGGGCCAGCAGCCGGGCGCGCATGCCGAGGTCGAGGTCGGCACGGCCAGACTGCGGCACGGCGATCACCGGCTCAAAGGCCGAGCGGAAAGCTTTGCGTGGTGGCAGCCGTTCGGGACCGTCACCATGGGTGTCCTGGGTGCCATTCGCCGTCGCCGCCGCAACGCCAACAACGTCCTGCCCGTCCAGCGACGACAGGTACAGCTTCGCCTCGGCCGAGTCGCGCGCCACCAGCTTCTCTTCCGTGTGCACCTTTCCGGCAAAGTTGTAGGTCCGGCGGATGTTGATCATGCCGTCGCCGCCGTCATCGTCGTTGTCGTCAGGCCGAGAAGCCGTAGCGGCTGCGGCAGCGGCTGCCGTCGCCACGGCCGCCAGATCCAGCACGCTGTCTTGCAGCCCACTGCCCTCTCCGCTGCCCGTCGTCGTGTCGGTCTGCTGCTCCGGACCGGCCGTCATCTGCGCCCAGAGCGCTTCCACGTCCACCGTCACCGGCCCGCGGACCGTTGCCGCCCGACGCTCCGCTTTCCTGCGACTGTCAGCAGCCTGAGCTGGTAGGTCAGAGAGCCACGAACAAGAGCCTGCGACCTACTCATTTGCACGCTGTCTTCGGGTCTTGACAAAGCCTCCGGTCCCGCCACCCTCGTCGTCGCTCTCCTGCCGGCCCTTGTCCCGTCGGCGCCGCTTCTTCTTCCCCTTGCCAATCACGGCCTCGTCTCCGGAGTTCTCAAATCCGGCATCCTCGGCCTCGGCATCGTCGTCTGCAGCTCCGTCTCGTCGTCGCTTCGGCGTTGTGGCAGTCTGTTTGCCATCACCCTGAGCCGCTTCCGCTTCGTCGTCTGACTCTGCAGACGAGACGTGCTCCGGTGCGTCTTCGGGGGCAAAATCGGAGTCTTCTGACGATGCATAGTCCTCTTCGTCGATTGGTGGTTCGGGAGGCATGGCTAGTAGCTGTTGGTTGACAAGTTGCCAGTCACGATTTTAGTGAAGAAAGACGCGTTAATGGCATTCACCCGCTTTTGCAAGCACATGTCCTACACGGATAATCACATGTATGCACGTATCCGGGCATCGGGGACTTGCCGAACACGTCATACATAGTACTCGTACATATGGACTGCCGACGCTAAAAGGCTTGTTTCTGCCTTGCAGATTGGAATTGCTCTTGTGGGAGTGGTTGAATGCGCAGTTGCGGTCCATTGGGTACCCACTTTGCATTGTACCTGCAGCTCTGGCCGCATCCGCAGATGATGATCGTCTTCTTGCGCGTCGTCTGACGACACAGCCTCTTTTTACACGGACAGAAGCCGTCAGGGCGACGGCATCCGACCGTCCGGCATGTTCCCGGGCACACCAATACACGAACTCTTGGAGCTGCAAACAAAAGTACCACAATGCCGGTGAAGCCGAGATGCCGCTCTTGCTAGTTGCTGGAAAGCACAAATATCGCCAGGAGCCCATGTGTCTTTCTCGGTCGCAGGGCCGTCATAGCCGAGCAAACAGAAAGGACTGCTGTCAACGAATACCCGCTCACACTGTACGAGCCCTCAGTGCCTTTTGCTCTTGGCTGCCGACATGTGGACAATAAGACACGCAGTTCTTCCTGCACTCACATCTCGTCAGCTCTCGGCCCAGGGGCACCACCGAATACACAACATCGCCGGCGTCCGCAGCGCCGCGGCCATGGTGCCAGAAGGCGCCTGGGACACGCATATTCATGTGTTTGAGCCGGACCGGTTCCCGTACGCGGAGCCTCGTCGCTACACGCCCAAAGCGGCCGCGCTGACGGCATATCCGGCGGCCGCGCGGACGGGCTGCACCAACATTGTCGTCGTGCACGCGTCGATGCAGGGCCAAACGGCGGCGCCGCTGGTCGATCTGCTGCGCCGCCAAGAGACGGACCCACAAATTCGAAGCCGGTTCGGCGTGCTGCGCGGACTAACGGCGCTAGATCCAGACGCCGTGACGGACGACGAGCTCGACGCGCTGCACAAGGCCGGCGTGCGTGGCTGTCGGCTGCACGAAAACGCGGCCGATGCCAGCAAGGCCGGTGTGGTGGCCGGCATAGCCGCCAAGATCGAGGCGCTCGCCCGACGCACTGCTCGGCTGGGCTGGATCGTCGACGTGTTTTGCCCGCTGGCCGTCTGGGCGGCGCTGGCCGACAAGTTGCGCAGCAGCAGCAACAACAACCGCATCGACCCGCGTGTTCATCTGGTGGCCGACCACCTGGCCAGCACGCTGCCTGGCGCCGAGACCACGCTGGCCTTCCGAGAGCTGCTGGCGCTCGTGCGTGAGCGCCGTCTTTTTGTCAAACTCTCCGGCTTCGACCGGCTCTACCATGATAACGACGGCATCGACAGCCTCGCTGCTGCCATCAAGGCCCTCGTCGCTGCCGGCCCCGACCAGATCCTCTTCGGCTCCGACTGGCCGCACACCCAGCTGGACGTCAACCGCGCTGGCAAAACGGCCGAGCAGCGCCTGCACGACGTCGAGGGCTTCCGCCACGTCGACAATGCTGCCCACATTGCCAAGCTGCGCGAGTGGATCCCCGACGACGAGACCTGGCACAAGCTTTGGGTGGCCAACCCCCAGCGGCTGTTTGCGTAGTCGGGTGGTGGCTGGCCGAGGAGGCTTCACCTGATGCGGTGACACAGGATGAAGATAAGAGGCTGGATCAATACGTCTAGCTTTACCGAGTAGCGGTACATCGTCTGGGTCTTTTGCAAGCACTCTGTCACATAAAAAGCAAACATTTATGTGAGCATTATACACATTTAAAAGCGCACAACATGGCAGTCAGCGGATTGAAAATTTATCCTCGCTACGATCTTGTCATATCGCCAGAGTCATTGCTATTTTGTTCCACATCGAATTACACCCTACCAACTGATGTGAGGGTAGGCAAAGCAAACTCGACCTGTGCTGCTCTGTGCCTGAGACGTCAGCCAAGCTGCACTACTGTATGTGAGAGCTCGCGGGCTCCGTAAAAGAGGGAGCATGGACGCAAAATCAAACAAGGAAATCCACTGAAACAACAGACATGATGGGAAACCGCTAAAAGCCATGGGAGGTATGTCTTGTGGCAAATTTAATCAGATAAGAAATTGTCTGCTTGGATAGATTGTTGCATTGCTGAGGAATACATGTGTCTGTTTGCGATGGTGTTGTGTGGTGGAGATGCTTATGATCATGCTGGCAGTGCTCATTTCGTGGAGGCATCACACCTGCTCACAGTGGATCGCCTTTCCTTAAGCGAAGGCGAAGCCATGACGTCTAGAAACAAATCGTCAAACAGCTCTACAGTCTATACAATGGGTCAATAAAATCACTTGAAGCATCTTCTCTTGTTCCGATCGATGATCATGGTGACAACACAATGACAAAGCAAAGCAAAGCAAACCGAGTGGGGACAAGCAGCCAAGTAGAAGGGAATTTAATAAGGTGGTGGGATGGTTCATTCGTATTGAAGGCAATTGTACAGATTTTTGCAAATCATTTGTTTGAATTGTCAAAACCATCAGGCCTTTGGCGAAAGTAAAGACCCAATACCTTCCATCGTGACAGGCAAAGTTTTTTCCGCTCCCAACAACTGCTCTCATTAAAAACCCAGTGGGAAAAGAGTAGCAGGTTCCATGACATGTCCATCCCTCTCCACTCTCTCAAATGTGCTGTGCCATTATTGAAACTCGTTGTCGGAGTGCTGATCGAGCGACAAGGTCTCGTCGGAGTCCGAAGCACAAACTCTTCGGGAGCTGAGTATAAGGTAGAAGTCTGTCCTGTTACATGTGTAAGTAACAAGCTTAAAGATGCAACAGACACACGTTGGGATGAGAAGAAAACCTCACTTTTTGTTTTCGTTACATAATGCATTGGTATGAAGATGATCTCATCAATTCTTGCTCGGAGTAATAGGAAAAGCCGGTAATGATGATGTGTCGGTGGTGATGAGTCATTGCATGTTGTTTTTCCGGTATATATATAAATGGTCAGCCAAATTGCCTGAGTGCATCCATCCCCCTTCGCTTTATAAATATATCTTCATCGCTATGCTCAGATTGTTCACTTTTTTGCTACACCGGGGGGTGGACGCACCTTTGTAATTTCGGGGGATGAGGCGCTCTCGCTCAGACTTCTAGCACCTCTGATGAGGGCAATCAACGAGGTCATCTTGCTAATGATGAGCCAAGCCGGGTGCAATCATCAAACAACACCACCCGGACCTGAAGCAGGATGCTGAGCATCCCAACAAATGGGAATAGGGCGCATGTTTATTAGTTCAGGAGACAATCGCTTCTGCTGATGATGAACTAATCGGTTGCAATCTATGGTTAGCATCTCGATACTGAGGCAAGAAACAAGCGAGTAGAGAAAGGGCCGAGTGGTTCGTGTCTCTGGCAAGAGCATGTCAGGCTGAAAATGGAAGCTTGGTAATATGATCATGAAGAGACGAGGAGGTCTGATGAGTGGATACGGATATCACAGCATCTTAATAAAGATCCTGAGGCACGATTTAAATGGGATTTTTGCAGGGCTGTAAATTAAGAAGGATAGGGCACCAAATTGGGGATTGGGACGGGGGTTGAGATGAGAAAAAAACCGAGCAGGGAAAGGTTGGGCCAAGTGGTTCAAGTTTCTAGAAAAGAGCGTGGTAGGCTGACGAGGAGAGGCTTGGGAAGGTAGGTATAGGCAAGAGATGAGGAGGTCTGGTGAGAGGATGTGGCCATCACGGCAAGTCGACGACTTTCTTGAGGCGTGAGTTCAAAAGCATATCTGCAAATCTGGGTTCAGAAAGATAATTATGAGGGAATTTAGGGGAGAAATGATATGAGGATGAAGATGAAGAAAACAATCGAGGAACAGAAAACGAGGAGGGAAAGGAGACCATCCGATGTATTTATGCACCGTTCTACACTTCTTTGCACCTTATGAGCACCTCGTTGGAGCAGCTTCCTTTGGTCCTCTTCTCTTGTCCGACTTGCGAGTGCAAATATTACAAGACTCCTGTCAAAATTACCGGTGGTGTTCCCGTCGATGGAAGCGACGAACTTTCTACATCACACGGCTCGGAGTCTTGCCTTGGTCAAAGTCCGAGACAGAAGGTGCTTGCCTTGTTTTTTACAGTCAATGTTTCGATCTCTCTGTTTTTTATGTTATTAGTCTTGTTTTTCCTTCCGTTTCTGCTTCTGGCAGCAGCTCCTTCCTCCGACCTTGTTGCGTTGCCTATTCTCTCCCGTCTGTATGCTTTCCCTACCTGCTTTCTTATTGTCCCCCCTTCCCTCGCGGGATTCTTCTAGTTCTCTTTTTCTTGAGTATACATGGAACTTACAAATGACTTCCTCTTGCATTTTAGTTCCTTCCTGTACTACAAATCTGGATTCACGGAACGAAAACGTTGCTTCCATTACAGAATTAACTTCCCGCCCAGACAAGGCCCTATCCTGACTGGTTCAAATAAGAGGCTTCAGTACCTAGCTTATTGTTGAATGTCCAGAAGCCACAGCTATATGCATCTTCCTCGGCAGTTGTTTCGGCGATATGCCGACAGACAGGGGCCAGCTTGTAAGAATTGGCGGAAGGAGCTGAAGGAGCTGATGGAAAAAGGCAAAGGAAGCCGCAAACAAGAGCAGCTGCACTCCCCAATTATTACGCAAGGAAATTACAAGGGCGCGCATCTTACACCTGTAGAAGCCATGCCCGTTTCGTAACTGCTATGAGGGCGTTCCAAAGACAGAAGTCAGAAATAGTGCTCTTCCTCTCACATGCACGTAGGAATAATCAGAAGATAGAAGAAGAAGCAGCAGGCGTTTGCCATTTTCTGTCTCAAATTTTCCATGGTCGTCCGAACGTCCTTGCCTAAGCGTGCACTGGGCATAACTCTCCCACCATATGAGGTTAGGACGCTCCTTCCTTTTGGAAACTGCTTTGGCTGAATTGCACAATGCATTACACTGACACGTTCACTGCAGGGCCTTGGACCATGGAACAAAGCTGACATGGAACGTATCCACAACTTCCGTTTTGGCCAAACTGTAGCTAAACTAATGCTTGTATAGAAGTGGTCGGTAATGTAAGATACGATAACTTCTTTGGCAGTTTCATAGAGCCGTGCAGCGCATATTTCAGCGGGGAGCGTTTCAAGGATGGCTCCTTATTGATTATCGCTGCTGATAGTGCAGCCTGAAGCCGATGTGATACCTGTACGCATCGCTTGGTCAACTGGCTAGAGCAAATCCAACTCAGCGACTTACACTTGGATGCGAGATGGGAGCTGTTTTCGGCGCTCGAGATGCCGATGAGTGAACGCAGACAAGTGGAATTAGCGACTGAGTGAGCCCGCAAGATCCGTACAAGTTACAAAACATTATCAGGTATCGATGTATATGGTAGGATACTTGTCATTCTCATAATCGTGGAGTTGCAACTGGTCATCCAGCTACGAAGCACGCTTAGAGCCTATCCACATAGTCAGACTTTGCCACCGGACTTAATAATAACTCGGAGGGTTAGCTCAGTGGTAGAGCGAGAGATTGCAGATCTCTAGGTCGTGGTTTCGAGTACCACACTCTCCTAGATTATATTATTTTTTGCCCACTTTTGCGCCTTCGCTTCCGCCCGTTACTGTATTATACTCAAACCAAAACTTTTTAACGACTAATTACGTTCTGTTACAAAACGTCACACTTTGCAATATGACTTGTTTTACCGATCCTTGATTTTTCTACTGCTTCATATCCCAGACGGACATTATATGCTTCTGGCGTACTCCGTACAAGCCTTGACATTACCCAACTCGAACCAGGATCTTCACTTGAAGCGGCTGATCTTCCCTCGACCAATAGGGATCACCAGAGCTGCATCGCAACCGCCTTAACATTGAACATGCATTCCCAAGGGGGCGTACACGTGATGAGCTGACCGTAGTTACTCCTATGTCTTGCATTTCTCGCTCACTTCCCTGCTCCCACATATATATGCTTGCCCTGTCAACCATTGTGCTCTTGTCGTCGAGAATCCAGCATTTGACGCTCTCCAACCCAAAATATCATGGCCTCCGTTCCAATTCTCACCGCCGCCGAGAAAGAGCACTTTGTGTCTCAAGGCTGGCTGAAGTATGACATAGTAATCTGATATTTGTCCTTGAAAAGCGGCAAGCCAAGCCAAACAAGTACTGACTTAGTATTGCTGCACAGGATCCCCAAGGCTTTCACTCGGCAGCAAGCTACAGAAGTGACTAAGGATGTGTGGATACGCCTTGGAATGTCATCCACAGACAAGGGCACCTGGAACAAAGAGCGTACCCACATGCCGTCTCTCGCAACTTTCGACTGTTCCGAGTTCGCCCCTCGAGCGTGGGCAGCCATCTGCGAGGTATCTGGAGGCGAAGAGCGTGTCACCTCGGGATCCCGTCAATGGCGCGATTCGATGATTGTCAATCTGGGTACTGTCAGCGGCGAGAACAAGCCGGTTCGTCCCCAGGACTTGAACGGCTGGCACATTGACGGCGACTTCTTCGTGCACTTCCTCGACAGTCCAGAGCAGGGACTTTTGGTTATTCCGCTCTTTACAGACATTGTGCCAGGTGGCGGTGGCACCGTCTTATGCCCCGAAGCGCTTCCGCATATCGCGCAGTGGCTGCATGACCACCCAGATGGTGTGTCTCCGCAGATGGCTGCGCGTGATGGCCCCAATTTCAGCGCCAAAGGAAATCGGTTATCGCTTAAAGAGCTTGCCGTCCGCTCCAACAACTTTGTCGAAGCGACGGGCGAGTGCGGCGATGTTTACCTGCTGCATCCCATGATGCTACATTCGGCGTCTACTAACCCGCTGAGAAACGTCCGCATCATTACGAACCCGCCCGTCAGCCTGAGACAGCCGTTTTGTTTCGATCGCAGCGAGAGCACAGGCAGCGGCTACAGCCTTGTCGAGCTGGCCACAATGAGGGCGCTTGGTAAGAAGTCGCTTCCTGGATGGAAAATAACGGTACCGCGGGAGCGTATCGTCCCAGAGCGGGTCAAGGTGCAGGAGCGGATGAAGCAAGAGGAGCTGCGACGGCTCGGAGGGTCTAGGCCAGTGACTTGACGAATCGTGCTTGCGGACTTTTAGCCTAAATATCGTTATATAAAATTTAAACATCACACTCGCATAAAGACATATTACATGGCATCTCAAAATTTACCCTTTCAAGAGACACAGCACAAACAAGGCCCAGTAACTCCACAGCAACAGTCCGCATGCACACTCGGGGATATTGCTCATCTACAGACTCGTTGTACAAAACCACGCGTCCGAAATCATGAGCGACGACGAAGACTACCGGATCGACGACTCTGATTTGGCTGACGATGAACAGCTAAAGAATTTCTTACCAACATCGTTCGGCAAGAAGTCTGAAGGGCCTGACATCGACGCGCAAATAGAACATACAAGACGACTGGCATGGAAGACCAACAATTCTGGAAAGAAGGAAAAGGGGGTAAAGGGGAAGGATGATACGAAGAGCTCTACTTCCGAGAAAGGTGACGATTCCGACTCTGAATCCAACTCCGACTCCTCAGACGACGACGACGACGACACCGACAAGTTTCCTCTCTCCCACGAACTCGTTTTCAAGTCACACGAGAAAGCAATCACAAGCTTGTCTGTTGACGCGGGGGGGTCACGGACGGTGACTGGTTCGCGCGACTGCACAGTCAAGTTGTACGATTTTGCCTCCATGACACCAACAACATTGCGGGCCTTCAAGAGCATCGATCCTTGGCAGGGCAAGGCGTCGGCATCGACGGAGTCGCATCCCGTGAACCACGTGTCGTTTCACCCGCTCTCTGCGAACGTTATTCTCTGCATAACGGCACATCCTCAAGCCAAGATCCTGTCACGCGACGGCGCAGTTCTGACCGAGTTTGTCAAGGGCGACATGTATTTAAGAGATATGCACAACACCAAGGGCCACGTGGGAGAGATCTCCACAGGTGCCTGGCACCCGACCGACAGGGAGGTTTGCGTGACGGCCGGCGCCGACAGTACGCTGCGTATATGGGATGTAAATAACAAGCGCAGCCAAAAGGAGGTCATTGTGTTCAAGTCCAGGGCAGCTGGGTCGGCAGGACGGTCCCGCATGACTGCTGTGGCATGGGGGGCTCCGGCGCAAGGTAGCGGGGTTGGGGGCAGCAGTGTTCTGGTCGCGACCGCTCTCGACGGCTGTCTGGTCATGTACAGCGGCAACGGACCCTTCTCACGACCGACAGCAGAGATTCGCGACGCTCACAAGCCGGGCACGTGGACAGGAGGCGTGGACATCAGCGCGGACGGACGCATGGTGGTGACCCGCGGAGGTGACAATCTAATCAAGCTGTGGGACACGCGCAAGTTCAAGCAGCCGCTCGTGACGGTTGCTCACGAGTCCACGTCGGACCGCTTCCACATGACCAGCATCAAGTACGGGCCAAATAGCACGAGCATCATTACGGGGTCTGCGACAGGGGATCTGCATGTTCTCAACCCCGGAAACCTGCGCCCCGAAGTGGTGACCCCGGTGACGCCCGGCTCGGCGCTCATCGTGGCGGACTGGCATCCCAAGCTCAACCAGGTGCTCACCGGCTCGGTTAACGGCGAAATGCACGTGCTCTTCGACCCGGAGCGCTCGTTCCGCGGTGCTGCCGACATTGTGCGGCGGGCGCCCAAGAAGAGGCATATTGACGACGACTCTACGCTCACAATGGACCAGGACATTGGCATCTCTGGCGACGCCATCGTGGTGCCTGGCGCGCAGCCCCGCGGACGGCGCACTGGGGTTTCCGCCTCAGGAAAGTCCTACGACCCACGGCGGCCCCAGATGCCGGTGCAGACGCCATTTATGCGCAACCAACCAGACGACTTAGACACATTGAGCAGAACATCCCGCTTAGCCGCATGCTGCATGAGGACCCGCGCGAGGCGTTGCTAAAGTATGCTGACATCGCGAAAAAGGACCCTATCTTCACGGGCGCATACAAAAACACGGCGCCAGTGACAGAGTATGCAGAGCTTAGTGACGACGAGGTCGAGCAGCCCGACAAGAAGAAAGCGAGGCGGTAATGCGATTGCAAGCCGTGCATTTCTTATCGTATTTAATATGTAGATACCCAGAGTTTTGAATTATGACTAATCGCTCTTTTATCTTGCCGCCGTCGGAGACCCACCGTGTATGCATTTGCGCGATACAATCGCGCTAATTTGTTGCTGCCTCAGGCATGGAGCCGCCTCCCTGCCTAGTGTTCTGAAATTTACTGTGGGCTCCCTCGCCATCCCGCACCAACCATCCGTACGAATCTTTCGTGGTCATTTTACTTCTCATCATCAACGGGCGACCGCGCGCGCAACGAAAATCGCCAAACCCTCTCCGCATCCATCAAATCCTATCTCGAAATTCCCCGAGACAAACGACACGCGATTTTTTTCGCGCGTCTGCCCTCTCAGAAAGGCCTTGCAAGCAACCCCATTGCTGTGCCTTTCGTTCCTCGTCCTCCCAACTTTTTTTTACGCCCCTTGTTTTGTCCACTCGCTTTTACCTGACCAACAGTCGCGACCCTTCTTTTTCTATTTGCGCTCCTCGCCTCGGAATCCATCTTTATAGTCTGGGTATTTGGCTATTGCACCTTGGCCAGCACTACCTTTGGCTCTACCTGCCCGTCCTTTCTTTTTATTTTACCATCGCTTCCAAAGCAGAGCATTGGTTTCCTAGTCAGCTATCCCTCCGGCGAAACAACCGCGACACGACGCGCCTTCGTCTTTTGCGCCAGTCCACACGCGCTTTTTTGTGTCTCTGCGCCGATATACAGTATTTGGTCGCCCCAACCAGCGCCTTGCTCATATCGACGCGACGTGAATCGTCCCCTCGCCCAATTGATTGACGCTTTTCTCGCTATGCGCGATACGTAACCTGCATACGCCAGTGTGATAGCTTCTCTTGGTTTCACACATACTTCGACACAGGACCGAGAGCGACCACAGCACCCGCCATGGCTTCTGTCCAGGCATCGGCAGCCATGCCGCTGTCCGGCTCCGCGCCTCCCAATGGCATTACCTCGCAGCAAGTACACGAAGTATATATGGTAAGACAGACCCCTTCGCCATCACAATCGGCATTCTGCCTCGATGACAACCTACATCGAGCCGTGTTGCACGCTTTCTTGCAATGCGTCGGCTCTGTGCTGACATCCTTTTCCCTATATTCAGCGCTTTCGTCAAATGAAGGAACAGGGTGTCTCCCAATCTGATCCCGACTTCATCAAAACACAGCAGTTTTTGATGAACATCCAACAGCAACAGGCCTTCAAGAGACAGATGATGCAGCAGCAGCAGCAGAACCAACAGCATGCAGCGCAACAGGCAGCGGCCGCAGCTGCGAACAGTGCCCTCAACGGCGGCGGTATCCCCCACCCGGGTCGTCCTGCACAAGGATACCCATCCCAGGTCGGCCGGCAAATTTCACAAGGCGGCATGGCGCCGGCGGCAGGAGTTGGTGCCAACCCCAGCACACCTGTCACCGCTGCTTCTCCCGGCGTCCCGTCAGCAACCCCAGGTGGCACGCCTGGCAATCCGCCTGTCAGTGGCCACTTCACCCAGCAGCAACTGAGTCTTCTCCGACACCAGATCCAGGCGTTCAAGCACCTCACGCGGAATGCTGGTGTTCCACTCCAGACCCAGCAGGTGATCTTCGGACAACGATCGCGGAGACTGAATGCATCCATATCTGAGAAAGCACCACAAGTCGGGCCGGCTCTTGCTGGCGCTAAGCCCACGCCACCTATGGGTGCTGGAGCACCTGCCCCAGCATCTGCTGCGCAAACGGCCAGCGGATCTGGCGAGGATGGGACTAAGACAGCATTGAACGGCGTTGATTCTGCTGCCGCAGATGCATCTGTGCCTGCCCGCAAGATAAAGTCGTTCAAGACTGTGCAATCGCCGTATGAGTCTGGTGTGGTCAGAAAATCTATCAGCTACTTCGACCACGGCCGGCGCATCAATCGGCCGGTCATTCCAGGTATCCTACCTACCGGTATAGATTTCGATGCTCTGCGTATCGAGCGAGAGAAGATTGTCTTCAACCGGATGAGTGCTCGGTACGCCGAGCTCAAGGCTCTGCCGAGCAATATCAGCTATTGGGACACGGCCACGAACACCTTGACTCCGGACGATGCCATCAAGCGGAAGGCTTACATCGAAATGAAGTGCCTTGGCTTGTATTCGCTGCAGCGGGCTCTGCGGGACAAAATTGGCCGGCAAATGATGCACTATGACAATCTGGCCATGACTACGAATCGCAGCAGCTATCGCCGGATGAAGAAGCAGAACGTGCGCGAAGCACGCATCACTGAGAAACTCGAGAAGCAACAGCGCGATGCCCGTGAGCACCGCGAGAAGAAGAGACACACCGACTTCCTTGATGCTGTCAACAAGCACCGCGCCGAATTGCAGGCGAATGCTGCCAGCCAGCGGAACAAGATGCAGAAGCTTGGACGTGTCATGTTCAACCAGCACTTCAACATTGAGAAGGAGGAGCAGAAACGGATTGAGCGCACCGCCAAGCAGCGTCTGCAAGCCCTTAAGGCTAACGACGAGGAGGCTTACCTCAAACTGCTCGACCAGGCAAAGGATACCCGTATCACCCACCTCCTGCGGCAGACAGATGGTTTCCTGCACCAGCTTGCTTCGTCCGTCAAGGCTCAGCAGCGTGAGGCCGCCGAGCGCTACGGTGACGAACGGCTTCGCGTCGAAGAAGAAAGCGATTTTGATTCGGAAGACGAGGACCGTACCCGCAAGATTGACTACTACGCTGTGGCGCATCGCATCCGGGAAGAGGTCACCGAGCAAGCCAACATACTCGTTGGTGGTAGGTTGAAGGAGTATCAGGTCAAGGGTCTCCAGTGGATGATTTCGTTGTACAACAACAACCTGAACGGTATCTTGGCAGACGAGATGGGTCTCGGCAAGACCATCCAAACAATCAGTCTGATTACGTACCTGATTGAGCGGAAACACCAGACTGGCCCGTACTTGGTCATCGTGCCACTGAGTACGCTGACCAATTGGAACCTGGAGTTCGAGAAATGGGCGCCATCTGTTTCCCGCATCGTCTACAAGGGTCCGCCAAACGTCCGGAAGACGCAGCAAGACAAGATTCGCCAAGGACGGTTCCAAGTGCTTCTCACGACGTACGAGTACGTCATCAAGGACAGGCCGTTGCTGAGCAAGATCAAATGGTTCCACATGATTGTGGATGAAGGTCATCGTATGAAGAACAGCAACTCAAAGCTCAGCGCAACCATCTCACAACATTACAATACTCGTTTCCGTCTTATTCTCACCGGTACCCCTCTGCAGAACAACCTCGGCGAACTGTGGGCCATGTTGAACTTTGTTCTGCCAAACATTTTCAAGTCGGTGAAAACGTTTGACGAATGGTTCAACACTCCCTTTGCCAACACCGGCAGCCAGGACAAGATGGAGCTCAATGAAGAAGAACAGATCCTGGTCATTCGGCGCCTTCACAAGGTGCTGCAGCCATTCTTGCTGCGGCGTTTGAAGAAGGACGTCGAAAAGGATCTTCCCGACAAGACAGAGAAGGTCATCAAGTGCAAGTTCTCCTCGTTACAGGCCCGCCTGTACAAGGAGATGTTGACAAACAACAAACTGATTGTCAGCGATGGCAAGGGTGGCAAGATGGGTGCCCGCGGTCTGAGCAACGTGATTATGCAGCTGCGCAAGCTGTGCAACCACCCTTTTGTGTTTGACGAGATCGAGACTGTCATGAACCCGCTAAGCATCAGCAACGACCTCTTGTGGCGAACTGCTGGCAAATTTGAGCTTCTTGAGCGGGTTCTGCCGAAGTACCAAGCGACTGGCCATCGTGTGCTCATGTTCTTTCAGATGACGGCCATTATGGACATCATGGAAGACTTCTTGCGATACCGGAACGTCCAGTACCTTCGTCTAGATGGTACAACCAAAGCCGACGAACGGTCTGATCTCTTGCGGGAGTTCAATGCGCCAAACTCTCCATATTTTATGTTCCTGCTATCGACACGTGCTGGCGGTCTAGGTCTCAACCTGCAAACTGCAGACACAGTCATCATCTACGACTCGGATTGGAATCCTCATCAGGATCTTCAGGCCCAGGATCGTGCGCATCGTATCGGTCAAAAGAACGAGGTGCGCATTCTTCGGCTTATTACGTCAACCTCAATCGAAGAGAAGATTTTGGAGCGGGCGAGATACAAACTCGATATGGATGGCAAGGTTATCCAGGCCGGTCGGTTTGACAACAAGTCTTCCGAGACGGATCGAGATGCTATGCTGCGGACGCTGCTAGAGACGGCAGATATGGCCGAGACGGGCGAGCAGGAGGAAATGGATGACGAGGAACTCAACATGATTCTAGCCCGCAGCGAGGCCGAGCTAGTGACTTTTCAGAAGATGGATGAGGTGCGCAGCCACGACCCTATCTACGGCACCTCCCCGGGTTGCCAGGGTCTTCCGCGCCTGATGGCCGAGAACGAGCTGCCGGACATTTACTTGGCCGATACCAGTCAGGTCGAGGAGGAAGCTGAGGTCATTCTCGGGCGCGGTGCGCGCGAACGGACCAAAGTGCGGTACGACGATGGCCTCACGGAAGAGCAATGGCTCATGGCAGTTGATGACGATGAAGACAGCCCAGAAGCTGCAGCTGCGCGCAAACAGGCTCGCAAAGACAAGCGCGAGGCTAACCGGCAAAAACGGGTCGGCGGCGGCGGAAGTGTGTCAGCCGACCTCTCTCCTTCAGTCAGCCGTGCCAGCTCAGAAGAACCGGAACAGGAGACCCCGGTCAAGAAGCGGGGCCGCAAGCCGATTACGAAGAACGAGAAGCGCAAGGCAGACGACGGCGAGGACGAGGCACTGCCACCACCGGCCAAGAAGAGACGTGGGCCCCAGGGCCGTCCAAAGGCTGTTGCCGGCCAAGCAAATGGCAGTTTCGGTGCCATCGATGGCTCCATCACGGCTCCACAGCGTGTGGCACTCCAGGAGAGTTTGCGGCGCATTTTTGACGGCCTGATGACGCTTGAAGTCGACGACCCTGAGCCAGAAGACAGCGATGATAAGAACGAAGCTGACAAGGACGAGGACGATGACCTGGCAAAACGCATCATCATTGGGCCCTTTGTTAAGCTGCCTTCGAAGCGAGATTACGGCGACTACTATGTGATCATTCCGAAGCCGATTTGCATGAATCAGATCAATGCCAAGATTAAGAAGAACGAGTACCGCCGGCTCAGCGACATGAAGGCCGATATCCAGCTTCTGTGCAGGAATTGCCGTACCTACAATGACGATGGTAGCCTACTGTATGCTGATGCCAACACGATTGAAGTGAGTATCTATACCCGTGTCGATCATTATGGTCTCCACCCCATGACTAATCCCAGAACAGAGTTATTTCCTTGACAAATTCAGAGACGAGCTGGCGGCGCATCCGGAGCTTCAGGAGCTTGAACCGTCCTCGGAGAAGGAAGTGTCGCTGGCGCCTACAACAAGATCTGGCACACCGGCAGTGGCAGCAAACCCACTACCGAAGATTAAGCTTGTATCTAACGGTGCAAGCTTCAATACCAATGGGGAGGCTAATGGTACCAGATCGGAAGACAGCTGATATTCCGTGGCAGATGAAAATGGAGGAAGATAGCGGACGATGTACGATTGCGCCCAGTGCAGGTGCCAAGCCATTCGCATCCCACCGACACCCTCTGGTAAACGCAGAGCATGTCTTATTATTTATTTATTCCCCCCCCGTGGACAAGGATGGCAAATGGAAAGGGAGTGGTCTGGGCCGGAATACCAATAATTGGCGACGTTTTTTTCATAGTGGCGTACAATTGGAGACGACTGCGGTTTTCTTACTTCTGAGGTTGGCAACCACTTTCAGGCCCAAGGGGCAAAGTTCATGTGGGGGTCTGCCAGAGCGAGAAGGGAGGGCTGGGGTAAGAAACGTCCAGAACATGTATGAAATGATGGTGAACAGTACAACTGATTTTGGCTTTCTGGCTTTCTGGCCTTGCTTGTTTACCTGCTTGCATGTGTGACCTCTTTGCTTTTGTGTTCCCTATCGTTTTCGTTATCTTTAGTCCTCTGTACATAGGAACAAAGGGTCCTTCTGGTCTGTTTCTATGAAAAAGGGCAGAGACAATCCAGGTACTCTTAATGATATTATCATTCTATCAGCATATCGCATAGAGACAAGTTACGAAACTCGTCTGCGTCGGAAGTACGGGATCGCTTCGTCCAGCGTGTAGGGGGCGTATCTGATGGATGAGAATTGCAGGCGGTTGGATATAACAACGGGTTCCGTGGTCTAGTTGGTTACGACGTCTGCTTCACATGCGATAGCCTAGAATCGCAGAAGGTCCTGGGTTCGAGCCCCAGCGGAGCCAATCTTTTTGCTTGTTTCCGAGGCTGATAGCCTCTGCCCCCTTTTGATGGTGATCCCAATAAGGCCGCAAGCTCAAATGTCGTATCAGGAATAATATCACATGTTTATGCGAAACATGCTGCGTTTCGTTTTCAAGGGTGACTAGGCCGCTGAAATGGTTCGACGAAGAAGGAGCACGTGCCGTGTCTCCAAGGGAGCTGTTGTGGTATTGCGGGGTCCCAGCAACTGTTTGGATTAGGGGGCGGAGCTTCCGTTCCTTACACCCTGTCTTTCTACGTCTTTCAAGGCTTTCTTCATCAACGGTCGCCGTTTTTGCTTCCTCCCTTACTATCATATGCAGCCCCTGATCATCACATCATTAGTCTGCTCCTGAATCCTCATTCTTGCCGGCTCCCTTCAATCGCATATTTGAGTCCCCCTCTGGATTCCTGTCTCGCATTCTAGAAAATCCGCTTTTTGCTTCCAACTTTCTTTTGACCACCGACAGCTTCGCCGGCACACCCATTGCGACAAAAGTTTACTTGGGCTTTGCGAGCTCGCCTACTAACCAAATGGCTGGACGCTTTGTGCGCGCATCCAAATACCGTGTGTTCTAGTCCTCCACGTGCAGATAGCACTCGTTATAGCCATGCGAAAAGATGCAGCTGCTGACTTGCTTTTTCTTCGACCAGGCCATGTATTTGGCAAGCCTACGCGCAAAGAATTCTGCTACGACAACCTACACATCAGCCGCAATGCCTGGGACACGAACCTGGTGAAGGTGAGAGTGCCGAGGTCCTGTGATGGCGCGGGAGAAGGGCAGGGCAGGCTGACATAGGGAACGACCAGGCGAACCCTGAGTACCTCTCAGTCAATTGGGAGTCGAGCGGAGGCGGTGCGTTTGCTGTCATCCCTCTGGGCGAGCGCGGCAAGCTGCCGGACCTGATTCCGCTGTTTCGTGGGCACACGGCGGCGGTGCTGGATACGGATTGGTAGGTGTGAGAGGTGGCACGTCGCAAGACAGCCTGTATGCTGACGAGCACTTCCACGCAGGCATCCCTTCGACGACAACGTCCTCGCGTCTGCATCCGATGACGGCCGAGTATTTGTGTGGCACGTGCCCAAGGACTTTACGCTGCACACCGACGCGGAGGAGGTCGTGGATGTCGCGCCCGTGAGCAAGCTGGCCGGCCACTCAAGGTGGGAAGAACCCCGAGTGATCTCGAGAACAAGAAGAAGAACGGCGAGAGCTTGCAGCGTGCTGACGTCCTCTTCAGAAAGGTTGGACAGGTGCTTTTTAACCCGGCGGCCGAGAACATCCTGGCGTCGGCGTCGGGCGACCTGACCATCAAGCTCTGGGACATCACGACAAACCAGACGGTGCATACGCTGAAGCAGCCCGACATCGTGCAGAGCCTCTCGTGGAATGCCGACGGAAGCATGCTGGTGACGACGTCGCGCGACAAGCGCCTGCGGGTCTGGGACGTCCGCCAGGAGCGGCCGGCGCACGAGGGTCCCGGTCATCTGGGCGCCAAGAACAGCCGGGTCGTCTGGATGGGCGAGCACAACCGGTTCGCTACTACGGGCTTCTCGCGCATGAGTGAGCGGCAGCTCGCGCTGTGGGAGCCGGGCAACAATGAGCCGATCGGCGGCTTCAACCAGCTAGACTCCATCTCAGGCGTATTGATGCCATTCTGGGGTGCGCTGCTCCCATTTCCGGGTGTGGTGGTGTTGAAAGCAAGACTGACTCCGGCTTTTAGATGACGGCTCAAACTGCCTGTACCTTGCCGGCAAGGGGTGAGTTCGGAAAGTGATGTGCTTGTGCGTGTTTTGCGCATGGCTGATTGTATTTGCAGCGACGGAAATATCCGCTACTTTGAATATGCGCAAGACAAGTTTGAGTTCCTCTCGGAGTACAAATCGGCCGATCCGCAGAGAGGTCTTGCGTTTGTCCCTCGGCGTGGTGTGAATGTACGTCTGAGACGAGCGCTGCTGGCGCAGAGAAGCAGATTCGAAGCACACTTACTCACTGTCTGCTGCAGGTGCACGAAAACGAAGTGATGCGCGCCTACAAGACGGTGAACGACTCGTACATCGAGCCGATCTCGTTCACAGTCCCCCGTCGAGCCGAGACGTTCCAGTCGGACATCTTCCCGCCGGCTGTTGGCCTGAAGCCGGCCGTGTCGGCCAAGGACTGGCTTTCGGGCAAGACGGGCCTCCCGTCGAAGATTGACCTGGAGAGCGTCTACGACGGAACGGCGCCGGTGGAAGTTCCGTCGGACTACAAGCCGACACCGACGGCAACGAGCTCAGCTCCAGCTCCGGCTGCTGCAGCTGCGCCGAAAGAGGCGGAGCCGAAGTCAACGCCGACGCCGACGCCGACGCCAATTCACTCTGGCCCCCCTGCCAGCATGGCTGACCAGAAGCAATCGATGTCGTCGATTGCGAACAAGTACCAGGACGCAGCCGACGACGAGGACGACGAGGCTGCAGAGACGTCGAGTTTCGAGGAGGTGGGCCGGCCGCAGCCACGAGGCAACGCGCAGCCGGCTGCGTCGCCGTACAAGCCGCCTATGCCGCAGCCGCACTCGCCGTCAGCGGCCAAGGCGCCGGTATCTCCTGTGGTGTCTCGCGCGCCGACAGTGGTTCACGAGGCGGTCGCTGCTCCGGCGGCTCCGGTGGCACCGGCTCCGGCTGCGGTGACGGATGCGCTGGTGGAGCTGACACAGCTCGTCAAAGAGCAGAACAGCAAGATCGACGTGCTCACAACGGAGGTGGACGGGCTGAAGAAGCGGCTGCTCGTGTCGACCGACCAGAGCGAGAGGATCCGTCAGCTGGAGCTGGAGCTGGAAGAAGCGCGCTCGTGAGCAAATCGGGGAGGCGATGTGCGATGATGTTCGCTCTTTGTGCCGCGCTTCCATTATCGGCTGTGGGCTTCGGCTGCGGCGTCTTGCAGGCGCACAGACGAGCTCTCTGCCTTGTTTGATCAGTTTGCTTCTCGGTATGGTCTGGCGGAGCGGGCTGGGAACTATACTCATTTTCTTTGACAACTTTTGAAATTATTCACTAAAGTGCCTTTGTTCGCCGTCTGTTCTTGTGTCTGGTGCCGATGTTGATTGCGTGAACAAGCTCTTTGTTGCCGTTTCTGCCGTTTTTGCCCTTCTCGTCCCCTTTATAGACGTTGCAGAAGCCGTCTTTTTCTTGTACATTTCGACTCTGCCCATACTTTCCCCATCCTCCAGCACGCACTACACGGCAATATCACCAAGCAGGTATTGGTACATTGATATTCTACCTGCGTTTTTCAACTTATCCAACCCTTCTCTCATGGCGTGCTACAGCAATCCCGAGGTGGAGGCACTCCGCTGGCAACTGGCCCGATTCTTCCCCCAGCTCGCCGTGCAGAATGATACGAGTCGACAGCCGATCAGCGATAGTCCAAGGGCTGCGGCGGTGGCTGCGGACAGAAACGGCAGGCGCAACGCTCTCCGAACCGACGCTGTGCAAAGCCTCAACTTCCAGACATCCATGTGGAATGCCTACCATACAACATACACATCTGAGGACAATCAAGGCCGTCCCGGACCCAATCCCCACCATCAAGCCCGAATCGGATCGGGCAGACAGACACAGAAAGAAAGGCGTCTTCGTCAGCTATACACCGAATACAAATCGCTCATATCGCAGAGTGGCAGAAACGACACCTCGCAAGATCCGGTCATGTCCAAGGTGATGCACCATGCGGCCAGCGACCCGGACAAGGCGATTGAGATGCTGCAGCAAGCACTGAACAGCAGTCGACTGGTCGAGGTGCTAGCCTATTCACAGCGTCTGGGCCAGTGGCGACGAACCTGGCAGGAAAAGCGGCACCAGAGACTTGCCGAGCTGTTGAACAGGAACGGACCGCAAAAGCAGCCAGCCACGGCACAAGGCGAGCAGGCAAGCAAGTCAGGCATGAAAGCGGCACCATCACAGACACTCGTAATGCCACCACTGCCGCCTCCTCTTCCGCCCTGTCTGCAGTGCGTCCTGGCCAACACGTGCTGTTCGCTGACGACAAGTCCATATGCCCAGGCCTTTGCAAATGACCGCACAGGTGTAGAAGGCGCGGCCAAGCGGCTCTCGCTGCGGGATGAATACGCGAAACTGGTGGCAGAGCACCAGGGCGGCAAGACGGCCGGCTCACTGGCACAGAAGAAGCGAGAGCTGGACCGGAAGCTGTTGCTGCGGGCTGTGGTCGTCGGCGACTGTGAGTCCCCCTTTCTGTCAGAGCCGCCGGCGCAGTGCAGACGCTGCAGTCGAAGGGGCGAGCTTGGCTGCCTGCAGCAGTCGAAGGACCTGACAGGCACGGCCGACGTTCTGGAAGACGACGCGGTATGGTTTGCCAGCAGCGGGCCGCCGCCCGAGTCTCTGCTGCGGCAGCACTGCCAGACGCTTCTCAGCAAGATGCGAGGTCTGGCTGCAGCATCCGATGGTGGCGGAGACAACGACCAAAAGAGGCGGCCGCTTCTGGAGGCGGTCTTCTGTCGGGACAGCGCGACCATGTCTGCCATCGAGGTGGCTGCCAAGGCCGAGTCGCTTCTCGGCAGCATCTTTCGCCAGAGGCAAACAGTCGAAGGCCCTGGCCAGTTCGGCGGCAGGAGGACGGCCAGTCTAGGTGCTGGTTCTAGCTCACACATCCGTGGTCTGACGCAGTACGCAAACACGCTTCGACCGGGCGACGCCGTCCTCTCGCACCGATCTCCCTTTCGGGCACCGCAAGGCAAGCGACCAGTGCAGGCGGCCGCCCCTCTGGAAATAGCACTACGACTGCCCAGATGGAGTCACGTCGACGTGTATGCAGGTCGAGGTGTGGCCACGGCTGCTCTGTCCTACGATTGCAACAGTGGAGATGGAGATGGGAAGGCGGACACAGGGCTCAGCGACAGCTTTGTGCCCACACCGTACGTCCTTCCAGGCTGGCTTCCCCGCGTGAAGCACAGCGAGACCAAACCGTCGTACGGGTGGCACGACTACTTTCTCGACGTCAGCGAAGACCGGGCAGCAGCCGAGTTCCAGAAACAGCAGGACAGCGAAAAGAGGGCCAGCAAGAAGCGCAAGGCGGCAAAGGGCAAAGGAGATGGCACAAAGAAAAGCCAGGGACATGTTGAGCATCCTCCTCTAGTGGATTCTGGCCACGACGACTGCCTGGAGAAGGACAAGGAGGAGGACGTCTGCATGGCGGAAGAGGCGGCAGAAGATCTGCAGAACCAACGGTCGTGGCGAGATGAGATGTTCAGGACCCGGATGGACGAGTGCCGAGCGAGACTGACGGAGACGAGACGCCGTCCATCAGCACGAGACAGCAGCGAAGCCCGGGACAGCGCCAGTCCGCTCTCTTGGGTGCAGGTCGTGGAGCTGGCCAGGGACTTTGGCGTGCAGCCGGAGCAGTTGGAGCGGTTCAGAGAGCGACGACGGACAGATCCGGGCCTGGACGCGCTGTGCAAAAGGGTGGCCAAGATGCTGCGATGAGCCCTGGGGAATGGTGCGATGGTCTACGGTGAAGCAGAAAGATAGTGCGTAGTCTACACTCCAACATTTGCACTGATATATGCCAAAAGGAAGGAGGGAAATTGTACATTCACATCTGCCTCACTTGCGCCCCTCCACCATGATGATGTGATATCCAAAAGACGTCTTGGCCTCGCCCACAACCGGTGAGACCGTCGTGCTCGCCGGCAGCGCAAAGGCCACCTCCTCAAAAGCTGGGTCCAGGCTGCCGCGGACCTTCCAGCCGAGGGTGCCGCCCTGTCGCGCCTTGTCCTCGGAAAACGTGCGGGCCACGTCGTCAAACTTGGCGCCCTCGCTGCGGATCTTGGCCAGGGCCTCTTCCTTCTTGGCGTGTTTCTCGCACTGGAGGGTAGGAGGTGAGAAAGTTGCAATAGAAGGAGGTATGAGATGGGAAGGTGAAGGAGGGAGGGATAGGAGAGGAGAGGGTGGAAGGAGAAGAAGAGGGAGAGAGGGAAATGAAGAAGAGGGAGAGGGGGAAATGAAGAAGCAGAAGAGATAAGAATGGAACAGACAAAGAGAAAGGAGGAGGACAAGGAAAGAAATCTCACCAAGATGTGCCGGACATTGATTTGCTGGGCGCCTTTGACATCGCCCTTCTTGGCATCGCTGCCGCCCTTCTTGTCGCCACCCTTCTTGTCGCCTCCCTTCTTGTCGCCTCCCTTCTTGTCGCCTCCCTTCTTGGTTTCGGCCGCTTTGCCCTTTGCCATGGCGAACGGTGCTTCTGCTTCACGGATGAGGGAACTCGTTTGAAGCCGAAAAACAGCAGACGTCGAGGACTAGCGAATGCTGCTGTCATTGGCGGCCAGCTCCAATAGATTGCGCGGCCCCGCTCTTTTGCCCAAAGAGGAAGGGACAGCAGTCTCCCGCTCTTTCCCCAAAGGCAACAACGGCCACCGAACTACCCCCATTCCAGGAAGAAGCATGACTCGATCCATTGTTCTCCGTCTCCTTCAGCCAACCAGCCTCCCAGCCTCCTAGCTTCTTGTCTTGGCTTCACAACGAACTTGCGCACTTTACCTGGCCAGAGCCCTTGTGTCGTACTCAGATCGAGCTGACAATGGTATTGCGAGGCTCACGAAAACCCAGCTTAGAACCATAGCAATTCCGCATTCATGTTCACATTCACTTCATGCTCAACCATTCATTGTCAGCTCAGTCCTCGCTTATTCGAGGCTGAAGTAGAGCATGGTTGGACATTACTGTGCCCCACCGCCTTCCTCTTACGGAAGCGGTGTGCTGCATTGAGCGAGCAGAATACTGAGCCCCACTCAGTTAAAGCTTTCTTCTTTTTTTGCCATAGCCCACCATAGCTCTCTCTCCATCCTCTTCTCGTAACACCTCAACACTCTTTTTGCCTGCACCCTATCTCTACCTCCCATCGTCTTTTGTACTGCTTCTCCCGACAATTCAGTGCCTCTGTGGTTGTTGCTCTATCATCTGTCTTTGCATCATTATACAAAATCCATCTCGTTCCTATTACTCAACGGCTATCTTCTTGCACATCTGAACGAATACGTCTCCGAGGCTTTTACATAATACTTGCAATATACCCGTTCTATAGTTTCTCGCCTTTTTGTCATACTCCTCTTCCTGCTTCTGGTATTCAGGATTGCCCTCTACACATATTGTCCCCATCTTTCATTCAACTCCGCCCACCATGGCCAACCTCACGGGAACACCATCCGGCAACCATTTGCCAGGCGTGCGGACGAACTCAGAGAAGAAGCTCGGTGTCTTGCACTACACATCCTGCATCGACTTTGGTTGGATTGGAGACATTCGCAAGCGGTAAGTCTCAGTCTGCATTCGTTCTTACCACTACATTGCTAACCCCAGTCTCAGCTATACTGATTTTATTGTCCACGAAGTTCGAAAGGATGGCACCGTCGTCTATCTTTCTGACGTCGTGGAAATGGACCCGGAAAAGCTGCGCGCTGTAAGTGGCCTTGAGACCGAGATACGAGAGTGCATACGTCCTCGACATCCAGATCAAAGCATGAATCTAACAAAAATCTGACAGGAACCTGAGAAGACTGAACGGGTAGCTTTAATTGAGCATAAGCATGTTCCCGAATCGAAGACAGAAGAACCAGAAGCGGCCGAGATCTCGAAAGAAGACGCCGATGCACTCAGCATTCTGCTGGGTGCCGAGGCAGCAAAGGAGCTCCAGGAAATGTACGCGGCCATTGTTGCTGGCGGGGTGGACCGAAATGCAAAGGTCACTTTTGCCGTCAGCTCTGACCGCAGCCAACGCGGTCACATTCACCAGGTATACCTCCTCCTGTCTGTGACAGGGCTCGTCTTTCATGTTTTCCGCGATTAACGTTCTTAGGAAATCCGGCGCATCTTCTTCGGTCGCTTCGAAACACAAGCGGACCCCAACAGCGGGTCCATTTCGGCGCAGCCGGTGTCTGGCCGTGGAAAACCGCGGGTCCCTCGCCGCAACCTTAATGGGCCCAACTGGCGCGAGAACCGGGACAGCCGCGACAGCCGGGACAACCAGGGGCGCAACGCTGGCGGTCCCAACCCGCCGCGCAAGGGGCCGTACCTCCATTTCACTCTCTACAAGGAGAACAAGGATACAATGGAGGCAATCAACCACCTTGCGCGGATGATGAAGATGAAGTCGGTCAACTTCGGCTTCGCGGGCACCAAGGATCGCCGTGCTGCTACCACCCAGCGTGTTAGTGTTAAGTACCATGGCCACGTTGATCCTGCCTGGCTGAACTCGCGCAACAACAACATCAAGGTCGGGGATTTCAGCTACCACAAAGCGCCTATCCAGCTTGGCCAACATGGCGGTAATGAGTTCACCATTGCTATCAAGAACGTTGAGCTGGCGCGGGGGAAGAACTGCTCCTTGAGTCACCGCCTCCGGATGGCCGAGTCTTGCGTCCAGGCTGCGCTCGATCACATCCAGCAAAATGGCTTCATCAACTACTTTGGTCTTCAGCGCTTCGGCACCCACGCCATTGGGACCCAGGAGGTCGGCCTGAAGATTCTCAGCGGAGACTTCGAGTCGGCCTGCGACTACATCCTTCACGTGGATCCTGCACTGATGGCACGCCTAAACGATCCCGATGTCGAGCTTGCGTTCCAGCGGGATGAGATCAGCCGCGCCCGGGCCATCAGCCTGTTCAAGACCAATGGCGATACTGGTCCTGCTCTTCAAACCCTACCAAAACGTTACGGTGCCGAATCGGCCATTCTCCAACATCTGAGTCGCAGCCTTGCATCGCGCCGCGACTTTTGCGGTGCTCTTCTCAAGATCACTCGCGGCCTGCGCAATCTCTACATCCATGCGTACCAATCGCTCGTGTGGAATTGGATAGTCAGTCGACGCTGGTCCAAGTTTGGCAACACGGTCATCGCCGGAGACCTGGTGCTTGTCGAGTCCGAAGTGAACCCTGCTCGGTACCGTTCGGGCATGGACATGTCAGAAGATCTGAACCAGGATGAAGAGCAATTTTACCAGGAAGCTCGTGTGCTGACCGCCGAGGATGCAGCCAGCGGCAAGTACACAATCTTTGACATTGTGCTTCCTGTGCCTGGCTACGACGTTCTGTACCCAGAGAATGAGATTGGCGAATTCTACGTCGAGTTCATGGGCCGACCGGAAAACGGTGGGCTGAACCCATACCGGATGCGCCGCCCACAGAAGGAGTTCAGTCTCAGCGGCTACTACCGGAAGATCATGGCGCGCTTTTCGACTGTTCCCAAGTTTTTCGTCCGTCCGTACATGGACGATTCCGAGCAGATGCACCCAACTGATCTCGATGAAATCAGACTACGTAAGGCTGGAGAGGGTCAGAAGCAGGCGGGTTCGCTTGCTCCTGTTGCGGAATCGACCAGCACCAGCGATAACACCGAAACCGGTGATATAGCGGACTCAACTACCATCCAGGATGAGACGAGCCGTCGCCGTCGTTTGACGCCTGACCGACCACAAGATCCTCCCGAAAAACGTGTTAATGACGCGTGGATCGAGACCAAGTTGGACGGTAGCAGCAAGCGTGTCAAGCTGGAAGTCGCACAAGCAGTCGATGAGAACGTTGCTCCAGCAGGGGAACCCGTCTCCACCAAACCGATTGTGTCCACTTCTGAGCCTCTTGTTGATTTGCCTATGGGCGACTCGAAAGCAAACGAGACTGATGTTGCCACCGGTGTCTTGTGCAATGACAAGGCTCTCCCAACCATGGAGGACGTCTCGCGCCTCTTCGACGACCAGACAGAGCAACAGGGGAATTTCAGTATGGGTCCATTGACAACCCCACGCATTGGTAGCTCTGACATGCCATCGCTGGCGGGCCTCACACCTGTTCAGAGCATCAAAAACGTTTTCAAGGATGTTCCCGTGGGTGGAGATATCAGCAAGGCCCTTAATTTGACAGCCGCTTGGCGATCCGGCCTGCCGACTCTTGAAGACGTCGAAGAAATGAAGATTGCTGTGGTGCTTAATTTCCGTCTAAACTCCAGCAACTACGCCACTATCTGCATGCGTGAGATGATGAGCACTGCTTTCAATGTTGCCCCAGAGACGAACAGCAGCGGATCTGGATTTGGCCAGCTTCTTGGCCATGGTGGACATATCCATCATGAATCTGTGGGCCACACGACGAGTGTCAGTCACTAGCAACGACGACAGCCGTACGTTCTGAACTGAAACAAGTATGTTTTTTTTTTTTTTTTTTGCTCTGTCAATTCGGATTTGTTTGTCTTTTATTTTGCGCGAGCTTTGTCTGGTATGAGGAGAAAAAGTACCAGAGGCGAAGAGTAATATGTGGATACGAACTATGCTGTTGTTGTGTCTTTTACGTGTTTGTGTGGCTCACTGAATGGCGTGGGAAACGAAGCCAAAGTTAACGAGTGGGCTGGGTTGGCGTTTCAAGGAAAGTAGCAAATCTCATGGTACCAAGGCCGAGATCATGAACTACGCTTCGCCCTCAGACTCGGAAGGCGTTGCAGTGTCTCTGTATTGTTTTTATTCGAGGAGACAGGCGCTGTGATCGTGCATCGTAGCATGAGATACCCCATCTATCGACGAATTTCATGTTTAGAGTGCGGAATCAGAGGTCATGCAGAGTTACAACCACTTGTCCAAGCTCACTTTTTCAATATATGTGTCCTGAAGTCCTGAAAAATACGCGGGCTGTCCAAATTGTTTTATGTACAAGTAACAAGGCTTCAATATAAATGCATCGAGCAGAATGCAACGTCTTCGTAGTAGAGCAACTTTCGTCGGCTCGTTTTCAGCCCATTTCCAGGACTTGCAAGGTCGCCCTTCCCACTGCAATTTGGTGTCTCTTCAAGACTTTGAGCACTGATCATCCGGTTCAGCCAGCCTCGCGTCTCCTTGGTCCCCTTTCCAGTCGTTCCAAAGAGAGTCTGCAAAGACGGCAGACGTCTACTCCAAAGCAGACTGTCTTCGCTCCGATGTAGCAACTCCGCCTCTTAGTTCTGCCATGTTGACAGACTGAGAATAAGGAGACATGCTTACCAAACTCGTCCAGTCCAGCAGGACATGTTAGAGACAAGCTTTGTCTTCCAGCGATAGCTTCAATATTTATTCGCAGTATGTGAGCGGCCTATGCATCCCATCCCCAGACCTTGGACAGATATCGGGACATGTTGACTCGCTTGGCGCTCATCTCTTTCATCCAAGGATGGTCGAGCATACGCCATGGAGTGGCTCGCCGACTTGGTTCCTTCTCGAGACTGTAACACAGTTAGCAATGGTTCCACAAAGCAAGAGGTGCGAGATGTGCTCACCAGGACTCGATAAAGTACTTGAAGTTGTTGCTCCAGAAAATGTTGGCATCCGGCTCATCTTTGAGCTTTGGGATGGGCTGACGCACAATGTACGTCAGCAGATCGATGAGGCCCGCACGTGGCTGGATCTCTGTTCCATCGGCCGGAAACGGGAAGCGGTGCTGCGCCACTTCCAACAACGTGACACCTGTCGACCAGACGTCTGAAGTGATGGTATAGCTCTGGCCAGTGATACGCTCTGGTGCCATGTAGTAGCTTGTGCCGATAAAAGTGTTCGCCTCCCCTTTAGTGCCAAAATCACCCGACACGCCAAAGTCGCACAGCTTGACTTCGCCGTTCCGACACAAAAGAATGTTGGACGGCTTTATGTCGCGGTGGATGATCTTCTTGGAGTTCAGATAGGTCAACCCGTGCAGAACGCCCTCGGCAATCTTTCCCAAGACCTTCTCGCCTGTGCGGCCACCGAGCCGCTTGACCTCGCGGTAGATGCTGTCGAGCGAGCCGCCTTCACAGAACTCCATAGCAATGGAGATCGTGGCTGTTGACGGATCGACAAAGGCGCCGTAGTACCGGCAGATATGCTCAGATGCGCACTCTTTGTTAAAGCCGAGCTCTCGGACAATCTGTTTCTTCACATCAGGGTCCGGGTTTGTGGTGATGACCTAAAATGTTAGCAATTTTTCAGGATTAGACGTGTGCACTGATTAATTGTCCACGCACCTTGAGCGCAAATACCGTCTTCCCTCCTTCAAGCCTGCAGCGCGTTACTGCACCACCGGCTCCCTCTCCTAAGCTTCCTAGCTCAACGATTCTTCTCTCCAAACTAGCGATGCGCCAGCTTTCGTCGTCTAGCTCTTCCACGTCTAGTGTTCGGGCCCTTTCAAGAGCCAGTCTATCAAATGATTCCAGGCCTTGAAGGCTGCTCTCTCGCTCCATGCCGACACCACCCTCGCTCAGTTCGGAATAAAGAGACCCGACAGCCGACACCGGGTCGGGCGTTCCCTGCGGGCGCGAGTTACCGATGCCATACTGACTAGCAAACGAGAGCGCAGAGTACTGCGATCCGGCCGACGTAGGATTGCTGGCACGGCCGTCCAGTAAGTTGAAGCTGCCTGAGCGACTATGAGCAGCACTGCTCTCACTTCCACCCGAAGCACTATGGAGTGCCGGGCCCAAGACACGGCCAGCCGGCTGCTCATGTGGAATTCCCTGGCTGCCCATGGGAGTTGCGAGGTGTAAAACTGGTAGTGAGGGGCGGACCACGGGCTGATGTGGTGGGACAGTTGTGCCAACGGGCTTCACATTAGGAGAGGGTGGAATAGCAAGGCCAAGACGAGGAGCACGCGAGGCGCCGCCGGCTCTAGCGCCAGGTATGGCGGGTCGGAGAAGAGGAACATGGCCAGGCAGGATGGGGACCGGAGACGAAGTGAGTGGCTGTATGGGGTGTATTGCTGGAATATAATCGGGAGTTGGCACCGGAGCCTGAGTTTCGTTAGCAGGCATGGAAAGGGGAGTGCCGCAACGGCAAGTTGCGGCAAAAGGGACAAGAATCTCACGCGAGCAAAGGCGTCGCCAGCAACCGTCAAATTCTCGTGTTCATGCATCGTGTCCACAGAGAAGACGGTATGGTGTAGCGTAAGCGAAAGTATTTCCGGGAGCAGCCGTATATTCCGACTTAGGCAGGCAAATGTCGGTAACGAGAGATAAACAGATGCCGAGACGTCAGAGAAGCGGGAATGAAGCGAAGCAGAATGCGCGCCAGGAAGCCAGACGAAGAAGCAGATCGAAACGAAAGAGCGAGGCTGAGAACAGAGAAGGAGAAACGAACGGCTAAGAAAGACGACCCGAGTATCGTAAGGCAGAAAGAACGAGGAAACAGCAAAGACGGAAGCAAGCGAGAACAGGCAAAAATAACGAGGGAATCAGACGGGGGAATGCGGTATCACAGCTTGCCAACGGCAACCCGGGAACAGCAAGGACAAAGAGCAGAGCAACTGAGGCGGCGCTGAGAACAGAAGAGTTGATGAAGCGGTTGCGGAAGAGCAGAGAAATGGCCAAGGCCAGCAGAGGGGAAGAGGGGACGCGAAAAGTCCTACGACAACGCTAGCAGCCGAAAGCGGTTTGGTGTGGGGAAGTTGCCGTTGGTGAGCGGAAGGACTAGCGAACGGCGCAGCCGCTGTTGTCGTAGGCGAACAGGCAAGATGTCTCTATGAGCGAGATGATAGGGAAAGAAGAGGTCTGGTTGGCGGATTGGCAGACGAGGTGGCCTTTCCCGTTGGGATTACGGCATGATTTGTGACGGCGATGGCGGTTGCGGTCGGCCGAAAATCCAGAACCCGAGGAAGGCAGGAGCGAGTACCCCTGAAGTGAGGCAAGCGCATCACACGCTTCCTAGGCGGCTGCTGATACGGGCAGTGGGGCCAAGCAAAGCCACCCCTGCTCAGCACCCTGTGATTTGCTTGCAGTGCGGCAGAACCAATCAGCAGGCGGCAGTGATGTTTCGCTTCCCGCTCGTGCCTGCCGTCTTGTTTCGAGCTGTCTCCTGCTATTCATGCCTTAGTTGCCGTCCAGATGCGCGCAAATGGTGGAGATTCATGTACTCGTAGAGAGGATGCAGCCAAGTCATAGCGGATGCTTACGTGAGAAAGTAGAGTAAGATAAGATACAGGTAAGATACGATTTGCATTGAACCAGAACGCCCAGGGGCTATCGTCGCCATCGCCGGCCCAGGGGCTTACCGCCCAGCTCCATAATCAGTCCCTCTCATGTCGCATTCATTCGTAGAAAAGCGTGGTTCTCCATCGAGTCTCCTTCCAATATATGGAACCTTTTCCAGGACTCATCAAGCGCGCGCTTGATTAGCTTTGTGACAGCCATTAGCAAGCCAACAGGAAAGCATAAAAATGGGTATCTACGAATCCGACTTTCTGCCAGGGCCTTACCCGATTGGGCGTGCATCTTTTCACCGCCAAAAAGTTTTATGCCAAGCAATTTTCTGGCTGCAAAGACTAACGGGCAGAAATTGAAGACGGGCGGTTAGGACATGCAGAGGATTGACTGCACAACGAAAGATATGCCGTCGACTGTACAAAAACCGGGCAAGAAGGGTCGTCGCACAGATATTGCAGGCTCCCGTGTGAGCTCTGGCGACGAATCTGATCATCTCGACAGCGACGAGCCGCGCAAGAAGCGCAGAGTCGGGCAAAGAAACACCAACGAGGAAGAGGACAACAGAGACTCGAGCGAGGACTCCGATGACAATGATTCCGACGCCAACGACAGCTCGGACGAGAATGGAAACCACGGGGCCAAACTTGCCCTAGAAGAGGCCCCAAAAATTTCCATACCCACCATGATCAACCCTCCATCTCGAGTCCGACGACGTGAAAACTCGTCGGCCGTCAATGTTCCAACGGCCGCTGCGATTTCCGCCACCGACAGCAGCAAGCCGTCCGGCACCGTGCTAACACCGACAGACCCCAACACGACGTTTGGCTCGCTCGGCGTCCGTCCTTGGCTGGTCCAGTCACTGGCCAACATGGCCATCCACCGGCCAACATCGATCCAGAAGGGCTGCATCCCGGCGATCCTCAGCGGCGATGACTGTATCGGTGGCAGTCGTACGGGTTCCGGAAAGACGGTGGCCTTTGCCGTGCCCGTCCTGCAGGCCTGGGCCACGGACCCCAGCGCCATCTTTGCGCTAGTGCTGACGCCGACGCGCGAACTAGCTCTCCAGATCTACGAACAGTTCCTTGCCATCTCGGCGCCCCAGCCGCTCAAAGCAGTGCTGGTCACAGGTGGTGCCGACATGCGGGCACAGGCCACGGCGCTGGCCCGGCGGCCGCATATTGTCATTGCCACGCCCGGCCGTCTGGCCGACCACATCCGAACATCGGGTGAGGATACGGTGTGTGGTCTTCGTCGAGTGCGTTTTGTCGTCCTGGATGAGGCCGACCGTCTGCTGGCCGGTGGCGAGGAAGGTTCCGGCAGCATGCTGCCCGACGTGGAGGAGTGTTTGGGCGCACTGCCGCCGCCCGGAAAGCGCCAGACGCTGCTCTTCACGGCCACGGTGACGCCTGAGGTGCGGGCGCTCAAGACGATGCCGCGAGCTCCTGGACGTCCTCCCGTCTTCGTCTGTGAGGTCGAGACACAGGCTCCAGCCATCCCGACCACACTGCGGCAGCTGTACCTAGACGTGCCCGTCACGCACCGCGAGCACTACCTGCACGTGTTTCTGAGCACGACGCACAACGAGGCCCTGCCGGCCGTCATCATCTTCTGCAACCGCACCGCCACCGCCGCCTACCTGCACCACCTGCTGCGGCTGCTCGGCCACCGCGTGACGGCTCTGCACGGGAAGCTGCCACAGCGACAGCGCACCGACAACCTGGGACGCTTCCGCGCGGCTGCCGCGCGCATTCTGGTGGCCACGGACGTCGCCGCGCGTGGTCTGGACATTCCCGACGTCGCGCTGGTCGTCAACTATGACGTGCCACGCCAGCCGGACGACTACATTCACCGCGTCGGTCGGACGGCGCGTGCGGGCAGGACGGGCGAGGCCGTCACGTTTGTAGGCCAGCGCGACGTGGACCTGGTGCTGGCCATCGAGGCACGCGTCGGCCGGCCGATGGAGCTGTGGCAGGAGGAGGGCGTCAATCTGGAAACGCGGGTGCTGCGCGACGCGCTCAAGGTCGTCAGCGAGAAGAAGCGCGAGGCACTGCTCGAGATCGAGGAGAACCGCGAGGTTGGCGGCAAGCGCAAGCGGGGAATGCAGAAGCTGCGAGCAACATAACGGTCGCCGACAACGCACAAGACAGACGCCGAGACCGGCCGTGTCGGACTCGGTCACGCTACTCCGCGTCGTATCTTACGGAGTACAGTAAGATATCTGGCAAGCATCTCATTACGGAGCGCACAACGTGGCCCAGGAACGGACCCATAGTTCTCGATCAGCCCTCTCATCTGTCCTAAGCGAAATACAGAAATTTGTTTATCTACCGACAGCGTGGCTGAACGGCTGACTGGCTGACGGTGGCTGCCTGGCTACTCCGTACATACGACGTAGTAACATATCCAATACGACGTGCGGATATGCAGACGCAGTGTGCAGGGGTGCAGCAGAAGAGAGGGCCAAACCCGCCGGCCCATCAGAAATGGCATGCAATATTACGATTGCTACCCAATATCAAGAATGCACCACATTCAACCGTCGCCGGTACACACAGACGAGCTGACCGCCATCCCTTGCCCTCAGTGGACCGCGTGCAAATGCCACGTCAGACGCGTGTCTCACGAAGCGTGGTCTAGCATCGTGGGATTCAGGAGGCGGTCTGTCCTTTGCACACTCATGCCGGATCCACTATATAAAAAATTTAGATTTTTTACGGAGCAATTTCACAAGAATTTGTTTTCACGTCCCCACCCACGTCGTGTTCTTTTCATTTTTATTTATATTTTTTAGACGCCACGATGTCAATTTCGTCGATCAATCTGACTGACATGGGAGATCCAAGAATGGACGGACCGTCGATCAATAAACGTAAAGAGTCGGTGTCCAGAGTCTAGGCCGTCCCGTCTTTCGGTGGACCGCGCGTATTTGTCATAGGCAGCAGCACAGTAATCGCATTCACGGAAGCAGCACTCCCACACCCTCTAATATATATCATCCTGATTACGAAGTGAGACTCATTATTAAGGCGCGTCCCAGCCAGCTGGTTCTTTGCGGGGGGCAGACGGCAATGGGAACACTTGATTGGCCGACCTATACGTAGCGGCAGGGCCGAATTTTTTTTCTTCTTTTTTTCTCCTTTTTTTCTCGCTGACTATTCGTATGCCTAGCTTTGCCCACTCTGGAAAGGAAAGCCGAGGTGCTGAAAGGGGTTGCCGAGAAAGGCTCTTGAGACGGACCAGGGCCAACTCCTTGCCCGAGTTGCTCGTATCTCGTACTCCTCGATGACAGTTTTGACAAGCAAGCTCCCTTGTCTTGTGTGGCTGTACCATACTATTATGACGGGATTGCTATTATCGCAAGCAGCTCTGCACCATGTTTACTCCGTATCTCGGCCAAGGCTTCGTCCTTTCCGTGCTTTTCGGCACCCGGTTGCTGCGTGACGTGTAGGAACAATGGCCGTTGGTCATCTTGCAGGGACGTGAACCAGACTTCCCGATATCTTCCTTTTTCCTACGGCATGTCAGGCGCATCAGATGCGACAAGCTTCATTGTTGCCCCTCGGGTAGTTCGCGCGGACTTCGGGGTTCCCAGAGGAACGACGAAACGTGACCAAGGGATGCCTCAGTTTTGATACGGTACGGAGTAGTCTGTAGGACAACGTCGCATTTAAGAAACGGTGGTTTAGTGGACACAGTGGAACAGAGGGGTAAGCAAGCTCGGAATTAAGTTAATAGGCTCCACATCAGCGCCCGTATTAACTGCGGAGGTTTGGATGATACATAAGCGGCCAGGCGGAGGATAACATAAGCCGATATGGAACAAACGAACTCACCGGCGGTGGCCCTTCTTTCACATGCAGCGGTATCTGTCGTGCTACGGAAGTGTAATGAACTGATACTGGAGGTTCCGCCTGCCGATCATCAACATGTGCGGAATGCCGTGGAAACCGAACTGGAGCCGGTCCGTGAACAGACCGGAGATGCATGTTCGCACCCGTAGATCGGCCTGTGTGTCTGTCCGCCTGGTCGCATTGAAAGTATCTAGTATCACCTTGGTTGACGAAATTGACTGTGGCTGAGGCAAGACTCTCATTTGCCTGCATTAAAAGTGCAAAGTAAGATAGAGAAGATGATGCAAGAGGGAGGCGCAGACACGGGAGCCAGGGGGGTACGTCTATTGTTAGAGTCTAGATCCCCTGAGGATGGAGCAGCTCTGTCGATAAGGGGACAGACACGTTCATTGTGCCAGCGTCTGCCGCAACCAAAAGAGATGACCCCAGACTCGACAGGCAATGTCTGGACATGGGCGCATGGTGGATCGCTGAAAGAAACACTTGTCTATTTTTTAAACAAGTGCTCCGTACGACTGACTCCGTACGGAGCACGACCTATCCCACAGACCAGAAGCAAGTAGAACTACGACGTACTCCATACAGTCACGCACGGCTGGTTAACTACTGTCTTGGCTTGCGCAGCGACACGAAAAGGGGAGGGGGGGCATGTGGATTTGATCTTACGAGTTCGCACATCTTCCTACGCCCTATGTATTACCCCGTCTGTTGAGCGAACGGTCACAAGCTATGCCTGGTCCGTCTTACAGCATCCGGATAGGCTCCGTGCTCACAGGATGGGCAGGAGGCTGCCTGGCCTTGCGCCCGGCCGCGTTCGTCAATGCTGACATACGATGCGGCCAGAGAAGAGTCAGGGAGAGAAAGAAGGGTGCGGGAGCGGAGAGAAGAAGGCCCCGGTGGCCCAAACGCGGCCGGTCGGCCGAGAAGCTCATACTGTTGGATGCTGCGAGGAGTAGGTGGCCCCGGTCGTTCTCGCATTTGCGTCGTTTTCGCATTTTCTGTCCCTTCTAGGCACCGACATTCTGGGGCAGAAACGGAATCAAGGCAGTCGATTAGCTTCTAAGATACTGATGCCGTTCCTCTCCGTTTCGCAAATAAGCTTTGCCGTCCGTACTCCGTATTTACGGTAAAGATCATCAACCTATCCCCCCCGATTGCCAAACCTCTGCACCTGACCAGCCAACGGTCCGTCTGCCCGCAATCGGTCTCGGAGATTCTAGTGTCGCTGGGCCTGCTGATGCGATATGATTTTCAATCCTCGCGTTCAGGTCAATGCCATCTCGAATTGGTAAGATACGTCACGGCTGCAGATGGGCCGTGAGATCAGTTGTAATCGTCCCTTACTAATTCAGAACGAGTGCGGTGGCTGCCGCGGCAGGGAGGAGCACTATTGGCTATATTGAGTGGAACTCTTTAGGCGCCCATGGAATCATAGTTATCTCTATATCTTACATTTCAAAGCTGTTTGGGGGAAAGTGACCAAAAGTTTCTTTTGCGTATCCGTACGCGTAATTACGGGGACGAGCGACATAAAGCAACTCGCGTTCGCCGTAGGGTGGACTAGCTGGCTTGGAATTCCATACCGCTGAGTCACCTTGACACCGAAGACAAGCCTTCTGATTGAAACGGACTGGGAGTCTGGGATCGACAATTGCGACATTGCAGCAGCACACGAGAACAGGGCCCTGATTCCTGTCACCAACAGTGCTGCTGATAAAGCCATGGACGAGCGATTTGTGATTTTGCCCTACTACGGAGTACATAGTAGTTCTCCTTGCTACCTCGATGCGTATACGTAAGATACTCCGTACGTAGGATCGTAACTTGCTCATAGCAGGATGCGTCACCAAAAAGGACGGCGCGCGTACGGGGTACGTGGTAGAGTATTCCTGCTTTCTGGCTGCAAGCACCCCCGTAAGCAGTACGTGAAAGAGTCAGAGGAGAACGGGAGAACGGGGCCTGCTCAAGCTCCGCGGCGAAAGCCAGGAGAGCAATACACTAAAATGGATTTTTCAGCAGGCATTGCACGTCTCGGACGCGGACTCGGCTTTTAGGCCAGTCTCAAGAATAACTGATCCGGCCCTTGCGTTATGCTTTGTGCTGGTACACAGCCCCTCTGGCGTGTAAAGTGGTCTTTGTCGTATTGGGTACTTGGCAAGGGCCTCTTTGGGCGGACCGTCGGGCAAACTTCATGGTCACGCCGCATTTTTTTGGTTTCTAATCCACACACCCTCCCTTGTTCTGTTCCAGACATTACACCCCCCCCCCCTTCTCCATTCTGTCGGTGCCTCGCTCTCGGTTTTTGTCAGCCCAGTTTCGCATGTCTCTTACACCTGCGACATTCCTTGTGAGCTTGCCGTCCGTTTCTCGAGGGGTCTGCACTCCGTACATGCACGCCCCCCCTGGCTTGTCTTTCGTAAAGCCCGGAGAGGCTCCGTTTCTGACGGTGGAATCGGGTTTCGATGGTCTGCGAGACTATGGATGACGGGTAGTTAAAAGATGAGCTGCCGCCCCGACCTCAGACAGTCCTGGAAAGTTTCTGAACCATCCCAGTCGAGAAATCAACTTTACAAATACTTACTTCACGAGCAAAAGCCCAAACAGTCTACTGCATGTGCCATTCAGTGTCATTCACCCCAAACAGCCCATTATCTCACAGCCGAGCGAGATCACACAAAGCCTTCACTCGACGTTCCACACCCTGCATCCAGACAAAGCAGAAGCCAGAACGCAGACGGCTTTGCAGAATAGCAAAACAGCCAGCCAGGTTGACCAGACATAGCATAGGATTTTTGATTGCTGGCTGTCCGCCTTTTGTCAGATCCACTAGCCCCACCCAAAAAAATATTAGGCAGTTCCGCAATCGGGTCGCCTTGAGTCACACAACGAGTCCCATATTACACCATACACCATACAAAAGGGAAACACCAGCTTCCGAATAATTCTGGTCCGCTCCCTTCACAATGTCTACCACATCAGCATCAACCGTCTCTGCATTTCCCCAGTCTACCAAGACCTCACCCGCACCGCCATCCCTGGCTTCTCCCGTCAGACGCAAAACCATGAGCATCACACAAACATACTTTCTTGCCCACAAGGCACGGGCAAAGCTGTCTTCTCAGGCAGCTCGGCCAGACCACAACCTCCGCCTGCTAGTGGGCCACGCCAACCTGCTCGACACCCTGATGCTTGAGCTGGCCGACGCTGAGCGCGAGCAGGAATCGTGGTTTAACCAGTCGGTGCGTGTCGCTTCTCCCGCACAGTCACCGGCGGCAGCATCACACAAGTCCGACCGTCATGTGCAATGGGCCGACGCCATCGTGGAGGAGGAGTCCGAAGAGGATTGGGAGGCCGACGACTCAGACGTCTCTTCCGACACCAGCAGCGACTACACTGAGGACGAGGACGAGGACGAGGACGACGAGGACAGCGAGTCGTCCGAGAACGACATCTACGACGAAGACTGCGACATGGCGGATGCTCCTCTCCGCCGCGTGTCTTCGCACAACAGCAACTACCCATCCACATCCACTTCCTCATCATCATCACCCACTGCAATTGCCATTGAGGTCACCGAGGCAGAAGACGACAGCGACGCCGAGGTTGACGACGACGAGGAGGACTACACTGAGCTCACCCTCACCCGATCACCATCACATTCCGTCTCCGCTTCCCTGCCTTCACCCACATCACCACCTGAGCTGGTGATGGAAGACTCGGACATGTCCGAAGACGAGGCCATGCCACCCTCGCCACCCATCATCGCTCTGGAGTCCTTCTCCAAGTCGGCCGTGGCATCCAAGCAGTCTGCAACCAAGTTTGACGACAGTGACAGACTCTACTTGTCGCCTCGGAACCCCGAGAGAGTCATCTCGTCCGTCTCTGTCTACTAGAGGCGAAGCAAAACACAAAACATAAAAAAAAACGATATCCAGCATGACCTTCTGTTTTATCTACACGAAGTCATGAATCTTGTACATTTTCCGGGGGTTGCCACAGCATGAGCAGCGATTTGTTTGCATGGGCATGGGCCTGTTTCTTTTTGTTTTATTAGCGATACCAATTTGGCATTTGCACATGGAACGGATCGAAACCAGAAAAAAGCGTTATGATTTGGGGTTTCATCTACTGTCTAGATTACAGTGTCACCACTCAGTGGGCAGGATTGGGAAGGAGGAGGACGGACGTTTGTCCAAAGGGTTATGTCATTTCTTATTATTCACACCTCCCACTTGATAGTGCTGCACTCCCGTTTCTGCGGCTTGCAAGCAGAGATAGGTTGAGCGCTGTGTTATTCATGAACGCATATCGTTCACTCAAACAATAACAGAATATAGCTACATCAAAAACAGACCAATCACCTTTCAATGCAAATGTCTTCTTGCCCATAGCTTGCCTAAAGCTTTTGCCCGTGTTCAATTGCTACATTTTCATGTGACTGCTCCCTCATGCCCTATGTGCTAGCTGTTCCACCCGTTCCACATGCTGCCCTCGTGAGCGGTGGCTTCCTGCAGTCCCATTGGTGCCCTGTCTTTGACCGCCAATTTTTTTTTTTCGTTTCCACGTTGGTCTTGTCCACTCTATGACGATACTGGTCGGTATCTTACTCGCACACTGCGTACCCAGTTTTTCGGGGTTTTCGCCTTCTTTGTCTTTCTGTCCTGTTCCTATCCGGCGTCCCCTGCTCCTTGACAGCGCACGGCATCCATCGCCACAGCTACGATTTGCTGACGCAGCATTCCTGTCGAATGGCCTGGAACTAAGATACTACCACTTTGACCGAAGAGCCCCGGGATCGGCCAAGTGGGTCCCTTACGCCCTATTCCGTACTCGTTTTTTGCCCTTCCCCTCTCGTCTACCTCGTGGGATTCTGCTTCCTTTCCGCTTTGGCCCTTGGCATTTCTCCTAAGCCCGTACTCGGGTCCTCGGGTTTCGGATATGGCTTTCGCATTTTCGCACATTCGCACACTGGCGTTTTCCCCTCTTTCGCAGTGTCGACAATCGCATTCTGAGCGAGCAGTGCCAACTGTCAACATGCTGTCCTCATCTCCCTTGTCTTTTTCTGCCTGCCTGCATGCATGATTCGTACTCGTACTCGTGGCAGTATGCCCAATTGCGCCTTGGCTGGCGCAGACGGTACATTCAGCAACCGACAGATGGACATGTCGGCCGATCAGCTTCTGGCAGGCTGCCCCGCTTAACTGCTTTATAATTCTGGCTTCTGACAAATGCGCCACTCCGCCTTTTCGTCGGGCAAGCACAGCGCTCCGCCATTCCGCAACTGGCAAAGAAAAGCCGTCCATGGCTCCGTGACGACGGCTTACAATACTGTTATCGCTCACACAATCACACACGCGCTTTGCTGACACGTTAATTAGCGGCCTTGAGAAAGGGAGAACTGACAGACTCATACATAGTAAGATACCAGTCATGCAGATGTCATGTTCTTTGGCCCCCCGACATGGCCATGGTACGATGTCTAAATTTTCACCGACCTTGCGGGCTCGACAAGTCCTTGTTGCTTAACGGAGGGGCCGTTCAGATGCAGACATGGTGAAGCCCTACTTCGTTGGGGCCGTTTGTGTGCGTACGCCCTACGGTGGAACCCCTCCCAGACTCGGATTGTGACCGGACATCGGCTGCATCGCGCAGCATCCCGGAACATAGTCTTCCGCATGACCCCCTCTCCGCTACCAGCCGGCCGCTCCATTCTCGTACGGCAACAGTGTCGTGGCTTACGGAGTACGCATACAGAGAGCATCTTACCGTTTTCAATCCCGCGAAGTCTTGACTTGGCCCCGAGAACGACACTCCGTCTCGCTACTACGTGTACACCAGGGAAGATTTAAGCACGCTTCAGCTTTTAGTGCGACTGCATCCACGTACTGCAGGCACCCTAAATCCCCACACCGTCCTCCCCTACCAGTGCGCGATCTCGATGTATGGCAGCTCCATATTGGGCACCAATATAAATTGTATCGCACCACCCGCGAAATGAAAGCTGCTGGTGGCACAGACAGTAACGCCGTTAAGAAATTGAAACAGTGGAAACACAAGATGCCGTGCCCTAAAGGCGTGGGATATAGCCAGGGAGAGATGGAAAAGTCTGCAAAGGAATGAGGCTTTGCCGTCCTTCCCGCCCTTCCGCAATGTAAAAAAGCACCCTCTTTTGTGCAGCACAGCTAGCAGGTCTATGTTTCCGGTACCGCTGTCACGGGAATGGGCTGACTATGTGATCAAAGCGCTGTGGGGAGGGATGATTATGCTCGTAACGGCCAAGACGGTGCTATCCGTAGCATCCGGCGGCTCCTAAGGACTTACACAGCCATATCTCTGCCGGCCCTTCTGGCCTCTCCACGTCCAGGGAGGCCAGCCCATCGTCTACAAAGACAAGAGCGCGAACAACGAAAAACGGGACTGACTTCAAGTTTGTTCGCCATGTGCCCTGCTCCTCCGTTTTCTGATCTTCTCAGGTTCCTCTCATGCGGCCTGTGTGCAAAGAAAAAACGGAAAATTGAACGGGGATGATCTGCACTAGCGGCCGGTTGTCGGACACTCGATATCACCGACCTCCGATTTTGCGATCGATTCGGGAATTTGTGGCAACTTGCTTACATACTCCATAGTTTCTTGCGAAAACAAGTCGCGAACGCTTTGGGCCAAAAACGGAATTCTGGGGTGCCGCTTAAGACCGTTTGTCGGCCTGCTCGTGGCGCCGAGATGGCTCTGTTGCTTTCCCCTCAGCCCGCATGGGGGCGGGTTATTCCTTCAGAAAGTCGGTGGAGAGGGGGGTGTACGATACAACGCAAACGCATTCAGCTGTTCAGGAGCGCTTTGGTAAGGTTCTTGATTGAGACCCCGAGGAAAGCTTCGCTTCTCCCCATGAGGTTCTTTATTGGTTGCTGAATTGTCTACGCACGGGCCAACATTCATCCACGTGTCTGGCTCTTATAAAAACCTGTGCAGAGGAAGAAGGGAGCATTGGACCAGCTGGGTGCAAAGAGCCGTAAGCTGCTCCGTACTATGTAGGATATCGACATGGTAATGTCAGAGAGTACGAATATGAATGAGAAACGACCCAGCCATGGTATGCGGATCCGATCCGAGCTGGTCTTGACTCTCTCGTCTGCATTCTCGGCCACAGCCTCGTCCACAGCCTCGCCGGCAAGGTCGGAAAAACAGTGACGTCACGGCTCGCGATAGCAGCTGCAGAACAACACCGTCTTGGCGATGACATCAGCAGCAGCGACGGGTGATGACTCAGTCACAGCTGAGGCTAGCCATAATCCAAACTGTAGATTGACAGCAACGCCTTGGGCTTCTGGCAACGTAATCAATGATTCGTCTACGGCCCGAATGCGGGTACCTGTGCCCGCTTCTAGATCGGGCAGAGGGATATGGGCAGAGGGGCATGGGCAGGTGGGGTGGTGATGGGCGGTGGCAGAACGAGTGGTGAGATGTTGGATGGACACGAAGGCAACAGCATTGTCTCTGCGTTGTTTGCCATTCTGCTGCGGCTGGTCGACTGCATGCGCCCAGAGAGGTGTACAGAGTCGAAGGAAGCATGCAATGCTGTCGTGATCACGTGCACTCGCACTCGACGGCGTGGCGCGCAGATCTGGGCATCCGTCGTAAGCGGAGATGACAGTGTCGTCGTCTGGTCCCAAGACTCCATGTGGCGCGAGCTGACGTGCTGCGGCAAGACGTTTCATCTGGTGGGCCTTCATGTTCCCCTCTCATGCTCACCCCGCTGACATTGTCTGCGATGTGGTGGTGAACCTGGGTGTTGGAGGCGGGGTCGAATCTTACCTAATCATCCCCTGCTTATATGCGTTCGCCTTACTCTGTGCCATCGAGCATGCCTTGCTGCGTGCTCTGTGGAGTTGATTTTATATTATATCCTGGTCATCTGTATCTTTGTTTGTATTTTTTTCCCCATCCGAATAGTGCCACAGCAGCGAAATCTCCGCCTGGAGCTCAGTTGGCCGTCAGGAACTCTGCGTCCTCGGGCAAGGTGTTGCCGTTGGTCTTGGCATCCGCACTGCTGCGGAGGGCGGCTTCGGCGGCGCGGGCGGCCTGGTCGGCCTCGAGCTGGTGATCGAGCTGGAGCTGGCGCTGGCGCTCCTTCTCCTTCTCCAGCTCGCGGCTGCGGTAGCTGGCATAGCGCAGCGATCCGAGGCTGACGATGACCATGAAGATGATGCCGAGGACGGAGCGACGGATGAGGACCCAGCGCAGGCCTTCAATCTGGGAGCGCATCTCGCTGTTGAGCATGATGGTGATCTTGTAGTTGAGCTTCTGGATCTGGCTCTCGGCCGCTTTCTGCTCTTCGCGTACGGCCATCTTGCGGTCGTCAAAGAGGCCGCGGACGACGTCGTTGAGCGTCAGCAGCTCCTGGCTGACCGTCTGCGCCACAATGTCGACCTCGTGCTGCAGCAGCGCCCGCTGCTGTCGCATCTGCTCGTCGGCCCGCCGCCGGTTGTTGCGCACCTCGATGCCCAGCTCCGCGCACGCTGCCTTGAACAGGTAGGCCTCGTTCTCCACGTCGCTCTTGCTCACCAGCCCTGACTGTGCCACGTCCAGGTGCCGGCCCAGCAGCCCGCGTACGGCCTTCATCGCCGTGATCGCCTGCGCCTGCGTGTACCCGCTGCTCGCCAGCTGCCGCACCAGCGAGTAGCTGTCAAAGTGGTGTACGTACGGCGGTGGTGCCAGGTGCGGTGGCTGCCGCTGCGACAGCAGCTTCTGCTGCCCCTGTTGCGGCGGGTCGCCGCCCTCGGCTGACCCGCCAAAGATCGCCTCGATCGGCCCTTCTGGCGTCGTCGGCGGCCCCAGCTCGATCACGTCCGCCGGTCCTGCCGACGCTGCCGTCACCGTCTTGTCGTCCTCGTCGACGTCGTTTCGGCTCCGTCGTTCTGCTGCCGATTCACTCGTCTGCTCTTCCGCACTGGCTGCCTCTGTTCCGGATCCATCCCCACTGCTGCTTTCCGGCTTCACTGTCTCCTGCTGTGGGCGTTGGGCCGTCTGCTTGCTGTCGCCAAGCCCGGCCTCCTCCTTCTCCGGTGAGAGCGGTGCAACTGCTGTGCCGTGCCGTGGAAACGATGCCCGCTGCGATGTTGCTGCCGTGCCGAATGCTGCCCCATGCTGTCGCGTCCGAGGACAGGCTTCGCATTCTGGTCGCAGGGCCGAGGACAACGGGAGGAGGGTGGCCGTCGGACTGGCTGTCGCCACTGTCGACGCGTACCGACAACTTCTTCTTCCGTTTCCACCGCTTCTGTTTGCTCTGTCGGTTCTGCTGCTGCTCGCACAGCTGGAGTGAAAGGCCGCAGCCGTGGTTGTTGTCACACTGCGCAGGATCTGCAGCGACTGCGACCCCGGCGGCATCTGCAAGAGCAGCCTGGCCGAAGGCATGGCTCGCAGGAATAGGACAATTGCGAGCAGAAAGCTAGGACGGGTGGTGGCAGAAGCTCGATGGACGATGGCTTGCCATCGTCTCTTATGTGTGGCAGAAGGAGTTGGGTTCAGTGGGGGAAAGCTTCGCGTTCCAGAATTAGGGAGCGTAGTCATCCGATTTCGGTTAGCGTGAGAACACTAATCCCGATTGGGACGAACATCATTATGTGATGGCACTTACACTGAAATAGCTTCACTTTTGTATTGAGTTCTTGGGGTATTAATGAGCTCCGTGGTGGCAAAGGTAAGTCCATTTTGCGATCTGAACATACTATATATTCATAAGCCTGCAATGTTTTCTCCATCCAGCCCAATATTTAATTCAACCCGATCTTGTACATCTGACACCCATATTCATCATGGACTTTTGGCGCCATCTGCTGCTCGACCGCCTGGTGAGCAGCAAACACAAAAAGCAGGCAATGATGCCTTGCAAGAGCCATACCTGCCATCTCGTTAAGCCCGACTTCCGTGCTTCTGGCAAGACGAGCCGGTCGAGCTTCTGCGTGGTGGACCACAGCCAGATGGACCCTCTGCTGGCGAGGGGCTACCACAACCTGCGCTGCAGCCGGCTGGGCCGCCTTCCCGAGGAGCTGCTGCTGAACGTCATGTGCCGTCTCGGTCCGCTGGACAAGATGCGTCTGCGCCACGTGTCGCGGCTGTTTATGCGGCTGTACGAGTCGCGCGAGCTGTCGGTCGGCTTCGGCGCTTTTTTGGTCGCCGGCCTGCCCTGGCGAACGCCGCCCTTTTACGTGCACACGGACCTCGAGATGCTGACCCGGCTGCTGGCCAACGACCTGGGCGACTACTGCGACGCCTGCCGCCACACGCGACGCCACTTCCGCTGGCCCTGGCACTTTGACCACCTGACGCGCAACCGGCTGTTCTGCGGCCGCTGCCGCCTCCACCACCCGCGCCACCTCTTCTCCGAGCGGGAGCGCCGAAACCGCGACAGCGCCGGCCGCGTCTGCATCGCGCACCAGGGTGCCGTCCGGCTGTGCAGCCACGCATCCGTCCGGCTGGCTGACGTGCTGCCGATCGTGCGCAGCGAGCTCCAGCGCAGCCGCCTCGCGGGCCAGCCGCTCGTATCCAAGACCCGACTGCTCATGTGCTCGCACCCCAGCCACCAGCCAGACCACCAGGGTCACGCCCTGCCCCTGTACGAGCCCAAGAAGGCGGCCCCGACGCTCTATGTCATCGTCGATATGCCCAGGGCCATGGTCCATCTGCTGCTCGAGTGGCACGGCCACCTGGTGCTGCCCGGTCAACGACCGGTCACCGCTGAGATGGTTAACGACGGCATCGCAAAGCTTCGCGTCGGTGCCGCCGAGTTCATCTTCCCCGAACTCCCCGGTGGCCGGCTGCCCGAGATGACCTGCGTGGACCCCCAAATCGCTGCGTTCTTGTCTGCATCGACCGGGCAGCGAGCTCATGCCGGCTGGCTGGGCCGTCTCGGCTCCACGAACCGCCTATGGACACAGAGAGTGCACGTCTGACCGAACAGCACGATTGTGGAACAGAGAGCGCGGCAGCAGTGACAACAGGCACAACGACAAAGTACTCCCGGACAAGAAAAACAGGCCCGCTGACGAGAAAGAGACCGAGGACACCACCCACAGCCTCCGGATGTGCTGGACCAGCAACTCTCTTGTCGATGGCGTGTCTAAGGCGGCTGTCCACCTCAACCGCTGCAAGAGTGGCCATCCGTCGTGTGTCGAGGTGGAGTGCAGCTCCCGCATCGAGGTGTTTCCGTTGTCTGACAAAGGCCGTGGCCCAGGCGTCATGGAGCCGATGATTGAGTTTCCGCTGCCGACCTGGATCCAGGCCCTCGACCCAGACTCCTACGGGATTACGGGCGACCGGCTCGGCTTCGGCGTCGCCTGGTGTCCCAACCGCGAGTGCAAGAACTACTACCGCTGCCTCAAGAGGCCGTTTATTTGCCTCAAGGACATGTACTGGAACGGAGGACATGGCCTTTTCAGTACTGCAAAACGAATATACAGATAATAGGGTAGGAAATACGGAGTAGTTTGTCTTGATATACGATCGCTGTAGTCCAATACCAAAGCGTGCAAACGATTCTCGAACCATACGCGAGCAGCTACTGCATCTGTCCTCTCGACTGGTGCCGCTCACCGTCCTGGCTTGCTTAGTCCGTTGTCGGGCCCGGCCAGCTTGCGGACGTGTTGCATCACCCGGTCGTCGGACTTCCACATGAGCGGCAGCCAGGCTGGATATTTGAACAGCCGCAGCAGCCGGCGGGGCCGTACGATGACGTGCAGATGCAGGTGGTGTATTGACACGATGTCGGGATAGTAGATGTTGCCCAGCAGCCGCCGCCGTCCTCGATGGAAGCCCGAGACGACGGTAGATGGCGACAGGTCGGGGCATCGGCTCGCAAGCAGACGCTTCTTCATGCGTTCCATGGCTTCCACTAATGCGCCCAGACGGTCAGCTCGTCAGCTCTCTCGCTACCCTCCGACACGACTCACGTAGCGGCAGGTCCTCGGCCGTGAGGTTCTCGATATCGCGCCAGCCGTGCTTTTCTGGTAGGATCAGCCAGTGTTGCTCGCCAGCCAGCCGCCGGTTCTCAATCGCAAACACGCCATCTTCCTGTGTCGGAGGACTTGGTCAGTAGACGTAAAAGAGAAAGAAAACGGAAAACGGAAAAAAAGACGGAAAAACGGGAAAAAAACAAGAAAAAGGCCGGCCGGCGCATCGTACCACGTAGACCACTTCGGGGAGCTCCTCACGATGACAGAAGACACAGTGCTGCTGCTGTCGCTCGCTCCACTCCAGATTGTGCAGATAGTGCAGCGCTTTTTTGACAAAATCCAGCATCGTTCTCTTTACCAGGCTGACAACGAGGAGACTCGGACGAGGAAGGAGCGATTCATTTCGATTTATGCCTGCCTGTTTGTGTAGCGACCTTGACGGCCTCCGTCGGCGTTGCTGTCTCAGCCTAGACGCCTATTTACGGTCAGCCTAACAATTGGCTTGCGCCACACTCCAGCCTTCCGACGTAGTGGCGCTTAAATTGGAAAAACAGTCACGAGTACGGAGTACGGAGTGCTCGTAAAACGTTACATTTACACCTATTGACGCATAACTATCCCTGCTCATAACGGCTTTATCTCCCTCCTTCTATTCATCCTTTGCGTCCGCGCTGGCGGGTTCCCGTTCCAGCATCTGCTGCAGCTGCGCCCACTGTCCCTTGAGCTTGCAGGCCGAGGCCCAGTAGTTGCCCAAGGCGTCCTTGCCGAGGATGAAGAAACCGTCGACCGGCTTGACAGGCCCATGATTCTCCTGCACGTACGACGGCCGACAGGGCGCCAGGCTCGTTGCTGCACCGGCTATGGACGTCTGGCGGGCCGGCGCAAAGTCGAAGTCGAACAGGCCGGCCTTGGACCAGTTGGAGAAGCCGATCTGAGTCATGTTGCTGTCGCCAAAGACGACGACTGGCAGACCGGTGCCTGCTTGACGCACGAGCCTGTAGTAGGCCCGGTGCTGGGCGCGCGTGCCTTGGCTGTTGATGGTGCGACGGACCGAGCGAGCGAGCCAGCTGAGCGGCCGCTGTCGCACGTCGCCGGCCGTCACGAGCACGTTGCCCCAGCCAAAGGCGTTGCCGACATAGGGACGGTGCTGATCGGCCGGTGGCAGCAGCGCGCCGCTGTCGTCGTCGCCGCCCTCAAATGCCTTGCACAGCGACATGACAATCGACCCCGACACGGTCCGGTCGGCTCGCACGTCTGTCTGCAGCCGCACGACACAGCGAATGATCCAGGCCGTGACCACGTCGTTCTCCGTCAAAAAGACAGCCGCCGGGTCTGTGCCTGCGGCTACAGCCTCGGCTCGCAGCTCTGCCAGCGCCTGCTCGTACTGCGGTCGCCAGAACGACGCCGGCACGCACAGCTTGCCGTTGTCCTTGGCGCGCAGCAGCATGTCGACGCCGTAGCCCAGACCCCACTTGAGTATGCCGCCAAACCCGGCACGGCGCTGCAGCAGAACGTGGTCTTCCTGCACCTTGCCGTCCGTGTCGTCGTCGCTGCTGGCCAGAGACGCAAACGGGTCTGTGGTGTAGGGCACCGGTGTCGGCACGGTCTCGGGCTGGTCCCGCAGCATGGCCTGCCAACCCTCGACGACGTACGGCATGCCAAGGGCGTCAAAGGCGACGTGCTGCCATTGTAGTATTGCCACAGTCTTGTCTGTAAACGAGTTGACCCGAAGGCCCAGCACCGGTCAGTCGATGCCGTCTGTGCCGAGATAGTCGGTGATGCCGCCAGGCTGATAGCCCGGGGCCCAAGCCAGGTCGGCAAAGTCGTCCGGGTCGCTCACCACGGCCGGCACGCTGCTCGGCTGCGGCAGCCGGATGTTGCTGGCGGCTGCATAGGCAGCAATCGTGACGTCGTGGTCGACGTGTGCAAAGTTGATGGCCGGTCGGTCGTCGCCAAAAATGGCTGGACTGTGCCACTCGGTTTTGCCGGCGGCCTGGAAAGAATGAGAAGGAGTGAGGAGAGAGAAGAAATGATAAATAGAAGAAAAAGAAAGTGGCGCTCAAAAGAAGAGAGACGGGGAAAAGGAAACATAATATGAACCCCCCTCTAACAGAACTCACATTCTTTCGCAGACACCCGCCTAACCTCTCCCAGCCCGGCCGCTGCACCAGGCTCTCGAGCGCACGACGCAGCTTCAGCGGATCCATCAAACGTGAGTGACACGGCCATGTTGTTGCCCTGCACCAGCGGGCTGTCCTCGAAAAAGTGCAGCGGCACAACGCGATCGCCGGCCACCGGCGCCACCGCCGGCTTGCTGCGTCCTAGCAGAAAGTCCATGTCTTGTACGGGCTCGACGTGAGCGTATCGCTGTGGTGGAAGAAGAGAAGGCCGAGGGGGCAGTTCCGGATTGTCTTAGATCTTGGTGCAAGGTCGGGGACCGCAACAACCATCCGACCCCGATCAACTGCCAGAGTTGCATCGTCTCCCTGCAACTGCTTTACTGCCAAGAGACCGGGGGTGCTGTCAGCGACTAGTCCAGACCGGTGCGAGACCATGCCATCGGTCCGCCATCCAGGCTGTTGGTGCACTTTTGGTCCTTATCGCTCTGGCCACATGTCCACACGTGACCGCAGACGGCTCTCGGACTGCGATCGCCCAACGATCGTTCCTGCTTACAGAATAGGCCAGCGGGGCGGTCTAGTCGACTCCGCCAAACGGCTGCAGAATAGCATCCCACGAGATTCGGATCTGCTGTCGTGTCGCTCATCCGACCGTCTGGCCGCAGGTAGTCATGGTTCCCCGCCTGCTCTTCCCTGGACTTGGAAGAATACGGACCGTCGTACTCCCCTAGTCAGAGTCTAGATGGCGCTCAGAATAGGTATCCCTCAGAGTATCTTACCACTCTGATCGCCCCACCATGCTTGCTCTACGGATTACGACGAACGAAGTACTCCGTAGACGTACTCCGTACAAGGTGTTCCCCTTTTCATCTTCCGAGAAAATTTCTGCATATGGCTCTAGTGAAATTCAACCCGGTCTAGCATGTTACATAGTACGAATACTATGTACTCGTACGGCGAATGCGCTTTTCCGTACTACTACGTCGTATGTACGTAAAAATGCATCTTGCCTTTTAGGGATTCTTGTACTATGTATGATTATTTCCAGGTCGCGCATGCTGGGTTCTAATTTTATATAACCATGCCATCTGGCCATCTATGGGCATGCCGTCTCTGTCCTGTATGTTGCTATCGATAGCCGCAGCTGGCGGCACATTCCGACAATACCATGTACAACTCGATCCAGGTCGGCACCGTCATCGCCTTTGTCGTCACCTACTTCTTTGCCTTTGTTTCCTTGCTCTTGCGCTATTTTTAGGCTTTCCGCATTGTGCACAGGATCGAACCGGATCTGGGTATGTTGCCATACGATGTACAGAAACTGACACGCACCCAAGACGACATCCGTTAATTGCTTCCAGTCATCCTCACCGTATCTGCCGGCACGAGTTTGTACTACTTCATCACCCTCACCAAACGTCCGTGTTCTCGTCGTAACCTCCTGCTCGTGTCCGCCTGCTGATGAGCCACCTGTAGTGATGAGCCATGGCTGGGGCAGGCACCTTGGCACCTTGACGACGAGCGATCTGATTGCCTTCAATAATGTAAAAAAGTAGTGCCTCTGTTGCATGCGTTTGCCACACTCTAGCGCCAGTCCAAGCTCGCTCACATCCTAGGTTATCCTGCCAAATACCATCCGAGGCCATTCTGGGCATCTGGTCCGTTGTCGAAATCAACCTCGGCATCGTCTGTGGCACGGCTATGCGTCTAAAGCCCTTCATCGTCACCTACCTGCCCAAGCTGAATCTCCTTAGCAAGCGCTCGACCGGCCGCTCCTACGTGCCCTGGAAAGACACACTCACAAAAGCCGACAAGGGCCAACACTCGTACCAGCTGCACAGCATCCAGCAGGGCAGCCGAGAGCCGGTCTCAAAATCGCCCCAGGGCCACAACATTCACGTCCACGAAGAGACCAACGTGCAAGTGGAAAACATGGGTCAGAGCCAAAGCCAGAGCCAGAACCGGAGCCGGAGTCTGAGTCGGAGCCAAAGTGTTGATGACAGTAGCGTCGAGCTGGTCTAGACAGTTAAAAGAGCCCAATTGACTTGACACGCCCCTTCTCTCCTCCGCCTTTATTTGTACAAAATGCTCTTCCACCCTACACTACACTGAATGCCCTTTCCACTACTACCTAACATGATATCTAAACACACCACTAGCAGGCCTGTGTACACTATGACTAACCCTGCTATATGACACCACCTAAACGCATCTCATACTTTCCCCAATCTACCATGGGCGTGAAACTCGCTTAATGGCGTCGGATCATCGCCGACGTCCACAGTTTGCAGACCGTTCTCCTCAGGTCCTTTCACCCAATACTAGCCCGCAGACGACGAGCAAAACAAATACAAAGCCACAGAAACAAGGCCACGACACCATTAAACACGATACATAAGTTTATTGTATGAAAACTTTAGTTACGAAGTACTAGCCTTCTAATAAAATAGACTAGTAGCTAACTTTAATAAGAGAATGCCGCTTTAAACACGGATCATTTCGTCGCAAACGTCCAGATACTTGTCGACATTGAAAGTGCCCCAATAGCCCTCGCCCGGGTCCGCCCCTTCAGCTTTCATGATACTGCGCGGAATGGACACATACTGGATGCGTTCTATGACCCCCTTTTGGCCGATGATGATCCCCGACCGTTGGTTCGGGATCGCTCGAAGCGGTACGACCAGGGCGATAGTATCGAACTGGAATGATCCGTTCGATATCTTGATAAGAGCCGAGACTTGCACCTTCGTCAATATCCCGCCCACCCTCTCCATGGTATGTATGTAGGGTTTATTGATTTCATTGTTGTGCAGAAAGTCGCCAAAGTCGCGGCCCAGAATGTCTTCTGAGACGATCGTATGTTGGGATCCTGTGTCCCACAGGCAGTCCATTCCATTGAGATGCTTTGTAGGCATCTGTCCGTCGTCATCCACGGCCGAAATTTCAACATTGCCCTTAACTGAGGGCACGAATTGGTCCTCCAGAGAGACGGGAATGCTCAAATAGGGGTCGGGAATGTCTTTCTTGCTGGTAAGGAGGTCATGGAACATGGCCTTAACTTTTTCGCGTTTCTCTGGAGTCAAAGGTTTAGGAACAGCTGTGTCCGCAAGGGCTTCGGAAGTGTAAATGGGAAGTGTTCGGGGTGGGATAGCATTTGACTCTTGGAAACATAGAACCCTCATTTCATTGGCAAGCTGGCGTAGTTTGGCACGACCCTCAGCAGACAGCTTATGGCTAACCGACACGTCGATATTTGGAGCTATCTTGCTAGAGAGCAGTGTTGGCTGGACAGCTGCAAGGAGCTGTGGAAGCTTGGGTAGAGGAATCGGCAGCTTTATATCCAGTTCAGCGTCAGCCTGCTGAAGGGCATTTCCGGCTCGTGAAAGAATTGCGTGGACGCTGAAGGTGTCCATTCTTTGTTCCTTAGAGACAGACTGCGATGTTGAAGACGATGCTGCGCCGTTCTTCGACGATGGGGAAGAGTCGTTCTCCTGCATTTTAAGGACAGCAGAAGCAACGTCCGAGAAAAGAGGTGTACTAGCGTAGGAACTGAAGCAGCAGAAAAGAAGGCTTGAAAGGGGGAAAATGACAGCTACCAAGGATATACTGCCTGCGTAATGTGGACGTGGTGATTGCAGGGTAGGATCAATAGAGCTAAAGGTTTGGTCGAGAATGAAAAAGAAAAATGGCAGCTTCCAAGGCTAGACTGTCTGCGTGATGTAAAAGTGATGGCTGCAAATAACAGAGTTTCAGCTTTGGTCAACGAATATTTTTACGTCGTACTGACGTCCCTTCCACAAGGAGTTTTAGCAAAGAGGGAAGGTGCGACTGAGTAAAGTTTGCCGCAACATTCTTTACTCGTACCCTACCAAAAGAGTTTAATAAGGCAGCGCCTTTTGTTAAAGAAAAGAATTGTAATATTGAATAAGCGAAAAGATATACAAAGCAGACCGTACTCCGTAATATCTCATCATTTAAAAGGTAGTATAACACGGAATCGTCGTGCTTGTGCACTCCTCCGCTTACGCTTTTGGTTGTTGACATTTACGTCATAAGTTCGGGTCTACGTTGCTCTAGGTCAGTCAGCCGGCTTCCATAAGGCGATCGCCCAGTAGTCCATACCCGATCGAGCAAAAATCGGCGCCACAGTTATTAGAACTTGTTCATCGACTTCATTTTACTTTGTTTCGCTAAAAACAGAGAGTCCCCATGGGTCCCGGGCTAGTACGTGGCGGCGAGCCGCTGGATGATGTAATTGCCGGTGGTGATGGGCTCGTACTTCTCGGCCTCGGTGCCAAAGGTTCCGGGCAAGACCTCGATGGATGAAGGAATTCTCCGTCGCCTCGGTACGCGAATCTTGGTTGATGTACCGGATACCGCCGACCGCGAGCGCATCCTTACCATTCACTTGAAGGACGAGCCGCTCTCGAATGACCTCGACGTCGCTGAGCTTGCTCAGGTGACGCCGGACTACACAGGTTCCGATCTGAACAATTTAGTCACTGCTGCAGCACGATACGCCGGGATAGACAACATGAAGCAGATGGGAGTCAGCTTTGAATTCGGTGGCCAAACACAGGCAGAATCGTCACAGATACGACCACCTGTATCGGTCCCAGCCGATCGTGTGAGCCGTCGCACGACCTGCCGGGCTCGTTTCATCCGTGCTAGAGAGGAAATTCGCCCAGCGCCGAAGTCCGAGACAGTTTCTTTAATCCGGGAGTTCGACAATATGAACGGCAGCACAGGCTCGAGCGGCCGAAGTGTCCAAATTGCTAACAAAGAGAAGCCTATTGTCACAATGTGAAAGCTGTCTGGGTTTGTGATCCTGCTAACGTAGCAGCATATTGTTTTGAGGAATGGCCTTGGAAAGGCAAACGCGGGAAGGGGAGGGGAAGGGAGTTTACTATTCCGTAAGAAGACCTGAAGTACTCGGTACCCGAAGCTGGGTCCAAGTTTTTTGATATCTTCACAAACAAAGCACATGTCATTTTTCGAGGCCTTTATTTCAAATTTTCAATTTACCTCTGCTCGGCCCGGTTTTACTGGAACTGCAGTACAACAAAATCTTACCGTTTCAAAAATAAATTAAAAAAAGGGTTAGTTTGTCTGGTCATAGTAAGAAGCTGGTATTGACGTATGCAAGGTCCGCGTGCTAAGAAATGTTGTATCTTAGTTAGTTATCAACATATTCTTCTAAATATCGGGCTGCAATTATTTGTGAGCGCTCATGGGGCGTTTCATGTCATTAATAAGCTCAAAAATTAGCTGCTGGCGCCAGCAAACGACAAAGCCGGTGTTAGCCCAGTCCCGCATCTTACCTCCATGTTCTCCGCGGTGATAGAGATCGCGTCAGCATCGCGCATGATGCTCTGTGATATTGGGAGCATTGCAGTCGGCTTCAGAGCTGAAAACTGGCCGAAGATAAGAAAATACTAAACCGAATGTATGCAGAGCAAATTAGTATAAGTAGCAAGCCATTCCGTCCTCAGGATTCGGATCGTATCACAATCCAACAGAAAGTAAGCCAACCTTACAGACAACACTATGACGACAGCCTTTGGTTTCGACACAAAGGTGGACGAGGTTGCCAGCGCATTCAAAGATGCCATCCGCGGGAAGACAGGTCGGTTCCCTGGCCACGCAACTTCGCTCTTCGAAGCACCTTGAGGCTGACCTGCCCGTAGTCTTGATCACAGGATGCAGCCCCAATGGGCTCGGCTCAGAATCGGCTCGTGCCATTGCTGCCCACGACCCGCAGCTGCTCATCCTCGCAGGCCGTTCCAGAGCGAAGCTTGAGCAGACAGAGGCGGCCTTGAAGCAGCAGTCGCCGCGGGCCAGCGTGCGCCTCCTCGAGCTGGACCTTGCCAGCCTGGCATCGGTGCGGCAGGCGGCCGACGTAGTGAACCAGTACAGCGAGCACATTGATGTGCTGATCAACAATGCCGGCATCATGGCGACGCCCTTTTCCAAGACCGTCGACGGCCTCGAGTCGCAGTTCGGCACCAACCATATCGGCCACTTCTTGTTCACGAACCTGATCTTACCGAAAATCCTAGCTGCCGGAGAAGGCGCCCGGATTGTCAATGTCAGCAGCCTGGGTCACCTGCTAGGGCCGGTCCGCTATGATGATTCCAACTTCGAGGTCGGTTACTTGGAAAGCCCAGATGACTTTTACCTGCAATAGGTGTCCACATGACTGACGCCTACCTTTGTGCCATATAGAAGGGAGACTACAACAGGTGGGCAGCATATGGACAGAGCAAGACGGCCAACATACTGTTCTCGGTGGCCCTTGCCGACAGGCTCAAGGCCAGAGGGCTGCTTTCGTTCAGCCTCGATCCCGGAGGTGGGTAGTTACCTGCGACGTAGAGATCAGCGTGGATAGTAACTTGTCGGGAGCTGACCGATACGTTTTAGCATCTGCTGAAACAGGAATTTCACGTGAGATAGAGCTGGATGAGCTCAAGGAACTGGGTGAGCAAAACCTGATCGATCCCCCCCGTACGACATCATGCTGACTACGAATGCAGACGGAATACTACCCATGAAAAGTTTCAAGACGTTAGCTCAATGTGCATCAACACACTTGGTGGCCGCATTCGACCCTTCAATTAAAGGTAATTTTTCCTTCTGTCTTCACAGCAGGCTTGGAAATGAGTGGCTAACAGAACAGACAACAACGGGGACTACTTGTGTGATTGCCAGATCACCAAGGTGACGGCTCCTTGGGCTATTGGACGAGACAATGCTGATAAGCTGTGGGCATTGAGCGAGTCCATTGTCAGGGAGCAGTTTCGCTATTGACCCTGCATCTTTGGCCGACAGCAAAGTCAGACTTGTGTATAGGACGTGTCTATGAAAGTTCTCGTGCCGGTTGCTCAGTTCAGAAATTGCTTCTTAGTCTGCCAGAATAATAGCTAGCCGAAAGGACAGAAAATAAGACGTCGAGTCTGGAGATGACAGATAAACCCCGTAAACCCAACCAATAGATTCGCCCTTTTATTATTGCGACTTGAAATAGAAACAGAAGAGAACGCCATGTATGGACATTCTCTCACCGTCTTCTCCCTGCTGCACATGCCATGGTTTTGTTGCCTTTTGTCCCAAGTCAAAAACTTTCCATCTATCTAAGCAAACCGAAATATGACTTATTCATATCCCACCTTTCTTGCGTCCACCCCGAGCCTGTCATGATTGTTGCTCCCTGCCAATCACGATGAAAAGAACCAATAAGACAGAAAATTTGGAATCGAAAAACCCGTGCCAAAAGAAGGATGAGGAATGCATGCTGATAACGAATATAGGTATCGTCGTATGATATCATAAACGCTGGTGTCCCCGGACTGGATGATGATGCTGGCCTTCATAACCAGCTGCCACGACATGGGCGCTGTGGCATCTTTCGAGACATGAGGTGCGGCTGCCTCGGCTGCTTGATTTCGTGGCGAGAAGAGCCGAGGGCCAGATAGAAAAGCGCAAAATCGAAATGGAAGGGGGACCGCGAGCCCAATATGATCCGCAAAATAAGAAACAAAAACATAAATAACAAAGCAACGAAGGCCGTCCTGTTTCCTAAAAGTGAGCCGGCCTTGTCGGTCGTGTGAATATGTATGGGGTCGGTTTTGGTAGATCATTCCACCATCGCATCAAACGACCTGCGTCTCTAGACACGCGGCATTTTCTCTGGCATCCACTGCTTTTGCAGTCGCTGTCGAGTCATTGTCTTCAGACTCCAGCGAGCCCCCAGACGAGCCAGCGCTCACACTAGGAGGATTAGAGCTCTCGGGGGTCGTTGGTAAGCTTGCCAGAGACGGAGTAGACTCCTGGTCGCCCGATAGCTGAGGCGAGGCCTGTGAAGCAGAATCACCATTTGGCTTCTTGCCTGACGGCGCCTGGCCGCTGGCATTGTTTCCCTTAGACGTCTCCTCCATCGCCGTAGCGAGACGGTCGATGGCGGCATTCTGTCGCCCTGTGCTCGATCGCCGCAGCACTGACAGTTGGACCGACAGTACTTCAGCAAAGAGCTGGTGCTCCTCACCTTTTAGTTGCTTCAAGAGTTTCTCTACAATCGATAAAAGGGCAATAATAAGTTGCTGGACTTTAACAGAACAGGCGAAGGCTTGACTTACGGATCACATAATTGCCATACTGATCTTTGATCATCTGCTGCAAGATCGGCTGCCCATCGGGACCAAGCCGACTCAGCTCTTCTCGGATCCGCTGGCGGTCTGCGGCCGTGCCGAATTCGATGCACTTCTCGACGACATTGGATGCGAACTTGTTGTTGGACATGGTCACGAGCTGATTAAGCACTCTGCTGATCACCTTTTCTCGATCTCTGGGCTTCCCAAACTGGATGACGTGCTGTGCCACGTAGTTTCCGTACTGGTCATTGATCAAGTCCATGGCGTTGTCGTGGAGCTCTGACAGGATCATTTCCTTATCTTCCTCTAGCCCGTGCTCGAGCATCCGCTGGATGACACGACATCCGTAGTTGTGTGCCGACAACTCTCTTACTCTGCCACGGAAGGCATCGATAATGAAGTTGATGTGCTCCCGAGGTACTAGCTCGACAACCTTCTGGATGACGTGGTTACCATTGGGGTCCTTGACGACTCGGATCACATCGATCTCCAACTCCTTAGCCAAGATCACCTGTTGGTCGACAAGGATGTGCTGAAGAGCTTTCTGTACCACCCGGCAGGCATATGTTTGCGTCGACAGGTCCACTATCTTGCCCCTCATCTGTTCGGCCAAGTACTTTTTCTGCAGCTGACTGCCGTGCTCGAAGAATTTTTGAACGACGTAGTTGCCAAAGACATCCTGCATCAACACGAGCGTATTCGCCGATATCTCACGGAACACATGCTCCTTCTCGTCGCTATTCGCTGTCTCCAGCTTGCTCTGAATAAAGCGGGAACCGTGTTGGTCGCCACTGAACTCAACAATATGATCGTAGATGTCCTGTTGCAAATGTTAGCACAAACCAGGGCACCTGCAAAGAAACAGTATGCATCTATGCGTACTTTAAGCTCAAACCTCCGGCTCGTCCTGCTTGCACGATACTCGTCCAAAAGCGGGCTTCTGAAGGCCTGGGCGGGATCCCTGTCGCGAGGTACCTGTGCGTTTGGAGCGATGTACTGAACGCCTAGTGAATGGAGACTAAGCTGTGGGTTTGCTACAGGTGTTCGAAATGCGTTAACATTGGAGCTGAAGTTGGTTGGGAACAGACTGGGAGCTCCGGTAAACTGCTGTTGCGGATGTAACTGCTGTTGATACAAAATCTGCAGCTGCGATTGCTGTAGTTGCTGCAATCCCTCCTGGGTGAGGCTGTTGGGCGACGGACGAGGCAGCAGCCCCATGGCGCTATTGAAGCAATTGAAACCATCGTATGAGCCCGGTGCCCTCAGATCGCGAGAGACAGGCCGGCCCCATTGGTCAGTGCCATTAGCAGGAGCGCCGAAGCCTCGCTGACCCGTTGCTTGCCGGAATTGGTTGCCCACTGGAGTTACACCGCGATTAAGCCCGGCCAGGGTTCCGCGGGCTGCTGCAAAATTAGCCGCCCTGAGCGGATCAGTAGCATCCCAGGTTTGAGAAACAGGATTGTATTCAAAGGGCGTCGATGCTGGGTATGTGCCGGTGAGGCCAGCACCGATGTCCTGTCGATCCTCTGCATTCAATGTCTGTCGCATCATCAAGTCTGCGAAGGCTAACGATACCGCGTCGTCTGATTGTGGCTGCCGTTGATGGGGTAGCTGGCTTGTAGAGGGTGCTGGTGAGGAGAAGGACGCCTGGGCTTGGAGAGATGGCCGGCGAGCATGGCCGTTGTGCGAGGATGGTGGCATGGAGCCAAAAGAACTAAGCGAAGCTATCGAGGTAGCAATTCCGGAATTGGCGGCGCCTGGCACAGGTGCCGCCACAGATGTGGATATGGAGGAGCCAGAGCCTGTAGCCGTGGCGGAAGCATTGCTAAAACCGTTTGCCAGATCCTGCTGTGGCAGTGGCTCTGTATCGAAGCCGAACGACGGGTACGAAGATGCCACGCTGGCCTCGCCATCGACATCAACTATACCGTTGCGCAGAGAGGACCGTGGGGGCGGGAATCGGAAAGGAGCGGCATTGGAATCTAGAGATGGGCCAGCACTGGGCCGGGAAGGGGCGTAACTGCCAGAAGAGGTTCTGACAGCAAGATAGGAGGCATTGGTAGTCGAGGGTGTGCGGTCGTGCAAGTGCTCGTGATACGTTTGCGAGGATTCCCTCATATGTACTGGTGACGGGCTGGCCGAGGGTCTCCGAGAGGCGGTGTTATCGGTACTGTTCCAGGATCTGGTCGTATGTGCACCTGGGTGTGGCCATACAGCAGATGCGTCTGGAAAGGTATTCGCGGCATCGGAGCTACTCGAGAATGCTTCATCGTGACCTAGACACAAACAAACAGACGGGGTCGTTAGCCTTGCGTATTCGGCGTATTGGGAGGCAGTATTCGCCAACCGATCATTGTTCTTCCTCTTCTACTGGTTCTTGCTTTAGCGTTCAGATGTAGTACTCACCTGAGAGACTGGTTTGCGAATCACGGTTGGCGAATGGCGAAGGGATGTGTGTTGCCCAAAGGCTCCCTGTGTTCGGTTGACTCCAGTTCGAAGAGAAGCTGTTTCGCTGTTGAGACGATGCCGACGACGACGAAACGTCTCTCGAATTGGCCTTCCCGTAGGAGGTAAATCGGGAAGACTGAGCCTGGTTAGCGCGTACGAAGTCAGCAGCAATCATCGTATTGGCGAAGCTCAAAGGAGAAGACGGTCAAAGTAGACTGAAGAGGTGCTGATAGACAAGAACGACCTCTACCTGAGGCGAACAACTGCGTGATGGTATGGGTTTAAAGAAAGCGATAGATGACAGGAAAATAAGGTTGCTCACCGTCATTGCCGCCGAATACGAGGTTGAACCTGCGTTACAGCGTTCGACAAAGAGGGTCCACCTGTAGGGTAAGGGGGATAGAAAGGCTGTGAGGGAAGAGAAAGGAGCAGTGGAGAAAAAAAGGTAATGTGACCAGCTGGGCGCAAAGCTGGGGAAGTGAGTAGTGCAGGCCCAGAGAAAGCGACAGTGATTAAGGAGAGATGAGAATAGATAAGAAGGGCAGAAAAGTTATATACGCAAATGAAGGTAATATATGGAGTGCGGTGAGAGCAGGAAAGAAAGAATGAAAGAAAATGTAGCAAGAAGATCTTGCTTAGGGGGAAGGGGGGGGTGAGCGTGTGGGCAAAGCGAGACGAGGCTCCCTTTTTGTTGCGATGGATGTTGGTTGTGAGAATTGGGTTTTTTAAGTTAATTATGGGGTTGAGAATTGGAGTGGAGCAGAAGACTTGGGGCAGTTACGGGCTAGGCTGGACCCAGATTTCTGTTGCAAACAGGAGTGGCTGCCTGGCAGCCTGAAGGTGCAGTTGGACAGGCGAGAAGAAGAGTTACAGGTGGGGTGGGACGGTTGGTCGACTCCTGACTCCAAGTTTGTTGGCGCCGAGTAGCGCGACTCAGCGACCTGACGCGGTGTTCGAGGTGTGGTGCAGGGCACTTATGACAATTATAGCGTGCTATAGCGTGGCGCACGGTAGCCGTAGCGCAAAATGAGGGGCATAAGTTTCGCCGAGATAGGTGCACACTATTCCGAATCCCGATGGTAAGGCTGTTCAGTGTTGAGGAGGGGGGGTAGAAGGCCGCCTCCGTAAACTACTATGTCAGACACGAGAAGAAGTCCAGGGCGGTCTTTGGCACGGACCAAGTGGTGAGAGACGGGAGAGCAGCGCAGATTGAGGAATGTGCTCTGTCAGAATGAAGAGGTTCAAAAGGCCGGTTGGCCGGGCGAACAAGAGATGTGCAGCTTATGGACAGACAATGGTACTCTGTAGAGCAGCGAAGAAGAGAAAATTGTGCCGATGTGGCAGAAGGGAATACGCTAGCCACAGCCGAGCGCCGATAGACTGTGCCGTGATGATTAACGACTTAGCCAGATGTCGATGCGACTGAAACGCAATGAATGGGTCAGCATATCGTGATCCTGGAGGCCTGAGTTGGGGATGGGGCCTGCGAAGCTAGTTCCCGCGGGCAAAGACAGCGAACGCCCTAGGACCCAAGACGGGGCGAAGACGGGTAGACGTGTAATTATGCGACGGGATGGCCAGACAGGACGTGGGAGGAGTCGGTTGGGCTGTCTTGTTCGATCGGGTGATTTTGCAAGGGTGTATTCTATGGAAGCTGTGATTTTGATCCGAGGAAGGAAGGAAAGCCAGCGGGTGGTAGAAAGACAGTCTCGGGCTTTGGTAATGTCTGCGATGGTGTTGCATTATCAGAACCTTTCCGCATATGAGTGAGGCGGCCGGCGGAGCAGGCTGCTAAAAGTGGCGAGTAATTGAGATCGTCCCAGCGCCCTGGAAAAGGATGGGCGGGATGCTAACAAGCCGTCACAAATGGCGGGACGATCACTTTGCAAGATATAATAGGCTACTGGTCTGCAATACAGGGCTACAGTCGCTAATTTCGGCGCGGGATGACTAACTTTCACCAACATAATGAGGCCCCGTTGTCATTACGTATCTTACTGACTGGATTTGCGTCGAGGATGGCATTTAGTACGGAGTACTCCGTATTTCAGTCTGTTTGCCCCCCTTTCATGGCCCTCTTCATACCCATTTTTCCTGTTTGAAGGACATGGCCATAGCCGTCGAGCAAGTGCTCACTGTCTCGCATTCCAGCCACATGTCTCATATGCTCACTTGTTTTCTTCGGGTTCGACACTTGAAGAGAGGCCTGATTTGAGCAGTGAAATTGCCAGAGTCGTACTGATTATGTTTGCCGGCAGAGCAATGCCAATGGGCTTTTCGGCTTGCCGTCAGATACCGCATAGCCGCAGCAGAGCATGGGGCAGATGACGGGATGACCGTATCTTGTGTGCGCAAGACTTCCATGGCTCGTCTGACCACCTCGCTTTCATTGGCTCACCAGCTCGGCCATCGGCCAGGGAAGTGAGATACCGACACAGCCAAGAGGCGAGATAACGTATCCCAGGCAGGTAAGATACCCATTTTTCGACTCGGGCTGCTTGATTACATAGCACAACCGGTCTGGATAACATCCTGCAATTCGTCATCTTCCAAGGAGTGGCCGTTTGTAGTGATGCCGTCTCTCACTTCAATGTGCATACTGCCACCCCAATTGCTCGTGGCGCCGTGATACTACGTGGTCGAGTGCCGAAACGGTCTTACTACCCGAGAAGCCGTAGCCAGTTGCATGACAAATCGGCACGGCAGGGGCACGGCAGGCCGTGCCGATGAGTACGTATGTACGACGTACGTACCAAAGTCAGGCTCGTTGCAAAGTCGCCTGGGACAAGGCAGGGGGGAGGAAAACATGGCGGCACGACGCTGCCAAACGACGGGAGCACTGCCATTTCCCCGAGCAAACATTCCGGTCTGTGCTGGCCAAAAGAGCGGATTACGGAATATCGTAGGAGCAGAAGGCAGTGGCGTCAATTTGGCTATATCGCAGCCAACATCTTGGGCGGGGATAGGAGTCGTTGCACTCACGTCGTAGATCGCAGATACCACAAAAGCTTTGGGCGCTGTGGCTATCGTGTGATCAGTCTTCGCCAGTTTTCGTGCGATGTGGTCACGGGCTGCCGTGCTACTGCATCAGACAACAACCCTGACTCTCCCCGTGCAGTCTTTGTCAAGAGCCTTCTGTCGGTGAAATGCTATGTAGAAATGCGTCCTGCGCATGACTGCTCATCGACAAGGCACTGGTCCTTCTATCCAAGAATCATTGTGCCTGCATTCCGGGGCCGCCGGCCAAGAAAAGGGGCCCAACCAGGTAAAAGACGCATGAAGATAGTCACAAATTAGATGCAATGCAGAAGGGCTACATGCATTTATCCCGTGATGGTTTCCACCTTGCCATGGCCACTCCGTACTCCGTAGGCAGAAGGTACTCCGTACTATGTACTCCGTACTATGTACTCCGTACTATGTACTCCGTATGTAAGGAGCAGATCCACGTACGTCGTAGTCGGCCGTTCGGTGGACCCTCTCCGCTTCTGCTGCAAGATCTCTTGCCTGTAAAATTTGTGAGAGGTCTTGTGCCTGTTTTTGCATGCAGAACGCTGCGCGTTTCCTAGCTCGCTTGTTGAAAAAGCTGATGATACGCCGGTAGACAGGAACAAGCTTCGCCTACGTCTCATATAGCGAAGTGTCTTTGTCCGTTCGACTTGCAAGTGCAGACGAGAAACCGTATAAAGCGTACACGCCACTTCGGGCACTACTCCGTACGGTTGGAGAGAGCGCAATACTCGTAGTGACAGGTCCCATTTTCTGTAGGCGAAGGTGGGGAGGCTGAAACAAAGGATGTCAAACCGAGCATACTCCGTATCTGAGGACGGATGGAGTAAGAACAGAAGAACACAGACTGGAACAGAAGTACTCCGTACGACGTAAAGTCTTGATCGGGCGCTCGCTTTTCTTTTCCGCTCAGTTCCTTTTTCTTTGTTTCCTTTTCCTTTCCGTTTCTTATCGGCAGTGCACGCTGAAGGAGCGACGGGCGGTCGGCTTTTCGGGCTTCAAGCAAGGGACGAGACAACGATTAGACAGATAAACAAACAAACAACAAACTGACTGACAAACAACAAAAGAGCTGAGCCACACTCTGAGCCGGAGTAACGAGCAGATGCGGTGAGAGAGCACGCGCCATCTTGCGGCAATGTCGCAACGAGTGAGCCCCCAACACGATTGCTCCTCCAGCCGAAGCAGCCGTATGGCTGCAGACCATGTTCATCTGACGACTTCTCTATCCCATGCATCCGCTGGAGAAGAAGGGGAGCGTATCGCCGGTCGTGAGCCGCACGGCCATATAAAAGGGCTCAAATTGCACCCCGCTCTGGAGATTGTTCCTGTCCGCTGATTGGTGCGAGCTGCCCGCAGTGCCCCAATATCCCTGGCTATAGTTGTATCGGTCGAGGCAGCACGAGTTAAGTTTTCGACCAACTGTGGGCTAGACCCCGTTCTGGCAAAGGCTCTCTTCCTAATTTCTGCAAGGTATGATTCTAGGGGGCTCCCCGAAGGACTTGGCCATCCTCTTCATCCATTCTTTTTCCTCGCGGTCCCCCCTTTGTCCCCTTCCACTCCCTTCTTTCTTTCTTCCTCCAGGTCTCGACGAAGGGTTTGCGCTCGCTATCAAACAAGTCCCTTTCCTACCCTCACACTCTTTCCCTATCTAGTTTGTCTTTCGACAGCTATCGACACTCTTTTTGTTTGTTTCTTGGATCTCGGCCTCACTCGTTTCTAGCCGAATCCGTCCAGTCTTTCGTTCATTCTTTTTCACGACTCTATCACTCCTCCCACGGCTCGCTTTAACTCGAAAGGATACGACTACGCTGAACATTCCTCTGTTCACTTGTAAGTGAAACATGTCATTCTCCCTCAGCTCCTCACACTGGAATGTGCTGGTCTGGAGGACAATGAAAGAGCATTGGCCGCTGTTTATAAGGCCCATGGCCGCCACCTGGACGGTGGCTCGACGTGGCCGCAGAAGCTTGATGCTGAACATGACGTGTGCTGACCATTCGTCTCTTTCGCCTCAGCGCCGGTCGCCTTTCGCTTTTTCAGCCGATACGAGTTTCAGTATTTTTGTCGTGTTAACCCGAGTCGACGACCCCTCCTGGTTCTCCCTCACCCCTACCACCAACACCTACATTCGTTTTTACAACCGTTCGGCACCATGCAATTCTTCAACGATATCATGACTCGCAGCCAGCTCGCTGTCCGGTCGGTGGTCGACACGGGCGACAGCAGCTCGGACGAGTCAACCATCACTGCCCTGATCATACTACTCAGCGTCGTCTTTGCCGGCCTTCTTCTGGTCTCGACCCTGGTCGTGATCCGGAGGATGAAGCGGCAGCAGAAGCTGCGTGAGATGACCCTGCCGCAGTACAATGTTGCGCCGAGCAGCAAGGCCCACGGCCTCACCATCCAGACGACCAACGCCAACGGCCGTTCATCTCTGCTAGTCTTCAGCAAGGACGGCCAGCCGATGCTGGCGAACCCGCAGTCGCCCCCATACTCTCCCGACAACGTGCCGGAGATCCGTATCACGTTCCCGGACGAGCAGGACGAGATGGGCCGCAGTAAGAGCGGCCGCGTGGTTGTCGTGCGCGTTGGCGAGAGGTCGATTGGCATGGAGCCGGTCTCGGAGACTGAGGAGCAGTTGCCGGCATACGAGAAGGAGGGCCAGTTCTACTCCATCAACATTGACAGTATCGGCGGCCTGAAGGAGAAGGGCGACCAGTCCAGCTTCCACTAGACTGCCACCGTTTTTTCTCCTCCCCTTGGGGCCCATCGCTCGCTTCCCCGGTGGTCTCCTTCCTTTTTTTTTTTCAACTTCATACCCTTTTGTATTCTTTATATTCCGGATCTCTCAATCCTGTTGGGAAAGCAAGGATAGAGGGGAGGCTGTTGTGGCATAGCGCTGCTAAACAGCGCGTGAGACAGCAGCCTATACGGCTGGCACGATACGAAAAGAAAACGAGCAACAAGATACCGGTGTCCCTTCACACCACACCTGTCTTCAAAGCAAGGCCTAACAAACCCATTAGAGATGGTTCTCTGTTTCTGGGCGGCATGCACTGGACTGGCCGTGACTAGGCACCGCAGGCCGACGGACAATTGACAGCGGCCAACAGCCTTCCTTGGCTATGCGGCATGACGGCGCGTGCTGCCCAGCCTGTATAGTTTCCGTGTACATAATTGTATATTCTACTATCACATTAAAGCTGATGCATCGCTACCGAGTGTAACGACTTCCGCACAGCAGAAATTCTCTCTCCCAACCGCAGCGTACGGATAAGTATGGCTTGGTCTGCAAATAGAAACGTGACAAGCGTTCGCATTGCCGTGTCTCATTTACCAACCGTGCATTCCACACATCATGATGGTATGGGTGGTTGCGGGTAAGGGGGCCTGCATTCTCCGGACGAATCGAATGCCTGTGGCTATTTTTATACGCACTGTCCCTCCTTTTCATTGTTAATTTCTGCGGGCCTGATTTAGTGGGGCCGCCCCTCCCGGACGATTGAGGTTGCTCTTTCCTAAAGCTAGCTGTCCCGTACTTATGTATGGAATAGCCTCAAGTCTCCTGTCGAGGATTTTTTTCTAGATAGGTTCTTGCTTTTCTAGCATCACAGAGTCGTCGTCTGCCACATTGCTCACCACAGCCTCTTGGTGAATATGGCCATGCTGCCGATTGCTGCGGTCTCGTTTAGCTCAAGAGGCTATTATTAGTACTCGTTCCTTCTGATTCGCACCGTCATCGGAGTACCTTTTTGCTCCTGCTTCTGGTCGCTCGTTTCTTTTTTTTCCGAGGCGTTCACTACGCATAATATATAAAATTCGGCAGTGTCTACTTTTATTCTTTCCTACATTCCGCATCGGCTGTCCCGATGACGTCTCCTCCGCAGCGGCAGAAGAAGCCGGGGCCAAGCGAGTACAAGGCGATTGCGGCGCAATTTGCAGCGGCAAAGCGTGCCAAGGAGATCAACGATGCCCTGCGGGCGCAAAAGGATGTGCGGCCGGAGCAGGCGGCGGCCAGCGCGATGGAGAAGCACCGGATAGCCCTCGAGCAGAGGCGCAAGGCGGCATATGAGCGGCGCTGGCTCTGGACAGTGGGCTTTTGGCTGTGGCTGCTCGTGATCCACGCGACGGGCATCTTGTACTTTACGTCAGGCTTCCTCCTGACGCGGCTCGTGCTGGACGAGAAGTCGAGCTGTGCGGTCAGCCCGCTGCAGGCGACACAGGGCAACACGGCGGCGGTGCCACCATCAGCGGCCGCCACCGACGGCTGCTGGCATCCCAAGACGTTTGACCGGGTGGTGATCATCCTGATTGATGCGCTGCGGTACGACTTCACGGTGCCGGTTAACGATAGCGCGGTGTTTCACAACGCATTTCCATTTCTCTACGAGACGGCGGTGGCTCAACCGTCGAACGCATTCCTGCGGCCATTCATTGCGGATCCGCCGACGGCGACGCTGCAGCGGCTCAAGGGCCTCACGACCGGCACGCTGCCGACGTTTGTCGACATCGGGTCGAACTTTGCGGGCACGGCGATCGAGGAGGACAACCTGCTGGCGCAGCTGCGGACAGTGGACAAGAAGATTGCGCACCTGGGCGACGACACCTGGACGGCCCTCTTCCCGGGCTACTTCGAGGCCAACATCAGCCATGCGTACGACAGTTTCAACGTGCGGGATCTGCACACGGTGGACAACGGGGTGATGGAACACATATTCCCGCTGCTCGAGGCCGGCTCGCGGCGGTCGAAGAAGACGTCACCGTGGGACCTGCTGATCGGTCACTGTCTGGGGGTGGACCATGCCGGTCACCGGTACGGGCCAGCGCACACGGCGATGCGCGAGAAGCTGCAACAGATGGACGAGTTTGTGCGGCGAGTGGCGGGATCGATTGACGACGACACGCTGCTTGTGGTGATGGGCGACCATGGGATGGACAGCAAGGGTGACCACGGCGGCGAGAGCGACGACGAAGTGGAGGCGGCACTCTGGATGTACGCACGGCAGCCGGTGTTTGGGCGGACGGAAGCGGCCTTTGTTATGCCGCCGCTGACGGCCAAGGAGCGGCCGGTCAACCAGATCGACCTGGTGCCGACGCTGGCGCTCCTGATGGGCATCCCGATCCCGTACAACAACCTGGGCTTCCCGATCGAAGAGGCGTTTATCGGTGGTGCGGGCAACGACTGGGCGAATTTGGCGACAGTGGCCGAGATCACGGCAGCCGGCATCCACCGGTACCAGTCGTCGTTGTCGGCGTCCAACATCCTCACACCTCCGGTGGTCTCGCGTCCGGGCCGTGGCGTGTCGGCTGTGTCGGAGCAGGAGGCAATGGCAGAGGCGTTCGCGGCACTGTCTGAGTACCAGGTGGCGACGCTGCGGATATGCAAGGACCTGTGGGCACGGTTCGACGTCGGCAGCATGGTGTTTGGAATTGCGATCTCGGCGGCAGGCGTAGCGATACTGCTGCTGTACGCATCCCGCAGCGTGGAAGATGGGAACGAGGACGAGGACATTGCGGTCGTGGAAGACGCGACACTGGACCAGGCCGAGGCGATGCTGGAAATGCAAGGCGAGCTGATACCGGCGACGAGGCGCGGCAGTGGCAAGGATGCAGCGACGCAGGCAGAGAGGGACGAGGCGAGAGCACTGCAGCAGCAACAGGAGCTGCACCGGTCGCTGGTGCTGGCAGCAGTGATGGCAGGAGTGCCGACGTTTGCGGCCAGCGCAGCCTTGACGATCGTGGGGTCGCAGCCGTGGTACAGCGGAGCGGGCTACGCGGCCATGGCCAGCATCGGGGCGGTGGCAGCACGACTTCTGGGGGTGGGCAGACGCAGTGTGAGCCGACTGCTGCCGAGCAGCATCTGGGGATGGATGGCAGTAGTGTTTACGGGGGCGCAGTCCGTGGGCTTTGCATCCAACTCGTACACGGTTTGGGAGGACTCGATCCTGCTCTTTTTCCTGGCGACATTCGGACTGGTGGCGGCGTTGCAGGCGACACGGCTGGCGACAAGCGGCGAGCGGGTGCTGGGAGTGTACCACGCGGTGGTGTTTGTGCTGCTGGGACGGGTGGCATCGCTGTCGAAGCTGTGCCGGGAGGAGCAGATGCCGTACTGCAGTACGACATACTACGGGTCGGCATCGTCGTCGACATCGGCGCCGTGGCAGCTGGGGATCTTGTTTGCGGTGTTCCTAGTGCTGCCATCGGTGGTGCGATCGTTTTACGAGCCGACGCGGTCATACGAGGGTCTGGCGCCGGTGTGGATCGGTGTGGTGTTCCGGGGCGGACTGTTGATGGCGGCGCTGCACTGGACGCTGGACGGGGTGGAGAGAGGCGGCTGGCTGCGGACGCTGGTGCCAGAGAGCATGCTGACGGCGACCATGGCCAAGACGGCGTCGGTATATCTGGCACAGACGGTGCTAGGGCTGGCACTGGTTGCGGGCACGGCAGCGTTTGCATGGGCAGGGCCATGCATCTCGGTGACGGCGATAGCGAGGCCGGGGACCAACCAGGCGCAGGTGGCGGTGCTGGGTTATGCAAACGCGCACGGAGCGCGCTATCTGCTGCTGGTGACCAACGTGTTGATGGCGGCGGTGCAAGTGTCTATGCCGATGGGAGGGGGGGCGCTGTCGCTGATGCTGTGGCAGGTGCTGTCGCTGGTAGAGCTGCTGGAGCTGCTACGGACAGGGGCCAAGCGAGAGGGCGGAGGAGGCGAAGAGACGACGGACGAGACGACGGACGAGGCAGCAGCCATGGATCCAAGCGCGGGCTCGACGATGGGCTCTTCGGTGGCGGTGATCGGGCCGGTGGTGTTGGCGATGCTGGCGAATCTGCACTACTTTGCGACGGGTCACCAGGCGACGTTGAGCAGCATCCAGTGGGACAGCGCATTTGTGGCGCTGACAACGCTTCGCTATCCCTGGTCGCCGCTTCTGGTGGTGGCCAACACGGCAGCGGCGCATCTGCTGGCTGTCGCGGCCGTGCCGTTGCTGGTTCTGTGGAAGACGAGTCCGCGGCGCCGTGGCGGGCTGCTGTCGCCGACCAGCCGGGCGCTCGCCGGGTTTGCGGCCTACTTTGCCGTCGAGGCGCTCGCCACAATGGTCTGGGCTGCCCATCTGCGACGGCATCTCATGCTGTATCGCGTGTTTAGCCCGCGGTTCATGCTGGCGGCCGGCCTGCTGCTGCTGGTGGACGTGGCCGGGCTGGTGCTGGCACTGCCGGGACTGCGGTCGAACACGATGGCCGTCAGCGATGTCTTCGGCTGGCTGGATGAGTATTAGGAGGAGCGAGCAGACGAGCAAAGCGGACGAGCGGACAGCACTGTTTGGTAGAGCAGCAACAGGACTACTGTGACTGGACCTTCTGAGACACATCGAGACGATCTCGCTGAGAAACCGAGATCAAAAGAAATCTTTATTTGAATATCTACTCGAATGGACTCTGTTAAAGGCTGGAAGTCTTGTGGCGTACAACGCTTAGACCCACCTACGTAGTAGGGCTTTATGCACGGCGGCATATGTCGGATGTACCTAACCACAACCATACATAATTGAACACTAACAGCCTGTATACCATGTCATAGCTAGATTAGTCATCTCTACACCGCACTTAGACTATGCCCCACTATTGGGCCGCCTTTAGCCTGTTATGTACTCCGTATTGTAGATCAAGTGTCATGATGACAGGTGCTGTTCAACTTGTATGCCAGAACACGTTTGAGGGCTCTGCCGGCAGACCACGGAGATGACGACACCGACAGCGGGAGCGTACGGGCGGCAGGGTCATCAGCCCCGCCACTCCGGGTCATACGGGACGTCAGAAGGAGCAGCTGCGAGCCGCGGCCGCACACGGCACACGCTCCTCCTCTGTTTTGTGCACGGCTTCAAGGGCGACGCGGACACGTTTGGGCCGCGGTCGCGGTTTGCGCACGAGCTGGGGCGACGGGTGGCAGTATCGCTGCCGCGCGTGGACGTGCGGGTGGCCGTCTACCCGCCGTACCAGACGCGGGGCGACCTGGCGGCGACGGTGGTTCGCCTGCGCGACTGGCTGACCGAGACGGTCGTCGACCTCGAGGTGGCGGCCGGCACGCCCAGCCCGACGGTCGAGCCGTCGGTCCGGTGCGTGTTGATGGGCCACTCCATGGGTGGCATCGTGTCGGCCGACGTGTTGCTGTCGCTGGTGGGCGACCGGCGGGTGGGCGACAGCGACACGGATAACACAGACAAGGAGCTCAACGGGCTCATGTTTCCGTACGTACAGGCCGTGCTCGGCTTCGACACGCCGTACCTGGGCATCGCGCCCGGCGTTGTGGCCCATGGCGCACAGGACCGCTACGCGGCCACGACGGCGGCCTTTTCGCAGATCAGCAGCCTGGCCGAGGCACTGCTGGGCAAAGCTGGCGGAGCCGGAGGGGGCGAGCAACAGGGAGGAGAGCAGGCCAGAGCGGGGATCACCAGGACCGAAAGTGGAACGGGAACGGGAACGGGAACCGAATCCGGTCCCAGAACGGCGAGAATGGCAAGAAGTGCAACGGCCCCCTCCACCTCCACCACATCCACGCCCTCTTCCGCCTGGGGCTGGGGCAGGATTGCGCTGGTGGCCGGGGCCAGCGCTCTGGCCAGCGGAGCTGCTGCCGCCGTGGCCTATCGCAACCGCGACCACCTGACCGAGGGCTGGTCCTGGGTCTCGTCGCACCTCGAGTTCGTCGGCTGTCTCGCCCGCGGTGAAGACCTGCGGCGTCGCATCGCCCGCATTCAACAGGCCCATCGCCAGCTCGGCGTCGGCTTCGGCAACCTCTACACCCGCCTCGGCCGTGCTGCCCCGTCCAAGCAGACCCAGACGGCCACCGGCGCCAACGACCTGCTCCTGCTGCCGTCTGAGCGCACCTTTTGCGTCCTGCCCAGCCGCGAACCCGCCGGCGACTGGCGCGAGGCCGTCAACGATGATGCCACCGACGAGACTCGCGCCCACATGAGTACGTGTTTTTACTGTTTTCCCTCCCCAACACCAGCTGACAACCAGGCATGTTCACCCCCGCCGGTAACCCAAACTACGACCGCCTGCTCGCCGACGCCTGCGACATGGTCTCCCTCTGGACCCGCGGCTCCCAGTGGTACGAGACCAGCAGCATCAGAAAGACGCAGGCGCTATGAGTCCCTGCGTTGTGTTTGGCGGCCATGATACACCCCTGAATCGTCTTTTTCGTCTATCTATTCTTTTCTTGCCAGTTCACAATATCAATACAGTCTCGTGTGGCTTCAGTATACCTGCTTCCGCCCGCTTGCCCGTGCTATAGCGTCATATCCCCCCAGCTCGCCCCTGTTCTCCCGCAACCTCTCCTACTGAACCTTCTTGCCCACAGCAGCCTCTGCCTTGAGCCGACGCAGAACCTTGCGCCGCTGGGCCAGCATGTGCGTGTACAGGATGTAGGACCCAGGCACATACACGGCCAGCACGGCGTAGAGCGCGGCCGGGTACAGCGGGTGCAGAGTGGCGGCCGCGCTGGGCGTGGTGGCAGCCAGGTAGACGAGCCGCACCTCGGAGCTGATGCCGACCGGATACAGCACCAGGAACGTGCTGTAGCGCAGGGCCGTGAACCAGGACGGCGGCGGCCGTTCGGGCCCGCGCGCGAGACTGAGGGCAAAGTACGAGTAGCGGATCACCTCTGTCAGGCTCCAGGCCAGCACCATGGACGTATAGAACGGACTCGACGTCGTCTCGGCCGGAAACGGGTACACAATGGCCCACACGAGCAGCAGCCGGCTGGCCACCTGCATGGCCGTCGTAAACAGGGGCGCGCGAACTATGCCTGCGAGGCTGTCAGCGATTGTCATTGAGATCGGCATCATCGTTGCAGGAGCGCCCATACCCAGCACCGAGTGCACCACCTCCAGCAGAGCAATGGTCTGCGTGCAGCGCAGAAAGTCGTCCACCACAATCGGCACAAAGGCCGGCCCGCGGAGACCCGCCACAATGGCCGTGCGGCCCAGCACTGTCGTCCACAGGATGGCCGAGATGAAGTTGTAGGCCGTCAGGTAGAGCCCCTTGACCTGGGAGACCGGCACGGCTCCGGTGCCGGGAATCTCCTTCTGCTTGACAGGCCCCGACGACGAGGCCGTGACCATCTTCTTCGGCGCGGATACAGCCATGACTGCTCGGGAAAATACGGTTTGCCCTTCGGAAACGGATAAAGATGCTGCTTCTAGGTGTGCAGAGTCGGCGTCGGCGGATGGTCAATGTGCCGCTTGTTGGGGAATGCAAGGCGGCAGAAAAGAAGATGCAAAAATACACGAGACAGCTGGGCCTTTTGGCTGAGCTAGTGTGGGTCTTTCCCGCAAAAAGACGTTGGGGATTCTGGTGGGGTCGGAGAGTTTAGGCATCGTTTCAGGGCTTATATTCTTCGACTCGTACATGATTAGAACTAACGGCTCTCGAAACAGTCTATGCTACATCTTTCCACAGAAATCCTCCTTGTCAAATCATCAGGTCGTCAAATGAATCACGGCGTGTCCCAATGTTGAATACAAATTAGATAAAGATTGGGCGATCAACGACTGAGCCAGCCAGCTGGAGAATGGCGAAGGAAATTCCCGGAATCCCAACATTGCAAAGTGCATATCTCACGCATTGGCTGCGCCTCACTGGTCGCGCCGACGGAACGGTGACGGCCAGCCGCTGAACAGCCACTCGTTTGAATGCCGCCCGCACGTCGTGTGGACGTTGACGTTCTTGTTTGCGTTCTTGACGGCCGCCGTTTTTGTCAACACGGTCGACGACGCACAGCTTGACGATGTCAGTGTTGACGACGGCGACAGGGGTGTCCCGGTGCTGCTTCCACTGCTGAAAGCACGGTAATCATCCGTGTACGGATACTCGGCCCGCACCAAGTCAGACACCGAGTCCGAAGATAGGGAGCCGCGCTCAGCGTTGCTGCTGCTCATGGTAGTGGCTGGCAATTTTGTGGCAGTGCTGGATGCTGGGGTACGAAACAGGCATGCAGCATGCGTGGTGATAGGGCAAAAGCGTCAAGCTTCCCGGTCGGGTATATGTTGCCGTCTGAATGTGAAAAAAGAGTGCCCGCCAGGGTAGCTGAGAGGTGTTGAGGGCACACCTGGTGCGAGCAGAAAAGAGCCAGTCGGCTTGACAGCAGAGTAGGGATTCGAGAGAAAAAAGAAACATGGGAAAAAGGGAGAGGATGCGGCTAAATACCCCCCCCGCGTACGAGTACAGAGAACAGAAAGCTGTAGAGCTGCCTCGGTGGACACATTCTCGTGGGCCCAGAGTTGGGCAGGGGTGCTACCCACAGAGGTTCCCAGTCTGGGGCCGAGAAGTTACCAATAGTGGCCTTCGGAGTATTGAGAAGTTAAGAGGGAGATACGAGTGGCCAATAGCACCAACACGGCCCACCTTTTCCCGTCATAGGGCTGATGCGAATTACCATGTACTTGTAAGAAGGCAGCAAGAAATGGCGGTGGAGACCGATAAAAGGCCTGCATGCAGCGAACGAGTCACAGTACCCCGTGTGAGCAAATCATGTGGAGCCTCAGTCTGGCATCCCTATCAAGAGTCTTGCTTTCTGGGGATTGGAGCTAGGATGTGTTCTGAGGGCAGGTCACAAGGCCTGGACGCGGAAAACAGGTTAGAGAATGGAGCATCACGAGAATTGCAAGCGTGGCCGAAAACGGCTGCAGCAACTGCCAGAAGAAACAATTGACCTGTTTCTGGCTGCCTTGACGATGTCTTGAACACCCTGGACGCCTTGATGCCTTGGATATTTTGGATGCCTTAGGTAGCCATCGCGACCACAATGTGGTTACGTTCCGTATGCCCACCAGTTAGAATATAAGATACGAGCACCACATTAACGTCACCGATGCCAACTCTCCCAATAAACGATCGGCTAGCACCAGAATAACTAGAGCAGCCCAACTTATGGGGTCACTTATGACGAGTGCTCTGCTTGAGCGCAAGCAAGAATCCGCCAAGTGCTTACATGGCAGCCAAGCTCATATTGAGTCATCCGGCTGGACTCCTGTGTTATCGCTCTTTAAGTCCGCCTTTTCGCTGCTGCCTGCTGTCGTGCGTGTCCTCCCTCGTATCGAGTCTTTTTTTAAATTTCCACTTTCGAGACACTAGCTCTCCCGTGGCATCTGGTCTTTCTTTCAGTAATCATACTTGCTCCAATGGACTCTCCGTACGAGTATAATCGTACCCCAACGACACCGGTGTCTAAGCACTGTCCTTGATTCAGCCCCGGGGCCAAAGAGCGGTCTACACGTATCTTCATGTCGCTGTGGACCCCGACTTTTACAGAAGAAAGCGGACGGCCACCAGCATACAGCAGGCCACAGACGGCGGGTCACAGAAATGACGCAGCAAGCCATGACAAGCAGGATGGTGGAAAGCGCACAGAGGCTTAAAAAGCGACAGAAAACAGTAAACAAAAAATTGGATGTGGACTTCGTCTAATAGCATTAAAGCAAGGAAGTCACGCAAGTGAAACCCCCCTGTTCCGTACGCAAGGAGATGATGTCGGGTACTACTATGTATCATCGATGCAGGTAAGACGAGAAAAGGCCGCTGATGTAAGATGTTGCTCTATCTTTGTAGAAAACGGTGGCCCCGAAACGGAAGCTCAAAGTTGTATTAAGATTCCCCTTTTCTCGTCAACTAGCAGACGAGGATCGCCCTTGTTTGGCTTAGTGCTGCGGGCTCATCGATCAATCTTTGGTGTTTCCTAGGTCTATCGCTAGCAAGCGTGCATTGTTAATCTGCCAGCAAATGCTCTGTGCCCTTCGTCGAGCAAGCCGTCCATCTGTGCGCCCACGTCTCCGGCCACTGCTGGCTGGCCAATCTGACTCTTGGTAATAGAATGTATCTTATCTTGCATAGCATCTTATCAACCGAGGATGGGACGTGGCCGTAACGCATCGTGAGCTCTGCATCTCTTGGCAGGGAACTGTCCAGCAGATTGGCGCTATGTTTTTTTTTTTTTTTTTTTTTTTTTTTTTTTTTTTTGATGTTCTGTGTTAGCGCGCCAATTGACACTCTCTATTCAGACCCACTTCCTTCTTTTGCCACTAAAGTCAGCTTGGGTGGACCGCCTATCACGGGCGAGAACGGACGGGCAGAGCACATGGAGCGTAATTCCGTAGCTGACGGTTCCCCAGTACCCGTAAACAACCCAGGCTGTGCTTGCGATACAGTAGTCCAGAGCGAGAGCAGTTCTGCAGGACGGCTGTTGGGCCCTTTATCTACCCCCGTCTCCCGCCTGCTTTCTGCGTTCCTGCCGTCTCTCCCTCTTTTCTGCAAACATCACGCCAATTCGTCAAAAATACAATCTTTCGAACCTTCTGATAAAGACCCTGCCCATCTCCACAATGGATGCCCCTACTAAGACCGTCACTATGGAGCCCACGGCTGCCAAGAACGCCGAGATGCGTCCCGTGGAGCAGCCGGTACGTTCTATTGTCCCTTCTCCTGGATTGAGCGGCATTGGCACACGTCATTCTGCTTGGCAGTATTGCGAAATTTTGAGCCGCACTCGCGCAACGTCACGGTCTTCTAACCCGTTTTCCATCAGGCACGCGTCGAACCCATGTCTATTGACAACGTCAACATGCGTGGTGGTGACGAGGGCGAGGAGGTCTGCTGCGGTCTCTGCGCCGCCTTTGCCTGCTTCGAGTGCTGCAAGTGCTGCTGCTAAGCACATGAGTCAAGATTTGAGGAGCGACGGATTCGACAGATGGGCTTAGACGTTTTTTCTTTTCAACATTGTTTTGGATACCAGTTGTCGACGAGTTCATCGAAAGCATTGAAAAAAGAGGTTAAATACAAAAATTGAACAATGATTGTAATAGCCCCAGATCGACTTCGAAAGGGAGCAGTTCTTAATATGATGGATAGACTACATATATCCGTTGCCTTTCTTCAGCCCCATTTACTTGATCCTCGTGCAATTCTCACTTGTTCGCCTCAGCCTCGGTCTCCTTCTTGATCCGCCGGCCCAGATCGGCGTCGATGCGGGAAAACATGCCGTACGTACGCTCGCGCGTGTCCTTCTTGGCCGCCGACAGATGGCCGGCCACATTGTGGACAAAATTGTCCTGCTGGCCGGCAGTGCGGCCAAGGACCTTCCAGAGCGCGTTGGGCTGCACAAAGTCTTCGTCGGAGACGTCGGCGAACACGGCCGACGACACGGCACCCACCCACTTCTCGTGGGCCGCGACTGTGGGCACGATCGGCTTGTAGGTCAAGGCGCGGTACGAGCTCTCGTAGTTGGGGTTGGCGCCGTAGTTGCCGTCGACGGCCATGGCGCCGTCGCGATGGAACGGATTGAACGCCCGCAGCGGCCGGTTGACCGGGATCTGCTGGTAGTTGGTGCCGAGACGGTGGCGGTGCGTGTCTGGATACGAAAACAGCCGCGACTGCAAGACCGGATCGGCTGTCGGCTCGACGCCTGGCACCATGTGCGACGGCGAGAAAGCGGCCTGCTCGATCTGCGCAAAGTAGTTCTCGGGGTTGCGCGTCAGCCGGAAGCGGCCGACCGGCCGCAGCGGCACCTCGCCCTGCGGCCACACCTTGGTCAGGTCAAAGATGTTCCACCGGAACTTCTCGGCCTGCTCCGGCGTCAGCACCTGCACGTACACCGTCCAGCTCGGGTGCTCGCCACGCTCAATCGCCTCGAACAGGTCCTGCGTGTGCCAGTCCGGGTTCTCGCCCGCCAGCTTGCCGGCCGTCTCGTTGTCAAACGTCTTGCTGCCCTGGTCCGTCTTGGCGTGGACCTGCACGTAGACAAAGCTGCCGTCCGGCTTGGTGAACTTGTACGTGTGGCCCGAGTAGCCGTTCATGTGGCGGTACGAGTACGGCGTGCCGCGGTCCGAGAACAGATGCATCACCTGGTGCGCTGCCTCCTGGTGCGTCGACAGGTAGTCCCAGAAACAATCGTCGCGTTCTTCAGATTCGTCTGCGGGTGGCGCTTCTGCGTGTGGATAAACACCGGGAAGTTGGTCGGGTCCCGCAGGAAGAAGACCGGCGTGTTGTTGAACACCCAGTCCCAGTTGCCCTCGTCCGTGTAAAACTTGAGCGAGAAGCCTGGGAGAGACCGGAGCATTAGCTACGGAAAGACAGACAGAAACCACGCCCTCTCACCTCTTGGGTCTCGCGCCGAGTCGGCCGAGCCCTTCTCACCCCCCACGGTCGAGAACCGGGCCACCAGCGGCGTCTTCTTGCCCACAGCTCCCGTCAGCATGCCGATGGACGTGATGTCGCTGAGGTCGTGCGTCAGCTCAAACTCGCCAAACGCTCCGGCTCCCTTGGCGTGGACCACACGCTCTGGGACGCGCTCGCGGTCAAAATGTGCCAGCAGGTCGATCAGGTGGAAGTCCTGAAGCAGTAGCGGGCCGTTGCTGATACGCTGGTATTTGGTTGGGCTGTCGATGGGACATCCATTGGATGTCGTATACACCGGCTTCTCATCGTACCGGTAGGTCGACGGTGCTTTGTCATTGGCTGCCATGGTTGGAATTGTAGCAAAATTCAGTTGGTTTGTTGTATAACACGAGCAGAACAACGGTTATAATAATGTAGCAGGAAATACTACAGAAAAGTCATGCACCAGACATGAATCCCTTTTATACCATATCCTTCATTTGTCTCCCCCTCGGTCTATCCCCGCAAGGGGAGGCAACTTCCAATTGTTGGAGGACCAGATCACGGTTCGGTGCACCTACTTCAATGGTGACTGGAAAAAGTCCCACGCTAAAGAAGAGACGTCACTCAAAATAACGTAAAAGTACAGCTTCAGGCTGACGATCCCATCTTTGACAATGGAGCTCTATCCAATTGCATGTCGGGAATTAGCATATCCCGGTTGGGCTTTGTGGCGTCTGGCCATCGGCTTATGCTCATGTACTACTGTAACGCATCTCGATTTCAAATACCTGGATGCTTTGGCAGAGCATGTTGAGCCAGTTTTTTTGCGGGATCTGCTTTTCGAACACCAGCTTTCGGGATTGCTTACTCCAACTTCTGTCTCAGACCATTGATGCGGGATCTGCATGCCAATGGTAACATGCGGCTTTCGCAAGCCGAAGACACCGGTTTCCGAGGTCTTTCAATGGATATTATGTCTGTCGTCATAGCTAGCTGCCTTTGTTGATTAGCGTATATCGATGAAATATGGAGCACTCCCGACCAACAGCTGAATCACAGTTGGGTGTTTGTAAGCGTTTACGAAGATCTAATATAGTTGGCATCCTGAAGCTCCAAGCTCAACTCGCGTTGAATACGTCCATCATGATATCTTGAGATCATATAAAACAGGTAGGTCAAAGAACTTTGGCAGACCGTTGAACACTACAATCGATGTGTTCGTTAACAGCGTACATTTACTCTGACAACCAAAGCACACGGCTGTATTAACGGGTTGCCGAGATTAAAATAGTAATATTCAATAGTATCTTTGCATTTCCTATGAACCAAAGATGGTCGTCTCTCATCCAGGAGCCGAAGGAAAGCAGAGGAGATGAACTGGAGACGCAAAAACAGACAATCTCATTGCCAAATGCCCAAACACTCCTGCTACTGTCGTGCTGCCGTACATGCTGCTGAACATGATTGTAAATTATATACCTCTCTCACTGATGAATTGCTTCCCCATGTATACGTCCGTTGTTTCCGAACAAATTGTATATCAGCAAGTGCCATTCACCGTCTCTCGACAACAAAAAGCGCCCGTTTGGCTGCGAGTTGTCATTATTGACGTTGATGTATGCTGGCCGGCGTGGTCTGGAGTTTGTCATAGAGAAGTCGTCATCGACATCACCCAAGATGGTGGCAGAGCGAGCGCCAACTTACTCCTGAGATACCGTTTGCTACTCTTTGTCAGCCAGCATGCTTTTGTTTTTACCCCTTCCCCCTTTTTCATCGACTCACCACAAGCCAGTCCATGCCTTCGCTCACGCCGCTGCCATCTACTGCCGAACATGCCACGATGCTCCAGTTGCGGTCTCGCAACTCGCCCAACCGCAACGCTTGCGAGATGTCTGCCGCCCCTTTTGCCCCCGGCTGATCCTGCTTATTGGCGAACACCAGCAGTGCCGCATCTTTGAGCTCCTCTTCATTCAACATAGACGCCAACTCCTCTGCCGCTGTTTGTAACCGCTCAATATCTGTCGAGTCTACCACAAAGATGACCGCTGCCGTGTTCGCATAGTAGCACCGCCAGTATGGCCGAATCGATGTCTGCCCGCCAAGATCCCACACGTTGAAGTTGAGGTTTTTGTAGGTCACTGACTCTACGTTGAAGCCAATCGTCGGGATCGTCGTGACAACCTCTCCTATCTTGAGTCTGTACAGCAGCGTCGTCTTTCCTGCGTTGTCCTGTTGTTAGGCGAAGCAAGACGGTTGTTAGCCCGAATTTCACATGTCGACTCGTTCTTTCGACCAAGAGCGCTTTGATCGAAGACGCGAACGCGGGAAAATAGTACCAGTCCGAGAATCAGAATCCTGATCTCCTTCTTTGCCCACAAGAGGCCCGACAGCCATGACATGCCCTGACCCATATTGCACGCTTGCTTTTACCGGCCTGCTTGCCGCTACTGTGCTCGGTTGCCTGAATCTTCCGTCTTCCGGCGGTACTCTTGGATGTGTTATGTGTTGTAAATCCTGCAGCGATACGCGTCGCCGTATGGAGAAGGAGGGGGCTTCGGAGAGTTGAGAGATGACCCGTTGCGTTGCGAACCCGACGCGTTGCGGAAACGTTTATTATACTGGCTGGATGCTGGCTTATAGCTGTCACCTGACGACGGTCGATGACAAATGACAGATACCTTTGTAATCCTGGCTTGTCTCGGCTGAGATGGGGGGCCGTATGCCTTTCAGAACACAATGATATGACTTTGAAAGGAGAATGTCGTGAGAAAGAAATACGATGTGGACCAATGGAGAAGAAGTTCGTATGCGCAAGACTATCGATCGGCGACGGGTCTGCCGTTCCTTAATTTTCACCCTTTCAACGGGCTTTGATAGCATTCAGGCGATGCTTGGCACGATGCACGTGCCACGTTTCCAATCTCAATCCCGATAACAGCACGTGACTCAAACCCTCGAGGGAGCTCGGCGAAAAAATGTTCCGAAAAAATCACTGCGACGCGCACCAAAAAAAGTTGTAGTGGAGCGAAAATATCCCCCTCTCGAATTATCACTTTCACTAATCCATCATCCTTTCAATTCGGAATCGACGACAGTGAAATCAGTCAAGATGCCGGTATGTACAGAGAGTGTTGGATTAAGACACAAAGAGATAAGCACTAGGCGAATGCAGTTGTGAGGGATCCTGTTTATCATGGGAAAGGGCGAATTCACTCGAGACTGCAGAGCCTGGTGCATCGAAAGAAACGACACAACGGGATTCCAGACAATAGAGACAGACTGCTAACGTGCTCCCGTACAGAGCCACAAGTCTTTCCGCACCAAGCAGAAGCTCGCCAAGGCGCAGAAGCAGAACCGCCCGATCCCTCAGTGGATTCGTCTCCGGACCGGCAACACCATTCGGTACGTTCAACCGAACTCGCAATGACTTTTCCATATTTTCTCCGGGTTCCGTATGCTAACATGCGATTCCTTCGAACTATAGCTACAACGCGAAGCGGAGACATTGGCGCAAGACTCGCCTGGGCATCTAAATATGTGCGCAGGTTATCTGGATGTTTAGTGGAGGAGCAAAGGACGGACGAGAGATAACCAAATTTTGTTGCCGCGCCCCGCCTTCGATACCTTCTTCTTACCAGCATTATGACTTGAGTGACAGAGATCATGCACACCCAGAATCGATGGACAACTACCTGGTACTCGGACAGCGAAAGATGAATGGATAGACGTCGAAGGACGGAGGGTTTTGCGCTGTCTGGCTTCTCTTGAGTCTCTGAAATGGGCACGGTTTTTGTCTCGGGAAAGATGGGAAAAGCGGAACATTCACAAACGCAAAACAAATAAAAATAAAACAATTTCAAAAAGCACTACAATTTTGCGTGTGTTCACAAGGCACCTTTAATACTGAGGGCCCTACTTGCCCTAGTGACGAGCAGAATCGAAGGAGCATCCGAGCGGCGGAGTACTGGCTACGGCGTTTATAAAAAGGGCTTCGTTCTCACAGTGTAGTTCACAATGGTATGACCTTTAAGTAACGGACGCGTTCCAGTCGCCGCCTTATTCTTGCCTCTCGACTTGGAGTCAAAATAGCAAATCAACGCATAATGAGCAGAAACCCCTGACATCAATAAGTAGGAAGTAGCCACGAGGCATTGCCTGTTTCCTGATACAGCCAGTATCCGCTGCACGATGGCGTCCTTTCCACCACCTGCCCCAATTGTTCCCATGTCGTTATGACGGTAGAACGTAAAGCGCAGAGAGATGCTGTCGTAAAGATAAAGAAAATAAAACATCCTGTACTCTAAAAAACGAGAGGAATCGAGACGTATGCGGAAGTCGATGCGTCATGATTTACAACATTCTAGACGTCTGGACGACCGTGCGTGGCGTGTTTGTGAGTCCACGAGGCAGAAGCCTGCAAAGTCCAGTTTGTGAAGGTCGCATCACTTTAGCGGTCCTCCGCCCATTCGTTTTCCCGCCGAATCTGCTCCTCCTCCTCCGGAGTAAAGTCGTTGGTGATATTGAAAGTCTTACGAATCTCCTCAGGAGACTTGCCTTTGATCATGTTCGCGACAGTCTTGCAGCCAACGTCGAGAAGGCTCTTGATGTCCATGTAGTTGGCAGCCTGTGTTTGCATTAGTTGTAATGTCCTCACCGGCTTCAAAGGTGGGGAATGTGATGAACGTACCAAGATGATCTCGAAGAGCATTTCCTGGTCAACCTGCATGAACTTCTGGTCCCACTCCTCGATGTCTGTGGTCTTCTTGCGGTTCTCGCTCTCTTCTTCGTGGCCGGCGAGAGGATCGTGACGGTGGTGTTCACAGTACTCGATGACTTTGCGGAGGACAGCCTCGTTAACCTAAAGCGAAGTGGTTAGTGTTATGATTGAAGGGTTATTAAGTTGCATCTAGAAAAGCACAGTCCGTACGTTCGGTAGAGGAACAGGGCCGAGGTCGCTAACGCCCATTCCCTTAAGATCGTCCAGCATGGTGTTGAGGAGTGCTGATCGCGTGGCAACGTCATAGTCGACTACAATCACAGTGCCGTCGTTGCTCTGCAGCGGGATCTTCTCGAATGACTTTTCCTCAGGCATGATGGCGGATATTTGAGGTGCTGAGAGGGGAGAGGGGATAAATGAGCTGTACTGTCTTGTTAGAGGCACTGAGGCGACGATATTTCAAGAGAAAAAAAGACGAGTTTCCAATCAAAAGTCGAGATACGAGATAGTTGTTGACAGAATGAAGTGGGGGAGGGAGAAAGCGGAGGTGGCTATATTCTATATATAACCGCTTCCGGAAGTCACAAACCAGGCTGAAGCCATGGCTTAACGACACTGTGAAAGGGAAGTAGTCATCCAAATGCGCTAGCAGGCTTCTGCTTAAAGCCAGGCCGGGGCAAAGGGAGATGGGAAGGCGTGTAGGCCAAACGACAGATGCGCGGACTAACCGATTGAAGTTGAGCGGCACTGAAATCGCTCTTTGAAGTTTGCTTGAAACGTGCGATTTTCTGAAATCGTCGTTGCTGGGCGAGTGATGATGGAAACAAAGCAAACAGAGGGGGTTTGGGTGTACGTCAAGATATGATACGTGATGTGACAAAATTGGCGGCGAAGATGCAAGGCAGAAAATCCCAGCCACGCGGGGACGCCACACCTAGTTCTGCTGCATTAAGGGCTTTGCTGCCTAGGAGCTGAGCTTAATGCGTTGTACGTACGGAGTAGTGGCCCTGGGAATTCAAACTCCCGCACAAATTACCCGTTAAAAAAACGGGAAGTTGACAATTTCTAGATACGAACAGATTATCGGCCATGGCGAAACACGCATGGTGAAGATTTACAGCATGTCCAAAAACACGCGACTTTCTTACTGGAGAACAGCGCATGTACAGCCGACAATGTGCTTTTCGCCATTCATTTGCAGGACATTTTCAGCATGTTGAAGTTCCGGCGCCACGTCTGTACAAATTTCTACGGAGTACACCGTACAGACGTTTTCACGCCTTGCTTTAACGCTAGCCTACAGAGACGAGTGGAGAGTGCTACATATCTTACGACGTAAGATACGTCGTAGCAACGGGGAATGAACCCCTCGTACTCCGTATTGCCGTGGGATACTTATTGTCAAGGTTAAAGGAGGCTATACGTAGCGGTCATATAACGTGATGCACTGTGAGGAGCAGGAGGCTGAATAGGGTCTAGTGTGGGCGAAAGAGTGTTGTGTACTAAGGAAGAAATAGATACATCGCGACCCTTCTGGGGATCCGTATTAATACTAGTGCCATGCCCCGCTTTTGTGCCTTCTAACCAATCAAAGTCCCGTACGGCCAAGTGGGGCGGAAGGGTCACAGTGTGGCGGATTCCAATGCTTGACACTTATTAGATCAAACGCGCCTACGAGTAAGATACGTGTTCCCGTGTTTGGAGCATTCTCTGTTGCACGCTACTGCTTAATAGTGAATCGCTCGGACTGCTGATTGCCCACGATGTTGTATTCGTATAAGGCAAGTAAAATTTTTAATTATCCTGCCGTGACTGCCGTGTAACTCCGGTATCAGCCCCTTTATCTGTCAACAACGGCCGCTGGGGAAATCGCGTGTTCAAAAGTACAAGTCAAGCCATCGGCCGCCCGAGCTGTAATTGCTTCACCTTGCGCTTCACGCCCAACCATCACGAGGGCTCACCGCCACGTTACCCGGTCCGTTCGCAATGTCCTTTTAGCCTCGACCCTGCCTGGGAGCAGCGGCTGGAGCACTAGACCTGCGACAATCCAAGCTACCTCGCAACGCTTCCATACACCGCTGTTGAACGTGCCGCCATCCCATGCGGCTATCTCATGATCATTCCTGTTTGTCAACGTGGCCGCGCTGTTTTAATTGTATCAATCGGATCGGCGCATGCGATTGCGGCACAGCTGCGACACAGCTGCGATACAGCTACGATATAGCCGCGACTTACCCCCGCTCTGGAGACCTTCTCGCGCTTCGTGTCCAGACCACCCTGTTGTCCCACCACGTTGATCTTTGGCAAAATCGCATACCCTGTATTCCGCCATGTGGCGCCGCATCTACTTCCTCCTGTTCTTCGTCCGGCTATGGTTTGCCATGTCTCCGAGCTACCTGCATCCGGACGAGAACTTTCAAGGACCGGAAGTCATTGCTGGTGAGTGTGGGCAGATGCGACAGAGATCGTCTGTGGCGCAGCCGGCGCACACATGCTGACTCTTCTCTCCACTGCAGGCGAAGTCTTTAGCTACCCGGTTCATCGTACCTGGGAGTTTACGAGCGAACACCCAATCAGGAGCGTGTATCCGCTATGGACGGTCTATGGAATGCCCATGATTCTTCTCCGCTGGCTATTGGGTAACGAAATCCCACCTTCGACTGTCTTTTGGGTGCTGCGCGGCCTCATGTTTATCATGAACTTTGTCCTGGAGGACTGGGTCATCTATGAGCTGGTACCATCCAAGCGCCACCGCGAGACGGCTGTCGTGCTGCTGGCATCTTCCTACGTCACCTGGACCTACCAGGCACACACCTTTTCGAACTCGGTCGAGACGCTTGTCGTGGCCTGGAGTCTGGTTTTAATTAAGCGCATTGTTGCACGACCGGTAAGGCTATCTTCTTGCCCATTTGGACACAGGTACTCTGTGGCTAACTTTCAAAGAACCGCGATTCGTCCGTGTCCTTGATTACACTCGGAGTCGTCGTTGTGTTTGGCGTCTTTAATAGAATTACATTTCCCGCCTTTTTGCTCATTCCTGGTTTTTATTTGATACCCTATTTTTTCCATAAGTAAGTCACCTCGATTCCAGCCCCCGGCTTGCCGACAGGGCACGCTCGCTGACTTGAATCAGTCCTTTGTCTGTCATTCCTCTGGCTTTGTCGGGCCTTCTCACGACGATTATTGCCGTCGCTTTCGACACAGCCTTCTACACCCCTCACCAGATCACCTGGCTTGACCTGATCCTCTACCCAGTCATCACCCCCCTAAACAATCTCATGTACAACATATCTCCCGAGAACCTTGCTCAACATGGCCTGCATCCGTGGTACCAACATCTTTTGGCGAACCTACCTATGCTCGTCGGCCCCGCAGTTTTGCTCCGGCCCGAACCATCTTTTCGTCTTTTCTCGGCTGTTTCGGGCATCATCGTGCTCTCCTGCTTTCCGCATCAAGAGGCACGGTTTCTTTTGCCCACCATCCCGCTTTTTCTCTCGTCAGTACGGCTTCCGAGCAAGCCGCGCCTTTTCTATTCCTGGGTAGCCGCGTGGACTGCGTTCAATGTAGTCTTTGGCATCCTGATGGGTGTCTATCACCAAGGGGGTGTCATTCCTACTCAGATTTTCATGAGCCAGCAGCCAGATGCGACGCAGGCTATATGGTGGAAGACGTACAGCCCGCCTATATGGCTGCTGAACGGCAAGAATGCAGTGCTGACCACGCACGATGTCATGGGAATGCCTGGCGAAGACTTGATGGAGCAGCTGGCAGAGCTAGCCACGTGTGACAGGCCGGCCGATCGACGGAACAAAGAGTACCTGAAGGAGAAAAATGGCACTTATCTGATCGCGCCGGTATCAGCAACTTGGCTCGATCCGTATCTACGCAACAAGGGCCTGGAGGGTCTGCGTTTCCGACAGGTTTGGAGCTACCGCCAACACCTCAACCTTGATGACCTAGATTGGGGGGAGGATGGTGTGTGGAACACGCTGAAACGAGTAATAGGGCGGCGAGGGCTGGCGGCATGGCGTGTAACAAAGAGCTGCCTGGAGGGGGTGCAGCAATAAAATTTGTATATAATATTGTATAGGTGATCGAAAGTAGATGACTAATCTTTATCTGTGTTCTTCAAGTGACTTCATGCGCAACCAATGACGAAGCGGTAAAAAAAGAACAGAGCATTTTAGCGCTCCCAAAGAAGCCTAGTGACTGGAGGCTCAACTGACGAGTTTGGCCAACCTCATCCGACAATTTGCCTTCTCCACGCCTCCATTGCGCAGAGAGTTGAGTACCTTCTTCCCCGATCCGATCAAAGAAGCGAAGTCCGGCGCCTTATACAATTCCGTTACCCTTCGCAATCATCTCGAAACTGCAGAACTGTCTCGAAGATGGGCGGCTTAAATTTGGAAGTTTTCAAGGTACTTTACAACCCTTCTGTGTCCGCTCTTATTGCTCTTCCGTCGGTGCTTAACAGACTTCTCAGTTTGGCATGTATGTCCTCTTCCCGATTGGCATCATGTACTACTTCGGCACCAACCTGGATGAGCGTTTTGCGGTGCCGGACTTCTGGCCCAAGGCCGAGAACGCCAACAGCGTGCCGACTGAGCGAGACGAGATCCACGCCGAGCTGCAGCGACTCCGTGCGCGGAGACTGTATCTGCGTGACCGCCGGCTGGCATCTGAGACCCAAGGTCAGCCGACAGGGGTGCAGGACCAGACTGTCGGAGAGGTGCGCCGGTAACGAGGGCAAGAGGAATTTAAGAAAAAATGGACAGACTGATGGATTTGATACTTGGCGTTACTGGACATGAAATGCAAATATGAGGATGCGGATTTTAGAATGAAACAAGCTTGTGGTTCTGGTTTGGTAATTGGTATCATTGCACAAGACAAAAAGTAGTATGTAGTAGGTTCTGTATATGTACATCTATCATCTTCATTCAATCACGGGGCCGTGGCCGATTTCAGCAGACCGGCGGCTACCAGTCGAGTTCCTGGGCAATCTGCTGAAAGGACTCATCGGATGCCTCTCCCTGGGCGACATTAGCATAGACAGCCCGTACGTCCGGGTAGGTCCGGAGCGTGGTGACGAGTTCTGTGAGGCGGCGCAGTTCGTCGCCTTCGCCGACAGGCGACAAGGTGTCCTCGTTGGGCGTCCAGATGGTCTCGGCGCTGAGGGTGGCAAGGCTGAACTTGGGTGCTACTTTGCTGACGATGGCGGACGTTTGATTTGCCAAGGTCCATATGACGATATTGCCGTCCTCGTCGGTCTCGACATCTTCGGCGCCGGCCTCGATGGCGTCGTCGAGGAGATCGTCTGCAGAGACGTCTGGCGGCGGGGCGTCGGCAGGGTCGGCGGCGTCGGGGTCGGCGTCACTGCCCAGCACAACCCGTCCACGGCGAGAGAAGAAGAATTTGGTGGGCGTGCCGGTGCCGCCTTTGCGCCGCACGAGGGTGTTGAGGTCCTGCATGGCGCGAGCCTTGCTCTCAGTCTCGAGCTCGACCAAGACGGCGACAGACGGCGGCATCATGATCTCATAGGTGATGATCTCGAGGCGGGCTCCGTCGGCCGAGCGGCCCTGGCCACGGGCAATGGCAGCCTCGATGGTGGCCTTGGGCACGCCGGCCTTTTTGGCAGCGGCTACGGTGGTGGCCAGCTGGGGATTGCTGCCGAGATCAGAGCCGTACACTGGCGGCAGAGGCGTCTGGTTGGCGGACGGACTCACTTGCGGGACACGTTCAGGGTCGGGACATACATTGGGAGTAGAGCGTCAGGTTCTTGGAAAAGCCGCTGCGCAGCAGGTTTCTCTTGGCGTCGGCAGCACCCTTCTCATGCTTGATCTTGGACCAACGGTTGTGGCCGCTGGCCAGGGCCGGGCTGTGCGAGAAGGCACGGCAGCACTGCATGCAGGCAAGCCGTGTCCAGGGAGCCATGCTCCCCGACCGGAAGCTAGCCATGACCGAGGTGGCTGCTGCTGTGGACATGGTGATTGTGTGATACAGATGGGAAGAATGATAAAGCATAACAGCAGGCGGCGCTGTACGGAGTACAGCGGATAAAGAGCGCTAAGAGACGCGCTAAAGGCCTGTGCCGTGCAGTAAAAATTTTCGCAGGCTCGCCAATGCTGCAGAGCCGGGAAGCTCTGGCGGGGCAGATTTGTGAGACGACAGGTGATTGGCCAGGATGACTACGGGGTAGAGGGGACGTTGTCCACCGCTCAATTGGGGACAGGCAACAACCTTAAGAGGACGGACAAGAAGGCATCGCACCGGGTTGGCATCGAAGACGGACGGCAGAAAAATAGAAAACGGAGCGCTGCGAAGACGTACATCGGTGCCCTTCGAGACGAGTTGATTTCCGGAAGCTTACGTCGACGACGAACGACGGGCCATTTCATCGCCATGTCATCGGCAGCGTCAGCGGGTGGCGACAACTCTCGCGAGAGCACGGTCAATGGCGAAGCAGACGATGCTGGCGAAGTGGTAGCGGTGGCAGCGGTGGCAGCGTCGGCAGAAGCGGCAGGGGCTCATGCAACGGCAGCAGCTGACAGCGCGAACCCGGAACTAGACACGACGCATCTGGCGAGCCTGCCGACAGAACAGCAAGAGCTTGCGCTGCTGCAGTTTGCGGCGCGGCTGGACAAGCACGTGAGCGGATTGATAGCGGACGACTGCACGGCGCAGCAGTTCTATCTGAAGAAGGAGGTGTTTAAGATTCTGAACCTGACGACGCCGTATCCGTCGCGCGTGGTACGCAACACGCTGGGGCGCTGCCTGGCGCAGGTGCTCAGCCGGGGCGACCGCAAGCTGCTGTTTGAGACGATCAACGACCTGAACGGAGTGGTGGCGAACAGCGGCAAGATCCGGCTGGACGGTGGGGGCGAGGGCCGGACGAAGCATGCGGCGGTAGTCTGCCTGGGCGAGGTGTTTGGGGCGGCAGGCGACAGTGCGATCAGCCTACACCACGTGACGTGCAGTACGCTGCTAAAGGTGTTGAAAGCAGCACAGGGGCACGCAGGGATGCGGGCGGCGGTGTTCAGCGCGCTGGGCAAGCTGGTGCGGTGCATCGGGACGAGCTGCGACGAGGGGATCGCGCGGGACATCTGGAAGCAGGCGCGGAGCCACGCGTCAGGCGACAAGGGGACGCTGGTGTCGGTAGCAGCGTGCCGGTGCGTGACAGTGCTGGTGCGGCACACGACGTATTTTGAGACGACAAGCGATTTTGAGAGCATCAGCAAGACGATCTTCAAGACGATCGACACGGCCTCGAGCCAGGTGCGGCGGGCGGCAGCAGACTGTTTCGTGGAGGTGATGGTGAAGGGATACGCAGAATCGGTGTCGGGCAGCGGAGACGGCGGGGTGGTCAAGACGGCGCCGCGCAAGCTGCTGCGGTCGAAGAGCGTGAAGCGGCAGTCGACGCTGCCAGCGGGCCTACAGGACGACGACGACCTGCCAGGATCGCGGGCGAGCAGCCCGGGGCCATCGGGGGGGCGAGGCCACAACGTGCTGTCGCTATCACTAAACGAGATGCTGAAGACGCTGTCGACACACTACGTGCGGCTGTCGACGACGAACCGAGCGCGAGCAGCGATCGGAGTGTGCTACGGGCGGGTGCTGCAGCGGCTGGGCGAAAAAGCAGTGGAGCAGAGCTACCTGCAGATCATGGACAGCCTGACGGTGGAGGTGCTGGGCCACGGCAACATTGCGAACAACCGGTACCGGCTGCTGACGGCGCGACGGATGGTGGACACGATCGTGCAGGAGGTGGTGGGCCGACGGATCTTGAGCGAGGCCGGACAGATGGCGGCAGCGAAGGCGCTGGTGGACGAGATCCTGCGACACTACCCGGCGGTGACGCGGGAGCGGACAGAGCCGAGCAAGCAGACGCTGGTGGCATCGCTGGGGGCTCTGTCAGCGCTGATCGAGGCGTTGGGGTCGGCGGCGAACGGGGTCGCGGAGGGATGCCGGGACAGCGTGCTGCAGATGCTGCCACACCCGACATACAGCGTGCAAGTGGCAGCGGCGGGATGCCTCCAGGCGTTTGTGCTGGCGTGTCCACAGCAGCTGCTGCCGTGCCTGTCGGTGTGCATGAACAGCCTGACGCGGGAGCTGGGACAGCTGAGCGGCAGCGGAACGCAGCAGCAGCGACGGTGTCTGGGGTTTGCGCACGGGCTGGCAGCAGCGCTGAGCGTGAGCCCTCTACGGGCACTATACGGATCGGTGGAGATCAACAGCCGGGTGCTGACGATGGCGACGGACCTGCTGAAGACGAGCGGCAAGTCGGAGCTGCGGGTGGCGAGCGTGCAGATCCAGGTGGCCTACGTGCTGCTGGGAGGACTGATGGCGCTGGGGCCGAACTTTGTCAAGATCCACCTGTCACAGATGCTGCTGCTGTGGAAGAACGCGCTGCCACGGCCGCTGTCACGGGACAATGTGGCATCACGGACGTACCTGGAGACGTCGTTCCTGACGCAGATCCGGGAATGCGCGCTGGGGTCGATCCTGGCGTTCCTGCAGGCCAACGGGCGGCTGCTGACGGTGGACGTGTCGAAGCGAATTGCGGCGATGCTGCAACACACAGCAGCCTTTCTGAAGACGCTGCCGGGACGGAAGACGACGGAGGACATGAGCCAGCGGCTGACGCCGGCACTGCAGCTGTCGGACCTGGACGTGATGGTGCAGCGACGACTGCTGCAGTGCTACCTGCAGCTGATACGGCTGGCACCGGGTGGCAGTGCCGAGACGCTGCTGCAGTCGAACCTGCTGACGCTGGTGGTGTCGCAGTTTGCAGACCCGGAACCCAGCAGCACAAGCGGAGGACTGAGCGCGTCGATCGCGACGGCAGCCGGGGCCTTTGAGACGATCTGGGACGTGGCCGACAACGTGGGCTTTGGCGTGACAGGACTGGTGTCGGGATTCCGGGTGCGACGACTGGCAGGCCAGCACGAGAAGAGCGCGGCCGAGGAGGAGCAGCAGCAGCAAGAGCTGCTGGCATCACTAGACGAGACAGCGGGGCCAGAGGGCGTGATAGAGAGCCTGCTGCTGTCGCCCGTGTGCGGTGCGGCCGAACACGACGCATCGCTGCTGTATATCGGGGGAAGTGGAGGAAATGGAGGGGATGTACAGCTTCCCGATCCACCGGCAACCGAAGTGGTCAATCTGGCGATCCAGCTGTTCGCACACGTCTTCCCGCTGACGGTGGCCAAGGTGCAGGAGAGCATCCTGGAGCAGCTGGCGACGTTCATGTCGGCCGGACAGCTGCAGCGCGACCCGGGACGCAAAGCGGCGATCAAGGTGAACGTGGCGGTGGCGGTGCTGCTGACGCTCAAGGTAGCAGTGCGGGAGACGCCAGCAGCAGCGGGCACGGTGACGAGCGCGGCCGTGGAGAAGCTGCTGCAGGATCTGGTGCGTGGATTTGTCCTGGACGCGGACCAGTACGTGCGCAGCCTCGGATACGCAGCGATGGGACGGCTGTGCAGCGCGAGCGGCAACGCGTTTACGAACCAGGAGATCCGGTATCTGGTGGACACGATCGTGGTGAACCGGGAGCCGGCTGTGCGCGCAGGCTGTGCGATGGCGCTGGGCTGCATCCAGACGCGGGTCGGCGGGATGGCGGCGGGCTACCACCTGAAGACGATCCTGGGGATCCTGATGTCACTCTGTAACGATCCGCACCCAACAGTGCACTTCTGGGCGCTGGAGGCCTTTGGCCGAGCATCGGACGCGGCCGGGCTAAACTTTGCGAGCTACGTGGCGAGCACGCTGGGCATGCTGGCACAGCTGTACGGATCGGAGCAGCACCACGGCGAGGTGGCTTCGGCCGTGTCGATGAACCTGGAGGCGGAGCGGTCGACGACAGCGGCGATTGCACGCTGTGTGGACGCACTGATCAACGTGTTGGGTCCAGACCTGCAGGAGACGACGCGACCGCGCGAGCTGATTCTGCAGCTGGTGCGCCAGTTTGGCGACGAGGCCGACGTCCAGGTGCGACGGGCGAGTCTGGGCTGTCTCGAGCATCTGTCGCTGTATGCGCCTGGATTCGTCGACTTTGGCGACTATGTGCGCCGGCTGCAGGGCTATGCCGTGTCGGATGACCAGGCACTGCGTGATGCGGCCATCGACGGGCTATACAACCTGATGAAGCGAGGAGCCGACGAGGTGGTGGCAGCAGCCGAGCCCGGACTCGAAGACCAGCTCTGGCTGGTGCTGGACCGGCAGCCGAGCCACGAGGGGGTTCGAAACCTGCTGCGCAGCTGGCTACGACAAACGTGTCTGCAGGACACGGCAGCCTGGCTGCAGCGATTCCAGCGGGTGCTCAAGATGACGCGGCCGAAAGTGCCGGAGACGACGCGAATGGCAGCAGCATTTCAGGCGGCAGCAGCGGCACGAGTGGTCGACCTGCAGGACGAGGAAGTGGCCGGGCTAGGAAACGCAGTAGGAGGAGGGGAAGAGGGAGGTCCGACCGAGAGCGGTCCAGGAGATGGTCCTGTCTCGGCTGGAGGCGGTGCAGGAACTGCTCCAGGTTTGGGTCCTTCTGTGGCCGATCCGGACGTGGAGCCGCTGCGATGGCAGGTGGCGACGTTTGTGCTCAGCCTGCTGGCCGAGGTGTTTGAGCTGGTCGGCAAGGACGCGGCAGCGACAACCAACATCAGCGGCGAGATGTCCACGGCGACAGCAGCGCTGCAGCGAGGGATCGCCGACGTGGTCCGCATGGCCTTTTCGGCATCGACGTCGGGCGTGCTGGAGCAGCGGCTCCGGGGACTGCAGATCATCGGGGCCGTGCTGCGCATGTTTGGCCGGGCAGCCGATCCGGACTTTGACGAGGCCATGCTGCTGGAGCAGTACCAGGCACAGATCAGTTCGGCCCTGACACCGGCCTTTGCAGCGGACTCGTCGCCCGAGCTGGCCTCGGAAGCCGTGCACGTATGTGCTGCCTTTGTGGCGACGGGCATCGTGACCGATGTCGATCGGATGGGTCGGATCCTCAAAACGCTGGTCGGCGCGCTCGACGGGTTTCTGGAGGCAGGAAACGACGAGGAGCAGACGCGCGAAGGCGGCGGGATCGGCGATCTGCGTGGACTCAGCGCCAACGCGACCGTCATGGTCCGGATGGCCGTGTTTGCAGCCTGGGCCGAGCTGCAGGTGGCCAGCCTGGAGCAGCGGTATCTGGTCGACGTGCTGCGGCCACATATTGGACAGCTGACTAAGCTATGGCTCGAGTCGCTGCGCGAATTTGCCCGGCTGCGCTTCGAGCCGGACATCTCGATGACGCTGGGGCCACCGTCGCTGTCGGGCAGCCTAGACACGATCTACGCGGCACTGAACCGCGAGACCCTGCTGGCCTTTTACCAGGACGCCTGGCTGAAGCTGGTGGACGCGATCGCGAGCCTGATCGAGCAGGACAGCGCCTTTGTCTTTGACGCGCTGGACGGAGGACACGGACAGGACATGGGTGTGCCGAGCGCCGAGAAGACAGCCAAGACCGAGGAGACAGACATCAACTACCGGGACGAGCCGGTCGCCTTCTTCTTCGTCCTCTTCGGCATCGCCTTTGAGGCCCTGGCAGCACGACAAGGCCAGGCCGACTCGCTCGCGGCACCCGGCCAGACGCTCGAGATTCTGCGGGCCCTCAAGAAGATCTTGCACCCGAGCGTGTCGGGCCAGGCCATCTACCGCGACGCCGTCTTTGGCGAGACCATGGACCTGCTGGACCGCCTCGCCCTGACCGAAGGCCTCGACGTCCAGGGCGTCATCGTCGACATTGCCCGCGCCCTCTGTCTGGCCCATCCGGCTGCCCGGACCCGTGACGAGGCCGAGACCGGCGAGCTGTCCGACGACATCGAGCAGCTGTTTGAGCTGACCCGCATCATCGTGCTCGTCCTCTCCGGACTGCTGCCCGAGCTCACGGCCACGCCGGGCGTCCAGATCGCCATCACCACCTCCGCCTCCACGCGCTACGCCATGACCGAGGAGGCCGTCCTGCTGCTCGTGCGCGCTGCCCTCGACGCGCTCGTCGACGCCGCCGAGGTCTTCCCGGCCGTCATCCGCACCGATCTCCACGCCTGTCTGGTCCACATCTTTGCCACCATCCTGGCCACGCCCGCCTGCCAGGACGTGGTCGTGCCCCAGGCCCTGCCGACGCTCAAGCGCTTCATCGCCACCGCCGGCCAGGACGTCCAGAACGTCCAGGATGTCCAGACCCATGCCCAGCTGCGCAGCTGTCTGCGCCGCTTCCTGTCCATCTACCTGCACGCCCAGAAGCGCGAGCTGCCGACCGCCCTGGCCTGCGTCAAGAACTGCCTGCTGGCCATCACCATGCTCTTCACGGCCGCGCCCAACGTGTACCTCGCGGCTGGCGATCCGCTCGTGGCCAAGTTCCTGGACGAGCTGCTAGACTGTCTCACCGATCGGATGGTGAGTGTATTCCTTTCTTCTTTTTTCCTTCTATTTTTCGTCTTTTCTTTTCTTCTTTTCTTCCTTTCGTCTTTTCGTCTCTACTCTTCTCCTTCCCCCTAACACACACAGACTGCCAAGATCGCCGCCAACTGTTGTCGCTCCCTCCTCCTCCACATGCGTCCCGCCGCCGCCGACCAGAGCGTGGGCCGCTACCTGCTGCCGCGCCTGCTCGGCTTCGTCGCCAACACCAACCGCGACGACCCCGAACACGCCCGCACGATGGTGTCGCAGACCCTGACTGCCTTTGTCATCGCCAAGTCTGCCGCTGCCGCGTCGGCGCCCGACCCGCCAGCCGCCCGCACCGCCGTCGCCGTGGCCATGGCCCTGGTCATCCCGGCGCTGCTGGCCCGAGCAGCAGGCGAGCTGGGGACGATGGAGGCTGGTGGTCCGAGTACGAGTACGAGTTCGAATGCGAGCACGACAGCCATCTACCGCGAGACTTCGGGCCGGCTGCTCGAGCTCGCGTCGGCCGACCCGACCGCCTTCCGCAGCGTCGTCGGCGGCCTCGCCGACAACCAGCGCGCCTTTATGGAAGACGTGATCAAGGCCGGCCGGCAGCCGGACTCGGCGCGGACGGCGACGACGACGACCGAACAGCCGACAATCGCACTGAAGATGAACTTTGGAGGGGGAGAATAGGAAAGTGGTCCTGGAGAAGGATGAACCGAAACCCGACAGCCGATACAACAGATGCAAAGAGAGCCAATGCAAATCTATCTCATGCTATCGTGCTATCCGCAAGTGGTCTGACCGAATCAGACAACCAGACTTCACAATCGATAACACCTGCCGCTTCTATACATAGATTAGGGCACCAACGCTCTATATGGGGAACCTGTGCCGAGAGTTGCCGCTTGCACGTGATGCCGCCAAGCCATTTCGGCCGTCTTATCTCTCCTGTCGCGCGAGATAGGTCGCTAATAATAGGCTTGACTACGACGACCATTATCGCTGCTGCTCTGGCCGCACAGAATTGCTTCGGGAACGGCCGATCGGCTGCCGCGCCCTGGGCTCTTAAGCCGTCCCCGCCCGCCTCACCCTGCCTCTTGTTTTTCCTCTTTCTCCTGCCTTTCTTCCTCTGCAGACCAAGCAACAAGCAACGCCACACTGCAAGCCACACCAGCCACAATGGAGAAGGCAGCCGTTTCCAACGATGGACTTGTGATCCCTGTACGTGCTTTTCACTCTCTCACACACGCACACATACTAACCGAGCAGCTGATCGACCTGAGCAAGTTTCTGCACGGCACCGAGGCCGACCGCGTGGCCACGGCCAAGGCCATCCTGAACGGCTTCCAGTCAGCCGGCTTCATCTACCTGAAGAACACGCCGATCACGCCAGAGGCGCAAAAGGCTGCCTTTGCCGCCTCGGCGCGCTTCTTTGCGCTGCCGACCGAGAAGAAGGACGCGCTCGGCTGGACGACGCCGGAGGCGAACCGCGGCTACACGGCGACGGGGCGCGAAAAGGTCAGCGACCTCCACGACCGCGCCGAGGTCGCCAAGCTCAAGGCGGCCGTGCCCGACCTCAAGGAGAGCATCGAGATCGGCCGCGAGGACGAGGACGGCTGCCCGAACCGCTGGCCGGACGAGACCGATCCGGCCACGCGTCCGCTCGTCGCCGGCTTCCGCCACACCATGAACGACTTCCACGCCCAGTGCAAGGCCGTGCACGAGGAGGTCATGCGCGCCATCGCCGTCGGCATGGGCCTGCCGGCCACCTTTTTCGACGCCTTTGTCGACGTCGGCGACAACACCCTCCGCCTGCTGCACTACCCCGCCGTCAGCCACGAGGTCTTTGCTCGCAACCCCGGCCAGGTCCGCGCCGGCGAGCACTCCGACTACGGCTCCATCACCCTGCTCTTCCAGGACAGCCGCGGCGGCCTGCAGGTGCGCAGCCCCAACGGCAATTTTGTCGACGCCACCCCGATCGAGAACACGATCGTGGTCAACGCCGGCGACCTGCTCGCCCGCTGGAGCAACGACACCATCAAGAGCACCATCCACCGCGTCGTCGAGCCGCCCACGAGCGACACCGTCCACCCCGCCCGCTATAGCATCGCCTACTTCTGCAACCCCAACTTCAAGAGCTTCATCGAGGTCCTGCCCGGCACCTTTGGCACCGAGGCCGAGAAGAAGTACGAGCCCGTCACCACCGGCAACTACATCATCCAGCGACTCGCTGCCACGTACTAGCCCGGGACCCTTGGGGGCTGTCTGTTTTTAGCGAAAAAAAGAAAGTAAAATGAAGTCAATGAATCAATTCCAATAACCGTGGCGCCGATTTTTACTCGATCGGGTATGGACCAAAATGACAGCAGCACGTGATCAGCGCTCTGGGCGATCGCCTTATTGAGGTCAGCTAACTAACCTAGAGCAAGAGCAAACATGTCCGTGAGCAGCCAATCTGGTGATCCGTACGGCATCCTCAGATGAACATAGTCGAAATGTTTTGTCCAATTCCAGATCGTAGCAAAGTGTATAAGTTATCCTCGACATCTCTGCTTCTGGACCGTGCCTTAGTATGCTTTGAAATGCCTTCTCAAGAATTGAGTTATGTTAAGCATGTCGTATAGTGTATTGCAGGTAAAGGTGGCGCAAATAATGTTCGGGCACTGGGGGCCGAGTCGACAAGCTGCATCGCGCGGCGATTGACGCAGTGGAGACGGGTCAGCGAAGGAATGCCGAGCTGTAGAAGAACTGAGAGGGCAACTTCTGCTGGGACATGGTTGAGTTGACCCTCGGAATACCGTGCTGAGACGGACACGTCGACGAGTCGCACATTGTCGAGCGGGCATCGAGTTGCGAGCGCATCAACCAATGTGTTGTCGCAGATATTTTGTTTCACGACAAGATTGGACAGATCGGGAGCGGATTTCTCCATTACGGCGCGACCAAGTATTTCCATAGTTGTTGTATCATTCCGTACTAATAGGGTGCCCGCTAGTGATGCGAGTAAAGATGTAGGGATCCCACGATATATTTTTAACGAATGGATAGATTCATTTCGCCTGGAGGTGCTCCGTGCTCCGTACTCCGTACATTATCCGTCTTGTCAGTTCGCCTAATTGCACTATAATAGTAACTTACACAGTACTTCGTAAATATCTAAGAGCATCGCATACGCCCCACTACGAACAATATCCTATGCGCAATTGTAGTCCAAACGAGGACTAGCGCATATTTTATGCCGCTTTTCTGGGAGAAAATTGGAGCCTTTCCGCCTTGGCCCATTGCATAGAATCTCCACTGCACGCAAGCCGCTGTTAGATCGTCTCATCTCACCCCCGTTTGTCTCTTGCCTCCTTGCCGATTCGATATGCGCAGATAGCTTCTCCCGGGAGAGAGAGGCAAACGTCATGGCTCAGCCCTCTACTCTGGGAACCTCCTCGATCAACCCCAGCGCGCCTGATGCCACAGCCCCATCGTCCATCTTTGGAGGCGCAGTGTTGAATACAGCAGCAGCAGCATCACCGACAACAGCGCAGACAGCACCGACTGCACCGAGAGTGCCAGCAGCGTCTGCGTTCCTTTCCGTCGGCGCCCTTTCCTCGACGTCCGTGGCCTCCAACAGCACATACATCATGCCCAACTCGCCGTTACGCAATCGCCCCGGCGCTGATGGCTACCGCCCCAAGGTGACGCGCACGCTGGGCCAGCGACCGGCCTGTCTGGTAAATGCCTCGGTGACGTACTGCGGAAACAATCAGATCTACGCCTTTGGTGGCTTCGATCAGTATACCGATGAGGTCTACAACCACGTCCTCCGCCTCGATGTCGTCAGCCAGCAGTGGAGCCTCGTCGACAACTACGGTGACATCCCCGGCGTGCGCATGGGTGAGCAAGCGTCCAGACAAGCCTCTCCTGCCATTCCGGCTGGCAGTCCTGCTCATACTAACTGATATTCGCCAGGCCATACCGCTACGCTGTACCAGGGCGATAAGCTGCTCGTCTTTGGCGGCGAGAACGAACACCGAACCTACCTCTCCGACCTCATCGTCTTCGACCTCAAGACAGCTCATTGGACTCAGCCGCAAGTGTCTGGGCCTATCCCCAAGGACCGTGCCCGCCACGCGGCCGTCCTGCACGACGACAAGCTTTTCATTTTAGGGGGAATCACGGGCCGCGATAACTATGTCCTCGACGACATCTGCTACCTCGACCTCAAGACGTACACTTGGTCCCGTTCATGGCGCTTTGTCAGCCGGTTCGACCACTCAGCGTACATCTGGTAAGATACTATGGCGGACTTGGCGTCGGGCGTTTGCTGGTCGCTGCGAAAAGCTGACTAATCCAAACCACAGGGACGATCGGGTGTGGGTGTTTGGCGGCTTGAGCAAGGACATGGACAAGGTCAGCGATCTGTGGTGGCTCGACCTGAAGGGCTCGCCGGCCTTCCAGTCGGCACCACAGTTCGGGTCCATGTTCGACCAGCAGAGCATGGCCAGCCGTGGAGGCAGCATGTCGCGGCCCGGCTACTCAGCTCAGTCGTCGACTGTGGGCGCGTCCGGCTACGCGGCCAACTCGCGCACGGCCCAAGTAAACACGCCGTCGTTCCAGCTCAAGTCGTACTCGCCCGTGGCCCCGGGGACGATCTCGGTGCTCAAGTTCTGCTCCGGGCTCAACATGCCGAATCAAGGCTCCGGCATCCACTTCCACGTCTACTCGTCCGGCGTGCTGCTGGACTTTGTCACACCGGCGGCCACGATCACGTCACGCGAATGCTCGATGAACACGCTGGACCTGGCCACCATGCGCTGGCAGCGGCTGGCCGAGGGCCGTGAGATCTTCAAGATGGGCTACCGATGGCACTACTGCACCATTAACGAGGACGGCACCAAAGCCTGGCTGCTCGGCTGTCCCAACGACCCGGGGTCAGTCGACCTGGGCACGAACGGGCTTGAAGAGTACCTGAGCGACATCATGGAGATCGACCTGCGCCGCTACGGCTTCCTGGGCAATACCGTGCCCGACGCCCGCAGCGAGCTGGTGCGACCGACGTCTCGCGTCCGTCATATCGATACGCCGTCGCGCGGCCTGGGCTCGGATCTGGCTAAGCTTTTTGATCAGCCGCCCGAGGCTGGGAGCGGTGCTGACTTTATTGTCACCGCCCACTCGGGCAACTGCGACGACGACGACGATGACGTCATGGGCTCTGCGCTCATTCCGTCAGGCGAAGGCCCGGATGGCACTGGTGGTGGCGGCTGCAGTGGTGGCAGCACCTGGCTGTCGCCCGACGCACCTACGTCGCCGCCGATCCACGTGCACCGTCTCATCTTGCAGGCCCGGTGGCCGCATTTTGCCCGGCTCTGGTCCTCGCAAATGGCCGAGTTCCACACCAAGCGGATGCACATCCCGGAGCCGTACAGCGTCGTGCGGGCATTTCTCTACTACCTCTACACGGACCGGATCGACCCCCCCGGCGCGACCGGAGACGGCGCGGCGACGTCGTCCGCTGGAAGTGCTGGTGTGGGAACGACCTCCGGTGGCAGCAGCAACATGACGGCCGATCTCTCGGATGTGGCTGGGCTGCTGGTTATGTCCAACATCTACAACATCCCGCACCTGCGACTACTGTGCGTGAACCGGCTGTGGCGCGAGCTGGACGTGGAGCACGCGTGCATCATCTGGCACTGCGCCAGCTTGGCGAATGAAGAGTGGCTGCGCAAGCGGGCAGCCGGCTTCTGCCTGACGCACTGGGGCCGCATCGTGCGATCGTCTGGCTTTCTTCGGCTGCCGCGGGCGGCGCTAGTGGAGCTCTCGCAAGAGATCGACACGGAGGGCCGTGTGATTGGTGGCGACGAGCTGGACATGTTTGGATCTGCCATGGACGGAAACCGTTACTCGGATACCGGCAGTATGGCGTCGCAGCGGAAGGAGAGCGTCAGCAGCCACCCGTCGCAGATGGCCGAATCAGAAGCTGAGGACGAGGACGGCATGGAGATGAGCTGAGCAGAAGGCGGGGGAAAGGAGGAAGGGAGGGGGGGAGGACAGCACCTCAACAAGCAGGCCTGTTGAGAGAGAGAGCCTATTAGGCTGCGTATGTGGAGAAGACGGTGTACGACAATGGCGTTCCCTCAACCCCCCCACACCGTTCACATGCCCTTTGCATATTTCTCTTACCCCTGGCACAGACGCCAGGCAGAAAAAAGGTTACAGATTACAGACATGGGACAGGGACTTTTGACTGTTTACTTTCCTTTTACCTGGGGGGGGAGAGTAGGAAGGGGTTAGCATCTTTGCAGCTTTTGCGCTGGCTTATATTTTGTCTTGTTTTTACGAAGGACTGTCTGGAAGTTTCAAGTTTCTCCTCGATCATAATCAAACATTGCATCTTTGACTTGCCCAGTCTTGGAAAGTTTGCGCGAGACAAGAAAAGTAAGATATACGGACCCACTTTTCTACAACTGACAGCGGGTGGTTCCGTGCGACATCTCATTTCTATTGCTTTTTGCCCTCCTCTAGACCACTTTGGCAAGCCGGTTTTGATATGCAGTGTTTAGATCATACTGGATCGTACCCTGTGCTGTCGCACTCGGCCTGGTTTGACGCCAGCAAAACAAAGGCTGAGAGAAAGCTGTCAAACCCAAGGGACGGCACAAGGTCTATAAATTGAAACGGGAAGAACTAGGCGGAAGGAGCGACCAAAGCCACGGTGTACTATGTCACGCTGTCTGTGGCTTCCCATGCTCTGACATCCCTCAAAGTATGATTTTCTCATGTGCTCGTCGACAAAGTTTGGCATCCGCCTCGGTCAGCTGCCGTTCCTGCGTGTGACGAAAGACGGCAGGGCGCGCGACTACGCCAGCAGTACCCTGCCTAGTTGCTGCCATCATGTCTGACACTGCTAAAGAAGGACTTGACTCAAATCAGATACGAGCCTTTCTGCGGTCGCTTCACGTGGCGATGGCCACAAACCTGCCCTATTCGAGCTTGCGCTGATAGAGGAATATAGTACTTGCCTTCAAGACATGCCGCTCGTTGAGCTTCTTGTAGCGCTCGCGCCAGCACAGCTCCCGAACCTGCTCATGGCCCTAAAGAATTGTCGGCCTAGAAGACATGAAATGGGAGCTCTCCTGACTATTGATGTCTATGAAGTCACGGCCAAATCGGCCAGAAAGGCGAATGTGCGGGCAAAACCCAACCTCTTTCATTTATCACCTTGCCGGTTAACAGAAAGTCAGCCTACTCTCACCAGCGACACAATGGCACGATCGGCGACAAGATCTGTGCATTGTGCCCGAGCATATTAGTGACAAGGTGAGCGCACAGAAATTTTGCGCGACCGGAGGATCGCCGAAAAAGGACCACCGCCAATAGACGAGACCGAAGGTCAATAAAAGGGGGGGCATAAGGACGCAAGAAGAGAGATATGCCCAAGAAAGAAGAACGAAAGCAGAGAAGGTCCGCCCAAGGAAGAAAAGAAGGGGGACAGCCGGCAACACAAGTTGCCTACGTACCACCTGTCATATGCTTATCTTATTTTACTTTTTCCGTTCTTATTTCCTCTGTCATATTACAGATTCTGTCACCAACAACTCACTTGTCGTGATCCCGTCGTCTCACAGCCAGACACTTGATTTCGCCCGTCTTCTTTCTTACCTACTATTTATTGGGCCACTCCCCTGAGCAAGAGCCTGTTTTCTTTTTCTCCAGACTACACTTGTTTGCCTCCCTTGGGCCGTCTCCGAGTATTCTACTAGCTATTTTGAGACTTTTCTCTCTCATTTTTATTCCCACTTACACTTGTTTCATTCTTTAACCTATTCGATTGCATCTTGCAGCATTACCTTCACAACAGCCACGGCTGCTGCCATCTTCTATCATTCCTAGCCACCATCTTCCAATTTTGCTTACAGGAACAGGCAGAAGCCACCGAGACGGAAAACCCGCTCACAAATACCAGCCTCCTGAACGCTTTCGGCCCGTTGAGGCTTCCTTCACTCACCGCTCACTATCTGTCCTTCCTGCCTTGACAGTTATCACTCATCCTAGATTTTCGTGAAGAACATACCCTCGATCTTCTCAGAGCAACATTCTTTCTCCTGTTCTTGATTCAAAAATCCTTACCTATTTCTCCTATCAGTCCGTGGCCAATCGTGGAGAATTGACTCGCTACCCCCTTTCCCCCTCACCTGTCATACATGTTCCTGTTTGAAAGCCATACACAAGAAGAGCATTTGAGCTGTCAAAAGAAGGCACAGAAACAGACACAAGAGCAACGTCTCCCGATACCAGGCGCTTAAATTCCACAGCCATTACGAAAAGGCAGGCAAAAGAAAGCAGGGAAAACAGCACCAGCGTCGAAATTAGAGACAGCAGCACAATGATTCACCAACACTACGACCCACAGCAGATCATTTGGTTTCTTCGGAATTTCTGGAAGTACACCCGTGAGGACCTCATCCAGCTCTGGAACCACCAGTATGAGGATGCGGATTTCGGCAAGAGCCAGTACCAATGGCTGAAGAGCCGCTATGGAATGAAGGGTGAATGGGGGTAGGCCGATGTTTATCCTTTTTTTCTTCGTTTTCGATTTTTGTCTTTTTTTATGCTTTGCTATTCTCTACATACTGACAACAAATGATGTAGGGCCGTTCTCAATACTCCTCCGTATCCTGGGGCCCGACCAGGCGGTCCGGGAACAGAGAGTTTCGTTCCGGCCAACATTCCCACTCAGCCGCCGCGGGTGACGTTGCGGACACAGTCGAGCTCTCCTGCTCCGAAGCTGGCCTCTGGCCAGCCAAACCCAGAGGCGATGGCTGCCATCTACAATCCGGCCACCGGTCGTACCAGAATCATGAGCCGTGGTGCCCAGGGAGCTCCTCGGCCAAACACTGGCCCTTCCAGTCACCCTATTGCACCGTCTGCTTCTACGACGATGGCACCGGTGATGAAGACCACAGCATCGGCTGCCAATACACAGGGTACATACGTGGCCACCAGCAGTGGAAATACCATCGGAGGCAACAATGGAAGCAGAGGGAGCACTGGTATTAGCAGCTACCACTTTCCCTACCCGCTGACAAGCTCCTTTGTGACCCCTTCTTTCTTGACAATGCCCCTGTCTGCAATGCCGACGTCCAACCCGGCGTCGTGCGTCCAGCCGCAGGCTCTTCGCTACGGCTCTCTGGGCTCCTCGTTGCCGTATCATCTCGCGGCTTCGGCGCAGCCTTTCATGCATCTAGGCCATGCCTTGGACAGCGACGACTCGTTCTCGCTTGGCGATGTCCCTTCAGGCTACGGGCTGGGCGGAAACTCGCAGTTCACGGCCCTTGCGCCCGCATTCACAACGGCACCCTCTGTTCCTACTCAAGCATATGCAGGCATGTCTGCCAGTGGTCCGTTGATGCCCGAAAACGTGTTTGGAGGTGCTCCCGCCCCAGTGCTGGGCACAGGCCGAATTATGGGCCACAATGCAGGTCCCGGACAGCACATGGGCATGGAGATTGGCACGGAAGAGGGCGATGGCCAGACGGGTGCAGTGCGCTTCTCGCCTGCCAGGCGAACGGGGTCGGCAAACAAACGGAAGCGCAGGGGCGTGTCGGTGGACGTGGAGCAGCCACAAAGCAAGCGGATCGTTCTGGACCCGACCGCTCGTATTTCTGCCGCTGCCGATTTGGTGGCCGCCAAGGTGGAGGCTCCTCGCAGCAACAGCAGCAGCAACAGCAGCACCGTGACCGCTGCTGTGGCCACGACATCCGGAGGTGCCGACACGACGGGCGCGAGTCCTCCGGGAGATCACTGGTTTGACGGCCTGCATACAGGCTGTGGCCTGAACGCTTGCCAAATGCACTATGCCAGCGGGGGTGTTTTTTTTGCCTCCGACAACGACTGCATGGCGGCCATGCGCCAGGCCACGGCGACGGCCAGCCCGCCGTCCGACGTTGCCGTTACGGTCACGAGCAGCCCGCCGGTCGTGTCGTCGGCCAACGAGGAGGAGACCGACGCGGACCTGTTGGCCAGGCTGCTGGGGCTGGGCGATGGCCAGTCCGATGGCCAGTCAGCCGCATGTCCTCTGGCCCTGCCGTCTGTGGCACCATGCGGCACAAAAGATCACGTGACATCGACATCGCTATCGCTGCAGGTCCAGAACCGCAGTGGCAGTCCAACCGCTGCTGTGGCGGGCAGCACGCCCCGACAGGTCGATCTGGGCCAAGCGGCCCCTGGCATGGCTGCTGGAAGCAGCAGCAGCAGCTTTGACAGCAGCAGCGGCAGCTTTGACAGCTTTGGCAGCTTCGACAGCTTCGACCCTACAGCACTGTTTGCCGAGCACTGCGCCGGGTCCTGGGATCTGGACGAAGTTGCCGCAGCTACTGACGACATGAATGTGGCCTTGGGGTCGGCCTTGTCGACGCTCCATCAGGCTGGCGAGCTGTCCGACATGGTGGTGCCTAGCACGGCCGCCGGCCCACAGACGGACGCCGACGACCTCATCGACAACATCCTGTTCGGCGCCGACGTCACGGCCAACGCGACCTTTCTCGTCGATGGCGGCTGCAGCCGCAGTGGTGGTCTTGATGACAGCGGCAACAACTTGAACAACTCCGCAGCCGCGGACGGGAAACCCATTGACCTCGCACAGTAGAACTGGAGCGACTTCTTTACCGAACCGACCGACTAGCTAGCTAGCTGTCGTTGTCCTTGTTACAAGTGTACGAAAATATGCGCCGCGTTTCGATTCATCTTTCCTCGATTTTCGCTTTCCTGTCTTTCTTTCCTCCTTCCCTCCATTCCTCCAACAACAGGGACCGGTTGATGGACTCGCGGCCGACAATTTACACATGCTTGCTCGTATCTTGACGTTACATGTATACAGATGGGGACAGAAGAGTATCAACAGGCCTGATACATACAGAGCCATATTACAGATGTAGTGATAGGGAAGGCCGAGCGAGCCGCCTCTCCATCAAAATATAAGAAAATAAAGAACCGAGAAAGATACATCACCCAAATTCAATTAACGCCCATCAGGACGCCTCCGATCGGTATCGTGCCGGCTTCTGCCGTCGTCGCTGGCTCCGGTCGACCGAGTCTTCGCCGTCTTCCTCGTCGGAGTCGGCCACCACCAGTCCTCCATGGCCGTTTGTGCTGCCGCCGTTTCGCTGTCCGTAAAACTGGCTGGCCGACATGATGCTGCCCTGGTCGTCGTCCGTGCCACCTCCACCACTCTGCTCTAGCTGCTGTTGAAGATGATGCTGCAGATGCTGCTCCTGCTCCTGGTGCTCATGCTGGTGCTCTGGATGAAGGCGAGTGCGCTTTCGTAGTGGCGTGCCCGCTACAAGAGGCTCGTCGGAATCCACCGCTGTCGCATCGCCATCACCATTCGCCGTTCGTGGTCGTTTCCGTGGCGGCTCACTGCCACTTCCATGCGCTTGCCCATTCGCATGCCCATTCGCATTTCCGCTCCCACCAGCACGACCGCCTGTCATCTTCAAACGACTGGTGCCGCTGCGGAGCCGCTCGCTGTGGTTGGCGTCATCATCGTCCGCGTCGTTGTGCTGATCGTCGTGGCGACTGGGAAGTTCCGGCTGATGGTCCTTGCGTCGCTTCGTCCCCTCATTTCCGGCAGCCACCACCGCTGTTATTCCGATTGCTGGCTCAGTTGCCGATCCGGCTCCTGTCTCAGCTGCTGTCCTAACTGTCGTAGTTGTTGTTGTAGTCGTCGCAGCTGCCGTCACTGTCGTCGTGGCCGCTCGTCGACGTCTGGTCCGCGAGCTCCGGCGTGAAGGACTGTTCTGAAACTCATCGTCTGACTCGTGCTGCTGTGCTCCCCGACGATGATATCGGACCGGCGCCGTTTCGTGCTCCTCATCGTCCATCTCGTCCATCTCGTCATCCTCGTCGTAGAGATGATGCCGCTGCTTGCGCTTCATCCCCCGTTTCGGCTGCGCAGCTATGTCGTCATCCACGTCCATCTCGTCCACCGATTCGGCCACATGGGCCTGCGCATGCGCTGGAGGTGCCTCTTTCCGCGCCCCCTTGGCCTTTGCGCGCTTCACCGTGCTGTTGCCGTTCCGTCCGTTGCCGTTCCGCGAGGCCTTGGCGGCGTTCTGCGTCTTGCGGTTGCGTCGCTTCGCGGCGCCCTGGCCTCGCCCACCTTCGGTACCGTTCAACTTCGTGGCTATGCTCAAGTCGTCCTCGTCGTTGACGGAGGCCTTGTCCTCCAGAAGCTTCTTTGTCAGGTTGGGAAAGTTCTCGCCATAGTTGAAGAACAGCTCCTCCCCGGCCTTGATGTCGCGCATGGCCGCAAACCGGATACGGAACTCGCCGTTAACGTAGAGGATCTTGGGCGTGATGTTGCAGCCACGTTTGTCCTGCTCGGACGCGTGGTTGATGTACCGAGATAGATTTCCGTAGATGGCCGCGTCCACCCAGATGCCGTCCTGCTCCAGAAGCGTGAACAGATACGACGCATTGGACTCCTGGTTAAACACATCGCCACGACGCGCCTCCCGGCGCACTCCCTCGTCGTGCGTAATCAGCTCGCCGATGTACTCAATCACGAACTCCTCTGCGCTTATATCCTCCGCAGTGAACAGCCCGTAGCCACAGCCGTCGAGCTGCGACTTGCCTAGAAGCACCGTCTTCGACTTGCCACGCTGGAGAGCGACATTCTGGCAGCCCGTCCCATGCAATGCGTCGTTGTCTCGGTTACGCGGATCCGCTCGCTCGCGGGATCCGCATCCACCGCACAACACCGGGTCGCACTCGCGGTTCAGCTGCACACAGATGCACGGCTTGCCCTCCTTCTGCCGCGCATAGCACGTCTTTCCAGCCGCGTGGCACGCACATCCCGTGAACTTGAACGCGCACTTCTCCGACGTGCAGCGGCAGAACCGCTCGCAGAGCAGCTTCGCCTCGGCACAGGGACATCCTCGTACCACCGTGCAAGGGCCGTCGTGGTTGCAGGGCTCGCGTTGCTCCCGGAGCGCGTGGATGTGCGTGTACGTGTGGTCCGACCAGTCGCCATTGAGCACTTTTCGGTGGCGGTCATACCAGCTCACCGGCTTTGCAGCCGGTGGATCGACGATCCGATCTGCAAGGGCATACGGTTGGGCTGTGTGCATGCCCAGCTCCTTCATCTGCCGGTAGACCTCCCAGCAGAATCGGCCCAACAGGGCCGCAGCAGTGCACTGCAGATTGACAGAGCTGTCGGCAAGCGTGTATTGAAGGCTCCGCAAGAGCGTCGTCTCATTTTCCGTCCATGCGCGATTAGCAAACGCAGGATCGCCAATATCGTAGCTCCGAAAGCATTGGTTCTCGCAAGGAGGCGGGAGTGCACTGTTGAGACGAATTTCGCTGCCGTTGGCAGCCGATCCGCTTGAAATGGCTTTCTGCTGGAGCTGATGCTGCTGTAGCCGCGCCCTCGCTTGCGCCTCGCGACGTTGCTCAACATGCATCCAAAGCTTGCCTCCACAGTCCTCGATCGAGAAGCAGCGCCGGATGTTCTCAAAGTCAAACTCTCCATGCTCACACGAGTGTGTATGGCAAATCATACATCCGAGCATGGAGTACGTGCCAAGATATTGCTGAATCTGGTCCAAGTGGTTTTCTTTCTCCTGCTCCAGCCGGCCGACCAGGCTGCTTCCAGTGCCACCGGAGGAAGCGGCAGCTGCTGCAGCTGCAGCTATCGCAGCGTCTTTCGTGGCTTTCCGCGGGTCGATCATGTTTTCAAACGCTTCATCCTGCCGGAGAACGTCGTACAACGAAACGTGCTTCTTCTCAAACACGCGGTTGAATGCATCCGTGAACATGCTGGCAACCATGGTGGCCCGTGGCGTTCCAGCACTCTCACCACATGAGCTGAGTAAGCTGTTCTTCTGCTTGGGCGTAAAGGACGACTCGTTCTGCAGCTCGCTGGCCATGTACCGGATCAGGGTCGTCTTGCTGCAATTATCGATTCCAAGGCTAGATATCCACCTCTCTAGGTAGATCGAGACAACCTTTGCATACTCGGATGTGCGGGTCGAAGCCCACTTATCGAAACGCTTGGAAGTGTCGAAGCCCGACTTCACCTCCATGCTCTCCAGCTCTTCGATCCACTGGTCAAATTTCTTCTTATCCTCCGATCCATCCTCGAGATCTCTAAAATGGGGGATGAACTTGAGCGGCGTGTTTGGAGACAAGATGTTCTTTGCAATCTCTACATGGTGAAAACGGTATTTTGGCACCTTGGTGTTGGGCGTCTTCAAAGAAATGGTCCGGACATTCATCGCGCGTCCTTCCGGCCGACGCTGATTGTCTCGGTATAGCTACATAACACTGTGAGCAATTGGGAACCAAGAAACGAGGTGGTAGTTGTCTTACTTTTATGCGAACTTTTAGCGGCTCTTCCGCATCTGCTGAAGGATCCACGACCTGATGATGGAGTTCCGCCAAGTCGTCAAACGAGCTGAGATGTTGTCGAACACGCGGCTTCTGGGTGACGATGCAGTGCTTTACATAGCGGGAATGGTCGATATGCAGATCTTTCACAAAGCCAAGGAGGGCTGTTTCGATCTTGCCAGAAGACCAGTCGATTCCTTTCGGAGTCATGGCCTGTGGCGGACTCGGCCGTGAGGCGGCCTTCTCTGGGGAAGAGCGTGTAGGCGATACCAGCGTCGGAGACTTGGGCAAAGGTGAGTGTGGTGAGGGAGGGCGAGAGACAACCACTCGACCTGAGATAGGCTGAGCAGGGGTTAAAGCCCTTGTGGCAACGTCGGTTTGCACAGCGGGTGCCTGAGCCGAAGCTGCAGAAGTAGGCGTTACCGGCGAGGACGAGAGAACAGAGGAGAGAGGTGGCGATGGAACAGTTGACGACGGTAATGGAGACGCCGAGGTTCTCAATCTCAACGGTACAGCCGGACTGGGAGCTGACGCATGCGGGACAGTCACGGCTTGAGGTTGGGGTGGAGCTGGTGTCAGTAGGGGAGAGCCTTTGGGCGAAGAAGAGCGAATCGATGAGGATGATTTCGATGGTGATTGTTTGGTGAGAGGAAGTTGTCTCGGTGGCGATTGACGGCGGGGAGATGGCTCGGACTGTTTTCGTGTCAGAGAGTGAGGGCGATGTGACGGCTCGTCTGAGCGTGGCTCAGACACCGCTGCCGGACGTGGGGAATACTGAAGGGCAGGAGACGGTTCTGGAAGCGAATCGACTGCGGCAGAAGCTGCAGCGGCAACAGCAAGCAAACGGGGCGAATGCGAAGGCGGTGAATTTCGCAAAGAATCTTGCGGGAAATGATTCATAGGGCGAGAAGAACGACCATCTGGACTATGTAGCGGGGATGGCACCAGGTGAGAGTTCCGATTTGCAGACGGATGCTGCGCAAAATGGTGACGTCTTGGGGAGCTGATGAGAGGAGGCAGCGTCTGATCATTTGCTCGGCCAGGCTTATAGGGGGGTAGCTGGAAAGCCTCCGACTGAAGAGGCGGGGACGGCCTGTTGTCAGAGAAGTGCCCGAACGAGGACCGACGCGAGGGGGCCGACTGCTGATGAGAAGCGTTCTGGTGTGCCATCTGTCTGGACGGCTGCTGACTGAAGTAAGGCTGCGAGTTCTGCCGCTGCAAAGGCGGGCGCTGAGAGGCGGCCTGGTACGAGGACCAGGTGGGAGCAAACCGGTGAGAAGAGAAATGTTGAGAAGGTGATGGCGGGTGGCCAGAACCGATGGGCGTTGACCTCGAGTCGCGACTAGGCGACGAAGGGGGTGCGAGCCAGATCATACGCTGTTCCGACTGCGAAGAAGAAGCCACTCCGGTCGATGACTGCTGGTGCTGCTGGTGCTGAAAGCTGGAGCGATGGCGTGCCGACGGTGACGATTGTGAGGCGGTAAACGGTGCCATGGGTGCACGCATGTCTGGGAGGGACGTAGATGCAGACAGGGTCTCCTGTCGCTCTGTCCTCTCCATCCTCCCCGCTCTCTGAGACGGAGGTGGCGGATTAGCAGGTGCAGACCCTCTGGATAAGCCGCTTGAGCCGGACGAGGAGAGACCCATGAGGGAGCCAAAATTGTTCGCGGCATTGTTGAATAGAGAGCCCAGGCCGCCGTAGCCGCTGTGCCCCCCCGAGAGCGGCGTGGATGGCACCGAGTACTGGGCGCTGCCACCCAGATGGCGAGCCGGCTGCGAGTCCGAGCTGCTGGGAAACCTGTGCCGTTGTTGATAGGGGCGGTCATGAAGACGCGACAGCGGCGGCTGCCGTGGCGAGTGGACGGCGCGGCCGGCCTCAGACTCATCATCGCTCCGCGTGAGGTCGATGACATCGTCCTGTCTGCGAGCCATATTGCGCTCGACTGCCTGCTGGACGCCCCGTTGGCTGCTATGACTGCCTCGCCGTTCGTCTTGCGTGATCGGCATTCATGTCAAGTGGCTGAGCAAGTGGCAGCAGCATGCAGTGGACAGCGAACAGAGAAGCGGAAAGCGAAAAGCACCCAGCAGCAAGCTTAGCAATTCCCTTCCTGGACAGAAAATGAAGCGTGCAATTTCATGAGACAGGACGCCCGAGATCCATCAAGGATGTTTGGGGCTGGCTGCTCAGGACAGTAAGGCGACGTCCAATGTAACCGGTCGCCGTGCTGTGTTGACGCTTGAAGAAATAAACAAGACAGAGATGCAGCAGGAAAGCACGGCCCGACGCCCCCTTTCGCCAATTGCGAACAGATAATTCTATGCCCACGCGACGCGTGTTGATGGGCCGGGGGGTGTGCAGCTTCCAAAAGATCGTGAAACCTTTTTGGGGCGATTAGAGACGCGCTTCAGAATATTTCTAAGCGTCGCTCTAAATCGTTTAATAATGGCGAGGCAGGCGCGGATCGCGCAACGGCGTCTTCTCCTCTCACGGAGATCGATCACGTGCTTTGCATCACGTGAGCCACGTGAACCCATCCGGGTGCACCGTGCGCTTTCACCAATTTTACGGAGGAAGGAACGGTGGGCCTGGGCCGAGCTGCGTGGAATGGCAGTGGATCTGCAAAAGCAAAGCACGCCCAGCTGGGCTCCGGTATCTTACGAGCCAGCCAGCCAGGGCGGCGTGGTATGACGTCTCTGGCCTCGCCGAAAGATGTCTGCTAAACGAATAGCTCTCTCGCTAGTGCCATGCTTTCCTGCCGTTCGGGCGCGGCCTGACGCATAGTTGTCCCCCCTCCAGCAACACGCTACAGGGCCTCTGTGGCTGTGTGCAGAGTCCCTCCTCGCGCTAGCCGGAGCTAGTGCCTAATCTAGCACACTTGCGCTGGCCACATCCCAAACCAGCTGGTCCAGGATGACGTCGCCGCCTCATTCCACCACAAAGGCTTGTCGCATGCGGTCCCCTCGACTCTTTTCCTTGGGAGCTAGAGAACTTGCCCTGGGTACGTAACTCCGTTTGCGCTTACAGATGTGCCGAGACTGACATCAACACATTGCAGCTGTTATAAGTATATCTACCCACCACGTCATTCATTGGCTTTCACCTTCTCTCTCTTTCTGTTTGCAACAATTTCTGTTTTATTTTTATTTTCTTTCTTATTAAATAACGCAACTTGCTGCTCGCACCGCCTCGATTGAAACATCCAATCCCTCTCCGGCGAACACACCATCAGTTCAACATTCATAGCTTCTCGCATTATCAAACCAACGACATCATGCATCGCACATACTCCATGCGCCAGTCGCGGGCGCCTACCGCTTCGCAGATTCAGGTACGCTTACTCACCTGACTACTGAGTCGACTGTTCTCCCGGTTGGCAGGGCTGCCCATTCAATTACCGTCCCCTCCCAAGGTTGAGCTTTATTATGCTGACGGTGCTAATTCTTTTAGAACCCTCCGCCACCGCCCTCCACCACCAAAAGCGGACGACTCTTCGGTCGCGGAGGCTTCGGTATGTTGCCTACTTGTTGCCAACTCGCAAATTTTCGTCAATGCATTTGCGACGTTTGAGAGAACTTTCGCTGACTGGTGTTGGTACTTTTTGCAGGCCATGCGCTCAGAAGAAACGCTGCCGGCGCTTTCGGGCCCGACCTGTCCAAGAAGCTGTCCCAGCTCGTGAAGATGGAGAAGAATGTCATGCGTAGCATGGAGACCGTCGCCAGAGAGCGCATGGAAGTTGCGGTATGCATTTCTCTCCCGAACTTCCCTTTGTCTCAGCTTGCTGACATATTGCGTTTCAGCAACAACTTTCCCTCTGGGGCGAGAACTGTGACGAAGATGTGTCGGATGTTACGGATAAGCTTGGTGTACTTCTTTATGAGATTGGCGAGCTGGAAGACCAGTACGTCGACCGTTACGACCAATACCGTGTTACCGTCAAGAGCATCCGCAACATTGAAGCATCTGTGCAGCCCAGCAGAGATCGTAAGTCGCTGCCCCGCCAAAGTATATTTTCCGCCCAATTTAACAGCAGACAGGGAAGCAGAAAATTGCCGACGAGATAGCCCGCCTCAAGTACAAGGAGCCCAACTCGCCCAAGATTGTCGTTCTCGAGCAGGAGCTCGTCCGCGCCGAAGCCGAATCGCTTGTCGCCGAGGCCCAGTTGTCCAACATTACGCGCGAGAAGATTAAGGCGGCGTACACGTACCACTTCGATGCCCTGCGCGAACATAGCGAGAAGGTGGCTATCATTGCTGGCTATGGAAAGCATATGCTGGAGCTGATCGACGACACACCTGTGACGCCCGGCGAGACCCGTCCGGCCTACGACGGCTACGAGGCTAGCAAGGCTATCATCCAGGATTGCGAGGACTCTCTGACCAACTGGGTCAGCCAAAACGCAGCCGTGTCTGCAAAGCTCTCCACACGCGCGCGCACGCTGTCCACTCGTCGCCGCAACCTTATCAAGGCGCGCGCTGAGGGCAACGGCCACGACCTGTCTGCCCAGGACACGCCCCTCCACGACCGCGACCAGTGGGTCTCAGCCACCGAGCACAGCGATACTAAGTACGTCGACGAAGGCGAAGACGACGAAGACATTGAGGCTGAAGAAGAGGAGGACGACATTCACAGCCGACACTCTGTGCTCGACAACGACACCAGCCTAAATGGCGAGAGCCGTGGCCGGACACACCAGGCCATTGCTGCATAATCCTGGACAATCTTACGGGAAAAATGTAATACGGGTCGTGTTTTTCTGTGTTTTCTATATCAATGCTGTTCATGTTTGGTTTATTCCCCTTGCCTTTTTAATCTCCTTGATTTCACCACCACCTCTGCACTCCTGCTCTTATAGCTTGAGATGTTTGCAAATGTATTACTTCGTGCTATTACTGCGTTAAGCAGAATAATAATAACATATTTTCTACAATATGCATGCACGGATGTACGAAGGGAGAGCCATGGCTGCCTGGTATACTTGTAAGCTTGGTTCGGAATTGAGGGTATCAAAAGTGAAGTGAAAGAAACAGCTAAAATCCAGATACCAAATTGGCCAGCCGAGAAGTATGTGGGGCAACCTGCCTTCTACCTACGCATCTGGCTGAGAAACTGCTCGACCTCGACCTTGACAACGTGATTCCCTGGCACGACGACCAGTCCAAGATACCGGGAGACCATGTTCACCGCCACCTTCCCGGTGTTTCCGGCCAGCTCAGCCTGCCTCGCCTGCTCCGCTATCTGCCGGGCCGTCGGCTGGCGGTACTCGTCGGTGTGTGCCAGCACAATGTTGTAGTCCTATGGCCATCAGAAACAGGTCGATATGAGGTGAGCACAAGAAGTAAAACCCACCGGGTCTGTGCACTTGAACTGGCCGCGGAACATGCGGCCGTCGGTGGTGCTGACGACGAGGTTTTTGCTCAACAGGGAGTGCAGAAACATCTCGCCCTCTTCCTTGATTCCGATCGCATTGCCTCCCGGCTTTGGTGGCACAGCTGGCTTCCTGACTGGGCCCTCCATTCTCACTTGTTTGCCTGCCTTGGGCAACACGTCGGCTGGCTTCTCGGAAGGGGGAGTGTCGAAGTCAACGTGGACAGGTTCGGAGAGTATCTGTTGGGTTTCCCGAAGCTCGAGGAATGAGGCGCAGGGGACTGCACGTAACTTCCATATGCTGCTCGGAAACCATGTCTCCAGAGTCAAGCCGCTGACCTTTTCGGCGTTAGACCTCACCGGTTTGCCACGTGGTATATCACGTGTCTGTCATCACGAGATCGGCTTTAGCTCGTTAAAAGTGTTGAGACACGGAGCTCGCCCCGCCTTCGAGCACGGAGACTCCGTACTCTGTGCAGGCGGAAGTACTCCGTGTCGCGGACTGATCCCCCGAATAACCGGTGGGACCAAGCATCTAAACCATGGCTCATGCGTCTGCTTGCATCTTAGTCCCAGTCCGTGCCCTTCTCTGCAGAGAGAAAGCGGCGAAATGGCGTTATATGTGCGGAGTCTTCGGATGCTTACCCCAATTTCGGTCTACCTATTGGTGCTCGTACATCTGCCGAAGGATTCATTTTCGAACATGATTATGTCACATGAGCCTTGATTACGCCGTGGGTCCGCAGTTGCACGACATAAGCTCGGCTCGTATACAAATAGTGGCCGTCTGGCCGTCTGCTCTGTTTGCCATGATGTTGCCCATATCCGTGCGATCCGAATATTCGACGAATATTCAAAGACCAGACGAATATTTGTACAATCAACAAGATGGAAAAGGTCAAAAAGGATTTCCCTAACGGCCTTCCAAAGCTTGCAGATCTTGCCATCCTCAATGCCGGCAAGGATGTGCCACCCGAGACAGCTTGGATTTGGGGCAAGGATGATGAGGTGCGACGTTATATCCGTACATATAATATACTAGAGTGTGTTTTCGTCTGCCGATGGGACTAACAAGGCTCCTGTTTCTAGCTCGGACGCATCAATCTTCTTACACCAGAGGTGGTGCGAGCAGCCCAGGAGAGTGAGTTGAAAGATGGCAAACTCGTGTCCTTGAAGTGAGCTGTTCTTTTCGTCATGTTTTCCATTTCTCGGTGGCGCTTCGTGCCGGTTGTTTCAGATATTGATTCAGTTGGTGCAGCTGGTCTTTGACCTGTCCGAGAGAGCCCTCCTTCCACCGCGCTGCCTTTAAGCACTCCATCGAGGCAAACCCCCTTAGTACCTGCATCTTTGACGACATTTACGACCTGAACACCCAATCTGGGAGCCAGTGGGACGGCTTCCGCCACTTTGGCCATTTAGGCATAAACAAGATGTACAACAATCTCGACCCTAATGAGATTCACACTAGTCTGTCTGAAATGGGATACTTTCCCCCCTCGAGAACAACTGACCCTGACAGAATGGGTTCATCTAGGCACCCGATGTGGCATCCAGGCAATTGCACAGCATGGTATTGCCGGCCGTGGCATTCTGCTCGACTATTACTCATGGATAAAGAAGCAGGGCCGAGCATTTGACCCGGTTGCCGCACAGCCAATCCCTCTTGCAGACTTGAAGGCTGTCGCAAAGGCTCAAAATGTCGAGTTTCGCCAGGGCGATATTCTCTTGATCCGCAGTGGTTATATTTCGCGTTATTACGAACTGGAAAAGGAGGATCCGGCTCTACTTACGGAGCGGAGCAAGGAACCCTGCTTTTCGGGCGTGGAGCAAAGCGAAGAAATGAAAGAATTTCTCCACGATACGTGAGTAAATCCAGAGTCCCCATCTTTGTACTGAAACCTTTTGCTCACACTAGTTCTCAAATTGAAGGTACTTTGCGGCCGTGGGAGGAGATGCTCCAGCCTTTGAAGTCTGGCCACCCAAAGCAGGCTACTATCTCCATGAGTACCTGCTTGCGCTATGGGGTTGTATCATTGGGGAGATGCTTGACCTAGAGGCATGTCACTCTGCTCTGTTTCCCAACACACTTATCTAAAATACATCCATGCTGACTTTATTATCAGGAGCTAGCGAAAGAGTGCGAGAAGCGCCAACGCTGGACCTTTTTTCTGACCAGTGCTCCGTTCAATACCCCAGGTACGGAAGCAGTCTTATTTTTATCAAAGACAAGTCAACTAACATGAAATGCAGGAGGGATTGCAAGCTTTGTGAACGCATTGGCGCTCTTTTGAGCTACATCCACGCCCTCGCACAGTTTTCTTTGCACCGTTTCCTAGACCGACGTTGCATCTAATGCATTAGTCATCTTCATGCGTCTTAGTTTTGCTGGCTGATTGACATGAGACTACTTGACAATGCTTGATGTTGTTGTTTGCACCTTCTTGAAACTCGCTACATAATTTGAGTAGCAGCTACGGGCTTCAATGATCTGCTATCCACAAAATAAGATTCTAGATATAGCATCACGAAGAATTGGCATTTCATCTGGGCAACACGCAAAGGAGAGCAAGCTTCTCTATTCCTGTTAAATTCACTAGGGACTAGATATGTGCAAAGCGGTCCGCAGATGGGTCTCCATCCTTGCGAGTGTTTTTCTCCATTTGGACGTACTCGTCAGTTACATTGTTAATATCCAGCCGTTTCGCCAACCTCTCCTCCGTGATAAGATAGGCAGAAGGAAACCAGGAACTGACGTCTCTTCCTGCCATCATGGCCACAAGGGCCTCGCCTGTGAGCCAGCACTTGTCCATGCCGTAGCCCTGGAAGCCGGCCGCGATCCATTCCTGCCCCCCCGGGGATGTCCGACCCGTTGCACTGACAGGAAGGTTTCCGACCAGGGGGAGCCCATCGGCAGTCATGCCCATGACACCAGACCAGATAGCCTTGAGCCTGGGCATATCGAACCCCTTTTCTGCCGACTTGCTCTCCTCATGCACGGCGCGGAACATCCGTGGCAGAATGGTGGGAAGATCCTGGAGCGATGCTGCACTCACAAACGAGTCGTCCGAGCACAGACATTCGTCCATCCGCTGGTTTTCCACACCGACGAAGATGTCCTTTGTGATCGCGTTCTGCTGCAGATAGTAGAGACCGTGGTGGTACATGCCGCTGTCAAGGTCGACCTGCGGCGGCTGCAGGAGGCTCCAGGTGCGACTTGCACCCCAGGAGGGGAAGCGCTCCGGAACAGCCTGCGTGGACATGTGTCCGCGGAAGGGATAGATCTTGCCGCGAAGGAGGGGGAGGAGATGCCCTGAGTATGCATTAGTACAGTACACGACGCATCGGGCCTTGATCGGCCCACGCGGTGTAAAGACGGTGTAGCGATGGGAGCCGGGGCTGGTATCGTCCCCGTTGTCCATCACGGACGTGGCCGGCGTCATGGTCTCGATGGCAAGACGCCCGGAATGCGTCTCCAACAGCTGAGCGAAGATCTCGGTGCAGAGACGGTAAGGCCAAAGCGCACCGGCCGGCTGGGCATAGCCGCCGACGACGTCCACGAGGCCCCACTCCTCTTCGAGCTCGGCCTTGCCTACGATACGGTTGTGGTCCTTGTGCTCCGGCAGCTCCCGGGCAAACATGGCCACGGACTCCGCGCAGTGCTTCCACAGGGCCTTGTCGTTGGACACACAGAGCTTTTGGACCCTCCGGACCTCGCTTCTTTCGCGGACCTTGGCTGACATACCGGAGCCGAGCTCCTGCACACGCTCCATATTCTTCAGGCTGAAACGGGCCATGTCCTTCGCTGCTTCCACGCCATAGTCGGCCACCCAGGTTGAGAACTTGTGGCCCGCAGCGGATACACAGTGACCACCGTTTCGTCCTGTAGCTCCAGAAACCAGAGTTCTGGCTTCAAGCACAGTGACGTGAGCGCCGGGAAAAGATGACGAGTCTTCCAATAGGGCCTTGGTGACACTGCATCCTGTAATGCTGTCATGCCCAACATAACTTAGCAACTGTCACTGCCGGTCCTCAAGGGGGGTTGCCATACCCCGAACCGATAACAAGAATGTCGGTCTCGGCAGGAAGAACGGGAGACTGTATCTTTCCAACCGTGTCGTGAATGGGCAGCTGCCAGTAGGCTGTTGTAGGGTTGGGATGTGGCAGACCGGGATCTGCCGTTACAAAGGAGCGAATCCTGGGCTCAAACGACATTTTGTTTATTTTCTCCTTTCGACAAGTTGGTGACCAGACAATGGAAGCAAATGAACTGAAACTGGGGAGGACATTTATTTAATTTTAAATTCACTGCTCCCAACTAGTAGGCTCGCTCTCCGCAAAACGGAGCAGGTCAGTCGATGAAGCGGACTTACGCTCCTGAAGCGGTAAAACTTCGCAGTTCACTCCGGACCCATATCTTGCGCTTATCTAGGACTTATTACGTAGCAATCTAGCGTCACCGAATCTCTATATTTACACGTATGTAGCTTACGAAATTGCTGTTGAGCAACGTTGGCAGCAGTATAGAGTGGGCCGGAACGCCCTTCCGACTTAATTTGATTTTCGGATGCTTCTCGTCCGAGGGACTGAACCATTGTCTATAGAGGACCAGAAAGGTGAGAAATAGAGCCATCAATAAATCCGCCACCGAAGTTCCGTTAGCACCAGAGAGCTTACAATTCTGCTAGAATATATACAAAAGCACAGTGAACATTTAGATAGTCAGGCTTGTCTTTGATCCTGAACTTGGAAACGTGGGCAGTATTGACTGGATACTAGATAGTGTGCGCGGTTACGCCCCCAAGTCTGATTGTATAGATAGCCGCTCTAAATACCCCCATGCTATTGTTGGCTAATATTGGGAGCCGTCTAGAAGATTATTGTGGACCGACTTATTCAGAGCTTGAGGTAAGTCTTGTCTGAGTCGAGGAGAAAATCTGGAACCTTTATACTAGCAGATACATAAAGCCATAGTGACTTCCATTCCAGTCGCTCCGAGAGACGACATCCAACGGCATCGGCTCCTTTTCAGTAATGGTAAGCGGTTGAGTGTGTGCACATTTTGTATGTTTCTCCGTTTGCGCATACAGGCAAATTTACTTTAGCCATCCCGATGAAGCCCGCCACTCTGAGCTACAAGCATAACAATAGTGCCGAACAATGAGCAGAAATGCACTATTTTCGTCAAGGTCTCCGTTAATCAATGTCATGCACTTGGGTCAAGGAGACGTTTACCACTTCTTCACTCGTCAGGCAGCCTCCGATAGAGGTCAAGCTAGCTTATACAACCTATGCCCGTAATTAGCGCCGGCTCAGTAGGCTACCCAAGGGTTTTGAGTAAGAACAGGAAGAAAGAACGCCCATCTTAGGGGCAAAGTAATGCTGTTTTTCGGTATCCTACGACTCCGGGCTATATTGCTGTACAGCATAATCCTCCTTACTTATCAGCTTCAGCTCAAAATAAAACATCTCTGGCGTCCGCCGGACTTCCCACCGCCCAAAAAGTTGGCCATTTTCGATGAGAATATGGCGGTACTTGCTCCGGTCCTCGACGAAGTCGCGCCATTCATGTACTTGCACATACGGCGTCACAACCTTGAGGGCCTGGCAGACCCACTCCTCCACCTTACTCTCTTCGATGCGGCCGGCCGCGACCATGCGGTCTTGAAGGTCCTTGAGGTCCAACTCCGACTTCTGCTGCTGAAACGCGACCCAAACGATGGCGTAGTCGAGCCTGTCCAATAGCCCATCACTTGTCAGATTCAGGCCCTCGGTCTCCTCGACGGCGACTGCAGCTGAAAATGCCACCTCTTCATCGCTGTCCACCTCGGGTTCCCACCCGCGATCGTACGCCTCGCCGTAGATGCCGCCATCCGGCCACCCGGCCCCCTGGAGGGAATATTTGCGCGCGACGTGGATGCCGCACTCGTTGGCACGCCAATGCATTTCGTGCCACTTGATCGGCTGCCAATCCACGTTGAAGTGTTTAAGCCAGAAGCGCGCCTGGGTTTCTGAGTACACAAACGCAGCCGAACTCCCAAAGTCCTTCTTCTGCCGGACAAGGGTCTCACGTAGGGTAGCCAGTGCCAATGGGACTATTTTCTTGGCGGGAAAGGCCGGCTGGCGGAGACCATCCCCAGGCTTGTTACGCGGAGTATAAATGGGGCTATCTGAGTCGGGCAAGTCTTTCAGGTCGGGCGACCGGTAGAAGCGAGCTGAGATTGGCTGCCACAGAGTAATACTCTTGCCAGACGGCTTCCCCAAGCAGGTCGTGGTTTTCGGCATGAATTGTCTCAAATGGTAGACTATCTTCCAATTCCCCCAGCATGGCTCCTTGGTTCGTTGAGCGGTACATGCTGTGACGACTTGGGTAAGTTCTTCTGTCACGTACGGCCAGAGATAATCAAATTCGGGGTCCCGTCTGCTCTCCCCTAGTCAATTCAGCAATATGCGGATTAGTAGTTAGCGCTGCTATATGATTTCGCTATTCTTTGTGTACGAGCAGCGGAAGGAGCTGCTAGGACCGGAGCATCCCCACACGCTGCTGGCGAGCCTCTACCTAGCCCGGATCAAGTCCGTTCTAGGCCAGAGCGAGGAGGCCGAGGCCATGATTCGTGCCGGCCTGGTCGTGGCCGAGCGCAACATTGGCGACACGCATATCGGCCTCCTGCTGGCCAGGACCGTCTATGCACAGGTATTGACGCGGCTCCGGCAATTTGCCAGCGCTGAGAGCATCTGTTATCGGCTCATCGAGAAAGAGCCGTACGGCCAGCTGGCAGATGCCGACGGCGACCATCCAGACCGTTTGGCCAACCTGTATCTGCTGTTCAGTTGCTTACGTCAGCAGGAAAAGTGGCAGGAAGCGCTGCGTATTGGCGAGGCCTTCTTGAAGGGCCTAGCTGCCATTGGTGGAAACGGTTTAGGTATGGGCCACAAAATGCGTCCGCGGGTGGAACAGGCCGTCGAGAAGCTTCGCGAGAAGCTGGGACAAGAGTACGAACCGAGCACTGGGCAAGACCCGTCAGGCGTTTTCGTAAATTTTTGATTATTAACTCTGACTGTCTCTATAATAGCACCGTGTTTACAACGTAGTGAGGTTTAATAGCGTTAAATAGAGGAAAGGGACAAAAGAAAAAGAACAAACACCATTTGCTCGTGGCTCAGCGCAAGACTAGCATTGTCAGCACCGGCCGTCGTGCTAGGCTCGGCCTCCTCGTCGTAGCGTACGTAGCTCATGGCCAGATCCTCCAGACAGGTCAGAGTCTCCAGGTGGCTTTCACCCAGGGCCTTCCGCATGCCTCTCCAGGCCGTCTGGTACAGGTGCGTGGCCCGATCATATTCCATGTAGTGGTAGTGTAGCCGGGCCAGATTGCGCATGCAGCGGAGCGTCTTCTCGTGCGCCTCGCCGTAGAGCAGGTGCAGGGTCTTGATGTTGCGCTCGTGCAGGCTGGTGGCCTCGGCCCAGCGGCCCTTCATGTACAGTGCCGACCTCAGCAGCTCTGTGACGTCAAGGGTCAGGGGGTGGTGCTCGCCCAGGGTGGCGATACAGAGCGCCCGGGCCTCTCGCTGGTGCCGCATGGCCTCGTCTATCTCGGACAGCTGCCACAGCGTCACCGACAGGAGCAGAGACAGGCGGATGGCGAACGGGTGGTCTCGGCCCAGGCGGCCAGACACAAACGCGAGGGCCCGCTCCTGGAGCAGCCGCGCTTCATGAAAACAGCCGGTGTCGACGTAAACACGGCTGAACCGGACATCCTGCTCGGCCTGGACGCGTCTGTAGTAGCAGCTGCTGCCGTACTGGTGAGCAGTCAGCTGCACCTGTCTTTCGGCCCTTGGCCACGACCATGACCATGATGGCCTCAGCTTGGCTGCGTTCGCCCCCAACCGTCGATCTAGGTCCGTCTGGCATTCCTGAACGTGGCGGACGTGTGGCAGCAGCCGGCGCCGGGCCCGGCTTTTGTCGTCGCCATCGCCGTGCGGTGGCCTGCGCACACTCCAGGCCAGCGTGGTCGCCGAGACGTGACACCACACTGCCTGGTGGGCGGTGGACATCTCAGGTCGCTCTCGCACCCACCAGTGCACCAAGCGGTGCATGCTGTAGTGCCCAGACTCCTTGTCTCGTGCGATGATGAGCGACCGCTCCAGAAGCGCGCCGAGGGCGAGACGCAGTCGGATCTCTAGCTCCACCTCTAGCTCATCCAGGTCCAGGCCTTCTGAATTGCGCAAGACTCCCGGAAGCGGAAATGGTGGCATTGCCAGTTTGGAGAACACAAAGGCACGCCACTCGCGCAACATCATGGCCCACGGCCGGCGCGGCAGGTGGCTGCCGGACTTCTGCTGCATTTGACTCTTCTGCAGAAGCGCCTGCTCCTCTTCGCTATCGGCCCTGGCCTGGCCTTCTTCTCGCAGCGGATTCGTAGCCGCGGCCATCAGTGTCTCCAGGCGGATGTCCTGGAAGTGAAAGAAGGAAAAGACATGCAGTAGCTCGACTGCATCGCGGTGCTCTTCCCGACATGACGCCAGCAGCGACTCGTATAGAATCTCGTACGTCGAGAAGACGTTCAAGCTGTTTCGGTCGCCATTGTCGAGCCTCCCGGCATCCTCTCCCTGACTTCCCCATGGTTTTCGACTCCGGCTGCTGTGCTTAACTCGCCGGAGCCGCTGCATCTGGATCTCATGGTAGCCCAGATAGCGCGGCCAGTCGCAGATACCGCGCAGGATGGCCGTGGCTGCCTGTACCAGGGCCAGCGGCAAGAAGCCCAGGACGTGGCAGATCTCGCCAGCCGAGTCCACGACCACCTTGCGCCACGGCCGTGGCTCCTCGGCCGCCGTGGTGATGAGCAGTTCGGCCTCGTCTGGCTCCATCGGCTGCAGCTCCAAGTGTCGGCTGCCCGCATTGCTGTGCGTCTTGTAGTCCGGGTTGCGCGTCGTGATGAGAATGCAGCCCTTGGCACCCTGGGGCAAGAGGTCGGCAAAGTCTGCATCCTCGCCGTCCACGTTGTCCAGGATCAGCAGCCAGGGGAGGTCTCGCGTCACCAGCCAGTCCTTGGCTGCTCGGTCGTTCGGCTAGACCCCCCCGTGAGTGGCAATGTCCGCGTATGTGCTGAGGGCGTTCTTGCGCGAGCTGCCGTCCACAAAAAAGACACCCCAGAACCGATCCCGCGACTGATGTGCAAACCTGCACGCCAGCTCCGTCTTCCCGCACCCGCTCAGCCCGTAGACGACAAAGCGTTGCTGGCGTGGAAGCAGCGTGTCGGCAAATGCAGCTTCCAGCTGTGCCAGCTGCTTCTCCCGGCCAGAAAAATAGTCCCGTGTGTTTCTTACGTTGACAAAGTGTTTGTTGGGAATTGGAGGGCTGTACAGCGTCACAGACTCGGCCACTATGAGCCCGTTCTCTATCTGGCCCGACGAGTGATGTCAGCATTTGGGCAATTGGGAAAGGTCAGGAGGGCGGGCAGAGGACCGAGCACATACAGCGGGTGTAGCGTAATTTTGACAGAGCCTTGCTTTTTGTCTTGCCAGTTTGATTTGGAAGTGGAGGCTGGTCGACAGGGAGGACTGCGTCACGACAGGTCGGCCGCTGTCGTGGCCGGTGTCATAGTCAAGGGTCAGAATATCGGTGGCCATTCCCAGGGCCTTGAGTGTTTCTGTCTGGAGACCCAGATTATCGCGTACGTCCCTGTACCAGGACTTGTCTTGGAGACGGTCGTCATCAAAACCATCATGAATCGTCCCGCTCTGACCAGGCCGCTTGAGGATCGCCGGGAGTGCCTGGACAAACTCAACGTGCTCGTCGATAATGGCTTCCACGCTATCGGACACCTGCTGCAGGTGTAGTCGTCTGGCTACATTGAACTGTGCTTGCAGGGAAACTTCCTTTCGTTTCCCTTTTGCTGTCCGCTCTTGAAACGGCTCGACCGTTTGGATGAGGTCACTTAGCAGTTGAGCGAGATCGCCGACCGCTTCCTTTTCCGTCGTTGTGGTTTCAAATTGTTCCACGCAGCCCAGAACGTCCTGGAGATCATTTAGGAAAACTCTGGCGTTTGATATACTGACCGGATTTGCCGTGGCCGAGGTCGAAATGGAGTTGGGTGGCAGATTTATGTCGGGTATTACTGTGTCTTTGTCGTGCCGACACTTTGAAAAATGGCAGGATGCTTGTGAAACAGTATCGTCTCTTTCTGCCAGAAGCTATCCTCTTTCTAGGCTGTGGCTACTGCTTACCGTCTGTACTTGCAGAAATTTCTCGGGTGCACTCACTGAGCTTCGCGCAAGGCAAACTTTTGAGGCGCTCGGAAATTCTTGCTCAAATGGCGGTGGACAACTGACTGTTTGTCAAAGGCTCGTATTCTCATTTTGGTAATACATGATGCCCCGAAACATGCCAGTCCCCGGAACGCGGGCGCTTGTGGTGGAACCTGAGTCGCAAACGACACATCGACCGGTTTGGATAAGCATGACATATCTTACAACTTTGCAAGGTGAGGAGACTATTCGGGTCTCTAAAGAGGCCAAACCATCGCACAGAATCGACCCAAATTTGGCCATCATGAAAGTGTGCAATGAAACCATTTCACTTTATCTTCATTTGGCCAAAGTGTGTTTGATTTGCGCTAGAACCTGCATTCCGGATTCACGAATTTGTTGTTTCTAAAAGAAGTAACTAGATGCTAGACCCTATAATAATTTAATTTAACTATAAGACTAACCTTCTAAATAAAAAGAACTAAAGGCGCCTAAAGTTGCCTTTAACAGCAATCTTAGCAAGCATAAAGGGGCCGCCGTAAACGGACAAGCACTACTACTACTAAGAACAAAAGTTGTAAGCCTTTTGTTAAGACCTGCCTTAAGGGAGTTAGGCATAAAAGAGGAGCAATTGTAACGCCGCCCTAGGAAAGGGACCGACGCAGGCTATACGCAAGCTGTACGCAGTATGCGCATAGCGTATTAGATGTATATTATAAACTAGAAGCGGTGCTAGTGGCGCAGGCTGCGTGGCGTAGTCTGCGTATAGGCTATAGCACGTGCTAGCGTATAGGCTAAGTAGAAACGGGGTTGCGCCTGTCCTGCGCACTTGGTGCGCTAGAGGTGCGCCTATAATAAAGAGTGCTTTTTGCACTCTCTTAGAGTGTAGAAGGCAAAAATTAGCTATTAAATATACGGTTGCTTCCTCTTATTAAGAAGATACCTTTTTGCTTGCTTAACTTACCTAGCCTACCTAAGTATACCTTTAATAGTATATAATTAATCTAGTAACTAGCGCTTTTAAACTTATTAAGGGCTAGATAAAAGTATTACTTCTTAGCTTATAGCTAGGTGGCGCGCTTTTAGAAGCTACTAGGTGTCTTAAAGAGTAGTTTAATGCTGCTTTTTAAGATAATATCTTAACTATAAGAGCTATCTTTGTTAAAGTCTTTACTATAAGTGCGCTTACTCTTTACTTAGGTTGCTTTTATATTTAAGAGCTATTGCTATAGGTTTACTATTTGCTGCTTTAAGCGCTTTGCTTTATATAGTTAATTATTTTTAGCAATAAGGTCTACTACTATCTAGTCTATAATAAGCCTAATAGTTTGCTTTAAGGGGCCTTTGCTTGTATTGTCGTTATTTAGTTACTTATAATCCTTCTTTAAGAGATTAAAGTCTTTATTCTTTACTTCTTTAATAATAGGGTTAAGGAGGTTCTTAACTATTGCTTTAGAGCTACTCTCTTCCTACGCACTACGTATGTGCAACGTTTGCTTTATAGTCTTTTAAGGTGCTATTACTCCTTTTGCCTCTTAACTTAGGTAGCTTAATAGTAGAAGAATTAAGAATTGTTAAAGGTGTACTTAGGTAGGCTAGGTAAGTTAGGTAAGCAAGAAGGTATCTTCTTAATAAAAGAAAGTAGCTATATATTTAATAGTTAATTCTTGCCTTTTGCACTCTAAGGGAGTGTAAAAGGCGCTTTTTATTATAAGCGTACCTTTAGCGCACTAAGTGTATAGAATAGGCATAACCTTGTTTTTACTTAGCCTATACGCTAGAATATGCTATAGCTTATGCGTAAACTACGCTACGTAGCCTGCGCTACTAGCACTGCTTTTAGTTTATAATGTGCATTTAATACGCTATATACATACTGCGTATAGCTTGTATATAGCCTGCGTTAGTCCCTTTCTTAGGGCAGCGTTATACTCTAGCATTACTATAGTAGTTACTATAATTATTTTCTTAATTAGTATTATTTTTATAGCTGCTTTTATAGCCCCTTTAACTCTTTTACGCCCTTTTACCGCGCGTACTATCATTATTTTGTTTTAACTAAGCCTTTAGCTTCTTTAAGCTTTAAAACGTTATTGCTTTAGCTACTAGTTTTGCTTTAGTCTATAGTATTTTATTTAATTTTAAAAGATCTTTCTTTAATTCTAAGAGTAGCTTAAAGAATAGCAACTACGCTTATTCTTTTTTTAATTTAATAAGTAGTTAGTTTTTAAAGGTAAGGTAGTTATTAAAGTTTTAAAGAGTCTACCCTAGTCTTTAGTAAGCCTTATTAATTCTATTAGTAATAATAAAAGCTATATATTAAAGGTATACTTAGGTAGGCTAGGTAAGTTAGGCAAGCAAAAAGGTATCTTTTTAATAAAAGAAAGTAGCTGTATATTTAATAGCTAATTCTTACCTTTTATACTTTAAGAGAGTATAAAAGGCGCTCTTTATTATAGGCGCACCTCTAGCGTACTAAGTGCGTAGGATAGGCGCAACCTTATTTCTACTTAGCTTATACGCTAGCACGTGCTATAGCCTATGCGCAGACTACGCTACGCAGCCTACGCTACTAGCACTGCTTTTAGTTTATAATATACATCTAATATGCTATGCGTATACTATGTATAGCTTACGCGTAGCCTACATTAGTCCTCTTCCTAGGGCGGCGTTATAATTGCTCCCCTCCTATGCCTAACTCCCCTAAGGTAAGTCTTAATAAAAGGCTTACAACCTTTATTCTTAGTAGTAGTAGTGCTTATCTGTTTACGGCGGCCCTTTTGTGCTTGCTAAGATTGCTATTAAAGGCGACTAAGGCGCTTTTAGTTCTCTTTATTTAAGAGGTTAGTCTTATAGTTAAATTAGATTATTATAAGGTCTAGCATTTAGTTACTTCTTTTAGAAACAACAAATTCGTCTTCTAGTAGCAACATAGCTGCTCTTAATTCTAACGTTTCTATGCCTATAGTAAGCGCCTTTAGCGCTCTAGTACTTGCTGCGGCCCTAGCCCTTACTCTCTAACACTCTCTACCCTCTAGCTAAAGTGCTAGTTCTAGCCGCGTGCAACGTACGCGCAGGGCTTACGCTAGCATAGTTTGTCGTTTGGCGCGGACTATAGCGCGCGCTATGCCCTTAGTTAGGCCTTTAGTAGCCTATTAAGGTGTAGGAGCTGCCCTTGCTAGTCTAGCGCTTTTAGGGTTAGTGGCGGCTACGCTACTAGCTTACTCTTAGGTTGCCTTAGACGGCTTATTGTGCATACGGTGCCTGCACCGCTTTCTAACGACTCTCTTTACAAAGTTGCCTAGGTTTACGGCCGTGCTATGTATTTATAGCGTCGCTGGCGCTAGGCGCTACGACGGCTGCCGTGCTAGCAAGCATAAGTATTGCGGGGTAAGTTTTTTTTAGTAGCTATAGGCCGCTCTAGTAGCTAATAAGATGCAGGTTTTCCTGCTAATGGTTGGCAACTAGGCCGACTTTAAGATGGTGCTGCGCGGCCTTAATAAGAAGCTTTACGGCTAGGGTTTACCTGTAGTGCGCGCGGCACTTATGCATGCTATAGGTGCTTTTGTCGCTACCTTGTTATAGGTGGATAAGCAGTAGCGGCCTACGTTGCTAAGGGTGTTGTTAGCTGCTAACGTTATACAAGCAAAGCTTAATCTTTGCTAGGGCATTAAGGCTTAAAAGGAGGCTTGAAAGGTAGCCTGCTAGGTAAAGGCTTAGCGAGCTTTATTAGCTTAAATGCACTTATTGTTGCTATACACGCCCTCTTTATCTTTGCCGCCTAGGCCTGCTGCTTTAACCCTTTAATAGCTCTCTTAGCTGCCGCGCCTAATGCCTAGTAATACTAGTTATACTGCCTTTACTATAGCCTTTAATGCCTTTCTTAAGGTAGTAGTAAGGGCGTATGTTATAGATAAGGCTTATACTAGGGTAGTAGCCGGCGTAGCGTCGCTTTAAAGGCTTCTTAGATAGTTTTACATAGTCTTTTATAAGGCCTTTTAGCCGGGTTAAAATTAAATTTAGGCTCTTGCCTATATGTTTTCGTCTTTACGCGCTTGCTGCGCGCATACTGCTTAATTGCTATATATGCATTTTTTATATCTTCTTTTGGCACCTACTAGTTGTATTCGGTTAGCTAGCTTATCTAACGTACTAGGTATTTAGTCTAGCCTGCCTTACGTTTTTTATTTAAGACTACTTTTACTTCTTATTTGTTGTCTAGGTCTTTTAACGCTAGTATTGTTAAAGGCGCTTGTTTTACGCCTACCTTGCTCTCTTAGTGCTTTAATAGCAAGACTAAGAAAACGTTATATAGTTAGCTATATTATTTTAGTAGTGCTAGTTAATATGCTTGTCTGCCTATAGTCTTAAGGATTTTAAAGGGCTTAATGCGTTTTAGTGCTAACTTTTTGTTTTTTAAGCAAAGGTTTTTTATAGAAAGGCTTACTAGCTCTCTTACTATAAAGCTTAAAGGCTAGTAGCGCGCATTGTAGTAACGCTTCTAGCGCTTTATTGCGTGCTCTTAGTTTGCTGCTAACCTTTTCTATATAGCTTCTAGTTTTTCTAAGCGGTTATATACTGCTAGGACTATATTACGCGTATCTTACTCCCCTCTTACGGTTGCGCCGCCCTTAAGGCAAGTTTACAGGTCTAGTTTCTAACTATATAGCGCTTTAAATAAGCTAATTTTAGTTGTTGCGTTAATAGCGTTGTTATAGGCATATTGCGCTAAAGATAACAAAGAGGGTTAATTTAATTGCTCTTTTGTTATAAAGTAGCGTAAGTACTACTCTAACGTTTAGTTAGATCTCTTTATCTACCTATCTATCTAAGGGTAAAATATAGTTAATAGTCGCTTATAGATTCTAGTTTAATAGTAATATTTACTTTAGAATTTGCTAGTAAATATTCTTTTTTATTTAAAGACTATACCCTTTAGTATTATGCTATATACTAGTTCTATATATTAGTGTTAAAGGTGTACTTGGGTAGGCCAGGGTAAGTCAGGCAGGCAAGGAGGTATCTTCTTAACAGGAGGAAGCCAGCCGTATATTCAATAGCTAATTCTTGCCTTCCGCACTCTAAGGGAGTGCGGGAGGCACTCTTTATC